ATCCAATGTTCAACATCCTTGACATCCCGAAGCTCAACATTGCTGTCTCCCCTGAGCAATACAATTCCCACTCCTGTTCACCCGCTCACCTCTCGTAACCTTCACAGGCCACTACTCAAGTCCAGCATGCCAGCAATCAAGTCTGGTAAGGTCTTTGTCTCTGGCACGAACAGCCACATCACTGTCTGGGTAGTCAGGACCCTCCTCGACTATGGTTTGGCCGTCCACGGCACTGTCTATGTGGAGAGCAGGGACACTCACCTCCGCACACTGTTCGCTGACGCAGGTGACAAGCTCGAGCTTGTCATTGTTGAGGAGGTCACCATTGTGTGTCCCCTGCCTTTCTCTCTATCTCTCCCACCTCCTCCTCAACTGACCAACCTATACAGCCTGGTGTGTTCAACAACGGACAATATCTTGTCCGCTGTGCTCGCGCTGGCCCCCACAGCCATCATACCCACCTCTCACTATGCCTTGCCTGCTGCAGCACAGCTCATGATTGCGAACATGGTGTGTCAGCCACACCATACCCTCCGTTTTCCGTTGCTTGTTCAAATACGCCTTGTTGTCACCCATGTCGCTCATTTTCCCATCGCACCTGCGTCGCCACGTTGACACCTCGCCTGTGTCCCCTCCGTTGCTCTTGTTACTTGCCTTATCCAGCGCGCATGCCTTGCCCACCTTGCCATGTCATGCACGTCACCCCTGCGTCTTCTGTATGAGCTCATGCGCTGTGAGTGCAAGACCACAGGCAGTCACTGTGGTGTCACACTCCCCAACCACAACTCGGTAAAGACTTTCCATGTGACAACGAGTCACGACTGGTTTCCCTAATATCTCGCTCACTATGCTCATGTATGTTTGAACAAATCTATTTTTGTTTATGCAGAGACTTGTCTATTAAGAGATCAATAGCACTACTTGGAGCTCACCTCGCACACATCGGTGCAATTTGCATCAGTTAGGACTACATGAGCGTATTATATACATGGGTTAGAGCTACGTGAGCTTAGGTTTGCACTCATCAGAACCACATGAGTGCAGATTTGCAGATTTGCGGAATTTATCACTCTGTTATCTGTGTTACAGCGGCTGGGACGTCACATAGCCTGCCCGCAGAAGAGTCGCAGGTGAGCAGGACAACCACTGAGCCGTCTGTAGGGTGTGGTGTCATAGGAGATGGTGTGTTGGTTGCTCAAAGGTATGTGGGATACAAAATGCAGGTACATAGTGTGAGTCCAAAAGCGATAGCCGAGTTGATCGTAAGGTGCATGACATAACGTGGATCATTACATAGGTGGTGTGTTAGAGCTGTAAGCACTAATATGCAAGTGAGGGTTTTCCTGATACCACACATTCGCTGTTGACTTGTGCACAGTCAAAGCCGTCAGCAACAAGAATCCTGTGTAGTGCAAACAAGATGGCTCGACGTGGTATAGATGTTTGCCATGAGAGGGGGTCACCAGTGTACCTTGTAATACCCAGGTGTGCTGGCACCGCAAGCATGGACAACATGCCAGGTGTCAGACAAGCCTGAGGGTTGTGGTGCTTAAATGACCTGGCACTACAATGAACTACTCACTGACTGTCTCACTGTTTGGGAACAGGGTCACTTCAATACACGTGAGAGAGAAACGAAATGCATACCTAATGGACAGAGAAGCACATCTTAAGTTCATTGTAAAACAGAGATACCATCAGACGGAACGTGGAAGGCTAAGACAATCCTCAATTGGTGAGCAAGGACACAATTGAATGTCTGCAGTTGAATAAATTGTGTCTCAGTTGTGTCCCAGAGAAGTAGACATTTTGATAAAGTGAATACACATGGTACGACAAGGTTCCGCAGAGCAGCGAGAAATTAGAAGAGATGTCAAGAAGAAATTTGGGGAACAGAGGCCTTAGATAGGAGAAGGGGATGTGATGAGGCTCGCTATCGCCATACTCTATCTGTAAGTGGTACAGGCACCCGCACTGCCATGGGTCCACATATCCTTGTGTGCACCACGTTCTCTGCCATGTGCACTGCTCAGGTGCTCGTGAACTAACCGTATAGCTCATTACAAACTTACCATGCACCCCGCCCATGCCATGAATCACCCTTGGAGGGGCACATGATCATCTACTATCATTATCATATCATCGACTATAGCTTTCTGTCTAAGCTACTAGTGTCTGTAGTAGATCCATCATAACTTGTATGCGGCCACAAAATGTGATCAAATGTCATATCGAAGACGAATGAATACCAGCTGCTACCATTCTGCTAAGGTATGCCCAGCACAGACACAACTAAGTCACATGACCTGATTGTGTCACACTCTGCGAGGGAACCAACTGTAAATTGATAGGCTTTTCGAGCACCCACTGTATCCTCAATGTCTCTTAAGAATAGTGTTGCACAGACATCTGTATACATTTTTCTTAAGCCAGAAGATACAAAAGTAACCAGTTTGTGGAAAGATAGTGATTCATTCAAAATTCTGCTTAGCAAGACATCAGCAAGATGTAATTAAGCGAAATATTACACTAAAGCACCCAGACAACCTGTGCGGACTCCCGAGGCTACACAGTACTTTGTCCATTGTGGGGCCAGAGGGGATAACAAAACAAAAGGCTGTGGTAAGCCAACATATCAGAAGTCCTGCCCATGCTCACCCTCTAAGCAAATGTGTCTGAAGGCCACTCTCCTGGCTCCCCTTGAGTCTTGACACCATGGGCTCTGAGGCAGCGCAGTCCTCCAGCAGTGCTAGCTCAACGACGCTGCACAATGGGTGTGGGAAGGTCTTTGCCGATCTATTGATGCTGATTGATGATAGGGTGGTGAGTCAAAGTCCAACCATGGTCCAGATGTGCCCTGTGCTTCCCCCAGCACATCGTCTACTGAGTTGTGACAGTTGACTTGTGTCGGTTGTTATGTCTCAAGCCCATTGCTGGAAAAACCAAATTGGGCTCGCAAGGCCTCGCAAGCAATTCTGGGGTGATCGGCCTCACGAGCAGCGAGGCCTTGCAAGCTAGGCTAATTAGCTCGCAATCCAACTGTGCGTCTGATGTCATCTTGCAATAGGTTACCTGACATCGTGATCTGTCGGCCTGCCTGTCAACTGGGTGTCCGGGCTTGCATCCATTGCCGATTACCCGCTTGTGCACTCATTATAATCCAGATATTCTGTTATAATCATTATGGTGTTATGTGTATAGGCTACAGTACAACGCAGGGAACTCATACAGACAGCGCAAGAACAATGGAATTGAGAAAGAGATATGGCAACATGGTATATGAGTTGTTGAACATTCTGTGGGTATCAGTAATAGATGACTCACTTTACACATAGGCGGCCAAACCCCTACCGCAGTGTCAAGCAATGAGTGCACTCTGCATGGGCATCAAAGGGTGGTCAGATGAGAAGAGGTACAAGACCTGTGCCAGGACAGAAAGTATTAGCAAGGCACGCGTGAATAGGCAGCATACACATACATTGATTGTTGCCCATACTCTGCCCTGCTGCCAGCATGAGCATCTGACATTGAGTCTGAACATAGAGCGGAAAGAATAAGCGAAGAAGGGCAGGAAAAGCAACCAACACAGACCTGAACATGAGATCTGACGTGTGGAGTGGTGAAAGACATGACAAGATGAGAAGGGAGGGGAGGACAAGGACAAGGCCAGGGAGTGAGTGATGTGGTGGAAGCAGAGAGAGGAGCGCTAGAGACTCGAGAGGCGTGCACTAGTCGTGAAATATCCTAAGTCCCTTGTCGTCAGCTGGAGCGTCCACAGTGCTGCAAGGTTGCCGCAAGGCCTCGCAATATGGTTTCATGGGTGATAAGTCCTTGCAATCACTTCAAACACCTTGTAATCCCTCGCAAGGCACCATTGAGCTTGCGATGCCATCGCGAGTCAACCAGCGCCTCGCAAGGGCTCGCAATCTAATTAAAATCTGCTTACCAGATCTTCGGCTTGCGAGGCCAATTTGTTTTTCCGACAATCTGTCTCCATCAGCACCGTGTCTTTCAACCAATCCCTCCCCAACATACTACACACACATTAATGGCTCTATCACTCTACTGTCCACAATAAAGACTACACCATGCACAGTGCGCGCTAATCCAGGCATAGACGCTAGACTTGTGTAGGCTTATCGGTCACTTGCACGTGGTGTGTCACACGGATCACGCATAGTCATATCTGTGCTGGGCATACCTTACCATCATTTGTCATGCAGACAAAAGACGACCTGTCCCGATCTGGCAGAGTCGCGTAGTGTTGCGGAGGGCTCAGCTCGAGCCAGCTCTAGAGCCGGCTCTGAGTCATTCCGGAGCTGAGCCATTTGTCAAAACCGGCTTTTCCCAAGCCAATTCTGAGCCGATTATTAGACGCTAAAAGCCGAAATCAGCCATACTGGAGCCGCTGGTTGGAGCCAGCATCGGGCGCCTGTGCAAAGACAATGCTAGATTGTTAGGTGCCTGTCTCCGGAGAGGGTGAGCAGGGCACATAGAAGCTAGCCACAAGCTAATACTCATGTCCCCTTGCCCGAGTGAATGGAATTCCTTGCACCCAACTGGGTGGAGTGAGCTGCGGACATGAGGGACAGGTCACAGGAGAGAACAACCCATGACCGTCTGGTCTCGGGCAAAGTCTCGGGCTTCTGCCTGTTCAGTGCATGACTCTTGTGCTATGATGAGGCCAAGGCTCTGAAAAAGGGGGTGAGGAGACCACAGCCTTCTTGGTATATCAGAAGCACACAAAGCCAGCGACTCCAGGAGTTGAGTTCACTTGTCACATGGCCACAGCACCGCATGTCCGTGGGAGATCTTAGTCAGACTCTCAGAGTGTCGACCTTGTCCAATCATACTCTTAACAATCTTGAAACTTTCTACACCTCATAGAAGCACATAAAAAGCAGTTCTAAGGTACTCCTGCTAGTAATCACCACGGGTCACCCCTGGGTATTTTTGAGTTGACCCGTACCCGTACCCACGAAACCCGGACCCGTGAGCTCATGGGTCAGGGTATGCTCGGGTACGGCCCTTGCGACTACAGGTCAGTCATGTGTGACAACCAGAGTTGGCTCTTGCACACAGCTTGCCAGTCGTGACTCACAACTTCTCCCTTCCTCCCCCTCCCCTCTGCTTCTCTCCTTCCCAGTAGCTCTCAAACCTCAGCCAAACTTGGTCAGAGTACACCTCGACCTCCTTGGCGCATTTGAGGAGATAGAGTGGAGGTGGTATGGCATTCATCGGCTCAGTGGGAGTGCGATTACAAGGTGCGCTTTCATTTGATCTGCTGGTGAGCCTCAGTTCGTGACAGGAGAGTGACTGGGAGAGGTGCAGGGTGTGCTTTGATCCCTGGACCCGCAGCATGAAGTTCACGCCAGCCTGTATGTCTGGGCTCTAGGCCAGCCACCTCGTGAGTTTCCTCGTCTTCTGTGTCCACTTTCAGCACTCATACGCACGCCCGGACAGTGTATGGTCTAGACGTGGATGGGCATGCGGCGTGCGCTCGCCATACGCTCGCCCGCGTTCGGTGCATGGCTGGAGAAGCTGCCGTTCTCGGCCGTGACCCACGCGCTCTTCTTCAACCTCTGCGAGCATCAACCTGTCTCCCCTGCCCAGCCCCTCCTGCTCTTGGAGCCGAGCAACATGGTAGGCAAGGACGTGCTGAACACGTACTTCCCCCGCTCCTTCCCAGGCGCATGTGCCGTTCAGTGCACCACCGGGCGTGCGCACGGTGGGGCACATGCAGAGGTGGGGGATACCTCTCCGACCTAGCCATGTCTGCCACTCTCACAATGTCCGCAACACCTATCACGATCTCCGACCTCAATAGCCTTTCTGAGCCGTTTACACCGCCCACACACCTGCAGAGCGCCCTCAGCGTCACCAGCGACACCTCGCACTTCGTGCTCCACAACAAGGGCGAGGCCACTGCCCACCCGATCACCAACAACCCGCCCACCAAGTACCTCCCGTTCCAGATGACCATGGAGACCATCCGCCAGCACAAGGGACAATGCCTGCTCTGTGGGCAGAAGGACAACTTGACGGCCATGCGCACCATCCTGCAGCACGGCGTGGGCACGGAGCAGCTGGACGTGAGTCTTCTCTTCCTCGGTGTCCGCTCCTCGCTCAAACCTCGCGGGGACAGCCCATATCGTGGCTGCAGGGCCTCAAAGCCCTCCCGGTGGAATACACGTGTGACGAGTGGACGAACCTCATGACATGTATGTCACCTTTGCTTGCGGCTTCGTCCGTCTGCGCCCTCTGTTTACCCGCCCCTCCCCCCCGCTCTTATCCGATCAGCAGTGTGCAAGCCGCACGCACGCGTGTATGAGGACAACGTCTGGTGGTGGGTCCCCAGCACCGCGTTGCGCGCACACATGGCCAACCTGGTGCCCATCTCAGGCGCCGCAACACCCTCGCACGCCACGAGCGAAGACGGCGAGGCAGACGAGATGGACGAGGGGGAGGACTCCGAGGCGCACGGCCCGTACTCCCCCTCCGAGTTCATCTCTGGCATCACCATCGACGATGGCATCTCCGGGCAGATGCACAACCCCGAGATCCGGAGGAGCAAGTATACAACGCTCACGTGGAGCAGGAGAGGAACTCGCATGAGCCTGGGACGTCTGAGATGCGCGTGGAGAACAGGAAGAAGGAGGATGCTGAGGTGCAGGCGCGGAGGGTGGTGATTTTGGCAGGGAGGGTAGCGGAGGGCAATGAAGACGAAAACACGGACCTCGACGTTGGACTACGATGACCGCCACTACGAACACGACCATGAGATGGCTGACACGCACGGCGGAGTGGCACACGTCGACCACGTGTACCAACAGGTCCAGGATGAGTGTGAGATGGACGTCGATGAGCCCATCGACACGCTCTTGAGCGAGGACAACAAATAGCATAAATTAGAAGATGCGCACTCACCCCCACTCGCTCGCACGCACAGACCCCCCACGATACGCATAAGTCTGGTGTGTGTACATGCTCTACGGTCGCATCCCCACAGTCCTGGGCATGGCCTCATTGTTCTTAGTCACACCAAGGTCCTCCTGCAGCGCCGTCCTCCCCACCGTCTTCTGTGGGTACATCGTATGCACCTTTCTGCACCTTCAACACCTCTGACCAAATCCTCGGCCGCACGCTAGTCGCCATCGGCCTTGCGCATTGTGCGCACTGGTCAGGCCCTGCGTCGTCTTGCAGCACCTACTGTACGTGTCGTGGCCAGACTGCAGCGTTCCCGCACGAGGTCCATGAGGGGCTGCTCGCGTTCGCACGGCTCATGTATGAGGCGAACTGCAACCTCGCCACGCATGCAAGTTGGAGGGTGGGCAGAGTGGGGCTGAGGACCTGGACCCCACCGTGCTCTCCACCTCGGTCTGTGCCTCCAGCACGCGCATGTTCGCCGCCGCCATGATGTCTGCAAGCGGGAGTGTGAGCACTTCAAGGCGCGTGCACGCCGTCAAGGAGTTGGCCACGGTGAGGAGCGAGGGGACTTCTAGGTCCGCCTCGCGCCATATAATCCCTTTTCATTCAATACAAGACTATTTATTACATGTATAGTGTGCTCTGAGTCTACGGGTTGTCACAGGTCGTTGAGGGTTCACCCTGCGGGTGCACGGGTCAGCTGAGCATGACCTGGACCCTTACCTGTGGTACCTGACCCACCAACCCGCACGGGTGGCCCGCACCCGTGGTGATCACTAACTCCTGCCCCTCAGTTGTGCCACAAAACATACATCCTTGTGCGATCACCGGCGCTAATCGATGACCACGGCTCTTGGTGGCTCCATCGGCTCGGACCCTGGCTCAGGCCATTAGAGCCAATTTTGGAGCCACAGCTCCATTTCTGGCTCCCTCAGAGCTGCCCGGAGCCGAGCCGAGCCGAGCCGAAGCCGAGCCATCGCAACACTAGAGTCACGTGCTATCGAGCGCTACCGTAAAAAACACCTTTTGCTGATGTAGAGATCAGAATGTTTCGTTGTATCTACTTAGCTGCACATGTACAATACTAGCACGACCCTAGTGATGAGAAATGTGAGCGCCCATGAGATCAAACCATGAGAATCTCAACCATTACTGCTGCGATAGTCTTCGGTTTTTTTCCACATGCTAACAGTGTCGTAAGAAAGCGATTTGCAACATTTCAGAGGAAACGGGTACATATTGTGCCCCTAGTGAACGAACCAGCCGCAGACCCTAGTTATGAGAAATTTCGCCAAGGCTTGGTCACGGTGCGGGTCACGCAGCAGACACCAACTCTGCTCGGCTAAGCTGTCGGATACTGTACCATTTTGACCCAAAGTTCATGTCACGCATCATGGAGGCTTATGAACTTTCGATCAATGTGTCACGGAGGGCCATGAACTTTCCGCCCACAGAATGTCACGGTGTCTATGTCGTGGAACGGACTCTGGACTCGCCCTATGTATTATTTTTCGCCTTTTCTTTGCCTTTTCCCTGCCTTTGGAAGGTTGTTCCCGCGCTTAAGCGCCCGTGTCGCGCCCTCACTTAGCACTTGCACTTCATGTCCTAGCCCTCATCTCGACCTTTTGGTCTTTGTGGGCTAGGTGAGTATCTCGATTGCCTGTATGTATGTAGAGCTATGTTAACTTGGTCTTTGTGGGCTAGACATCCCTTGTGTGACTCTAGCTTGTGTTTGCTTTGCGCCTAGTGCCAGCAACGCCTCTGCACCATTACATCGAGGTCATCCAACCTCAATCTACACCCATCCACCCCTCCCTCTCCTCCGATTGGTGTTCGCGGCCCACTCCCGCGTCAGTCTAATTTGCTGCCGTTCCAGCTGTCTGAGCGACGAAAAAACGACGGATTATGAACAGGGGAGGCATTGCATGTATATTGAGATAGTCAGAACGGAAACATCACGACGAATACCTAATCTAGCTTCATCCTCCTCTCTGGTCTGCGTGGGAAGAGGTCGCTTTCCGGATTAGGTACTCAGAAGGCGCTTAGATCCTGGCACGACGGAATCCAACTCGGACGGCGGACCCACCACTGCCATTGACATCGACCATCCTCTCATACTCTTCATCGTCGACTTGCGAGGGATTCTTCCAGCCCTTGGCTTCCAAATCCATCCCATCCATTGCATGCAAGTTCCATGGAAAGTCCACATTATCAAGTTCTCTACGGTCAGGCTCTGTCACTACCCCAAACCCGTTGACGGCAAGACTACCAGTTAGATCGTGCGTTTCGAGGTTGCCTGTGACAGGATCCTTGAGTATGGAGGGATGCGTGGCACAGGTATCAGGCTCAAAAGGTAACGGGGAAGTGATGTGACAGGTGCAGGCTGCTGTCTGCGCAGTACGTCCCATCCTGTCCCGTCTCCATGGCAATTGGCAATGTGGCATTCACTATCATTATAGCCTACAATAATTGTCAGTAAATAATCATTTCAGCGAGAGTGTTGACACCGTTAGACGAGCCGCTGATATCCGCAATATTGCGCATTTATCATCATCATATAGTCGCGGGCGGCTAAAGGGTCCACTGGCGCTATGAACATTCATGGTGTCACAGGGGCCCGTGAACAGGGCGAACTTTGATGTCCACGGTCACGCAGGGCCATGAACTTTCTCGGCTGGAAAAGTTCATAGTCACGCCCAAAATCGATGAACTTTGGGTCGAAATATAGTCTTGTTCCCACGACCCTCTGTTCCAGAGGGTCTGGTGCATTTCGTCTCGCTTAGGGGGGTCCGTGACGCGGGTCACCAGTTGATGGATTGGTCAGCTTAGTCATTTGAAGGATCTCGATCGTTCTGTAACGCTGCTGCAAAGGACTGCTGGACACCTCCCCCCAGACCCTGGGGCTCTGGACTTTGCGATGCTGAGCACTTTTTGTCTTGAGGATATAATGACAGCTATGCTCAGTGTCATTGTCCCTTCCAAGAACAAACATGATACTCATATATTATATGTAGATGTCTGCTACAAAGCCAAGTTGGTACAGTGGTATGAATGCCTAGCATGCGGTTTTTATTTGGTTGGGTGCAGGGTTCTATTCCCTATGTAGCCATTTTTGCACTTTTAATTTTTGCCTCCCACAACATCCCATTGTGGTGTTGTGAGGGGCACCCGCTAAATCTAATTACTATTTGCAGTAGAATAAAATGCTTGTAGAACAAACACCCAGGTTGGGCACGGCTTCGTAGATGTGGGGTGCAAAAATGGATAGTGACGGGATTGAACCCTGGCACCAAAAAAGCGCACACCAATGTCAATACCACTGTGCCACCCAGCCTTTGCTCAGTATCTCCCTCTGTAATATATAACTACAGTGTTTACTCTGGAAGTGATGACCCCCACCAGAAGTTAGTGCTGGTGGACAATGCAAGTGGGGAAGTTGTCGGGGAGCTGCTGAACTGGGTGAGCATCAAGGAGGACCGCTCCGCGTGAGTGCACCTATCATAGACGAGGACAGCCAGTCTGCGCGGGTGATGCTAGGGCTGCCCGAGAACGTCTATGACACGTACACAGGCCTCGCCGACTTCGGCGAGTTGACCTTGTACCCTCCCATTCAAAGCCCTCCAATCTCACGCTCAACGGCCACAACACGCAGCCAAAACTCTTGAAGGCCACCATTCTTGGCAGAATCTGACCACACTTCGCGCGCATGCGCCTCCCCAAGTCCACGATTAAGTTCGACAGCGTTCAGGCCGCGGGCACAGTGCGCGTGCATGGACCGCGCGGAGGGGACGGACGCGCGCGGCGCGAGAGCTCAGATAGACGCACAGAGCTCTCGCTCTGGCGCTGCGTCACAGCTGGTCACCCTCATGCCGGATCCGGACGTCGGGGGAAATCGGAGTGACGCTAAAAGTCACGGACCGACATCCCGAGCCCGAAGTGCACCAGACGTTCTACAAGCACTCCCAACGCGCGCCTGCCCCGTCCCCGTGAGAAATTTCAACTTTTGCATGGTTCTCATTCAGTCCCGATTCAGTATTCCCTCCATCCTCCATCACAATCCCATTCCCAATTCGGTATCCCCTCCCATTTCTATTATATAATCACTGCGTAGGGGCAGGCGCGCGTTGGGTGTGCTTGTAGAGCGTCTGGAGCCGAGACTAGGTCGAAATAGTACAGTACGTCCAGTGATGACAGCATCCTCCCCGACGGCAACGTCGGAGACTGAAACTCACTCACGTTCTGTGGCTGAAGTCACGCTTGAACTGACCCAAAGTGCGTTTTCGCCCCCCTCCCGCAGATATCGTGCCGGAGAATTCGAAGCAAGGCAGCCATGCTTCGTCCAATGCCCCTCGCGCAGCTTCCACCTAAGCGCTGGTCATGGGGTCGTAGCCGACGGGTATCAAATCCTCAACTTTTCTCATTTGAGAGATGTTTGCCAAAGATCGGGCTTGTTTCTGCACGGAACGATGCCGTCCTTTTTGCAAACGAAATTTAACGCATATTTCTACCAACGTGTGAATTTCAAACATTATCGGATGAGGGACGGGACCGTCAGACCAGATTTCTCATCACTGGGGTCGTGATAGTACTGGTGCTCATCCTATGTACCGATATGCTTCCGCTGCGCCCCCTACATGCGCTCCAGCGGCGTGATGCTCAGCAACCGCAACGCCGCCCCGAGAACGTCTCGCGCAGCGACGTACAGCGCGAGCCGCGCCCGAGCTTTGTCCTTGTCCATCTCGCCCTTGACGATCACCGTCTCCCACGCGCTCGAAATCGCATGCGAGAGCCGGAACGCGAACGTGACCACGTTGCTGGGTTCGTGCGTCTTGAGCGCGTTCTTAACCACGTCTGGCCACGAGCCGAGGAGGAAGACGATGTCGCGCGCCTGGCCCTCGACGAGGAGGTCGGTGCGGAGTTGCGAGGGGGCTGGGAGCGGAACGAGGTCGGGGTTCTTGCGCTCCATCGACGCGAGCCGGACGTGCGCGTACTGGAGGTAGGGGCCGGTGTCACCCTCGAAGGAAAGCATGCGATCCCAGTTGAAGGTGTAGTTGTTGATCCTGCATGACAGTCACCATGGTTTGTCGATTCAAGCGGATGGTGAGGGATGTGGGGGCGAAATAAGAGGAGAAACCGCACCGCTTGGCAGCCATGTCCTGGATTTTCACGCCCGTGATGCCGACCTCAAGCGACGTGTACTCGGGGTCCTCGATCGCCTTGTACTTCTCCTCGTTCTTACGCATCTGCTCGTGCATCATCGAGGCTGCCTCGCGGATGATCTGGTCGAGGAAGACCACCGTGCCCTTCCGGGTACTCATCCCGAGCACGAGCCCGTAGTTCACGTGCTCGAGATTGTGCGCCCACTGATGGCCCATGAGCTGCAGGATCTTGAAGAACTGCTGGAGGTGCAGGTCTTGCTGCGACGCGATCACGTAGATCATCTTGTCAAATTTGTACTCTTCGTACCGCTCGATCGCAGCACCGATGTCTCGTGTGAGGTAAATCGAGGTGCCGTCTAGGAGCACAAGACTATTGAGCCTCGTATAGATATGCACAAAGGCAGTCAACTACGCACCTCGTTTCCGAATGACCGCCTTCCCGAGTTTGTACGCCTCTAAGTTGACCCGTAACGCACCGTTGTCCTCCTCGATCATGCCCATCTCCTGCAACTTCTTCACCGCGTCCTCCATCGTCTTCGCGCCAACCATGCTCTCGCCCGTGTACACGTCAAAGTGGACGTTGAGCCGGGCGTACTCCTCTTCGTACTTGCGGATTGAGAGCTCGCGCCAGACACGCCAGTTCTTCAGCGCCTCGTCGTCGCCGTCCTCCATCCGCTTGAACCACGCGGCGGCCTCCTCGCGCACAGACGGGTCCTTCTCCGCGTCGGCGCTGACCTTGACGTAGATCTCGAGCAGGTGCTGGATCGCGTTCTCCTCAAGCTTCTCTTGAGAGCCGTACTTCTCGAACCCGGACGCGATGAGACCGAACTACGTGGCGCGGAGAGGGGCGCGACTCAAAAAGGGAAAACGCGCATACAAGGAGCAGATGCCCACCTGAGTGCCCCAATCTCCGAGGTAGTTCAGTGTGATGACCTCCCAGCCGCATGCGCGGTACAGGTTGGAGAGGAAGGCGCCGATGATGGTGCCCCGCAAGTGGCCGACGTGGAAGGACTTGGCGATGTTGGGCGAGGAGTACTCGATGAGGACACGCTTGCCCTCTCCAAGGGAGTTCGCACCATACTCAGGCTTTTTCGATTCAGTGTCGTAGGTGAGGGCGTGGATTTGGTCGAGGACGAGGCAGTTGAGGGTCGTCGTGCGACACTGGAAGTGGAGGAAAGCCTTGGAGTGGACGACGGTCTCGATCCACTCGTCGGGTTGGAACTGGAGCACGACGTCTGGTGTGGGTGGGGGGAGGGACGCAGAATGGGGACTGTGCGCACTTTTTCGAGCACCTTTTTCGCGAGCTCGTCCACCTTGCCAGGCAGACGGAACCGGGGGAGCGCGACGGTAAAGTCTTCACCCTTCTTGCCGTAGTCTACGCCCTCATACGCCTTCTCGACAGTGAGTGCGGGGAGAGCGTCGGCGAGGACCTTTGCGATAGCGATTCGGAAGGCATCGAGCACGCAGCGTGTGGGGTCGGTGCCCGGGACATCGGGGAGTTTTGAAAGATCGGCAGGGAGCGAGAAGGGAGACGGTGCGAGTTTTGGCTGGTTTGCGGACCCCGCTGGTGTCGAGGCCATGGCAAGGAGTGCGGCGGAGGATAAATGGGATGTATGCAAGGTCCGGGAGAGGGGTCGCCGTAGGGCAAGGCGGGGGGGAGAAGGAAGCGTATGTACAAAGCGTGAAAGGGAGCGGAAGGAGAGAAGGATGGCCACGGCGGATTAGTTGAGAAGGAGTCAGATAAGTCGAGGCTTCAGTCCGGCGAGCAGATTTGGAGCAGATCGATTGCATCCACTGACTCGGCTCGTGCCCGTCGTACCAAACACGTGATCGTGACGCGGACGTGGCGAGGGACCCTCGCCCCCTCCAGGGCCCTGCTGCCATTCATCTCGCTCGTGTTCCTCTGTCTTCTCGGCGCGTAGACATTCCCAAGTGCCATTCCCAGACGTACTGGCCATCCTTCGTTTTATTCTTCTCTGGCACCGGATACCTCGCTTGTCATATGCTTGGGGCTCTCCTCCCTCTCGTCGCATGGCCTATTCTCCACGCATGTGCCCAGAAACCCCCTGTTAACGTGGGGCTCAGAACGTCATGGCCGTCGTCACCGCTTCTTCTAGAGTGTCTGTGAGTATCCTGTTCAAATTGCGGGCAATGCACGGCGTGGAAGCCTCTCACCGGCATACTTCATGCCGAGAGTCGTCGTGCATATTTTCGCCTGGTTATAAACCTACTTTTGGATCTAGACACGAACGTATACTGACCATTTTCCTAGTGAATGCGTAGCTATAGAAGATCCTGCCGCCTTTTTCCCCGTACTGCATGCCGTAACCGACCCTGAAACACTGGGGATCTCTCGTACGCCTCAAAACGACTACCAGCACGTCTTCAATGCCGCAAGAGCACTCGACTATCTTGCGCAGCCTGGTGCACATGTCGCGGCGGAGATGCACGTCGCCCTGCATTCGGCCAGCCCCAAGCTCGAGGCGTTCTACCAGTACTACTCTGATCACCAGGCCATGAAGCACGACGCGAAAGGCGTGGAAGGATGTGAGTCGTGGGTAGACTGGTACGGGGAGGTCGTGTGCGACGTGAAGACTTTGGCGCGGTTGGTAGAGACGCATTCGCTTGATGCGCCAGAGAATGTGTACGTCCCTCATTCACTCTTCCTCGTCCACCTGTTAAGACAGCCCCTCCCAGTACGGTCGCTGCCATGGCCTCACCACGGCTTCTCTCATTTGATCATATCCTTCCGGAACCATCCACCGTTCTCGAACCTACGGAGCACACAGTCATCCTCTACGCGAACACCGATTCCCCGAACTTCCGTGACCTCCACGCCTACCTTTACGCCGCGGCAACAGAGCTCATCCCGCGGACCACCTATGTCTTCCGTCCCATCCCTCCTGTGCATCGCGACTCCAGCGACCGCGCCTACCTCTCGGGATATGGTGTCGCGCTCGACCTCAAGAAGATGGACTACCTCGCGGTGGACGACCGACTTCAAGGAGGTGCTGCGCACAAGGAGGATTTGAAGCATGCGGATCTGGAGGATGAGGAGGACCCCATCGTTGCCTTGTTGCAACAGTACCCTATGGACGAGAGCGTAGATGTGACCCTGCCACTCACAGAGCAGGAGTTCCTCGGTAAGTTCTTATCCTTTTTTCTCTTCCGCATTCGCAATCTCCGGCTTCCTCCTATATACATGTAGAAGAGGCCTGTGTCTTGAGTCCCGGCTCAGGATATGTATTCGGGGCGCATATTGTCTGCAACCAGGTTTTGGATATACTGACGACGTTGTCTTCCGTGCAGATATAGACATCCAAGCTGCGCAGCTCATCTACGGCGCTGAGGACAAGCTCGCGACACTCAGGCACCTGGCGCAGAACTTCCCCCGGTACGCTGGCGCGCTCTCTCGTCGCGTCCCTATCAGCTCGCAGCTTTTCGAGGAGATTGCAGAGAAACAGAACCATGTACGGGGAGGAATGAATCTAGTCTGGTTGAACGGCGTATCGTTGGAGGAGAAGGACTTGACCCCGCTCTCGTACGTCCATTTTTACCATCTTTAAAACACACGTGTCAAACGGCTAGAATGGATATAGGTTGCTGAGGCTCATCCGCCGTGAACGGAGCAACATGCAATCCCTTATGTCTCTTGGTTTGTCCTCAGAGGAAGCCATTAGACTCCTTACACACAATACGGTGGCACGCTCGCAGTCGAGTGCTGGAGGTGTCGACGGCTTGTTCGATGCGAGCGACCGAGTTGAAGGCGGAAGAGTGATTGGATGGCTCAACGACCTCGAGACGGACGAACGGTACGCTCGCTGGGGGAACACGCTCAGGATCGTGAGTATCTCTCATCATTCTCCAGTAGAGTACAGGCCTGATTGTTTGCCGTTACGGCGTGTCCCAGGTCTTGCGTCAGATGTACCCTGGGCAATTCCCGTCACTGAAGTACAACCTGTGGAACGCCATCCTAGCGGTCGACATGTCGAAGCTCAGCAGCACACACTTCATCTCGGTCACCGTTCAGGCGCTCATCAATCGTGGCCTCGCTTTCCATTGGGGTATTGTGCCCCTCGTTGAGACCGACGAAGGTCAGAACTTCGATATCGTGCCAGCGCGGAGGATACTAAGGACGTTCTAGCCGCTCGCATGGCAAGACTGTTTTACCATCTCCTGGACAAGGTCGGCCCTGAAGAGACGTTTGCGTTCCTTTACCACGTATGTATTGCCAGAACTCTGCCGTTTATTCATGTCTTGAGCTCACAATCGTTTCTAGCTCAGCCAAGTCGATACAGATATGGAGGATATAGATGGCACAGCTGTCAATTGGAAAACGGTCACGGCAACTTACCAGCAGCTGCTAGCGCGCAAGAGAGACCTCGCCGACCCCCTTGAGTCTGAGCTCGAGGCTATCCTGGCGGGTACGGAGGGTGACTTAGACCATGTGCGTGCATACGCGAAACGTTTGAGTCTCGACGCAGCGGACAATGGACACGCATTCATGAACGGCAAGCACTTCGACTTGGATGACGTAGGGGGATTTTTCTTCCTACTTATTGACAAAGACCTGATGCATCTCCCGCAGAATATTTTGCAGTCTTTCCAGCAGGAAGCGATGCAGCAGTTACAACACGTTCAGATGAAGGTCGGCTGATTACATCTGTCATTTGATGTTGATTCGACTGTTTTCGTGGCAGGTGTACCAGGGTCAGCTCAGTGACGAGCATGCAGCTGGCGTCTCGACTTACTTCTATGACTTACCAACAACTGGGAAGCGCCGTAACGTGTACATCTACCCGTCGTCGAAGCCCGGCAGTCTTCGTATCTTCAGCCTTCCCGAGCTCATCGGGGGTAACGGCTTGAGCAGCGCTCCGCAGGCCTTCGTCAACCCTGGTGAGTTATCCGCCTTCTAGATATCAACCCAGTGCTGATGTTTTCTGCAGTCGGGGAAGGAAGTCTGCCGATAACCACTTACCTCGTCGCCGACTTCGATACCCCCGAAGGTGTTGAACTTGCGAAGCAAGCCCTTATGTCTATCGTATGTTCCCATAACGCTTCGGCCACTACCGCCCTGCTAACACAATACGACGTATAGACCCCGGAATCCGTTAGCCGTCTTTCCTTCATACACAACCCCGCTACCGTGTCTCCCCGTTCAACTTCCGACAAGTCCACAAGCACGTCCCACTTTCTTGCAAGACTTGTCGTGAAGGGCGCCCTCTCGCAGGTGGCACCCGAGCGTCTCTCCGCGGAACTCGCAGGGACATATAACGACGCCTTCCCCGAGGCCCCAGCGCAGGTCTACTTCACCGAGCTTACGGGTACGGAAGTCTTCTCTGACAAGGAGCACGCGGGCTACCTTGCAGCGTGTCACCGCGTCGTGCAAGATCTGGGCCTCACACCGGGTGAGCAGGCGATTGTCGTGAACGGTCGGGTGAGTAGTATGTATATCATTAATGCATCGAGCAGCTTACTGATCCCCGTTTACTCGTAGGTCGTTGGTCCGCTGAAGTCGGGGGTTTTCGTCGCGGACGACTTTGATGCGCTCGCGGCGTACGAGTTTAGCAAGCGCACTGAGCCTGTGCGCGATGCGCTGCTCGATGTGTATGCGCCTCTCAAACAAGCGAACCGGTCCGTCTGTCTCCATCAGTTCGATATGGCCACGACTGAGGCTCGGATAGCACGGTCGCAGCGGAGCTCGTCTCCGTCGCCGCTTCCATCGTTTCGTCTATCCAGCTCCCGGATGCCAGCGAAGCGGGCCTGTTCAACGCACCCTTGAAGCCGCGGTCGATGAACTACCGCTTGTTGCAGAACACTTACTCGTGAGTGTCTTGATAGCACCATGCACTTCGCCCGGTCTAATACATGTGCGACGACAGGGGTTTCAAGATTGGCGACGAATCTGCGGCGCTCTTCCACTTCGGTGTCATCATTGACCCTCTGAGCGAAGCCGCCCAGATGTGGTCGGCATTGTTCGAGGTATGCACTATATGACCGCGTTTGCTCCTGCCAGTTTTGATTGGGACTTTGAAGTGGTTGCAAGAAATGCCTGGTGTGTACATCGACGTGCATCTCAACCCTACAAGGTATAACGAGGTGAGGTTAGTCATCGTTTTTGCAGGGGCTCTACACTGATTTTGTTGCTATCAGCTCCCGCTCAAGCGCTTCTACCGCTACAATCTCAGCCCTCGACTAGTGTTCGATGAACACGGGTGAGCCACTTCACTACATGATTAGGTTGCATTCGCTTATTGTAGGTGTGTAGGCTAGAAGTGAAGACCACTACGAAGTTCACCGAACTCCCCATCGAGCCCATCTACACACTCGCCATGGACACTCCACAATCCTGGCTCATCCGCCCCCGAGAGGCGCTCTACGACCTCGACAACATCCAGCTCGCCAAGGTCCCCGTCGATGGCATCAAGGCGATCTTCGACCTCGACTACCTCGTTATCGAGGGCCACGCGCGCGAGCGCCCGTCCGAGGCTGCACCCCGCGGCCTGCAGATGCAGCTCGTCACGAGCGACGGGACCCCGATCGCGGACACACTTGTGATGGCGAACCTCGGCTACCTGCAGTTCCGCACTACGCCGGGCGTGTACCGGCTCGAGACGCGTCCTGGGCGCGGGCGCGACATCTTCGAGATGGAGAGCGTGGGCAACCAAGGATGGGAGAGCCCGACGGTAGGCGAGGCTGGGGACGAGGTTACAGTGACGAGCTTTGAGGGCGTGACGCTGTACCCGCGCCTCGTGCGTAGGCCGGGGATGGAGGCTGTGGATGTTTTGCTGCCTGCTGAGAAGCGCAGGGAAGATGAGGAAGATGGATTACTTGATAACGTGTTCTCGAAGTCAGTTTTTCTCGTCATTGACGGAGGAAGAGACAACACTGACGGTTGTTCTACAGGATGTCGTCGTGGTTCGGTGGCTCGAAGGAAGAAGAGGTAACAACCGTTGTGTCTGTTGACGACGGCCAGGCGGAGATCAACATCTTCACTGTGGCCTCCGGACATCTGTACGAGGTACGTCTACGCCGGCTTCATGGGATTCTCCCCGCTGACATTGAGTAGCGTTTCGCCTCTATCATGATTCTGAGCGTACTTCGCCACACGAACAGCACTGTGAAGTTCTGGTTCATCGAGAACTTCCTATCTCCGTCCTTCCTGGTGCGTCGTCACTCGATCCATCCTTTTTTCCTCCGCTCACATCCTCAGTAGGAGTTCATCCCTCACTTCGCAGCTGAGTACAGGTTCCAGTACGAGCTCGTCACGTACAAGTGGCCGTCTTGGCTCCGCGCGCAGACGGAGAAGCAGCGGATCATCTGGGCATACAAGATCCTCTTCCTTGACGTCCTGTTCCCCATGGATCTCAAGAAGGTCATCTTCGTTGACGCCGACCAGATCGTCCGCGCGGACCTCAAGGAGCTCGTCGGCCTCGACCTCCACGGCGCGCCATACGGCTACACGCCAATGGGCGACGACAACCCCGACACTGAAGGGTTCCGGTTCTGGAAGACGGGGTACTGGCACGACTTCCTTCGCGGGATGCCGTACCACATCAGGTTGGTGATCCGAACTGCGTGGGATGGCAAGCTGCTGACGCGCTCCGCAGTGCGCTCTACGTAGTCGACCTGGATCGCTTCCGCGAGGTATGTCCTGACGATATGTACGTAGCCGATGGGATACTGACGGGTTACCCAGATCGCGGCGGGTGTGAGTTCATTTGCGGGCCGAACGTGTAATTGCGAGACTCAGCTCCGTACAGGACATGCTTCGTGGCCACTATCAAGCGCTGTCAGCGGATCCCAACTCCCTCGCGAACCTTGATCAAGGTGAGTGGGTCCCGAACAAAGGATGGGTTGATGCCCATGCTTCTCGTTTAGATCTTCCAAACAACCTTCAGCGTGAAGTGCCCATTGTGAGTAACGATTACACTGGAATAATGACGCTGCTCACATTCGACACAGTTCTCGCTTCCTGAAGATTGGCTTTGGGTAAGTGGTTCCGCTGAGTCCAAACTTTAACATCATTCACCCCGTCGTCACGACTTCAGTGCGAGACCTGGTGTAAGTACCGACGTTTGATTTTTGCGACGCGGTCCTTAATCTCTACATTGCAGGCAGCAAAGACCGCCTGCACCGTGCCAAGACGATTGACCTCTGCCAGAACCCCCTTACAGTACGTGTCGACACATCACGTTGCCCCCACGTTCTCGCTCACTCATGGTCTCGTAGAAAGAGCCCAAGCTCGATCGTGCGCGGCAAATCCCCGAGTGGGAAGTGTACGACTCCGAGATTGCCGAGTTTGCACGCAAGTGCTCCACCAACACACAGGATGGATCTAGAGACGAGGTTGTGGTCCGAGGGCACGATGAGCTGTGAATGTGCAAGTGATATAGATGAGGATAATACAAGCTGTAATTTATTCGGAACATTCCACATCTTCGGCCTCAATCAAGTGCTACACTCCAGTTTCAAGAATGCCAGCATACATAGGTCCAAGCACCAGGTCGAGTCCGGATTAATTCTCGAGCATCGGAGACATATACATCGGAATCAGGTGTGTGCAAGTCTAAACTTATCATTACCCGTCTCCTTTGGCCCTAGTGAACATATCTTTGACAGCCGTTTGTTCATCGGAGGATGTTCCCGACTTCGTCAATGTGCCGCAAGAGGACGAGCCGCTCGGGTGCGCTCTCGACGACAAGGAACGTGGCTTTTGTGGTCAGGACCATGGAACTGCTAGACTCCACATCTTCCACACGAGCCTCGAGGCCCTTGTTGTTTCCGGCAAGGATGACCACTTCTTCGCCCTGCTTCTCAGGATGGATAGGGGACAGCAAATGGACCGGGACGGCCAGGATCGGCTGCAGGCGATCAACGGGATCGAGGAAGCGCACACGCGCCGTGGATTCAAAGGTGTCGTTGCCAGTGGCAAGCACGCTAAGGACGACACCCTGCTTGCCCTCGTAGTCGCCGTTGTGCCAGCCGTCGGCGCCGAACGAGCCCTTGACCTCGACGAACATCCCGTTGACCTTGTCCTTGAGATCCGGATCGAGTAGCCAGGTCGGCGATACCTCTGACAAAGATGATGAAAAGGGATCAGTGGATGTGGCATGATATGAACTCACCGAACTGCGTGTCGGCACTGCCGTAGCCCGCACCGCCAAGGACAGCAGGGGTCATTGGATAAGCGTTCGTCGCCGCTGGTGTCTGGAATTCGTACACTCCGGGAGTTTGCAAGGAAGTATACGGCCCCGGCGTCGGCGCGCCAGGTGTGAAGGCAGCCGCGTACGGCGTCGGCGCACCGCGATCCTGGAACAGGTGAGGCGGCGATAACCAGAGTACTGTGACTATGACATACCCACGCATCCCATCCACTGGCGGCTCCCCCTGCGTTCGTCGGCCGTCCTGGCGTCGCTCCGCCCCAAGCCGACGCCCCACCACCGTTCGCATACGGATTCGGTGTCCGTGATGATGAGTTCCATGCCGGGGTCTTCCCTCCACCTCCTGTGTTGAACGAATTCGGTGTTCGAGACGAGTTATCCCCCCATGCCGGTGTCTTGCCGCTTTCTGCGTACGGGTTTGGCGTGCGCGAGTTCCCACCTCCCCATCCAGGCGTCTGGCTGTTGTTGTAGGGATTCGGCGTGCGTCCAGTGTTTCCCCAGGCTGGTGTACGCCCACCACCGCCGACACCCTGGCTGTATGGATTGGGGGTCTGTCCACCTCCGAACCCGACGCGGGAAGTCGCCATGCCCATTGGCCTCTCCAGTTCCTCGAGACCGTTCGCGCTTGCGGGATATTAGTCAAACTTCCATAAAGAAACAACCAACCGCTTACCTTCGCCGCCTGAGCTTCTCCTTGTCAATGGTAATGATTTTGTTGCCGGAAACCAGCTCGACACGGGCATGCGGTCCGTTGGTGTCCTTGATAACACCAGCGTAACCCTTGTTGGGGCCCTTGATGACCATGACGTTGACACCAATGAGTCTGTCGCGAGGTCCCCGACCCATCGTCCCTGATCCGACCATACCGCCCGCGCCACCGCTGAGGGCTGGGTTCATCTTCGACAAGTCGGTGTTGCCGAGTTTCATGACGCTGCCCTTCGGCGCCAACGACTGAAGCGACCGTGAACGAGTCACGAACACGCCTCCGTTCTCGGTGTAGTCGCGATTGTGTAAGAACGCGTGGTATGATTGATGTGTATGCAGGACGCGACCTTTGCGGCTCTACGAAATAGTCATTTTCCAGCACGAATAGAATGAGATACCAACAAACCTCGCCATCGACCTCCTTCACGTTATCGCCGGCGCGCAGCTCGAAGCCTTGGGAGTCTACGGCGATAGCTCGGTTTGAGTCCCTCCGCATTGAGATTTGATGAGGCTGCACGAGGCGAACTTGGCCATGTTGGTCCAATACACGAAACGAATCGCGCTCCGTTTTGAAGATGACACCGACGGTCTGGTGACTATATGCTATGAGAACGAGAGCCTGGACGAGAGAAAAACACGCTTACTCGATCTGAACTAGGTCATGTAGCTCATAGTTTCCAACGATGTTTGTACCGGTCCCGACTTCCGCTGCCTCGCGTAGGTCTTTGGAGAAGACGGAGACCTGGTGCAACGTCAGGGATAGGACGCGGCAAGTGCGACAAGACAACTGACCTCCTGCATTGACATGTCGGACAAGAAAGTGACAACGTTGTCCACGACCGAGACTACTAAACCTGTCTCATCAGCGTTCTTACCCGTCATAACCTTGACGTGGTCTCCAGGCTTGAAGCGTTTCCGGACGGATCGTGCTGGCAGCTGTATCCGTTGTCCATCAAAGTCGACGCCGACAGGTTCGATGGTGACGACGTCTTGTTCGATACTGTGCACGGTACCGTGGACGCCGGACTGTTCACCCTCGAAGACTTCGACGTGATCACCGGGTTGGAGAACGGAGATGGCAGCCTTGCGAGACGCCTCCGCGATAATAGAAAGGTCCACATTCGCCTCGTTGTCGTTGCCGTCTTGACCGCGGGTGAAACGGGTGATCTCGTCGAGCGTGGGATTGACGTCGTCTAGCTGAAGCGCGGTGAGGCGGAAGTCTTTCTCGATGAACCCGTCCTTATATGTGTCGTTCTGGAACACAAATACGACGTTTCGCTTCACGACCGACTTCCGTCCATAAACTCTCGCGACTTCCTCGTAGTTGAAGAAGCGTTGGGGAGGCCGCATGTTGAAGGAGGAGAGGCCAAGCCCAGACTTCTTCCGTTTCTTGCCATCCACCGTCACCTGGTCCTTCGGGTTGAGGTCGATACGGGGGATGAACTTGAGCCCGACTTCCTCGCCGTTCTCCGTGACATCCATGACCTGAGCGAGATCACCCTGGTACTTGCCGCGCTTAATACGGACCCAGCTGCCGGGGGTCACGGTAAGTTCTTGTTGCTTGATTTGCAGCAAGCTCGCCATTTCCTCGATAGGCACGAGGACGATACCACGGCTGGGGAAGACACCCACCAGGCCATTGATGGCCTCGCTGACCTGTTTCGCGCTGCGAGCTTCGACATAGATCATGCCAGGAAGAGAGTCGCGCTGGAATGCGGACAGTATGCTGGTGGGGCGCGCCGAATATTCGAGGTCGATGGCTTTCCGCATGAGGCTGAAGACGATGTCCCTCTCTTTTCCAGGCTACGAGGACGCGCCTTGAGCGTGAATGCAACAGAACGAACGACACAAAGTTGGACGCACCCTGACTCGCACTTGCCACAAATTGGCGTCGTGCACAGACGGCATCAGGAGTCGCTGAGGCACGTCGCTCATCTCTCCCGTATACCGCACCGCCGTCCTACGGTACCGTTGGCTGATGTCTTCCGCCACCTGTTGGAGGTCCCGGTCGTCCATCTCTCGGACCCGGCGGTCATAGCGGGCATGGTCTCTCGCTCGCCGAGCGGTGTCGTCGTCGTCTTCTCCCTCGACACCGGGCTCCGCAAGGAACCCATCTGAAGCAAACTGAGATACGTGTGACTGCGATAGACTGGGATGTGCGTACCGACGAACTCGTCGTCCTCGTCCTCCTCTTCGTCTTCCTCGTCTACCTCGGCCTCGAGATCGATGAAACGGTTGACCGTGGGACGCTTGTGTCGATGCTGCGAAGAATGAGCCATTGGCATACAATAACGTGAAGCCACCCGGTGCAATATCCCCGCTGCCCCTCAGGTAATTCCACGCACCTTGGCTCGCTTGGAACCACGTTTCGTGCCCTCGTCTTCCTCGTCTTCGTCTTCATCTTCCTCATCTCCCTCTTCCTCCTCATCGTCATCGACCTCGTCGTAGTCACGTCGTTTGCTCTTCGCGGGGCGCTCTTCTTCCTGCTCCTCGACATCCTCTGCCGCGTCGCCGCTGCCAAAAACAGCGTCTTCATCGAGATCTGACATAGTAGGGCCCAAGCGGTGGCGGTGATTGGGGAGGAAGAGTGGGGGAGTTCGAACTTGCAGCTGCCCGCTCGAGGCCTGACTTAAGACAGAGACGCTCAGCGCTAAGCGAACCCTCCTGTGTGGGCGCCTGAGCCACGTGGACACAGAAGGCGAGCGTCTCGAGTCCCGTTGATAGTTTGCCCATCCCCCACCGTCGTCGCCCCCATTCCCTCACGCCCGCCCACCTCGGCCCCTGCAATCTATCGCAATGGTGAGTACCGCATCCTCGCCTCCCGTTCTCCCAATCCCGGTAGCTGTAACACGCTGGAGAGTGCACAACGTGATGGATTACACTCGGACCATCTGGATGCACCCGCCCTTCGAATCCACCAACTGACGAATGCATGCTCCCCAGGCCACCGCCGAACTTGCCGCTACCTACGCCGCCCTCATCCTTGCCGACGATGGCATTGAGATCACCGTCAGTTTCTCGGAACCCGCGTCCCGCGCTCGCGCTGACCCAAAACTCACTTCCAGTCCGACAAAATTGTCGCGCTGACAACCGCGGCTGGTGTTGAGCTCGAGCCCATTTGGGCATCTCTCCTCGCGAAGGCGCTCGAGGGCAAGGATGTCAAGGATCTCCTCTCCAACGTCGGTGCGGGTGGTGGAGCTCCGGCCGTGGGTGCCGGGCCCGCAGCAGGTGGTGCCGCCGCCGCCGTGGAGGCGCCGAAAGAGGAGGAGAAGAAGGAGGAGGAGAAGGAGGAGTCCGACGACGACATGGTACGTTCTTCTCGCTCTCTTTACCCGCGTCCAAATAGCACAAGTTCTGAGAAGGCCAACAGGGCTTCGGTCTGTTCGACTAAGCACCCCCGGGCGCTGCTCTGTATCCTCTCGCCATACTATGTGCATGAGATCCCAAAATTATGGCCGTCGTGTCCGAGTCCGTATCCGCAAGATGGTGCACGGACTATGCAGAGGCTACGACTAGGTTATGACTCTCACCGTCGCATTGTGGGCATTTGGAAGTGCTCCAACCCCGTGTTGTACGATATCCCCGAGGAGCAATACTATGGTCATTGAGAGTCATGGTCAAGACGTCAATGCCTGCGTGATCACCGCCGACCTTACAGCCACCCTCGTGAACACCGTTGGGTGGACGCTGAAACGTTGGCTTCGGGCGGGAGCAACCCCTGCAATCAACCTGTGTATCGATATGCGAGTGAGGGGAGCTCTGTTGGGGTCGCGTCAGTCGCGCGTGCGTGCTCCCGCATATACAGTCCAGTGTACAATTGCACAAGCAATACTAACGAGCCATGGCACGATACGGTCAGCCGGCTTTGACCTTTCCTTTCAGCTTGATGCCTAGAGAAGACTTGCTCTGCATCTTCTTCCGCTTAGCAGCGGGGGCCCCGATCGCAGAGGCGGCGGAGAGCAGAGAGCGCGCTGACTCTGGCAAGAGGCTTTGCAGCTCCGGTTCCTCAGCTCCGGCTTTGCGTTTGACTGTGACGACCGGCTCGACCGAGCCCCCAGGATGGCTCGGCCCGGCTTGGGCAGGAGAATGGTCGCCTGCTGGGATCTTGGCGAACACCTCGCGCACCAGCCTCTCGTCCTCTTCTTCTGCCAGCTTCCTCTCCCGATCTTCCTCCGACTCGATCTCCTCCATCCCTAATCGGTCCAAGAGATCCACCGACTGGCCGACGCGCTCGTTGCGGGCGTTGCGGGCACGGATGTCTTGCAGCGCGTCGAGGATGTCCATCTCTCGTTTCGAGTCCACTGTCCGGTTCTCCAACGCCTTCATCGGGTTGTTCTCCTCTTCCTCCAGTTTCGCCAGTCGGTCCCCTCCTCCACCGCCTTCTCTTCTCTCCAGGGCTCGAAATTGCGTGACGCACCATGCTCAGCGGCATAGTCCGTGTTCTTGGGATCCGTCTTGAAGGTGATCTCCGCCGAACATAAGGTGCTAGCGTAGTCGCCACATTAGCGGATGCTCGGGTATGACACTCCATAGCACGCACCATTTGATGTAGAAGCGGAAGATCTTGATCCCGTAGTAGTCCTCTCCGTCGACGGTCTCCTTGCGGGCGTTGAACTTCTTCCCTTTGTAGATGTATTCGCCGCAAGTGTTGCAGCGCCTGGAAATAGTCAGCTCGACGAATGGATTGCGCCAAATGCGAGACGGCGCACATTGAGAACGGGGCCATGAGACGGACGACCTGCTGGGAGTTCTTTGGTAGTCGCCGCCGCGGAATCAGGGACGGGTCAAAGTCCGGGGGGAAGTACTTGTTCAAGACTGCAAACCAGCGTGAGTGCGACGGAGCAACCGGGGATGCTTGACACACCTTTGCGTTCAGACATGGCGGACGACGGACGACGGACGACGGAGGAAGCAGCAGTAGGGAGTGGGGGGCGGAGGCAAGGATGGCGGCGGCGCGTTCGTCAGCCGCCAGCCTGAGACGCACGACGGACGTCGGGCCGCGCGAGACCCTCGCCTTCAGCACTCATCTTGCCCTCTTCTCCCATGGCCACTTTGCAGTTCTGGAAGCCGGGCACCGTTGGGCCCGGCAGCAATCTCGACAGAGCAACAGAAACGGAACAACATATCATCTCCAGCGCGCCCTCCTCTGCCCTCTCCCTGCAGTCAGCCCGGGAGCGACTCCCCATTTTTGCGCACAGTTAGCCCATTCGTCCCCCTCGCATCTTGGTTCTGGCCAGCTGACACTCTCTGCAGGGCACAAGCTCCTGCACACCATACAGAATCACGGCGTTGTAATACTCGTTGGGCAAACTGGCAGCGGGAAGACGACACGTGCGTTGCGAGCAGCTCCCCGCTGTTTTTCTATCCTTATTTTTCTCCAGAGCTTCCGCAGTTCTTGTATGAGGCTGGGTGGGGCGCTGAGGGCAATGTCATTGCATGCACTCAGCCCCGACGAGTGGCTGCTACATCGGTTGCAAGCCGTGTTGCAGCAGAAGTTGGAACGACTCTCGGCGACGAAGTAAGCACTCGTCCATATCTCGCGCCTTCTATTATGTTCTTAGACACTGCTAGGTTGGATATACCATCAGGTTTGAGGATTTCAGTGACAAGGAGAGGACCCGCATTCTCTACATGACTGATGGCATGCTTTTCCGCGAAGCACTCGTCGACCCCTTGCTCAGCCGGTACAGTGTCATCATGGTACGTGCGCCCGGCTCATACGTCCTCGTCGACATGTATATTGACGAGTGTGGTGTAGATTGACGAAGCGCACGAGCGCAGCGTTTACACGGACCTTCTGTTGGGCATACTCAAGAAGTAGGTGCTTCGTTAGTGTTCTCAGTTTACCAGAAGTTTGACACTCTCCAGGATACGCCGAAAACGCCCTTCGTTGCGTCTCGTCGTCTCTTCCGCTACTCTCGACGCTTCCGCCTTCTTGGACTACTTCATCTCCGGGAACACATCCGACGAAGCAACGATTGTCAGTTTAGAAGGTCGTGCCTATCCCGTCCAAATCGCTTATGCCCAAGAACCAGTGCCCGACTACGTACAAACAGCTGCAGAAGTCGTGTGGAACATTCATATGCAGGTGCGTGATTAGCAACCCTGATGTGTCCGACACTTGACTCCGGATATTAGAACACCGCAGGAGATATCTTGGTTTTTCTCAGTGGCCGTGAGGAGATAGACAGGTGCCTGGAGACGTTGGCAGAGATGCTCCCGACGTGAGTCTGCTCTGCAAGCGCCAACTCGCTCTACTCACATATCCCAGTCTATCCCGCTCGGCCAAGCGTCTCACTCTCTTGGCCCTTCATGCAGGCTCTCGACCGAGGAACAGATGAGAGTCTTTGAGCCTGCAGACCGAGGGGTAAGGAAGGTGATCATCGCGACCAACATCGCTGAGGTGAGCATCAAAGTGCACCGTTTATTCGAGCCCTAAAACTCGCCCAGGCGAGTGTTACTATCGATGGAATTCGCTTTGTCGTCGATTCTGGGTTTGTGAAGGTCAGTTGGTACGTCGACTCCCGGGCCGTCCTAACAATGTCATTCAGATTCGAACGTACAATCCCACAACGACGATGTCGTCTCTGACCACGGTCCCCATCTCGCAAGCTTCCGCGACACAACGCGCCGGTCGCGCTGGGCGAACATCAGCCGGGTTCTGCTACAGGCTGTACACCGAACAGGCGCACAGTCAGCTGCGAGTTACTACTCCTCCTGAGATTGCGCGGACAGATCTCACAACACCCATCATCCAACTGAAGTCGTTGGGGATCGATGACCTCATGAAGTTTGAATGGGTCTCTTCACCGCCTGCCGAAAGCATCTTGCGTGCTCTTGAAGGATTGTTCAACGCGGGGATGATCGACGAAGACGGCAGATTGACCGTCATGGGTTCGAAGGTGGCCGAGTGCCCGATCGAGGTCAACTTGGCTCGTATGGTGTGTTTTGGTGCTTCTGTCCAGACACACACACATGATTGAGAAGTATCTACAGTTGTTCACATCGAAAGATCACAAGTGCGGAGATGAAATCCTCACCATCGCAGCCATGACAACCATTCAGGTGCGTCAATTATCATGCTTTGTGTCAACAAAACGCCAAGCTGAGCCCATTTAGGACGTGTTCGTCATACCAGAAGGCGCACCGGGAGCGCTGGCGGAGCTGGAGCGACGAAAATTCACCGCCGAAGAAGGGGTGAGTGACTTGTAAGGCAGTCTCGGCTGGATACCTCACTGATGCTCTTGTAGGACCATCTCACGCTTCTTAATGGTGAGCGACACGTTTTCCGAAGTGGATCGTTACTGACCTGCAGAGTCAGCATACAATGCTTTCACAAGATACGGACGGTCGTCGTCCTGGTGCAAATCCCACGCATTGTCATTCCGCGCAATGTCACGGGCAGTCTCTATTCGAGCGCAGTTGAAAAAATACATGCAAAGATTCGGGCTTCCGCTGGAAAGTTGCGAAGGGGACGCAAAGAGACTGCGCAAATGTTTGGTGAGCGGATACTGGCGAAATGTTGCGCGATGGTCGGCCGATGGGACGTATAGGGCGGTTCGAGGAGACACCGTAAGCACCTCGGTATGGGTCCCCCAAGTCACATGTTTGCTAACATTGTTACAGGTGCTTCACGTACACCCGCATTCCGTTTTGTTCACGCGGAAGCCTCGGTCGGGATGGGTAATCTTTCATGAGATGGAAGAGACCAAGAAAACTCAGTACGTGCTGCCGCCTATGTGCTTGAATTCGATCGTTTCATGGATTCTCGTCTCGCAGGATACGCATTCTCACCGAGATTGATCCTGACTGGTGAGGTTTTGTACGCCCATACGCCGAGAGAGCGTACTGACCCGACAGTGACAAGGTTGTTGGACCACGGACACAAGTACCACGACAAACGTTCGGAAAAGTAAAGCTGTTTGGTGACATCCTTGGAGTGCAGTAGTGACGATTGAAGTGTACCACCGGTAGCCATATAAACGTGTTCGCCTTGAGAGTACAAGTTTACGGCCCGGAGCTTCCCGGGCGTGTCCGAGCGCCCGTCCAAGCACCCGTGGCACGGCGAGTCGCAGCCTCGAGCGGCCTGAGCCTGCACTTGCCTCTCGCCCTGTCCCTCCTTGCGTGCCCTCCAGCAGGGCTCTCTATCCTTCCGCCATGGGCGCATCTCAGTCCTCGCCGCTGGACGAAAAGGTGTTCACCCCCGACACCCCCTCCACGTACGTCCCGCCCCCGTCTGCGCGCGGCGCCCACCCCCGCTCACCCGCCCGCACCCCAGTTCTCCGACGACGTCGTCAACCAGCTCGTCGACCAGCAGGCCTCGCCGGCCATCCCTCGCGAGCGCCAGATCACGCTCGACGCCCACATCCGCTCCCGCATCCAGTCCGAGCTCGCCCGCCTGCACCAGGAGGAGGCGCGCGTGAAGGAGGAGATCGAGCGCGCCCTCGAGAAGGAAACCTCGACCGCGAGCGGAGCATGGCCGGCGGGGAGCACGGGTCCGACGAGGCCGGGCCCGCCGGCTCGGTCAGGAGCAGCGCCGTGCTCATGGGCGACCTCGAGGAGCTCCGCCAGAAGGTCGAGAAGTACCACGGTCGTCAGGACTCGGAGGAGCTAGCGGAGGTCCGGGCGAGGGGAGAGGAGGTCGTGTCGTGCTACAGGTGTGTTCTCTGGCCTCTTCCGCGTCCTGCCCGTCAGTTGAGAGTATGCGTCTTCAAGGGCCAACCCAACCACCACGCTTGAGTGTTGGAAGTCTGTTCGGGCATTCAAGACATCGGTCGCGCAGGTAGAGCAGGTGAGCATTCAGACGCTGTGTTACGAATTACGACCTCATACCGCTACAGAACTACGTAAATTCGCTCAGATAGACATAGAGCCTCCTTGTAGAGCGCACCGGACCTATCATACACCTTCACCAAATTATACCACCACCCAAGAAAGCTCAAGCTCCCTTGACAACACTACGACGTTCATGACGGCGTCCATCGTGATATCGTAAGTAAGTATAGCAAGCGTCGTTTACTTCATGGGAGTCCGTGTGAAGTCCGTAAAAGCGTCATAATCTTCTCGAACAGTCCTGTGAGTCCGTGTTCTGACCTTCAATCACCGTCTGGGTTGCTCATCGTCTCCGCCGTAAGCGAAGCCCATAGACTCCCAAGGATAGTCGCCGTACTGCGAGTAGATCGACCCAGTGCTGTACTCCGACAGGCGGTTGTTGGACCCTATCGAGTTTCGATACCGGTTCCACGGGAGGTAGTTGGCCAGCAGAGACCGTCTCGTGTCCTCGCTGGTCAGCGCCTCGAGCAGGCTCGACGGTACGCCCGCCCTCCTTTCCTCCATCGCGCTCTGTGTGGAATACACGGAACCGGAGCTGAGGGTGGACGCTTGGTGCGTCAGGCCGTGGGGCGGGCGAGAGGCGTCCTCCGATGGCGGAATCGGCGGCACGGGCGGGATGGGTGCAGGCTCGCGCCCAGGGTTCCACCGGGGTAACGGCGGCGGGGGGCTCTTCTCTGGGGCGTAGAACGCCTTCGCGAGATGGGCAGGGGGCGTGGGCGGACGGCTTCTCGGCGTCGCACGGGGCAGTTTCTCCGCGTCTGTGAGTGTGTGAGGGCTGCGTGCGGATTTTTGCATCCACAGGGTGGACTGACCGGAGCGGACGGGTTTCGCGTCCACCGCTCCCCAGAGCGTCGACTGGGAGGACGACGCGGGGGGCGAGGAGGCGAAGGTGACCTTGCGCCCGTTGCGGTCTCGCGTCGCGATGGGCGTATAGCGAGCGTCGGGGCGCGAAGAGGTGGACGCGTTTTTGCGGGTGTTCTCCCGCACTTGGAGAAACGCGAGCTGCGTGCGGCGCGGGGGTGAGGACCACTGGCGAGTCGGCAGACATCACACGCACTGTCTCCTTGCGCTGCTTAGCCGCTTTGCGCTTTATGCATCTGCCCCACCAGGTCCAGCCGACGACGGCAACGAGAGCGAGAAGGACGCCCGCTGTGGTGCCAGCTGCGATGGCCGCGACGGGCACGGTCGAGCGGGGCTGGGAGGGCGAAGTCGCGGCGGTGGGCTGTGCTCCGGGCCGGGTGAAGGTGGTGGTGGTGAAGGTGGGGAGAGAAAGCGTGGTAAGGACGGTGTCGGTCGAGAACGTCGGGGTCAGGAGGAGGAGGAGGAGGAGGCGCGCGACATGGGTGGGTGCGGGGGTGACGGTGGCGGGGAGGAGAAGGGGCGGGCCTCGTGCCCGGGCGGGGGTCGGCGAGATATTGGGCTCAGTCTGCGAAGGCATCGGAGGAGGACTGCCTCGTGGCCGGAGCCTGTCCCGCCCCGCCCCGTTCTCGCTCCTCCCAGAGTTGCATCCGCGCACCTTTCCATCCACGGACAGGCAAGACACCCAGTTCACGAGCAGCAGACTGGCATTCAAGCATCGCGTTACATGTCGCCACGGTACAAACGCAGTACATACACACACACACCCTCACTCCTCCTGCATCCCGGCCAGGGCTTCCTCGTTCAATGCCTCTGCCTCGGCCATCACCCGCTCCTCCAGGTCGCCCACCCTGCCCATCACCTCTCGTCGCTCGCCATCCAGCTCCGCGTACCGCTCCTGCAGCCGCCTCTCCCGCTGCTCCAGCTTCTCCACCTCCTCCTTGAGCCCGCCAGCCGGATCGGCCCCATTGCGCCCTCGTTCGTCCGCAGGCGCGAGAAGCTCTCGTACTCGATCTTCTCCTTCTGCAGCTCCGCGAACCCGTCCTGGATCCGCCTCACCAGCGCCCCCGACCGCACCTGGTACCCGCCGAGGACGATGTTGAGCTTCTTCTCTGCCTTGCCCACCTTGCCCGCCTCCTTCGCCATCGCCTCCCGGTACGCCGTCAGCTGCGCGTTGTACCCCGCCACCCGCCCGCCGCCGACAGCGAGCCCGGCTCCACCCACGCGTTCGACTCCACGTCGTACGCCAGCTGCGCCCGCACCTGCACCCACGAAAGCGACTCGTCCACCTCGTCCGCGTCCGACAGCGCGACCACGCCCTGCCGGAGCACTTCCTCGCCCGCGCCCGGGTAGCCGAGAGACGCCCCGAGCTCCTCGTGGATCAGGCTCCTCGCCCTCGCCAGCGCGTCGTCAGGCGGCGTCTGGTACGCCGACCGGGTCCCGCCGGGGTGCATTGTGCCAGGAATGGGATGGGCGATCGAGTCGTGCTGCAGCAGATGCGCCATCTCCTCGTGGACCAGCTTCGCCGCCGCACCGTCCTCGTCGTCGACTGTCAGAGCCTTCATGAGTTGCGAGACGTCGACGTTGGCCGGCCTCGGGAGTCCGCGCTGGACCACCTGGGATCGACGAGCGAGTGCCTTCCGTTCCTCCTCTTCTCGGAGCCGCTTCAGACGGGCGTCCCGCTCCGCTGCGTCTTCCTCTGGCCCCGCGCCGCCGGCCATGAGCTCTTCGTCTTCGTCTTCAGGGACGAGCAGCTCGAAGTTGTTCTCCGGCTTCGGCAGATTCATGAACCCGGCCTGGAGAGCTCTTTTTGCTGACGTCACTCTGAGGCGTTGGTCCCGCGGAGTATCCCCAACAGAGGAAAAGCCGTCGGAGGGGTTGATGCTGAGACCGTCACGCATCGGGGTGCGCATGGATGTGCCTGGGGTGGCCTCAATCGCTGACCTGGGCGTGGCTCCAGGCCCAAGGCCGCCCGAGTGCATCGGAGTCGCCAACGGATTCGGCGTGAATGCGACTTGGTGCTGAGGCGTCGCGCCCTCAAAACCAGTGCCGCCTTGAGGGCCAACATGGAGAGGGGTGTTCTCGTCCCCAAGGAGAGGCGTTTGCAACATCGTCATGTTTCGGAGGTTTCGTGCTTCAGACATGACGTTATCATCTGAACAAAGCTGTTAGCACATATACTTTGGGCACCTCCGAAGAGACTTACATTGAGGTGCAGTCCGAGGAGTGCGCGCCATCTGGGCCTTCTCCAGGCCTTCATAGTCATTGAGCAACTTGCCAGATGCTTCCGTACCGCCGCTGACCAGCGACTTCGCGTTTTCACCAGCCTGACCAATCTTGACGATGTCCTCCAGCTCCTTCTCTCCGACCTGAGGGGCTGGTAAATTGAGCTTTTGCCGCCTCCCGATAGACTCTGCCTCCTTCAATTTCTGGATCTGAGCGTCGCGCGCAGCAACAAATTTAGTTTGGTGAGGCGCCTCGCCCTTGCCGTCGCCCTTGCGCTGGCGTTTCCTGCGTTCAGCTTCCTCGTCCTCCGGCTTGCGCTTGTTCTCAAGACGACGAAGCGTCTGGCCGACAGGAGCCGTAGTCGCCCGGGCTTGTTCGTCCGAGGTGTCATAGAAGCCTGCAGCAGGTCTCTTCTCGAAGGGAATATCGGCGTTGTACTGCAGGAGCCGGTCAGCGGAGACCTCCAATTCAACAGTCGCATGCCACTCACGTCCATGCCCTTCTTCTTCGTCTTGTGACGCATACTGACGGAGATATGAGCATCGATATCGCACCAGCGAATGAAGAACAATTTACATGATACCCGCGGCCTTCAGCTCACGCTTCTTTTGGAGCACTGCGAGCCGTCTAGCCTCCTCGAGCTGCCTCTCGCGCGCCTTGCGCTTCGCCTTCTTACCCTGCGTGTTGGCCAGGCGAGCACGGGCTTCAGACAGCATCTCCTTCTCTGCAAACCGGGCGTTTGAGTGCCAAGCGTTGACACAGAGCGCACGCTACTCACCATCCTCGTCCATGTCAATGGGGTCCGGCCGCGCAGGCTTCGTCTCCGGGTCAGGGTCGATCTCGCCCGGACGCAACCTGCGCACGTCGTCCGCGCTCGGCCCCGCCTCACCTCCGGGCCCTGCGAGGCCGAGCTCCTCGTTCTCCTTCGCCTCCGCCTCGTCCAACAGCTTCTGGTACCGCTCCAGGCACTGCGTCGCCGTCCGGCCGACGATGGGGGCAATGGTGCGCCATTGGGTGGGCATCAGCTTCGCGAGGTGCAGCAGCTTCTCGTCTTCCGTCTGCCGCGTCAAACGCCACCGTGAGCACCGCGGGACGCAAGGAGGGCGGGAGGACTTACTTTCGACCATTCTGTCTTCTTGATAGACGGGTCCAGCCACTCGTACCATCGGGCCTTGCACTGTTTTGGCGTCTTGCGGACGAGGAGCGAGGAGATGCGGGCCCTGGACGTCGAGGCGTCAGAGAGCCCTTGAAGGAGGGGTGGTAGAGTCGGCAAGAGGGTGTGGGGGGCGTACATACCATTGGTTCTTGCCATACTTGGCAATAGCAGCCTTCAGAACCTCGTCTTCCGTGTTCTGCAGCAGATTGAGTGAGTATGTGGCAAGAGAGCCAATGCAATGCTCGACGTACTTTCCACACGCCTGCAGCCAAAAGAACGCGATGAGAATACAGAGACCGCAAACCAAAGGCGCGTTACATACCTCCTTTAATTATAATGCGCACCATGGCAGAGAGAGGTGGTGAGTGCGACGCGTGGGGGAGGGAGGGCGGGTGGCCAGAGACGACTCTGACGGCGGACGCGGGTCCAGCGACGACGCGGCGCCAACATACGGCTTTCCCACGCGCGTCGACATGCAGAGCGTGGGTCGACGCGTACCTCAAGGCCTCAGGCCTCAGTACTCGGCCGTTCCTACACCTCCACACTCTTTCCACCTTCCGGCTACCATGCTTCTGAATTACCACAACATCATTGTCTATTCTGTCATACTGCTCAGTAGAGCCTCCCCGTTCCCTTCGACTGTATTCATTTCAGACACACTGATCCTCGTCTACACCGGAACCTTCTTCCACTTGAGCCGCGCGATGTACTTGGACCTCAGCGCTCCGAAGGGGGTCCACGCGCAGGATTCTCAGCAACACGTTCCGCGCACACCGATCTGCCAGACGCGGGAGAAGATGGGTCATGACGTTTGTCGTGGAGAGGGCCGGAAGGATACGGGGGAGGGGGGTTGTGGCCATCCAACAACGGACTCTCAGAGCCATTCGGAGGTATGTGGGGATATGAAGGGGGGGAGGTGGTGGTGGTCCGTGAGCGCGGGACGGTGCGGGAGATACACTTTGCAGCCGATAGAGCCACACAGTGGTAAAGTGTATAACTCTGTTAACCGTGGTCAGACATGCACGAAGAACAGCAGGGCCGATACTCACGACTGAGGTGCAGTTGAGGATAAGCCGACCGATGATGCAATCAATGGGCCGCCTAGCCCTACATGCACGATGGACTAATGACACTTTCCCATTGATCACATTGAGATGTGCCAAGGCCTCCGCTGCTGTCGACCGCTGCTCTGAGCGTGGGTGGATCATACCAGCTGTCAGTGGCCCGAGGATTTTCACATTGTTATATTTCTGTGGCGAATGGTCAACTCATTGGCACTGTTACTGAGAAACATCGACGATTATACCTTCTTTGAAAGGATCATGCGGAATTGATTCGGATCGCTTGGACACCTGTGGGACACGGATTGATGTGCTGAAGTCGATGAAATGGTATGTAACATCGGCTTTAGAGCGCCGTGACCATCGATCGGTTCTTGGGACTCTGGGATATTTATCCGAGAAAGGATGGGAACTGTTCGGGAACATGGTAGGGGCTTCAAACCTCAAACTGTCATACATGTCGTCCCTGATAATGCAAGTCAGGACGAGTGATACACTTTGAAAATACACCAAACTAACCGGTGAGCTATATTGTGGGAGTGCATGAACACCAACCCCTGTACGTACGAGAGAATATCAATAGCGACAAAGAGCACGGCAAGACCTGGAATACCTGAAGAAGTTGGCCGACAGCATCAAGAATGCTTCCGATGGTGTCAAACTCCGGCTTGTCAATATGCCGGAGAAACGGCATAACCATATAACACCACGACGGGTTTTCCTCGTCAACGATGACATCCAGGATGGGAACGCAGTGATTGGATGGATCCTTGCGCAGGGATTCCGAGGAGAAATATGTAGCGATCTCGAGCTCCGACGACGATGTCTTCACCTTTTTGAACATGATGTGTTTGCCGTCTGAGATGCGGCGACCATCCATGACATGGAGCTGACGCCACTGACGGTAGAAACAATTGGGACTAACCCGGGCAGGACGAAGAGGCGTTGAACTTACCATACGAATGGGATAGTAGTCCTCTGCGTAAGCGGGGTTAATGCACGGGTCTGCCACCCACGACGGCACCCAGTCGGGGTCGAGCCGTGGTCGAAGGGCATACCCACGGGATTTGAACAGTGTATAACGGCCCACCCAGTGCATTTCCGTCGTAGATCGAGTGGACATGACGGAGCAGACAGATTGCAAGAGGAGACCAGAGGCTCAAAGATGGGGAAGGTGATGGTTGTGGTCGTGCACAGAAAGGAGGAGGAAGGTGTTGTGAAGGAGAGGAGCTGATGGGAGCAAATATATGGATTTGGTTGTACTTACGGGGTTTGCGGAATTGGGGCAGCGGCGCGATCTCCGCGATCTGGGCAGAACCGCGCGTCTACATGTTGCGTTAAATGGGTGGTCCCTCATAGGGACGAAGTGCACTCACCCCGATAGAAATCAGCTTGTTGCTCAACAGCATTGTGACCGCCCCTTTGCCTTCACCACAAACTCTCTCTGATTTCCCATCCCATTGCTCGACTCCAATGGTCGAACTTCAGGGGCATCTTAGGCATGAAAGGAGGTGGCACATGAATACATCATGTTGTTGGCGTCCACAGGTAGAAGTCCCGGAATGGGTCCAATGACGGTGCACCGCCCTCCCGGACCACCACGGTTTGAGTTGCAGACGCCACCGCAGCGATACTGCAAGCAGATTGAGACCTACCTTCGGAAACAGGTTTGGGACAACGTGGTTTGAGTTTTGCGGGGGTAAAACAACGAGAAGAGCGGGGTTGAACTTGTGATCAGACTGGCTGTCTCTGCTCTGGACCACTGGCGAGGACACACCCTTCCTCCAAACCGACCCCCTTGTTGCCCGGCCAAGCATGGAGGATGCACCGCTGCGGAAACGAGCCCACCACGAAGTGGCCTAAGCTGTGTGCATATTTCGGAACAGAGCGGCCCAAACGTCGGAGACTCGGCGCATGAGTTTTCTCACAAAACTTGATGCTTGAAGTGGGCATGATGAGTGTACGGTCACGCGAGAAATCTGTGATCACCATTGGACACACCTAGGGGTGGCTGCATTCGAAGGCGAGCCGGGAGCTAGGGACTGTGTAATTGGCTTCTGAAGGCTGTGAGCAACGTCCACAAACTGCGAATTTAATGTACTTGGACGGGTCGAAGGAGCAGCGATGGTTGGATTGGGCGGAACGAGCTGGAGGAGCGAGGAGGGCAGCGGGAAGATTGTTCCACGTGACCTGTCAAAAAGTCGCCCCTGCCACAAGCGAGTTTCGCCTCTGTCTTTGCCTGCATCATGCCTCCGTCTCTCCCTTCGTCTAAGAAGCGCAAGACTCGCGACAGCGATGATACCGTGAAGGCAATTCAAGTCCTCGAGCAGGACCTCGCGTCTGCGATCTCGCGCGGGACTTCCCTGAACCCTCTTGCCGACCTCTTGGATCTTGCTTCGCAAGCAGAGACTCCTGCTCATGCATCCAGAGCTATATACGCGCTCTACAGAACATTTGTTCTTCTGCTCTCGGACGGCGCACTCTCTGGCCCCAGTCACACCGAAGAGGCCAAAGCCGTACGGACATGGTTACTCGAACGCCTGAATGCGTTTACGGACCAACTGGCAGGGTTGCTAAAGGACGAAGAGGCGTCGCTCCAGGTATGCTGACCTTGTTGCATGTTCTTGCCATTGCACGCGCTGAGCCCTGCTCTTATGGTCGCAGACCTCCGCCCTGGACATCCTCATGTCCCTGCAAAAGCACCTATCTTCCTCACTTACGCGCACTAGCGACAGCAAGCAACCTCCCCAATCTCACGTCTCGCACTTCCGGAAGATTGTATCCGCGCTCCTCCTGTGCCCTCCCTCTACCCGAGGTAGCACGCCCAAGAAACGCAAGACGGAGCCTGTTTCTGACGACCGCATGTTGGACTCTACCGTACGAGACCACTTTGTAAACACTTGGTTTAGCGTACACGACGATGTGCGCTGGTTCTTCCTCAGGGATGCGGCGTGAGTGACGCCGCTTGTGTATCGCTGGGTCAACCGACTCACCTCTCCGCTTCAGCATCCTCCTCGCGAGGCATCCGCACAAAGAAGCGCCTCAGCTACCGGGCAACCTGCTGTCCATCTTGGAGCGGCTCACGACGTTCCCGACACAACGCTCAGAGCTGAACACCTGGTGGATTGAAGAGCTCGGCGCGAAACCGGCACCATCCAAAAAGTCTTCCGCCCACGAGGACGCAGACGAGGAGGTAGGAGGCGCGTCCGGGGCGGACGACGAGGACGACTGGCGCAAGTTCTTCGACGAGCCCGCCTCGAAAGCGGACGACAAGGGCAAGAAGGGCGCCCCAGGCCGGCTGCACACGCTGACGGTGCACCAATCCCTGCACTCGCTCTCTGCGCACCGGGCGGTCTTCACCAAGGCTTGGCTGGCGCTCCTGCCGCAGCTGTCGCTGGGCGGGGCAGAGAGGGCCCGGACACACTCGCTTCGCGTCCTGAACGTGCTGCACCGCGGGGTGGTGCCCCACCTGACGCGCCCGATCCTGATCATGGACTGGGTCGGCTCCGCGGTCGACCACGGTGCGAGAACGGAGGACGTCCCATTGGCCGGCAACCGCTCACGCACATGTTTGCAGGCGGCACGGTCGGCCTTCTGGCGCTCAACGCGCTCTTCATGCTCATCAAGGATCACAACCTGTACGTCTAGACTGTGCGCAGATGGCGTGATCTGACGGACAGGCGCCCGCAGAGACTACCCCGCATTCTACACGCGGCTGTACGGCTTCCTGGACAAGGACGTGCTCCATCTGAAGCACCGCGCGCGGTTCTTCCGTCTGACGGAGGTTTTCCTCGGATCTACGTGAGTCGCCCTCCGCTCGCGCCAGGGGACATTCGTTGACCGATCGCGGCGGACGAAACAGCCTGCTTCCTGCGAACCTGGTGGCGTCCTTCGTCAAGCGGTTGTCGCGACTCTCGCTGTGCGCCCCTCCAGCGGCGGTGGTTATGCTCATCCCGTTCACGTACAATATGCTGCGGCGGCATCCGTCGCTGATGACGATGATTCACCGGACGGAGGAGATCTCAGGGGCGGAGTGCGGTGCGTCGCGCGAGCCGCGTGTCTAGTGTTGTGTTGTCGCTGACGGCGCGCGGCAGACGGGTTCGACGCGGGGGAGGGGAACCCGGCGTTGACGAACGCGCTGGAGAGCTCGCTGTGGGAGCTCTACAGCCACCGACGGCACTACCACGGGGCGGTGTCGTCGCTGGCGCGGATCCTGGAGGAGGCGTTCACGCGGCCGCGGTACGGGATGGAAGACTTCCTGGACCACACGTACGGCACGGTGAGTGCGGTCGGGCTGGGAGCGGAGAGGAGACGCTGACGGAGGTGGGCGCAGATGATGGAGACGGAGGTGCAGCGCAAGATTCGGAGGGAGCCGGCGACGGAGGGGGAGGGAGTGCAGTCGGACGGGCTGGAGGAGCTGTGGAAGATAGGTTGAGGCAGCATTTGGTCGCCGGAGAGGAGACCGGAGGCATTAAGCGAGACGCACGGTTGTGTCGGAAAACCCAAATCAGGAGTGCAACGGAGGGCGGGGCACGTGGGAGAATTGGCGGAGGGTGTTTGATGCCCATTGTCGGTCGCCGGCGGAGGAGCGAGTGGAGGAGGAATTCGCCGGGAATGCCGGTCTGGTCGCCGCATCGGGCGCTTGCCGTTCCCGGTGACGTTGATCCGGCCCGCGCGGGCCTCGGGGCGGCTCTCCGCCACGGACGACGCCCACGGAGAGCGGATGGCGGATGGTGCGGTCGACGCCGGTGAATTGCCGCCTGGGATGGAGACAGACGATCCCGGGCGCCCGCGCCGGCCGCACGCTCAACATGCTTGGCCGCAGGCGGCGAGTCTGAGCTCGGCGTCCATTCCCCGGCGCTCTCGCGGCTGGCCATGGGAGTTCGGGCGGGGAGGGGCGGCATCTTGACGCCTCTGCAGCGCCCGTCGCCCGTCGCGACCCCCGCACGCTGTCCAAACCTGCGACTCAGACATCCGCTTGGCACACCAGCAGCAGCACTTGCGTGGGCAGCGGTCTCGGCCAGAGGCTGGCGTATGGCCGCGCGAGCCTCAAAGATCCCGGAGAGCGAGCGCGGCCCTGGCTTACATAAGCGCGGGCAGCCGGTCTCTTTCTCGGCTTGGAGCTTGAAGGCGTGGATGGGCCCCGGGGAGGCCGGCAGCACACGAGGTTCGATCGCGCACACAAACCGGCGAGCAGATGAGTCCCCGCCACTGCCGACCGTCCGCCGTGCCCGCTGCCCGTCGCACACCACGCCGTCCGGCGACGCTGCTGCACACGATCCGCAAACAGGAAATGCAGCGCGGGTGGGCAGCGGGCAGCGGGCGGGGAAGGGGCGGGACGAGGGCGGGCGGGGACCTCAGTCGGGAAAAGAGCCGGAGAGGGCAGGCGGGGGCCGGGGCAGGGGCCGGCCACTCGCCGGAGAATCGATCCCGGCGAACAAACCGTCGCTCCGGCGTCTCCCGCGCGTCTCTCGGCTGCTCCTCTCTCCCCCGCCACGCCCGTCTTAACCCTCCCGCCCCCACTTTCTCCCTCTCCCAACTCCCACCCGACCCCCTCCCCGCCCATCCCCTCTCCCGCACGCGTCCTCCCGTACGGTCCGTGCTCAGAGCCCCCCCCCCCCCCCTCTCCACCCGACTCCCTCCAGCCACTCTCCCCTTCTCCCCTGCTCTCGTCGCCCACCATGGACGCACCACCCGTCTCAGCTAACCCACCGTGCGTGTCATTTCCTCTCTCTTCCTTTTCCTCCCCTCTCCCAGATCCCCGCTCATCCCACTCCCCAACCAGCTCCAAGAACCCCCTCCACCGCGGCGCGCGTGCATGCACCGTCTGCCGCCAAGCAAAGGTACCTCCGCTCTATCTCCCCTCCCCCCTTCTCCTCATCCCCTCTCCTTCTCCCAGATGAAGTGTGTCGGTGCCGAGGACGGAGTAAAGCCCTGCCAGCGTTGTCTCAGGTCCGGTGCAGAGTGAGTATCTCCCTCTTCTCTACCTCACTCCTACCAACTCCGACCCCGCCGTTTTCAGATGTATATTCGAGAAGCACCGTCGCGGCCGCAAGCCCGGTTCAAAGTTCGTCCACATCTGCTCGTTTGTCTCCTCATCCTGATCTGTCCTCAGGCTGTCCGAGGCCTCCAAGATGCTCCGTCGCCTCGAAAAGGGCCTCAATAGCCAAAAGGCCAAGCACCCCGCCAACCCTCCCCCTGCTCAGGGCTCCTCATCTGCCTCGTACTTGCAAGACGACGGTTCTGCCTATGCCGGCCCCTCCAACGCGGGTGCTCACTCCGACGATGATATGGACGATGAGGAAGAGGGCCGACAAGAGGAGGCTCTTTACCCTGCCCAGGTCATTCGCGCCGCCAGGACCCCATTTCTCGACGTTGTCATGAATCCTTCCCCCACCGACGTCCGCGCTCCTTCCGGAAGTCCCATCGAGCGCCCCACCCATGTCGCTCCCAAGTCCTTTTCCCTTAGCCCATCCCGAGGCAACAGCTCTCCCCAGCTCAAGGCTTTCCGCACTCCCACCTTCCCACCCAGGGACCCCGTCGCCGCCGGTCTCCTCTCTGAGAAGGATGTCAACGAATTTTTCGACATGTTCTTCATCCGCCTCAACCCCTTCATCAATCTCTTCGACCCCGCCCTCCACACTGCCACCTACATTCGTACTCGCTCCCCCTTCCTCTTTACCGCCTTACTCATGACTTGCTGCAAGTTCTGGATGCCAGCCAACTACCAGGCCGTCCGGGACCTTGCCCAGGACTGGTGTGTCTACACCTTTGCCCAAGGCACCGAGACTGTCGAGACTGTTCAAGCTCTCGCCTGCATGACTTACTGGAAGGAACCTACGGAAAGCCGGACGTGGCAGTACATCGGTATGGCCGCTCGCATGGCCGTTAACCTCCGCCTCAACCGTCTCCTCGGCCCTCGGCTACCCAACGAGAGCGACACCCAGTTCCTTGAGCGCCGCAATCGGGAACGCACCTACCTCGTCCTCTTTGTCCACGATCGCTCGCTCTCCATGCAGACCGGCAAGCAGTGGATGTTGACTGCTGATGACGCTTTCATCGAGTCTGTCACGCATTGGCATCGGGAGGGTGTCGCTGGACAGTACGGCGAGGTCCGGTCTGAAGACGTTATCGTGGCCGCGTTCGTCCAGCTCCGGTTAATTGGATCCGAGGCGACGAACATGTTCTACAACCGGCGCCGCGATCTGTTCGACTTCGACAGCGAGCTTCACAAGTACAACAACCAGCTTGAGAGATGGCAGGAGATTTGGGTCGCTGAGATGAGCAAAGGTAAATAGATCTGTGCGCCCTTTTATCCTGACTACGACACTGATCATGGGCTTATAGCATCGTTGGCAGATGAATTCCACAATGCATTCCTTAGGTTCTTCCAGTCTCATGTGAAGCTTTTCCTGAACACGTTCGGGCTGAACCTGTCCAACTTGGACGTGGGTATATTATTTGATTGTCCATGGTAGCGTCATTAACACATCTTGTAGATGGTGAAGACGGCACCCAACCCCGAAGCGGTTGAGAACTGCATCAAGAGCGCGCGCGCGAACCTGCAGATCGTGAAAACGTTTGCTAGCATACACATGCTGGTATGTGTAACTCGCCTCATAGTATGCACACGGACTAACTGCCTACCAGCGTTATGGTCAGGAATCAACGACAACCATGTCAGGATACGCTGCGATTGTTCTCCTTAGGGTATGTCCTCCATTTCTGCATGCCTAGAGATTTCTCACGTCCTTCGCTAGTTGTTGAACAGTCCGGCAACCAGAGCCCATTTGCGCGAGCAGTCCGTTCCCATTCATGATGCCATCGTGAGCGCTGCCGATGCATACGGCGCTGGCTCAGAGGGAGACTCGGCGACACACCACGCCCGTTTCTTGCGCCATTTGGTTGACCAACAAACGGCGCACGAGGCGAAGCAATATCGCACCGACGTTCCTCCCGCATTTGCCCAAGGTCTTCCGCCGCTCAGGTCTCAAGTGTCGCCTCTTTTGGACCCGTTCTCGACCCATCGCCAGTCTCTTGCCCCTCTGTCTATTCCTGGCGCGCCCTCCGGTGTTGACGTGTACTCCAACGGCCACTCAGAGTACGGCGCGGAGTCGGCGCTCCGCTCCGGCATCTCACCCAGCCTTGCCCGCGGTCCGCCGTCGACATACTTGACGACGGCAACTGAGTCGGACCGCCGCTATTTCGAACACATGCTCGCCGAGGCCAACCTGACTGGCGACAACCTCTTCCCGAACTTGGGTTCCCTGCCGTCGATTTCGAGCGGTGTCGTCGGGTCGAGCGGCATGAACGACTTCAACTTTGTCTCGCCGCAGAGCCATTACCGCGAGCCGTCATACGCCACGTACAACAACTACAGCCACGGTCGCTCGAGCTCGTACCACCCCGGCGTGCAGTACCGCTGAGCGCGGGGTGCCGCCGCCGTTCTTGGACCCCTTCTGCTCTTACCTTCTGCTCTTAATGTCTCTCCCTTGCCATCTGTATATGTTTTCCTGTGATCTTGTGCTCGCCCTCGTTCGTCGTCGCTATTGCCCTCATCCATCTGTCGCCCCGCTCTGCTCGCCCATCTCGCACGTCGTAACCAGTTAGTGCCCCCCCTCCCGTATTATCGCTCTCCTCTCCTCTCTCGCCACTGTCGATATATCGTACTGCACTGTCTCATTTGTTCTCCCCCGGACCCGACTCGCGCTCCGGTGTAACGCCGCACACGCCTTTGGTATTCCCACCGTGATAGATATAGCAATGGAATGCATTCGTTGGATGCGCTCCTACTGCGCGGTCGTCCACGCCAAGCGACAAGCACGCCGCGTGCCATACACGTCCATACATTCAGCGGTTCCGCACAGACGGCGAGAGAAAAACCCGGTGGGACGGCGTCCGCCGCCGTCCGCCGACGCACTCGTTACGGTACAAAGACTGGCTAGGAGTCGACGCCGATGTAGAAGACGACGACGTCGCGGCCGACGGCGGCGGCGATGCGCGGGATGCCGCGGCAGGCGACAAAGTCGAACGCGCGCACGTACAGCGGCCGGCGCGCGAGCGCGAACACCGTCGGGGGCGCGTGCGGGTAGGCGACGTTGTGGACGTGGATGGCGGCGCCGCGCGCAGGGCTGCGGGTCGAGACCGCGAAGTAGTCCGGGTACGTCGGGCACCACCTGCGCGGCGGAACTGTCAGCGGCGTGTGCGGGGAGGAGAGGGGAGGGGGCCATGCGCGCGCTCGCTCAGGCCCACCGTGCTTCTGCGCGGGCGGGGGCGGGATCGGATGCGAGGGTCGGGGGAAAGGGGGGCGGAGGCGTGACCGCAGGCGGGGAACGGCGGGGAAGGGGGGACGGGGGACGGGGGAAGTGGACCTGCACGCACCTGAACTGGTGGCCGCCCTCGGGGAAGGAGGGCCCGGCGAGGTAGGGCTTCCCGCCGTGGAGGTTGCCCATGTCCCAGAGCGCGAACCGCGAGCCGTACGCGGCACCCACGCTGCCCGCTGTCAGTGCAAAGTCCCAAAAGCTGCCGCCATCCGGGGCCTGCCCCGGGCGTCGTGCGCCGTGCCGCCGTCCCTGCCTGTCCGACGCACGCTGGCAGGGGGCCGCGCCAGGCGTGCGACCCTCTGTCCGCTGGTGTTCAGGCGGGCTCGGAGGCGTCACGGAGCACGACACCGAGGGCGCGTCCGCCGCGGGCAGCCACACCGAATCGAATTTGAGCACTCACAAGTCCGCAGACGGGTCCCGGCGCCACGCGACAGAGCCCGACCAGCGCGTCGCGAGCCCGGGCGCGGCGTCGGCGAGCGCGCGGGGCTCGAGCAGCTCGACGATCGCCTGGTTCCGCCAGCGCGCCTGCTCGTCCCCCTCCTGGTCCGTGCGCCAGTCGGTGAGGAAGACCGAGCCCCGGGCGTCGCCCACCAGCACCTCCTTGCTCGTCGACGGGTGCGCGTCCACCGACGTGAGCGGGTGCGGGAACGCGACCGCGTACGCCGTCGGCTGCGCTCGCTCCGACGTCCCCTCCGGCGTCCCGCCCCCATCCGGCGAGGATGGCGAGGCGATGTTTATCGACGGCTCGAGGTCCCAAACCATGAGGAACTTGTCGTCTGTGGGGCGGCCGAGCGCACGGCGGATGGGCATCTGACGTCCCAGACGGACGAGGGAGGGAAGGACGCACCAGACACAGAGGCGACATACCGCGAGCTGTCTTCGCTCTGCCCGCCGCAGAACGCCATGTCGTTCACCGTGCCATGGTGGCCGCTCAGGCCGCTGCCGAAGCGGAAGACCGACTCCTCCGACCCGGCATCTTTCGTGAGCAGGTAGAGGCTGAAGTCGGACGCGGCGACGGCGAGCCTGGAAGGCGGATGAGCGCGATGAAAGCCAGGGGGCGAACGGAGGAGACGGACTGAATGGACCAGCGGTCGGAGGAGGAAGGCGAGCTGACCCGCGAGGACCAAGCGATGGCGGTTGTGCGCAGGCCGACGTAGAACGTCGCAATTGTCCTGCACGAGGACTCGCCCTGGAAGACCGTCAGTGGACGCGCGGCGGAGAAAGCGGGTGGAGGCGCACGAGCTGGATGACTTCGACTGAGTGGTCGCCGCCGAGGGCGACGAGGTCGTGCGCGTCGTCGTGGTAGCACGCGCGGAGGACGTGCACCGTGGATCCGTGCGAGTGGCGGACGTCCATGCGGGTGAGGTGTGGGTGAGGGAGGAGGAGGAGAAGACGCGCCACGGCACGTGCGCGCGAATGAGGGTCCAAGACACCCGCGTACTCTAGTGGCTCTGCCGTCCGCTCGGCTTGTCTCCGTACGTCCCTTGCCATCTTCCGCGCACTCGCCGTCCCTCGATGGCTATCTACGACTCCCCCGTGCTCCTCGAACCTGTTCTCTCGCAATCAGAAGGCCTGTACAGTCGATGCCAAAAGGCCAGACACTACGGCGTCGACATCGCATGGTGGATCGTGGGGCCAATGCCACTCTCCTCGTTCAACGAAACCTTCCTCTGTGGCACCTCGACAGATCCCTCGTACGAACAAAAGAGCATGCTGGCGGCCTTCAGCAAGGTCCCATTCGGAGCAAAGAGGTGCGACGAAATCTCCCGGCCCATGGTAAGTATCTCTCAACTCGCGAGCACACATCAAGTCACCTCGGTGCGCGAAGCTCGCGGCTTTGAATCAGAAGAGGTCCAAGTCGCTCTTCCCTGGTTTTGTCTTTGACAATGTCGCGCTGCCGAACGTGCACCCTGACGAGCAGGGCCCCATGAAATCTAGTCGCAAACTCGTGCATGACTCGGACGGGGCATTCTCCTCCAAGTCTAACTACACTGACCTGTTCATTGACATTTCCCCAGACTCTACTCACGATTTCTTCCACGATCCCCCTGCCAGATCCAAAGTCCGTAACCGCCTGGAATTCCTCTCGCATTCCGACAGCAAGCGAAAACAGATGTCGACTGAGGAGCTGTTTGGCCAGCATGTGTCCTATGTCAGCGAGATCTTTGCGCGACAGCAGCGCGTCTTCCTTTTCACAATCGTTATGTATGGCTCTCTCACCCGCATTCTCAGGTGGGATCGCTCTGGGTGCGTCGTGTCGGAAGCTTTTGACGTCGCCGACGACGCGGCTGGACTTTGCAACTTCCTGTTGCGATTTTCAAGCGCCTCGGATGCGGGACGAGGTCATGACACCTCTGTGGCCCAAGCAACCTCGACTGACGAAACTCTCTTCGCGAACGCCATCCGAGAATACGTTCGTTCTCAAATCACCGACAGCGAGGATTTGGAGCAAGCGGTCCAGCAGCGCTATTCGCCACGCCACGTCTACGCGACCCACATCCTCCGCCGCCTCTCTCCGCTGTGCGAGGAGAACACTCGAAAGCGATTGTTTTCTCGACCGGCCGCGAATTCCTCCTCTGTGACAGGCCGTGGAACTCGGGGATACTGGGCACTCGACGTGTCCTCTGGAAAGATTGTGTTCTTAAAGGACACCTGGCGAGATAGCCTACTGGCGGAGGTGGAAGGGGACATACTGCAACAGTTGCACGAGGCCGGGGTATCGTTTGTGCCGTCTTTTGTATGGCACGGGGACGTTTCTTCTCTTGACGGGTACTCAGAAGAGCGGCGGCCGCTGCGTAGTAAGCGCGTCCACTTGATGAATCTCACTGTTGTTGATCGTTCCCAGAGACGGAGATTCAGTCGACCATGACGAACACCCTATGCGGAGAGGAGTGGGTTTGTCGCGTTCAAGGCTCACTGCCAAGATTTTCGCAACGCCGTCACTGTAGACTGGTGATGGGGACTGTGGGCATGCCGATGAGCACGGTGCGGGGGACCGAAGAGCTCCTGCATGCGACACATGACGTTTTCACAGGCAAGTGCAAAAGCGACTTTGTGTCCGCGCTCCGGGGGGCTGCTGATGTTGTACGTACAAAAGAGAGCCGCCTCCACCGAGACGTCAGCGTGGGCAACATAGTTCTAGTCAAAGAGGCGGACTCGGAGATACGTCGAGGTTATCTAATAGACTGGGAGATGTCGTGCAAGGTCAACGACAGCAGTGAAGCGATTGAGAAAGGTGAGTGGATTGTCTCACTCCCTTGGCATACTTGTGAGCTTATTTGCCCAGGGGACATGGGCCTTCATGTCTATGCGCGTTTTGACCTGGTATAAAGACGACGATTCCTGGCGCCTCAAGTTCGAAGACGACATGGAGTCCCTCCTCTACGTGGTCATGTATAGTGCTCTGTTGTGGCAACCGCACCACTTCACCGCCAAGGGGGTCACGATGATCATACGTGGGATGTTCGATGAGTATACTCGTATCTCTTACTTGAACGTGCTCATCAGCGGAGGAGGTAAAGCCTCAAATGTACGCAGCCGGGGCCAGGTATACGGCAAAGCGTTCAAAAGCCCGGCGTTCGCCAAGTGGCTGTCGGACATGATGGCCCACCATGTTCCTAAAGATTACGATGATAAGGCCTACAAAGGCAAATGGGACAACCCGGTCTTCATATACGACTACTGGGCCAATTTCCTCCGCCTGCACTCGTTGGAGCGGGACAACCGCGTGGATAACCTGGCCGGCTACTCGAAACTACGCGATCTTTCGACCGAAGCCGTGGAACGCGAACAACTTCCTCCGTTTCCCGACACGACAAGCCGCGAACATTCGGACGCTGAGCACAGGCGCCACCAACTCAAGGAATCTGCAGCGGAAACCCAGAGGGGCAAGCGAAGGGGGCGCGACTTGTCTCAGTCGTCAGCTCCTCGCCGTAGCTCGCGGATCAAGGAGAAGGAGGAAGCAAGGGCGCAGGCTCAGTCTGCGCAGAACGGTGTTGGGCATGGCCGCGGATCGTCAAGCCGTGGCCGGAGCAGAGGGCGAGCCCGTGGCCGGTCTCGTTGACAAATATGTATGTCAGGTTTTTTACGCGGACTGTATTCGATTGTCGTACGCTACATGTTGTGTCCGCTGGACGTGGTTCTGACGACTTGGCCGACTCCCTTTCTTCGCTACTTAGCACTACTGCTACGTCGTTGCCAATCAGTCATCCCGTTGGAGACAGCAAACATACCGCCGCCCGCGCTCAATGTTCAGCTGCGCCCCTTGAAGGTTCGAAGATGCGCGGTGGCTGTCGAGAGGCTCCGTCCTTCGATGTGTGCAGTGGTAATACTAAAGGGATAATCGGGGGCTTACAAGACGTTGGCAAGCCTGGGATATTGTTCACGTGGGCTGGCCAAATCGGGGGGTGGGCGAGAAGGCGGGCAGCGCGCAGACCGCCCCAGTCCGTCTCGTGCGCATCCGATGGCAGGCAGCAAGTACCCAAACCCACTCCTCTTTGTCGCCATCTCTGGGCTCTCCTTCGCTGCCTTTTACGCTACCCTCCGCTACCGCGCTATCACCTACCCCGCCTCCTCCCAGCCCCGCCAGCACGACCACCCTCTCGTCTCTCCCCGTCACAAGGAGCCCTAGATCATACCCAGCCTCCCGCTCGTCATGCCCGCCATCCTTGACAAGATCGCCGACGCCCTCCACCTCCACAAGAAGGAGGGCGAGCACCCCGCCCCCGCCGAGTCCAGCAAGAAGCAGGTCTTTGACCACAACAAGGTCACCGTCATCTTCGTCCTCGGCGGCCCTGGCGCCGGTACGCTTCCCCGTCCCGCCCTCCCTCCCGTCCGCTCACCGCCCCGCCGCAGGAAAGGGCACCCAGTGCGCGAACCTCGTCCAGGACTTTGGCTTCTGCCACCTCTCAGGTCCGTCGTGCCCGTTCCCCCTGTCGCCCGCGCGCTCACCCGCCCCCTTCCCCGCAGCGGGCGACCTCCTCCGCGCGGAGCAGAACCGCGAGGGCTCCGAGTACGGCGAGATGATCCGCAAGTACATCCGTGAGGGCCAGATCGTGCCGATGGAGGTCACCATCAAGCTCCTCGAGAATGCGATGACCGCCGCCGTCGCCGAGCAGCGCCCCGGCGACGGCTGGGCGGACGGCAGGGGCCGCTTCCTCATCGACGGCTTCCCGCGCAAGATGGACCAGGCGGTCAAGTTCGACGAGGACGTGAGTCCGCCGCCCTTGCCCCTCGTCTCTCCCTCTCTCCTCGCGACTCATCCCGCGTGCGTCTCGACCAGGTCTGCCAATCTGCGATGGTCCTCTTCTTCACCACCACCGAGGAGGAGATGCTCAAGCGCCTGCTTGAGCGTGGCAAGACGAGCGGGCGCGAGGACGACAACGAGGAGAGCATCAAGAAGCGTTTCCGTGCGTTGCCCCTCTCACCTGTGTCCTGCCTTCGCTCACGATCTCCGTCAGGTGTCTACAAGGAGCAGACCATGCCTGTGATCGAGCACTACAGCAAGGTCGGCAAGGTCGGCACCATCGACGCGACTGCGACTATCAACGAGGTGCACGAGAAGGCAAAGGGGGTAGTCACCAAACTTTTCGCGGGCGAGGTCGGACACAACATCACCGCATAGGCTGCACGTCAAAATGGCGAGGATACCCGCGGCGCATAGAGCATCTAGCAGCATAATATAAAGGCCGTCCACTTGTACAGTGACGGTCAAAAGTAATGCACACCCTGGCTCTGGCGTCTAGTGCGCTTCATGGCGGGCTCGAATCTCGTCCGTTTGGGACGATTTCTGTATGTACGGGTAGATATTCTGAATGCGAACCTGTGGGTACTTGTTTGAGAAGATTCGGACTAGTATTGAGCGAGATAGGAGGCAAACTCTGTGAGCCACCCTGTCACAGCTGTCACAACTGTGGGCAGGGGGCGACAATGCATGTCTGTAGAAGCAGAACTGCAGAGAGTTGAGAGCTGCGATTTATTTGAGGCTTATTAGGAGTCTGAATGATGCTCTGTGTAGGAATTTCAGGCTGCAGAAACTTCTGGTTGGGTCATGTTTGATCAAACATGGTTTTGAGCTGCCTCAACTCAAATCCGACCATTTGTTCGCACAGGCTCGGTCTGACTGCTACTGCAACAGTATGGAATATTTTTAACATGCTCATAGACGTGATTGATGCAAAAAACCAGAGGAGAAAAGGTGCAGATGTGGTTGTAGAAGGTGCACTGTGGTATTGATCAATGTCACACACATCACAAATCGATGTCTAGAACAGGACAAAGGACCCTGTGAGGCACGAAACTGCTGTGAGAACTTCCCATAAAGAAAGGCTTTCAGATAAGGCACGTAAGGTTGGCCGCTATGGCTTCGTTGCATGGGTACATACTCAGGAAGTTGCCTGATGTGACATGTGCGGCTTCACCAAGTATCCCCCGTCCCAGGTTCGCCGTGTTTTTCGCAATTCGTGCATGGTGTTTGTATGTATCAACTTTATAAGTCTCTGAAATGTGCTCAAGCTAAAATTCCAGCATACAGACAGCCAGGAAGGCAAAACAATGGAGGCAGGGCAATCATTGAACATGATCATGTCACATCAGGCAACTTCCTGAGTATGTACCCATGCAACGAAGCCATAGCGGCCAACCTTACGTGCCTTATCTGAAAGCCTTTCTTTATGGGAAGTTCTCACAGCAGTTTCGTGCCTCACAGGGTCCTTTGTCCTGTTCTAGACATCGATTTGTGATGTGTGTGACATTGATCAATACCACAGTGCACCTTCTACAACCACATCTGCACCTTTTCTCCTCTGGTTTTTTGCATCAATCACGTCTATGAGCATGTTAAAAATATTCCATACTGTTGCAGTAGCAGTCAGACCGAGCCTGTGCGAACAAATGGTCGGATTTGAGTTGAGGCAGCTCAAAACCATGTTTGATCAAACATGACCCAACCAGAAGTTTCTGCAGCCTGAAATTCCTACACAGAGCATCATTCAGACTCCTAATAAGCCTCAAATAAATCGCAGCTCTCAACTCTCTGCAGTTCTGCTTCTACAGACATGCATTGTCGCCCCCTGCCCACAGTTGTGACAGCTGTGACAGGGTGGCTCACAGAGTTTGCCTCCTATCTCGCTCAATACTAGTCCGAATCTTCTCAAACAAGTACCCACAGGTTCGCATTCAGAATATCTACCCGTACATACAGAAATCGTCCCAAACGGACGAGATTCGAGCCCGCCATGAAGCGCACTAGACGCCAGAGCCAGGGTGTGCATTACTTTTGACCGTCACTGTATAAGACTAGCAATACAGAACTACACATCGTACACCGGTATCTCACAGGCTCGAGGGAATACTACATGCCATCTGCACTTTCAAGCGTAAACAGCAAATCCTGTGGTAGCGTCCATCGGTGCAGCCGCCGTGCAGACAGCCCTACCGCCTTTGGGTATCAGAAGAATGTCGCCGTCTGTGCAGACAAAGTGCGCGCGCTCGTCGATGTCGTCCTGTGCCTTGTCAGTTTCCGTCACAAGGGCAATGGGGCTCAAGAGACTCACCGGCTCCCATACCCAGCGTCCACACCGGATGTACTCGACCACAGTGGGTCCAGTGCCCTCCGACACAATCTTGCCGTCGTCGTCGTAGCGCATGTCGATGTGTTTTCCGTCCTGATACGCGCCGCCGACAACCGTCATCTGCTTCTGCGCAAATGCCGCCCTCACCTCCTCAGAATCCATGTCCACAGACGGGTCCCTGAACGGCCTGATCATGACCAAGTCCAGCGCCGCGGTCGTCTTCTCCCCGAGTACGTCCTTGCCCCTCGGCGTGATCCTGAACGCGGGCTCGAGCCTGTCCACGTTCACGGTCGACAAGAAGTACGCAAACGGGCCCCCGACGTCGACGATCGGCTCGTCCTCCGAGCTCTCCTCGTGGGGCACGAACGTCCCCGTCGCGGGGTCGTACACCTCGACGACGCCCGCGCCGTCGCGTGGGTAGAGCTTCACGTGGGCGGCGTACCAGCGCGTGACGTTCTGCCGCGCGGCGGTCTTGAAGCGCTCCATGCTCGGGTCCGTCGCGCGCAGCGCCTCCGAGTCGTGGAGGATCGCGGCGTGGAGGGCGGTCGAGGCGACGACGGCGGAGATCGCGGCCTGCCGCGCGCCGCGGGGCACGCCCGGCGTCGCGACGGGCCCGGGCGCGATGTCCGCGACGGCGAGGTTGAGGGGGATGGTGCGCGGGGCGGGGGCGAGGAGCTGCTGGACGGAGCGGAGCCGGTACTGGACCGGGTCGTCGTCGGGCGAGGGGGGGAAGAGGGCGGCGTAGAGGGCGTTGGCGGTGCCGCAGGGGACGAGGGCGACGTTGATGCGGGGGAGGGCGGAGCCGCCCGCAGACTTGTGGAGGACGTTGATGAGCTCGTGCAGGGTGCCGTCGCCCGAGCCGAGGACGACAGAGAGCGGCGCGGCAGGGTCCGCGGCGGCGAGGAAGTCGACGAGCAGCTGGCCGACGTGGCCTGGGCTCTCGGTGGTGGCGACTTTCGCGGGTGCGACGCCGTGCTGGGCGAGGAGGGGGAGGACGTGGGCGTCGAAGAAGGCCTGGGCGGAGCGGTCGCCGCAGACGGGGTTGTAGACGACGAGGACCGGGTCTGGGGCCATGACGCAGTCGACGACGTACGGACGAGGGCAGCTGGACAGGGGCCTCAGTCGCCGCGCACCGTTTTGCAAGGACGACGACGCACCTTTCTTCCTCCTTGTCGTCCGCGACGGCTGGGAGTGAGTACGGTTGGCCGGCTTCGACGGACGACAAAGGCCGCCCGATGCATCGATCAGGCCCATCTTATCTTATCTCCCGGCCTCTCCGCCCGGTCTCCCGCCCCCGCCGTCGTTCCCGCAATTCTTGTCTCACTCGCGCATGTTTCGCGTGCTCGCCCGACCGCCCGCCCTCTCTTCTTTCCGATCGTCCACCTTTTGCGCGCGATGTCTTCCACCACTGCCCCTGCGTTCAAGCCGTTCAACCTCGCCCTCATCCAGCTCGGCCAGGTTGGAGTCGACAAAGCCGGTTCGAGGCTGCTCTCCGCTTATCGACGGCCCTGCTGACACGCTGTTCCAGCAAACCTCAAGCATGCCAGGGAGATGATTTCCAAGGCTGTCAGCGGCGACGGTGGAAACAAGCCGAAACCTGATCTCGTAGTCCTTCCCGTGGGTTCCAGCACCCCATCCTCTGCACCAGCGCTATAGGACGCGATTCGTCCCTGTAGGAATGCTTCAACTCTCTGTACGGCCACACCTACTTCCCAGAGACCTCTGAAAACATCGCGTACACGCCTGGACAACTGTATGACGTCGACAAGTCGGAGAGTCAGTCGGTCAAGATGCTGGCCGCTGCAGCAAAGGACGAAGGGGTGTGGATCATCGGAGGCAGGTCCTAATCACAATACCGCCGCGGCCTCTACCGATGCGCGTTCTAGGATCTATCCCCGAGCGCGAGCAAAGCACTGGCAAACTGTACAACACGGCCACGGTGTACTCCCCCAAAGGTGCGCGTCTGTCGGGAATGGCGAATGAACGCACGCTCCATACGTCATGCCAGGCGAGCTCGTGGCCATGCACCGGAAGGTGCATCTGTTCGACATCGACATTCCTGGCAAGATCACCTTCAAGGTTTGTCTCAGCCTTGAGTTGGGTGTATGCGATCTCAAACGCGCACCGGCCCACACTAGGAAAGCGAGAATCTTAGTCCAGGAGAGACGATCAACCATTTGGACACCGGTGCGGTTTCTTGAGCTGTGTGGTGCTTGTGTGCTGACCACAGGAGGGAATGCAGAGTTTGCGCGCATCGGACTGGGGATCTGCTACGACGTCAGGTTCCCGGAGTTGGCCATGACTTGTGCTCGTCGAGGTCGGTCCACGTCCACCTGTCGTCTTCGACGAGCGACTGACTGGCCGCGCACACGGCAGGGTGCCACATGATGATCTACCCCAGCGCGTTCAACACGACGACCGGACCGATGCATTGGGAGCTCCTGCAGCGTGCACGGTGTGTGGTGGTCGAGCACTGCGGAAACACATTCGCTGATGGTGCATTTCAGCGCGGTGGACAACCAGGTGTTCTTCTCGATGTGCAGCCCGGCGCGGGACATGACGCAGAGCTACCATGCGGTGAGCAGCCCTCCGACCGAGGCGGATGTGGAATGCTGACCGGCCGGGCGTGCAGTGGGGCCACTCGATGGTCGTAGATCCGATGTAGGCGGCGGTTGGTCTTCCCCGGTGTGCCGCAGCTGACAGATGGCACGCAGGGGCAGGGTACTGGAGGAGGCAGGACACGAGGAGGACATCCTGTATGTGCACATCGGTAAGCCACGGCGACCCGCGCAGCGCACGCCGAGAGCTGAGGCAGGCCGCAGACCCGAAGACGTTCGAGGACGCGCGTGCGGCCATCCCGGTGACCACCCAGCGAAGATTCGGAGTGTACCCAGACGTGGCGGGGGAGAGCTGAGTGCTCAGAGCATGATTATATTGGTGGTAGTTGGGCGCCGGAGAGCGGGCCGGGAGACGTGCCCGGGCACCTTCCATATCGGGGGACGCTCGAACGGGGGCGGCGAAGTTTCTGGGACGTTCTCCGGGGTTCGCTGTCCGTCCGCCTTTTATCCTCTACGCGTCTCCCGCTTGTCGTCCATTACTCTTTCCGCTCCCCGTCCCTTTCCCTTTCCCTCTCCTTCTCCCCGATCTCCTCCAATGGTCAAGGAAACGTACGCATCCATCCTGCTCTGCTCGTGCTCCTGTAGTGACCGGCTCTCACCGCAGCAAGTACTATGATCTCCTCGACGTGACTCCCGATGCGAGTGAGACCGATCTCAAGAAAGCCTACCGCAAGAAGTCCGCGACATTCCTCTCATCTCAAGCTAGGGTTCGCCCGCTTACACATCACTCCACAGGGCTCTCAGGCTGCATCCAGACAAGGGCGGTGACCCCGAGCTTTTCAAGGAGGTGACCCATGCGTGAGTAATCCTTGCCACATCTGCTCTCCCCGCAGAGTGCCAATATATCCATGTCCAGCTACGAAGTCCTTTCCGATTCCCAAAAGCGTCAGCTCTACGATGCGCGCGGCGAGGCAGGTCTGAGCGATGCAGGAGGCATGGGTGGCATGGATCCTCAGGTGCGCGCTTTCCCCCTACCTCCGTGATAATCGGCTGAGCAGTGCAATCCCTCCCAGGATCTCTTCAGCCAGCTCTTCGGTGGCGGGTCGTTCTTCGGTGGCGGCCCCTCACGCTCACAAGGACCGCGCAAGACAAAAGACCTTGTCCACCGAGTGCACGTCACCCTCGAAGACCTCTACAAGGGCAAGACCACCAAGCTCGCCCTCACCCGCAACGTCATCTGCGCCAAGTGCAACGGCAAGGGCGGCAAGGAAGGTGCCGTCAAGTCCTGCAACTCGTGCTCTGGTCGCGGCGTCAAAGTCACTCTCCGCCAGATGGGCCCGATGATCCAGCAGCTCCAGCAGCCGTGCGACGAGTGCAGCGGCACGGGCGAGATCATCAACCACAAAGACAAGTGCAAGACGTGCAACGGCCGCAAGGTCATCTCGGAGAAAAAGATGCTCGAGGTCCACATCGACAAGGGCATGCGTGGCGGGCAGACAATCAACTTCCGCGGCGAGAGCGACCAGGCGCCAGGCGTCACGCCGGGCGACGTGATCATCGTCATCGAGGAGAAGCCGCACGAGCGGTTCAAGCGGCAGGAGAACGACCTCTTCCTCGAGCAGGAGGTCGATCTCTTGACCGCACTCGCCGGTGGCCAGTTTGCGATCAAGCACCTCGACGACCGCGTGCTCATGGTCAATATCACGCCTGGTGAAGTACTCAAGCACGGTGCGTATCCTCATGCATGCGAGTGGCGGGCCCGTGCTGATCGACTTCGCTCGATGTAGATGACCTCAAGGTGATCCGCGGCCAGGGTATGCCATCACAGCGACACCACGAACCCGGTGACCTGTTTGTCAAGATATCGGTCAAGTTCCCGGATTCGATTCCGCTCGAATCAGTTCCTCTGCTTGAGCAGGCGTTGCCACCGCGCCAGGCGATAGAGAAGTTTGACAAGGGCCTGGCGGTAGAGGAGGTGGAGCTGGACGAGGTGGACCAGCGACAACGGGAGCGGGCAACAGGCGAGGACGCGATGGACGAGGACGATGAGCAGCCACGGGTGCAGTGCGCGAACCAGTAGCGGGTTGGGTCGATGGACGCTGACTGTGCTTGTTCTGTATCGCTACCGAGAGGGGAGACTAGAGAGGAGGAGAGATGGACGTCGTTGCTTGTCGATCACTGTTGCATTGTCTATCGCATATCCCTGCACGCCATTCGTAGCATAGTACACCATCTAGATTTTGTGACAGTACCCTGTGTTATACATTCCGCCTTTTCTATTCTCTGCCTTGTGCGATGAGATGAGAGTCCGCCTCGCCGGGACACGGGCCAGGGCGATCGTGGGCGATCGGCGGACGCGCGGTGCACGTGAACAAGACGACAACGCGACTCGAACCGCCACCACCGTCCTCATCCCCCTCCCCGTTGGCCAAGACCTTCGTCCCTGCGCCTTTGTCTGCTCGTGCTCTACGCGTCCCACCGCGGCTGCCTGCCCGCCGCAGCCTCTAACCACCATTCCCTCCCTGCTCGCCCTCCCGACTCCCACAGCGTCCCTTCGCTTCACTTGACTCTATTCGGCGCCCTCTTCCTATCGCGATGGCCACTCCCTACAACCCCGGCGAGTCTTCGGGGCCTCCACGCAGGCCAGACATCAAGCGGAAGCTCGTAGTCGTCGGTGACGGTGCGTGTCTGCGCGGCTCTGCGGCCTGTCCAAACTAACCTCGTGCCCTGCAGGTGGCTGCGGGAAGACATGTCTTCTCATCGTGTACGCGGAGAATCGTTTTCCAGAAGTGCGTGCAGCTGCGTCGCCCTTCCGGCTGCCCGCCCGTGTTCTGACGCCTCGCCGCAGGCGTACATCCCCACCGTGTTCGAGAACTACGTCACGCTCGTCAACTTTGATGGCAAGCTCGTCGAGCTCGCGCTCTGGGACACCGCCGGGCAGGAGGAGTACGACCGCCTGCGGCCACTCAGCTATCCGGAGAGCAACGTGATCCTCATCGTCTTCTCCGTCGACTACCCCGTCAGCCTCGGGAACGTCCAGGACAAGGTGCGTCCTCCGCTCTCCCTCCTTTGCGCTCGGAATGCAGACCCGGCACCGTTCCCTTCGTCTCTCTTCTTTCTGCGCAGTGGTTCCCCGAGGTCGCGCACTTCTGCGAAGACGTCCCGCGGATCCTCGTCGCGACCAAGACCGACCTCCGACGCGACGAGCAGACGCGGCGGATGCTGAGCGCGCAGGGCCAGCTGCCGGTGACCACCGAGCAGGGCCTCGCGTCGCGAAGGAGATCGGGGCGCGCTACGTCGAGTGCTCGGCCAAGACGGGGGACAACGTCAAGGAGGTGTTCAACCTCGCGCTCAAGGAGAGCATGAAGGGCAAGTGGGGGAAGATGGTCAAGAAGCCACGGTGCGTCATCACATGAACGCCCCGCCCTCCGCCGCGCTCCCTCGCCGACCGCGCGGACGACATCGCCCGCAGGCGGGACGCGGGACGTGGTGGGACATGTGTGCATATCGGTGGACATTGGCTACGGATCCCCCGCGCGCCGCGCACCACCCCCCTTCGACCAGACACCTCTCCCGCTCCCGACCCCCGCCGGCCCGCCCATTTGGACGCTGCTCCTACGATCTACATCAGCATCTTCGTATACCGCTCTGCCCCACACACCGCGTACTGTACTGACTATTGCTCTTGACTGTCAATCCGTTTTTGTGGACGACTTGGCGGCGAGCCGGCGGGCGGTGCGAGTTGCGGACGCGAGCAGGTAGAAGAACGCGGCGAGCATGACCGCCGCAGTGCCGACGTCGACCCATTTGAGGTCTTCCAGCACCCCCACCGGGACGGTGACCTCGAGCGGATCCCGGGGCGCAGCGTCGTGGATCAGAGCAAGGGAGCCAGTCGGCCATCCGGGGAGCGAGACGTAGGAGAGCAGGGCGTCCGGCACGGGCGCTGGCTCTGAGGGAGCACTCGTTCACTCGGACTCCAATGCGCGACCGAGGACGGGCACTCACTGTCGAGGGGGCATGATAGAAAGCCGAGCGGCCTCCGTAGTCGCGCGGTGTGATATGCAGCAGAGTCTCCGGAGACCGGCGTTGCATACCGGGCATGCAGGGGGACGTCTAGCGTGACACTCGAGCCGGGCCTGAGCCCAGCAGTCAGGAGGAGGACGGTCCCGTCTGGAGGCACGGCAGAGAGAGGTCGCTCGAGGTCTGAGAGGCCCCAGAGGGCGGTGGTGTAGTCTGGCCGTTGTGCCAACTCGTACTCGTCGGCGTACACATCGGGGCCGAGGTCGTGCAGGACGTGGAGGGCGCACTGGTCGAGGGCGACGTCGGGGGCGAGATGACCGAGGTGGAGACGGTGAAGTGGAAGCCCTGCGGCTGCAGCGCGGAGTCGAGGGAGGACATGGACATGGGGGTGGGGACGACGGAGGCGGGAGGCCGGACCGCGTCGCGTCGCGCGTGCGCCGTGCGGTGGACGATCGGCACGTGGAATCCATTCCGACGCTTGGCCGCGACCATGGCCCTCCGCCGACGCCCGCCCACCGTCCTCGTCTCCCCTTGCGCCCGCCATGTCGTCGACCGATACTCCAAACACCTTCCGGCCTTCCATCACCTCCCGCGAGCTCGCCGCCGTCGATGGCGTCCTCCAGGACATGTCCCAGACCGAGAATGCGCCCATCTCCGTCAACGCCGTCCCGGGGATCGACATCTCTCTGCCTGAAATCGGCTCTCCCCCCGCAGTCTTCAAGGCTGGGGGCACGATGTAAGCACCTGCGCATATACCGACCAGGTGCCCCGCCCACACTTCTCCAGGCTCAAGGAGTTTGATCAGTCCACGGCGACAAGCCGGATCATGTCCCAAGCATCCACCCCTCCGCGGTCTGTCGTCGGGATCGGCGGCAAGGGTGCGCCCTCTTTTCCTCCATCTCAAATGCCCGCTCACCGTCTCCAGTCGGCAAGCCTGACTATTCCGAGGCCAAGATCGTGCTTGCCATGGTGCGCTTCCACCCTGCCATCTCTTTCGCGCCGCAGACTAAATACCAGCCAGGTCGGCCTGCCCGCCCGTGGCAAATCCTATCTGAGCAACAAACTCATGCGATACCTCAAGGTGCGCTTCTAGCTGTCCCAGATCTTCCCCGAAACGTCGTGTTCATATGACCCCGCAGTGGTTGGAGTATAACGTGAAGGCGCGCCCGCCTTCCCACCCTCAGATCTCGATCCCCTCTGATCGCCGATTCAGGTCTTCAATGTCGGCCAGCTTCGCCGCTCTCGCGCCCGCCAGAAGGCACAGCAGTACGCACCTGATTCGAAGGACCCGTCACGTTGCTCATTCGTGTTTGGTTGCAGGAGCGGCAAACGCGAGGACCACACGGCCTCGTACTTTAGCCACGATAACTCCGAAGCTACCAGGATCCGAGAAGAGCTGGCCAACGACAGTCTTGAGATGCTCATCAAGTGGCTCAAGGACGGGGGGAACGTTGGCATCCACGACGCTACTAACAGTACGCGCAGCCGGAGGTAGGCGTTCACGGGTCGAGATCTTGTAACTCAGTCTCACTTGTGTTAAAGGAAGAAGATCGAAGAACGGGTCGCGCGCGAACCCGGTCTCGTCGTGATTTTCCTCGAGTCCGTTTGCGACGACCCTGCTGTGATCGCCGCCAACGTCGCACTAAAGGTATCCTCTGGTGACCCGGACTACAAGGACATGTCTCGCGAACAAGCCAAAGCCGACTTCGAGCGGAGGATCCGAGAGTACGAGGCCGTGTATGAGACGATCACTGAGCCGCATCTGTCCTGTTTGAGGATCAAAAATGTCGGCAACCAAGTGACTCTCTGCCACATTCACGGTTATCTTCAAAGTCGAATCGCCTTCTACTTGATGAACCTGCACCTCAAGCCCCGCAGCATCTTCTTTTCTCGAGTGAGTATTTTTTTTCACTGCTCTGCAGCTACCATTGACAACAACTTGACAGCACGGAGAAAGCCAGTATAACGTCGAGGGCAAGATTGGGGGCGACTCTTTGTTGTCCGAGCGCGGATTGAAGTATTCCAAAGCGTTGCCTCGACTGATCACTGAGAACATCGGCGACGCGCCCTTGACGGTACGCAGAGCTGTAAATTTCCTTCCAGCTGGTGGTTGCCGACGTCAAATAGGTATGGACTTCGACTCTTCAACGAACCATCCAGACCGCGCAAGAGCTGCCGTATAACAAGCTCACGTGGAAGTCGCTCGACGAACTCGACGCTGGAGTATGCGACGGTATGACATATGAAGAGATCGAGGTCAGTTCCTTTTGTGGGACATGCACAACCTCACTTATCGAGGTTCCAGCAAGCGTACCCTGAAGACTTTGCAAACCGTGACGAGGACAAGTTCAACTACCGCTACCGAGGTCAGTCAGATGAGCCTACTCCAGCCATTGTTTCCTCACCGTTCGACAGGCGGTGAATCGTATCGCGATGTGGTCGTACGGCTGGAGCCCGTCATTATGGAGCTGGAGAGGCAAGAGAACATCCTGATAATCGGCCATCAGGTAATGCAACTGCTCTGGTGCTGAAACAACCCACTCACTCGGCGGTTGATACAGGCCATTCTCCGGTGCTTGTATGCGTACTTCCATGATCTTCCTCAGGCGGATCTTCCATACATCAAGATTCCTCTACACACCGTCATCAAGCTGACGCCCAAGGCCTACGGTTGTGACGAGGAGCGCTACGCCGTGCCCATCCAGGCGGTCGACACCCATCGTCCGAAGCCCAAGGGTGGTGAGACGAACGCTCCAACACCCAACACCGCCCGTGAATATTTCTCGAAGGACAGGTAAAATAGAGGCGGTTCCCCTGTAGACAAGTGCGCGCGTTGGAATCGTGCATAGATGTTGTACAATTGGAATTACATCAGGAGTGTTTGTTTGTTGCAACGCTCGCTTGGCCCGATCTCACGCCACCCACGCGTCTTCCGCTCTCGGGATTCCGTCTGGGCCGCCTTCGCTGCACCTCCCACGTCTCCAAAGCCCGCCCCCTCGCGCACTCGCGTGCCTCGCACGATACTCGCCCGCATCCTCCGCTCTGCTAGTGCGAAACGCGCGCCATCGCGCATGTCCTCTGGCTCCAAGCAATGTACGTGTCCTGTGTGCCCCCCTCCTCCCCCTCTCACCCATTTACCTCGCAGCCTCCAAGAAACGGTCAGCAGATCATCTCGACTCTGCAACCCCTGGACCGTCTTCAAAGTCCCAGAAGCGCAAGTCGCGTTTCTCTTCCTGAGCTCGTATGTTCACCCCCTCCATCCCCAGTCTTCCCTCTCTTCGACAAGCCCGGTGCTAGTTCGACAGACTCTTCGCATTTTCGCTGGATATTACCCTCTCTCGGAACAAAACGCTCCTGCTTGCACGGCCTCAGTCATGAGCCGCGCCCGTCCACCAAGGTCGCCGCCTTTGATCTTGACGGCTGCCTCATAACGTCCTCCTTTCCCAAGAAGGGCACTCCACCAACGTTCGAATGGTGGAACAAAAGGGTGCCCGCAAAGCTCAAGGACGTACACGACCAAGGGTACGTCCGTCCGATTGTCCGCCGTTCTCTCGTGCTTTTCCTCACTCCTCCTGCAGGTACTCGGTAGTCATCATCACCAACCAAGCCCTCCGCACCACGGCCCTAATCAACGACTGGAAGAAGAAGATCCCTCTCATCGCAGCTGCAGTACGTCTGGCCGTTGACGAAACTGTGCTGCACTCAACAAACACCCGCACCAGCTCCCGGATGTCCCTTTTCGCATTTTCGCGGCCACCGAGAAGGATGGATATCGAAAGCCTATGCCGGGCATGTGGCAGGAGCTTGAGCGCATATATGCAGGCGACGGGGTCCAGATAGGTGCGTCTGTTGGTTTTTGTCGCTCGGGCAACCTCACCCCTTCTCACATCGCGCTATCAAGACCTCTCAGAGTCATTTTTCGTTGGTGATGCTGCTGGACGCAAAGGCGACCACTCATCGACAGACAGGAAGCTTGCACTTAATCTTCGCCTGCCATTCTATACGCCAGAGGTAGGCCATCGCTTCACAGAATGTCATTGGCGCCAACGGATATCTTCCTAGGAGTATTTCTTAGGACTTCAAGGAGCCCCATACACATTACCTGGGTTTAATGTGTCGTCTTTACCAGCGGAGGGTCCGTCCAACTTTTCCCGTTATTGCAGAGCATTTTCTCCAACACTCCGTCCACAGAACCCCTACTAGAACCGTCTGACCCCCCTCTAGTACCTGCTCTCTCTACCCCCGAGCTGGTACTGCTTGTAGGGTATCCGGCCTTAGGAAAGTCTTCCTTCGTCCGCAACCACTTCGACCCCGCGGGTTATGTGCACGTCAACCAAGATTCATTGAAGACGCGTGACAAGTGTGTCAAGGCCGCCGGGGAAGCTCTACAAAACAAACAGAGTGTTGTTGTGGGTGAGCCCTCTGCGCAACCACTGAAGGCTCTCGCGCTGATCCCATGTTAGACAACACAAACCGCAACGTAGCGACCCGCAAGTACTACCTCGATCTCGCCAAGAAGCACAAAGTCCCTACCCGGTATACGTTTTGTCCGCCCGCCGAGATGATGCGTCTAACACGTCCCTCAGTTGTCTCATCTTCACGGGTTCCATGGAGTTGGCATGGCACAACAACCTCTACCGAGCGTTCAACTTGCCTCCAGAGCAGGCCGCCTCGGAGGTGCGACACGATCCACCACTTCTACTAGTCTATGTGCTAATCATCTGTCGCCCGCTCAGCCCAAACGCGAGCTCTTGCCATTCAACGCGTTTACCAGCTTCCGCGCCGCGTACGAGGAGCCCACGACCGATGAAGGATTCACCGAAGTGCGCAGGGTCAATTGGGTATTCGAAGGGGACAAAGAGGCGCGACGACGGTGGAGCATGTGGTTGCAGATCGATGGCAAGTAATGTCACGGAATGAACGTCTCTAGCCTCCGTGCATCGTACACGTTCTATTTGCTACGTACATGTCGTCCTACTCTCAGAATCGCAGCGAACGGATCATTCATCTTCGACCTTCTTCAGCCCGCTCACGTCTCTCGTTCCCCTGGTCGGACCTGCAGTCAGCGCGGACGCAGAGACCAAGAGGGCGAATGCACGTACATGACGGGCATCCCAAAGACGTCGATCGCGTCAACACGCGTCTCGTCCTCGCCTCCCTGGTTCGACACCACAAACGCCTGCACGCCGCCCCCGCCGAACGTTCAGCACACCGCCCACACCCCAGCGCCGCGCAGACGGGGGAGAAGAGCGCACGGACGGCGGGGACTCACATGCAGACTCGTCACCGACTGGAAGCGCACGAACCGGAGCGGGACCTTCCTGCCCTCCCGGACGTCCGCCTCCGAGAGCTCGAGCTCCTGCACGACCGCGCTCGCCTCCTCGCCGTCCTCGAAGCTCAGCGACGGCCGGTTGATCAGCAGCCGCACCGTCCTCGGGCCGCGGGCGACCTCCGCCGTCTGCAGCGCGATCGCGCGGATCTTGACCGTCTGGTTGAACTGTGCTCGCCGCAGAGCCCGAGGGGGGGAGGAGGAGGAGGGCGGGGCGTCAGCAGGCAGTGGGGAGATTGATCAGTGGCGCGACCGGGGGACGCGTACGGGGATGTTGAGCAGGAGCTGCTCGTCGGCGTCGCTCTGCAGGTACGCGCTGCCCGTGTTCTTCTTCTTGTCCGCGAGGATGCCCTTGAGGGTGTGCTGTGGCGCCTCGTTGAGGCAGTTGAGCTGCGGGGACTCGAGGTACTCGAGAAGCGAGGCCTGGGCGCGACCGGTCAGCTCGAGGGCAGACTGCGGGCGGCCAGCACGCTCACTTCTGCGTCGGCCATGGGGTGCAGCGGGGTGCGGGGGGCAGGTGTGGAGGGGAGGGGATGGGGGTATCGTGGATGGATTAAGAAGAGAATACAGGGTACGGGCGCGCGGGCTCGGAGATTAGATAAGATGAGCGAGGGCAAATACAGCAGCAGCCGGCCCCGAGCGCGTTCTACAGTCCGTCCACCCCGTCCGTCTCCCAGCGGTCTGCTCGCCTCGACTGGCCGTGCTATACAATCACACACTCGTCCTTCGCGTCCTGCCGCGTCGGCCGCGCCATGTTCGCCCGCTTGTTCCCGTTCCGCTTCATCTCCGTCAGCCGGTTCATTGCCCGCTTGTTTCCCTGCGCTGCAAGCAAACACATTAGCCACATTCGCCACCAGGACCGCGCCCGACTGACCTGCTGCACGCATGTACCACCGCTTCGCGAACTCGACGTCCTGCTTGACACCGATGCCGACCTCCGCGTAGTACCCGACCGCGTACTCGGCCTTGCTCAGACCCTTGTTCGCCGCCCTCCTCGCCCACAGATACGCCTCCGAGTCGCTCTGCTTCAGCACCCCCTCGCTGCCCGTCAGGTACCAACCGCTCAGCGCCAGCTCCGCCTCCGAGTGCCCCTTCTCCGCCGCCTTCGTGTACCACGCGATCGACCGCCGCGGGTCCACCGGGCAGTTCATCGACCCGTACTCGTACGCCTGCCCGAGCTTGTACTGCGAGTGCGTGTATCCGAGGCGACCCGCGCGCTCGTACAGATCCCGCGCGTACCCTGGGTCGCATGGCACAACCCCGTTCGCAGGGTTCTCGTGGAGCATCGCGAGCTCGTGCAGCGCGTGCGGGTTCTCTTCGTCCGCCTGTTCCGCCGCGCGCCGGAGCCAACCTATCGCTTCGCGTGGGTTCGGCGGCTGCTTGAGAAGTCCTCGTAGGAGGATGACGCCAAGCTTGTACATAGCCGCTGTGTCGCCCAGGGACGCTGCTTTGCGGTAGAATGCCGCGGCGCGTTGAGGATCGGCCCGGGTCCCAGCCCCGATCTCGTTACATACTGCAACGCGGTAGCAGGCGGCGGCGTGATTTTGCTTCGCGGCTTGAAGGTACAGGTGGTAGGCTCGTTCGTGGTCAACTTGCAAGCCCAGCATACCGGTGCCGTGGCAATTGGCGAGGAAGAACTGCGCATCGTCGAAGGGCTGGCCCTGTGTGGCTAGCCGTCGGATGACTTTGAGAGACTCTTGAATCAAAGCGTCGCGGTACTTCCGTAGCCCTCTTTGATCCTTGGCGTCACTGCCGAGTTTCTTTGCAGCGTCGATAAGATACTTCGCGTATATGAACTGAGCCTCCGGATCCGGGTCGTCTTTGATACGTGCGCGATACTGGTCGATGTACTCCTTGGTGAATGGAGGGGCGCTAAGGTCGATGGCCTTGATCTTCTGCGTGCGAGGGTTGACAGAAGTCACTGTCTCGGATCTATTCATCCGAGGGCGAGACATCTCGAACTCTGGCTCCTCCTGAGGCGGTGGGCCCATTGAAGGGGCTGTCCGGAACGAGGAGGCGTTCGAGACGCCTCTCGTGAGGCTAGTCTGCGAGTCGTTGGGGTAACCCCCAGGACCAGGGGGGTACTGGCCAGGGGGTCCGAGGAACGCTTGATGCTGGCCCGGCGGGGGGCCATAGTTTTGTTGGGCATAGGGAGATGGCGACGGACCGGAGCGAGGGTAGGGCGGTTGGGCAGGACCAGGAGGGAGAAACTGGCCAGAAGGTCCCGGTCCTTGTCCCGGTCCTTGGGGATAGCCTCCATACATCGGCTGTCCAGGTGGGGGGGCAGCCCCGGGAGGAGGCGCCATTCCTAATACGTCCGAGGCGGCCGCGTAGAGATAGTTGAAGTCGCCCCCTTGAGGAGGAGGGCCATTGTACATGGGTTGTCCGTGTCCTTGCCAACTCCCAGGCGGAGGAGGGTAGCCACGGCCTGGCGGGGGACCTTGCTGATTCTGCTGGGCCACGGCAGGCTCCTCGGTGTACGAGTATAGGCTCACCACGTCGCCTTCTGGGTCGTGCCCTTCACTGTAGAAGCTGGTGCCACCGCTGCCACCGGAGTGGACGGAGGCGGAACGTCCGGTGTCCATTCGTGCTGGGGACCGCGACGCATCTGATCAGGGGATGTGGGAAGACCCATGGGAGGACCCATGCGCTGAGGCGACTGGATAGAATACATTGAGCCCATGGACATGGAAGTGCCTGTGCGAGAGATGGGGTCTCCAAGCGGAGGGCCATGGGGCTGGTTGCCGTGTTGCTCGAGGTACATGTTGCCGAACTGGTCGGCGAGCGCATTGGGATTGTAGTGTGAGGGGAGAGGAGGGACATGGTCGGTCTCGCCGTAGTTGTCTACCTGGGTGTTGATCGCGGGTACGGAATGGTTCTGGTGACGCATGAGAGGGGCATTTGCTGATAAGAGGTGGGACGGGACGAGGGCGATTGGGAATGCGGTTAGGACAGTGGGAAGTGGGACGAGGAGCTAGCTCACAGTGATCATTATGGACGCCGTCAAGATCTTCATAAGGCGGAGCGTCGTAGTCGGGTGGGAATGTGTTCGCGCGAAGGGGGCGTGGTCCCCGCTGTCGGGGGCAAGGCCCTGGCGACGGGATGCGAGCAGTCCAGGGGCAGGCTGGAGCCCGTCGACCTCGGCGTCGGCCATGGGATCGCGAGACCGGGGACGCGTGGGGCGGGTGCGGGCAAAGGAGGAAGAGCGGGGAGGGGCGGGGGACGGGGGAGAGGGCCGGATGCAGGCTGAATGCAGGGCGAGGACGAGGACGACAGCAGGACGGCGCTCGCCGGGAAGCCCGTGCTCCGCCACCGGGGACGCCGACTGTCGTTCATTAGCGAACGCAGACGTCCATCAGCGACTGCTAGTACACAGACGGCGTCCATTAGCGGCTGCTAGTACATAGTGATTAATGCCACAGAGGCAATAATGATATTCCATCGTCCGAAAGTCCTCTCAGCACCCGCCGTCCACCGCCATCGCACTCGTCCCTCCGCCGTCCGCCTCTGCCGTCCCGTTCGTGCTGCCTGTCTCCGCCACCGCAGGTGGTTCGGGGGCAGCGTCCCCCAGCTCCACGTCCTCTCCCTCCGTCTTCAGCACCGTGCGCGGGGTCGACGTTCCGCTCGCGCTCGCGCTCGTCCACGTCCACTCCTCCAGCACCCTTTCCACCCGTTGCCTTTCCAGCCCTCTCGCCGTCCGCCGCACCTTGACGATCACCTCCCGCTGTCGCTCCACCTGCGCATCCTCGCCATCCGGACCATCCGCCACCGCCTCCCAGCTCGCCCACGCATCTGTCCACTGCGATGTCCCCGGCTTCGGTCGCGGTGCCCGGGCGAGCGCGCTCTCCTTCTCCGGCTTCTGCTCCTCCACCTTCTCCCATCCTGGCCGCTTGAAGTTCCGGAACAACTCCGATCCATCCTCGCTCGCGTCCACGCCCGTCCGCTTTCGCTTGTGCGACGCGCCGTTGGCAGACGTGTCCCCGTTCACCGCCGTCTTCGTCCTCCGGTGACCTCGGCTATCGTCATCGCTAGCGTATCCAGCCGCGTGTCGCGCCCTCCACCGCAGCTCGCGAGCCACAGCGTGTGGATCTTTGATCCGGTCTCCTGGCACTTCCTCCTTCGCCTGTCGTTTCGCCGCGTCCGTGCCCCGCTCCATCGTCCGAGTCTCTTGGACGAGGAACTCCGCGATGGCCTCGATTCCTTCCAGCACTGGCGGCGGGAACTCCTCTTTCGCCTTCAGGTCGCGGATGTACTTTTCAGCTGCGTACCAGCATAGCCTTCGACGTCGCTGTCAATAGCAGCCACTAGTGGAGCGAGGAAACAGACCGTACCGGGAGAATTGCGGGAACCTGAACTTCTTGGGCACATGGGTCGCGATCTCAATCTCGCGTACACGGAGTTCTATCAGGTAAAGTGTGAGCGCGATGATCAGGGATCAGACATTGCGTCTTACGCATTGGAACGTTGTACGAATGCAAGAAGTTGCCTCCGAAGACCAGGGTGTCTATTGGTGTGTACTGAAATGCCTGTCAACGTGTTGGCGTCCCTGTATGCAGCTCGGACTCACTACGGCATGAATCCAGCCAGTTGGGATGATCATGGTGTTGCCTGTGGTCAGTTCGACTTTGAAGACCTCGTCGCACATGTCGCCAAGCCAGGAATGGTTCTGAGCCTCGCTTCCTGACCATCGTTCATAAGCTGCCAAGTTTGCAGGTGTAGGGCGGATGAAGTAGAAGACCTGGATCGCGAAGTGAGCAAATGACTGACATAGCTACGCTGGTTCAATTACTCGTACCTTCTTCCCATGAAGTATGTGGTAGTACACCGACGACCCAGCGAAGTCAATATGCCAGTCCTAAAAGCAACGGCCATTAGGTATACTGCAGATAGACCGGAGCTACGGGCTACTCACAGTCCACGCCCCTGCGACGCCCATGAGACAGTAGAGCTGGACTTTGGGATAGGTGTGCCCGCGGCCCTTTTTCGTGCTCGGCCAGAACTTCTCGACCCAGTCGAGCTCGCGGACGATGCGGGGAGGCAAGATGCGGTCCGCCAGGTCCGTGCCCGAAACCTCGAGCGAGATCACGTTCCGGATTTTGTCCCGCTTGTCGGCCTCCGTGTTCCAATACTCCTGCCACTTGCCCAGCGTCCAGTGCACGTTCGACTGTGTTGCCACATCTGCGATTTCCCGACGACGACGTCAACGCTACGACATACGCTACAAACGCGCGCAGATCCACCCGCGCGCGACGGAAAGTACGCACCGATCACCTCAAGCGGATACTCCTCGCCCAACGCCTCCGCGACGTCGTCGACGGAGAAGCCCGTCGGGGCATCTTCATCCCGAGCCCCTCCTCCGTCTCGACCACGATGGGATCCTTCATCGCCTCCTCGTCGTTCTGCAGCCACTCGAGCCCGACGTCGGCGCCGGGCATGCGCTTGAACGGGTCCTTCTTGATCGGCTTGCCTTCCATCATCCGTAACCAGCGGCTGGGGTCCGCCTCCTGGCCTGCGTTGAGGCCGGCGTAGTCCCGCTGCTGCTTCTTGCGCGTCGACTTGCGCGCGGGAGGCTTCATCGTAATGACGCGGCTGGGGCCGCGGCGCGACACGGCTTGCAGAACCTACCGCGTCGTCACGGGGGGCGCGGAGACGAAAAGAAAAAAAGAGAGGACGCAAAGAGGGAGATTGGTGCGAGAGCGGAGACGGAAACCACCGGCAAGAGAGGGACAGTCACGCACCACATGTCCACCGCGTCCAGGTCGCCGTCGCCCGCGCACCGCCAGTGGAACCACGTCTTGCACGCGTCGCAGCGTACCCACTTCTCCTTGTTGGCGTCCTCGACCTGTGCGCCGGCCACGGCCTCGGGGCAGGCGGGGCAGCGTTCCTCCTGGGCCTCTTCTGCCTCCTCGACCTCCTCGCCGATTTCGTGGACCTGCGCGTCGTCATCGGTGGCGCCCGCCTGCTCGGGCGTCTTTTGGGGTTTGGCAGGCTTTCGACGGGTACGGGCCATGTGCGGGCGATGCGCCTGGGAGGTTCGCGTAACAAGGACAGAAGAAACAGGAAGCTCTGTGCGCGTGGCCACAGGCGAGAAGGCGTGTGGAGAGACACGACAGCGCAGCTCGCCCGTGCCGCCCGGGGGCGCTCCAGGCGCCGATCGCCTGAACAGGCACCCTGCCTCGAGCGGGCCTTGCCCTCTTCGCTCTCCCTCCAGGAATATTCTCGGTCTCGGACTCCCAGGCACTCATTCGCGCGGGACAGGTCGCTACTCTATTTTGGGTTCTCTAGTATTAAAAGCACTTACAGCCGGACGGTCCATGTCCTACTACAGATACAGTTGACTTCTGGTTTGCCTTCATGCGCATCACAACACTTCACTCACTTCTTCTCGCTCAGCTGGGCGACACCCGGAAGCACCTGCACCTCTCGTCAGTTCGTCGCCCTCTTTACACTCCACTCGTGTACTCACCTTGCCTTCCAGAAGCTCCAGGCTCGCACCTCCGCCAGTGCTGACGTGGCTGAGCTTGTCCTCGGCGCCGTAGTTGGCCACAACAGTCGCGGTGTCTCCACCGCCGACAATCACCGTCGCGCCATTTTGTGCCGCCTTGATGGTAGCATCCAGCAGAGCCTCCGAAGACGCGGCGAAAGCGGGGAACTCAAACACACCGGGCGGGCTTCCCCAGCGAGTCAATGCCCGAAGTTCCAAAGAGAATAACGCTCGAGAATTCACTCACCCGTTCCAGAGAATGGTCTTCGCCTCCAATACCGTTTCGCGGAAGAGCTCTCGGCTCTTCGGGCCGGCGTCGAGACCCATCCAGCCGTCAGGGATGCCTTCCGCGTCCGTGGCGCTACCCGTCTGTCCTCCAATCAGCCATGTTCGCCTTCAAACGTGCTGTCGCCAACCCACCGTTGCATTCTTGTCAAACTTGTCCGCAGTGATGTAGTCCACGGGGAAAACGACCTTGATGTTGCGGGCCTTGGCCTGCTCAACCAGCGCAGCCACCTTCTCGGAACCCGGCGCATCGAACAGGGACTGGCCAATCTGCGATCACACGATTGAGATTGCCAGAAGACGCGCCACATTCCACGGGCCGACATTACCTTGACGTTCTCGAGAGTCTTCTTGAAGGTGAACGCCATTCCGCCGCAGATGATCAGAGAGTTGACCTGGAAACGTGTGAGCATCTAATAACCGACGGTGAGCCCATTCGTCGTACCTTGTCCAGCATGTTCTCAATAAGCTGGATCTTGTCAGAAACCTTTGCGCCACCAAGGATGGCCAGGAACGGCCTCTCGGGGTGCTCCAAAGCCTTGGCGAAATAGTCGAGCTCCTTCTTCATGAGGAAGCCGGCCGCGCGCTGCTCGAGCAGCACACCGACCATGCTGGAGTGGGCGCGGTGGGCAGTGCCGAATGCGTCGTTGACGTAGACATCGCCGAGCTTGGTGAGGCCCTCGCGGAACTCGGTGACCTTGGCGGGGTCGGCCTTGGTCTTCTTGCCTTCCTTGTCCTTGCTCGAACCCTCCTCCTCAATGTGGAAGCGAAGGTTCTCGAGCAGGATCACCGACCCCTCAGGAGCCTCGGCGACGGCCTTCTCGACATCGGGACCGACACATTCGTTGACAAAGAGCACAGACTTGCCGAGGTGCTTCTCGAGCTCGTGGGAGACGGGCTCAAGGGAGTACTTCGCGTTGGGCTTGCCGTCGGGGCGGCCGAGATGGGACATCAGGATGACCTTGGACGCGCCTGGCGGTGGGATCAGGGCTTGAGCACGCGCCAGAAGAGATGAGACAGACCGTTGTCGATAGCATACTTGATCGTAGGGAGCGCAGCGACGATACGCTAAAAACACAGGCGTCGGTCGAGAGCGGGCTTTGCGCGAAGGGGAGGACGCACGGCGGGGTTAGTGACCTTGCCATCGGCCATGGGGACATTGAAGTCGACGCGGATCAGGACGCGCTTGCCCTTGAGGTCGAGGTCGGTGATGGAGAGCTTGTTGGAGAGCGACATGGTGCGTGGGTGCAGGGGAGATCGATGGCAGGACGCGGTGGGGACTCGGGAGGGGATGGGTTGGGGAGCTTATATCGCCCGCGCGATGAAGTCACTCGGCACTCGCCGCCCGCGCCTGCGATGGCCGGTCCGCGCCTCGGCTACTCTCGTCGCCCTCCTCTCTCTCCTCCCTCCTCTCACGCCGTGCCATGGCTGACAATCCGTCTCCAGACCAGTCTGCTTCCAACTCGCTCGGCCTGGACATCGAGGCTCCCGCGCCCAAGGGCGCTCCTGATGCATCCAAGGCCGCGGAACCTGCGCATAACGCCCCTTCGGACGACTCACCGAAGTCTCCAGAGGATGCTTCGGACAGCAGGGGCGACGGGGAGAATGGCTCCAAGGAACCCAAGGAAAGAAAAAGCCATATGTGAACCCCGATCGCGTCAAGACGGGCGGCCAGCGAGTGCGCACTCGACACGCTCTGTCGCCATACGCGTCGCGTTGATGAGCTTGTGCAGGAAAAGCCCAGCGAAGAGGAGCTGGCAGAGCGCATGACGCGCATTCGCGAGCAGAACGAGAAGATCAAACAGCGGCGTGCGGTATGTGTGCTAAACCTCACTTGCGCGTATCTCGCTGATGGGGGCGAGTCAGGATGTACAAGCAGATGAAGACGAGTACAAGAAGAAGCAGGAAGTGGAACGCGCCAAGATGGCGAAACAGAAGAGGGTGCAAGAGAGTGTGGACAAGGCCCGCGAGCAAAATGCTCGCCGTAAGATGGATAAGGTGCGTGGTCACATCCTCTTCAAACATAACACGCATACATAACATGCTATCTTACTCAGGTCCAAAGTCGCGAATGGGACTCTGGGAAGCCTTCGCGCAGTGAGTGGAACAAGGGCAAGAAGCCTGAAGAGGGCGAAGATGCGGAGAAGAAGCCGCAAGCGTCCATCGGCATCCGAGGCGCAGTGCGGGGAGGTGGCCGCGGCGGAGGCGGGGGGCGTGGTCGGGGCGTGGGGGCGGGGTGCCCTCGCCTGGAGCAGACAAGAGCGAAAAGAAAGACCCATCCCCCGCTGCTCCTGCGGCAGCAACGCCGGCGCCGGCGGAGAGTGTTCCTGCAAACTCGTAGTAAATGATACCCTTGTGCTGTGTATGATAATGCTTTGCTGTATGTTCGGGATGATGTCATTAATGCTATCGAAATCGTTTCTTGCTCCTCTCCAAGCTCGAGTGCGGCGGCTGGTCTCTTCCTTGCCTCCCTGTACTGGGCTAACCTTCGGTCCGCTGGTCCTGCTCCGGCCCGGCCGATCTGTCCCACTCGATTTTCGGAAGCGCGCGTGGCGAGCGAGTGTCGCGTCCTCCGACCTGCTTGAGCAGTTCCGTCCACTGCCGGGACAACTCAGCCTTACATTCTCGCCGACCGGTCACTGTCAACCGCCATGGGTCGGGGCGTTCTCTTAACCTCGAACCTTCCTCAACTCCAAAACCTGATCAAGCGTGACCCACCCGCATACAAGGAGGAGTTCTTGCAGCAGTGGAACCACTACAACAGCATCCGTCAGATATTCCAGATAAACCCGGACGAAAATGCTCAGCACTTCAGAGAACTCGTCTCCTTCATGGCGCAGGCGGGTGGTCAGCCCCACCCTCACCGACCATTACATTCTGATTCCGTGCGCAGGTCGCCCAGTGTTACCCGAAGGAGACCTCCGAGCTCCCCACCCAGATCTCAGCCCTGTTGCTAGAAAGCTACGGCTCGCTTTCTCCAGATACCCGCAAGTCTCTCGTCCAGACCCTGGTCATGCTGCGCAATAAGGATGTCATTACCTCCATAACGTTCGTAATGGCGTTCGTCTTGTCTTCATGGCTAGAGCTTCTTCTTCAGGCTACTGCAAACTCTGTTCCCCCTCCTGCCCCGCACGACTTCGTCCACCCTGCGGGCCTTCATCCGAAGGACTATCCTGTCAGACATCCGCACTGCAAACCTCCGGAGCAAAAACCACAAATTGAACCGTGCCGTACAAGCCATGCTTTTCGGCATGATTGAACGTGGGATGGACGGCGAGGTCGTCGGAGACAAGGGCAAGCTCAGGGCCGCTGTGGGATCTTCCACGGCTTCGAGCAATGGCGAGGAAGCCATGTGGGCAGTTGTTTTGACCAAGGAGCTGTGGAGGAAGGGCATTTGGTACGTCGCGTCTATGAAATTTTACACAAGTTATATATCTCTGGATACAGGAACGATGCCAAGACCGTATCCATTATCGCGCTGGGATGCTTCCATCCAGTGGCGAAAGTCCAGAGCGCTTCGTTGCACTTCTTCCTCGGAAGTGACGAAGAGAAGGAAGACAGCGATGACGAAGAGGACGAGGTGAGCAGCCATGTTAGTTGGGGTTGCCCATGTGGCTGAGATGCTGTTTCTTCAAGCTTCCGAATGTGAAGGCACTCCAGCATCGTCAAAACATCAACAAGAAGACCCGCAGTGGCGCAAAGATGATGCAGAAGACCGTCAAGTCTGTCAAGATGGTATGCACGTCCGTCCCCACGGCTTAAGCCTACCCTGACACCCCACTAGAAAAGGAAGAAGAGGGCCGAAGCCGAGAACACCAACTTCCCTGCCATCCAGCTTCTCAACGACCCTCAGACCTTCGGCGAGAAGCTTTATGACATGCTCAACAAGTACGACAAGAGGTACTCTCTCGATCACAAGATCCTCATCATGCAGCTCCTCTCCCGCGTCATGGGCGGCCACAGGCTCTGCGTGCTCGGCTTCTACACCTACATCATGAAGTACCTCACCTACCACCAGCTCCGCATCCCTGCCATCCTCGTCGCCCTCGCCCAGTCCGTGCACGAGTTCACCCCGCCCGACGCCCTCACGCCCGTCGTGCGCAAGATCGCCCAGGAGTTCGTCCACCCCGGCGTCGGCAGCGAGGTCATCGCCGCCGGCATCAACTCCATCCGCGAGGTCTGCCGTCGGCAGCCGTGGGCGATGGAGGAGGAGCTCCTCGGCGACCTCGTCGACTACCGCAAGAGCCGCGACAAGGCCGTCACCGCCGCGGCGCGCGGCATCCTCCAGCTCTTCCGCGAGGTCAACCCGGGGATGCTCAAGCGCAGGGAGCGCGGGAAGGAGGCGGCGATGGGCATGGCGTCCGGCTCCCAGCCGCTTCCGTTCGGCCATAGTGCGGAGGCCGCGGTCGACATCGAGGGCCTAACGGTACGACACTTCAGTAGGGGTTTTGCGGTCACTGCTGAACGATCGCCGCTCTAGCTCCTGGAAGATCATCTTGAAAAACTTCGGGATGAGGACGGAGCTGCGCCGGAAGGTGAAGAAGATGACGCGGCTGCTTGGGAGGGCTGGGACGTCGAAACCGACTCAGAGGAGGAGTCTTCTGACGGTTGGTTAAGTGTCGACTCAGACAGCGACTCGGACCTCGAGATCAGCGACAGCGAGGACGAGGGCGGAGGCAAGAAAAAGAAGGACAAAGGCAAGGGAAAGAGGAAAGCCGCCGAGGCAGCAGAAGGTGATGAAGCAGACGATGACAAGCCCGAGGGGGCTATGGAGGAGGCGGTAAAGCGCATATCCACCATGGCCACTACCAAAGTAAGCTCATTGTTGACGCTTGAGCGCTCGACTGCTAATCACTTGCAGATTCTTACGCCCGCCGACTTCGCCCTGCTCAACGACCTCCGCATCAAAGCGGCGACCGACGCCGTCGAGAGGGGTGGCGGTAATGCGGCAAAGCGCAAACTGGCCACCCTGGAGTCGCAGAAGAAGTCGTTGCTCGCATCCTCGGACGGCAACCTCGCTGCGACGTTTATCTCCGAAAACGATATCCTCGGCCCACGCAAGAAGGCGAAGGCGGATTACGCCGAACGCATGGCGTCGATCGAGAAGGGCCGAGAGGGCCGCGAGAAGTTCGCCTCAATGAAGGGCAAGAAGAACAAGGCAGCTCCTAGCTCATCGACGAATCGGGAAAAGGCGCGCAACAAGCCACTCATGATGATCCTCGCGAGTGGTGCGGTGCGAGGCAAGAAGAAAGCGTCACTGCGGGAAAAGCAACAGAAGCTTCGTGCACATATCAACCGCGCCAAAAAAGCTCATCACTAACTGTTCTATTTCCGAGATCTGGTTTACATGTGGCGCTTGTATACTACTGTCTACCTGGGATGTATCAACGACTTCCACCCTGATATATGCGCTCACTGCGCAAGGTAGTGGACGTCGGAAAGACTCCTCAACCTCTGAGCAGCGTCTTCGGGTGTGAGATCGCGCTGAGGCTCAGACATGAGCTCAAATCTGTCAAAGGGGTAATGCGTTAGAGAGGAAGCTGAGTCAAAATACACAGGGCTCACCCGGCCAAGAATTTGCGGACTGTCGCGCTACGCAAGAGGGGCGGAGAGAAATGCAGGTGAAGATGAGCTATGTTCTCCTCGTCCTCGTCCTCAGGGATTGTGTCGGACGTCGCTGGGATTGGACGCTGGTGAATCCCCATGGAGTACGCGAAAGAGCACGAGAAGAGGTTGTCATAGCGAATGGTAACTTGCGACAAGATTCGCGCGAACGACGTCTTCTCTTCCGGAGTAAGGTGCAAGATTGAAGGAATGTGGCGCTTGTAAGGCAACACTGTAAAAACATGAGCGAGGACTCCAAGCCGACAAGGACTTCTTCCACATACGAAGAATTTCGAACGGCCAAATCGCCCACCAAGGGACAACGGCGACAAAGTGGTCGTTTTGGACAACAACGCGCCCTTCATTCCCGGCCAAAGTGACCTCAAAATGCACGTAGTCGCACAGAAGGCAAGAACGACCGAGGGGACCCCGGGGCGCATCGGACGGGGGAGTGGAGGAAGCGTATTTCCTGAGGCTTTCCAGCTCTGTGGCTGGGATGTGAGGCACCTTGGACGTGGACCATGCTTGGCCGTGCGGATGCGGGTTGGAGCAGCCCATCATGGCTCCTTTGTTCTGTGCGGCGGTGAGACGAGTACGGATGCGATGGGGGCAAACATACCTCGAAAATCTGCACATGTTCGATTCCTTCCTGTGAGCCACGCTTCTTGTACACAGTGCACCAGGTGTCGATGATACGTTCAATATCGGGCAACGGGAGCCTGGGGAGCGTCAAGTCATGGCGGGGGTGGAAACAGATGACATCGCAGCCTCCCGAGACAGGTTCGGTGGTGAGGAGGGGATGAGGGGCCGGAGGGGCGGTTGGTCCTGGGGGCGGAAGGACGGCAGCAAAATCATTCTCAAAGACCATGGTGTTCTCGTACTTGTCGTTGAGGAGACCTCCGGCGCGAGTGTTGCCGGGACAGAGGTAGCAGGCGGGATCATACTCGAGCAGCATGGCCGTCGGGATGGGCTCTGTCTGGCCTAGCCATGGACGCTTGCTGCGATGGGGCGCGACGATGACATGCTCTCCGGTGAGCGGGTTGACTGGGGGACATGGTAAGTAAATGCAGGGAGGCTGAGATCGGAGCGGGACGACACGAACCCCTGCGGTGTGGATGGCTAGTCGGGTCGAAAGGCTCGGCCATGGTGGGATGAGAGAGGAGACGATGGGACCGCCGATCGGCTGGTCGGGCTCATGGTTGCAGCTGCGAGCTTTCTCCAGCACTCCCACTCAGGGTGTGCAGTGACCTCGCCCCGGCAGACTCCGGCCCGTATGACCGTCCCGGTACCCGCCGGCGTCTCCTCGAGTCCTCGCCGACAAGTTCGTGCTCCAGCGGCCACAGCGCCTTAAGTCCTCCCACTCCCTCACCTTTCACCATGTCCGAACCAGCATACAAGCGCGCCCGCGTCAAGCGCTCTCCCTCCCCCGTCTACAAACTCGACGATGAAGATGACTCCTACGAACCGTATGTTCCCGTCGCTCAGAGGCGTCAAGCAAAACTCGCGAAGCTGACCTCTTGGGGCGCAAACACCGAAAAGGACCAGGCGAAGCGGCTCCAAGAAGAGCTGGATGAGCGAGACGACGAGGAGCGCGAGGAGGAGCGGCGCCGCGAGAAGACCCGCAAGGAGCGCACCCTGCTGATGGAGGCACAAGAGGTCCATGACCGCAAAGCTGCTGAAGGTCCGCACCCATGTCTCTCCACCCGCATCCTTGGACTCAGTGTACGTTAGACGCGAAGAAGACAACAGCGGAGAAGGCAGAGGAGGCAGATGCCGAGATTCTCGCAGCCATTGCAGCCCGGAGGAAGCTCGCTTCGGACCTGGAGTTGGCCAAGGGTGTTCTATATACCGAGCCTATGAAGACGTCGTGCGTACCGCGGCCTCATCGGACCACAGTCATACGTTAATCTTTGGCCCTTAGATGGCGACCTCCCCGATTCGTGCGGGAACGGACACCAGAGGAGAACCACAGTATATGGGAAAAGCACCACATCATTGTCGAAGGCGAAGAAGTTCCACCACCCATCGACAATTTCACGGACATGAAAATCCCAGACCCGCTCGTCAAGTTCCTCAAGTCAAAGCGGATCCTTAAACCCACCCCCATCCAGCTACAAGGCATTCCCACTGCGTAGGTGCATCGAACCCTCATTGAGCGCCATCTGACAACCGACCAGGTTTGCTGGACGTGACATGATTGGCATTGCGTTCACCGGTTCAGGAAAGACTCTAGCATTCTGTTTGCCGCTTATTATGGTTGCTTTGGAGGAAGAGGTCCGACTGCCATTCATCCGCGGGGAGGGGCCGGTCGGCATCATCCTCTGTCCTTCCCGCGAATTGGCCACACAAACGTACGAGAACGTTCTGACGTGGACTGCCGCACTGGCGAAAGACGGTAAGTACCCCCAGCTCAACAGCCTTCTGTGCATCGGTGGTATCTCCATGGGCGACCAGAGCCACGTCCTCGCCAAGGGCCTCCACATCGTAGTTGCCACGCCTGGACGACTCATCGACATGCTGGAGAAAAAGCGCTTCACCTTCGACAACTGCAAGTACCTTTGCATGGACGAAGCGGACCGTATGATCGACTTGGGTTTCGAAGACGACGTGCGGAATATCATGAGCTTCTTCAAGGTGCGTCCGTCCTGCTCTGAGCTCTCCATGCATCTTCTGAAACCAACGTCCTGCAGCGGCAAAGACAAACGCTCTTGTTTTCCGCGACGATGCCGCGGAAAATTCAAGACTTTGCGCAACAGTCGCTCGTCAAACCTGTGCTCGTGAATGTGGGTCGCGCGGGAGCCGCCAACCTGGACGTCTTGCAGGTGGTCGAGTACGTCAAGCAGGAGGCCAAGATGGTGTACCTGTTGGAATGTCTGCAGAAGACACCGCCCCCTGTCATCATTTTCAGCGAAAACAAGAACGAGGTTGATGGTGAGTCTGCTCCATGGGCCGGTGAAACATGGTCTCAAGGTTCTCTAGACATCCAGGAATATCTCCTGCTCAAAGGCGTCGAAGCTGTTGCCATCCACGGGTCTAAAAGTATGTTGCCACCATCCTGTAGTGGACTGTCAAGCTTACGTGCCGCCCTCCACAGCTCAGGAAGAGCGTCAATACGCGATCAAGTCCTTCAAGTCAGGCGCTAAGGATGTTATGGTTGCATCTGGCGTTGCGTCCAAGGGTCTGGACTTCAACGACATCCAGCATGTCATCATCTTCTCTATGCCCAAAGAGATCGAAGACTACGTGCATCAGATCGGTCGTACGGGCCGTAGCGGCAAGACCGGTATCGCGACCACGTTCGTGAACATGAATACCCCCGAGCAGACGCTTCTTGACCTCAAGTACCTCCTCATGGAGGCTGGCCAAAAGTAAGTGATCAGCCTTCTGTCAGGGTATTGGCCACTGACTTATCGCCACAGAGTGCCACCATTCTTGCAGAGCATCGAGGATCCTCGTGCTGCTCAGGGCGGCTCGCTCAAGGGTTGTCCCGTTTGCGGCGGTCTTGGCCATGGTATCTCCAACTGCCCCAAGCTCGAAGACGCGCAGCGGAGGCAAATGGCCTCACACCGGACTTCGGACGACAGGGGATATTGAGCGGCCCATCTCCCTCTCTCGCTGGTCCTCGACACACTTGCGAGCATCGTCGGCATCCGTTCCATCCTCTACGTGTACAACATACATTTTATCACAACTTCTGCGTCATCATAGCCATCACTCGCATGCGCCAGAATCAAAGCTTCGGCGCGTCGATGAAGGAGACCCCCTGTGGGTCACGGTAAGCACAAGACTGAGGCATCAGGTTCGTGCAAACGGACCTTGTCAATGTTGGTCGTGAGGTCGCCGAGTGCGGTCTGAATGAGACTTGTCTCATACTCTGAGAGCTTGCCAAGAGGCTTGATGGCGACCACGCCCTCAGGCTAAAGAGAACACTCGTGAGCGCGAACGATACGGTAAGGATGAACGATGATCACTGACCCCGAGCTCGACAGGTGCAGAGAAGAACTGAAGGTCGCGGCCGATCTCCTTCTTGATGACTTCACCGCCAGCCACGTCGGCAGTCAAGTGGACGAAGGTGGGGGCGACGATGCCCTTCTCGCCCTTGACGGCGCGGATAAGCTTCTCCGCGAAGTCAGCACCGGCCTGCGCCATGGAGAGCGTCGCGGAACCCGCGCCATCCTTGGCCTTGACAACCTCGTCGCCACCGAACTGGATGCGGTTCGTCAGCGTCTCGATGTCTCCCTGGGCGATTCCGGAAGGAAGAGGGTGGGACGACTGCGAGAGGAGTGGGACGATCTGTTGGAAGGATGGTTATCAACCAAAACGATTCCATTCGCGGGCGGGTGTAGACTTGCCGTAACACCGCTGTGGCCGCCGACGACCGGGACAACGATCTTGGGTGCGAGGGAGAGGTCGCCAAGAATCTCAGCGACAAACGTGGAAGCGCGGACGACATCTAGAGTGGTGACACCAAAGATCCTGGGGGGCGGACGAATCAGGGACGATGCATTGGGTGAGTGCGTGTTTGCGATGTGCTACGCACCGCTTGGGGTCGAAGACACCGTGCTTCTTGAACACCTCGGCAACGATAGGGACCGTTGAGTTGACAGGGTTAGAGATGACAAGGACGAATGCCTTGGGGGCCGTGGTAGCAATACCGGTAGCGAGGTCACGAACGATGCCTGCGTTGATCTACAAGCAGTCAGCAGGTAAAACAAGTGTGTTTCACGGTGCGCCTTGACTGACCTTGAACAGGTCATCTCTGAGCGCACGAAGAATCAATATGCGGATGGTACGATCAGGAGACGAGGCCATACCTGGTCATCTAGGCGCGAATGTGAGCATAAGGTAGTGCAGACGTATTGAAAAACATACTCCAGGCTTCCTGGGCACGCCAGCGGGGATCACGACCACCTCAGCGCCGGCAAGAGCCTTCTTGAGACCATCATCGGGAGGGAGGAAGCCTTGGACCTTGGCGGGGGTGTTGATGTGGGAGAGGTCGGCGGCGACTCCGGGGGTGTTGACAATATCGAAGAGCGAAAGCTGTACTGCGGTAAGGATGCGAGACTTCAAAATGGCTATATGCGACCTGCCTGGGTGACCAAGGGGTTGTTCTTGAGAAGGAGAGACAAGGGCTGGCCAATTCCGCCTGATCACGGCCGATGAGTTTATGGGCGGAAGAACGAGCGGATGTAGAGACTGGCCCGCGGCACCGAGAACGACTGCCTTGACCATTGTGCAGGAGGGTGCGATGGAGGGTGGATAGGGGAGATGGAGGGCAGGAGAGAACTGAGGAGGACGGACCTCTGGACCGATCGCGCAGGTATATCTCCGCACACGTGATCGCTCCCCAAGGTGATCGCGATTCGCGGCCCGTCTTCCCGCGTCGCCTCCGGCCTCCCGCTGCACAGCACACGCCAGGCTCCTCCCCGCGCTGCCAGGCTGTACACCCAGATGCTCCTCGCCGCCCGACTCTGCTCTCCTCGCCTCCTCTACTATCTCCCCTACACCTTCCGCTCGCTCTACACTTCCACCTTTTCGTGCACCATGCCGGACCCCAAGGTCATCGCCGTCCACGACCTCCCCACCGCAGACGCAAAGTAAGCATCCGCTGATGTTTGCCGGTATTGCCGCTCACGGGGCGCCGCCTCCCGCCTCTCGACGTTTTCAGGTGGGTCAAACTCAAAAAGTGCACCTGGCAGGATCCGGACGGCACAGAGGCATGTCCGCCGTTCCCCTCCGGTGTTCTCTTCCCCTGACCGCAGTCCTTCTAGAGGCTCTGGGAGTACGCCGAACGACCGACGCGGTCTGCAGGGGGCATAGACGGTGTGTTTCGTGTAGGGCCCCCAGCCACACCATACCGACATGCACATCGACAGCCGTTGCCATTCTTGCACTCCTCCGTTCGCAATCAGGTGCATTTGCGCCCTCCACGGTCATCATTGAGCAGTTCCGCCCGCCCGTGGAACGCTTTGTGGTCGGTTAGTTTTGAGGCTCGTGATTGTCCGTACTCGTGCTTACTCCGTTCAGAGCTCCCTGCAGGCATGCCGTTTACTTTCCGTCGGCCGAACTTCGGCCTCCTAACATGCCCCTGCCAGGTCTAATTGATAAATCCGAGAGCCCAGAGCAAGCCGCGATCCGTGAGCTCGAGGAAGAGACTGGGCTCAAGGCATCGGCAGTCATCGGCTCGACTCCGGTGATGGTGTGCGACCCTGGTAAGTACCCAAGTATCGTGTGCGGCGGGTTTATCTACGAAAGCATACAGGCATGACGAATGCCAACATGAAGTTGGTGACAATCGAAGTATCTTTCCCTGACAAGCTGGAGATGGCACCTCAGAAGCTGGAACCCGGCGAGTATATTGTTGTGCGCGTCGTTGAGCTCTCCAAGCTGGGAGAAGTGCTGAGAGGTATGCTCGTTGTTCATCAACGGTTGCTTGTGGCATCGCTCACACCCACCACCCACCATCCAAGCATATGACAAGGACGTGAGATCATTTCCTTTCAAATTTTTATCTTCAGTCTCTCAGGCTCGCTATTGCAGAAATTCGTCGTTGATGCGCGGCTTGAGCATCTCGCGTCCGGTTACGAGCTTGCAGAGAAACTCCGCCATTAGTTCGGCAGGCGTTGTAAATGTACGATACGGCAGTGACTATGGAGGTACCGCGGCCTCTAGGTGAGTGTTATGTGATCATTGTTACTGTGGACTGCTAGGCTAGGATCCCGTCCTCGCACAATATCAGTCTCGGAAACAACAATTTCTGCGTCATCGAGACCCGGGTCTTTAAGGTTCCAAGGTTTGAAGCAGCACAACACGCCCCTGAGCGCTGAGCACCGAGCAGTGCGACGTTCAGTGTATGCCGTTTACATCGCATCTGGTGTTGCGGCACTGCTGGAGGGGCTGAAGTCACCAACCTCCTCCTCCTCCTCCACCAGCTCAGCCTTACTTCCAGCAAAGTTCTTTTGGGATGCCTGTAGGTTCATGGCAAGCGACCCATGTGGTGCGACCCTTCTGAGTACTGCATGGTGGACCCGACCTGGGATCCAATGGTATCCGCAGATACCCCAACTAGTAGAACAACAGGCATCTGGATGCGTCGAGGCAGTGTGCGGCATCGTGAGCGCGATGCTGTCCATTGTCCACGTATGGGATGGGATTTCATTCTTCTTCCTGGCTGTTGGGCTTCCGTGTGGTCTAATGGGTTTGCGAGGAACACTGCTGGAGACGTTGATGGGCGCATGTCCCTCTTGCGCGACGCCAGTCCGGCGCGCAATGCAGTGCAACTTCGAGAACGGTCTAATGAGCGTACGGCACTCCAGGCAGTGCATCCGCGAGTGATTCTCCTTCTCGTGGACAATATGGTGGGCTCCGTGGGAGAAGCTCGAATCTCTGTCGAGGAAAGCGCCAAGGCAGTACTTCGCCGGGGCTGTTCTATTAGGGTTCAGACCTTGAACCGCGCGGTCTGTGCACATCTCTCTTCTGTGCGGAACTTTCTTGCTCGGAGCCGGGGCAGAGGACGGACATGCGCGGGTTCTGCCACACATAGACGCATCCCTCGAGTCAACCATGTGTCCTTGCACCTTGACACCGCCTCATCCACCGTCCTCTATTAAGTGCCCGACATCCGTCATGTCCTGCACCAAACCCTCAGATACCCAACATCTTTGATACTCCCGCACCCCCATCGCGGTAAGTCGCTCATTCTGCTGCATATTGGATTTCCTGACATGTTCACGACTTCAGACAATGTCTTCTTCCCTCACGTCCGCACCGTTCGCTTCGTCTGCACTCCTCGGCTTCGTCGGCGGTGATCAGACTGCGACTGCTCTCTACCTCACTCACATCGCTGGACGTCAGCGGATCCCGACTCTTGTCAACTCCCCCGGATCCTACTTCGCCGCCCGCGCTCTCGCCGTCCTCCACAAGGCCCGCGTCTGGGATGGCCTCCATCCCGGTGTCAGTGTGGACCCCTGTTCTCTTGCCAGCCCCAGCACTACTCCGGGCCCCAAGTTCATTGCCAGCGTCTCTGGCACCATCCTCGACTCGACAGGCCCCATCGCCCAGGAGCTGCTCGAACACACCAGATCTCTCTCCGCCCAGACAGTTTCCGGTCGCCGCACCACGCCACTCGCCGTGACCATCGTCGAACTACCCGACGCCCCCCACTCCGAGCTGCACCCCACCGCCAGAATATCCGCTCCAGTCTTCCTCCCCATACTCGCGAGCGCTGCTGCAGCGACCTTCTGCGGCCTAACCAGCGACTACACCACCCTCGCTGCCATCGCGTTCGGCATGCTCTGCAGCGCCGGCGCCTCGCGCGCCCTCCACGCCGGAGACCTCACCTTCACCCGCCCGCTCTCTACCCCCGGCGCGACCGTCGGCGACGGCTACCTCGAGACCGGGAACGAGTTCATCGTCCTCCGCGGCTCCGAGACCGCCGTCGCCGCCGTCACCCGCGGGCAGATGACCCTCCGCTTCCGCTCCGAGTGCACCCACCGCTCCCTCGCGTTCGCCGCGCTTCTCCTGGGCACCCAATGCGTCGCGCAACTCCTCCTCCTCCCGCTCGGCACCCTCCTCGGCCAGCTCGCCTTCCTGCTCGCCACCGCCGCCGCCTGGCTCTACCACGCGCACGTCGCCCGCCAGGCGCCCGCCGCCTGGCGCCGCCTCGTGCTCGAGGACGTGCTCTCCGCGCCGGCGATGGCCCGCTACAGCGTCGGCACGCGCACCGCCGCCGCGGTCGTGCTCATGCGCCTCCTCCGCCCCGCGGACGTCGAGGAGCAGCTCGCCCGCCTCCTGCCCAACAACACGCCCGTCTGGAAGCTCTGGCGCGAGACCGTCGCGCAGCGCCTCCGGAGCGGGAAGCCGGCCTTTGTCGGCGCGGACGTGCCCGTGCCCGTGCCCGCGACGTTCGACATGAACGAGCGGAGGCTGTTCCACACGCTGCTCGCCGACGCGCAGTGCGCGGTGGACGCCTTCAGCGGCTCGTACAAGCTGTGAACATTGGGACTTCTGGTGAGCGACCGCCCGTTCCCGTCTTGGTAGAAAGTGCTCACCCTTTTCAGCAGCAATTAACCATCGAATCGAAGAAACTCCTCAATGCGGCTGCTCTTGTTTCGGCCTTACGATACCCTTGACATGTAATCTCAAATCTCCGTTTGCATCCCGGTTGTCACCTATTTATCCCTAGAGATGTTGTATCGTACACTCCGGCTTGCGAAGACACGTGCCCCCTTGTATTACGAAACTAGTCAGAAATCTCTGTAGCGATGGCCTTCTACATCTTGCAATGTTGTGACCCTTTTCACGCGATGGTTTGGGCTGCAAATCAGACTCGATCGGTCTCGTGCTCTGGCACTGGCCAGCGTCCAAGACGAATGATAGCACACGAACTAGAGAATAAACGTTGCCGTCCGCTGCTGGCAGCTGGTACACGCCCAGTCGTCCGGTATAACTCAGGATAACCTACAGCGGAAACATCTTACGACATCCACTGCAATGTCCCAGTGATATTTGACTGGAATTTCTCCACCTGACATCGGCGCCCATATATACAGTGTTATCTCGTTCGGATATCAGTTGATAGCCCTTGCAGTGTATGCCCATGTGACCCGCTTCGTATTCGACCCGCTTCGTGCGCTGCAGTAGCGGCGGATTTGGGCTCTGGCGGACAGCAAAAATTGTTGTCACAATTACTGACGGGATGGACATGTATGACATACAACTACAGGGCGCAGTCGTAATATAGCTACCATAGGAAGGACGCAGCAAACCGATCATCGACGGATCCATCGGATTGGTCGCAGAAAAGCATGGCAGAACGGGCCCGCACAACACAGAGAAGAAACACATGACTCACGAGACAAAGATATTTCGACCTTGATGCGGAAAAGAGGGTACACAAGACGAAGATCCAGAGGGGGAGTCCGATCCTGGTAGGGGGTCTGGCGGTTGAAACGGACGTCGGGACACCCCAGGAGCGAATGCACGACTGAGGGAAATACTGAGTCCGCGACCAAGAAAAAGCGGATGGATGAACATACCTTTGTAAGAGAAGTCGCGAGGGCAATCTTACTGTAGGGAAGAGGTGAATGGGAAGTGTGCTGGCAGGTAGTGGTCGAGAGTCAGGTACAAGTCCGAAGCGCCAACACTGGTGCGCTGTGACTCGCGCGCGCGTGTCGGTCAGCGCTTCGAACTTATGCTTGGCTCCCACCGCCACGTCTGCTGGCTGCAGCCTCCTCAGGCATCTCCTGGTGAGTGTGTAGAGTCCCTTGTTCACCTGCTTTCTGTGTCAGTTGACCTTCGCCACACCCCCACTTGTAGCTCAGTTCAAAATAACTGTGTTGCCCGCCGCCATCCGAGTGTCTTGGCTCTTGTCTGCCGCCCACGTCGTGGTCAACCGCTCACAGGCCCGCTGTTCCTCATATCCCTTAATGAATACAATTATATTAGTTTAGCGCGGAATGTCTAGTGAAGCAATGGCCATGATCCAACTCCCGACCTGTGTGAAGCCTGAAGGTCACCGCTCAATGTTGGAGTCCCAAAGGGGGCACCAGGTTGGTGTCACCGACATAACCCACCGGGCACGTAGGAGCAGCTTGACTATATCTGAACTGGAATATCCCAGGGATATTCTGCCAGCGTGGCTCCGGGTGTATCGCAGTGCCGATACCGTGGGGCTATCACTCGGATATGGAAGCGGTCCCTGCGCGATCCCGAGAGGATCAAATCCAGTCAATTTGTCCTAGGATAAAACGGTCGATTGGCCGTGTAAGTAATTGTTTGGCCACGGACTGTCGCCATGCGCAATTGATACCCGCCACGGCGCGCTCCGTCGAGACTCCAGGCAGAAGGACTTGTGCCCAGTGCCCATGCCCACCACGAGGTGGGTCCTATCAGAAGTTCAAACGAGTACAACGACACTGAAAATGGTGGTGTGCGGTCCAGGCCCTTTGTTTCCGAGCCGTCGGAGCTTTGAGAAGTGGATCTGGACGATGATAGCGATAGGCATCCAGGTTCCTCCAGGCGTATGGCAGTTTTGATGTATTCCGATTACCATGAGAACGTATAGACGGATCTCTCGGTTGAAGAAGGGCCATTATGACAGAAAGAGGGACAAAGGCGTAGAAAGAGGGAGTAAGTAATGGGCGGCAGACGCGGACCGTGGCGTTCATGACGCCCGCGCGCAGACGGAGCCAAGTGCGGCTTGCCTTCTGCTACCACGCCTCTCCCATCCAGCTCCTGCCCTGCCCAGTGTATGCGAAGCACGACCTCCCACTGCCCCGACATCCGCTCACACTTCTCTATACGCATTTCCACAGACGCTTTCATGAGGCTGTTCTCTCGTACACGGCAGCAAGCCCTCTTCAAAGCCGTTCACGCAGCAGCGCGTCAAGAAGCCTTCGACCATGAGGCCATTACCCTGACCCGTTAAGGCACCTTTTGGCATATACCCAGCCCTCCACAGCGCCCCCCGCTCGCAGTCTCTCGAGCCTTGCCTCCTCCCCTCACCGCGCTCTGACTCTCCCGGATCGCTTGATCCCCCTACCGCCTCCTCACCATCCCGCCATCGCCTCCGGCAATGACTCCTGCCATTCCTTTGGCAGACACCAACCTCAACCTAGACATATCAGGCGTCGCCGGTTTCTTTGGTGGCGATGTCGCCGTCTCCGCCATGGCTACCGTCCATGTCTACCCCGGCCGCAAATGGCTGGGGTGGTACAACACCCCTGGGAGCTACGAGATCGCCAAACGCTTTGGCATCCTAGGCAAGACGCGGTTCTGGGACGGGCTTTACCCTGGCGTCAATGTCGATCCCGCTGAACTATTCGAGCTCGATGGTGCCAAGGGCCCCAAGTACCGTGCCCTCCGTTCCGGCACCGTCATGAAGTCGACCGGCCACCTCGCCTACCTCTTCGCCCGTGAGTGCAAGGACATCTCGCGCAAGGAATGGTCCCCTCCCAAAGGCGCGCGGAAGACGAGCCCGGTGAACGTTACCATCGCCGACCTCGAGCACACTCCTCCCGAGACATGTCACCCCCGCATGTCCAAAGGCTCGACAATCACTGCCACGAGCCTCGTCGCCCTCATCCCCATTCTCGCCTGCATCGCCACCGCCATCCCGTGCGCCATCTTCAAAGACTGGACGTGCTTCTCCATGATCGTCTTTGGCATGCTCGTCAACGGAGTATCATGCTTCATCATCGGCAGTGGAGTCCTCACCTTCACACACCCCTTACCTGCCGAGGGCGCACCCCCGGCGGACGGCATTCTTGAGGACGGCGAGCAGATCATCATCCTCCGCGGCGCCGAAGGTGCCGTGAACCCGATCACCCGCGGCCGCTTCACGCTCAAGTACGCGTGCGAGCCCAACTACCACCCCATCGGCATCTCCTCCCTCCTCCTCACCGTACAATTCATCGTCCAGCTTGTCGCCGTCCCACAGGGCGAGATCTTCGGGCAAATCATGTTTCTCTCCTCCCTCGCCGTGTCCTGGATGTACAACTCCTACCTCTCCTCGCTCGACAAGGAGAGCATCCAGCGCCGGCTCCTGCACAGAGAAGTGCTCCAGAGCCCCCGCCTCCGCAAGTTCGAGCTCCCGACCCGGACGAGCATGACCGTCTTCGTCCTCCTCGTCCTCGCCGCGCGCGCGCACAAGGTCGATCGCGGCTCGCTCTGCTCCGTCCTCAACGACCTGCTCCCGAACGACACCGACCTGTGGCAGAACTGGAAGGACCGCATCCTGCACGAGATCCAGAACGGACTCCCGCACGGCCCCGGGCAGCTCCGCTTCGATAGCCCGCCGCGCGAGACAAACTCCGGCGCGGACGTGAAGGACGACGCGGATCTGCTCGAGCGGCTCTACGACGATGCGCGCCTCGCCCTGCAGGCGTTCGAGGCCGTCACGAGGTCAGTCCTCGCGTCTCCGTTTCCCTACTTCCGACGTCGCTCATCCCGTCATCGTCCGCAGAGATAACCCTCGCGATTCGCTCGGGGCTCGCTCGAGCACGACGCTCAAGGAGGACGCGTGTGATGTGGTGAGCTCGCTGACATGGTCTAGTCGGCAGCTCCCTAGTGACAGCATTGATACGCTCATCACCATGACCATCCGCTATCCGCTCATCCCCCCCTCGCTCCACGCTCACATCGCACATCGCAAGTCGTCGTTTGCTGTCCAGTTATGTGTACGCTCTGAAAGCACGCCGTTTACATGCACCACCGCCACCACCACCCACACAATTTGACCTCATCCGCATGTTTCTTGTATATCATAGCACACCCACTTGTACCAAGTATACCGCAATGCAATTAGATCTCGACCCTTGCACGTCACGCGCCCACCGAGGGATAGTTCCTATCAGGGCAACGTGCGAAGGAAGACATAGGCGACGCTGCCGGCGCAGAGTACAGAAAAAGGCAGGCCTACACCTACGGAGACGGGGACACCGCAGGCCGCGCTCAGAAGCCGTTCATCTGGTCGGCGGCGGCGACACCGTTGCCGAGGTTGACGTAGTCCATGAGCACGAAGCTGGGGTTGAAGCCGCCGCCGCTGAGCGGGCGGCAGCCGGCGGCGTTGGCGAGGACGGACGTCACGCCGTTCGTCGTCGACGCGGCGGCGGGGTCCGAGACGAGGATGCCGGTGTCGAGGATGTTGACGTCGAGGAAGTGGTTGAGGAGGTACATGTGGTCCGCGGTCGAGAGCGGGCCCGCGGAGCGGTCGACCGAGCACGGGAAGGTGTTGTCCGTGGAGTCGAACGGCGGCTCCCAGATCTGCACGCGCGAGCCAGGTGGTGAGGGGCCTGCCGCCGGGCATCCGAGCGCGGAGAGGGAGACGCACCATCTCAAACTCGGGGAGGATGTAGTTCACGTTCCCGTCCGCGCCGTCCGCGCCGGCGTCCATGAAGACGACGACGCGCTTGCCCGAGTCGATGAGCGCGCCGAGGGTGGGCCACTCGCCGCGGGCCATGGGGACGTGCGGGGGCACGTACGCGAGGGGCGCGATGCCGGACTGCTCGAACGCGGGGGCCCAGACGTCGGGGAGCGAGACGCCCTCGGGGTTCGTGAAGAGGAAGGTGACGACATCGTTCGGGTTCGCGTCCAGCCAGGACTTGACGGTCGCGAGGTACGCTACGTGCGTCGCGCGCAGGTGAGCGGGGACGGGCGAGCGAGCAGCAAGACGTACCCTCGACGGTGCCACCGTCAAAGAGGGTGCAGCCTGGCAGAGCGTGTGAGCATTGCGCGCGCACAGAGGGAGAGGTAGCGACGGACTGGTGTGGCAGAAGTGGAGCTGGCCATTGTTCCTTTTCGCAAGGGAAATAGGCAGGTTAAGACTGAGCGACGCGGGAGATCGGGATGGCTCACATATGAGATTGGGCCTGGAGCATGCGGATGCCAGAGTTGAGCTGGGTGGTGATGTCCACTCCTGGTCTCTTGCCACTGGATTGGGCGCGTTGGACGGGCAAGATGACACGTAAGAAGCGAAGACGTACGCGCGAAGGGGTTCTCGCTGAAGGCGTACGAATCATGGGCTGACGGCGGAGGTGTGAACGGATGAGGCGATGGGAAAGGGGAGAGAACGTACAGCCTGCAAAGGTGGTGTTGCCATAGCTCCTGTTGCAGAGCTCCGCATGACCGTTGCAAACAGTTGCGCTGCGTGGATTCTTCAGAGAGCAGGCGAGAGGGAAACGAGAGTAGACGGACCGCTTGTGGGGGATTACTGCAGCATACGCAGCAAGGGGTATAGAAAGGAGAGCGGCACAAGCAGCAGCAAAACGCATCTTGAACAACGTCAGGCGGGCAGAGGCGGAGGACGGGGAGCAGGGAGGGGCCGCTGAGACTCTGTCGGTGGGGCATGGATATTATATGGCTGGGAGAAGTAAGAAGAAGTGGTAGCCATGTGGGCAGAAGGGATGATCAGAAGGAAGCGAGGCACAGAGGAGGAGGCGACGCGCGGGGCTCAGAGTGAGCTATAGATGGTGCGGGTCGCGACCGTGGACGACCAACGTTTGCATCCGTCCACGGGGCCGAGCAGAGCGAAGCAAGAATACACATGGTCGTCGTGGTGGGAGACGCGGCGAACGTGGGTCCACGCGCTGGATTCGGTGGAGAAGAAGGCGTGTAAACGAGCGAGAACGATATGTCAGACTGGCAGCTTCATCGTCGCCAGCCAGGCTTGACACCAACTTTAGACTTGGATTGTCGCACGCGTCTACGTCACATGCCGGACGCGACCACGTGAGTCTTTCCCGTCACGTTCACCGTATGTACTTACGCGTCTACTAAGGGCCAAGCTTGCTAAGTAGGCGTGTTCGCAGGCTTGTCAATCGCTAGTTGCTTTCGTTACGACACCCGACCGCATGTCGCCCACGAATTCTTCAGCCTTTTCTGCGGCGACACCTGCTCACTGGGACCACCTACTTCCAGGAACCAGCGGTCTTCCAAGATCGATCGAGGATCGCGAACCTGGCCCATCGCAGGACAAGGCCGGGCCGCGGACGGCGCGCGGTCATAAAATCTGGAACAACAGCGCCCAATCAACCTCGCTCTTGCCTTGGCCTCGCGCGTCTGCTCGACACTGACATGCTCCTCCCGACCGCCCTCTCGCCTCCCTCCAGGCCTCCCTCACCACCCCCGAGTCCACTTTCTTCGACTGGTCCGTCCTCACTCCGGTCTGCCTCTCCATGGTCCTCGATTCCATCCCCTTGAGCTCTGCCGACATCAACCTCGACATCTCAGGTGTCGCTGGTTTTTTTGGCGGTGATGTTGCCGTCTCCGCCATGGCCACCGTGCACGTCTACCAGGGCAGGAAGTGGCTCGGGTGGTACAACTCCCCAGGCTCCTACGAGATCGCAAAGCGCTACGGCCAGCTCGGCCGCTCCCGCTGGTGGGATGGCCTCTACCCTGGCATCAACGTCGACCCTGCCGTACTCTTCGAGCTTGACGGTATGTTCGGTCCCAAGTACCGCGCCGTCCACTCCGGCACCGTCATGACAAAGACAGGCCATCTTGCCCATCTCCTCCTCCAAGAGTGCAAGGGTATCCCTCCCGACAATATCCACAGCCTCCCAAATTCCCGCATCACCACCCCCGCATGCGTCACCGTCGTCCACCTCCACAACGAGCCTGCAATGGAGGAACATCCCCGTCTCTTCCGTGACACCACCAGCCCCCTTGCGCTCATCCCCATCTTTGTCTCCGCCGCCACCGCCGCCGCCTGCGCCGCCTACCAGGACTGGTATTGCTTCTCCATGATCGTCCTTGGCATCCTCAGTAGCGGCGTCTCCTGCTATGTCATTGGCACCGGCGTTTTCACCTTCACCCACCCACTTCCTGCCAAAGGTGCACCCTTGGGCGATGGCGTTTTGGAGAGCTCAGGCGAGGACGTCGTCATTCTCAAGGGTCCCGAAGGAGCCGTGAATCCCATCACCCGTGGCCGCTTCTCCCTCAAGTATTCCAGTGAGCCAGAATACCACAACATCGGCATCTGCTCCATGCTCCTCACTGTCCAGTTCCTTGCGCAGCTTCTCCTCGTTCCCCAGGGCGAGATATTTGGCCAGATCATGTTCCTATCCTCGCTCACCGTCTCTTGGATATACAACTCCTACCTGTCCTCCCTCGACAAGGAGAGCATCCAACGTCGGATCCTCGTCCAGCAGGTCCTCCGGGAGCCAGTCATGCGCAAGTTCAAGCTGGGCACCAGGACCATCCTCGTCGTCTTCGTCCTCCTCGTTCTCTCCCCTGCAGATCCGGAGGCTCTTCGAAAAGTGCTCGACGACATGCTCCCTAACGAGACAACCGTCTGGAGGCTCTTCAAAGAGAACATCCTGATCGAGATCCCCAAGGTCCTTTCCAGCGAGAAGGGTCGCACCAATGCGTTTCTGTTCAAAGACGCTGTCGCCCCCACGGTCCAGATGAGCGACAGGAAGCTGCTCCTAACACTCTACAAGGATGCTCGCACGGCCTGGGAAGCGTATGAAAAGTGAGGGTTTCTTCGGTGCCTCTTTCAGCGCTGGCTGACCAACCGTTCTGTCCTAGGTTGTACATGCAAGGACCCCTGCAGTCTGACTGGGTCGCGCCTTCGCCTACGGAGGATGCATACAACCCTGCGTAGTAAGCTTTGCTGCCGCGCGCCGATCAACCTGGTTTATCGCTTAGCTCCTGCTTGTCTGCATCGCTTGTAACACGGTCTGAACCTCCTCTAACCAGGCGATGATTTACGGGATAGATTCATGTACGACACCGACCCATGCTCCCGACTCTTATGATGTACACACGCAACAGCTACTGCATGCTCACGTTCCGCGGACTATCACGCATTTTCACGCACACCCTAGATGAACATCACGCAGTCTATTTATCCGACGCATCTACCTCACTGCTTTGCTTACACGCTGTCCATACTCATCATGTACCACTGCATCTACAGTACACTTTGCTATGAAGCTGTCACTGTTTGGTCCTGACTCTGCTTGACCGTTGTTACATGTTATGTACGATACTTACCCACAACCCACTGCAAGATGAGAAAAAGGCGAACTTGCCGCCGAAACTAGCAAATATACTTCCGCTCAATTTACATGGCCTTGATACTATGGTATCGTCATTGTCCACTAAGTAGGCTGCGAGCACTCTCTTTTCGAAGTTTCACCTCCGTACCAGGGGGTGTATATATGTGACCGTGACTTGTCACATCTTCCTCCCTAGTCTGCCGCCGCGCACACCGTGCTCCTCGCCCATCTCCACCAGCCACCACCCCGTCCAGCACGATGTCGACTCGTAGGAATAAGCGTCGCCGCGTCGAGCCAGAGGAGGAGGAGGCCGAGGGGGACGACGTCATCGACATCTCCAGCTCCCCGCCCCCCGAAACCGCAAAGTCAGTGGCCAACACCGAAGCGCCCCCAGAGCCGGACGAGGAGGCCCTCGCGCGCGAGCGGGAGATCTGGGACGCGTTCCGGGAGGAGCACTACGAAGGTGCGTGCGCATACACCCCGTGCCCCCGACCGAGCTCACCTCGCGGCGCCCGGGCCCGCCAGTGCTCGAGCAGCTGCCGCTGTCGCTGCACCGCGCGTTCACGCTCATCAAGGAGCTCGACCAGCAGGCCCAAGGTGCGCCCGCGGCTTTGACGACGCCTTTGTCGAGCTCACGTCGCCTGCAGAGCACGTGTCCAGCCTCGCGCCGGCGATACTCAAGTACATCACCCTCCGGAAGGCCATGGAGGCACCCCCAGAGAAGCCGCCCCTGTAAACGGTGGCGAGCCAGAAAACGGTAGTGATGGTGCCGCCGAGGCGGCGAGCCGCACGCCCCGAGCGTGAACGGCGCCCCATCCACCGTCAGGTCCCTCTCGCCCGTCCCGGCCGCCACTCCTAGCTCGGTTACCGCCTGCTCCCCCACGCGCGCGGCCGGTCTGCCGCGCTCCCCAAGTCGCTGAAGAAGATCACGGAAACGTCGACGTCGACGCGCGAGATCTTGGTCGGCATCGCGCAGACGGCGGAGGAGGTCTCCCGCGCGTCCAACGAAAAGGAGTACCTGGCCCAGCACGTCTACGACCTGGTGAGCCCCCCTTCTCCCCGCCGCTCGCGTCCCCTCCGTCTCATGCGTCGCGTCGCTCCCCCCAGGTGGACCGGTACATCCGCGACCTCGACCGCGCCATCAAGAGCAGGAGGCCTCCATCTCCCTCGGCCTGCGCCCGGGCACGCACCCCGCCTCGATCATGCTCCCCGAGCTCGTCCTGCCAAGGCCGGCCGGCCGAAGGCCGTGAGCAGCCCCCCGGCCGAGCCGCAGGACGACTACGTCCCCCGGGACCACGCCGGTCGCGCCCTGTCCGCCGACCGCTCCCGCCCGGAGGTGGGCGTGTACGAGGAGGAGGAAGAGGAGGAGGAGCACGCGGAGGGCGCGCGGCCGGAGGAAGAGGAGGAACCCGAGGAGGGCCACGAGCCCAGTCCGGAGGCCGAGGAGGAGGGCACATCGTCGAGCCGCCGCACGGAGAGGAGATCGTCGACGTCGTCGGGAGGCCGCCCACCTGCGGCGGCGGCGGACGAAGAGGCCGCCGTCCCGGATCGGAGGGGCCGCAAGCGCCGCAAGCCTGCGCGGTACCGCGACAACGAACCGTCCGTGGAGCGCACTGTGAGCACGAGCGTGAAGAAGCCGACGGCGAACCGCGGGGGGCGGAAGTCGTTCACACTGAAGATCCCCATTTCTGCTCCGCCATGGTGGAAGTCGACGAGTCGGACGACAACCAGCGGTGGTGCTTCTGCAACCAGGTTTCCTATGGCGAGGTGCGTTTTTGTACCCAGTGTGTGGCGTCGGTAGTATCTGACCGATGGTTGCAGATGGTTGCTTGCGACAATGAGCAATGTGCTCGTCAATGGGTACGTCGTCGTGCCATCGCCAATTGTACGTTGCTGATCCTTTCACAGTTCCATCTACCCTGTGTGGGTCTTTCTCATGTTGACCCCAATGAGCAATGGTATTGCCGGGATTGTGCTAAAACACATAAGAAGCGCAAAGGAAAACGTCGGGCGTCAGCCCGCTGAGTTTGCATCTATCGTCTCTGATATCTATGTCGTGGGCTCCTCGCTGTTATTTAACACGTTAACGCAGGTATGTCTGTATGGTATAGCATTGGCACTGTAATCGTAGCATACAACACAAACTACTGGTACAACAAGGAATGTCACGACGTCAGGTGCTACGGACTCGGATGCCTAGTTTGTTTGCCAAGGTCTCCATGTAAATCTCTGGATTGCACGTCAGTAACGCGCCTCCAGGCTTGAGTACGTATGAGCGCATACCGGTCTCATGTCGTAGTTTCCAGTATTCCGTCAGTAACTCACTGATCTCCGTTTGACTGACCTTCATGTGTTCGTTCATCTAAAGAGTCTACGTTCAGCATACACACACGAAACATTTATTGAAAGACGGACCTTCCGTTCAATGACGTCGGCCTCCGCTCTCAGCTCCTCCACTTGTCGATCGTTGTCTCGTCGTTCGACGGACATCTCTTCATACTCGCGCTGCAGGCGCTCGATAGTCTGCTGGCTGGCGAGTCGCTTGTCTTCAACATGTCGTTGAGCGCGCTCGAGCTTCTCTTGAGCGTTTGAAAGTTGCTTGTAGTGCCGCTACAGATGATATGAGCAGGGCGTAGAACATGAACGGCGGACGACGGACCTCGCGACGCATGCCGAGTTCAGCTCGTTCGCCTTTCTTACGGTCGAGCGCGTCCCGCAAGTCACTCAGATCCTTCTGTGCCACATCTAGGGTGCGCATCTCCCTCTCATCGTCTGCAGCTGCTCGACACACGAGCGCACGTCCTGCGTAGCATTTTCAGTATCATTCTCTTGCCCAAGGCCCGCGAGCCGCGTACCTTCTCAATGTTGAGTAGCGCTTGGATCTTCGTGTGCAGGTCGCGGGTCTTGACCTCGTTTGCCGCGACGGTCCTCTTGTCCTCGGCGAGCGTCGTGCCCATGGTGCTGATGTTGCGCTTGATGCGCTCGGGCGACTGCACTATACGCGAGCGCGTGTGCGAGATGTTGTCGGTCGACACGCTAATCTCATTCGTGACTTGTTCCTAAACGTGACCTCCAATCAGCGAATTTCCCGAAGAAAGGCGAATGACGAGCGCGCCTTCTCCGAAACGAGCGCCGCCTTCTGCTGCTTGAGGGTCTCGACCTCCTGGAGGAAGCCCATCTGCTGGTCCTTGTACGAGATGACCTGCTCCATGAGCGCTGTGTTCTCCAGCCGCAGCGCCTCGCATTTGGGCTCGTCTTCCGCTCGCTTGACGCTACCGCAGCCTGTGAACGAGGAGTAGGGGCGGCCACGAAAGACACGAGACTCACTTGAACACGGCGATCGTCTGCAGCAGCTCCTCCGTCTCCTCAGCCACGGTTTGTCGTTCTCGGATGAGGGTAGCAGACTGATCTCGCAGGCGGGTAATGAACGCATCGCTTTGCTCGGAGAACTTCATGAAGTTGATGAAGGCGGAGAGGATGGACCGGGTCCGGTCAGGGTTAGGGAAGTACAGGTCAGCGGAGCTGAAGTCGGTGATCTTCGCAGACTCTGCAAACCGCTGGCTTTGCACTCGGGTAAGCCGCATGACCTTCCTGGAAATGGCTCCATACATGTGGTGGAGGAGAAGATTTTGCGCAAGAGCTTGGAGTATATTTCCTGGTGGGATGAGGGTGCGTGTCTGGGCTATGAGTGCATGAAGAGCTCACTGGAATCTCCGTCGACGCCAGAGACTGCTCGACCGCCTCTTGCAATTGTTCTAGGTGATTCCGGTTACCTGGGTCACGCACGCGGTGTACACGTCCACGATAAATTCCGAACTTGGCCGTGCAACTTGCTCTGGACTGAGAGAGTATCCCCACCCGCGAAGGCGTCGACGATCTCCGCGGTGGACATGGTCGGAAACCAGAATTTGCTCGACATTGTGGCAAGGACGGAGCCCGGCGCAGGAAGCCAGTGGAGACACTGGGAGCAGAGGAGGCGAGGAGAAAGCTGCGTTGAATGGCGTTTGGCTGGGACGGTCAGGTGACGTCCGCGACGCGAGGCGACGCGCTCGGCGCTTCTGCCGCTGCCCGCATTGCTCTTCTCCCCCACTCCCCTGCGGTGCTCAGCGCGTCGTCTTTGTCTGGCCGCTTCCCCCATGTCGCGTCCTCGCAACAATCTAGACGAGCTCAACGGAAATACGGCCAGCAACCGCCCCCAAGCCCGACCAAGGCCTCCACGCCTGCCACAGGATCCAAGGTGCGTCGAGCTCCGAGTTGTCGCTGCCCGCTGCGCTCATCGTTCTTCAGAGCAAATTCAAGCCCACCAGATCTATCCCTCTGTCTGCGTCCGCTGCATCCAAGACTGCGGGTGCGTCTCCTTGCTCCGTTGGGTATGCCGATGCTGACTGGCAATAATATCTAGTGCACAAGCTGCCTTCGTTTTCGACGCCTAACTTTGGCAAGACAAAGCCCGCCCAACTCGCTACTCCTGCCAACAATGCCAACTACGTGAGCGTGTCCTCTACTGAAACCACGCCTCTCGATGCCTCTACCTCAAGCATTCCCTCCAAACGGCTTTCCTCTGGATTCCCCGAGGGCACCTTGCCCAGCTCCTCCCCCAAGCGACCTAAAGTCTATCATCCTCAAGAGAAAGAAAACGTCGTACCTCCCGCAACCGATCCTCATGGCAAAGGCAAGGCTCGTGCTCAAGATGCTACTCACGTTCCCGCTCTATTGTCCTCGTTTCCGCCAATTCCCGCTCCACAATTCGTGTCCAACGCCCCGAGAACCTCTCGCATCACTGCACATGCGGCAGTGGGTCTGCGTGAAGCTTTTCAGAAACTCCCTCACGATGCCGGTTTGCGCGAGGTATACTCTCTTGACGTATCCTATTCACTCGCTTACCCGCCTCGTGTGCCTAGAAAACCGAGGCCGAGCTCCTGGTAGCGTCAACCACCTCCCAGGACCTGATAGACACATGCGATAGGTTAATTGGCTCTGCCCGGTCCGAAGGTCCCAGAGACGTGGAGTTTCTCGAAATTTTGGGGTATTTTATTCCCGTTCAACACGGTACTCTTTCTCATTTCTCCGTTGTTCTGCAGCGACTACCTTGAGAACAGGCTACAGGCTTGCCGAACCGAACTCAAAGCACTCAAACGTGGGGAGCGCGATACAGCGTCGAGAGCAGCGAGTTCTGACCCACCCTTTGCGACTGCGACGAGTGCAACCTTCACCGACGGCGACGGACATGGGGTCTTGGATCTCGAGAGCGAGATTCCGGTACAGCCCAACACTGCCCCTCACTTTTCCGACGACGAGGCCATGTGGGATGATCTCGAGGATCACTTGGATCTGAGTCTTGACTTCGACGAACCACCCATCCCCACCCCTGCCACACCCCCAGCGACTCAACCCCGTTCTTTTCCTACGTGCATCCCTCCCCCTATCCCCGAACCGCTTCCCACGCCTCCAGCCCCAGATCAAGCTGCCGGGACGGAAACGGCACCTATTTCAGAGACTCTTACGATCCCGCAACACTCGCATTATCCTGATATCGTGAATGCGTTGCACCGGGTTTTCAAGCTGAAGAACTTCCGCCCTAAGCAACTACCCGCTGTCTCAGCGGCGATGGAGGGCAAGGATGTCTTCGTTCTTTTCCCGACCGGGAGCGGCAAGAGCTTAACATTCCAACTGCCGGCCGTCTGCCTCGTTGGCGTCCATATCGTCGTCTCTCCCTTGATGTCGCTGATGCACGATCAAGTGGCTGCTCTCAGGCGACTTGGAGTTCAAGTCGAGCAGCTGAGCTCTTCTCTTTCGGAGTCGGAAAGGAGTCGAGTGAAGGCACTGCTGTGGAGCCGGAACGACAAGGACTTGCCGCGACTACTCTACGTCACCCCAGAGCAACTGCAGATGAGCGGCGAGCTGAAGAGTATTCTGCAACGTCTGAGTGAACGGAAGCGATTGATCAGGTTCGTCATCGATGAGGCCCACTGCATCACAGACTGGGGCCGACGCTTCCGCGACTCCGTGAGTGGCTTTTCTGACTGTTGCATTTCTGCGCTGAAATCTTGCGTCTTGTCAGTACTCGCATCTCAGTCAACTCAGGAAGGAGTTCCCCAACATCCCTATCACCGCGCTGACCGCGACCGCGACTCCCGAAGTTGAGAGCGACATCATCACACGACTCGGTCTACGAGATTGTGTTCGGCTCAAGCTTTCCTTCAACCGAAGGAATCTCGACTATGAAGTTCGCACGCAAAGGTGCACCGCAGACCTGGTCGCGCAATACATCAAGGAAAACCACCCCGGCAAGTGCGGTATAGTCTACTGTAACTCCCGCGACAGGTGTGAAGAAGTGGCGAAGGCACTCCGAGATAAGCACGGCTTGCGATCAAGGCACTATCATGCAATGATGGATCCCGGAGACAAGTCGCGTATTCAAGACGAATTCTTCCGGGGTGTCGTTCATGTCATTGTAGCAACTGTTGAGTATATGCTTTCTAATCCGTCTGCCAGTTTGGCTGACTACCAACCAGGTCGCCTTCGGCATGGGCATCGACAAGCCCGATGGTGAGCCAGGTTGATGGCAAGTGCTCTGGATGTTATTCACTCCCCGCTAGTCAGATTTGTCGTGCACTATTCACTCCCGAGCACATTGGCTGGGTGAGTTGTCGAATTCGGCAACACTACGATCATAAGGCTAATCCTACCACCGTTCGCAGATACTATCAAGAAACCGGTCGGGCTGGACGTGACGGCGAGCCGGCGGCATGCGTTCTATGTACGTTCCTTCATGGGTCTTCATTGCCTATAGCATATCGACCAATCGGCTCTAGTCTACAGCTACCCCGACTACCAGCAGCGAATCAGCCAAATTCGCAAAGAGGAGAAGGACTGGGAGGAGAAGCGGTGGCAAGAAGAAGATGTCAACGCCGTCCAACGCTATTGTATCAACAACGTTCGTTGTCGTCGTCAGCAAGTCCTCGCATTCTTCGAAGAAGATTTCGACCCTGGGAACTGCGGCCAACTGTGCGACAACTGCCGTGTAGTGGCGCCAGGCGAGGAGGTAGATCACACCGCCAACGCCATCGCGGTCCTCGATGCGGCGGAAGACGCCAAACGTCAAGGCAAATCGCTGACTCGGGTCCAGCTCAAGGACGTCCTCCGTGGTTCCAATAACAAAAATATTCGCGAGAAGGGCTTTGACCAGCTTCAAGGCTACGGCTCCTTCAAGAAGTTATCACAATCGGCGGTTGAACGTCTCATCGACGAGCTCCATATCATCGGCGTCCTTGATAATGACATTCAGATTCGAGGTGACTACCCCCAGAACTACGTCAAGGTCATTATGTCCTCTCTCGTTACACCGTTCCTGCCGCTGACCGTTGACTGCCCACAGGCCGGTAGCAAGGCTGGTCGGTTGCGCAGCGGCAACCTGAAGGTTGTCATTGAGTTCCGAGAGACCCGGAGGGCGGCCAGCGGTGCGGGTCGGGCGCCCGCCCAGAAGCCTCGAAGCAGAGCCGTTCAAGACCGCGCAAACAAGGCTTCTACGTCCGCCGCTGTACCCAACACCGAGGTTTACAAGCTTCCTCTCTACCGCGACGACCCCGTGGACAACAGCCCACCGGATGACGATATCGAAGAGTTCCCGAGCCCTGTCCCCCGCGCGCGTCGAACCACCTCCCATGCGACGACGTCTGCGCCTTACAACGATGCGGAGCATGACAGTGGATCGGAAATTGAGGAGATTGAAAGCCTGCCACCTCGACGTACCGTGACGATGTTGTCGAGGGAGAACATACCCGACTTCGACGGACTCGTCGCCGGGAACGTTTCCGCGCCGAGCGCGACCAGTGCTCCGAGCGGGTCGACGGTACCGCAAACCCCCCCGGAGGACATACCCCTCAATGCCATGCTTGCCCTGCGCGATGAGGTGCGTGGTCTGTACTTCCACCTATACCTGACTCAACTCGTTTCCCAGATCCTTCGCAGCAATCCCAAGTTGGATCATTATCTTAGCGACGAAGTCATCCACACGCTTGTCCTCACACGACCACAGGGTTAGTGATCGAAGTGCGCTTGCTAGAACCTAGAGGCTGAAGCACTGACGGACGTTCCAGACCCAATGGCATTAGCACGGGAGCTGCGCAGTCTAGAGGTCCCCGCAGGGTCTCTTGCCGAGTACGAACACAAACTCTTGGCTATATGCAAGCGATCGGACTGAGGTACCTGCGGGCATGGCCCTACTTGTTGTGACTTCTTGCTTCATTTTTTCCTAGTCTTCATCTGTAGGCTTGTAGGTGCTGTAGTGATACGATAATTGAACTTGCCCGTTAATGTGAGCATAGCGATGATTCATACTTAATCGCCTGCAATACTGTGCTGGGAACCCCTGCGAGATCTCAGCCGTGACATTCGCAACAGGCATCTAAAGACAACAGAAACACAGACGCAAGAACGCCAGGGATTACACCGTCGACTCGTACTCCGGCCTACACTCCGTCCGGAATGTGCTGAACCAGCCGTGGTCGACGCCCTCCTCGATCGTGCTCGAGCGCGAGAAGTGACTCTCATGCGTCAGCCAAGCCGAAGTTCCGAACAGCTGCCCCGTGCGTTCGAGGAGCTCCTCGAGCGTGTCGACGAGGCACTGCATGACCTCCTGCTCCGCGAACGCGTACACGAGCGAGAGCCCGAGCTCGGTCTGCTCCTCGCGTGCGTGCGCGATGCACTCCTGGACGTGCGCCTCAAGCTGCGCGAACGCGTGCCGCGCCGAGGGCAAGAACTGCGGGAGCGGCTCGCGCGCGCGGAACGCATGCTGGCACGCGTACAGGATGATGCACACGCACGACATCTGTTGGCGGAAAGCGGTCAGCGTAAATCGGAGCTTCGGTGTGTGAGCGACTAACGAATTCGCGGCGCTCTTTGAATACGCTCGACACGGTCTCCTTCCGAGGAATGTTTTCTCGGATCTTGCGAAGGCCAGTCATGAGGTCGAGCAGCTTCTGCATCGTAGTCACGATGTTGCGGTACTGACCCAGTGGTTTCTGAAGACAAGCCCTGGTTTGTAATCGTGTAGAATGATTTGAAGGAACATGCTTACAGGGAGAAGACTCAATTCATCATTCATCGTCTTCAACAGAGCGGACAGCCTGTAGAGAGAACTGCGGGTTTGCAGCTCTAGCTTTAGCTGTTTTCGACGTTCTTCAAGAGAGCGAGTCCGATTCATTCTGAACATGTCGCTGGAATGCACGGCGTCAGTGGAGAGTGAGCGTAGGCCGTTGACTACCCACTGGCTCAATGTAAGATAGAGGGTGCTGAGTCTGCCGAGCGTGCGCGCCGTATCGTTGAGGAAGAGTACCTGTGATATCATGAGTCTTACGGGCATCTGACAGAAGCCACGAGAACAAACGCACCCGACAATGCCGAGGGAATAACATACTATTTACGATGACGGCCGCAAGGATTCCTGCGGCGATCATTGCCGCGCGAGCGACTGTGAGATCTGTGGATAGATGAGTGTGATGCTAGCAAGGATGCATGCAGGGGTTACGTACGAAGAACAGAAGCCGTTGTATCTGGGGTCGTATAATGTGCGAACACGATGGGGGGCAACGTCACGGATCTGAAGCCGGATTTAGTATACATCCTGGTTATCAGCTTGAACCTTGAGCTTACGCAGGAACAGCAAGCGGCGTCACAGAGGTCCGGAGTATAATCCATGTAATGGGTATGTCAAATGCCTTCCTATGCCATTAGACATGCGAGAACAGTTTGGTGCGTTGGAAGGCTCACCGTAACCATGGTCACAAGACCGTATGGATTTGTGCCACATATTAGAGCCGTCTAACCGTCACTTCGTGAGACAAATGAAAAGGGACGGAGCTACAGGGTCACGACGCACAACATATGCGTATGTGGCTCCAAGTAATGTACCAACCTGTTTGGTCAGAAAGTTTGGGTGATCGGAACGTTGTTGAGGAAGAAAGTAATACGTACTAGTCGTAGGTAACCTGTCCTCCACGTCGCCCCGGTGTTGGTCTCCAGGACCCATAGATAACTGAGCCACATTGAGCGACGCAACACGGACGGGCTAAGGCGGATGGCTCACCTGATAGTCATCCACTGCCCTCTCCAATCCTGGAACCATAGCCGACCTGTGCAGAGCGTGAATATTTGCGAACTGAAGCCTTGGCACAGCACAAACCAGGAGAGTCCGCTGGCAAAAACGCCGGGAAAGTCAGCACGGCGACCCCGATCGCATTCTTCAGCCCATGCTTCCAGTGGCTCGAGTGTTGAACCGCCCGGTGCCTCTTGGACAGCCACACCCTCGCGCGTAACACCTGCTCGCTCGACCACAACCTGCTCATCTGCCCGCGCCAGAACCGCCACGTCCACACCCGCGCCTTCAACGCCTTCAGCTCCATCCTACTCGCGCTCGCTGCCGCGTATACGCGATAGCGCGCCGCGGCGATGCCTCCGGCGGGCAAGTGCCGGCCGTGTTTGGCGAGCGTGAACTCGAAGGCGCGCTCGACGATACCCTGTCGTGCCTCCATGACGGTCAGCCGCTCGTCGGTCTCGGCGTCGGCGGGCGAGTTCTCGCCCGAGGCGTCGGCACCGGCGTAAGCTGCGTCGTTGTGGTCGTCGGAAATAAACTGGCCTGGGGGGACGCCGAGCCATTGCAAGGATATCCGCGGGTACCAGAGCTTCGTGGGGGACTCCTCGTATCGCCTCGCGACATGTTCGGCGAGGTGCAGCGCAGCAGCCATCTCCTGGGCCATCTAGCCCGCCCAACGCAAGACACAGGTCGAAGTCAATACCGGGGGACGCAACAAGGGGGGTGAGGGCCGAGCACATACCTGGAGCAGCGCGATCGCCGCGAGACTGCAGTCGAAGATCTCCTTCGGGAGGTGCGGTTGCTTCCCCTCGGCACGCTGGTGCATGTCAACCTGATCGAAGACATGCTTGAGAACCTCGCGCATCTTGTTGCAGGCGACCTCAAGTTTGCTCCTCGCGGCGTGGACGGCGACCTTCTGAGACCCGGAGATCGACTGCGCGCTCTCCGGAGTCTCTCCTGCTGATCGCTGGTGAAAGATCACCGTGATCATATGCTCCACCGTCTTCATCGAGTCTAGGACGGCTTGGGCCAGGTCAAGTGCTGGTGGTTCAAGTACCGACACGAACGCAAGCGGGTGTTGGCTGGCAGAAAAGTACTCGTTGAGACTTTGTGCTACGCTCCGAGGGCTCTGAGGTAATGAGCGTGGGGTGCCAGGGCCCGGAGACCGAGGAGTGCCAGGAATACTGCGCAGAGGTTTCACGGGCGACAGTCCCCACACCAGCTCGCGTCTCAGGTGCTCGACTATGCCCACGAACGGCCGGATGGATTGGACTACGAAGTATGGGGTGAGCATGGGGTCGTGACGGTCCGATGTCGACGTACGACTGAGGCGACCGACGCGCAGCTCGAAAGCCGCCTGCGAATAGGATTCATTCAGCTTAATGGAGCGCTGGAGAAGCTGCGCGTGGAGTTGCCGATAGTACGAGACGTCCATCTTCGTTTCCCGGGCGCCGACACGATAGAGACTCGTGGATAAGCATTCTTGAAGGACAGCGAATGTGGCAGCTGTCTCAAGCTCAAAGTTGGTAGTAGAGCCACGGAAGATGACCATCATGACGAGCAGCGATACGACGCCTATAATTGCGGCAGATAGTGTTACCCAAAGGAAATTACCTGAGTCCGCCAGGACGCGCTGCATGATAACTAGAAATGAACTCGATTCCAATCTGGGGTATTCAGGACGTACATCTGAGACTCCGATGTTGCCGGTGAGCAGCCAGATGGAAATGAAGCATGATATTCGTGTAGAGAGCTGCAGACGAACAAGTCTGCTTTTAGCAACACCAGCTGGAGAGATATAAGCGGGAGATCTGCTGGGCCAGAGGGGTGAAACGTACCGAGGAAGCTGATCAATATCAGGAAGACGAAGCAAGTGATTCGTGCGGTCTGGGAATCCGGGCCTGCAAGAGAGGCGAGATATTTTGCGAGAGTGGATAGGCCGATCCCGAGCAAGGCACCGATGATGTTGAGGCACGTGAGCTCAAGCTGCTGGGCGAGGTTTTCCTGGACTGAAAAGACGAGTTCCTTGAGGGCAAGGACGAGAAAGGCATATCTCCCGCCAAGCCTGGCAAAGGGGCGGATGACTATGATAAGCGCACACAGGAAAGTGGAGAGCAGCCGGGCAAGCGGTCGCCTGGCCAGAGAGCTGGCCGGAAAGACCGACAGACGGTGCAGACAGGCTCGCCACGGGGCTGGTGAGGGTTCCGGGGCTTTCTCCGGACCATCGTGGGCCATGGGAGGCAGACGGAGGGCGGAGGCGAGGGGGAGAAGGTCAAAGAAACATGGTGATGCGCACCAATCGTTTTGGGTAGTCCGGAGAGGACGCGACGCGTGATAGGCTCCAACAGGCTCCGCTCTGGTTCTCTGCCCCCGCTCGCCCGACCTTCCAGCCTGTGTCCTCCTCTAGTCTGCTCCTCCAGAACGACTGGGCTGCACAGCTCTTGGACTAACCCGTCAACATTCTACTCATGTGTCGCGTGCAGAACTGCGCACAGAGTCACTCTGTCTTCGGCGACGGCGTTAGAGTGCATGCCGTTCATGTCCGGTCGCCGCACGTTGAGAGACGGCTCTTAAGATCTTATGACTGGGGGTGGGCGGCCCTTGTCTCCCGGAAAGTACTCTCGATGCTCGCGGCCCTGCTCTGCATGGTCAGCCACGTAAAGTTTACCAACCGTCCGTGCGGAAGTCATGGTTGGAATTGCTCACCAGCAGGGTCGTGACTTGCACACGACAGGGCGTAAGGACCACGGGGAGCGAGTTTGATGGCTGAGCGGCAGTCTGGGTGCAGCGAAAAAGAGCTGGGAGTACTGGCAGGAAGCAAGGATGGGTGTATGCGCGTCCCCCATCAGGTAGCGGCCGCCCCGTTTGGCAAGTCGCCTGCCTAATGGAGACGGCGCAGCCCTGGCTTCAACTCCGACCACGCTGCGCCTCTCGGCTCTCCCTGTTCTCGTCCCCTCTTCATTTCCACAACATCGCCGCCTGTGCGCTTCCATGAGGCTTTTTCGCCGCCAAAGTTCTTCATCACATCCCTTCTTCCTCCGCCAGAGAATACCTTGCGCTGGTAAGCCTATTGTGCGGATGCATACGGGGAGCGAATCGTGACTTCTCGCTCTCCAGGCCTGTTCTCCCTAGTCATAGCGGACTCACGGGCGATAGTAGGCGGCAAGAGCATAGGATATCGCATCCCGCTTTCAATGATTGATCGTGTACGTTACCCATCACAGGAAACGAACGATTGTCCATGTATGCGCAAGTACACGCAACCAAGAGCAGATAGCTAAGCTTATACGCACTCGCGTGCGCTCCCTAAATTGCTGACTTGACTTTGCTCCCACATCATACACAATCTGGCCATTGGATCACTTCCCATGCCTGAGTAGACTTCGGTCCCAGACCGCGGAAGTGAATGATCGATTAACGACGCTCTTCCTCCGCTCGTTAACGAGCCAATGTCATGGCAAGTAAACTCTCAGCAGTGTGCTTCGGATACGCTCATACTGCCGGCAGGTATGGGCAGCGGAAACGCGCGTGGGTGAACTCGACCGCGCGCATGTACAACATGACCCGACCGTGATGACGAGGTTCGGAGGCTGCACAACGCTGTCCGCGAAGGTTCCAAGGCCCTTACGTCCGCGACCGGCGTAGCTGAATTAATACCGGAGGGTATTACTATGAAAAGTTGACGACAGATCCGCACCTGATGGTTGATCTGGGCGGGTGAAGTACCCTGCTGACTCCAGTCTCCGTAGGTCTCACACCAACGGAGCGTAACGTTTGTCCCCGACAATGTGGCCACCTTCCAGACATCGAGAACGCATTGAACCGGTGTTCTCCAGGCTTTACAGACTACCACGAACGCCGACCACGGGGCCACGCTCGGAATCGGTTCGCCGGTGACCCGGGTCGCTTCCTCCACCCATTCTCGCTCAACCTTCCCTCGGCAAGCCCGTCGTGCCCAATCGTACCACCACGCGACAATGGACCTGACGACGAGGACCGAAAACCGCCGTAAGACGCAGTTGGATGCGCAGGGTTGCGCACCCCATGACCACACTCATCTCAACGAGCTCGGTTGGCTTCCCATACCGGCGGTACGCGCTCGACGCCCGACGTACGTCACCCCGCGCTCGCCTGTGCAGCCAGGGCCCTTCCATGCCGTGTCGTCCAGGCCGCGCGCCCGTCGCGCACCGCCGATGCCCTGGAGCTCGGCGCGGCTGCGCGGCCGCGCGCAGGGGCGACGTGGGGGCGACAAGATTCGGCCCCCCAACCTTCCTCCACCGGCTCATGATCGAGTCTCGCGGCCGTGCGCATGAGCCTGAGCTTGAGCCTGAGGCTGGAAGGCCTGAGGCCTGAGCCCCCGGGAGCGTGTCGGACGTGCGAGACGATCGCCGCTGGGCGCAGCGCCGTGTTCAGTCGGGCCGTCGACACCTCGCCTAGACCCGTGGAGCCTGCCGTCGACGCCCTGGCCCCGTCGCTGGATGGTGGCCAAACCTACCCGCGCGCGCCCGTCCATGTCGCGATCGAGGCCACCTGGCCCCGCGGCCCCGCCCTCGATCGCTCCAGGGCGAGGGAAACCACCCGCGCGCGGTGGCCCGCGATCGCCGATCGACGCTTCATTTCCGACCCCGGCACAAACGCCGTCAAGAACAAGAAGAGCCTGCGCAGGACACTCGCCGCCAGGAGCTCGGCCGCCTTATTGGCACACGCCGTTCGGCGGCGGCAGGGAATTGGAAGGGAGGGAGGTCCGCGGCGGACGCCGCGGTTCGTGCGCGCAGGTGCGCGGAGTGTCGAGTGCGCGACGTCCAATCTCCGCGGTCGTCCCCCAACTCCGTCCGCCGCCCTCGCTCGGCGGCCCACCACAGCGGCCCAGCTCTGGCAACACGTACATACACGTCAGACGCGGTGGGCGCAGGCGGGCGTAGAAGGACGTGCCAAACAGAATTCGCGCGCGCAGTGCGCCCTGTGGTCAGCACGAACTCACGCTCACTGGACGTACGATGATTCGCGAGGGGCCTCGTCCGGGTAGGGCCATTGTCAAGTCCGCGAGTACCTTGTCGCAGATCGAGCGTGCCTCCCTTGGCACCTCAATATTCCTCGATCAATTTCCCCATCCCTGAGTGACGCACTCGTCTTGTGGGCGCACGGCACTTGCATCACCCTGCAGAGTACTGGAGACGTGTATATTCCAGCTCTTTTCTGTGCCAGATGGCTTTACTCGACAGTGACGGCGACGACGGACTACATAGAGCAACAAGATCCAACATACAGTTTCCCATTCAGTACATAGATAGCCAGAGTATGGACACAAATGCAGACTACAGCGTTATCCACAAAGCAGGCAGGTAAAAAGAACAGCAAGGCCGAAAACAAGCACTATTATACACAGAAAGCAGACCGTTCGCGCAAGACGTGGGTTTTTGAATGTATGTAGGGAAAGCGGAGAGGACGGCGGGACCGGCGCAGACGTACGAACGAGACAGAGAGCACCTTCAGCGAACGCCTGCCGCACGCGGATGTCGCATCTGAGCGCGAAGAGCGAGTGCACCGCACAGCTCCCTGACGACCTGTTCACTTGCCTGACGCGTCCGCCTCGTGCTCCGGGCGAGGGTGGCTGCGCGAATCGACCATCTCCCTCGGCGTTCCCGCCTCTGCGCCCGGTGACCTCACCGGAGGCTGCATGTACGCCTGTGGATACCCGGGGAAGGGGTGCGGCATGGGATGGGCGACGACGGGGATTTGCATGTCGGGCCGCATGTGAGGGTGATGCTGGACGTACGGGTGAGGGACCATGTACGTCCCGTACTGAGAGGTGATGGGGATGAACGCGGTGGGGAAGAAGCCGGGGTGTGGAGGATAAGCACCGATTGGTTCACCGTCCTGGCCGGCTGGGGGCGGGACTGCAGGGACGGTGTAGACGACGGGGGAGAAGTACAAAGGAGGGTCCCCGGGCCTCGCAGCAGAGGGGGGGTATTGGGTGAAAACCGGTGCAGCGTACGGGACTTGGGCCGTCGGGTGGGGGACGGTGGCGGGGACGGCCAGTGGGGACGCACCCGCTTGCTGCACGACAACGTCGGCCTGCTGCTGCCGGACGTTGGCGGCTAGAGGATACGCGGGTCACGGTCGACGGCGCACGGCTGGAAGAGGGGCGGGAGGACTCACTTTTGTCATCGCGCTTCTTGTAAGGCCCCCGCTTCTTCCCCTTCGCTCGCTCTTTGCGGAGCGAATCGACGCACTCGTCGGCGAGGCCGTACTTGACGCAGCGGAGGCAGGGGCGGGCGTCGTAGCATTTCTTGCATGCTTTCTGACAATTGGTGCACGCGTTCTTGACCTGCTTGCGCTTGGGGGGCGCGGCGCGGGAGGACGTGCCGGAGGAGACGGGGTACATGGTCATGGGAGGCATGCTGGACATGAAGTCGGTGTGGATGGTCATTGAGGGCTGGATGGTGGTTGTGGGCGAGGGCGGGGTGGAGGGTGGCTCCGGGTGGCTCGCGGCGAGACCACCGTGTTCGTCGCTCATGGGGAAGGAGGCCGAGAGGGAGGGAGGAAGCCGGGCGTGGATAAGGTCGCGCTGATATAGCGACGGGAAGTGGTGGGCCGCGGGTGGGTACACGTGCTGAGAAGCCCCGCGCAGACGGGCGCGGGGAAAGGGGATGTGGGCGCGGGAGGGGAGAGGGGCCGGGCTGAAGGGGCATGGTGAGCGTCGAGGACGGCGGGGAAGAAGGAGCGGGCGACGTACGGGGTGATGGGCGGGATGCTCGCTGAGCTTGGGGCGGAGGGCGGCTCCGACCGGAAGCGGAGGCAGAGGCGGGGGAGGAGAAATTGAAAGGCAGCGGGCAGGCCGCGTCGATATCAATGCTATCAATAAGTATTGATTCCGCCTCTCCTCGCGCCTTAACGTAATCGTTATTTATCCACAGCACTCCGCGGCCTCCTTATCGATTAGCTCCGCTCTCCGACGGCTCCTCGGCGCCCCCGCCCGTCCGCCCCCCGCTTCCTCGTCTTCTCCACTCGCCGCGTCCACCGCCGGCCGGAAGCGTCCCCACGCCCCGCATGCGCGCCGACTCGCTGCTCGAATTTCGAAAAGCGCGCGCGCGAGCGTGCTTTATCAGCGCCTATTATAACACCTGCCATTCTGGCGCTCCCACTAAGCCTGCAAGCGAAGTCATCCCTGTCTGTGATCGTTTCTGCCCTGCATCTTGTTCGCGAACGCACCAAGTCCGTAGCCCTTCGCGCGGGTACGAGAGTACGGCGCCGCGCGGATGCCGCGCCCGGCTCTGTACACGCAGCTATGCCTTCGTGGGTAGGCACGCGCTGTAGTCGCGCGCGAGCACGTCTCCCGCACTGCGCCGCCGCGCAAGTCCTCCGTCTGACATTGCGCGTTTGCGCAATTGGCCCCACCCACATTGCCTCCCAGATTCTCCTCCCATTCCTCGACCAGCGACGGCGCCATGAGGCTCTGAGCGCGCCCCAGCAGCGGTTCCGGACTTGGGCGGCAACAATGGGCCAGCTCCGCCACGTGCCAAACAACCCCAAATAACACGAGGCCCAGCCGGCGACGGGTGTTTGAGCGACGTGCTCCAGCAAACTGGCATCGTCGAGCTCAACGGCCAGTCAGTCGCCAGCCTCGAGCTGGTCCTGAGCCCCAACTCTCTCTCAACTACCCCCAGACCCCCTTTGTCGGTTTCCCGGACTCCAGCCTCGTCTTTCCTTTCCTCCATTCGCTCCTTATCCTCTTTCTCATGTCCGCCCCGTCTCCCCCCACCATCGGTCAAGTGGCTCATGAAAAGGGACGTGTGAGGAGGAGGGACAGGCCTCCGGCCCTGGACATCGCGGATCCCAAGGCAGGTTCGGACGGTGATGTACGATATGACCGCGATGTTGCGAATGATTCCCGAAAGGTGACCCTCGCTTTCGCGCGTTGGCATTTCCCTTCGCTCAACCACCTCCTCGTCACAGCCCTTTCTGCAAGTTGCTGGCGCAGAGGAGCTCACCACCGACGCCGAGGCCGACGTTCCTCGCTCTCGCCCCGCTTCAGCCACGTCCTCCCTGGACCCCTACTACTTCGGCACCAACAGCCCATCGGACTCGCCCATCCCCCCCGTTCCTAGCCTTCCCGCACTTCCAAAGACACCGGAGATGCATGCGTACGAGCCCGTCACCCCTGGAAGGGATCCTGCCGCCATTGATAGGCGCATGTTGGTCGGGGTTGGAGAACTCGCTACTCCACGCTGGGCGCGGGGTGCTCGCAACGACGACTTCGAGTTTGTGACGCAGGACCGTGTGGAGGAGGTTAACGAGGACGACATCATCGACGTGGATGCCATGGATGACGAGGCGAGGGACTCGGATAGCCCATGGACAATAGAAGCGATTGACGGGGAGCCAGAGGACTCTGAGAAGAACGAGGTTCGTCTCTTTTTTCATGGCTTCTTGTGTACTCGTCTGAGCGTTGCAACAGCCCCTTATGGAAGTAAAACACTCCGCTCGCGCGGTTCGCAATCGTCGTTCAATTGCTGAGGAGAGCGGTGGAGAAGAGATTCTATACCCCCGCCATCCTCCGCAGCCCCATCCCTCCGACATGCCTTCTATCCCTCGAATCCCTTCAGATGTCGACAATGACTCCTCTGCTGTGTCCTCGTCTTCCGCCGATGCAGGGCCTCCTCCAAGTGCCTTCTCAACACCACCGAACCGTCCTAGAAAACGGACATCGGAGGAGTTCGAGTTGGACAACGGCGTACTTGTATCCAAGCTTTCTCCCGGTACGGCCACGCCTGGCACTGCCAAGGAGAAAGACAAGGCACGGAGACATCGAAGTCTAGGAGTCGGTATCCCATCACAGACCACCCCCAAGGATAAAGGCAAGGATCGCAGAAGGGACACGCTCTCGGTGAGCGTCCGTCACTCTCGCCAAGGATCTTCAGGCTCGACGCCTGCGGAGACCCACCACTCCCGGCGAATGCATACGTCTGACTTCTCCCACCTTCCCCCGTCGCCGTCGTCGTCATCAATCCAGCAGTTCCTGAAGCACGGCGGCAATTCGAGCAGCTCTGCGTCATCCCCTCTGAACACCCAGCCTCACGTCGCGGCCAACGTCGCCCACTCCCTCCTCCGTGGCACTCAGGAGGGGTGGTCTGATTTGGATGATCAAACGACAATGGAGGCGCTCAGGAAACTTGACGGTCTTTCGGGCAAGGCAGCACGTGCCCGCTCTAGCATTGGTGGACACAGTAGGGTCAGCAGCAGTAGTCGCCCAGGCACGCCGGCCAAAGCTTCCGGGCAGTGGGAAGGCATCGAAAGCAGCACCAGCAAGAGCGGCAAACGAACCAGCACCCACGCGCCGTCGAACGAGGGCAAGAAGTCGAGGGACAGCACTCACAGAATGTCCTCTGGGCTCGGGCTCGGGCTCGGGCTATCTGTGGATGGGTCTGCGGAAGTCGAGCACGTCGTACCGGATGCTGGCGATGCCGTTCTTAGCTCTCCCATCCCGGAGAAATCGATACCTGCGAAGAAAACGGGCTCTGCCAGTGCACGCTCGAGTTTCACGCCGAAGAGGGGCTCTGCATCCTCGGGCACCTATGCAAGTACCCCCACTACGAACGGCTCGCGTGACTCGGCCCAGCTTTCCGTCGCTACCAGCGCCACATCTGTCTCCCGGCAATCGTCTCAGAAGGCCAGGCGCAACAGTGCGGGCAGCGACATTTCTCTCGGACATGCCAGCGACCCGACTTCTGCTCGCGACCGCGCTGCCTCCCTTGTCGGTAATGTCGATTCGGCGGAGGAGAGCTATGTACCACCGGTGCCACCACTGCCGAAGGAGCTGTCGACGTACAAGTCTCCGCTTGCCTCTCCCAGCGTCGCCGTCCCTCCTTCCCACGATTACGTTGATGCTCTCCCCGATCGGAGCAGGCGGGAAACCTTCAACGATGTGACCTTCCCATCCACTCTCGAGCCTCCACCCTTCCCGTCTACCCCGTCGAAGCACAGTTCTCTTCAAGTTCCCAAGTCGACCACGCCGACGAACCTCCACAAGACCCCGTCAAAGAAGTGGAGTTTCTCGAGCGCCTTGGGCAAGAAGCTATCGTCCACGCCTTCGACGTCCTCGATGAAGGATGCTGTTCAGGCGAAATCACCTATAACCAGCCCTCGCGCGATGTCATTCGGACAACAAATCCGGAAGTCAATGTCGAGGGAGAAGCGCCTATCCCCAACCTCCAAGCCATCTTCCGGCGGGGAGTGGTCGCCGGTTAATCAAGCCGCCATGACCTCTGCGACCTCACTGGCCTCATTGTCGTCTGTGGGTTCCACACACGCCCTGTCTCCGGTGATCCCAGGGCAGCCCAATGTGATCCCTGCGAAGACGCCGGACCGCCTTGTTTCCAGCAGGGCTGATACTGCGTCCCATGCCAGCACCAATGTCCCGGCTGCGCCCATGAGCCCTTCGGCGTCTGTGCGTCGCAATCCGTCGACGAAGCGCCTTACACCGTCCTCGATACCCTTTTTCAGGCGATCTTCGTCGCAGTCAATGCAGGTTCCTCCACCCAGTTTGCCGCCGACCTCCATCTCTCCGACCACATCCTCGGGCCCCCCATCAGCCACTCACCTCCGCGCTCCGAGCGCCACCTCCCCGACAAAGGACAATAGTGTTTCTTCTGTCAACGTCCCAAGCTCTGCCAAGAAGTCATCGGTCCTCAGCCTGGGACTACCCTCCCTCTTAAAGGGCTCCAGCTCTCGCCGTAGCCTGCACTCCGGCGGGGAAGGCAAGGGTGACGCGAAGAGCAGCCGCGAGAGTAACGCTGGGCTGTCGGACCGAGAGCGCTCCAAGAAGGACGACAAAGACCGTAGTGAAAGCAGGATCTCGGTGCTAATGGGTAGAAAGAGGGGCAAGGTGCGTTTGGCATGTCCGCGTTTGTGGTCCCGTCTTCCGTATTTATGCTTGCCCGCCCGCAGACGCTTTCGTCTGCCCAGCAACCGCCTAAGAAAACAGAGCCCGTGGCTATGCCTCCCATGCAGATCTCGGCTTTGCCTCCGTCCACCGCTGCGCGCGTGGCTAACCTCAAGTCTACTTCACAGTCATCCTTGACCTCGAGCACGGGCTCTGTTAAAGGTGGCAGTTCCGCGCGCGCCACTGCCCAGACCCTCAGCTCGATGCAGAAGCAATCGGATACGTCACTCCGCCGCCACCAGCTGCCGACCATTGCGGGTTCCCCCTCTGTCGGCGGCCTCCAGCCCGCAGCCCGCGACGTCAAGGACGGACCGCCCCTTGCTGCACTCAACACCTCCGCCGGCCTCCCGAAGGAGACCCCGACCAAGATCCCCCGCATCTCCAGCCGCTCTTCCGCCGCCAACTCACCCACGCTCAAGGCGAACGGGGCGAGCCGCAGGGCGAGCGTCATCGCGGGTAGCGGCCTTGCGTCGTCGAGGGGAGCATCGCCGGCGGGTGGGAGCGAGTCGATGAACGAGTTCGGGGTCTTGGAGAACGGAGTGGCTTCTACATCCAAGACGGCACGTACCTCAGTTCGCAACTCTCCCCAGACGCCGTCTTCACGAGTCCCCCGCCAGGTCTCTGGGACGAACGGCAGCACGATTCCCCGCAAGAACCGCGAGTCACTGTCATTCGGCGGGCTGCGCAAGTCGTCGACGAGCTCGGTCACGTCAAACAACTCAGGTGCGCAGCACGAGCAGCCGCAAGCCTCGCATTCGCACCACCGCTTCTCTGCGCTCTCGCCGTCCAAGGGGTTGAAGCTCTTGAGCCCCAAAGTATCACTTCCCACCGCCCGCGCGTCCAACAACTCTTCATCCACCCATAGCATCCAGCAGGCCCTCGGTTCCCCGTCCACTAGCAGGCAGAGTCTCTCTACGCCGTCTCCGGCGCCGAGCTCTGTCGACGAGGAGGAGCTTCTGGGTGATGAGGAGATGATGCAGTACATCAAGCGGCAGCAGGCGAAGAAGTTGCAGAGCGGTTCGACCCAAGAGGATCTCGACGCGATGCTCCGCTTCCCCGAACCCATCCCCCCCGCCGCCGCTTTGTCTCCCCAAGGTACGTCTCTGGTAACACGTCGTGTGACTTTGCTGTCGTCTGACCGTGCCACGCAGCTCTCCTCGAAAGCGACCAGGTCCGCTGGCTATCACAGTACGAGTGCCGTGAGGTCCTCGACTACGAGTCCATCTACTTCACCGGCGCGCGTAGCGACAAAAAGATGGCCACTCCGGACATCGCGACCAACAACTACGGGTACGATGACGAACGCGGCGACTACCTGGTCATCAACCACGACCACCTGGCGTTCCGCTATGAAGTCATCGACACGCTGGGCAAGGGCTCCTTCGGGCAAGTACTTCATTGCCGTGACCACTGCACTGGGGAGTCCGTGGCGATCAAGATCATCCGGAATAAGAAGCGCTTCCACCATCAAGCTTTGGTTGAGATCAAGATTCTGGACAACCTGAGGAAATGGGTACGTCGGTCTCTAGGTGGTATGTTGCATTTTACTCATGCTATCGCAGGACGCGGAAGAGAAGCACCATGTGATCAAGATGACCGAGCACTTCTACTTCCGTGGTCACCTATGTATCGCGATGGAACTCCTGAGCATCAACCTCTACGAGCTCATCAAGGCAAACAACTTCCACGGTTTCACCACCGGCCTTATTCGTCGTTTCACGAGCCAGATGCTTCAGTCACTTGCGCTCATGCGTCACCACCGCATTGTACATTGCGATCTCAAGCCCGAGGTGTGTAACAGTTGTGCGCAGTCCGTGCATTCTCTGAACCGGGTTTTGTAGAACGTTCTCCTTCGTCATCCCGCCAAGAGCGCGATCAAGGTTATCGATTTCGGTAGCAGCTGTTTGGAGCACGAGAAAAGTGCGTCGATTGCTAGCATTCCTTACAACTCACGTGCTGACATCCGTTGCCAGTATATACATACATCCAGAGTCGCTTCTACCGCTCCCCAGAGGTCATCCTCGGCATGAACTACCACATGGCGATCGACATGTGGAGTTTAGGTTGCATCATGGCCGAGCTTTACACGGGATTCCCGATCTTCCCTGGCGAGAACGAGCAAGAGCAGCTCGCCTGCATCATGGAAGTGCTCGGCGTGCCGGACAAGGACTTCGTGAACCGCAGTTCGCGAAAGAGGCTCTTCTTCGGTGCGTACACTGCACACGGTACCAGCGTATCTCGTACTGACGACCGTGCGCAGATACTACGGGCGCACCTCGGCCTGTCGTGAACTCAAAGGGCAAGAGGCGGCGTCCTGGCACCAAGACCTTGGCGCAGGCGCTCAAGAACCCTTCGGATGATCTCTTCATCGACTTCATCTCAAAGTGCTTGGTGTGGGATCCTGAGCGGCGGTTGAAGCCGCAGGCTGCCCTCCGCCATCCGTACATCACTGCCGGGCGGCGAACCAAGCCTGTCAACTCGACTCCGTCGACGGCGAAGACGCTGCTTCAGACGGCGTCGTCGAACCTCGGTAGCCGCAACACGAAGGTGACCGAGACGCCAAAGAAGTCGCTCATCAGTGCGCCGACGCCGCTCACCGCTCGTTCGTCGCGTACGCTGGCCGTGCCGAGCACTCCGAGCGGGTCGACCAGTATGCACAGCACCCTTGGCTCCGCTTCTCGGTCGTATCGTGCCTCACAAGCGCAGTCCATATCTTCATACCACTCTAGCCGCACCATGGTGAGTTTCCCGTCGAGTGTCAATTCACTGTCGATTTTGACCGTCTGCTCTTCCAGACCACCCGATGACCTCCATGACAGGGAACTATGTATTTCTGCTACTCTAATCGCATCCTCGCAGACTATCGACGATATCTACTCTATGCTGACGAATTTCGAGCTGGTCTGTCCTAGTTGGTCCTTTGCTATCCCATACCCCCCATTCGATTCGTTGTAGTTTATTCTCCTGCCGCATCTGTCATCTGCCACTCGCATCTCGCCACGCCCATTCGCAAACCGAGCGCTGTTGTGATCCTCTCTTACCGCGCCTCATTCCCACTATTTTTTTCCGTTGCATCACGCCACCGCCTTCGCCCACGCACAATATAATACTCGGCCGCCTTGTGGTGTCCATCGTTTCATGGAAAACTCGGGCGGGATGTTACGTTCACTTTGAACCTTTCAATACTATGTACCCCCTTCAAGAAACGGGCACAACATACGAGATGTTATGAGTCACTCCAGTAGCGGATTCCAGTTGTGCTGTGTGCTATACAATGTCCAAAGAGTACGAGAACTATATCTCAACGTCCCCTCCGCCATCCAGACAGCGCAGCTTGATGAACACATCGCTCCCTGCGAAGCCGAGAAGTGAGCACCGGTGCAAGATGAATCGAGCGGCGGACGCACCCCAACCGTCGAGCGACTTGAACACGAGCGAGCCCCCAAAGTACTTGGTGTACAGCCTGCTCATCGGCAGCCCGTACCCGAGCCCGGCGATGGTGCCCATGCCCATCTGGACGCCCCTGCCCGCCATCTCGGCGAACAGGCTCTCGCCGCCGCCCGCGCCCCCGGCGCCGTCCGCGAGCGCGGCGCCGCCGCTCATGTGCTGCGCGGCGTACGGGCCGCCCCCGGTGCCGTCCTCGTCGCCGCCGCCGTCGTGAACCGCGCCGCGGCCGGCGGTGGTGAACGAGTACGAGAAGATGCGGGACATGTTCGCGGGGGGCACGCCGCCGCCGTGGTCGCGCACGCGCATGAACAGGAACCGCGGCCGGGGCTGCGGGCGGTGGTGCGGGTGCGGGTGCGGGTCTGCGGCCGGGGACGGGGACGGAGATGGGGACGGGTGCGGCGGGGAGGAGATGGTGATCACGACGGGCGGGATGGGCTCGGCGGAGGAGTAGGAGTGGTGGCGCTGGTGCCACTCGACCGTCGCGCGGAAGGAGTTCTTGAGGATCTCGGTGAGGATGTACTCGAGGTGGACGGGGACGTATCTGCGCGCGGCGGTCAGGTCAGGTCAGGTCAGGGTGGGTCGGGTCGGGTCAGGGCGCGAACGGGACTCACGCGAACCGAGCGTCCGCGTCGCCGTCGATGACGATCCGCGGGCTTGCGCCGAGCGTGGCCTCGCACAGGTCGCTCACGAAGGAGCCGCACGCGCGGATGAGCTCCCGCGGGGAGCAGTTGGCCTCCACGACGCCGCGGTGGTCGCTCGCGGTCGCGTCGTTCTGGGCGAGGCTGCGGGAGATGGCGATGTGCTGCTCTGCGATGAGCCGGACGGCGATGCGGTTGCGTATCGTGCTGTCCAAGAAGGTGCTGATGTCCTCCGGAGTCATGTACCGCGCACACTCCTGGAAGCTGCCGCGCTCGTCCGTCAACAGCGGTCCGAGAGAGAGAAAAGGAGAACTGACCCCTTTGCCATCGCAGGAATGTCGTTCGCATGGGTCTGGACAAGGTTTGCGAGATGCTCGATGAACTGCATGTTCTCCTCGAGGGTGGTGACCGGTGGGTGAGTGATGAGGAACTCGAACGAGCTCCGGTGCGCTTCGAGAGTCCGGGCGATGAAGGGGTTCATTCCGACTATGAAGGGGAGAGTCTCGAGCGAGCGGGCTCGCATTGCGAGCATGCGCGGGATCTCCGTGAAGACATACTTGACGGAGTTGAGTACGGACTCGGGGGAGACGGGCTGTGCGAAGGAGAGGAGCTTGGAGAGGGTGAGAGGGTTCGGAGGGTTCTTGGTGTGCTTGTCAATGAGCCGCGTGAGCTGTGCGGGAGGAAGGCTGCTTGGGCCGGGGTGCGCCGAGTGGAAGGTGTGCCGCTGCTGTCGGTGGCCGACGAAGGAGAATGGTGGTCGGACGAGCGCGAGCCGTGTCGGAGGATGCGCGAGGGATGCGCGAGAAGGCGGGGCGCGAGGCGAGAGCGCAAGTCGCCTCATGGCGGGCGAGAGGGGAGGAGGGGAGGGAGGGCGCACGAACACAACTCATGATCTGCGCGAGTGGGCGGAACTTGCAAAGCGGGAGGGCGCAATGACGCGCCTCGCCGCGGCCCGCTCTCCTGCGTTCCATCCCTTGCCATGCGCATTTCCCGAATCGCGGTGTGGATGCTCCTATCCCTGCCTCAAATCATAGAAACCCTCCGTGTCTCAGACGGTACTCGGGTTGTGTGGAAGAAGGCGAAGACGGCGTCGGAGGTTAGGATGTCTGCTCCGAATCCCTGCGAAAGGATACATCCACTGCGTCCTCATCCTGGGTGTCATTGTGGATGAGGACCCGTCGTGGTGTTTCATGGGGATCCCATACTCTAGGCGTATTGACCGTTCGACATCATCGGCAGCACTCTTGAAGCTGTCGGTCAACTTCTTCAGATATCTTGCATCTCCTCACTTCTGGCAACCCTCTTTGGTTTCCTCTTGCACAGACTTTGGCGTTTCTACAATCCCACAAGATAGAAAACTGGTTGGTGCTATTCAAATTTATGGGTGGACTACGTGTTCCAAGACACGACAGGACTTGCAAATACAACTCATTGCACGCCACAGAGAGGGCCCAAGAATGGCGTCAGTCGAGAGCGCCCCGGCGCACACGTATTTAGCACCAAGAAGTCTCTGCCTCACATCCTCCGCACCTGGAGAGCGATCCGTCCTTGTATACGGAAGATGCTCGACCCCGCATCGCTCCTCGACCAGCACCTCGCGATTTTTGCGCCGCGGTACGCGTGGTTATAATGGCCAGCGACCAGGGAGATTGCAAGTTCAATGCCAAGCTTGTACTTGTCCACTCCGGTGTCCCGTAGATGACGATGAGCGGCTTCAAGGACATGCTCCAGGATAGTGCGACTTCGGGGCCGCGGTCGTGAAGGACGGGCTCGAGGTGCCAAGACTAGGTGCAAAATTGGGGGAGAACATACCATGTCAGGGACTGAGTCCTACTCTGTGAATGCCAGCAAGGCCTGCGGCTACCGGCACAGGGCCAGTGCGCCCCCTTCGGTTTCCGGGCATATGGAACGTATGAGAATGTCGGATGAGATAACTAAAAGACTAGTAATAACACGCGGGCCTGAGTCTACCACTCCGTCTAGTTGTACACTTGATATAGCGGCCTGCACATGTCCGGTCAGCAAGCATTCGGTTCATCGTGGCGCGGGCGACGTACGTGCTCGAGAACTTCGTCCCTTGGCGCACAACTTTCTCGACGGCATCCAAAAAGTCGCGTTCTGTTGCAACCTTTCTGCGCGCACGGATGGCGAACATTCCCGCCTCCGTCGCCACCGATCGCAACTCAGCTCCTGTCGTGTTCGGGCACAGGCGAGCAATTAGGTCGAAACGGATGTTGCGCTCCACGCTCATACTACGAAAGGAGATCAGCCCACAGAAATATTGCACAATACTTTCCTCCTCACGAACCTACGGGCATGGATACGGAGAATGTGAGCCCGACCCTCGTTGTCAGGTAGTGAGAACTCCACGCGACGATCCAGACGACCAGGACGAAGCAGAGCAGGGTCCAATGTGTCGGGCCTGGCGGCTTCACGGTAAGCTCAGTAGACAATAAGACAACAATCACCTTACCTGTTCGTAGCCATCAACACCTTGATGTTGCCTCGAGGGTCGAAACCGTCCAGTTGGTTGATAAGTTCCAACATAGTCCGCTGCACCTCGTTGTCGCCACCAGCACCGTCATCGAACCGAGCACCACCGATGGCGTCCACTTCGTCAAAGAAGATTATGCAAGCCTTCTTGCTCCTCGCCATTTCGAACAGTTCACGAACCATCCTCGCACCCTCACCGACGTACTTCTGCACAAGCTCGGAACCAATGACGCGGATGAAGGTTGCATCTGTCCGGTTGGCCACAGCACGCGCACAAAGAGTCTTGCCAGTGCCCGGAGGACCAAAGAGAAGGACGCCCTTTGGTGGGTCGATTCCAAGGTTCACGAATCGTTCGGGCTGATGTGAACATGGTGAGCAAGGAGCTGGTGCATGTGGACAAGGAGGACTTACTGAGAGTAAAGGTGTTTCAACGACTTCGCGTAGCTTCTCAATCTGCTCCTTACAACCACCGACGTCTGAGTAAGTCACGTCCGGCTTCTCCTCAACCTGCATCATCGTGACCGAAGCGTCGATCTTGGGAGGTAGCGGGATCTGGATCTGGTACTTGTTGCGATCGACACTGGAAGCATGCCTTTAGAGATTCAAGTATAGGCCCCGGGTCAAGGAAACTCACCCAACGCGCATACCCTCCTCAATATCCGTTGGCGCGACGCGCTCTCCAAGTCCGACAACGAACTTGGCAATCTGCTTGATGTTGATGACGTACTTGTCTTGCTCGTCCGCACCCTTCTGGCCCTGCACCGCGCCTTCCGGGTTCACTGCGCGCGCACGCTCCGCGGCGGCCTCGTCCATGGGAATGATCTTGGTGCAGCGCGCGACTTGGAGGGGATGCTCCTCTCCCATGCGCTGCCTGTCCGCAGCCAAATCCCACAGGTTGGGCGAAGCCAGACCGGTGTCGGACTCCTTAACACCTGGTCGATTTTGAGAACAAGGCGAGCATGCACCGAGCTATGAAACATACCGAGTTTCTCGTTGATACGCTTCTGCACCTCTTTGATATCCGTCTCAACCTTCTTCAGTCTTCCAGCGTACGGCCCTTGGCCCTAAATGTTAATGAGCAATGGCAAACATGTGCGCGAGGTATGACATACATATGTCTTGAGGATCTGAATGTCACTGTCGTCAAGGGCTGTAAACAAGTTAGCTGATGCACCAACGCTGCAGAAGGTGCACTTACGCTTGATCTCTTTCTCCTCCTTATCGTCACCCTTCTTCTCCCCTACGGAATGAGCTCAGTCTCATGCAATTCCGTACAAGCGCAATGCACATACACTTCTCCCAGTCGCTGTAGTCATGGTCATTAGAGTGATGAGAGGTGCATAGTGATGTTAACTCACGCTTTCGGCGGCATATTTCGTGTGTGGCAGGGGGTGTGGAGGCAAGAGGAAGGAAGGGTACGCGGCTCGGTCGGACGCAGCCACCGTAAGCGACGAGGACGCGTCAGTGGACGCGTAGGCGCTCATTCGGCGCTCAGATCTCTTTTGACGCCCGGGAGAGGAGACCGCCGGAAGAGACCATCCCTGGCGGTGCGGCCGGCCAGCCGGCCGGACAGTTACCGATTGTGGATGCCTCTCTCGTCTCTGGCCGCCTTCCGCCCTCATCCCCTTCCTCTTCACCCCCACTCCACTCCATCATGGCCGGTGCTCTTCCCAACGCAAAGAAAACACTCATCAAGATTCAGGATGAAGACCGCGAGTCCCGTTTTGGCCAGGTTTTCGGCGTGTCTGGTCCCGTCGTTATTGCCGAGAACATGACCGGTTCGGCCATGTACGAACTCGTCCGTGTCGGCCACGACGAGCTTGTTGGTGGTGCGTATACATATTTTCGATGTGCGCAGAACTCCGGCTGATTTGATGCTTGTAGAGGTCATTCGTATCGACGGAGACAAGACAACTATTCAGGTGTACGAGGAAACCTCCGGAGTTACGGTCGGGGACCCCGTCTTGCGTACGGGGAAGCCTCTGAGTGTTGAACTCGGCCCTGGTATGTACTATATTGGCGATGTCTCTATTTGCAGGTCAATTGAACTCTTCAAGGTCTCATGAGTAACATCGTCGATGGTATTCAGCGGCCACTGCGAGTGAGTGCTCATTTCAAAGCGCTGCGTGTATGCAGTGTAACATGAGATACGCAGGGCATTCAAGAGCTATCCAAGTCCATCTACATCCCAAGAGGTATTAACACCGACGCGCTGGACCGCTCTCTGAAGTGGGATTTCACCCCTACTGATATGAAGGTACGTTTCCATCTGCCCGGGTTTGGGAGTAGTCTTGACACAGACATAGATCGGCGACCACATATCCGGAGGCGACATCTTTGGGCGCGTCTACGAGAACTCTCTCGTTGACAAGCACAAGATTATGCTTGGCCCTCGCGCTCGTGGTACCATCACTCACATCGCGGAGCCTGGCAGCTACGCTGTCGATGTGAGGGCATGATATGACATCACTGGTAAGCTCGCTAATCACGCGCATTAGGACATTGTTCTTGAGACCGAGTTCAACGGCGAGGTCACCAAGCATGCCATGATGCAAGTGTGGCCCGTTCGCGCACCACGCCCTGTCGCCGAGAAGCACACCGCGGACTACCCTCTGCTCACTGGCCAACGCATCCTTGATGCACTCTTCCCGTGAGTGATGGCCATCCCGACCTTCGCCACGATTTTGACCTTGCACAAGTTGCGTGCAGGGAGGGACGACGGCGATTCCCGGAGCGTTCGGTTGTGGCAAGACGGTTATCTCGCAGGCTCTTTCGAAGTTCTCCAACAGTGACATCATTATCTACGTCGGCTGCGGAGAGCGCGGTAACGAGGTATGTTTGATAAAACCTAGCAGATCGCGAAGTGCTGATGAACCGCGTCCAGATGGCCGAAGTACTTATGGACGTAAGTCGGTTTTGGGCACTTCGCAGTCAATCCACGCGCTGACCCCAATGCAGTTCCCTCAACTCACTATGGATGTTGGCGATCGTCAAGAGCCCATCATGAAGCGCACTACCCTTGTCGCCAACACCTCCAACATGCCTGTCGCTGCGCGTGAAGCCTCCATCTACACCGGTATCACCCTTGCGGAATACTTCCGTGACCAGGGAACCAACGTCTCTATGATGGCCGACTCGACTTCACGTTGGGCCGAAGCTCTTCGTGAAATCTCGGGTCGTCTTGCGGAGATGCCCGCTGATTCCGGATACCCTGCATACCTCAGCACTAAGCTCGCAAGCTTCTACGAGCGTGCGGGCAAGGTTACTTGCTTGGGTAACCCCGTGCGTCAAGGGACGGTCTCGATTGTCGGCGCGTAAGTCTTCCGGACTAGTGTACCGCTAAGAGATGGCTCATGGTGTCCTCAGCGTCTCGCCGCCGGGTGGTGACTTCTCGGACCCGGTCACGGCCGCCACGCTCGGTATCGTGCAGGTCTTCTGGGGTCTGGACAAGAAGCTCGCCCAGCGGAAGCACTTCCCGTCGGTCAACTGGTCGTTGTCGTACTCCAAATACACTAAGGTGTTGGAGCCATACTACGAGCAGTCGGAGCCGGGCTTCGTCGAGCTACGGATGAAGACGAAGGAGATCCTGCAGAAGGAGGAGGACCTCGCTGAAATCGTGCAGCTGGTCGGCAAGAGCGCGCTCGGCGAGAACGACAAGATCACGCTCGAGGTCGCGAGGATGCTCAAGGACGACTTCCTGCAGCAGAACGGTATCTCGGAGTACGACCGCTTCTGCCCCTTCTACAAGACGAGTGCGATGCTCCGCAACTTCGTGGCGTTCCACGACGCGGCGCAGAAGGCGGTTGGCGGCGGGGACCTCACGTTCGCGAAGATCCGCGAGTCTGCGAGCGATATTATGTTTAAGCTGTCGCAGATGAAATTCGAGGTACGTCGCGGTGACCCATGTACAATTTTGGCCGGTGGCTCACTCCAAGACTCCAAACTGCGCCAGTCGCCGTCGCAAGGCAAAGAGCCGATCAAACAGAAGATGGACGCGCTGCATGGCGAGATCCAGGAGAAGTTCCGGCAGATGGTAGAGTAAATGGACGCTATACCCCCTCACACCCACGACTTGTTTAATGATGCAATAGTACGTCTTTGACTTTCCTTGCGTGGGTGCAGGCGACGCACAAGCCTTGCTATACTCGTCCCTCAAACATCGAAGATTCTACACACTAATCACAACAGGGCTGTCTCCGCGGCGTTCTACGCGTTTGGCAGAGCTACTCGTTATCGCCTGACCCTTGGCGCCAGCAGCACCCCCACGCCGCTGTCAATCGAGCGAGCGCGACGCCCGGGTCAAGCCCCTGGCTCCTGTCCTTCCTCCTTTTTGCAAGCCTGACTTGGTACTCGCTTATTTCACTATGGCTACGTCGTGGTGTCTCATGTTGATGCCATATCTCCGGCATATCGACGAGCCACCATTCGACACTGTCGGCCGCATTTTCGACGCTGTCGACCAGTTTTTTCCAGGTCATTCGGGTCTCTCCACACATTCGATCTTTGTTGACGGTCTCCTGTTTAGGGCTTGGTCTTGCAACATAGCCCCCCGGGTGTTGATTGTAAACGGACCGAGTGCTATGACCTGCATCAGTGGATTATGGTTACAAGAACGTGATGTTCGATGCCTCTACCATGTTCCCAGATTGTATTCGGGCCAACTCTCCCCCGTCAAAATTAGCGAAACCCTGAATCTGTTGCGTCGCCGCTCGACAGTGGATGCCACATACTACCTCATCGACTTACGCATTTCCAGTCGGTTTGCACCTGATCAGCATGACAAGTTAGTCCCCGGCTTAGACTGCCTAGACAAAGGTATCGGGCTATCCAGCACAGTCCCACGTCTTCGTTTTAAGTCCCATTATTCGGAGAACCAACATCGATGTATGTCTTCTATGCATTTAACGTCTTCGCTTACAACGTCATTGAATTTACTGAACGCAACAGGTCTACACCAATGCGGATATGCTTGAGACGAGCGACCAGCCGCCGCAGAAGCCTTGGAATGTTTCTCTGCGATCAACAGGAATGTGTCGCTCGTTCGGCGTATTCGGAATACGAGTAAATGCCTTGGCGAACGATCCATCCTTGGCCTTTTCTCGATTGTCGGTTCTATGTCTGCCGGATGTGTATGCATTAATCACCGTCACCAGTGTTCAACCGTTTGCAATGCTGCGGCCGCAATAACTATAAGATGTATCGTACTGTAGATAATCAACAATAACCGCACGCGCTCTCGCACCGTATGTCTTTCCGCCGTCTGGTCCTTGCGGGATGCCATACCTCACGCTTTCCCAGGCCATCACTCTTCCCGAGGGACCTTCACCACAGGCCTCTATCGTCTCCGATGAACCTTACATAATGGGTCCTCGGTGAGCATCGCAACTTGCCTCCAACCTCGTGACTCCTTCCTTTCGGCCCTCGCCTCGATCGATCCTATTGACTCCGAGGATGAGGCAGATGACACACAGTTCCAACGTCACAATCTCAGTTCCTAGCGCACTGGCACCTTGCCTGCCGCCTGTTTAAATCGGCGGCTCTCGCTGCGTCTCCAAGCCCCCGTCAAGTTTGTGTGGGCGGGAAAGCCACGCTGGAGGGGCCTTGCGGAAATTATACTGCTGGTCGGCAGGAGTGCCCTGGGCGAGAACGACAAGATCACATTCAAGGTCGCGCGGATGACCAAGGACGACTTCCTGCGACAGAATGGCGCAAAGGCGGGAACTTAAAGGCGGGAACTTCACGTTTGCGAAGATCTGCGAGTCATGTCCAGGCTCTTGCAGAGATGAATCGCGTGGTGGCCGTTGTATACGTGCACATATGATTTTTGTCTACGGCGCACTCCGGACTGCGCCAGTCACGGTCGCAAGGCAAAAAGTCGATCAAGCAGATCCAGGAGAGGTCCTGGCAGATGGTAGAAACGCCAACGAGTTCTCTAATGATGTATGTCCTGACCCCTTCATGTGCGCGCGCGGGCGACGGGCGTGGGCGCAGCAAGCTATGTCACAGCGAACGGTTTGTGCGTCGGGGTGCATGTTGAGCCCGGGGCTGCGTGTGTTGTGGCGTGCAGTTCCAGAACGCGGAGAGGAGGAGATGCTGCGGAGCGGGGGTCGGACTCGCAGCTAGCGCCAATCCCTGGCTGCGGATGATGCCTCATACTTAAACCATCGCCCACCAAGACGGCGGACCAGCCTCACGGCACCTGCCACTCCCTTTCCTCCTCCCCTCATGCTCCTCCTGCACGCCGTGCTTGCGGTCGTGTCCGGAGGCATCCTCGTCTCCGCTGCCCCCGACCCGGGCCGCGCGAGGCACTCCGAGGGCGCCCCCGACACCCGCCCCGCGTCCTACCGCCGACCCGCTGCGCACGCCGGCTCCGAGTGGGCCCCCGACAGCTTCGGCTTCGACCGCCCCCAGTTCGTGATGGACGACACCCGCATCGCGCACGCCGACGCCGAGTACGAGGACTTTGGCCGCCAGGAGCCCATCGGCCACTTCCCCGGCGCACCACCGCAGTCCCCGAGCCGCGGCCCGCCGCACGGCGACTTCCCGGGCTTCCCGACCGACCTGCCGAGGCCCCCGACCGACATGCCGAAGCCGCCCCAGCACCCTCACCGCCCGCCCCCGCCCAAGGACGACGAGGAACACCCGCACCACCCTCCGCACCGTCACCCGCACGAGGACAAGTCGAACCTGACCATCTTCCAGATCCTTGAGTCCAGCCCTCAGTGCGTTTAACCAACGGTTAACCACCGCTTCCCTTTCTAACATCCGCCTCCAGGTTCTCCCGCGTTTTCAAGCTCGTCAACTTCACAGAGGATGTCACCAAGCTGCTCAACGACTCCTCGGCCAAGTACGTTACCTCACGTGCTGCTTATCGTCCTCCAACCGCTCATGCGTCTAATCCGCAGCATCACGTTCTTCGCCGCCCCTAACTGGGCGCTCCCCAAGCCCCGTCACCCGCCCCCGCAGAAGGGTGAGGACCTCGACTGGGAGCGGGTCCTGAAGCCAGAGGACGATGTGGCCGACATGCTCGCTGCCGCCGAGGGCCTCCTCGCCGCGTCGGAGAAGCCGGACAAGGACAAGATCAAGAAGTTCCTCGGCTACATCCTCCTCTACCACACCCTGCCTGACTTCTACACCGCGGCGGAGCTCGGCAAGAACAACACGGTCGCGACATCGCTCTCCCTTCCCGACGGCTCTCTCGACGGCAAGCCCCTCCGCCTGCGCATCGGCCGCCAGAGCATTCTCTCGCCTCTTCTCACTGTCAACCTCTTCACCAAGATTGTCCGCCCTGACGTCGCTGCTGTTAACGGTGGGTCAATCACAAAAACTGTCGATCACGATTGTGTACTGACTCTTATTCTGTAAGGCATGCTCCACGTCGTCAACGGCCCTATTCTGCCCCCACCTTCGATCTTCCAGCTTTCGTTCTTGTTCACAGATCCATTCTCCGTCTTTGTACGTGCTATATGCGTAGTCTTCGAGAACTCTAATCTGACTACGCCTCCCAGACATCCGCTCTCCAGCGTGTCGGTCTGACCGATGCCGTGGACTGGCGCAACGTTAAAGATGGCTCTGTTGAGGGCTCACCCGCCGTCACTGTGTTCGCCCCAACGAATAAGGCGTTCGACAAGTTGCCGAAGAAACTCAAGCTTTTCCTTTTCTCTCCTTTCGGCGAGAAGGTCCTTAAGAAGCTCCTTCAGTTCCACATTGTTCCCGAATATGTTCTTCACAGTGGTGAGTTTCGTCCAATCTAGTGCCTTCGATCAAAAGCTCAAGGTGTATGCACAGATTACCTGCACGACGCGTCGGAGTCTGTTATCAAGCGCAGGGGTTTTTACGAAGGCGAGGGGAGTCAGTTCTTCGACCAAATTGACTACAACCACGACTTCGCTGGCTTCTTCGACGTGCCGGCGGAACGCTCTGCAGCAGTTGACCCCCGCCTCGAGCATGACTTCAGAGAGTGGTTCGAACAGGACTCACAGACACCTTATTACAGTGCTGAACACGCTCCCGACCAATTCACGGAGGAATTCTCCCAGTACGGTGGGCCGCAGCGCATGCCGCCGCCACCTCCCCTTCACGGCATGCCGCCGCCTCCGCCTCCTCCCGGTTACCACATGCTTCCGCCTCCTCCTGGTTTGTACGGAATGCCACATCCTGGGCCGTACGGGATGCCGCCTCCTCCACCCTCTCCTGGTCATCACATGCCTCCCCCTCCTCCTGGTCCGTACTATATGGGTCCGTACTATATGCCGCCTCCTCCCCCTGGTCCTCATGGTATGCCTCCGCCCCCGCCTCCTTCCGGTCACCACACGCCTCCTCCCCCGCCTCCTCCCGGGCACCACATGCCTCCTCCCCCGCTGGGACCCCACGGCATGCCTCCCCCTCCTCCTGGTCATCGCATGCATCCCCCTCCTTTCCCTCATGGAATGCCCCCGCCCCCTCCCCCGCCTCATCCTGGCCACCACATGCCACCCCCTCCTGGTCCCCACGGTATGCCGCCGCCGCCGCCTGGCCCCCACCATATTCCCAAGGGTCCTGCGGACGAGCACAAGCACCACCACCACCTCCCCCCTCCCCCTCCTCCCGGCCCCCACCACGATGGACCGCACCATCCTCCCCCTCCTCCCGGCCGCAGGCCCGACCATCCCGGTAAGGGCCCGAAGCCCGACCACCCGTACCACCCGCCACCTTTCCCGCACCACCCGCCGGAGGTCTCGTACGCGCAGAACGTGACGGTGCCGACGCTGCTCGCGAACCACAGCCTCGACGTCGAGATCGTGCAGTTCGCGCGCCGGAGCCCGCTGCCGTGGAAGAAGGCGCCGGTGTACGGGACCGTGATGTTTGCCAACGGCCAGCCCGTGCCGGTGCTCGACGTGCCCACCCGCAACGGCGCGCTCCACGTCGTCGTCGAGCTCCTCAATCCGCTCCGGCGCGGCGGCCGTCACGGGCCACCCAAGGGTCCTCACGGTCCCAAGGGCCCGCATGGCCCGCACAGGCCTCACGACGAGCCTGAGTGGGAGCACGAGGGGCCGGTGCCGGAGACCGCGTTCGAGGAGCACGAAGACGGCGAATGGGCGGGCTGGGAGGAGTGGCTCCCTGCCTGGGCCGAGGAGAACTGAGTGCCGTCTGTTACCCCGTCCAATAGTTTCTGACCTCTGAACGTTCCTTTCCCGTGTTCCCAACTCACCCTCCCTCCTCCCACCATATACAGCTGTTGTAGATTCAACACGGTAGCGTCGAATGTTGCGCTCGAGATCACATACTTGTACATTAGTTGCTCCTGGTTGTCCAAGACCTGCCAATTGACTAGCACAGCCCACCACGTCCGTAACAATGGAATGATCACTCGTCATTCCAATAAACACGAAGTCGTTGTGCAAGAGGGGCTTCTATGGCACCTGCCCTGAGAAGACTGCATGTCAAAGAGCTGCATCTGACCTCAAATCTGAGCATTTCCAAGAGATGTGATCTATGTGAGTTCAGCATGCGGCCATCGCAACCCACTGGTCGGTCACTGTACAAGTTTAGAACAAGCATTCAAATACTAAAGCTTATGATAGGTGCGTTGCCCGTCCGCTTTACGTCGCCATGGGCTAATGTAGTGGATGGCACTGTGGCAGTCGACCATTTGCTGCTTCGATATGCAGCGAAGGCGCAGACAGGGACGCGACGGGGCGATGAAGCGCGCGCTGGGCCCCGGCCGCGGCTGCCGACGAGTCGTGTTCGATTGATGGCACAGTACGGCTTGCCGATTCACCTTCGACATGATGCTACAAGGCCTGGGGCCTGAGCGCTGAGCCATCGGCATCAGGAGCCGTCGCGCCTAACACCTCCGCAACTCTGTAATTGACACCCTCAATGGGCTCATCGCCGCCAGTGCCACGTCCGCCGCCAAGGAGGTCGCAAACCTGTGTCAGTTCGTGCCAGCGAAGGCAGCCGTGTCCCTACTTCTCCTTATATTCGAGGCGATCAAGGCAAGTCGCTCCCCCAACCTGCTAATCTGCGCACACGCGGTGCCGCTGACGCCAGTGCTACATATGCAGGACGTACGGACGCAACGGGATGACTGCATCCGACTCGCGTGCCGCTGCCTGTTCCTCCTCGTCAACATCCGTGACCACCTTCTCGATCACGCCACATCGGTTCACCGTTGGCGACTATGGGTACTTTCCGAAGTCGATTGTTGTCGAACAAGAGTGGTCCGAGTCCGTCGTGCTGGGAAACGTGTAGGACGAAGGCCGGTCCGCTTCAAGACCACGCGCGTGTCGGACGGGAAGCCACAGGACGGCCATCGCAAGTGGTATGACGTGCGGTCCTTCGAGCTTCCGGATGGAGTGCATGGGTACGCCTTATTCTCTCTCGAACCATCGTTCGCTGAAGAACAACGATCTCAGATGGACCGTCGTTGTACTTCCGGAAGCGGAGCTTGGCATGCACGTTATCCACACCACTGAAGTGGTCCGCGCTGAGCACATTTGGAGCTGACTGTTGATCCACTGAAGAGCGCAAGCCAGGAAGTACGACATCGCACCCTAAGAGTTGACCCTCAATAGCCTTGCGACTGTTCCCTCCTTGCGCTTGTCCCCTCGCCGATCTGACCTATCCCTTGTGCCCTTCTTCCCACAACTTCCACCGCACCTCTTTCGGCCATCAGAGCTACTCACCGTTCGCGAAGGAGGGGGAGCAGGTTGTTTCAGGGCAGGATCTCGCGCCGAAAGTGTTCTACCTCTTTACGTCCGATCAGAAGGGGAACACGCCGTCCGACACCGAAGCCCCGTCTCCAGGCGGGAGGCACCCCGAATCGACCCGCACAGCGCGCAGTGTTTCGCCAGTTTAAACGGGTGAGTGGTGTTTCTACGCGAAGTGGGTCTCGCGGATGTGATGCTGACGTGTTGTGTGCGGGTGAGTCACAGCGCGCAGGGGGTTTTGGTCTACGTGCAGCTGCATTCGGAGGATTTCTTAGATCAGGGTTGTCGGTATGTGACTTGGTTAGAAAGAACAACAAAAGCGAAGACCGTAAAATCGCAAGACGTGCGATCAGATTAGTCCGCTAAGGCGTCGGGACTGGCACACACGATCGCCGACGCGACAGCCAAGATCCAGAACATTCAAACTCACACTCGTTGAACTCGTCCACCACCAAGCTTAAGCTCACGCTCAGGTGTCACACTATTGTACCCGTTCATGACAGTTCGAGCGGGCGACGCGATGCCCGCGTCGCGACACTGGCGTACTGTGCTTCCAAGTGTTATGGATAGATATAATGGCGTTTTTGCGGTCGTCTCAGACACATTACGATTCCAGCACGGTGGGCGTTCTCGGCATGAGCTGGGTCAAAAGTGTGATGGTATTCTGTATAACATTGCCGCAAGCTGTTCGGTCCCCTTCTCGCGCACAGAACGTACAGTGGATTGAACACAGGCTCGACAAGGCCCATATACGACACGCGCATTAGAGTCCATCCTCGTCATGGAAGTATGAATTGGAGGGTACATCTGAACGAAAGCTTTGCTGAGAACGGCATCCAAGGACGGCGAGAACGCGCATGCTTACCTTCTGGGAGCGGGATGACACGACGCCAGTACAACCTCTCCTGATCAAGGTACCACATCGGGTCTTCGTCGATCTCGAGGACCGCCTTCAGCTTTTCAATCCATTCCCATGAAGTGCGGTGGTGGTAGTTCGTTCCAACCTGGAGGCCGAACATCCCCTCTGCGTCTTTGTCGCACAAGGGGACCCATCTGACTAGATGCACGTACTTTCTAGGCAAATCGATGTGTTTCGCCAGGGCGTGGACGAGGTCTCGACTGGGAAGAGTAAGGTCGAGATACCCAATTTCCGTCTCGGGTCTCGGGTTGTCTGGGTACTCGAACAGTTGCTGGTATTCTTCAGGGACTGGGTTTGGCAAGGGCCCTTTGAAAGGGCGGGAAGTCGTTTTGATGGCATCTGGAAATTTCGCCAATATGATCTTCAACATGTGTGCATCGTCGATGGGCCAAGCAAATCGGAACAGAGGAGGTCTAAATTTCGTGCCGTTCACATAGCGAAGTCGGCTGTCGAATTGTGAGTCCTCGATGGGTTGCATGGAAAACAGACGCAGGTCTTCCTCCTGGAGATATACATGTGAGCGTATACTTTACGAGAGGCTTCCCTTGTGAGTGAACGCACGTCTTCGTACTCCAGTCCATCAGCAGGAGCGAATGGAATGCGTCGACTAATTTGAAGAGGTAAGAATGACTCGATGAGATCGATCATCTTGGTGGAGTCGTGGACTGAGGGTAGAGTAGCAGTGAAAAGTTGAGCGTTTACGTTGAGTGGTCATACACCATGGCCCGCTATATTGATACGGTCCAACCGAGTTGTGACTGCGTGACGAATGTGACTGCTGATATCTCCAAGATCTCTCGATGTTTTCGGAAGGCCTACTTGATTGGATTGAGAACAAACGACATGATATATGCTTGTTCCAAAAGTGGTTCTGTGAACTCAGAGCAACATACATATGCAATCTGATTCCCGAAAAACAAGGATGAACCGTATTGAACTAGGCCTTGGCCGACTGCTTTTGTAATTTTTTTAAAAGCTACAAACCAGCCGCTAATATGGCGTAGTATGCCATCCTTGTACTTCCTAAGAGCATGTGGATCCCGGAGTTGAAAGAAACTCGCGTTTCAGCGACTGGCAGACAACGAGTCCTCGGAGTCGGCTGAGGGTGAAATTCCTAGAAGTCCAGACACAGTCCAGAGCAAGAGGTAAAGGGGTGCAGGCCTCGCGCGCACTCCGCACTGGGCACATGTACACACAGTACACATCCGGACATTGCTACTCACAGCAGGACCAGCGCTGACGGATTGAGGAAGACAACAACGGCTGTTTAAAGTAATAGTACTTGACGGTCTCATCTCCTTTCGGCTAATGTGAGGACAAATCCTGAGCAATGATTCGGATTTGGATGTGTGCTATATGGTGTGAAGCGCATGAATCCGGTACAGTAGAATCACGTAGCGATGCACACGGGCTGTTGTGCTTCTGGTGCTGGCCCCTGCTGGGTTCTGGCCGCATTTGGAGGGGTTCCAGGTGACTTGAAGTACCAGGGCCATGTTCCTTTTCCTGTCCGTTTTTATTCCATTTTCCGAGGCTCTTTATAAATACACAGAACACTGCCGCGATGAGCCCAGCATCTCCAATCCACTCTCCTCTTTCCCGGTGTCGCTGTACACCGAGCCTCATCTCATCCACTCCTGCATACATAGGAACCATCATTTCCACATGGCTTCGACTGAAATAATGTATCCCCCCGACATCCACACGACTCTGAGCAGTGCTTGCTTTTCTCTCCTGAATGCCATGGAACTGGGAAGAGAACACGACCTATATGAATGTGTCACCCGGTTTCTTTCCATCCCATGTGATTCTATCAACACCGAGTTCGCCTCGAAATATCTACTCCGCTTCCATATCGCCCCTCAAGGATACGTGTCAATCACCGTCAAGCCCAAAAAAACACAAATCATCGAGGACATAAGTGAAGCAGAGACTGTGCTCACCGACAGCGACTACGATAGCGTAACAGAATATCGTGGCTCGGACAAAGAGGACAGCGAGGAAGATGAGGAAGACCTGGAGGATAGGCGCTCCATCCAGAACGCAGACAACCGCACACCGAGTCCAAAGTCACAATACAGGAAGAACACTTCCAGTACCACCCTTGACGAAATCGATTCAGACAGTGACATGGACTGGTGGCACGACCGTAATGATAGCCAGGCACTCGGCAAAAGGAAGGACGAATCTCACGCTGGTGGTGCAACTAGGGGTTCGGGATCTGCTGGGCGAGGCCGTAGCGCGCGGGGGTCTCAACCAGGTCGCGGTGCTGGAAAAAGGGCCACACGAGGGGCTGAATCTCATCAAGCCCAGGCGCAGCCCCCTAGCAGCGTCATAGGCGACACTGGCGCCGCTACTAGAGGTACATAGTCGGGTTCACGTATTCTCGCTGATCAAGTACTGATAGGTACCCACGTCTCTCCTTAGTAGCACCAGTGTCACAGCCACGTGCCGGATCGAAGAAGAGAGGTCGTACATCCGATGTATCGGTACAGGGCAATAATGCGGCTCCGCCTAATAAGAAGACGAAAGAGAAGACGAAAAAGCCGAAGGATACCCAGATAGTAACACGCTTTCCTGACTGGCGCTGGGTCATGGCTTGGATGATCCGTGACCTCCCAAATGGCAGCGGCCTTCGAGAGCTTCAACGTACGGTCGTCGCCCTCACAGAAGTGAAGCTGGTCTCTCGCAAAGTGCGGGGGCTGATGTCAGCTATCAGGAGGGGCTACTCGAGCGCATTTTCGTACTACGTCAAGCTGATCACAGCCAAGATGGATGCCATGCTAGCACAAGTCATTCAATCTGTTCAGGTCGCCTTTGGTGAAAAAGAGGGTTTGCAGCAGGTCGTCGCACTCACGGTTGTGAACGACTATTGCCGTTTCATCTACTTTCAACGGAGCAGTGTACCAGAAATCACCAGTTTGGATGACGTCCCGCAGAAAGGCTATCCGATTCCCCCGGAAAAGAAGAAGGGTGGGGCCAGGAAAGAATACCTTTACGCGACGATCCTTAAATCCACCGCACCAATCCCTATGATCACTGGTTCCACAAGATTTGTGCTCTCCGCAGCCACCCCCCCTGTCCTCGCAGACGAGAAATTGGACTTCACTGCCGAGTTCAAAGAACACTGGGCGAAGTTCAAAACATGGGTGAGAAACAAGGAGCACTTCCCCCCTCCCTCTGGCTATAATGGCGATCAAGTCGGCGCTTCGCAGAGTCAAGTGGGGGTACAGGAGGGGAATCCTAGCGAGCCTGATTTTGCAGGACATGTTTAGCGGGGGTCAAGTTCGAAGGGAGGCAGACTCCTCGGGCGTGTTTTGTAGCACAAATGACTGTATCGACGCGAGTAAGTAGAAAGCCACGTATATACGCTGTGTTGACGCGAGTTTTTCGCTTCCTGGTGCGCGGGTATAGCTACGTGGTATCAACGGAGTGATGTAGGCCATTCGCGGCAAGGACAGTACTCTGCTCCGATTTGTGGGTCGTATCTGATCATATAGCTAGTAGCGAGGTGGGAAAGGACGAGCGCCCGGAGGGCCGCGCCGCCGAGCGGTTACGCCGCGATGACGGCGGTGAGTCGATGAGTAGCTGGGAACAGGAGTGTGTTACCAATACTTGGGCAGGAGAAAGGAAGGTGGGCAAGCCCGAAACCCTCGCGAAGAGGACTCGGGCACCTGAGTCTACCCTGGCAGGGATTCATCAGTCTAGCCATTGCCTGGCCACGAGCACGCTTCAGCTATCTTCTGACCAGATATCGCGTCCACACACCCGGTTATGTCGCCCTGACGAGCTTTCACTGGTTAAGCTTCAAAACTGAGAATACGCTCTCGCCGCGATGCACAGGCTACATGGAGCTCGCAGCCTGTGCGGTACAACTCGAATCACACTTTGTCCGAGTCTCCTCTCCCCATTGATGCCGACCTCCCATTGAGCTTTCGGGTCATGGTTTTGTGAGCCTTGCTTCGCTGGTGCTCTTCCCACTTCTGGCCGTCGACCATCACGGGCTGCTCGGCGTTTGTCGTACACACGTCGCACTGTCTGCGCTGGTGTGCGCTGAGTACTGCGAGCGGGCTATCAAGTCTCCGTCGTGAGAGCAATGCGCAAATGGTTTTAAGAATCTAAACGCACTCTGTGGGCTTTTCGCGTATCTCCAGGAGCGTGCTTGCCGCCTGGGAGAGCGCCGCAGGGTCTGGGAGCTCCGTTCCTTCCAAGAATGCTGAAGAGGTAACGGTGAGCAGGACGAGCCAGACCAGTAAGTATGGAGCGCACCTTTGGTAATCTGGATTCCTCGGTCGTGGACGTTGGCCGTCCACGCGTCGCCCAGCTCTGCACAACCAAGATGAGCGTGACGATCCGCCGCCGCCGCACATCGACTCGTACCAGTAGCGTCGAGGATGTATGTAGGTACTTCAGGCTCTGTGCCTTCCTCCCTTGATGCGGAGTTTGCAGCGAAGACCGTTGGGAGCAACTTGTTGCGGATCCACGAGATCTGCCTCTTTGCGTATCGTCGCGTACCGAGCTTCATCTGGTCAACTGCCTCCGAAAATGCGGAGTCTTGGCGCCCAGGTGAGTTGAGGTAGTTGTGGAACTCCTTATATCCTACAAACGCCGTTCAGTCGCCGGACAACAACGTACAAGAGAATTCCCTACACACCGATCGCTTGGTAGATACCTAGAGTGTAGTCCATCTGAGCTTGTGGTGAGGCCTCAGAAGGGGTCTGCGCCGACGTGCTGGCGGAAACGATGCTTCGGAGCGTCTGTATCTCGTTCAGTAGGCCTTGCTGCACTTGGTTAGCTGCTGTACGCGCATCAAGAGGGGTCACAACATCCATACCGCGATCATCTGATCAACACGCTCGTCCAACCGAGGCTTGAGAGCATCTGGTTCCGCATACAACCAGAAGCAAAGCGTGCGATATCTGTGAGATGGTTAGATTTGATGTAAATGAGGATGTTGTTGACAGCATGCTTACCGAGGTCTTGAGACGACACGAGACTGCTGCTCGTAAACCTCGCTGGCCAGGCGACGGTTATCTCGCATGACACGGAGGCAAGTGAGCACTCTCCGCGTGTCTCGCCAGTGCCACCTCTGTGCCACTGACGGGTCCAACCCAGCGAGCAGTCGATGGAGAGCGAGCGGAGCATCCTCAAACTCTGGCAGGGGAGCTTGTTCCGGGAGTTTGTCGAACAGTGCTCGCAGTTCTTCCGGGAGTGCAGCAAGAGCATCGGAGAACGCTTGCGACGACGTAGGGACAATCCCTAACGACTCTGACGGCTTCTCTATGGACGCCATGCGTTCGGGAAATATGAGGTGTTGTATCCAGTAGGAAGTCCCACCCACGACGATGGGCACCTCCCCTTGCTCATGAATCTTGTCGATCTGCCCCGCAAATCAAGCTGAATGCCAGTTGGGATGGTCGGGCGACTCACCTCGGTTATGGCGTCCGCAATCCATTCTGGGCCCGTCAACTGCTCTCCTGGCTCCTTGTAGTCCATGAGGAGGTGCTCGACCCCGCATCGCTCCTCGACCGGCACCTTGTTCGTGATGACGTCCATCCCCGTGTACACCTGCATCGAATCGGCATTGATGATCTTTGCGCCGCGGTAGGGATGGTTATGATGGCCGGCGGCCAGGGAGAGTGCGAGCTCGATGCCTAGCTTGGACTTGCCCACTCCGGTCGTCCCGCAGATGACGATGAGCGGCTTCGAGGGCATGCTCCTAGATAGTGCGACTTGACGGACGGAATTGCGAAGGGCCAGCTCGAGACTGGCTGAGACTGAGATGGGTGTGTACCATTGAGGCGGAACATACCAGCATGTAGTCCAAGAGAGACACGATCGGTTGTACGATCGTCTTCGGGCAGGGACGCTCTAGCGCCGGACCGAGCTCGCTGCTCGAGTTGTCGCTCTCGGTCTTGTCGCTTGCGGTCAGTGCGGTCACTGCAGTACTGACCACTGTCTTCTCGCATGCCACTTTACACGCCCCGGATGGGCGCATTCTCTTCACGCAGTCGTTTGGTTTACGTAACTTTTTTTGCGCTTCTACCCTGGTCAAGAATGGCGTCGGTCCATACCCAGGGCACCCCTAGGGGACAGGCCGCAATGCGCTCAAAGACAACAAAATTCCCCAATGGCGTTCTCCCAGCACCGATCGCGGGAATACGTACACAGCCCACTCGGCAGCCTGGACGGGACGCAACAGGCTGGTCCGTTTGGACAAAACAACTACAGTGTCCCACGGGTCCCGCTGATATCTCTGCGATTTTGTATCAGCGGTCGCTTATTTTTCATATCTACACAGTCTCACATAGTAGCTACATACATGAATATTTTCAGGGGGATCTGAAGTACAAGAGACGAGTGCGACAAGAAATGACATATGGCCCTAAAGTTCGAACCCACCCCTCCTTGGGACGGCCCATATCGGGCAATAGATCATGGATCTCCCACGACGCGTATTGGCGCTTCCGATGAGCCATCGCGGCCGTGCCAGTGCTCAATGCCATCCTCCTCATCGTCCTCCTCGTCCCCGCTGTTACCTTCATCCCGTATCCGTACCACAGCCTCCCCCTCGTACTTATCAGGTAAGGTTTCCATGCAGGACACGGAGGGGCCAGACAGGACGACGCGTCGTGTGAGAGTGTCACGTGGTACGCGTTATGTCGCCCAAAAAGACGCCAGAAACGCTGGAAACCTGGGACATGTCCGGCATCACTAGCCCAGCCGTGTGATCACTTGAAACCCCGCAGGGAGAGAGCTAACATTAACAGAAGTCATTAAATCAATCTCCGAGCTTCAAGAAAGTTCCACTCTCCCAACGACATGTCCTCTGAGTTTGCTCACACTCTCGGAAATGCGAAAACATATTTTCATGGTCTCAATTAGCTCTGGGATCAGCTGGAATTGTTACTCTAGCTACATGGAACATCATTGTGCACTGAAGTGACATTTCTTCAAGATTATTGTGAGTGTATATCAGGAGGATCCGAGGTCTGTCCCAAGGACCCGTGGGACACTGTACGTCAATGATTAATCCTTCCTACTCAAGAGTGATGTACAGTTGCTTGCTCGTTAGAAGCGCGGTCGCACCCGGGACGATCACGATCGTTTGTGTGTTGTCGATGATCATCGCCGGGCCCTTCACCTCGTCGCCCACTGCCAGCCCCTCCAGCAGAAACACCGGCGTGTCCTCCACCCGCCCTACACTGTCAAAGTACGTGCTGTACGCCGAGTCCGCCTTCTCCCGCCCAACGGGACGCCGCTCGAGTTTTGCGACCTCCTCGTACACCGACTCTCCCAGCGAGTCGAACGTCTTCCCGATCCCGCGAACCTTGACGTCGTCGACCACTACCGCCTTCGCGTCGAGCAAGAAGCCAAACTCTTCCTTGTACACGCGCCGGAATGCCGCGCCAAACTCCTCCGCGCCGTCGCCGTCGCCGGGCAGCGGGAGGACCATGAGCGCGGTGTCGGTGCCCTCGAAGCGCATGTTGAGCATGCGCTCGGTGTGGACGCGCCCGCCCTCGAAGCCCTGCCGACCGAGCTCCTCGCGCACCAGCGCGTCGAGCTTGTCGAGACGCGCTTTGAGTGTCGCGCGGCTCTCTGGATTATAGACGGTCGAAGAGGGCTCCTGTAGCTCGTATGCCCTATAACCGAATGGTCAGACGGGATGTCGCGAGCGGAGGAAATGATGCATGCGCACCGATCGGCGAGAGCAAGACCGTAGGCAGAGAGTATGGAACTGTATCGGTGAATGAGAATGGTTTTGATACCGAGCAGCTGAGCGATCTCGCAAGCGTGTTGACCGCCCGCGCCCCCAAAGCTCGAGAGACTGCAAAGAGTAGATGAGCAATGAGACTTGCACGGTGAGGAGGTACATACACATGCTTCGACGTCGCGTATCCGCGTGCCTCCGTGAGCGCGCGTATCGGCCTCGCCATAGTCTCGTTAGCGACCTTGATGAAGCTACTCGGAGAGTTAACCAGAACTTGCATCACGAATCAGAAAAACACACCCATATATAATCTCGTCCATGCCCATCTCCTTCTCACTGACGCTGGCGTTGATCTCCTTCGCGAGAGCGTCAAATGCCGACTTCGACGCCTCGATATCCAGCGGCTCCTTCTCCGACTTGCCGAAGATCTTCGGGAAGTAGCCGGGGATAAGGCGACCCAGAACGAGATTCGCATCTGTTACGGCCAAGGGACCGCCTTTCCTGTAGCACCGGGTTAGCACAGATTGTATTCATATACACAAAACATACCTGTAGCATGCTGGCCCTGGCTCGGCACCGGCACTGTGTGGACCCGCTTTGAAAAGCCCATTCTGGAAAGTGAGACATGACCCGCCTCCCGCAGCGACGGTGTTGATGTCAAGCTGGGGAGACTGGATGGTCACCCCGGCAGTGGTCGTCTCATAGACGATTTCGTAACGCCCTGCAAACCGAGACACGTCCGTTGAGGTCCCGCCCACGTCAATTCTGTGCGTTGATCCGTGAGCCGCGAGAGTGACAGCCATAATGAACGGTTACGTACCCAATAATGGGCGTCTTCTTGCTCTCGTCCCAGCTGGTGAGCGCGTAACCCACGACGCCGCCGGCAGGTCCACTGAGAATGCTCTTGAGACCCGAGAAGTTGTTGAGGTCGAGCAAGCCGCCGTCGCTGCCCATGAACTCGACTCGCGGGGTCCGAAGAGTCCCATCCTTGAGCTTTGCATCAAAACCGGAGAAGAACCCGTCAAGGTAGTCTCGCAAAATGGGCGTAAGGTACGCATCCGCTGTGGAAGACACTCCGCGCGGCACCATCTTGATCATGGGGAGTAGCTGGGACGACGCGGAGACCTGGGTGAACCCAAGCATGCGTGCAAGCGCCGCGATCTCTAGTTCGTGCTCCGGGTAGGTGTACGAGTGGCAGAAGACGATCGCAATCGAATGGAAGCCCTCATCGTACAGGCGCTGCAAGTCCGCGCGCACCGCGTCCATGTCTGCATCGCGCGTTGAGCGCGCATATATGCAGGAGATGGGACGGACGCACCGGGCTTCCGCATAATCCTGACCGCCTCGCCAGACAGTCCCTTGACGATCTCCCCAGGGCCTTCCGCGTGGCCCTTCTGGTCCCAGCCCTTGCCACGGTACCCGCGTTCGACCTTCCCGTTCTCATCGAACCGAACGGCGTGTTCTTCCGCCCTCGGGTCGGAGGTGTATCCGACGAGAGTAACGCGCTCGTCGACCTCCAGAATGGTGGAGTAGAGTGGAGGCGGTCTGCGGATGTTGAGGTCAAAGATCTTGGGGCGCGACTGGTTGCCGATCAGAAGCAGATCCTTGAAGCCACGCGTGATGAGCAGGGCGTGTTTGTGGCCCTTGCGCTCCAGAAGCGCGTTTGTTGCGACCGTGGTGGACAATCGGATGTAATCTGCGCGCCGTTGGAGGGATTGCTCGCTGTGGACGGAGAGGATGCTCACCGATCTTGTCCGTGTTCAAGATCTGCCCACGGGGGAGCTGCTCTCCGGTGACCTCCTCAAGCACGCGTCGGATCCCTTCTGTGGGCGCATCGCTGTAGTTGCCTGGATCTTGTGAGACTGTCGACGGGACGTGAGGGACGCATGCAACGAGTGCGTGATGGAAGTAGGACTCACGGAGTTTGACCACAAGTTCCTTGCGCTCGCTCGGGTTCTCCGGGTCGGGGTACGACGCGTGAACGTCGCAGAAGGTACCGCCGCGGTCGGCGCAGATCCTGATAGAGTGGTCTGGGACTGTTCTCGCAGGCATGGGCGCGTCGTGGTGTCTATCGTTGTGCAGTTCAGTCGGTTGTGTGCTTATTCGAACCGATACGAGTCAGTCTTGGCGCGAGCCTCCGATTCCGTGATGGTTGAACCAGACGCCGGCGAAGCTTGCAACTTTACTTAATCAATTAATGGAGAGCGCGGAAACTGGCGATTGGGGGTGAGCATCGTGCAAACACCCAAGTAGAGACGACATCGGAAGAGGACTGTGCATGCGCCCAACCGACTGTGAAAGCACATGGCGCAAGGTGGGGCAGGTTCAGCCCTCACCGTAGCACTGAACAGATGGCGAGAACTCGGATTCAATGAGTGGTGTTGTGCCGAACCTGAAGACCTGACATGCAGGATGTATCATCTGAAGTACTTCGCTGCGCTAGTCTGAGTGCTCTCTATCGATCCTCGACTGAGAAACGCTTCTGAATCGCACACGGAGGTATCAGTGAGCGCGGACGCGCCACCGACGCGCCGGCGATCGCCCGATGAGCGCGCTCGCCTGTTATGCACGCAGGTTAGGGCTGAACACAGCGAGCGACACGGTGAAGACTGCATGCAGCAACGCCGCCGGCGGGGAAGCCGGAAACACGTTCGCGTAGAGCGGAACCCATTTGGCGGGTCGACGCGTGCAAATCGTGCGATATCGATTATGGGCGCCTTCTCTGCTGGCCGTTAAGCGATGTGCAAGACAGCTTCCAAAGACAGCAGTTGAAAGCATCTTCGAGATTGGTCGGAAAACGTCGAGGCGAAAGAAGACAGGAGACATGCGAACGACACATTGGCGGGGCATGTGTGCGGGATAATAACGAGGGAGAAGAGAACAGGGGCTAGATCGAGTGGAGTGGCGGAAACCACGTTGGGCTTGGCGATTCAAGCTCCGACTGAATATAGAAGCCCTTGACCTCGAGTCGTGCCCGCTTCGACTTTGTCCCTCCCCGGTACCCTCCATCCTTGACGACCCCGCCTCTACCCCCAGTTCTATTCCCTCATGTACGTGTTTTCTACCCTCCTGAACCACTTCCGACCGCAACGACGCGTCGGATTGCTCTCTTCGGCCTTCAACCCACAGTTTCGGCCTTTTCTTGAGCAGTCGCGCTGACGTTGACATTTCCAGAATGCGTGAAATCGTTCACCTTCAGACCGGCCAGGTAAGCCCGACGCGTCTTTACACACATGTCCCCCCTTTGACCACCCTGCGACCTCCAGTGTGGTAACCAGATTGGTGAGAGTCGTTGATTGCTGGCGATAAACAACCTCGATCGCTTACAAGCGCGTAGGTGCCAAGTTTTGGGAGGTCGTCTCTGAGGAGCACGGCATCGAGTCGGATGGTCTCTACAAGGGCAACAATGACCTTCAGCTCGAGCGGATCAACGTCTACTACAACGAAGTCGGCGCCAACAAGTATGTTCCCCGTGCTGTTCTCATTGATCTTGAGCCCGGCACCATGGACTCCGTCCGTGCCGGTCCTCTCGGCAGCCTTTTCCGCCCCGACAACTTCGTCTTCGGTCAAAGCGGTGCGGGTAACAACTGGGCCAAGGGCCATTACACTGAGGGCGCGGAGCTCGTTGACTCCGTTCTCGATGTCGTTCGCAAGGAGGCTGAGGGTACCGACTGCCTGCAGGGTGCGTGTTCTCGTGACGCCGTCACCCGTCACGGTCACAAGGTCTGATCCACATGTGCAGGCTTCCAGATCACCCACTCGCTGGGTGGTGGTACCGGTGCAGGCATGGGTACCCTCCTCATCTCGAAGATTCGTGAGGAGTACCCCGATCGTATGATGGCCACCTACTCTGTCGTGCCCTCGCCCAAGGTCTCCGACACTGTCGTTGAGCCTTACAACGCCACGCTCTCGGTCCACCAGCTCGTCGAGAACTCCGACCAGACGTTCTGCATTGACAACGAGGCGCTTTACGACATCTGCTTCCGCACGCTCAAGCTCACGACCCCCACCTACGGTGACCTCAACCACCTCGTGTCGATCGTCATGTCGGGTATCACGACTTGCTTGCGTTTCCCTGGTCAGCTCAACTCCGACCTCCGGAAGCTCGCCGTCAACATGGGTATGTAATCCAGCCCATGTTGTTGTCATCTGAACTCACTCGTTGTCCGCAGTTCCCTTCCCCCGTCTTCACTTCTTCATGACCGGCTACGCTCCCCTCACGGCCCGCCTCAGCGCGCAGTACCGTGCTGTCACCGTCCCCGAGCTCACACAGCAAATGTTCGATGCCAAGAACATGATGGCTGCGTCGGACCCGAGACACGGTCGTTACCTTACCGTCGCGGCTGTCTTCCGTGGCAAAGTTTCGATGAAGGAGGTTGAGGAGCAAATGCAGAATGTGCAGAACAAGAACTCCGCGTACTTCGTCGAGTGGATCCCCAACAACGTCCTGTCCGCGCAGTGTGACATCGCTCCTCGTGGTCTCAAGATGGCCGTCACCTTCCTTGGTAACTCGACCGCCATCCAGGAACTCTTCAAGCGTGTCAGCGACCAGTTCACGGCCATGTTCAAGCGCAAGGCCTTCCTGCACTGGTACACCCAGGAGGGTATGGACGAGATGGAGTTCACGGAGGCGGAGTCCAACATGCAGGATCTTGTTGCGGAGTACCAGCAGTACCAGGATGCCACGTGCGTATATTCTCTAGCGAGCTGTTTCATATGTTGACTGAAGTTCCAACAGCGTCGAAGAGGAGGGCGAGTACGAGGAGGAGGTCCCCCCTGAGGAGGAGTAAGCGTACTGTACAACCCCCGCTATCCCCCCTTCCGCTAACACGAAAAGGTCGTCTACATCGTATACACTTTATATTGGTCGCTTTCCAGTGTTATCCGCATTCCTTTCCTCGTCTGCTTTACTATCGTCTTTGCGCTTGACGACGCACCACATCCTCCGACACCGGTTGGCATTACCGAAGTTACCCCTACATACGTTTACGAATTCATGACCTTGGAATATCTCAGCCAGAGGATGAAAACACTGCGGCCGTAAGTGCTGAGCTGAAGTCCGCTCGCCGTGAAGTGTCTATTGTAGCCAAGTGGCGACATTGGACAATAGGCGGGGTGCACTGGCCCCTGGGAGAGAGCTCAAGTGAGAGGGCGCACGACTGCGGACCGGGCCCAATTGCGAGCGCCGGGCAGATCGGCGCAGGTGTGGGCCTCGCCGTCGGAGATGTCTCAACCTCGACACCGCTCTCCTTGATCTCAGCCACGTCCAGCTCCCCCTTTCTTCCACTCTCCGCGATCTTCTCGGTCTCCGACCGTTCCTCTTCAGTGCAGCCCCGTGGACCCCTTCTAGGGCTGTGAACGCCGGCCATGTCAGGCATGCAGCACCTCGGCAAGGGCATCATCCGCACCGCCAAAAACTACACCAAGGGTTACTCAGACGTCCAGGCCAAGGTTCGGGAAGCAACTTCGAACGACCCATGGGGCCCATCGGGCACTCAGATGAATGAACTCGCTCAGCTCAGCTACAACCAGTACGTGCGCGACGTCTGTTCACACGAGACGCGTCCCAACGCCCCCTGCCCCGCCTCACAGAGACCACTTTGTCGAGATCATGGAGATGCTGGACAAGAGGCTAAACGATAAGGGCAAGAACTGGCGGCACGTCTTCAAGGTGCGCGTCCCGCAGCCCCATCTCCGCTCCCACTGACTCGCTCCCCCCGCCCCGTCGCTGGCAGTCGCTGACAGTGCTCGACTACCTGCTCCACGCCGGGTCAGAGAACGTGGTTGTGTACTTCAAGGACAACATCTACATCATCAAGACGCTCAAAGAGTTCCAGTTCATCGACGAGGAGGGCAAGGACCAGGGCGCGAACGTGCGCCAGAAGGCGAAGGACATCACGAACTGCTCCAGGACGAGTCGCGCCTCCGGCACGAGCGCCGCGACCGCGCGATGATGCGCGACCGGATGGTGCGCAACCGCGGCGAGGGCGACGGGGACGACGAGGAGGTCGACGAGAACGCGCTGCGGCGGGCCGCAAACGGGCGGCGCGGGCAGAACGGGAACCCGGAGGACGACGAGCTGCGGCGCGCGCTCGAGGAGAGCAAGCGGACGCTCGCGAGGAGCAGACGCGGGAGCGGATGACGGCCGAGGAGCGCGACCTGCAGCAGGCGATCAAACTGAGCGAGGAGGAGGAGGCGAAGCGACACAAGGCCGTGCAGGACGCGAACCAGAACGCGCTCTTCGACGAATCGCAGTGAGTGCCTATGTCTTTCTTTGCGATTGTGCCTGAGCCCCGGGTAGGCAGCAGAACCCGAACAACTCCTTCCCCTCGTCGACACGTCCCTGCAGGCGCCGCAGTTCATGCAGCCTCAGTTCACCTCCGTCCAGCCCCAGTTCACGGCGTTCAATCCATATCAGCAGCAGGCACAACAGGAGGCGATGCAGGTACGCGTGTCCCTGCATACCTCGGCATGACGCTGACGGTCATGTCCAGGCGGAATATCTACGTCAGCAGCAGGAGTGGCAGATGCAACAGATGCAGCAGCAGCAACTATTGGCCCAGCAGCAACAGCAGGACGAATGGATGCGTCAGCAGCAGATGCTTCAAATGCAACAGCAACAACAGCAACAGCAACAGCAGGCATTCCTCATGCCTCAGCAGCCCTTAGCCGCGCAGCCCACGGGCTTCGGGTGCGTCCTTGGCACTGCGCTCATCATTACATGTGGATTGACGATGGCTTCACCGTGGCAGCTCGAACAACCCCTTCGCGCCGGCGATGTCACTGTCCACGTCGTCGCTCCCGACTGGGCCCCAGCAGACCGCAAGCCCAGTCTCGTTCAACCTTCAGGGGACGTACGGTGGTCCAGCTCAACATCGCCACCGCCGCCATCCCAGTCAGCGCCGCCCGCAGCGCGGCAGAACACGATGCCCGCCGTCCGGGCGCGCACCGACGACGGCGAGCACGCGAAGCTCGCGGGTCTGCTTGCCAACCGCGAAGATGGTGTCGACACGTTCGGTAACTGGGGCAACCTACGGTGCGTATTTAACCAACTTCATGTTCAATCCCGTTGTGAAGATGAAGGCTGCTGACTGTTGGTCAACGGCAGATACGGCCAACAAGTCTCGCGGGTGGGCACTCAGCCGACAGGTGCGCCGCAGGGTACTTTCAACCCGTTCGCGCAGCAGCAGCAACAGCAACAGCAGAGCAACGAGCAGCCATTCTTCTCCATCTAGCGCTCTTCCTCCTGCGCTTCATACGTTCTGCTGTTTATTCCATGTCCTCCGTTCCTGACCCATGCTCTCCCGTCCGCGTGCCGTTCTCTTCCCTTGTCGCTTTCCCCTGTCTGACCCATATTCCCCGCGTCGTGCTTCCGACCTCTTTCTGCGCCACCTCCCACCCTCGCTCTACGTTTGTTCCCGCACGGATGCACGCCTCGCGCGAATGTACATTTCCTTCTTGGCCGGTATACGTAATGTCTCGCAGACGCGTGGAGGGGACTGTCTTCGGGGGCGCGGACGGTGTGTCATGCACATGTAGGTCTATGTCGAGCTCAAATGCAAACCCCGCTGTTCTCGTAGACGCGCCGTCGTGCAGGGGTCTGCCACTGTATCCGCCTGCGTTGGCGCGACATCAGATCAGTGGATTCGGACAACATATATGCGGCGACGCCAAGTCAGAGTGGAACAGAGTGTGCAATATATGTCGGTGGTAAACGTTCAACATTACAGCGGTACGCAGGACTGCTCTTCATAAGTGCCCGCAAATCGTCGGGGAGCGCAGCGAGAACGTCGCGAGATGCCTGTGATGGTACAGCAAGGTCTTCGACTTTTTGTACGTCATGCTACATGGACACCATAGCAAGCATTGGCAAAAGACGGGGACGTTAAGCCAACTTCAAGCGGAGGAATATCGAACAGAACTTTTGCGTAGTGTGCACGAAGGCGTGCACGTACAGCCACGAGATTCTTCGATGCGATACCTACAAAGGTACAGAAAGCATCCGACTAACGAGCTAACGACTGGGAGATCGCGCGGGCGACCCACCCGCAGAGCCGTCGCGCCTGTCCGGCGAGATGCTCCTGCTCCTCGACCGGTACGGCGACCGCGAGCCGGAGCGACTGCGGGAGATGTACCGCGAGCCAGCGGGCGAGGGCGACCTGCTCCCGGGACTGTCGCTGCGCCTCCACTATGGCCCGGGGACTGCGACGGAGGGCCTGTCCGTCCCGACCTGCTCCTGTCCGAGCTTCTGCTCCTGCTCCTGCTCTGCTTCTGCCCCTCTCGCTGCCGTGCTCGCTCTTGCCCTCCATCGCGTCCAGCAGGCGGCTCTTCCGGGGGCCGATGTCGCCCGCGTCTTCCAGCACATCGCGTTTTGTCATTCGGGGCAGGATGAGGTCGCAGACACGCTCTTCGTTGAGGAGCTGGTCGACGAACTCGTCCATGTAGGTGAGGGTGTACCCTCCTGCAGCCCGTGAGCACACAGAACGGCAACCAGGGGGGAACACGCACCCATGCCCAGATATCGTAGTTTTCTGTAGTCTTTGAGCAAGGGTTCCAGTATTTCATACACCTCGGCTGGTCGGAACGTCATGCGGATGTAGAACACAGCCAGTGCTCTTAGATATCTAGGTGGGTTGGGGGGTTGGACGACGCATGCATAAGCAGAAGCACTCACTTGAATTCATCCGCTCGCAGATACTCTATCAGAATCTCCTTCTCTGGCTGGATCTGTAGGAGCTTGAGGAGCAGGCACAAGAACTCGGTGGGTTTTTGGTTGCCGTATACGCCCCGATGGCCTTGAGTTCCAGAGACTTGTCGATGATTGTCTCCGCTGCTTGCGAAGTCAGAGCGCGAAACCAAGGGAACGGTAAGTATAACGTGCGCACCAGTCAGTGCGAAACAATGCTCTTTCCAAAGTTGGAGTCATAGATGCGGTTGCGAATGACGGATTCGACTAGGTACTGAGCATTCAGATTGACATTTCTCCAGGCTGCAAGACAAAACGGATCCTACCTGAGGATTCTGGCCATGAATGGCGGTCGCACCGCGGACGGTGGTGTTGGCCATGGAGGACGCGTTGTTGATCTTTGTTTGTCACCAACAGCGTCCATTCCCTCCACCACATCCGGGCCGGAGCCGGTCCATCACGCCGCCGGAAGCAAGGAAGCAAGGTCGACAGTGGTACACGCAACGATTAACAGCACGCCGCAGAAACACTACTGTCAAGTTTATAAAAGAGATATGTCGCTTTACATGTCGCAAAAGTAGTTTCCTTCTCGAAGGCTCTCCCTCAGATTAATTTACTGACTATCAGAGCAGACGTCATGATCATGATCGCGCGAATCGCCCTCCGAGAGTACTGCACGCAGGGATCTTCATTTTTGTGTGCCTGGAAGTCGTGGTAATCTTGTAAAAGGTCATGGGATGACTCAGTAAGCCGAATTTCCGCGGACGACGTGCTTGAGAGCTTTCTGCAGGGGCACCGCAATGCGCTCGGGAGCATCGTAGTCGACGAGAAGATGCTGACAGCAGTCGCGCAGCCTGCGCTCGTAGGAGTCTCACCTGTAAAACCATAAATCCCATTTTTCAAGGGAATGTCTGAAGAACGCACCAGGGTCATCACGAACGCCGTTAATGTTGGCATTGACACCATTGGCGACCCTGGTGAATAGCTGGTCAGTATGCATTAGGTATCAATCCCACGGCCACTTGCAAATTACTCGACACAGGGAAGCCAGTAGTGTTGTCGATAGTGACCTGGTTCACGGTGGCACCCCCAGTGAGACGAGTGAATACAAAGGGGGGCTATATGACGGTCACTTGTCAGCGCTATTGAGACGGTAGTGACCACTGGCACATCTACTCACAGCGGTGCAGTTGATGCCCGGACCGAACGTGGGTAGATTGACACTGAGTGGAATCAGTACGAAAAACAGTGGTATTCAGAAAGACGTCGTCCAATGCTTACGACATGCCGACACCTAGGGGTAAGAGAGACTGTTCAGAAGCATTGATGCCACTGGCGAGGCCGCGCACAAGGTCGGCGACACCTGCAAGAGTAAAAGCTGGTCAACCATGCTCATGAGCACTGATATATGCATCATACCTTTGCAGCGAGGTTCGCGGGATCGTCAGCCTCGCCTGTGTTCGTTGTGAAGGAGCGGTGAGTGTTGTTGCCGGCTGAGAAGGCGATGGCCGGAATCTGAGACCCTTCGTAAGAACATTCTCCAAAAACAGATAAAAGCACTGCTACCAACCCCTCGCTCTACTGCCAAGTAGGCTGCGCCGATCGTGCCGCTCAGTGTGAAAAGGAACGGCCCATTGTTGTGACCTTCATTGGGACCGGAAACGACAAGATCGATAGGGACGCTGCCAAACTTCTTCGGAGCGACGATATCAATCCCGAATGCAGCCTCCCGTCCCACGGTGCTTATCAGTGTTTGGCCAAGTGGTAGCGGACAGAAGGGAATCGGTCTCACCGCGGCGGCGGGCGTTGCGTTGATATAAACTAAGACGAGAAGTCAGCATCTGACAAGGACGAAAGCTGAATCAGAAAGTGTTGCTCACAGAGGTCGCCGTTTTGCACATCCTGGCCGAAGAACGGTGCGCCGCAGGGACAGTGCCAAATTCAGCGCCGCCCTGTGTGATGTTGGAGGTAGGCAGCACGAAGGTACCGCCCTTGCCGGACTGCTGGACGGCCGGACTAGGGTGCGGAGTGAGCTTAACGAGGTCAGCGAAGGCGATAAATTTTGCTTACGCAACCATGAGGACGTCATGACCATCCGCCTTCAACGCGTCAAAGGTGGCACTAGTGAAATCAATGTGGATTAGTTCACAGAGCCTGTAGAGATGAAGAAAGACGACAAACCGGACATTAGCAGAAGCCCAGCTGTCATCGTTGGTGAGCAGGATGTTCAGACTCGAGACCCGAGACACGAAAGCGAGGAGCGAGAGACTGAGCTTCCACATCCTTGACGTTGAGGAGAGGAGGAAGGCTACAAGTGGAAGGGGAGCAAGCCACAAGGACCAGAGGGCGCGCCCGGAGGCTCATATGTATCCGGAAGGAAAGGGTGGGATCAGGCGCGTTTGGGTAGTAAATGTGTAAACGGCCGCGACTTGCGCAGGATGTCGTCGACCGCAAGGAAAAAGTGGATGCATAGCGAATGGGAAATGGTCGGCGACCCACGTTTGTGCGCTCAGAGTCCAGGTGTCCTCCACGGGATTGCCAAGCCGGACGGACACCTGCGACACCGGGCTGGGAAGACACGACGGGCGGATCCAATGAGTTCACCGCGGGGCCCGGGCTGGTCGATTGACATTCGTGGGTGAGCATTCGAGAAATCATCGTTGCGAGCCCTGGGCGCTGTGGATTCAGGCCATACGCCCAAGCACCCCGTGAGCTGCCGGTTGTCGACAACAAGAGAAGTACTTGCGCACTTGACCAAGTTTACGGACATACACGATATCCAGAGGACAGCGCTGGAGACCTTGCTCGTGGTATAGCGTATAGAATACATCAGAGACGCCCGGAGGAAGAGCTGCCTCCAGCTAGCGCGGGCCCTGTGCACTCCTTGAACCTCACCCACTACCACCCCGAACACGCCAATCAGTCGCGTCGCCTGCCTTCTATCAGCCGCTGTGCTAGCACGTCAATTGATGTCAATGAACAAGATGCTTTTGCCGCTGCGCGTTGTGAGGTGGTTGTGATAGTGGGCCAATCCGCCTCAAGTTGAAGAGTCGAGGAGTCTGAGGTATGCTTCTTCTCCGTTTTCATACCATTGAAGTCTGAAGCCTCGCTCCTCACAAACCAGATTCTTGAGCTCTTTACACCTGCTCTCATACACTGCCTAGTCTAAGACGTCAACGAGTGCTCGATGCTGTCTTACTCTAGACCCTGTAGCCTATCTTGGTCCACAGCTCAATCTGGTTGCCGAGCGGGTTGGCACCCTTTGCCTGGATTGTCGGATTATTGGTTCAGGGAACGCCATTTACCTGTCCAGGTCAACAATAACCTCGGGCGGATATCCCTTTCAATGCAGCAGCGTCATATGCCTAGGTGTGTATGGGGAAATCGTTGTTCGCATCGGTACCGGTACGTCTTTGCTGTTGGTCCCTCTTATGACTCCAAGCTCATGGCAGAGTTATTACCCATAGATCCCTTTCCCGTATGATCATCCTGATACTGTGAGGCGTTGCCGATGCAGAAGACGAAAATTTTCACTGTGGCAGCCGCTGGCGTCTTTGGCCGAGGTCCTGGCAGCACCTGGTCATCTGTGAGCAAAGCATTTGCAACGTGGCTGACACTTGTATACAGACCAGCACTTCTTACTCAGTATCGTTCTCGCCAGTATGTACAATCGAAGGGGGAGGGCTTCGCGCTATGGCGCTTTTAGCGCATGGACTGGCCTTGGGCGCGGAAGTCGGATTACGACGTGGTGTCACAATAGAGCAGAACTTCGAATGCCCATGTTGTTATACACTGGACGTGCTTGCGCGCACGATAGCTTTTGGACATGCGAGAGCGTTGGTAGGATGCTGCTCAGCATCATTGCCCAGCGAAGACGGGAGGCACGCTAGGTTGTTGCCCTTGTCCCTCACCGCCACTGACCACCGACCTCTCGTATACCACTTTGCACGCCCGGAGAGGCGTACCTCCTTCACGCGGTCTCTCGGCTTGCCTTCCATCTCTTGCGCTACCGCACTGCTCAAGAATGGCGTCGGTCGAGAGCGTCCCGGCGTATATGCACCCAGGGGTCTCTGTCTCGCATCCTCCGCACCTGGACGGCGATCCGTCCTTGGCTACGGAAATCCTCCCCGGCCCTCCCCCTCTTGCGTCCCTCCAACAGGCCGCGATGCCGCGGAAAGACAACAAAAACCCTCCAATGGCGTTCTCCTACCTCCCCGGCTCCGACCCAGGGACTACGTACACAACCCACTTCGCAGTGGGCTCTGTTTCCGCAGCGGCACCCTCCAGCCTGGACGGGTCGCGGCGCAACAAGCGGGTCCGTTTGGACAAAGGGTGCGTCCCCCCTGTTTTTCAGAGCAGAGACAGCCGAGCTGATCGCGAGACGACCGTCGCATCTTCCGCCCTTCTCGTTACTTTGCCCCCGCAAAATTACGCCGTCCTCGGGACCCCCCTCCACACGTCGCCAGCGCCGAGGGCAGGTCTCAACGTGCCTCTGCTCGCAGTCTCGCCGCGGTGACGCCTGCGACTGAAGCCATTGTGCTCCAGGAGGCTGGTGCTTCGTCATCGCACCCACTGTCGGAATTTGACCCTGCACTCCTTCCCGCCGACGCCGACGACACCATGCCCTCACGCGCCACCTCCTTTCACGCCGAAGATACCCCTCCGGAATGCGTAGAACCCGGCAAGCGAAGTCGGGCGAAGGCAAACAAGGGAAAAGGGAAGGAGAGGGAGCTTGTGGTGAAGGTGAAGGAGGAGCCGGTCATGATGTCGCTGAGCAACGAGCTGGCATCTCTCGGGGTGAGTGCAACTCGTCCCCCTCCCATGACCACCCCGTCAGACACAACGTGCTGCAGACAAACGAGGACCATTGTTCTGCGTGTCGGTCTCTTGGAGCACTTGTGTACTGTGACGGCTGCCCCAGGGCGTTCCACTGGATTTGTCTCGATCCCCCGATAGAGGCGACGGACATACCCGAGGGGGAATCTCGATGGTTCTGCCCGGCGTGCACCTTGGAGAAGGTATGCTCCCACCTTTTCCCCGCTCCCTTATCGTTCACCCTTCGCCTCGAAACAGAAGCCCCCACCCAAGCCGCAGCCTTCTCTCAAATTCATGGCCCCTTTAGTTAATGAGCTAGCAACTAAGATACCCACTGAGTTCCAGTTGCCTCAGGACGTTCGAACATTCTTTAAAGACGGTAAGCCTCCGCACTCGCTCCTGTGGTCCTCCCAATGACATTTTGGGGTTCAGTGGGAACTGGTGCGAAAGGTGCATATCTGGACACCTCAGAGGTGAAAGCTGCGCGTTTCAAGTGAGTATGACTCGACACCGATATCGTGCCACCCTCACCCCAAGGTTACCCCCAGCCGCCTCGGTCAACTCGAGGATCGCGATCCGTACCGATTAAAGGATCGCAATGGGGACCCAGTGCTATGTTTTCGCTGTGGAGCCTCAGCATTGCCCCCAGGTATGACGGCTGAGTCTCCAACCGCCAAGCGCACAAGGCGGTCCATCTCAACCAATGTCAACAACTATGAGACCGGTCGGGCCATCATATCCTGCGACTACTGCCACCTCCACTGGCATCTTGACTGTACCGATCCGCCGTTGATCACAATGCCGGTCTGGTCGAAGAAGTGGATGTGTCCCAACCACGCCGAGCATGTTCTGGTGCGCGTCCTATCGGCTTTCGTTGGCTGGCGCGGCCGTAGCTTACGTCTATTACATCCTCATAGCAACCCAAACACCGCATTCCTCGAGCCAACGCGACGCCTATCGATATTACGAAGCCTCGGCAGAAGAATAACGGCAATATCGAGATCATACAGGCGGAAACGGCTCCTCCCACCGGCGTCGTCCCACCGAAGGTCAATGTTGACGAAGTTCTGATCAATGGCCGACGATATCGTGTCCCTGAAAGGATCATTACGCTCGACTTCTGGGACAAAGTTAAGCGTAATCGTTCAGACGGTTCAGGGGTCGATATGTGAGTCCTGGATTACACCGCTAGATCAGTATCTGACTTCGTTTCAGGGGCGAGGTTGAGATTTCAAGTTCAATGTCTTCACCATTGACATCCTTGTCGTCACTCGACGATCAGGACAGCATACCCCCGTTCTCCATGGAACCTGCGTTATTCAACACAGACGATCTCAGGATCGCACAGGTGAATCCTTCTTGTTTCGTGTCGTTTGCGTACGAGCTAACGAGAAATATGCTAGATGTTGTGCGGCATGCGCTTGCAAGGTTCCTCATCCACTTCCAGTGCTCCTCTCAAGTCCGCCCCCGCAACCAACGGGACACATCGTGAAAGCCGTAAGCACATCAAGACAGAGTCCCAGGAGACGTCTCTGAGTGTGAGTGTCTCATAGCATTTTTCGGCACGTTCGTCACCAACGTCATCCGCCCACAGACCCACACTGACAAACGGCGCAAGACGGAAACTGGCCCCTCCTCCCGCCGCGCAGGAGCTTCCCGCACGGCCGCCGCGCGGGCGGCGAAAGCCTCGAAACGCTCCACTCGCGACGATGATTCGACCCCGGGCGCCGACTTCGACTACGTACCCTCCATTTCCTCCGGCAAACGTCCCAACGCCCGCCGCGCCGCTGCCCGCCCTCCCGCACCCGCACCCGTGCAGGCCGCCTCAAGCGCCGAGGCCGACGTCGTCGAGGTCCCGCGCCCCGCCTCTGCGGTGTCGACGTCGACGCGTCCGCGGCGCACACGCCAGCCCACACGACGGCTCGGCACTCCGCCGCTTGTGATCAAGCCCGACCCGGACGCCCCCGCGCCGAACGCGCTCATGCTCCCCCCCGCGCCAAAGGCGTCCGCATCCACGCTGCGGAAAAAGGCGAGCATGTCCGCCGCGTCCGCCGCCGCCAAGCCGGCGACCCCAACCTCCGCGTCCGCCAACGGGGAGCTCAAGCCGCCGTCGGCGACGCCGACGCTCAAGATCCGCCTCCCGCGCATCGGCGCGTTCTCGCCCCAGACCGTGGCGCCGACGGCGGCAGCCGTCGAGGCCGCGAAGGCGTCGCCGACCAAGGCGCCCGCCGCCGCTTCGACCGTCGCCGCGGCGGGGGGCAGCAGCCTGCGCCCGCGGCGGTCGCTCCGCCGGCAGGCGTCGGTGCCCACCTCCCTGACCTCGTCAGCGCTGTCGACGAGCCCGTTCGAGTCCTCCTGACCCGTCGCGCTCGCACCCCATACGTACATATCGTTATTGTATCGACTCTCGTCCGTCTCTCCGTTCAGCCTCCCGCCGGTCCGCAGGAATGTATTACGTTCAGTTCAAAGCAGGCTCCGGCCGCGCGTTAATGTTGTCTGTGGGCTCTGTCGCATTAATGGGATATACGGTAGGCAGCATCCGTTCCTTCGCCGTCGCTTTCGGGTGCTCTCGCAGGGCTGCCGGCCTTCGCCGCAGTAGGTGATCCATGTCCTCCGTTCCATAATATAGAGTACACTACGTAAATGCAAGTACAGGGCTGCGTAATAGTCGTGACAGGGCAACACTCTCCAGCGGGTATACAAGCGACGACGCCCCGGGCCCCAACGGCGCACATATCGCCACAGCCGCGCGCGGGACGAGCAACAACTACACCGCCTCGCCGACCTTGACGGGCTCGTCGTCGCGGTGCGCGGTGCTCGCGGGCATGGACAGCCGGTCGGGGTCGAACGTCCCGCTCTCCGCGCGGCTCACGCTGGGCGAGTACCGGCTGTCGTTCACGGTGGCGAATCGGATGTGGGTCGACATCACGGTCGTGCTCGGGTCCGACCGGGCGGCGGCGCTGGTGCGGACCATGAGCATGGTATAGGTGAGTGCCTGTGCGTGGCGTCGGAGTGCGTCAGGTGCGTCCGGAAAGGATCGGTGCTGGTGCGCGAGGGCTTACGTTTACGGCGGGGAGCTGCAGGACGGAGGAAGGAAGGACGGTCGGACGGTCAACAAAAGCGGAGGGCATGTCGCGGGGAGGACGACGCACCACTTGAAGGAAGATGAAGAACGCGTTCGACTGGATGAGGTCGGTGACGATGAGCGCGAGGAGGTTCGCGCAGTATATCGCGGCTGGCGGGCGAGACCGTGTTCAGCACGGGCTCCCTCGGAGGACACGGGGCGCCGCACGCGAACGTACCGGTTTCGATGACGAGCGAGATGACGGAGGAGAGCGGGCTGGCGCCGTGCGTGTGCCTCGACGTCTTTCTCGTCACGCACCTGATTTTCCAGGAAATCAGGGCTGGGATTCAGGAGAGTGGCGGTCAGGCGCGTGGTTAGGGAGCGTCTGCGCCGCACTGACCGGCACAGAGGATGTTGAGGGCGAAGGTGAGGATGAAGAAGTACTTGACGCGGATGGACACTTCGGCGGCCAGGATTCCTACGGATACGGTGCCGGTCTGGAACTCGGTCCATACCGACCATGCGCTGAGCGCTGTGCATGTGATGGGTCAGTGGTCAAACCTCGGGCTGCATGCGGCACGAGCCTGGTACGTACCGTAAGAGGCCAGAAGGAGGCCGACGGTGAAGAAGGCGACGATGAGGTTGTAATCACAGACCACGAGCGTGCGGTGCACCTATAACGAAGCAGAGTGAGAAGCGGAATGAGGTGAATGGGCACGAAGCGCACGATTATGAGGTCGGAGAACATGGCGAGGGCGGCAGTGAAGACGCCCTTGGCAAGGTTGACGTGAGAGCCGATGTCGATAATCACGGCATGCGGATTCGCAAAGCTCTCTCCGGGAGGCACGCTGAACGCAGTATAACCGAGGACGAGCTGCGTCCAGGAGTCCTGAGAGGAGGGAGAGAGGTGAGCAGATGATCCGGTTCATCAGGCCAGGCACAGGGACTCACGGCCATCGCGAGGACGAAGATGATGGCGCACGAGAGCGGGAGCCAGAGCGACGCCCCTGCGCGCCATTTTCGGCGGAGAACGAGGACGGACTGTGGGAGATAAGCAATGTAGACACCTGGAGCGGTGCAAATGGGTCAACTTGGAAGCGGGCGCTGCTGAGGGCGGGCGACGGACCTGTGGCAAGGGTGTCAGCGAGGAGGCCGATGAGATGGGCGTTCTCGGACGAGAGGCCCTCCATGGCACGGGCGGGAGGGGCACGTCCGCGGGGAGCGTGCGAGCGTGCGCCGTGCACGGAGGAGGACGGCGGGGGTGGGGCGGGAGGGGAGTCGTGCAGGTCGACATGGAGAGCTTATAGGCACGGACGAGCCAGGAACAACACAGGCTCGCAGCCGGAGTGCGGGCCCGCAAGAGCCATGGGAAACTGGTGCTGAGAAGCATGATGCAGGCTGTGGGCGAGAAGCACTCACCCAGGGAGCCGACTCCGGCCATCGCGCAGACGGCTGCGTGTGGTGGCACGCGGCGAGCTACCATCATCACGACCCAGTTCGGACAGGCAGCGCCAACCGATGTTCATGCGTCCTCGTCGCCTGCACCGATAGTCTTCAATTCGATAGACCATTTATTGCTTCTCTCCTACTTCTGCCTGGGCGATTGGAGATATGCGTGTAGTCGTTGAAAGAGTGAACGGACCCTAGTGTTCGGACAATTCTCCGTACGTCGTCACAGACGCAGTCACGGCGCTCAGCTGTAGCCGATGTCAGAACCTGTCGTAAGAGAGCCGTTGCCGAGCCAAATCGAGTAGGGCGCTGAGACGTGACGCACAAGCGCTGGATTACTGTCACGCCTTAAGAGCTCAATTCTGTACTGTCGACGCCCACGAGGGCGCATTCTCTCGGAGAATTTGGAAGAAGCTTTCAAAGTACGCAAGAATTACATTCCCAAAATTCCAAGGGGAGCGCTGAGATAGGTGTTTCAGCCGAGACCCATCAAAGGTGGACTTCTCCCAGTGAGGCGAGTGCATCCTTGAGATCGGACGCAGCTTGGTCTGGGGGGACGCAAAACTGCGAACACAGATGTGTGAGAAGCTATCCTAGCTAAATCTAAAATTTCATGATTATCGGTGGAGGTACCGGAGCGCAATTCGCGTTTGTCCGAACACTAGGGTCTGTCCACCGGGCGGATACCGCATTGTGGATGAGAGCATGAGCGAGTTGATGAGTGAGACTGGTCAGTGTTGAGCCGTATGTTGGAAGATGACGGTCACATGACCAATGACCAGCTTGATGCTGATCCTACGCGCGATCGGTTCGGTCTTTCCACAAACAGGTGCTGTTGAGGGCGGAGCGAGCGTCGCGGGTCGTGGGATGGCGACCATTGCGATGCGGGACGTGGCAGAGCCTTAGATATCCTCGATGATGTTGTGGTGGTAGTTGACCGGGAGAGGGAGGGTGTTTAGAGCGGGAAATGCTTTAATTTGCATCATTGCTACATTGCATAGAACACATGCATCGCAAGAATCGTACACCTTGGTAACCGTTCGCCCTACCCCGTCTGCACGGCTCAGCACCCACCATGGTGCCGCCGCGCCTGCCACAGTCGCCGTAGCCAGTCACTTCCCAGCGGCCGCTGTAGTCGCCGCGACCGCCACAACCGCCATGCCCCCTCAGTCGCCGCGGCCCTTGCCGCGGCCCTTGTGTCCCGCCCGGGGAGGCGGAGGGGCACCGTCCACGCGGGCGACGCGGAGATGGTTCTTAACCGCGTCCGTCCACTGCTGCTTCTGCGGCCGCGCGAACCTCGACGTGGCCGCCGACGAGAGCGCCCTCCCGCTAGGCGCCGCCGCGTCCTCCAGCTCGTTCAACGCCACGCCGTCGTAGAACACCGCGGCGCCCAGCCCGAGCGTGCCCTCCGCGATCTTGCTCCCGCCCTGCGCGAGCCCGGGCCCGTGCGCCGCCGCGCCGTTCGGGTCCTCGAACACCTCGACGGCGAACGTCGCGCCGGGCACGAAGACCGTGTTGCCCGTGCCGAACGGCTGCATGGCCGCCTCGGGGCGGGCGGCGTGCGCGATCACGCCGCGGGCGAGCTGCTCGGCGGTGAGCGCCGGCTGGACGCTGAGGGCGACCGGGTCGAGGGCCGTGATCTGCGCGTTCGGGGCGCGGACGAGGATGTGGTCCACGTAGATCTGCTCTGGGGTGCCGTAGAGGTAGAACGGGGTGTAGGACGCGGGGTACGCGCCGTCGCGGTAGCGTGAGTTGAGGGGCCGGTTCTTGAGCACGTCGGTGATTGTGAGCGTGACGAGGATAGCGTCCCCGGTCGTCGGGACACTGGCCGTGCAGAGAGTATCAGCGGCGGTGACATGCGGTGCTTGGAGAGGATGTCAGCGTACCCTTGCGGCTCCACGGTACCCTCCACCTCCATCTTGGTGAGGATGTCTTCGATGGTAGTCTCCACACTGTTGAACTGGAAGTAGGCATCGGGGTAAAGGGCCCGCGCCTGCTTGTATTGCTCGCGCCCGGCGTCGTCGGCGAACGTCGTGCGCACGATCAGCTGCTGGCGACCATTCGCGTGGTAGAAGTTGGGGCGGTAGACGAGGTATGGGTCGTCCTCGCCCTGCATGAGGAAGCTGTGCACCTGGTTCGAGACGGTGTTGCGCGCCACGACGTTCTAGAGAGGTGGTCGACGATCCTGGTTAACCCCTGCAACGATCACAAGAACGGATGATTGGGAATACCTTGGTCTCTTCCTCGAGGACGCCTTGGAAAATGTCGGCGAGTTTCTGAACAAAGTCTCCGGCGCTCTGGAAGGGCGACATGACCACGTTGCGCAGGAGGAACAAGTCCTGCCCGGACTCCGTCTCGAGACCAAGTCGGCTGATGCGAAGCACGACGTCAGACCCCATGAATTGAAACACCGGACACGCGACACTCGTACCGTTGGAAGTCCACGACGCACTCCCCGTAGTCCTCCAGCGCGAACGTCGTCGCCGTCAGGAACAACGGCACGGTCTTCGGGTCGATGTGTGGGCGCGTGATCGAGAGCCGGTCGAAGACGCGCTTGTTGAGGTAGTTGGCCTCCTCGACGTCGTCGTTCACCCGGCCGTCAATGCGGAAGTTGCACGCGAACGCGTTGATGTTGAGGTCCGAGCCGAGCGTGCACAAACACTGGAACGCCACCTTGTCCGCCACGATCTCCTCGTTCGTCTTGCCGAAGATGCGCTCGCGGATGAACTGCTTCTCGCTTGGATCCTTGAGCGCGTTGAACGGCTCGACGATGAAGGGGGTCTCGTCGTCGGACATGGCGGACCAGTGCGAGGCGAACTGCGTGAAGAGGAAGATTAGGTGAGCGACGAGACGTGAACGTGTCGGAAACAGGATGGCCTACTCGGCGGCAGGTGAAAGTGGCCTCTCCCAGGAGCGCACCGTGGCCATTCTTGTGAAGGCCTGTGATGGTGTTGTGGAGGTAGCAGGCAACCGCGGGCGCCCCAGGCTTGCTGGTAATCGCGGAGGTCCAAGATGAGCATGCATTCACATTAAAATGCGCGCAGAGGACGTCTCACCTGCCCTCGATGCCGTAGATCCCGATGCTCTCGCCCTCCGTGTTCTGCGCGAGGTATGGCGCCGACCACGTGAGCAAGTACCGCATCCGCCCGTCCTTGTAGCACAATCCGCCAGCAGGGTACGGGACGTACCCCGCCTTGTGCGGGTCGATCGTGATCGAGTCCGCCCCGCAGAGCGCCTCGAACTGGGTGATGCTGCTCCGCCGCATCGTCATGCTCGGCACGAACTCGCGTGGCGGGTCCTCCCTCGGGGTGCCCTCCATAGGCTCGTGCCCCGCCAGCGGCGGCTCGTCGCGGATCATGGACGCGAAGTACCCGCCCCAGGCGGCGTCTGCGTGCACGATGAAGGAGAGCCCCTTCGCCGCGAACTCATCCCGGAGCTTAACCATCTCGTCGAGCGGGTCTACGGCGCCCTCCTCAGTCGAGCCGATCACGGCGACGATCGAGTAGACGGCACGCTTCGTGTCGAGACACTCTTGGAGTAGTGTGCGGAGCGAGGAGATGTTCATGCGAGCATTGGTGTCGACGGGTACGTTGGCGCAGTTCTTGGAGCCGATACCGACCAAAGCTGGGGAGCGAAGTCGTGAACCTGAGACCCAAGTATCGGACATGCAGAAGGGGTACTTACCGGCAGCCTTGGGCCAGGAGTAGTGCTTCGTGCTAGGGACCAAGTACAACGGCTCATCGGTGATCTTGTAGATCTCCCTGAGCTCCTCCTTGCCTGCCGTTTGAACGAGGTACGGTGAGAGCGCGGCTGTGAGGAAGTCTGACGTGATGCTGTACTGGTTCTGAAGGTCGTCCGGGAGACCGAGGATGACACTCGGGGAGAGGTTGAGTAGTTGCCACGCATCGAGATCGCGGAAGAGCTCGTCCGTGCCGGGGATCTTGAAGTCATCGGCGATGAACCCGAGCGGCTTGTCGCCCTGCGTCATCGCAGCGTGAAGCGAGAGTGGGTAGAACTTGAGGTTCCGTGCTGCCCTGAGGACATGGCACAGCGGGTGAGAATCTGGCATGCGCCGTAAATAAGGATGCGACTTACCACATGGACTCCATGTTGGCGAGCGTGCCATCCGCTGCGATATGGCCCCACGGTTCGGGCTCGCCTGGCTCGATGTTCTCGGTTTTGTATCCCAGCATCGCGGACAGCTGCTTCCCCACTTCGAGCTCGATGACGGTCGTGATGGGGCTCGCTTCGTACGCCACCTAACATCCTCATGACTAGTGAGGATCGCCGTCTTTGGAATATGGCGATGCACTCACGTTGTTGGGGTTAAACAAGATGGTGATCATCCATCCGAGAATCGAAGGCATTGACCTGTGAGACGTAAGCGGATCAGGAAGCGCCCCATCCAGCAGAACGTTGAACCGAATAACTTACGTCTCCATGTCCATGTGGCCCATGTACCGTCCTGAAAAGAACGGGACGGACCAGCCGTTGAGGCCCTCGGTGACGAGTCTGATGTGGGTGCGGAGCTTGTCGACGGCGAGCTCGAACTCGGACGACGCTTTGATCGCACTGGTGATAAATTCCTGTAAGAGTGATACAGTGAGCCAAAGGCGATGGACCGCAGCGCGGATGTATACTCGCCCCATCTTCGGGGTGATATTCCTTGCGTGTATTGGCGTGCATATCGAGGGCCCCCTCGAAGAGCTCCTTGAGGAGGTCGAAGTTCTCGGCGCGGGGGCCGAGGAACCATGCCGACACTTTTTCGTGGAAATGGGGGTCCTGGACTGACCGCTGCATGACAGTGGGGAGAGACAGAGACGAAAATCAGAGAAAAGGTGAGAGCAGGGTCGCTGGAGAGAGGGGCGGAGAGACTAGTTCTTATATACGCATTACCAAGTGGTGTGGGGTCGCTGCACTAGTCAACCATCCCACGTGCGTCATGTCAGGAAGGTTTGCGAGGAAGATAGGTCGGAGCCATGCGGACGTACAAAGGCACGATATCCACTGAAGGGAAGGCATGCGTTAGGGAAACACCTAGTTCTTTCTAGTCGTCTGAGGGCGGAGGTGTGCCTCGCATTGGCAGTGCACGCATGGCAGAAGTCTACAGGAGACCATCCTCTCGATCCTTTCGCCCGAAGTGCTAACGGTGATCTCTGGCGTATCTTGACAGTGTTCGGCTCTGTGCATGAGCGGAGATGTGTTTGAATCGTCCTTTGTACGCAAAGTTAGTCAGGAGAGCACCAGATGAAGCGGGGTCCTGAATGCCAAGCAGTGGCAAGGGGTCACCGGTTCACCTACGACAAGGAAGGGGCGGGGAGTGAGCGCAGGTGGAGACCGTCTCCAACTCACCTGTAGCTGACGTGAAGACCGGATAGCTCGGGGAGCATATGAAGCAGTTATGGCACGTGCCAGAGTTGTTGACCATCTCGTCACCAGCGGGGTAAAAGCCGCAAGCGCTGCCCGTGATCGTCGTACAATGTACTGACGGCCGACGCGACTGACTCCCCTGTCACTAGTCTCATGACTGGTTGTGACGGAAGCACGAAGCCCCATAAAACAGTCGCAGAAGGCTTTCGTCGGTGCTGTTACGGGGGCTTCGACTCAGGCTCGCTGTCGGCGGCGGCGGCGTGCCATCTGGAGTTCCGAACGGGAAGAGAGGCGGCGATGAAAGAGACGCCGGGAAGCGTCTCTCAGGCCCAGGCCTTGGGCGCACAGTCTCTCATTCCCACGGCGCCCTGGCTGGTCTCTCCCCTCATGGACAACGCATCGACGTACCATGTCAAACCAAACGGTGTGGGGTTCGCACCGGACTGCCAGCGCGTTGCCCTCCCAGGCTTCGAGTTGTGGATGAACTACGTGATTCACAACTTTCATTCGCGTCATGCATCTCACACCGACTCCTCCGCAGATCGAGAACGTGCATGTCGTTCCGCAGTGCATAGACCCATCCCGATTTTGTGCCGCGCTCGCGCTCAGTCTGCAGGTCTTCCGCCACGCTGCTGGCCAGTTGCACCGGAATGACGGTGAATGGGAGGTACTGCTCTCCGCCGTGGCAGCTTCACAGCCCACCGACTGAGCCCCCCCCTCACTCAGATCCTACTCACCGACTCTCCCGTTCCGGTCGAGGTCGAGCGCATTGATGCCAACGCGATCCGGGTCGGAGATGACACAGAGGCCGTCGACTGGGTGATCCAGCCGAATCTCAAGCGCTTCTATGCCCACCGCGACGCCAGCTCATCGTCTTCCACGCACACCGCCCCGCTGCTCTACGCGAAGCTCACTCTTTCCCGCTCTGATACCGCTATCGGCGTGTCTTGGCATCACACACTTGGTGCGCATCTGCTCCATCATTGCATTGAACGCATTCTCGTAGGGTCCCAGACGACGAGAGAATCAGAGCGGTGGGATGCGGTCCCGCCAACACATCTCAACTCAGACAATTGCATGGCGGCATAATCGCGGATTGGGGCTCAACTCGCTGACTTACTTCAAACCTTGATCCCGACCGTTGTTCATCCCCTTGCCCGTCGTCTGGGGTCCTGTCCTCGCGCGCCCCACTGGGCGTTCATACCGCTCACTCGACGCTCGTTTCTGCCCAGGCGATGCCTCCGTCCTGCTGCACTTCATGCAATCGCTATCGCATCACTATTCAAACCCTGGCAAGACCCTCGGACCCACAGTACCGACGTTCACAAAGCGAGCGTTCCCGCGACCAACGAAGTCTCTTATCCACGAGTACACCCCTCTCATACCGCACCTAGCCCAGACCTGCCCCGAGGCGGAGCTCGGGGCTGTTTACGGAGCGATGAGCCATGGAACATCGCGGGTCGCGTTCCGCATCACGCTTGACCGGCTAGAGAGGCTGCGCAGCCGTGTCGTGGCGGCTCTGGCCAGTCACCATCACAGTGAAGGCGAGCAACTCAAACCGTCACGTCATGACTGCCTGATCGCGTTCATCGTCGGGGTGCTCAATAGGCATCTTCACGTGCCCATAACCACCGTCACAAACGTTGCGAGTGTACGTCGACTGCACCATTCCAATCCCCCATACTCAAGTCGGGTTTCACAGTATCGTAGCGTGCCAGGAGTGGTCCACCACTCTGCGGTGGCAGGTAACGCAATATGCATCGTAAGACCCCGCCCTTTCTTTCACCTTCTCCATCCTTATCCCTTCGCAGATCCCGACCACGCTGGACCCCTCCACGGCGAGTGGTACATTGGCTGACAACGCCCACCGCCTGCGCGCGAGCCTCACGACCGCGCGCACCCCCGCTTTCGTCGAAGCCTACATGTCCGTCGCGTCCAACCTCATGCACACCGCCGTCAACTCCGGGCGTGCCTGGTGGTTCGCTGCTCCGCCCGGGCGCGCCTCCGTCAACTCCAACGCCGCGTACGTTACCGCTGCCACCCTTCCCCCGCCTTCTGAACCGGTTGCCCCCCAGGCTCGCATGGCACTCCGTGCACTTCGGCTGCCCCGGCCGCGCCCGATTCTACACCAGCGGGACGAACGACCGCTACATCAGAGTCTTCCGCTCGAACCCAGACCCTCCAAGCGCCCCGCAGACGCCCGCCGCAGACCGCGTTCTCTGTCCATCGTCGACACCGACAGAACCCGCGGAAGCTCTCGAAGGCGCGGCGCCACCGCGGCCAGACGACCGGGACCCCGGCTCGCAAGGGTGCGTGACGGCATTCGGTTTCGCGCGCCTCGAGACTACCCGTCGACTGAGTCGTGCCGGCACGCACAGGCGCGCCGTTCTCACAGCTGCCGCCGACGTGACTGTAGACGGCCCTGGGCCGCGCAGCGCCGGGACGACGACGACGGACTCGCTCGACGTGGTCTTCGCCGTCGCGAGCGGGGTGCGCGCCGCCGTGTCGGGGGCCATCGCGGCCGAGCTCGCCGCGCCCGACTTCCCGGACTCCCTCCCGGGTCTGTGATACTTACCCTCGCGGCGAGTCTGTGAGCGAGACGAGATGAACGTGGTCGGTATAAGACGCGGCTTCGATTGGTGCACTGGTGCCTGGGAGGGGGGGGGGGCAATGATTCGAATCATTGCCATGTTCGCGGTCCACAAGCAACCAGACGAGGCAAGACGTGGCGGCGGCCGAAGCGCTTTGCGGGGATCACAGAGAAGGCGGAAGCCTGAAGGGCAGAAGAGCGCGGGCGTAAGGTGGCCGCCCGCGTCCGTAACTTCCTGTGCGCCTGGGATTCTACTGGTCCTGTGTTGGGAGAGGGGTGCCTGCGGGCGTCGCGGGCACGAGTTCTCGGTTTGAATGGGTTCGAATGCCGTTGGGGTGCTGGGGTCAGGGTGCGCACACGTTCAGATGGTCAACTTACGATACTTCGCACTGGTTCCATTAGAAGGCCGAGCGCGCAGCGTCGAGGAGATAAGATGGGTGGGCTTCATCTTCGAGACCCTCCCGGACGCGGACAATGGCGTTGCACAACGGCGTCAAGACCGTGCAGTGCTTCCAACAACTTGGCATCCTCCTCCAACAGAAGTAGTACTGTGCGCCCCCCTAGCCTGACCGACGAATCACAGCTCATCCCCCTCGCATACAGCACCCTCCGATGGAACCACGCCCTTTTCGAAGTACTCCCGAATGTGAAGGGCAGTAAAACCGATGGCACAGAGGACGAGTAGTGCCCGTGTGTGGACCACCATCCCCGCGGCGCCTGGGTACTACTATTCTATTTACTGCCCCGCACGAGCTCCGCATCCCGAGGCGGGCACACTTGGGCGGAGCGCGGCTGCACGAACAGCAGCGGGTTCACCGTGCCATTCGGCGCAGCTTCCACGCCGCGCAAGTACTGGAGGCACTCGTAAGTCAAGTAGTGCGCCCAGAAAGGCCCTGCCCGCGATCGCCGCTGCTCGCGCGGAGTGCGAAACTTTGATTCGGAGCTGGACCTCTAGCAGCCAGCCAGGGGCCAGGGGCCATCGTCCCTCTTCTAACGTTTTAACTCTGCGTCATCCGGCATGCCTACACTCTCGAGCTTTACGCTTCCTCTCGACGCAGTACCTCCTGGCTTTGACCCCGGGACAGAGGCTCTCACCGATGGTTCCAACACCGCGGCGTTCGATACGGGGCTCGATAGACGCGACGTATTCCTGGGAGTCCGGCGCTGCGTAGTCTGCGGAACCACGATATCGTTGCAACACGCCCGTATAATTCCCAGGATCGAAGCCGACACTGTGAGTAGCTGAGGATCGGATCCGTCATCAATACCAACAACTCTCTATAGTGGATGGAGCTCAACGAGCACCAATGGCTCCCTGAAAATGCGAAAAGGTCAGTCAAGCATGAGGCGCGCAACGGCATCACCCTGTGCGCAACCCACCACGTCAGTTTCGACCGGCATGATTTCTTTATACGCTTTTTCCCCGGCCCCGATGGCGATATGCGGGTGTGTTGGATTTTTATCTTCGTCCTATGCCCCCGCCAATGGTGTCGACATAGGGCGCTCGCTTCGTCTTCGTCAACTATGCTGAAAAGATCGATTACGAGCCTTTTCACTACAAGGCCATCGCCCTCGACCCCGCGGACCGGTACTCCCCCATCCCGGCCCTGTTCATCATCCACGAATCGCGCGTCCGTGGCCGCCACCCGTTCCACAACCCTACCCCAGACTGCCCCGGCGACACCATCGAGTGGGCAGCCTGGATCCTGCCAGTGGCGCGTTGCGTACCGACGGTGGACTGGCAGGCCATTTCGTCCGCTCCGGTCCGTCACGCACCTCTCGCCGTGCCCCGCGCGCAGCACGGCTACCAGCCCCATGGCCTCCCCACCCTCGGGCGGTGTGTCCGAGTCCTCAACGAGCCGTCCCCTCCCCCACATCAACGACGCGCTTGCGGACATTCTAGCAGCGCAGCGCAAGATGCCTACGTGGCGCGCGTGCGTGGCCGAGAACACGAGCTGGGATGGGACGGCCGACGAGAACGTCCAGAAGTATGTAGCGACTGTAGGCCTCGAAGGCTCCGACGCCCAGTAGGTCCCCTGTCTGAGACGGCTACGAGAAGCCGCGAATGGGTCGCTACGTCGCTGCAGTTGTTGTTCCCGTTCAATGTCAATGTATCATAGGTCCGGAACACGCACTATTGACCTGAAATTGTCGGCGGGCTCACGAAGGGTCCGTCGCCTGCGCACCTCTCCGGCGAGCGCGATGGGCAGCGGTCGGCGCTCGACGGGGTCGAGGACGCGCTCATGACGCGCTTTGATCGCTTCGGGCTGCATTCGAGGGGTCCGGCTTGGTAGCAGTAGTCGGAACAGTGGCTTCTACGTCGACGAGGTTCCCGCTCCAGTGCTCGCACTCAAGGGTAGCCCTCGGTGTTCAAAACGCCATCGGGTACGAGCCCCATCCTCTATATATCCCAATCAAACACTTCGGGTGTGACTTTAGGTCTAATCTCTGGGAAGGGAAGGGTGGCTGTCGCCGCGACTAGGAATACTACTAGCTTGACGCGTTTCGTGCCGTGGCCTCAAGCTGCGGGCCCGGAAAGGGTACACTTCGGAAGCGCAAGACTTTCCCCCGAGGTAATCGCGTGTAATAATCGTGGGAATATAAGGGAACAAAGTTCACTGATCGTAGCCGCCTTTCATTACGTACCATTGATATCGTCTTGATCACTGGGGGCTAACAGAGCCTGATCCCGCTGTGCCCTCCATCTCGAATGATTCGTCCTTCCTTCGTCCGACATGGTCTTCGAGGTCTTCGCTGTCGCGAGCGGGGTGCGCGCTGTTATGTCGGCGACCATCGCGGGCGAGCTCGCCGCGTCTGTGATACCCTCATGTTGCGGTTTGAGCTCTTGGGGCGCACGAAGCGAGATTTGGATCTGGAAGATGCGCGTGCTACATACTTGGTCCGAACGGAGCACGAGTGCTTCCCCGGAGTCTGGCGGGGCTTATGCGTACAGTCTACTCAATTCTCAGCTCGAGAGGCGAGCAAGCTAGAGCAGCTCGCGCGCTGATTCGAGTGATCAATGATGCCCGCGCCCCGACGCTGGTGCAGCATCTGGCGCAGGCTCATGACTGATGGTCGCGTCCGAAGAGGAGGGAATGTGTTGGAATCAAGAAGAGCAGAAGTGTGCGGGCGCAAGGCGGCCGCGGAAAGGCTGCTTGTCATTTGTGCGCCCACGGAATTCGACTTCTGGTCCCGTTGCGGTGCCTGCCTCGCGGGCACGAGCTCTCGGTTTGAATACCGTTAGGCTGTTGGGGTCAGGGTGCGCAGATGTTCAGATGGTGCGGGAGTCCGATCGGGGCAATTCGCGGTCGGCTTGCGATTGCCCTGGTTCCCTGGGAAAGCCAAGTGCGCAGCGTCAAGGAGATAAGATGAGCGGTCGAGCACACCTCTGAAAGTCTCTGGAACCCTGCCGGAGGCGGACGACGGCGTCGCGCCGACAGTACTCACTCCACATGCATCTGCGGTCGAAACGAGAGCGATGTCGACGACGATGGAGGCGCTGCTGAGATGGGCATCAGTGGGTGGTTGCACTGGCGATCATGGGAGGGCGGGGGAAGCGACGTGCGCGCAAAATCTGCCCACGATGCCACCGCAACTGGGAAGAGAAGAGCGGAAGGCGAGCATGAGGGGCGCGTCGACCACCCACTCCGCCGCACCCACGACGGGGCTTCTGGCGACGACGTTCGTGGCTTCCAGCAGTGCCAGGCGACGTAAATCTCGTGACAGAGGGTGAGAGTATGCAGGAAGAGGGGGCGAAGGCGTTCGGGAGTAAGAATGGGAGCTGCACTGATACACGACCGGATGGTGACACGAGAGACCAAACACATGGGGGAAAGGAAGTCGAGGGCGCCGCGTGCGATGTCGAGGACGGGGCTCGGGCGCCTGCACGCGGGCTGCCGACGCCACGAAGGCGCCGAACATTGACCTGCTTCTCTCCGCCCACCGTGCGGCCGGCCGTGCGCCGCGCGGTGCGCTCCCACCGGACGACGGCGGGCAGGGCAGAGATCAGAGAAGTCGGCTGCGCGCGCGCTCATCGCCCTTCCTGCGCTTGCGCACTGGCGAGCCCGGCCCGCTCTTTTTCCTATAAACCTCCGGGGCGGGGACATGTGCCCTCCAGGCCCGAGTCCTCCAGCCCCGCTGCCCCGCCTCCCCGCCGCCGACCCCGCGTGCCCCAGACAAACGAGTCGCGGCTGCTCCGACCATCCCGCTCGCCCCCATGCCCGACCTCTCCTCCGAGAACGCCCACCTCGTCGGCCTCCTCGCCGACACCTTCGCCAGCGGTCTGTCCCCTCCTTCTTCGCCCCCGCCCCTCGCTCACCGTCCCGACCCAGGTCTCTACATCGCCTACCTACCCCAGTCCATCGCCGTCCTCAGGAGGAAATGGAGGGCAGGGCTCCCCATCTGGCTCCCGCTTTGCTGCGCAATCATATTCGTCCTCGAGATGGGTGTATGTCGCACCATCCCTCTCTCATGTCTGCTCATTCCGACACCTCGTAGGATTGGTGGACAGAGCTCGTCCTCGGTTACCAGGCCTTCAGCCTGCATCCAGGACAGAAGCTCGCCAACCCGTCCGCGACGTACCACAACATCTCCAACCCCGTCACTCTCGCCAAGGGCGTCTTCACTGCCGCCCTTGCCATGTTCTCAGATCTCATCATTGTCCGTTCACTCCCCTTGACTCCCGTCGAGTACCCCCACTCACCTTTTCTATCCCTATAGGTTCACCGAGCGCTCATCATTTGGAACTACAACCTCCTCGTCGCCTTCCTTACTATCGGTCTCCTCCTCGCTTCTTACGGTCCGTTGGCTCCCAGCCTTCGTCCCTTCGTCAAAACGCTCACAATCTTCCACTCGTCTTCAGGCGTCGGCGCGTGGTCCGTTTGGACAGAGTTCCAGACAGGCACTGTTTCTGTCGGTATCCTCGCCGCTGAGGTGACTGTGCGCGTGAGGTACTTCTTCATCATCACCTTCGCCCTCAACATCCTCTGTGCAGGTGAGTCCATTATATGCTTGGACGCATTACGTAGCCGTGCATATACTTATGTTGACCGTAGCCCTCATCTCCTGGAAGATTTGGCGCGTCACTAGACGGACAGCCAAGCATATACACGGCAACAACCCTGTAGCTCAGGTTATGTCGATTGTCATCGAGACTGGTAAGCATCTGCCTTTGCGTGTTCACCCGACAGGTGTCTCATTTTTCTACAGCCGCGATCTACTGCGCGAACCTCCTCGCCCTCATCATCTCAAGCTTCGTCCAATCCAACACGTTCTTTATCTTCCTCCAAATGGTCCGTCACTTTACGCCCCACCACTCCCTCTCGTATCCTGACTCGCTCACAGCTTCCGGCGGTGAACGCGATTACCTTCACGATGCTGTGGTACGCGCGAGCAATGCCTCGCAACCGTCGAACGCGACCGCAGGGACCAACGTCTCACCACGCTCCGCTTCGGCTCCTCCGCCAACGACACTCGGTTCTCGCGCTCCGCGCACCACATCGAGACCGGCATCAGCCTCGACCAGATGTCGGTCGCGAACACCACCGCACGCTTCGACGGTTCCCGTGCGGACGACGAGTCTAAGTTCGCGACCGCGGTATAGCTCCGCCCGCCCTCTCCCCTTCCGCGTAACTTTATTCCCTATCTCCGGCTCGGCGGCGCCGGCGCGCGTCGCGAGTGTGTCTCTGCCAGTCCATGGCTGCGAAGCGTCGTGCGGGGAGGACGCGGTGCCCGCTCTTGCTCTGCTCTGCCAATTGTTATGTTTTGTACTGAACCATCTGTCCCCTCATGTCTTGTTTGTGCTCTGTACTGCATCTGTATCCCGATCCGTAGTGTAGGCAATATACGGAGGTTGTGCCAGGGTTCACAGGGACCCTCGGCCAGCTTCATCTCGAGCAAAAGGGGAGAGAGATTTAAGTATCAGGATCAGTTCGCTGAGGTTCGCCGGGGTCGGAGGATATGAGCGCTCCGGCCCGAACAGCCGCAAACAGGATCGCGTCCGATTTCGGCAACGTCCGACTTTCAAGCTTGGGCCACGACTTGTCGGTCTATCACATCGTTGGAAGTCCTAGGCTATACAGCGCCGACATCCACCAGGACAAGCACACGATGAGCCTCACACCAGGGCTGAAAGAGCTGGTCGACCAATGGCTGCGCCAAGATCCGGTGAGTGCCAAAAGCTACACGGCGAACCAACACTGGTCCTGACCCCGCGGCGCAGAACGAAGAGACTCGCAAGGAGGTGGAGACGCTGCTCAAGGAGGGGCAGTATTCCGAACTCGAGAAACGGATGAGGTATCCCCTCGCCTCACAGGAAGGCGCGACTCCGGTTAGCTGATCACCCTCTCGTGGTCTCTGCCAGCCCGCGAATCGAGTTCGGCACGGCAGGTTCGTCTGCTCTCCGCCGCCTCTTCCACCAATCTCACCACTCCCCCGGTCAGGTCTCCGAGGCCGGATGGAGGCCGGATGGGCGCGCATGAACGATCTCATCATCATCCAGGCCTCCCAGGTGCCCAGCGTCTGCCCTCTCGACTGGTGCCTCCCTCCGATGCTGAGCGCGCCTTCTCTTACTCTTAAAGGGATTGTGCGCGTACGTCGTGAAAACTGTCGAGAACGCGCGTGAGCGCGGGATCGTCATCGGCTACGACCATCGGTACCACTCCGAGAAGTGGGCGAAGCTGACCGCCGCGGTCTTCATCGAGAACGGCGTGGCTGTGTACTTCCACGACGGCGTCGTGCACACCCCTTTGTAAGTGAAGCATTTTATCTGATGCGTGCGTGCTGACCGGCGTCCGACAGAGTGCCGTTCAATGTGAGAGCGAAACGGGCCGCGTGTGGTGTTATGATCACCGGTCGGTTCATCTTCTTTCCGGACAACGACATGCAGCTGATATTTGAGCAGCCAGCCACAATCCCAAGGTATGCCTTTCGTGATGGACGAAACCGGCCAAGGATTCTCACATAGTAGCGATCCAGCAAGACAACGGGTACAAGGTGATTTCAATCCGTCCTATCCTTGTGCATCGTGATAAACATCCTAGTTCCCGTAGGTCTACTGGGAAAATGCAGTGCAAGTGCGTCAGAGCATGCGTCTCCACATCCTCACCCTGACCCGGTCCCAGATCATCGAACCGCATGACAAGGGCATCTCACAGTCGATCAAGGAGCACCAAGAACCTCGCCTTCTGAACATCGAATCTTTGCACACCTCTACCCTGCTGAAGCAGTACGGCTACGACGAGTACTTGGCATACATCGGCTCCCTTTGCCACAGCCGGTAACCGTCACACGGCAGATCTCCAAATGTGCTTCCAACTGAGCACTCTTGCCTATAGGACGGCCAACACCCAGACCCCGCTCAAGTTCGTGAACACCTCGATGCACGGTGTGAGCGACTCGCCGATGAGCAAGGCTTTCGAGCTGTTCGGCTTCCCGATGTACGTCCCCGTCGCCGCCCAGCAGAAGCCGGACCCCGAGTTCCCGACGGTCAAGTTCCCGAACCCAGAAGAGAAGGGTGTGTCCTCCAAGCTTCGGACCTGGGAGTCATATTCTGACCGACGATCGCGGTCACAGGTGCTTTGGTATGCTGCATTTCTTCTGAACTGGACCTGCCGTTTGATTGTGCCCTTCACAGGATCTCGCCATGGCCACCGCGACGGAGTGTGGTGCGGACTACATCCTCGCCCAGGACCCGGATTCCGATCGGTTTGCGGCCGCGGAAAGGGGGTGAGTAGCTGTGCCTTGAAGTGGGGCTTAGGTGTGGATCTCATTGCCCACAGACCCGATGGGAAGTGGATCCAGTTCACGGGCGACCAGCTTGGGACATTGTTCGCCAGTGCTTGCCTAGAGCAGTACAAGGAGACGGGAAAGCCACTCTGTGAGTCCTCGTGAGTCCTCACGATTTTGTACTGATCTTGAGCACAACGTCGGACGGTGATGTGTAGCGAAACTCGCCATGGTTGCGTCCACAGTTAGCTCGAAGATGATCGAAGCGATGGCGCACGCCGAGGGCTTCAAGTTCGCGGAGTGCCTGACAGGTGTTGTCCCCTCTCCCCGCGTCCGAACGGTGCCCTCATCCCAAAGCACAGGTTTCAAGTACATCGGAAACACGGGCCTGACTCTGGAGCAGGAGGGCTACACCGTGCCGTTCGGGTACGAAGAGGCCATCGGCTTCATGTTCGGGGATCAGCTCCGTGACAAGGACGGCGTCGCGGCCTCGGTCCGTACCCCTCCCTCCCACCCGCTCCCGGCTCGCCCCAACTCACCCTCCCCCGCCCCCATCGCCCAGGTCGCGTTCGGAGAACTCGTCGTGCGCCTGCAGCAGCAGGGCAAGACCGCGAGCTCCCACCTCCGCGAGCTCTCCGAACGCTACGGCTTCTTCCAGGTCCGCCCCACCGCTCCCCACCGCCCTCCCTCTGACCCGCTGACACCCCCGCACCCGAACCCGCAGACCAGCAACTCGTACTTCACCTGCACGGACCCGTCCACGATCGCGCGCATCTTCGCGCGCATCCGCGCCTTCCCGCGTCCGCGTCCGCGCCCCCCGCCCTGCCCGCGTACCCGCCGACGCTCGCCGGGCTCGCCGTGACCGCGGTGCGGGACCTGACCGAGGGGCACGGGTACGAGAGCGCGAACGCGCCGAGCTGCGCGCCCACCCTCCCGCTCTCGTCCGGGCAGATGATCCAGTTCCGGGCGGAGCGCCGCGCGGACGGTGTGCGGGTCACGCTCACGACACGGTGCGTGCGGCCTACGCTACGAGAAGGCACGGAGGCTGATCGGGGCGCGCGCGCGTTGCAGGACGAGCGGGACGGAGCCGAAGATCAAGTACTACCTCGAGGGGAGCGGGAAGGACCCGGCGGCGGTGGCGGCGCTGCTGCCCATGGTGGTACGGGAGCTGTCCGAGGTGTGGATGGAGGCCGAGAAGAACGGGCTCGGGAAGCCGTAGAGCAAGGGGAACCTGGGATCGATACAGCAGATGTATGTTGATACATGCGAGAAATCACAGAGCACAGGTGTAGCATTGAACGACAATTGCGACCGCGGTTGTATTCCTCCTCACACTCAGGAGGTGGCGACGGCGGCCTTGCGTCGCTCGTCGAAGGCCTTCGCACGCTGCCATGTTTCGACGCTGAGGGTCGGTTCATGGAGTGACAGCGCGTACAACCTGTAGCAATTCAGTACGAAAGAAGAAGAAAAACCAATCAATGAGACGACCCACTTCGCAATTGACATCTCCCTGATCAAGTCGTCCGCGGTTATGCTCCTGTCGCCTCGCCGCGACTCGACAAACTGGGCCTGTACGTGCTGTCGGCAGGATAGAATCAGCGTCACCTAAATCTCCTCCACCTCCGTCCAGGACGGCTCACCTCGGACGTCGCCTCGGGCACCTGCACCTTCCCACACCGCGCACCCACCACGAGGTCACGAAACGCCGCGAGCGTCGCCGGCGGCGGCATCCGCACCTGCTCCTTCGATTTGTACAGCCTCGAGACAACCTCCGGGTCGTGCGGTACGCCGAGCGGCACGCTCAACTGCGTCTTGAAGAACGCGCTTTTGCGGCCTTCCGCGAGGACGACGGCGGTGATGTCCGTGGGGAACGAGTACTGGCTGAACGGGAAGGTGTAGGCGAGGGTCTGGCTGTCCATGACTTCCTGTAGCGCGCGGACGTTCCGGAGCCCTGCGGGGGCGTGCGGGTCAGCCACGTGCCAAAAACGCTGGCGGCGGACCGACCTTTCTCGACGAGCTGGCCCTCACGCACGCCACCCTCGGAGACAAGGAGGTGGGTGCCTTGAGGCAGCTGCAGGACACCAGCGTGCAGGTCCTCGTTTTTGCTCTCCGGCGCGAAGCTGCTCTTGTTGAGGCTGTCGAGCGAAAGTGGCAGGGTGTGCGCCAGGGGCAGGAGTGCGGAGAGCACCCAGCTGAGCGCAGGGAGGGGCAGGGAAAGGGAAGAGCTAGTGGACGGAACAGGCGGGGGCGGAGGGAACTGTGAGATTGTGAGGGTGGGTGGATATAGTGGCGGTGTGCGGGATTGACTGCAGCAACCTTAGTTAAGTCGAGAGAGCTCCAGAACATCTTCGACGTACACTCTGGCGATAGCGGAGAGAAGGACCCATTCCGCAGCGTGGCGGTCTCCTGCGAGAGACTCCTCGGCAATCCATGAGATCAGCTCCTCTCGCAAAGCAGAGGGTTCTTGAGTATCGTTGGCTACGGATGCGGCACGAGGGAAGTCTCGTAACAGTATGTTGGATGTGTGTGGCTTTGAAAAAAGGACGTGCAAAGTCGGCACTTCTGGAGGCGTTTCTTGCATATCGTCCAAGCAACATCTAGAGCAACATGGAAATCTGAGAATCGTACCAAAGCGCAAAGCACGAGTCACACCTACGGCTCAGCGGATAAAATTCCGACAAAGGTCACCACATCGGTGGACTTGGGCACATCCAGGCCATCTTTGTCATAGATCTATATTGAACATTTTAGGCCGTGGTGATAGTGTAACAAAGAGACATCTCACCTTTACTTGAACTCCGACATGCTCTGTTTCAGGGTGGGGATACTTGTACAGGGCAGCAGGCGGGGGGGACGCAAGCTCACCCTCACGGGAGGACCTCTCTGCCACCCTGTTCATACATGAGACTGGAATTCAATATAACTGCGTACCTGGAGAAGAACCATCGAGCTCTTCTGCACTCCATTGCGACTCAGCAGGAACGCTGACAGCCCAAACGATGTCGCACTCCCGAAGATTTGCATATTGAACGTCGTCGCTGGCGTTTGAGCTGCTCGCGCCTTGAGTTTCATAGATACCCCATCCTCCACTGTCACCACTCTCTAGCTTCGAAAGGTACATCTCCGGAGAGAGTGAGGTGTCTTGAACCATTGCACGGAACCGTACCAGTGTACGATCCTTGTGGAATCTTGCAGGACGAGACAATCCTAGGGCGGGGATCTTAAGGCAATATCAGTTATGTGTTCAGAAGCTCCCAAAATCAAATAAACATACTTTGTTCAGAGACCCATCGGATTCAAACAGTTTGGCGAAGTGTTCCCCAACCAGGCGTGGAAAGTTGTCGGATGCACTTGCGTGCTGAGCACGAAAGAGTGCTTGTATGATGCATGACGGATCCTCGCTCGCTTGTCCTTCGTAGTCGACTGCCATAGGGATGCGCAAGAATGTAGGATAAGAGAGATGGACGTGAAGATCAGACGGCCGCGGGTGCTTTCCATCGTTAATTATGAGACGCGTGTTCGACGCGACTCGTCACGCGCACGCGTCCCGGTCACGTCACGGCAGTCCTCACAGGGGACGGTGGTAATATGCATATGCAATATATTAAGGTAGGAACACTACTATCCCTCCCGGGGTGTTTGGACAGGCAAGCGCCGGCCGAAAGATTTTGATGCACCCCTGTCTCCCTCCACGTCCGATAGCGATGAAATTTTACAGATGCGTCCAGAATGCATGATTTTCACCATTCCGAGAGTTTTAGGCCGATCCAAAGAGCTTTGCGTGAGCGGTCGTCGATTTACTTCGTCGACCCTAGTGTTTGGACATTTCACCGCGAGCGGTCACGCTCGGGGTCACAATGCCGTGCGCTGCCGACGCAAGCTCCGCTCAGTAGACACCGGGGGCATTGCCAGATGAAACACGTGGCTTCATGCTTTGTTCATATAGATTGTCCCATTGATGTACTGCACAAACTCATCTTGAGGGACATCCTTGTATCATTGATTGCTAGCCAATCAGAGCTCGAGCTTCCCATGATACGAGGAGAGACATTCAAAATGAGTCCAGATGGCGCATCCGCGAGGCATTCTATATGAGACATCAAGGAAACGGCTTGTCTCATCGGGAAATGCCCCCGGTGAGACGCTGGGAGGCGCCAGGTAGTGCGTCGGAGTTTGAACGTCTGGGCAGCGCGCTGTCTGTCACTCGTCTGTCACCGTCCCCAGAGACCCCCGTCTTGGACCCAGCTTCCACGCCCACGAATCGTCTCGGAGAAATTGCCTAAACACTCCAAATAGCCTCATAACACATGTTGTAGAATATCGGAGCTCTTACTTTTGAATTTGTGTGAGCCGAGAGGCATCAAGGTATGCTGAAATGCCACTCACCGCACCGGAGTTTGCAGATCGGAACGAAATCACCACAGAAGCACACGAAACTCGAGCCATAGGCAAACGAGAAGCAGGGATATATACGTGCAAAATCTTGTGGTTATCGGTGAAGGGACGGGGGCGCAATTCGCGTTTGTCCAATCACTAGGGGCTGTCCAATCACCCCGGAGGGATAGTACCATCAGGCAGCGAAAATCACCGAAAGGACGGTAAGCGGCGCTAGGCGCAAAACCCAGAATGACCGTGACCGTAGAAAAGATGTAGAGATCATGAGACGGTGAGCAATGCCTCCGAGTCCACCGAACCCTCACAGATCTTGTTCACTCAGGTCATTATAAGCGGGACAAAGGTCCTCCCAAGCCTCTTTAGTAACCCGTTAGCATCGATGAGGCAGCTCAGCGAGACCCGGCACTCACGGGGTACGGGGTTGTTCGCTATAGCATCGGGAATATCTTCGGCCATAACGACAGCAAAGCCCAGAGCGAGATGGTAGTCAATATGACAGTGGAGGAACCATGGGCCCGGGTTGTCCGTCTAGCATAGAAAATTCAGTATGAATCTACATACGACTTTGGGCAGGGAACGCACTCTAAAGCGGATGGTCACGTTGTCGGAATCGTAGAACGAACCTTGACTGGCGACATCGCGCCAGAGCGGGTTCGCGTAGTTGTAATCCGTGCTGTTGGCACTGCGAACCACTGCGAAAGAGTGCTGTCAAGTATGCGTGAGCATTGCGATCGCCTGAACGAATGACGTGATTCCGTACTCCATGCAAGTGCCAAGGGTGGGGGGCGCCAATTTGACCCGTCATCCCCACCGGAAGAGAAATCTCAATGGTAGCATTGGGAGGGAGGGAGTAGATGGAGCTTGCAGGCATGAGCTCGTTCACTGTCTTCGCACCGCTTATGAGCTGAAGGAGAACAGGAACAGTCGGCGGGTTGAAAGTAGCGTTGTTGATGTAGAACTTTAGGCCGAGTCAGGTGAAAGATTATCGTGTCAGTATGACGACATCGAGGACGTGACTACACACGCCGACCTTATTATTCAGGGATGTGGCCACGAAGTTGAGTGCCAAATCGACACCACCCGCGAAAGGCAATCCGGGCTGCAGAAGACATGAGCATATGCCAGCCACGTGAATAAACCAACGCATACCGCCGGCTGCGGGACGAGTGGGCGTAGGTCCGCCTCATGCAGGGCGTTCCCCACCTCCAATGCAGTCGTGGGTTCCTCTTCTGGTGCTCCTTCGTATCGCAGGATCGCCGAGTTGTACCCGTTCTCAAATCCGATAGTTCCCTTGTTAGGGTTGGCGCGGATCCAGTAGTTACCGACCTCCTGGTTGGCATCCAGAACTACAGAATAACGCTGTCCAGCGAAGAAGTCTATAGAGTTGACAATGTGTGGGAGGGTGTTATGAGCATCGGCCTCGATGATCATCAAGTGGTGCATGTCAATGCTGAAGACGTGGTGGGCATCACACGATATGGAAATGATCCGGAAGCGGTACCGCTTGCCCCTCTGAACAGTAATGGTGGTGAGTTCGGCGTTAGGAGTGGCAGTGGAGCGGCCTAGGCCGTTGATGAGGGTCGCATTCTGTTTCCTGTTCGTGGACGTGAGGACGAGACGAGGCGCGACTACATCGGGTACCCACGGAAATAATTGATCGAGGCTTGCTGTCAAATGTTGCCAATCCGCAAGTGTGACAACTGTGCTCTCTGAGAAGGTGTCAGAGACAACTCACAGGCTAAGCACGGGTCACTCACCATCATCGACATCATACAGCCAAGCATGAGGATCTTCAGGATCGTACACAATAAAACCTCCCCTCAGTCCGTCGCAGTACTGCGTTCCTAGGTGGCTGTGGTACCAGAATGTCCCTAGGCAAGAGCAGTCAATACAGGTCAAGCGCAGGATGTATTCATGTCCTACCTGCTTGGTCTGGTACGGTAAAATCGTAGAGGAACGAGTCGCCAGAGGCGATCGGACATTGTGTGACGAACGCCGTCCCGTCAAACGCGTTCTGATGACGCTGGTCGATACCATGCCAGTGCTGAGAAGGGAAATCGGTAAATGCAAGCAGCAATTCAGAAGAGAAACTGCGAACAATACTGGTAGACTTCAGCATGGTGTGGTTTGTGAGCTCGTTGATGACGTTGATCTGAAAGCGGTCACCCTTCTGGCCAGTGATCAGGGCTCCGGGAAATGTTCCACCGGCTAGAACGGCGGCGCGTGTGTAGCCATCCGGCGCAATGTCGCCATTGGTGATGTGAAGATCGGCCTTGGGTCCGATTGCGGCTGACGCGTGTAGGGCGGAAGCAAGTATGGCGAACGACCAGAGGAACGGTCTTGTCATAACAGCTGGGGAGGAGAAGGGTTTGAGGGGGAGATACCGAGGAAAGAAAGGGAGGTGGGAGGCTGGTTGGAGGTTGGAGCCTTCGCTACCACCTGCGGTGATTAAATATCGACTGGAGAGCCGAGGCAGGGGTCCCCAGGGTGAAGGAATGCGGTGATGCGCCGCGATGCTTGACCGGGTGGTAGCTTGGCCATACCATGCGGAAGTGTGACGCTTACAGATAATAACAAATCGATAGAGACCTCGGATTCCCGCACATGTACGCGGTGGAGCTCGAAAAAAGCGACGCTTGCGCGAGGCGGCCAGGGTCCGCTGCGTCTGTGTGCGCGCGCGGCCGCTCTGTTTCGAGCCCCGCCGCAACCAACCGCGTGTGTGCGGGAAGTCGAGGTCTCTATCGATTTGTTAACTCCGTGGGCCCACCGTGCCGCTCCCAGGTCGTCGGGAGAAGTCCATCGGTTGGGCGCTGAGGTGGTCGATTTTCGATCGAGCCCAGCGGCACCTCTTGCGGTAATTTAGCGGATGGCACCATTTTCACCTCTTGTTGACGCCTAGGCTAATAAGCGATGCGGACCAAGAGCATAGGCGAGGCAGCGAAGTCCGCTACTAGTACTGCTGGCGCTTCCCACTCGCCGGAAGCATGGTCAGTATGCAGAACTCTTCCGCACCAGTCGCGGGCGCTGACTAGTCGGGTGGTTCTAATCGACGATGCTGGATGGGAAACGATGCAAGCCACGAACACCGTATGTCCTGCCCCACCGAACGGTAGGCTAACCAGTTGCAGCACCCGGCCATAGAACACCGAGAACCTAGTGTCAGACGATGAGGGTCAGCGCATGGATCTTCTGAATTATAGTGACGATGTACATGTGCAGTCTATTCTGAGAGCGGCGATGCGAAGGCGTTGGCGGGTGCAGGATGCACGGCAACATGTCCCACTTATTCATGGGCTGGTCAGCCACGCCACTCCCTTGTCGAACATGTCACGGTCAGGGAAGACCTCCAAAATTTCGCATGCGATGCCGTCGGTCTCGAGCTTGTATGTCCTTCTCAACTCCCGCTTGCCGCTGACTACTTGAGCGCTGACGCTGAGCAGCGTGAAGTTGGGGTAGGCACGGAGATGACGGAAGATTTGTCCGATAGCGAATTTCTCGTCGAGGAGCAGCCGCTCGCACTCAGGCGAAGTGAGCGTCACTGACGACGTGGCGATGCATAGGACGCGGGATCCGCACTTGAGATGAACCTGACGATCCTGCCGAATAGGATTCGTCGGAGATGCGCCTGTGCCGCGGAGGGCCGTTTCGGTGGAGATGCACTCTATGGTGATTGTCTGGTCGAGGAACGCACTGAACAGGCCTCAGCGAAGAAATGCAAGACGACTCGTCATGCATACCTGAGATGCCGCTGGAGATCGCCCTGCGCGACCAACATAATCCTCTCCAGCCCAGTGACATCCTCGGAATTCTGAATCTGGACTTCGAACTGAGCGACATGAGGCGAGCATGTAGACAGACAGCTTACCTCTATGCTTGTAGAAACCCCCGTGTACGTATCTCTGGCAAAGGAACCGCCGTTAAGATTAGGAGTCTGCATGTTGGAGTATGAGTTTTGATACGTGTATGGATGAGCTGATAGAGACGGCTGTGACGAGTCTTCCTAAACGCTGAACAGTCTGGATGGGAGTCGTGGCACCGGCAGAGCCGCACAGCAGCAATGACGGCGCGCCTTTCGACTCGTGAACGTAATGGGTGATACGCCTCGAGGGTGTCGCGTCGATCACGGGCAGTTGCCCATTGCGCGGCTATCTGAGCGCGCGGCGGGGGACCGAGAGAGACATGCCGGGGAGCGCAGCGGAGGTGGAACAGGCTGGTATCGCGAGGACGAACGACGGTCATCGATCGATTGCAAGCACAAGCGGGAGAGGTCGAGCAGGCCATGAGCGACGATGAGCCTCCGGACCAGATCGTCGTGCGGGGAGTTGCCACCGATATTGAGTCGGAGATTGAATTAAGGGACGCGTGCTCGCAGAGCAGGTTCTCCGAAGGATCTCTGCTCGCTGCTCAAGGCGACTTCGGTCTGTCTTGTCCCAGAGTCTACCTCCTTACCCTTCCAAATCTCTCAAAACGGCTTCTGGCGGGAGCCACGGCGGTCGACGCATGACGGAGGCCTCAACCCGGGCTCGCACTCCAGCCATGGACGGCACCGCCAGCCCCAACATCCACACCATCGTCAAAGCTCAGATCGTCTTCCTCCTTTCTACTCTCACAGAGGAGAACTTCGAGCGTAATCAGGTGGAGATTCGTTCGGTATGTGCTGTTTTTCGTTCCCCTTCTTTCTGCCCTTCGCGTTCTGACTCTCCCGCATCTTGTGTGCGTGCAGCTGTCCGAGCAGCATGGCATCGACACGTACCTCCACTTCATACGCCGTCTCATAGTACACTCTTATGCTCGCCTCACCTCCAACACCCCACCCGCCGCCTTCGACCCATCCTCCGCCCTCACCTTCCGGCTCTTGATTCAAGAGACCCAACGACTCGCACGCGATCCTTTCCTGGCCGACAGGTTTCGAGATGGCATAGATCGGGGAGAAGGAGACGTGTTCCGCAACTTCGATCTGGTCAAGTTTGCCGACAGGATTGGCCTCCGCCCCCTCGAACGGCTCATTCTCGTGTCCTCCATAGTCGCCGCGCCGACACGCCGCGAACTTGCAGCGCAGGCAATGACTGTGATTCGCATGGACTTCGAGAATGCCGCACTGGCGTTATGTCAACACCCGTCCTTCGACCATGCAGACTTGAATCCCAATCAAGTCGGCAAGCTTCTCGCGAATCTCCTCGCTGAGCCACCCCGGGACGCTCCGGTCCTCGATGCCACTCAACGTCAAGCCATCATGGTCGCCGCACAGGCCAAGTACGGGACTGAAATCGCGTCCCCCATACTACAGCGCATCCTACCCAACCTCTGGTGCGTTTTTAATGCTCATAGCAGTGCATTTAATTGGTCTCAACCAATGTGGCTCTACGTTTCCAGTCTCCCTCCCGGTACATCTCTTGTGCAGACTTTGGTCCAGCTCGGCGCCGAAATCACTTGCGATGCAGACGTCGTGCGCTCTCTCTTGACCAGATTCAACATCACAGAGAGCAATCCTCCCACGGACGTACAGATAGTAGAAATGGTGACTACGGTCGCGCGCTTAGCTTCAGAAGGCGCTGTGCTCCCTGATGTGGGGGCAATCGTCAGGGCGTTGTCTTCATTCGTAAGTCAGGACTACTTCTTGCTTTCCGGAACAATGCTTTAGCCTTGCCACAGAACACGCCTTTGAATTGGGCTGCCACCATCAGGGCCTTCGATATGTCCGACCGGCAGGGAGTGGACACAGCGACGCTCAAGCTTCTGATCGCCATTCTCATGAATTCCCCTCGCGACGAGCCGCATGCCGTGACTGGATTCTGGCAGCTGTGGACCAACATTCCGTACCAGCTGCGGTTGCTGGACGCCATGCTCTCGTTGCCTGCTGACACCTTCAGCTTTGTCAACCTTCCTGGTCGCAAGATCGTCACCGTGGAGGATGTCGCCGGTGCGAGTCCCACAATCAAGTCTCTGGCCGCCAATGTTCAAGGTCACACTTGGAACTCGCTGGATTTGTTCGAGGTCTTGGTGCAGGCAGCCGACTCGAAGAACACGGACGTCACGAACTTTGTGCGAGAGATGTTGGATAAGGCGGTGAAGATCAGTGCGGAACTCGTACATATGGGTTTATTACAGGTCCAGGTGAGAGTTCTACCTATTGTCGCATGACGAAGATCGTTGGTCTGACCCTAGAACAGCAACAATCATGGAACGAGATCCGCTTGGACTACACTCAGCGTCTCTTGGCGATGTTCTTGGCTGGCCATCCTAATCACCAACTTGTCTTCATGCGCATCTGGCAAATCCAGCCAGCGTACCTCACCAATGCGTTCCGTGATTTCTATGACGAGAGCAATCAGAACATCACCAGAATCCTCGACGTCGCTCAGGATCTCAAGGTTCGTCATCGTAGAACCCTGTCCAGTATTTCCCCCTAACATTCAACAGATACTGGATTCACTTCTGGAAGTGCGGCCGTTCAAGTTCGCGCTGGATGTCGCGGCGCTGGCATCTCGCCGAGAGTACCTGAATCTCGATAAATGGCTGGCGGACAATGTGACGGCCCACGGTGCCGACTTCCTGCACTCTGTCATCGCTTTCTTGGAGCTCAAGATGGATAGCGAGAAAACTGTCAGGGTTGCAGACCCTCCTGTGGAGCCTCGCACCATGCAGCTTTCTCCACAGACGATAGCCATTTTCTTGCGGGTGCTTCGTAACAGGTTCGTGATTGTCGCCTCTGCTTCCGTATGTCTTCTTATTGTCCCGGTCACACAGTTCTAGCATTATGCATGAGAGCGATGTCGACTACTGCCTCGAAGTCCGCAACGCCTGCTTGCAGATTCACCCCCGCCTCATGAACCTCTTGCCGGGATCCGACGTGGAGCCTGGGTTCACAGTGGTCAGCTACTCGGCCGAGATCGAGTCTGAAGTGGACGGCATCTACAAGCAGATGTACGACGAGCACATCACCATCGACGATGTCATCAAGCTTCTGCAACGCAACAAGGCTTCCAGCAACTCCCGCGATCACGAGATCTTCTCCTGTATGCTGCATTTCCTCTTCGACGAGTACAAGTTCTTCCAAGCATACTACCCTCCCCGCGAGCTTGCCATGACGGGGTATCTGTTTGGCTCGCTCATCCAATATCAGCTCGTCGATTTCATCCCTCTTGGTATCGCCATTCGCTATGTGCTGGATGCACTCAACTGCACCCCCGAGACGAACCTGTTCAAGTTTGGTATTCAAGCCCTTTCACGGTTCGAGTCGCGTTTGTCCGAATGGCAGCCACTGTGTCAAGCCCTCTTGAAGATCCCTCATCTTCTTGAAGCCCGCCCAGATCTCGCCATTAGTATTCAACGCGCTCTCGCCAACGGGGATGGTTCCAGCAGCTCTGCGGACCTCAGGACTCTGACTGTCGCACCAATGGCCGAGCCTCCTCCGGTGTTCACTGCCATCATGCCTGACCGCCTTGAGGGTGAGCCAGAAGCGCCGCCCGAGGAAGTTTCCGACAAGATCCTGTTCATCGTCAACAACCTGGCGCCGTCGAACTTCGAATCGAAGTTGGTGGAAATGAAGGGGCACTTCCAAGAGCAGTACTCAAGATGGTTCGCCAACTATCTAGTCGATCAACGTGTCAGTATCGAGCCCAACAACCACCAGCTCTACCTGCGCTTCCTTGATGCTCTCGATGTGCAGCCGCTCTTCCGATTTGTCTTGCACGAGACCCTCGTCAAGTCGGCCACCTTGCTCAATTCGGAGAAGACCCTGCAGCTGGGTTCGGAGCGGGCGATCCTGAAGAACGTTGGCTCATGGTTGGGCAGCATCACGCTTGCTCGGGACCGTCCAGTCAAGCACAAGAACCTGTCGTTCAAGGATCTGCTTATCGAAGGATACGACAATGGCAGGCTGATCGTGGCGATCCCCTTCGTCTGCAAGACGCTTGAGCCCGCGGCGAAATCGAGGGTGTTCCTCCCCCCCAACCCTTGGTTGATGGCCGTCATCAGCCTCCTTACGGAGCTGTACCATTTCGCTGAGCTCAAGCTCAATCTGAAGTTCGAGATCGAGATGCTTTGCAAGGCGCTTGACGTCGGTCTTGATGCTGTCCAAGCCACAACCATCCTCCGGAACCGTCCCCTCACAGATTCACTCGCTGGTCCCCCTCTCCCCGACTACGTCTCCGACATCGACTCCTTGCCTATGGGAGGGTACGACCCTGCCGCACAGGCCCAAGCAGATGCTCAGGTCATACCTCTAGGCCCTGCGAGCCCATCAGACACCCAGCGCGTTCTCGGAGCCCACATCGAGAACATCCTTTCCAGCCTCCTCCCCAACGTCACTGTCAGTCCCCAACTTGCCCCCCTCCACACCGATCCTCGTTTCAAGCGTGCCATTCAAATGGCTGTCGACCGTGCCGTTCGCGAGGTAAGACTCTCAATTTGCGCCTCCTATAGACACTCACTAACGTGCCTGGCATAGATCATCCTCCCTGTCGTCGAGCGCTCCGTCACCATCGCCGGTATCTCCACTCGTGAGCTGGTTGCGAAGGATTTCGTCACGGAGCCCAACGAAGATAAGCTCCGGAAGGCCGGTCACCTCATGGCACAGAAACTTGCCGGTAGCCTAGCTCTTGTTACCTGCAAAGAGCCGCTCAAGGGCAACCTCGGCAGTCACATTCGTCACTTCCTCTCGGAGGTCGGCTTTTCGGACGTACGTCACGTCACATCTTACTTGCATAATATGTACTAATCGTTGCTTCCCTTCCAGCAGTTGGTCCCGGATCAGGTTGTCTTCTTGTTGGTACAGGAGAACATTGAGCTCGCTTGCCAGGCCATTGAGAAGGCTGCAATGGATAGGGCGGTCATCGACGTCGATGACAGCTTCGCCGCCGCTTACGAGGTCCGCAGACGCCACAGAGAGGTTAGTCTTACGGTGGGTGTAAGAATGAACACATAAACTGACGTCGAGAATAGCAACGTCCTGGACAGCCCTTCTGGGACAATTCCGTCTCACAGTCGCATGTCTTCGGTTCTCTACCGGACCCGTTGCGCATCAAGCCCTCTGGAATCCAACCCGCGCAGTTGGCAGTCTATGAAGACTTCAGTGAGTTGATTCTTTCACCTGAGCAGTTTCCCTAGCTAAGTCTTTTCTCAGGCATGGAGAAGCAGCGGCGCATGTTCACAAGTCGTCCGAACTCCACCGTCTCCTATTCCCGCAACGACCAAGTTCCTGCGCTCTACAGTCCTTCCCCTGCGCCGGAGCACCCTGCTCAGAATCTGCTGCGCCCGCAGGAAGCCATGGAGCGCTTCAACGTGAGCCATCTCCCCTGTATTGCCAACCGAATACTCATTCTATTAACAGGCTTTGGTGCGCGACTTGGAAGCTGTTCTCGTCCAGCTCCCTATCACTTCTCTCGCCGCCCTCCCCCCTTCACACGAAGTCCGCCAACTTCTCCGCCAGATCTTGTTCATTGCTGCCGACTCCATGGACCGCAACCGCACCCCCCTCCTCATGTCACAAAAGATCGTTCAATTGCTGTACAAGACTCCGTCCCAGCTTGGGCGCGAGATTTACGTTGCACTCCTCGACCAGCTGTGCCGCTCGTTCGAGGAGGTCGCGCGTGAGGCTATCACCTGGCTCATCTACGCTGAAGACGAGCGCAAGTTTAACGTGCCGGTCACGACAACGCTTCTTCGGAGCAGCCTCATCACTGTCTCTCAAATCGACCAGCAGCTCGCCAAGACGCTGTACACGGATCCCAAGCAGAGCCTTCAGAACTTCGTCGCCGGCTTGGTTCGCGAGTGCCTCGTTGCCGACCCTTCGTTGGCCACTCAGGCTCAGTTCTCGTACACAATCGACATCCTCAGCCAGCTCGCCCAGTCAGGCAAGGTCACGGATGAGTAAGTTGAACAAACTCGCATTTTGATTTAACTGACAAATCGCACAGAGCCGCACGGTTGCTGGACGATTTGCGCGGTGTGCCCCGTCGGGCTGCCCCCGCTGCCCCGCTGCCCCCGCTGCCCCCGCTGCCCCCGCTGCCCCCGCTGCCGCTGCAGAGAACGTACCAGCTCGCCAGCCATCTGTTAAGCCAGAGACCGAGACACTCAGGGAGAAGCTCTTCATCTGGTTCCAGCAATGGGTCAGCATTTACCAGAGGTCGCACTCGCCCGAGAAGTCCTTCGTGCCATACATCACGCAGCTCACCCGTCAAGGCATCTTGAAGGCCGAGGACACATCTTCGTTCTTCTTCCGGGTCTGCGCGGAGTCCTCTGTCAACAGCTACATCAAGCACGTCAACGCTGGGGAGTTCGGCTTCGCGTTTCAAGCCTTGGACGCCATGTCCCGCCTCATCGTGTACATCATCAAATACCACGGTGATGCATCTGGGGTGAACAATGACCAGGCGAAGGTCCATTACTTGACGAAGATCTTGTCCATCTTCGTGCTCGTGCTGGCCAACATGCATGAGGAGCCAGGACCGCACTTCCAGCAGAAGCCTTTTTTCCGCTTCTTCTCCAGCCTGTTGAACGATCTTCACTCTATCGCTAGTAGCCTCGGCACGGCATACTTCCAGTTGCTGCTTGCCATCGGGTATGTGTAAACAACTTCCATATGGACAACACTAGTTGACATCCATTCATCCCCTCAGCGACACCTTCAGCTCGCTGCAGCCTACTTACTTCCCCGGCTTTGCCTTCTCGTGGATGAGCTTGATCTCTCACCGCCTCTTCATGCCAAAACTGCTCCTTTCCGACAACCGCGAGGTATGTGCCGCTGATCTTTGTCTGTATCTACCACAGTTCTTTGACATCTGTGTAGGGATGGTCCGCCTTCTACAAGCTGTTGCTTTCCCTCTTCAAATTCCTTACCCCCTTCCTCAAAACTGCTGACCTCCAACTCTCCGGCCGCGACCTCTACCGGGGCACCCTCCGCCTCCTCCTTGTCCTTCTTCACGACTTCCCCGAGTTCCTTAGCGAGTACTACTTCTCCCTTTGCGACGTCATCCCCCCGCGTTGCATTCAGCTTCGCAACATCATCCTCAGCGCCTACCCTCCCAGCGTCGTCCTCCCCGACCCTCACCTCCGTGACATCGACTTCGACACAATCCCCGAGATGGGCCCCATCCCTACTGTTCTCTCCGACTTCGCTGCCAATCTTAGGGCAGGTGACCTCAAGATATTCCTCGACCAGTACCTGTTGAACCGGGGCCCTCAGTCCACCTTCCTGGCTTCGCTCAAGGATCGCCTGCGTTTACCAGCTCAAGACGGTACTCCTGAGGCATACAACACCACCCTTATCAACTCGCTCGTCGTGTACATTGGAGTGTCCTCGGTGGCTCAAGCGCGTGCTCGTAGCGGCAGTCCTCTGTTTGTTCCTACCGACGCCGGAGTTGTTGCTTTGCAATACCTTGCAACGAACCTGGATGTGGAAGGTAAGGATACATCCGTCAGTCTTTCTATGCATCAATGCTCATGTCGTATCAGGCCAGCACTACTTGCTCAGTGCGATGGTCCTGCACCTGCGTTACCCTAACGCGCACACTCACTGGTTCAGCTCCCTCATTCTGTACCTCTTCCATGAGATTCAAGCCGATCAATTCAGAGAGATCGTGACGAGGGTCTTACTTGAGAGGTTCCTAGTGCACCGTCCTCACCCGTGGGGCGCACTGGTCACGTTCATCGAGCTGCTCCGGAAGCCCAGGTACAACTTCTGGAACCAGGAGTTCATCCAGATCGCGCCCGAGGTTACGCTTCTCCTCGAGAACGTGAGTATACATGTTCTCCCTACTTCACGTGTGCTGATGATCGCTCTCGACCAGGTCGCGAGGTCCATCTTCCAAACCTAGAGCATGCCATCCCCCGCGCACCCTCCCCCTTTCCTTGCTGTCGCTTTCGCTATCTGTGATATATATTCCGCTCGTCCCATTCTCCTTTTTCTCGTTTAGGGCTGTGTTTTCATCGCACTGTATTGTAACAAGATTTCCCCTCTCGCACTGTTACAAAAGGCACACGTGAAGGATCGAACTTTGCTTATGGTCAAGCCCTGACGAATCCCCCACGCACCAACCACGACCCCACACGACTACCGTACTAAATGTGTCATGTATATTCAGTAGTGATGTATCACCCCATACATACCTCTTGTCGTAATTTAGAACGCGGACATGGCCTCCTTCCAACTCCAGTCATTACCCCCCTGTACGAGTCTCAGTGGCAATGAAGTATCGTCTTTTCTCTGGTGTACAGACGTCGACGCCGCTGGATTCTCGCAGTACCAACAAACTACGTACCACTGTTACGCCGCATGTGGGGCGTGAATCGCGCGAGCATGCGTGCCCAGCGGGTCCGCCACGATCCTCACCAAACTACTGCTATGCATTGACGAAACTATTGTATTCTATTACATATGCGCCTCCCAGGCATAAGCTCAATCCATTTTTGCGTCTGGCGGACCAGAAAAGGCCGTGAGATCCGTTATGAAGCTCGTGATCCCATAATACAAACCGTGCACGAAAGACATGAGTGGGCTCGAGAGTCGCTCAACGCAATCTAATGCCCAAACATAACATCGGACGAAAAAGAGGATTCGACGCACCCCACGAGCACTCAGACGACAGTTGCACGCACCCGGGCATCTCCGGCACACGCAGCTCGTGTTGCCTAGTGAACCACCGTATAGGCCACGGTGCGGTACTCTTGTCATCGGCACTCTGCAACAAACAATCAACCAACATCCTTCGTGAGAAAAGCTGGAGGGGACGGAAGATGCTCACAGATATGACATAGTTGCAGATTTGCCCCATACAATACATATCCCATGCGTACGGATCCAGCCACGTCACGTCGCCGGGTCTGGGTATCTGCGACTCGGGGCTCAACTCGATAGCGCGGGCTGTTCCCCGGGTCCCCGTGCAAGTTGCATCGAATATTCGAAATCGATGAGGTAGACGTTGTCGGGAAGCAGACGGCTTCCGTTGGCGAGCTTGTCACACCATCATATTGTCTTCCGCCAGGTCCTGGAGAACAAATGAGAACGAGGGACCATCGGGGTGTGAACCGTCAACGTACACCGTGCGCAACGTGCTTGCTATGCAGCCAGGCAACAGCCTACGAACGCAGTTAATTCCTGTGATCCATGGAACAGAGTGAAGGAATGGCGTACGTACCCTAAGCATGTTGTCTGTACCGCTCAACCGTTCGCTCCAGGACCATGTTAACAGCAACTTCCCCTTCCTGTAGAGCTCGATATGAGACAGGAAAGGGAGAAGCAGAAAGAGGGGATCATGGTCCTCGAAGATCTCGCAGGGAAGGATGTATCTCGACGCTTGGGGGTCCCGGAGGAGGTAACGATAGACGGTGACCTCGTTGTCGAACTTGGCACGCATTACTCCTTCCCAGGCGCCTTGGCAACGTATATCTCCGGAACGCTGCGGTCGGACGTCCACGGTTTCCACTGCGGAAGAGCCATGAGCAGAGCGCAAACAACTCATGCACGGAGGACGTACGGGGCGCATCTCAATATGGAACCTTATACCTCTCTTCACTACGACGGGATGGTTCACCAGCCATTCTGGCAGTTGAAAAGGATTGCGGGATGCGCGCGGCATGGGGGTTGGAATTTGGGATGGGAGTGAAATGAAACGATAAGGAGAGTATGTCCCAATCTAGCGACCCCTCTCCGTCCACAACCAAGACCGAAGCGGGCGCCTGCTCCAGAATCCCCAGAGGCTATTCCCAGGTGGGTCGAAAACGGGCGGCGCAGGGTCTGTGCAAAGCAACGAGCGACGTAGGCGATATCTTCATCCGTTTCCAGAGCCTCTCCTTCTAGGTGAGGTCCCTCGAGCGGTGCGTTCGTGTAAGTGTTCTCGCCGTTATCTCTTCGCGAGGCCTGGTTTGTCATCGTGGAGGACCTGATCCACAATCCTGTCCTATTCATCTCATCCATCGACGCGTCTGAGGTAAGATCTATCAGCACTGTGACAGCCACGCCGAGTCTCACTCACATCGCTCGTGTCTAGCATACGAGGGATAAGCGTGCGCATCCAGAGGGGTTTGAACGCGCTTAACGTGTAGGGCGCGAACCGGGGCAGACTGGTCAAGAAGTGGTCATCAAAGCGTCTTGTACGATAACGGTCTTGAAGATGTTTCGCATGTCTGAATGAATGGTCATATGTCGCGCACATTCCGCATGCGTGTCTGCCTGACTGGAGTTGCATGGCCCGCCTGCTCCTATCTGGGAGACCTTAACGTGCACATCCCGACGGGATTGCTAGCTTGCGTCTTGTGCGAGGCGGTTGAAGGGCTTGTATGCAGCGATGGAATGTAGACGTGCGTTGATCTAGACCAACGAATCCGTCGCTAGCAAGCTCGTCGGGCAACCCGTTGTGTAGGTGCAAGAAGGATGGCTCCAACTATGTCTGTTACTCACATCGAATAAAGGGTGACTGCCAGCCGCCCCGCCTTTTGCGAGGCACAACTCAGTGCATGTTGAGTGCCGTTGGTCGTCATACTCCCTCACTTCTTGCTAAATTCTAATGGCGACTCTCCGATCTGCTCTGAAAAAGTGCATTCTAATCCGGATGTATACTCGGCCACACCGATTTGACGACGTCGTGTTGTACTCTAGAGCAGTCTAGAATGCAGACATGACCTCATTCCAGGTCCAGTCGTTCCCCCACACCCTGTGTACAAGTTTCAGCGTTGATGGATTTTCCTCTCCCCTCTACGAACACATACCCTGCACTTTCGACACCACCCGACCCCCGCTCGTCGGCGTGCGGCCCAATCACGATCCAATCCGGAACGGCGATTCCAGTGCGGATGGGGAAGAGCCGCCGCGCTCTCTCCTGCCCGGCGGCGTCCGAGCCGTGGACGAACAAGGTTAAGCCGTCCGGGTTGGAAGGGTGGGGGTGCAAAAAGAGTGTTGCAGTCGAGGGGCCGTCGAGCTTCCGACCGCGGAGCGACAGCACTCCATCCTCGAGCTCGAACGGGGTCTTCTTCTGCTCCAGCAGCGCGGTCGCGAAGGGGCCTGTAGCGCCGATACTCAGCACGGCGATGTTGCCCGCGCCCAGTTGCCCGTCGCGCAGTCGGCGGGTCGCCTCGTCGTCGTCGATAATCTCCGCATCGAGCTTGTGGTAGATGTTCAGGTCGTGGGCGATGCGGAGCGCGCTGGACAGCTGCGACGGCACATTGGTGGCAGCGACGATGGTGAAGGGGGCGTGAGTGGTGAGGAAGTTGGCTATGCGGCCTGTGCGTGCGATGGTTATGGTAGAGGAAGGGGAGTATGGCTACGACGTAGGGTAAGATTTCATCAACAGAGAAGTCGAAGTGGTAAGACACTCACCGTCCATGTGCTCTCCTTGGCCAGCCCTAGGATGAATTCAGGCTGTTCCCAGGAGGCTTCGTCGAGCGTGATTGTTTGGCCATCGACAACGATTGGGGAGTTCACCAGGTCTCGGGGCAACAATCCCACCGGAATGGTGAAAGCGTCGACGTTGCTGGTCCGAACGTCAATAGTCCCCACATCCATCGTGACAGCGATCCGAGATAACCTCCCCGGGACACTGAGGCTCTGGATAGCCCATCCGTGCATCGTTCCAGAGTCGCTTGGAATGGCGACAGTTAATGTGAACGACAGCGGCAGCGTAACCGACTTCTCAGATGCAAGGTTGGCCGACAAGAACGACGCCACGTCCTCCCGGGCGAAGAGCGAATCGTACCAGTGCGGCTCCCCAGGATCCTCTCTGTAACTGTGAAGCGATATACTCAGCTGCTAAGTGTAGTCGTTGACCTCAAGACGCTTACGTGATGTTAGCTTGAGGATTCCACGTGCGCACGACGGAAACAGCCTCTCGAGTATGCCACACGGGCACATTATCGTCGTCGCCACTGCATATGAGAGAGGGGGACCCGTTAAAACTGGAAACAGTGGAATTCGAATCAAAATTTACCCATGAATGGCAAGGATAGGTGTATGAACCACGTTGGTGAGGAACAGGTCGTTGTCGTCAGGAGTAAGGGAGGAATCGAGGACTGCACGTAGTCCGGGGTCCACATAATGTGCCGACCTAGATGGTTGTAAATCATCTCGCCCAGCCATGTTGGATGTCACAGCGACTCACCTCGACATAACCCATGGAACGTACGCCTGTGACTTAATGTACCCAGCGGCGGGTATGACTGCCTCAAACATCAGCGATAGACAGTCGCGCAGCTAAATGGACAACGCACCTCCTAGTACTCTATCGGGGAACCTCGCCGAGGTATACCATGCTCCCTGACCTCCGTTGGAATGTCCCATCAGCAACACTTTGGTATCTTCGGGTATACCCCATGCCCGCCAAGATTCCCGCGCATCTAAGATTCGCTGCAGGGCTGCCACTGTGCTCCAGGCTTCCTTCGTGCTCGGGCCATGCCAGTCCAGTCCCTGCGAAAGGGTCAGCTCAGTGCACCAACTATTTGGTGGATCCATACCCATTCGGTTCGGCCGGTGGGAGCGATGACCCAGCCGTGCCTCTCGCGAGGCAAGGCTTTGATCCAGAAGTCCCACTCGAACACGTCTAGTCCAGCACCGTCTGCGAAAATTGAGCGCATCAGTATGTACGTGCATGTCATGAAGCATCGATGGTGACGCACGGAGGGCCAGGATTGGCGGCTGCGGTCCATCCACATTCGGCTCCTCCGGCGGAGCGACGAGGAACGCGGTTGGCATCGAAGACGCATACAGATAGGACGCCTTGATACCCCCAGTCCGGACGGCAGGCAGAGTCCAAGCCTCGTATTGCCGAATGGGTATCGTGACGGCTACAACCGCATCTTTGCCGTCCTTCGACTTGAGCTTCAACGAGAAATCTAGATGGTCCAGCGAGAGCGGTCCCGTTTGTGAGATTTGGAGCGGAACGATGCGGGTCTGAGTGGGCGCAATCTGCATCTGCTCGGACAGAGAGAGCAAGATGACCTGGGATACACAATGCATGTAAATTCAGACGCAAATGGAAAAGAATCAACACAACATACCTCGGATATCGCATCGGTGGAGACAACGTCGACGACCGTCCACCAGCCGTGTTTGCTCTGCAGACCAATGCCGAGTGCTTCGCCAAAAGCCCAGCCACCCACGAAGTCACATGCGACGTCATGGGAGGTGTCGCGCACAACAGGTTCAGGAACTGCATTGGGATCCTCGATCTCAAATGTGACCGTGATAGACAGCTTGGGCACCCCGTTGGAGCTGGTGTCGTGACGAGGATCTCCGAAGAGCCGAATCTGACCACGATCGGTGAGTATGCGATGATCAATCCAGAAAAAAATAGGAAATCTCACTTCGTAGTCACCGCTCAGAAAGAAGTCATATGTGGTTGGAGAGTCGAGGGAGGGAGGAACAGGAAGGCTGATTGTGTTCGGGGCGGCTCGATGGATCATATAAATATTGCCGGCATGCCATTCGGGCACGAAGCCCGCATAATCAGACGAAGGGCGGATGGTAAACAGCGATCCTTGGAGGAGGTTTACGAGCAAGCGAGGCTCCGTCCTGGAAACTGCGCTCGAGGGAGGATGTACCGTCAACGTGGTACGGAGCAAGCTGTGATGCTGCAAGGCCGCCCATCCCTCGGTCGCGCGTAGCGAATCCCATCTAGAAAGACGCTATAGCGGGACATAAAGGATAGAAGTGACGTTGAACGCGCCTGATATGAGGGAAAGAGACTTCGAGCAGACCAACTTCAGTGGACTGAGCCTTCGTCCACCCAACAGCGCCTCCGTCGGCGTAGGAAGACGGCCATGTCGCAGCGAGATCGACGGGTTCGGATACTTAAAATTGGCCACATGAGCTAGGCTTTTTGGCACAAGCGCGGTGCACGTACGGTTGAGAGGAAACGAGGGCGACAGAAAGTGCTGCTCGCGCGCGTGAATGGGGAACGGGCCTAAGACCTCGTGTCCGGCAGTGTCAGGCTCAGCAGTTCTTGTCTCGCTACCACGACCACGACCACCCGAACACTCACATCCCAGTTGTGAGACACCTCCACCCTCCATCCCTGTACGTCGACCCCAGCGACATTCTTATGGCCCATGACTACTTGCGCGTCCTGGGAAGCTGTAACGGTAGCGGCGATAGCGAAGCTGAAGAGATGAAGCGCAAATCGCATCGTCCTTGAGCCTACCATGATCTCCGGAATCCTCACGCGCCTTCAGCACGTGCGCACGTCTTGGGTGAGCGATACCGGATCTTAGAGGTTATGCAAGGCGTCGATGGATGGGATGAGAGAGAGATGCTATCTGTGTTTGGTTCCCACCGCATCCGCTGCGGAATCGACGCCAACACACCGCCATATCGTGCATCTCAGACATCCTTCACCAGACATACATTCGCCAGTGAACCTCAAGGGTTTGATCTCGAGCGGCTGGACGTATAGCAGAGCTTGCGGCTGGTTCGTTTACCGTAACACGGCCTTCAACTTTCTCATTCACGCAACAAGGCGCTGTCCACTGGCACATTCCAAGCACACCCAAGACGCCACGTTGTACTATGTTATGCACTAAGAGAGGCGGGTTACGGTCTTGGTATCTCGCATTTTGTTTGAATCGTTGGGTCTTACGGGTAGTCACGCGACGAGCAGCACACCGTCCGAAGTACGTTCTTCGTTCGTTTATTGGAGTCACAGTCGAAAGCGGGCTATATGATACAGCGTGATCCTGGTACGATAGAGAAGCAGGAATCTTATAGGGGATTATAGGTTTTTGATGTCAAGAAGCAGCGGCATTAAGGAGAAGACGGACTATCGAACGAAACCAACAACACCCTAAGTATGTAAAGCATCCTCGAGAAGACTCGAGGATTCAACGCGCGTACAGAACCTCATACGCTGTGATCAAGTAGCGCTGGACTCCGGCTTGCTCGCCAGTTGTGTCTCTGGTGTTTCGCTGACAGAATGTGTCACGACAGATTCGGTATGCGTGCTAGGAGAAGGAATGCGTATAAGCAGTGAAAAGATGGCGGATTGTACAGGTCTCTTACTTATCCAGGAATATGTTGGTCGTCAAAACACCGGGGAAACCAGACTCAGTACCGGTAGTGCCTTCGGACACTGACAGGAAGTTGCTGGGTCTGTGAATATCATAACAGAAGCATGTCAATCAAAAGGTCGATCGTTCGCAAAGGGTCAACGCAACTTGTCGTCTGTTAGTGACAGCACTGCGTATGAGGACATGATCACGCTACACGCGGCGGCTAGGATAAGATGTCAGAAAAGCCGAGAGGGCAGCAAGTTAGTCTTGCGTACATGGCATAGATGCAACGACATTCATGACGACTGTGCCACACGGTTGAGACCGGGACGATTTTTCACAAAGTATACTGCGTACCATTCAACTTCAGAGCGGGGAGAACCTTGTCACGCCAACTCATTCGTGAGCCAATGTTCTGGGACAATCATAGCGACAGCACATACCACGGCTGGGATTGTGACTACGAAAGTCACAGCACAGTACCAAATGCACTGTTCGGACAATGTACTCCCGAGAGGGCTTTGCAGAGCAGCCGCCTTCCACAGTCCGCAGATTGTGAGGACGAGGACAGCAAGGTCCATTAACATGGCTAGAGTTCCATCAGTCCGAGACAACGCATCAAACCCAGAATACCGAAAGGACTTACTGTAGAAGTAGAAGGCGAACATGGAAGCGGTGCTTGACGAAACCACATAGCAAGTGAGCTGCACAGGATCATAGGCAAAAAGCACACTTTCCGCCATTTCTGAAAACGCGCACGTGAGTATCTTGCTGCAGACGATTTACAGTAACACTCACGAACGAAGACGAGGGAAGCGTGCACGACGGAGGCTGCCGCCCATGCCCACACGACATACCGACTCATATTCTTCCAGATGATGAACGACCGAAGCCCAAGGTTCAGAGTCGAGGAGAATGAAGCAGCGCTGCCGAAAAAGGCGAGAATTTTGTAGACGGCTTAGGACTGCCGGTCAGAAAAGGTGCAGAACGAGCGTCGGAAGCAGGGGCGCACCATCGCAGTTCCGAACGCTGTTCGAATGGGCGATGGTCACGCTGCGAAAAGTCAACATAATTTCACGAGATAGATGAGAAGGACGAACAAAGTGAGCAAGGTAGCCAAGATGCTGTAGCGTCCGAACAGGTAGGGGATCTGGCAGAGCTGTCAGTCTCTTGGCACACAAACCAGCAGTGAACACGTACCAGCACCGGATCGAATCGACGACGACGAGTGATGAGGGACCACTCTATGTCAAAGGCAGTGATTATTTGCATGCTGAAGAACCAGCGAGTGAGGAGGAAGAGGCAGGACATGGAGCAATTCATAGGACGTACCCTACCGCGCCAAGGAGGAAGACGCTTAGTTGGTAGTAGACGAAGACACATATTGCAATGACTTCGGGATCCTGCCAGTCAACCATCTACACGGCATGCAACATGAATCGCTGGGATGAGAGCGGGCAGCAAGTCGGACAACGGACGGTCCAGACGGCTCGGCGGGGCGGACGGCGACGAACTCGCGGGGGACCGACCCAGACTTTAAAGATGAAAAGTGGGTGAATGTGTCATGATGACGGGCTCTGTGATTGACGGTTAGCGGCTTGTGCAGTGGCAACAGCGCAGGGAAGAGGGGGAGAAGGAGCGGATTCGTCCGCTTTGCCGCGTCGCGCACAATACGCGGCACGCGACCCTGACAGGCCTGACGGCCTCGCACGGCCTCCCGGGGCCCAGGTTCCCTGCGCCCTCCTGCGCCGCGTCTTGTCTCGAGGTGTCTTGTCGACCCACTCCGAACATCGCATGAGCGCAGCCTGGCACGCGCAGCCTGGCACGCGCAGCTGTCCGCTCAAGCGCTCTCGCACGGGCCGCGGCCCGCGCGCAGCTCGAATGGTGGCAGATGGGGCCTGCACGGCTCAGTGGCCCGCGTCCCCTTCAGCAAGTCCTACGTCGTCCATCCACTCTCACATACCCTCGGCTCCTACAACACAGATAATCGCCCTCCTTTGCTCTCTCGCCCGCCTCAGCGCGAATTCTCTCCTCGTCCCTCGTTCCCCACCTCCCTGCTGAGGCTTGCTGGCATTCAGCTCAGGTGAATCGTCCGAATGGCTTCTGGGGATCCCCAGGGATTCACTCCTTACGGCTGGGTTGTTTGTCTCTGGGTTCTCATAGCCTCCTTTCAGGTCAGTGCTCTCACCTTCTGCACGTCGACTCTCTTTCTCATCCTCGCACAGTACGGCTTCCACATCTCCAGTCTCAATCAGCTTCAGGCCGTTCTCACTTGCCGCGGCCATGGGCTGCCTTTCCTCCACTACGGCCTTCCAACATGCATACCCATGACGGACACCACCTTCTCCTTCCTCACCTCCGTCTACACTGTCGGTGGCTTCCTAGGCAGCATCGGTGCCAATGTGGTCATGGATCGGTATGGCCGCAAGGGAGCCATGCTCATTAGTGCGTTCATTATGGCTATTGGCTCGGGCCTGATGGGTGTGGCCGCCTCTCTCACCCCCTTGCTGTTTGGCCGGTAAGCTCTACTCCCTCCCTGCGCCACGGCTCTCAACCTCTTACCAACGACTTCGGATACCAGACTTTTTACCGGTATCTCTGCTGGCATCGGTATATGTGTTGGCCCCATCTACATTGCCGAAATTGCGCCCGGAAGCATCAAGGGTGCCGTAGGTGCGCGTGGGCATTGCATTGCCCGCTATTGTCGCTCAGATCACAGCAGGCGTCCTCACCCAGTTCGCCATCGTCATCGGTATCATGGTCACGCAGTCGATGGGTCTGCAGCTCGCCACTCCTCTCACATGGCGTCTGGTCCTCTTCTTCTCGGCCGCCTTCGCGATTGCTCAGCTCCTTGCGGGGATGTTCATCGTCGAGTCGCCCGTATGGCTCGCACGCCACGGCTTCGTCCGCGAGAAGGAAATGAGCTGCCGCAGATTATGGAACGACCCTCATGCTCTTCGCACTCCTGAAAGTAAGCTCTCCGTTTCTGGCGTTTCTGGTCAGAACTCATGGGTCCACCCAGTTTCCACTCCCGACGTGGAGGATGTGGAAGACCCGCTACTAGCCGCTCAGGATGAGCGTAGTTCACTCAACCCTGACATGAGGGAGAGGGATGAGCCGCATGAAGCCGCAGTCACTGTGCCTCAAGTTCTGTCGCGGAAGGAGTTCAGGCGTCCGCTGGCCATCGTCTGTTTCTCGATGCTCTGCCAACAACTTTCAGGTGGGTATGCATATCATCGGGTTGTTTGGGGTAACTGATTATTTTGCAGGTGTCAATGCTGGTCAGTTGGCGCGCGTTGGTAATAGCAAACAGTACTTTAACACAGTGTTGTCATACAGTGCTCTATTACAGCAACGATATCCTATCCAAGACAGTTCCAGACGCGGGTCCATATATTTCACTTGGCGTGACCGTCGTGAATGTATTCATGACCTTCCCGCCCATTTTCCTCATCGATGTAAGCTCTCAAACGGCGTGGCTCACGTACTGCGTTCGTCTAACGAGCTCTTCTAGCGCATGGGACGTAAGAGACTGCTCTCTTTGTCTGCTTCCGGGGCCATCCTATCACTCGTCGGCGTAGGATGGGGATTGGACAGTGGTGCAGTGGTGCTAGCCAGCGTCACTGTTATGACGTTTATCTCGTACGTTGCACTACGTGTTATACCCATCGTAAGACATGCACTGACCCGTCGTGTGACTGCCAGATCGTTCGCCATTGGAATCGGACCGGTGCCTTTCGTCATGATCCCGGAAGTGTCCCCACACCACGTATGTTCCAGTATGACTGCATTGCTAACGACCTGACCCTTACGCCGTCCGCCAGGCCGTGTCTGCTCTCTCCTCCGTGGGTCTTACGCTGAACTGTAAGCTTGTCGACGATGATGTCAGCAGATTTGTGAGCTTAAACCGATCGGACAGGGACGGCGAATTTCCTGGTGGGACTGGTGTTCCTCCCGCTCCGCAACTTCCTCGCAGACGGAGATCCGCTGAAGGAGGGGCGAGTGTTCTACGTGTTTGCTGCGATGCTCACGTTCTTCACGTTCATGCTGTTCGAGACGTACCGGGGTTGATGTGGGGCTTGCTTCGGACACGATCCGTAGTTGGTAGTGACACCGCAAGGACACTGTACTATATCGCTGCGGCAATGGGACGACGTACTGCCATGTCGCCGTGGGTGCAGTGCAAAGCAAGGAAATGGCGCGTCTTGGACTGAGCGCTGCCAAGGGCGGAGCATCCGGGCGCGGTGACGGCTTACGAGTGACTGTTTGTGTCAGGCTGTGACCACTGCGGGCGCTTGGCGTCGGACTGGGCGTCCGCGTCGCACCGCCGGCGTCGCTCTCAGCCTCTCTCCACCTCCTCGTCCCGCGCCCCTTCGTCACCTTCGCTCCCCGGCTGGCCTACCATCCCTCATTTTGCCTCTTGCACCGGTCTTGCCTTCGCTTCCCGTTCGAAACCCGCCTAGATGGGTCTCTTCAACCGCAAGAAGGCCGGCGACGAGGGCGAAGCTAAGAAGGAGAAAGGCAGCTGGCGGCGACCGGCCAGTGCGTTTGCTTTCGTGTGCCTTCCCGAACGTAGATCGTGACGCACATTTGCGCTTTCCCTCTCCCCAATTTCGCCAGACACCGCGTTCAAGCAGCAGCGTCTGAAGGCATGGCAGCCCATTCTCACCCCTCGCACCGTCCTCCCGACGCTGTTCATCATCGGGGTGATCTTTGCGCCCATCGGTGCGCTCCTTATCTGGGGTAGCGGACTGGTGCGTACCCTATCCTCTAGCCCATCGTCGCCTTACTCACCCTCGTACGCGCTGCCAACCTGTGCAGGTCACAGAGATGGACTTCGACTACACCGACTGCGAGCTCCTCGATCCGCAGGGTGCGACAGACGACCTCAATTCGCTCAAATACACCGATCTCCCCTCTTCGAAGTACCTCTACAAGCTCAGCGCTGCGGACTCGAATGCGCCTACGTCGACTCCGCAATACGCATTCATGAACATCAACACCAATCCCGTCGGGCAGCAGCAGCAATGCGTGCTCCGCTTCGACGTACCGGTTGACGTCAAGCCGACAGTGCTCCTTTACTACAAGCTCTCCAATTTCTACCAGAACCATCGGCGGTACGTGAAGAGTCTTAACCAGGACCAGCTCCGCGGCAAATTCGTGAGTGCGAGCACCCTCGGGAGCGGTGACTGCAAGCCGTTGGGGTCTATCGACGGAAAGGCCATATACCCTTGCGGTCTGATTGCGAACTCGATGTTCAATGGTGCGTCTTGTGCTCTCTCTGTAAAGCACGTGCAGCCGGAGATGAACGCAACCCCGTGCGAATAGATACCTTCTCCAACCTCACGATGGCCACCGAAAATTCCACGACCTACCTCTGGTCGGAGAAGAACATCGCATGGCCCGGCGAGAGCAAGAAGTACGCGACCAAGCCCGGCTACGACCCCTCCCAGATCACCCCTCCCCCGAACTGGATCAAACGCTTCCCGAGCTACAACTCATCGAATCTGCCGAATTTGAAGGAAGATGAGCACTTCCAGAACTGGATGCGCACCGCTGGTCTACCTACGTTCACCAAGCTCTGGGGTCGGAACGACGACACCACGCTCCAGAAGGCGCAATGGCGGATTGTCATCAACATGAGTACGTATTCTGTATCTTCCTGTTTTGCATCCGTCACGCAGTGGGCGCGGGCGTTGATCCGCTCGCCCGACAGACTTCCCCGTCCGACCATACAAGGGCACCAAGTCCATTGTGATTTCGACCGTGTCGTGGATGGGCGGAAAGAATCCGTTCCTCGGCTGGGCGTACGTCGCTGCGTCTGGTCTCCTAGTCCTCCTCGGTATCCTCGGCACGATCCGTCATCTCGTCAAGCCCAGGTTCGTTGTCATTCTTTGTTCCGTCTCTCCAGAGCGGGTGCTGACATGGCCTGCCCTCACAGGAAACTCGGTGACATGTCCCTGCTCTCGTTCAACCGGTGACGATCTATGTACACGACTCCTCGGTGCTCTCGCGCGCTATTTATCCCGGACTACGTGTATTGGCCTGACTGTCCTGTCAGACATGACTTACATAATGGAGTGTATTAGAACCATTATGCGCCCGCCTGTCTATCAGGCTCTCTTCTCCACTGACAGCAACGTGGTGCCTCCTGGTATCGAGTCAATACCAGCGACGTAACCGTGCTGTGCGTAGGCATCGGTTATGTTCATGTCGTGTGCGCCACTGCCACGTCTGTCTACCACCAACCGTGTTTATGTAGCGCCACGGCTTGCTACTTATACCAGTCCCAGGAATCGACAGCCATCCCGCCCACATTGCCGGCATTCTCTCTGTTGTCCGCTGATCAGCTCACTCGGAATTTCCATGTTCAGCAACCTCCTCCCCTTCCAGGCAGCGCAGTCTCTATTGGAGCGGCTTCAGCGCATGTCAAGCGCCGCGCCCCCACCTGATCCCGACTTCATTCGTCCAGAGCAGCCCAGGGATGCCATCGTGTCTGTGCTGCCGGGCGACGTGTTTTACATCGTCTTCGCTCTGCTGGACCCAGAAGACCTCCTCGTGTGCAAGCAGGTGAGCCCGTCGAAGTCGGTCACTGCTCGGTGCTCAATGCAGTTCGACCCCGCGCAGCTGTGCCGCGTGCTGTCGCTCCTCGTGGAGGTCGACGTCCGCTCCCAATACCGGATCGAGCTCGCCGCCGCCGGCATGGTCGACGGCGGCCCAGACGGTGCGGGGACGATGGGCGAGCGGCTCGCCGCCCTGCGCGAGCACCGCCGGAAGTGGGACACGCCCACGCTGTCGCTGCTCGCCTCCCACTCGTGGCCGGCGACGCCCAACGCGGTCGAGATGGTCACCGTCGACGGCGTCCCGTGCCGGTGCGAGGCGCAGTCTGACGAGAGGCTCGCGCTCAGCTTCCAGCCGACGACGGACGGGTCGGTTTCGCTCCAGGCCGTCGTCGCGTCCACGCACCGGACGCACCTTGAGACCGCCGATCTCGCTCAGGACCTCATGGTGGTGTCCGAGCGCTTCGGAAACACCTTGTCAGTCTGGTTGGGCGGATACTTGCAATCGGCCACTGACGAGTTGTGGAACAGGGACGTGAAACTGCGCCTGTTGTCGGCGCGAACAGGTCTAGAACATCCTGAGGCTGCGCAGCCTGTCTACGACATCACCACTCAGCTTTCCAACGCACATACTGTGCAGATATACGACCGATATATCCTCTGGAAGGCCCGCTCCGCACAAACCAACACGTTCACTGTTGAGATCCGGGACTGGAGAACCAGTCAGCCAATATGGGTGAGCGGTGAAGTACTGCGAACCCCATCCGTCGCACTCACAAACCCACAACTCCCTGTCCAGCGACACGGCTTCCCGCCATACGTCTCGTACAACCTCCTTGACCACGAACACCTCCTCGTCACCAGCCAACGCCAAGAGCACCTCGAGATCTACCACGTCCCCCGCCTCCCCACCCCAGACCCGAGCTCCTCGGTCACCCCCGAGCCGACCGAGGACACCGCACCGCTGCTCATCCTCGAGCTCCCCCTCGGCTCCTTCCGCGCCTCGGTGAACCAAGACCCCAAGTTCCGCATCCTCACCTCCGGGCCCTCCCCACGCGCGCCCTTCCGGCCGGACCCCGCGCTCGCGCTCACCGCCGTCCGCTTCGCGCTCTACAACCCCGAGCTCCTAAACCCGGTCCTCCTCGTCCCCGGGGCGACGTTCCGCGCGCAGATCGACCTCGCCCATGCGGCCGCCCGTGCGTCCGACCGCCCCGCGAGCCCCCGTCCCCGCCGCGTCTTCTGGCACGAGTGGGGCCCGACGGGCGGGCTCATGCTCGGCGCGTTCGCGCACGGGCCGACGGAGGCCGTCTTCGGCACCCCGTGCGGCACGCGCCTCCCCGTGCTCCTCCCCGAGCGCACCGCGAGCCGCACCGTCGTCCTCGACCTCCACCCGTGGGCGGCGCGGCGCGCGGCGGCGGAGCGGCGGGCCGCGGCGGCCAGCGCGGGGTGGCTCGGGGTGGCGGGAGCGGGAGCGGCGGGGGTCGACGGTGCTGAAGGACGCAGCGGTCTGGTGCTGCGTCGCCGGCGGCGAGCGTGCCGTTCGCTGCCTACCAGGGGCCGCGCATCATGTGCCCCGAGAGGCACTTCCCGACGATGGTGGGATGATGCAGGACGGGTTTACGGTGGTAGTGAGTGTCTTCGCCCCCTCTGGGTTGATTTTGGAACCCTGACACATCCTCGTAGAACGAGTATATGCCGCCGTATCAGGCTAGGATGGGCTGTGGGTATCATATTTTCTCCGTGTAGACAACGTTGGGGAAAGGCCAGTCGAAATTACGCTCATCCATGCATTCCGTGAGAGAAAACGTACATGCTACAAAACCAACCAAGCCGTGGGGGCATGAGACGCGTAAAGTGAGGTACGGAGGTATCCAGTATATAAAGATGAGGAAAGGGGCGGACGGGACGTCTACCGTCGGAGCATAGGTCCCAGCTAGGTCATGTGGAGTTAGTTTTCTATGGTCATGCAGATTCATTTAAGCTTACGTTCTGGCGTTGTTGTTTGAGCCACTTGTGGGTTCCGGCCGCGTTTGTTGCTTCGCGAAGCCCAGCTGGTCTCGTGCTGTGCGCATGCCTTGACTGTGGATGATACTGAGCATGAGGGTTTGCTCTCTGCTGTATCTGGTGGTGGCCTCTGAGTGCAGCCGCTGCAATAACCGAGTGTCACAGTAAGCGAACGATTTGAGTCAGTGGGCAACCACGACCTCTGCCGAGCGAGATCCTCTTCCAAGATCTTGATTTGTGTCCTGAAGCTGTTCTCTGCCTCGTCGAAGGCTCCCTGAAAGACATTGAGTAATCAAAAATCAAGAATACTCGAGCAATGACGTACCGCAGGGATCGAGCTCGTGCTCTTCGCATGCTCTTCCTTGAACAGCTTGTCCTGCTGTTTGATGAACTACGATGCCGAAATCAGACAAGGCAAGAGACGAAACTATACAGATCAGTGACGTACGGCTTTCGCTTTGATAGCTTGTCCTGGGCAGTCTTGTACTGCTCCTTGAGGCTGAGGTTCTCCTCGTGCATGCCCAGCATTTTCTGCCTGATATCCTCCGGGACATCCTTGCCAGACAGCGATGCACGCAGGTCGCCGATCGCCCTTTCACGCTGGAGCATCCTGTCGCGCTGATCGATGCCCTCGCTTGGAGTTGACCTTCTCGAGGAGCAGACCGTTGATCTGCTCGAGTTGCATCTTGTTCTTGTCGGAGAGCTCTTTGACGTTAGTGCGCAGACGGTCCACTTCTGCCTCGAGTTCGATCTTGTCTTCTTCCACAGACTCCCGCAGAGTTTTGAGGATGTCGAGCTGGTCACGGTTGACAAGGGTCACTGAGGCAAGAGGCTGATTAGGCAAGAGACAGATATTCCGGAAGGGATGAACGCACGATCAGACTTGGCGATTGTGAGCTCCTTAGACATCGCATCAAACTTGACTGAGAGCTCGGTGTGCTCATTCCTGAGCTGATCGAGCTCGTCAACAGTCTCGTTCAAGCGTTGACGCAGAGCTATCGCAGCCTCCGCCCTAGAAGCGGATCAGACGCAGTTCCACACTTGCACACTTTCAACGCACCCATCGCCCATAGACTTGCCGTTGCGGATCTCCTCAAGGTTGTTCTGGAGCATGAGCTTCTCGCGGTGGGCGGCGAGGTAATCCGCCTCGTAGCGCGCCTTCATGCGGTTCGCGTCCTCGAGCAAGTTCTCGAGTACAAGGAGGCGACTGGAGTCCGCCTCGTTCTTGCGCACCGCCTCGAGCTCGCGCTGCAGCTTCCGCACCTGCAGCTTGAGGTCGTCATCGTCGTGCCTGCGATCGCAGAGTCGAGCTCTTCTCCAAGCCCAGCGACGTCCTCGTCACCAACGGGATGTTGTTGCCCATCAGTTCAGATTCGGTGAGATCGGCCTGATTGCCTGTAGGCTCGTCCTCGGGCGGACGCGTACGCGAGGTGGCAAGAGGGCGCTGGGACGTGAACTCGAGTTCACGCACGCGCTCTTGGTAGAGCTCAAGGGTCTCTGAGTCCTTCGCGCGCTCGTCTTGTGTCACCTTGAGCTTGGTCTTGGTCTGGTCGAGCTCGAACTTGAGCGCATCAATTTCCTTGCGGTGTGCCGACGATTTGGTCTCCAGCTCGGCGATTTGGGACTTGTAGGACTCCATAAGCGGCTTGAACGCAGCGACCTTGCGGTACTCCTCCTCAAGGGCGGCGTTTTGTCGACGAGATCCGAGTTTTGCTTCTCCAAACCCTGTGGTAGAGTGGTTAAGGCGTTATTACAGCTCATAGATAATGATGACAGGAACGGCTTCGACATACTTTGACCTGTTGTCGCATGTCCGCGGCCTCTTGGAGCTTCTTCTTATACTTCTCCATGACGTTCTCGGTTTTCTGTAGCTTATCTGCTGCATGCCGATATCTGAACCAAATGTTTTGATAATTCGTACGACCAGTTGGTGGCGGGAAAAACCCACTCGTCAAGCTGATCCTTCAAGCGAACAGCTTCATCCGCTTTGCCTTGGAGTTCATCGACCTTGCGCGTCAGGTCTGTCACGAGAGCCGTCTGCTTGTCGAGCTCAGACTCCGCCACGGCCAAGTTGTCCTCGCTCTTCTGCCTGGTGTACACAATGACGTTGGAGCTTGAATGTACGTATTGACCTGAGCACTCACAGGTCAGCCCGTAGGCGGTCCATCTCTCCACGGAGCATGTTGTCTCCACGAGAGTCCGTGGCACGCTTGCTCGCACTTTCGGCCTCACGCTGAGCCTGCTTCAGCTGCCCAACCGCATCCTCCTTCTCATTCACCGCGTCGTCGAAATTCGTCTGCAATGTCCTGTGCTCTTCTAGTAGCTGTTGATACACTTTCATGAGGGTTTCCTTCTCTGCCAGTATCCGGCTCCGTTCCGACTGAATCTGGTAATAGTGGTCGTCTCTGCGTAGATCGAGTGAGCAAACGGCGTGCATGTATGTCTCAAGCAACCGATCTCCACGCACTCTGTCATGCTCGCTTCCATCCCGGCCTCCGCAGACTTGCGCGCCTTGGTCATGATCTGCACGCCGTTCCGCTGATGAGGATGGGCCGCTTCGCATACGCCCCCGCCATGCACGCACCTGCTCAATGACCCTCATGAGCGAATGCTGCTCGGATTCGGTGAGCTTCTGTATGCGCTCAATGATCTCCTTGTTGTTCTCGCACTGGACCGCGATGGCAATGGTCAGGCGGCACATGATGAGCGTCGCGTTCACATTGTAGTCCTTCGCGATCGACTGTAGGTCCGGGACCTCGAGCGCACTCGTCGGCTGGTGAAGGACCTCGGAGAAGTACTGGGTCAACAGCCTGTACAGCTTCTTGAGAGACGCAAAGCGCAGAACCCAGTTTTCCGAAGGTTGCGCGGAAGGACGCCCCGGCTGGCGGAAGTAGTCGGGGTCGCTAGAGTACGAGCAGGAGGTCAGCGGGGCCGTACTTGAGACCGCGGGATACGGGGACACTCACACGATGGACAGGATATCAAACAGAGCCGCTCCATCTGAGAGGTCTCCGATGGTCGTTACAGGGCGTGGAAGGTCGAGCGTCGCGAAGAAGGAGAGGAAAGCGTTGAGCTCCTTCTTCTGCGAGTCGACAGACATAACGGGCGGCAATGCAGAGACGAGAGTCTGGTCCGAGGTACACACAAGCCAGCTGTGAGAAAGGGGTCGGTCTAAGGGAAGGGGCGGGGAGGGAGAGCAGAACAGAGGACACGCGGAAACCGTCTAGGATCACTTGCCCACCGCTGAACGGGTCGCCGGGTGTGTCGCGCATTGGGCGGCTGTTGCTGAAATGCGCCTCCTCCGAATCCGCTTCCGCCTCCCTCCCCAGACCGTCCCCAATCTCCATGACTCCATCCACCGTACATAGCGACAGAGCACGACTCGGTCCATCCAATCCCCCGGCGCCCTGACATGGCCTCCACCTCAGACCCTCTCCAGATCGATGGCAGCGTCCTCGAGGGCGGCGGCCAGCTCCTCCGCATCGCAGTCGCGCTCTCCGCCCTCCTTTCGCGCCCCATCGTCATCCACAACATTCGAGCAAACCGCAAGCCTCCGGGCCTGAAGAGCCAGCATGCTGCAGGTGCGTGCCTCTTCCCTTCTCCGCCCCCGATCCCGACGTGAGCCATTCGCCAGGCATCCGCCTCGTTGCCGAGATCTGCGCCGCCCACCTAGACGGCTGCGAAGTCGGTTCGAGCACCGTCACCTTCGCGCCCCAACACCTGCCGGAGCTACACAGGCCGTACCTCGCCGACCCCGGCACAGCCGGGTCCATCGCGCTCCTGCTTCAAGTCTCCCTCCCATGCCTGGTCCTCGGCGCCTCCTCCGCATCCCCAGAGCCGACCGTGCTCGCCCTCAAAGGCGGGACGAATGCGGCCCAGGCCCCCCAGGTGGACTACACCACGCACGTCTTCCTCCCCTTCCTCCACGCGCAGTTCCGCCTCGCCCCCACCCTGCAAGTCGTCAAGCGCGGGTACTACCCCAAGGGCGGTGGTGAAGTGCGCGTCGAGGTCCCCGCGCACCCCGGTCCGCTTCCGGCGGCGACGCTGCTCGCGCGCGGGGACGTAACGACGGTTTACGGCCGCGCGTACGTCGCGGGGCTGCCCAAGAAGCTAGCCGAGTCCATGCGCACTGCGGCGTCGGCCGTCCTCCTCAAGTCTGGAATTGCGCAGAAGCAGATCAAGATCGACGTCGTGCGCGACAAGCCCGAGGAGTCGATCGGCGCGGGGTCGGGCATTGTGCTGTGGGCGGAGACCGAGGGCGGGTGCGTGCTTGGAGGGAGCGCACTGGGCAAAAAGGGCTTGGAGCCGACCCAAGTCGGCAGAGAAGCTGCGAGTGAACTTCTCAGCAATCTCGAGCATGGGGGGTGCGTGGACGAGTACATGCAAGTTCGTCTATGATCCGTCTTCTAACTCTAACTATTTGGCTTGCTAACCACTCCACAGGACCAGATGGTTATTTTCCTCGCCCTTGCTCAAGGCACTTCAAAGGTTCAGACAGGTCCACTGAGCCTGCACACCAAGTAAACGCCATTTTCCTCAAACTGTCGCTTTTGCTGACAACTTGTCAGGACTGCTATCTGGGTAGTAGAGCAGATGACATCCGCCAAGTTCACCGTCGAAGATACCGAAACTGGCGCGTCTATCCAATGCGAGGGGATTGGCTACGTGCCATCTGCTCGCTAGTATCGTGCTCCGATCACTCCTTCTGCTGTTTATTGCAATATAACTCGATCCTAAATCAAACCAAATGGCCGTGTTGCATTCGTTCTCACCTCACGCCCGAACCTTGAGCGCGCCCGCCAGCACCTTGCCCCCCGCAACCGGCCGCTGGAGCTTGTTCGCGCCCGCATCCACGATGAATGTCGCGCTCGCGAAGCTGTCGAAATTCGGGTTCGCTGCAGCCCCACCCTCGTCAGCCTCGCTCGCCCGTTTCGCTCCAGAGAGGGCTCACAAATGTTGCGCATCGCAAAGTAGGTTGCGTTGGCGGTCTTGGGCGTGAGCTCGAGCGTGAAGAAACCGCGGTACGAGCCCTCACTCCACTGCAGGTCTGTGTTGACCGCCACGAGCTCGGCGGAGACCACGTCCGCCGCCGCGGGCTTGACGTTCGAGCCGAAGGGCGAGCTGGAGGTGACCGCGGTCCCAGCGAACTCGACGCCGATCGCACCCTTGCCGGACACAGGGTCGTAGTTGGTGGTGTCGTTGATGTCTGCGCAGGAACAGCGGCTGGTGAGGAGACAGAGAAACAAATGCACGAGGAGGAGACGTACGCGCGAGGTCGCTGACCCAGTTGGCGTGCGAGTCACCAGAGAGAATCAGGGTGTTATCGATCTTGTTGCTGTAGAGGTGATCGAGGATGCGGTTGCGATTCGCGCGGTAACCGTCCCACGCGTCCTGAAAGTGTCCTAGTGGGTGGTGGCATGACCACCACAGGAAATCGACGTACGACATCAACTGTTTGAGACAATGCACCTGTCAATGCTTTAGAAGACTCATATTGACTGAGGACTTACATCCACCGCTTTCGTTTAACTGAGTGAAGACGATCTGCTGGCTGGTGTGGCATTTTCTCAATTTCGTGCGTGCGAGTTAGAAGGGGTTGCTTACCCGACCACACGCCAAACCGCCCCGCGAGCCTTGGATTGGGTAAGCGTGTTAAGGAACCCTATGTAGGACTTCATTTGTCTGCACAATAATCATAGAGGTAGATCACATACAGGACTCCTGAGCAGGGCCCATGAGTGAGCGTCCCTTCTCATTCGCGATGGAGTTGATGACTGGTTGGAAGTAAACATGACAAACTCAGACTCGGAACACAAAGGTATGGCTCACAGTCTATAGGACATATCGCGATTTGTGTCAGGGATCACAGTAGAATGGACTCCATAACGCACCAGTGTTATAGTAAAGCTGGAAGTGGTCGTGAGACCTATCCTTCAAAAGAAACACTTTGAACAACTCACATCTGTGATGTCGCGGTCATATTGACGCGTGTCGAGCATAGTGAGGTCCTGAGACAGATGTCATTTTGTGGAGCCCAGCCAATATGCCTACAACTGCAACGTACCAGCAGCTTTCCGATCTGGAAGTTACGCCAGATACGTAGCTTGTCATCAGGGTCGACTTGGCGGATCGGCATCCACTCGTGGTACGCCCGCACGGCAGCGAGCTTCCTATCCGTGAAGCAGGCGCCCGAAGGAGACCAGCTACAGCCCGTGGAGCTGTCGTTGGCATCGGCCGTACCCGCCTTCCAAGATTGGTCCGCGACCTCATGATCGTCCCAGACGGAGATCCAGGGTCCCTTTTGGTGCGCGGCGACGAGGCCAGAGTCGGTCCTGTACTGGTTAAGGCGCTGGCGGTAGTCGAATATAGTGGCGAGCTCGCGCCCGAGGGTCTTGCGTCCTATCGCAGCACTGGTAGAGATGCGTGAGCGCGCAATCGGTATCTAGCCATTGACAACTCACCCGTTACCGAGGGACTCGTAAATCTAGACGGCACGATCATCTTTCCAAACTCACAGCGGCTTCGGATCCCACTCACGTAGTCTCCCAAGTGAACGAAGATATCGGCGGATGTGTTGTGCGCGGCGACACTGTAGGCGTTGAACCAACCTGAAAGAAGCGGATTGTCAAGAATCGGATGTGCAAGAGATATCAGGCCATACATACCAGCTTGGTACTGAGAGCAGCTGAACACAGCTAGCATGAGAGGCTTGCCGTTGTTCACTTGGTTTGCGGGAGCTGTTAGATCCGACATCAGCCTTTTATCCGATACATCGGCTACCATTGAACAGACTGTTCGGGTTCGAAATCGTCCGGGTCGTGCCGACAGGGCTGACCGTCTGCGCGTTCGTGCAATCCGCAAATTGAAACCAATACTTGGTGTCCGACTTGAGGTTCTTCGCTTCGACCTTCAGCGTGAAGTCCACGTCGTACGACGTGAACGCATCGCCGGTGTCGAGAGGCTTCCCGCTTAGGTTCTCGTTGTCGAAGAGCTTGAACGAGATGCAGACCGGGATACTCTGGTCGGGGAGCTGGGATCCAATTGGGACGGCGCGGGTCCAAAGGAGGACGGAGTTGTCGAGAGGATCACCCTGTACGTTGGACTCGGTGTGAGAATCCGTGCCACTAGACTAGCTGGCAGGGATTAGCTGTAGTGCTCACACTGGCGACTGTTGGAAGCGTCGGAACGTTAGTGGCGGTTTCGCATTCCAAATCGGCATCCCACTGACCTGAATGAGTGAAGTTGATCCCACCGTTATAGATCCAGGGACTCTGAAATAGATAGGTGTCAGTAGGGGTGCATTCTATCTTTCAGCCAAACGCCGATCGAGACACTTACCGAGCTAAAATCGCCACCGTAGAAAGTGGGGTAATGTTCATCGGTGAACGCTGACGAGCTTTCGGTGTCGTCGAGTCGGCTCTGCCTCTTGACAAAGGCGACATGGCGGGCCTGGAGCGACCGCGTATCGTGCGAGAGCTGGCGAAGGTAGCGTGGGGGCGTCAGTACCCTCCACTCCCACGGAGAGAGCAAGGACATACATGGCGGGCGTTTGCGAACGGCGAGGAGTACGCGAGGTTGCGATCGAAGAGCTCGGTCGCACCCGCGAAAGCGGCGAGCGCAGCACCGATGAGCAAGGCAGAGAGCATGGCCGCAGCGGTTGCGGCTGCTACTCGTGACGGATGGATAGATTATATGCTGCCCCTCTGCCAACGTTGGCTCAAGTTGGAGCAGCCAGGGCGCGCCCGGCTGTCATACCGAGTGCGTGCGGCGTTCCGTAGGGGCAGGGCACGTTCGTGCATCCAGGCGACCATTGGCGGCGGCGCAGGCGGCCCTGAGGTGAGCAAGAGCGTGGGGGTGCAAGAATACCGGAGGGGCGGCAGAAGGGGGCACGTCTACCGCGAACGCGTGCTGCACAACTTCGATGAGGAGACGATTCGCGAGCACGTGGTCCAGATGTACGTACTCTGTTGCCCGTTTGGAAAATCAGATCTCACACTCGCAGCCTGGACGCATCCAAGAACTCGTCCATAGTGCGCTTCCGAACACGACGATTTACCCGTTTCGCCAACACCATATCACTTGCTCACCCCACCAGACGTACCACGATCCGAAGCCGAACGTTCGCCGAGTCATCCATGTGCCAGTTGGCGTTTGGGCGCAAAGGAGATTGACTCCGAAACCTTCTGAATTTCCCGACGGGTAGTACAATGAACAAGTACAACTGCAATCCAACAGAGGTCATGGCATGGTCGCCGAAGTCGGAGAACACACACACCTATGATTTGATACACACAACATTTCTGGCCCCGGTTCGATGTCGCCCTTCAGCCCTACTTGCTCGAGTTTGAGAAGCGGAAACCGACGCCCTCCTGGGCCTCCAGCACCTGGAAGTGGGGCCGGCCACTGAACCAGCCCCCCATCATACTGCCTACAGTCGCATAAGTGATCGCAGCGTCCTCTTCACCGATCTTAATCGTCTTCCCTCCCGTACCCGCCGCCGCAGCATCCGCCATCAGCTGCACTTGGCAAGACTTTTCCATCGCGATGAAAAAGTGGACGGTACCCTCAATAGAGCTCGTAGCGACAAGAAGGCCGTGGTTCTGCATTGGGCGCAATGCGTCAAGGCCAATCGATACTGATTGTCTTTTAGACGAACCTGCAAGATGACGGCCTGTGCGAGACATGGGTCCATGAGACTACGTACGTCCGTGGTTGAGGTGTTTGTATGCGTACCTTCTTATGACCTAACATCTCTGCGATGCGCAAGCCCTCTTCCTCATCCAGAACCACGCCGCCATATTGCGTGTATACTGCATGGTCCTGCGGCGCGCGTTCACTTTCTTCAACACGGCGCATACGGGTGTAGATATCGCGAAACATACCTTGTAGAACGCGCAGCTATCCTGAGTGATCATATCCAACTCCTTCCCTAGCGCGGCGAACGCGCGGCCGTGAATCGAGTGCGAGTGCGCCGCACAAAGTACGTCGGGGCGTGCCGTATGCACGGCTGAGTGGATCATGAAGGCCGCGCGGTTGAGAAGCGTGTTAGGACCGGACTCTGTGGTCTGAACTGTGCCATGGTGGTCGACGAGCAAGAGGTCGCTTGGCTGGATGAGCGCGAAGTGGAGACCCTGCGGGAGGACGAACACATTCAGCACAACGATGTCGCTCATGTCATCATGTGAAGCACAGACTCACGAAGGGATTCACCCAGAAGCAATCGGTCCGGATGGGATCCTGGGATGGACGTGGTCAGAGTCCAAGAAGGGCGCCGCTCCCGCGCGCAATAGGAAAGCAGATCCCTCACCCGGACCGTGATGTGCCCCGCTACACCTTCATCGTACCCCTGCTTTGCTGCGACAATCCTCAGTCACGCTGTCCAACAAACCGAGCACATTTAACCGCGATCTCTCACCGAAGATCCTGAACGCCTGCGCCAGTCTAAACTTGATCCACTCTCGCTCCTCCGTCTTCGTCGCAAATGTGGGGGGTTTCGGGGCGCCTCCAACGGCCACGGAGGGGACGACCTTGTCACCTACGACAATGTCTGGTTGCTGTTCCAAGCTAGAAGCCGCGGTGGCGGTAGGAGACATGTTGCACTGAGGGATTGGGGCCTCTAGCTGACGAGCCGGGTACTGCGAGGAGCACTTAGAGCAAGTTATGCGTACGTGTGAGTACAGGTTTAAGTATGTTCCATCGACATGACCGGACCTCCGGCAGTCATTGACCCGGACGTCCGAGCTTTGGGAATTGCCGCCATGTCTCATCTGGATGGATGCTTGTGGTGGTGTGGAGGAACAGCTGACCTCGGAGGGTGCCCTGAAGAGTTTCTCTTCATTCTCTCCTCTGTCGGCCTAAGGTGTATGAGGCTTATGATAGACGAGCCCTTTGCATGTCGTACCATTTCTCAGCATGTTAAAGGGAGCAGATTTTCCCACTCGTCGGTCCAGGCAGAACTCCGAGCGCAGCGCTTGCATGGGCAGCTGACCTTCGGTTACACCCGTGCCTCCGATCATGCTCGGGCAGTAGATGTAGGAGACCCAAGAGCCGACATCAACTAGGAGCACATTCCGTGATCTTGTGATATTCACTGAAGACATGAACGAAGGCATGGGCTACATAGCACCCATGTCAGATGAGAGTCAAGACTTGGAGTGCGGCACAACCAAGTCTCCCAGCGGTAGTATGTAAAAGGAGGAAGTCAAAGATGGAAAGCCAGGAAGAGCACATGCCTGCCCCAAATGCATCCGTTACGAGGATCCTTGGGCAGGGAACTGAGTACGCTGAGCACGAATAAATACATATAGTATATGTACAATTTGGGCGCAGCAGAAAGCGCGACGACAGCTCTGGATACTCGTCTTTCTCAATTCCGTAGTGATGCTACAACACCGAGAGCGATACCGATACAACTACCTGTCAACGAGAATGAGCCTGCATGCTCCGCGGCGGCCGACGTAGCTGACGACACGTACTACTCACTTGACACAGCCAATTGTCCGACTGTGACTCTACTTGGAGCTCGAGGGGTTATAAGTGACACCCTCTTGAGCCTCCAGTACTTGGAAGTATGGGCGACCACCAAACCAGCCCGCGTTCATGCTGCCTACAGTCGCGTATGTAATTGCGGCTTCTTCTTCTCCAATCTTGATCGTCTTCCCTCCCATGCCAACCGCTGCAGCTTCTGCCATGAGCTGCACGTGGCAAGACTTTTCCATCGAGATGAAGAAGTTGACTGTAGCCTCAATAGAGCTCGTGGCGACAAGCAGCCCGTGGTTCTGCGATGAGCGCAATGCATTAACTCTGATTCCAGGAGGGGTTCCTTCTACGCACCTGCAAGATCACAGCCTGTGCGGAACACGAGATTCGTGAACATGTAAACGGGGTTTGGAAGGTGCATGCGTACCTTCTTTGCCCCCAGAGTCTGAACGATCCGTTGGCCCTCCTCCTCGTCCAGGACCACACCACCAAACTGCTTGTACACGGCGTGATCCTGCCGCACGCAACATCTTCCTTCAGCTTCGCTTGCTCCGAAAAACATGCAGATGAAGCCTCACCTTATAGAACACGCAGCTGTCCTGAGTGATCATGTCCAACTCCTTCCCAAGCGCCGCGAACGCGCGGCCGTGGATCGAATGCGAGTGCGCCGCGCAGAGAACGTCAGGACGCGCCGCATGGATAGCAGAATGGATCATGAAGGCTGCGCGGTTGAGGAGAGTGTTGGGCCCAGACTCGGCGGGCTGTACGGCACCATGGTGGTCGACGAGGATGAGGTCACTCGATTGGATGAGCGCGAAGTGGAGGCCCTGCGAAGCAAGGGACGTGCTTGAGAAATACGACAGCCTGTCATAAATCGAACGACTCACGAAGGGGTTGACCCAGAAGCAGTCGGTCCGAATGGGGTCCTGCAGAGTCGATGGATGCGGTCAGAGACAATGGCGCGCGCGCGTCTCCCGCCTCACGAAGTTGAGCGATCTCTCACCCGGACAGTGATGTGGCCCGCGATGCCTTCATCATATCCCTGTTTTGCTGCGCCGTGGTGGAAGATAGTTCTCAGCCGACCCGCGCGATAATGTGCGTACAGTCGCATGCGACGTCTCACCAAAGATTCTGAATGCCTGCGCCAGCCTGAACTTGAGCCACTTGCGCTCGTCCAGCTTCGACGAAAACGTGGGGGGCCTAGGGAAGGCTCCAACGGCCGTCGAGGGAACGACTTTTCCCTCTACGACGACATCTGGTGCATGCTCCTCGGTAGGGAATTTCACGGCGACTGGAGACATGGTTCGGTAGGCAGAGGATGATGTTACAATCTAGAGGGACATTCAGGGTGAGTTGTCGATGCGGCTGGTTATATGATCTGTCGGCATATCAGGGCTGAAAGGCCGTACTCAGGGATGATCGTGCCCTCCGCGATAAGGGCGTCGGGTCTGACGTCCGAGACTAGGCTGGGCAACGGGTACCAGTAGCAGAGCCACAGCTTACCGTTCCTCTCCAGACCTCCACGTTCAGTTTAATAACGGGCTGCCTGTTCGATTTCCTGAGTGGCAACGCACCGTGCGCGCGAACTGGATGAGATCAATCTGCACCCTCTCGTTTGCCGTCACGCTCAACTACCTCAGGGGTGGCAGTGGCTCCTAGCACCAGCTGACCTAAAGCTCAGTATGGAAAAGTGCTTGCACCGCTAGTGATCGGTCTGGTCTCTCACCAATGCAGGGTCTGAAGTACAAGATGAGAGCCGGGTAGCGTCCAGCCAGAGTTGACTCGAATGTAAACATCAATCTCATTATTGGAAGAATATCGGGGTGCGATAGAAACTAATCTGTACCATAACATACCAGGTTTGAAGACCATTTAGAAGCTCCTATATCGACCGACGAAGCCTAGCGGTAGTAACAGGGACCGCGTGGCATCCGATAGCCGTAGTAGCGGCTTCCACGAGTGGGGCCGTCGTAGTCTAGACGGCGTCAGTATCGCGACATTTTAAATGGCTGTACACTCACAGGAGCTGGTATCGCGCTCGGAGTCGATCCCCGCTACGGCACTGAGGTTGAGGTACCCCTCTGAGGAAACACTCGCCGAGCCGCCAGCAGTGCCTTGCGTGGCCCACGGTCCTCTACAAGACGGGCAGGTTGCCTTGCGGCCATCATTTTTCGAAGTATTAAGCCCTGAAGTCCAAGCTTATAAGTCGAAGAACAAAGACAAGAACGACAAAGGTGGGAGAACGCACATCGTTGGGCACATTCAGTATGAAGAGCATTGCCACATTGGGCGGTGCAGAAAGCAAGAGAACCCTCTTTCGCATCGTCCATTTCCTCATAACAAATGGCGCACATGTCGTCTTTCGCGGGCATGCGGCGCTTCCCTGCATCCTGGGAGGTTGAGCCAACTTGCTTGCCGGTGGCATTAGCGTACGCCTCTCGGACGCGTGCGTGAGCGGTGGCGCCCGGTGCAGCAGGAGCATTGGCAAAGATCTCTTCAAGCTCAGAGGTGAGGAGGGCCCTCCGTGCGAGGATGAATGAATGCACCAATAAGATTGTCTAGCGGAGAGGCTCACTTCTGGTACCAGTGACCGGATGCCTGGGTCACTTGGAGTACTGCAGACATGATCAGTCACCGGTTTCAAACGTTTAGCATCACAAGTACCTTTGAGGAAGATGAAAAGCTGGATGCATCATGAGTTACTTATCTGAAACGACAGCACAGGAGACTCACAATGTGCTTGCAGTGGTTGCCCTTCGTGGCGTCTGGACCTGAAAGTGGCGTCAACGAACGGTCAATGAAAACCATGGGGGCATGCGTACAGTCGCAAGAAGGCTTCTTATCGATCACCACCGTGTACACCTACAATGGGAGAACGAGTTCAGCCAAGGCCTCACGCACGCGCGCACTGACCTACGTTACCGGTTGATCCTAGAACGCCGAACGACTCCTTCAGCTCGTTTGGGTTTCTCTGTCGGTCTATCATGAAGAACCTGAGAGGCCCTCTCATCAGCACCGTCTTATGCCTGACGCACCGCACGACGACAATAAAACGTACCTCTGGGACATGACTCGCTCGACCCGCTCGATGATGTTCTTCGGGCACGCCTTCTTGAATATGGCGCCTCGCTTCTCGGGCGCTGGCGCGCTCGAATCCTTCGTGCTACGCGCCCTCTTCGCCTTGGGTGGCGTGTCTACGGGGATGGGGTCGCGTGCGGTGCCTGCACCCGCACCGGCAGAGTGCGATGTCGACGCGTTTGCGCGACCCCTCGGCGTCGTCGTCGGGGTCGGGACCGCGTAGTAGTCGTCTGTGGCTTTTCTCTTCGGCGGCATAGTTCGGGGTGGCGCGTTGACGAATGGGGGAGAGGAGGAGGAATACGTGCCAAGGAATACGGTGAAAGCCTTTTTGACCGAGAGGGCGGCCACAAAGCTGAGGAGGCTTGAGCACAGCGGTGGCCACTGGCGGATCTCAGCGGCCGGAAGCTCTCCAGGAGGCGTGAAACCAACGCGGCGGGCATTCCCACGCTTTGCTTATCACAAACTCTAATAGCCTTTCACAGTGTGCGTCACCATCGCATTGAGATGCAAGTGTTTCCGATGTCCGAGTAGTGGAGCCACTGACCAAAGTCGCTCATGCTGTGGCTTCCAAGAACAAAGGTAGGCTCCATCAAATAGCAGTGACGATGCAAATACAGGACACAAAAAAGCAAATCGACGATAGCAAATAAACAGACAGATAACCAAAAAGCATGAGCAGCCACATCGTGCTGCTGTGATGACGTTCTAGAGGGACGACACCGGGATAGACAGGGTTGCGGGCGGGGTAGTAGCATGAGAGCGGAGTTCAAGGGGCCGAGGTTCCTCAATATATCGCTTCATAACATCGGCCAACTGTGATATAGGAGCGACGGCCTCTGTGACTGCAGCGTCGAAGGCTGCCTGAGTGGACTCAAGCGTTTCTTTGACACCCAATTTGAGTGTACCGAGCGACTCCGACACCGAGTTGTGTATCTCCGGCAGCACCTTGGCGAGGATCTGCTGGACGAGGTCCTCCGGCGCTGGCAAAGGTGATGCTTGAGGGGCTACTGTTTGCGCAGCATCGAGCTGGAAACGGAGGTCCTGCAGCTGTTGTCGGTTCCGGTCGGTGCGCTTCAGGGTGTTGTCGTTGCGAGCGGCAAGCTGTGTCGATGCTCGCAACGTCAGCATAGAAGGGGGCTTTGCGAGAACGAGTTCTCACCTCCTGCAATGAGGCAGATATCTCGTGGTTGTCAAGAGTCCAGCGGAAGGAAATGTTTGCCATGGGAACCCTGCGGACTCGAATGCCGTCGAGCTGGTTCTTGCAAAGGTCGATCTGGTGGTCGATCTTCTTCATCCTGCTCCCCAGAGTGCTAATCTCCGCTTTGAGCCCCTCGGCGGGTGCTTCTGAGCGGAATGCCTGGTCGGGCTGCCAGTCGCGTTCGGAAAGAGTGTCCGACTCCACAGCCCCGTGGAGCTTCTTGTGCTTGTCAAGAAGCTCAGCGAAAGAGCTGTGCAAGGCGGACAAGCGTTCATCGACCTTCTCATTGGACTGCTGTAGCTCCTCGAACGTGTCGTGAACCCGTCTTACGGATTCAGCAGAAGCAGTGGCAGCTTCTGTGATCTTCAGACTGGCCTCTTCCACAAGTCGTACTTGCTCGTCGTGCTCTTCTTTCTTCTCTTCCAGAGCTTGGACCTGTGACTGGACCTGCTCGATGAGTGGGTGTACCTGTGCCATCCACAACCTGATCGCAGTGTCGTACGAGCGAATATGGACGATCTTCTCCTCCCCCTGGTTATCGCACTGAGATGGCACGGGATAGCTGTCCTGGTACTGTGGCAGGCGGCACATGGCTTCGCTTAGCCGGTCCTTGTTCTTGCTCATCTTCTCTGCATGACTGCTTCGCGCTGCTTCAATCAGCGTGTGAGCTGCGTGGAGAGAAGCGCTCGAGTACGCTTTAGAGTGCTGCATTCTGCGTTGTCGGCCTGCCTCATCACGTAGTATACGCTGCTCCACCGAGAGGAGAGAGGCCTTCACAAGCGCTCTTGACAAGACAGCATTCAGATCTTGTGCGATGTATTTCGAACATAGGACGGCGATACTCACTGCAGGAAGCCTCGAGCCCGGTCGACCTCTGTCGGGGTGGTATTTTCCAGCTGCGAGTCATGTTCCAGCTCGTCATGACCCGGCTCGTCGTGTTCCGGCTGGTCATGATCCAGCTCGTCGTGTTCCAGCTCGTCATGTTCCAGCTCGTCGTGCTCTTCATCATGCTCCAGCTCGTCCACTTCAACTTCGTCAGGCTCCTGTTCATCGCACACCGGCTCGTCGCACTCCAATTCGTCGGTGTCCGAGCTCTCGTATCCCGACTGGTCGCGCTCCACTTCCACAGAACGTTGTGCCAGTTGCGCATCGTCCCCGTCCGTCCGTGGGGCTGCACCTGTGTCCGAGCCCGTAGCCACCGGAGCAGCGTAATCGCCGAAAGCGAACGGGTTGCAATTCGAACCTGCAGCAGCGGTCGACGCCAGAGCTGCGGGGAGACCGCTGCCCAGCACGCGCGTGGGCTCGCGGTCTGGAATCGCCACTTGCACGACGTCGACTTGATGGTGATTGGACCGTCTTCTTCGAGGGCTCGTCGCCGCGGTCGGAGAGGTCGGACCGAGAGCGGGGGCCGACCACCCCGACCATGGCCCAGTGTCGACACTCTCCAAAGCGACGGTGCCCCAGGGCGAGACGTCTTGAGGGCGTGTCTCCTGCCCTGGGTCGCCGTTCGGGTGGCCCCATCCGACGGTGGAATTAGGCACCCGTGCGTTGCTGGTCGGCTCGCCCCATCCGACGTTGGTATCGGGTACCCGCGCTTCGTCGTTCGGGCTGCCCCACCCGACGTTGATATTGGGCCCCTTCGCGTTGCTGGTCGGCTGGCCCCACCCGATGTTGGCATCGGGCTCCTTTGCGTTGCTAGTCGGGTCGCCCCATCCGATGTTGGCATCGGGTAGCCGTGCGTTGCTGGTCGGGCTGCCCCACCCGATGCTGGAATCGGGCACCCGCACGTCGTCGTTCGGGCTGCCCCACCCGATGTTGGTTTTGAGCTCCTTGGCGTTGCTGGTCGGCTGGCCCCACCCGGCGTTGGTATTGGGCTCCTGTGCATTGCTGGTCGGTTCGCCCCACCCGACGTTGGCATCGGGTACCCGCGCGTCGTCATTCGGGCTGCCCCACCCGATGTTGGTTCCGGGTAGCCGTGCGTTGCTGGTCGGGCTGCCCCACCCGAGGTCGGCACCGGGCCCCCTTATGTTGCTGGTCGGCTCGCCCCACCCGATGTTGGGACTAGGCACCTGTGCGTTGCTCGCTGGCTCGCCCCATCCGAAGTTGGTATCGGGTACCCTCACGTCGCCGTTCGGGCTGCCCCACCCGAGGTTGGTATGGGACTCCTTTGTGTTGCTACTCGGCTGGCCCCACCCGGCGTTGGTGTTGGGCTCCTGTGCATTGCTGATCGGCTGGCCCCATCCGTTGAATGATCCCCATCCGGCGCCGCACTCCCCCCAAGTCGCTGGCACGTCGGAGGATTCCACCCGGGACTTCTGCGGTCCTCCACGAGCCCACCCGCCGTCTCGAGGCCGATCCCCAAACCTGGGGCGCGAGTCGGGGGGTTTGGGGGCGGACGCCCACTCTTGGCTGTCGGGATGGACGAACTTGCAGCTGGCGCCGCGAAAGCAACCACCCCGGACCGGATGGCCGTTGTCTTCGAAGAACTAAAAAGCCGGTGTGAGGATGCGGAGCGCAGCTTCGATGTAGAGCGCACTTACCCTACAGCGGCGGCGAGCGTAAGACATCTTGACAAATTAGGTTCAAGGCCGGACCGGAGTCCGCGAAGACGGTGATCAAGTCGGGATGTTCTTGTGATGGAGGGATACATATGTGTGGTGAGGTGACTGTCCCGCGGGGAACTGGGGATACTCACAGGTTCAAATAGCCAAAGTGCGGACAGCCGGGGAATGGGTCGACGAGCTTCTTAACGCGACCGAATCCAATGCCGATCGAAGGGGAAACGTGTTGTAAGGGAGAAAAGGCGACCAAAGAGTACCTCAAGGATGGCCCGGAGCGGGCAGCACTGCGGGGAGGGGCTGTAAAGCCTTGAAGGCTGACCTAGTGGGGCCTGAGGAAGCAGTCGCGTGAGAGCAGTCTGGACGGTGCTGCAGCAGCGACCGGGCGTCCCGCTTCGCGACTTGTTAGTCGACAAACTCTATTGAATCGCTTGCCTGCCCCGCCTTTCGCTTCCCGCCGCCTCCTGCTTTGTTCAATCTTGCGCTTGTGTCACCGTCTGCCCGTCACCACGCCCGTTGTTTCCTCAAACCGGAGCAGAAACACCTCAGACCTCAAGATGATGTGCCCCAGGCTGAACACGTGCGTCTTCTTCCCCTTCCCGCGTACCCCTCCCGCTCGCCCACAGTCTCGAGGGTTTCGTGCGCGGCAACTACCCCAGCCGTAGCGGCGTGGCGCATCGGGGTCCCAGCCCATCTCCGAGCTTGCTACTGTTCGCGACTCAGGGTGACCAAGTTCGGGCCTCGTCGCTCGAGCAGAGGAGTGATGACGGCCACACGACATCGCGATGAAGAGAGGGCCAATGGGCTCGTATGTGTTGTGGGCGGTCCTGCTATTCGTGTCCGGGAGGTCGCTGGGAGTAGATCGACGGCAGAGTCGGGACGGGGCCGGGTCGGCATCGTGTTGCAGGAGAGAGGCCAAACGGAGGTCGGGCTGGTAGAGACACTCGGCAGGTTCAAGCGGGAGGCAGAAGGTACGTGGACAAGGACATGATGGAGCCGGGAGCGAGTTAACTGCTTTTCGAGCGCGCGTCATCTGGCGTACCTTTTTCCACCGCATCGCTGCAGGCGGCCGCCCTCGGTCCTCCAGCACTCCACTCACAACCTGGTAATGTCGCCTTCGCTTCAAACTCGCTGCTTGGACTGACAAGGCATCGACAAGATAGGGATTCGGGAAGGGAGGTTGGACAACGCCCACCGTACTGGGCGCAGGTTACTTATCCCATGGGATCCAGGCCTCCGAAGAGATCCCAGCCGTCTTTCGTCGTGGAAAGGACCGCAACCCCGACCTTCTCCCCCTCTGTGGTACTTGATGCAGCCTGCCGCATATATAAAAATGGATACGCCCGCGCTTCGCCCAAGACCACCTCAAGCTTCCCATCTCTCCGGGCGGCCGAGGCGCTACGCCCGCACACATTTAAAGACCTCGGTTTTGTGAACTCGGATCGGGGGTTCTCTGGACGTGTCTTGATCTGGGATCGCTCCAATGCATGTGAGGTACCTAGTCGCCTGCCGGCATTCAGCACGACGACGCCGGGGCGCCCACCCCCACCCCCAAGGGCCCCTCCGCCCGCAGCACCGCAGCCGCGCCTTCCCCGCTGGAAGCGTGCAAGGGTCGGGCCCGGGGAGCTCGATATCGAATAGCGACCAGCAGTCCGCGCTTCGGCAATCTCAACGACCCAGCTCCACAATTGCAATATGCACCCCTGAAGTGAAGCCTTCCCGACATCCGGCATCGTCAACACCAGTGTTAGGGGCCGTGGGATGCCGTCACGGCGGCGGTACCTCCTGGGCGATTACAAGACATGAGGGACCCACAGGCGTCCACACCAGCGGGGCGCCGTCCCCGTTTCACGGCGTTCCGTCAGCCTTTTGAATGCGCTTCGCGAGCCGGCGTAGAGAGACGCCTCTGCTGTAGCAGTGGGGACCACACAAAACGCCATGGGCGGCTTGCCATCATTAGGTGATGAGCAAAGTTCGGCGAGCGGCCTCGCACCGGTGGTCCGCCCCGATATCTGTGTGTTGTCGGCTGGGGGTCAGACGTGGGGCTGGTCGGGATGTTCGGACTATACTTGTACATTCAGCAGGACCCTATGCGCAGAGTGGAAACATATTAAACCGCTTCGTTGAGCTCCAATAAGTAAAAAAAAAACCATCACACCAGGGTATGGTACACAACCACAAGGGACCTAAGTGACGCACACATGTAAGGACAGAAGACGAATGTGAGAGTGGTACGGAGCGGCGTGCGGAGAAGGGGGTAGAGAGGGGTGCCAGTGGTTGGGGGAGCGTTGCAAAGAACGGGGTCACACAGAGTCCTGAGCGTCGTGACCGGATCGTGAGTCGCGCGTACCAAGAATCGTGTACGTGAGCAATTGTCGTGTCGTTCCTCGCGCGTAGCCTGCCTTCAGCCACCGAAGGGAGACTACAGAGCCAGGAAGCTTGCGACTGTCATGAGCGCACCCATGATGAGAGCGAGCGACTGCGAGGACAGCACGCTCGTGAGTGCCGCATTCTTGGTCGTGGACTGCGTGTTGCTTGTGGAAAGCGACGTCTTGGTGTAACCGCACAAACCAGAACCCGCAAGAGAGTGGTCGGGCATGAGGATCACAGGGACTCCACCTTGCGAGTAATCGACGATAACAGTGCCGTTGCTGCCAACAGCGTACTGCTTGCAGGTAAGGATACTAAGTTCAAATCGTCAGATGATATTCCAAGACCGAGCCGATTGAACTCACTCTGTTGTGGACGAGCTCGCGTTTAGCCACGTGTAGGCATGCGTAGTGAGTGCCTGGGGCTGTTCAAAGGTCAGTAGAAGTCCCGATTAATGTTTCAACATTACTTACAGGAGACCCGATGTTCGTCAGCACAGTGATAACATCGCCCTTGTGGATGACAATGCTGGTATCCGTGTGGCTCAGAATCTCTGTGGACATCGACTCCCAGCCGGCGGTGTTGTTGATCATGAAGTTACGCAGCTGACGATATCGCACTTAGTAAACGAAGAAATCATCGCGGAAATCATCCCCACCCGGTTGAGCTTGGAGATAAGATTGTAGCTGGTGGTGTTGGCGTAGGTCGAAGGCCAAAGAGGTTCACGGTTGTACTGGGAAGAATCATGAGCGGATTTGCTTTGCTCACAACTAACTAGCACTTGCGGATCAGCGTTGCCTTGGAAGCCCTGCTCTTGGCCGTAGTACACAATGGGGATACTGATGATCTGGATGAGTGGGAGCGTATATGACAGGCTCCGGAGCGACTTACCCGTCTGAGAGGAAAGAGAAGATCATGGCATTCCACATGCTCTGAGGATCGACAGACATGTTCGCCCACCGGGGGACGTCCTGGTCCTCCAAAAAGTTGCCGAGAACAGTGGTATCCTGAGAGATCGTGAGCACTACAGCCCCCTAATGAATGGGGGAAAAGCTCCTACCGTTGACTTCTTCTTGATCTGACCGACAATATCAACCAAGGCACTCATGTTCTGAGGACCCGGGATGGTGAAAGCCGACACAAGAGCGTTGTACAGCGGGTAGTTCAGGATGGAATCGAGTGCCTGGGTTCCCTGATACTGGAGTGCTTGGCTGTGATGGCCAGTCAGTCGTTTCCAAGGTCAGGGCAGGAAGTTCACACACCCGGGGTCTGCGTCGAAGACTTCGCCAATGCAGAAGACATCAGCGGCACCACAGAACTGCGGCCAGAAGTCCATGTTCACGTGCCTATACTAACGTTTAGCGGCTGTACTGATGATGGACACCAGACACCCATAACTCACTTGGCAGCTGAGAGAGATGACCCACGGACACGTTATGGATTCAGATTCAGAACAGCCGGAGCGACAGCAGAACTGACCATCAATACGGAGACCATCGATGTTGAACTCCTTGACGAGAGCAGAGATCCACGACTTGTACGTGGAAACCACAGTCGGGTCCTGAGTGTTGACATCAGGGAGAGCGACTTTGGTGTCTCCGAGCCAGCATGACTGCTCGCTACTGGTGTTCCCCCATTGAATGGGACAGTAAGGGTGGTACTGCGACTAAAGAGGAACGCGTATATGAGAGGATGGCGAGAAGAAAGATGACAGAGGCAGTAACCTGGTCCTTGAACGTGAACGTGGAGAGGTCAGAGAGGTCGGTGGAGAGGGACATCACGTTGTTGACGACAACATCGACCATGAGTAGCCTGGGTCAAGCGACAATGAAAGCTGAGCGGGGAATCCGAGACACGAAGACCTGTTTACACACATTCCGCGTTTATGAAGTTCATCAGACAGCGCCTTGAGATCATCAGCGGTGCCGAACTTGGAGTTGAGCTTGGTGGCATCCGAGATCCAGTATCCGTGGTAAGGGTCGCCGTAGGGCGTGCGCTCGCCCTCATAGTTCTGGGACACGGGGCTGATCCAAACTGCGGTGCGGAAAGGGGTTCGGGCACGAGACATGATTAGAGTGCGGGCGACGAACCGGCAGTGAAGCCCATGTTCTGAATGTAGTCGAGGTTGTCCTTGATGGTGTTCCAAGTACCACCGCACCATGTCTGTGCCCCGGGATCGCACGCGTCTGTGGCAGCACCCTCGGGGAGGGCGTAACGGTCGACGATGATTCTGCAAGCGAGCGGGTCGGTGGAAGAGAGTGGAGGAGGGGAAGAAGAACGCGTACTGGTAGATGGACTGCTTCCTCCATACGTCCGCGTTGGCGGCGAAAGTGAGGGAGAGGAAGGAGAGGGGGACGAGGAGGGAGAGGAGCTGCATGTTGAGAGGTATACGGAGGGTATTTTCAGCGCATACGCGGGATTAATGGGTGACGGCGGGCTTTCGGAGGAAGGAGCGAGGGGAGAAGGAATGTGGGCTCAGCGGGGCTGAGAGGAGGACCGGCCGGAGGAGGAGGAGGGAGGAGGGAAGGAGTGTCAGCCTCGGCTGCTGGGGAAGATGGCAGTCGGGAAGCGAGGCGGGCAGCCGGCATGGCGGGCGAATGAATGCTGACCCATGGGCCATGGGATGGTGGCCGGAGAGGGATCACCGTCGCCGTCGGGCCGCGGACAAGTTTGAGCCCGCCTCTCCCTCACCGCCACACCTCCACAACCGTCATGGCCGTCAGCCCGTTCCCCACACAAACGCTCGCCTCCCCGCGTCTGCCTCCCCGCTGTCCTGCGCCCGGTGTCGTCCCTCTGTCGGGCGCAGCGGCACCTCGCTCTCGTCGCTGGCCTGCGTCGTGGTCGCGTGCCTTGTCGCATCTTTTTCTGGACGGCGATGGAAGCCGACGCTGGCGTGACCTCCCGGTTCCTGGCCATCCCCGGACCACCCGGCGTCTCCGTCGCTAACGGTCGTCAGGCCCGACGTCTTCGTCCCGGATCACCTCCCTCGGGCCGCGTGGAATCACCACTCCGGCCACGGCACCTGCCGCCTTACTGCCGCCTCGCCGAAAACAAACCATCCACCCCAGGGGCCATCTAATGGCGATGCGGGTGTAATCAGTGCGTAAAATGTGCCAGATCACAGGTTGCAACGAGCCGAGAGCTCAACTCAGAACCGCCTCGGCTACTTTTAAACGAAGCGGGCCATAAGGATCGACCGCCATATCTATAACACAAATGCTCACATGAGATAATAATACTCACAACGCCCGCGACAGTGCAAGCAGAATCATGGAGCCTCTCGGGCAGGATGCAGTGGGGGCTCGGGCATGTATAGTAGATGGACTCGCGGCAGCGAACACAGCACGAATCCCTAGCAGCCCCTTCCTCCGGATCCCTCGGTCGACCGTTCAACTGTTCATTGCCCGGCACTGGCTACAACCACCAACGACCAAATGCGGAGGCACCATTCCCTCAGCGCCGCATTCCTCTTCTCTCCTCCCCATCCTTCCAGGACACGCTCTGGGCCGTCCTCCCATCCTCCTCGCCGGCTACGTCTCCGCCCGCGCCGCCCTCCTTGACCGCCCCACTGTAGCCCTCCTCGCCTCCCTCGCCTCCCTCGCCCGCCTTTGCACCGCCTTCCCCCCCGACATTATCCTCGACTAGATGGCCCCCGCGTTCACCGCCCACCCTGGGCTCCCAGCGTGGACCGTCATCGCGTGCGGCTGCCCGAACGCGAAAGCGCTCTCGCTCCCGCTCCTCCTCCAAGTGCTCGGCTGCGTGGACGTCCTGAGCGGCCTCGCGACCCCGGGCGGGGACGCGAGTGCGGTGCTCGCGCGCGCGCGCTCCGTGGTCCTCCGCGCAGGAGTTTCAGCTCGCGCCGAGGATCATGCGCTCCGATCGGCGAAAGGGTGCAGTGGTCGAGAGCGTAGCCGTGCGAGATCAGGCCTCAGGACCCCGTAGTCCGGCTCTGGGGCCTAGAAGGAGGACGTCGGTCATGCGGAATTTCGTGCGCGGGAGGGCTACTGGACGGAGACAGGGGGCCGAGGTTGACACAGACCACGGGCGTAATATTGCAGAGGATGATGGCGCGTCGATGGCATCCGACGAGGATGCCGACGTGAAGGAGCAGCCTTCTATGGGTTTGATAAACGAACCGTGGCCGGGGTTTTGAGCCCGCCATTCACGGCAACGATTGTCGCCCTGATCATTGGCGTAAATCGAAAGTGTGCACATGATGTTGGTCCGTGGTACTGACCTCAGGGTGCGCTGACACCTCACAATTCCTGGACAGCGACGGTGCGTTGCACAGCACCGTCACCAGTGCTGTCCACAAACTGGGCGGTACAGTGTACGTCGTTGCTTCAAACGTGCACGTCCTGAAAACTATCCAGCGCAGTCTTTCAAACCTTCAGTCTGCGCCGAGCTCGCGCGTGTCAACTGGTCACATTCAGGGTGACTCGCGCCCTCATGGGTCCTCCTGGTCCGCCCCACCATCAGGCCTGCTCTGAGCCTGCGTTTTATATGGGGGACAGCGGGGCGCGGATGGTATGTTGACAACAAGCTCGTCTGGTGCGGACCGCTCTGTGTTCGGCTTGAGTCACATCTGACCGAGGGGCTGCAGGGTTCTCGATTCTGCCGTCTGCGATGGTGCTCATGAGCGTCGCGGAAGTGGCAGGGGCGAGGCAGGAAGGAATGGCAAGTTGTCTCACCACAGTAGTATCTTCTGTCGCCTCTCATCGCTGTCCCGTGCTCTCACAGCGATTATGTTCAGGGGTAACACAACGTACAGCTTGCAGTATTCATCGCAAAACGTGCGTCGAGGCATCCTGGAACTGGATCTGCAGCGAACGTCAGCGCGTCACAGGAAGACTGAATCGGAAGGTGGTGGGACAAGTTAAAGTTCGCGTGGCTCTGCTGCAGCCACTGCCTCAGGCCGAGGCCCGCAGGCTGCACAGCTGCAGGCCACGGCATGGACACGGGCGTCTACTCCAACACCCTCTTGTATTGGTACTCGACCATGGCCGGCAGACAAGGCGGAAAGCTCAAGCCTCTCAAGGTCTGTGCTTCTCCATCTTCTGCTGTATCTGTGCTCAAGCGTGCTTCTTCAGGCTCCCAAGAAGGATAAGAAGGATCCCGACGACGACGATGTCGCTTTCAAGGAGAGGAAGAAGGCAGAGGAGGCAGCCCTGAAAGCTGCTCGCGACAAAGGTGCGGCTGCTTCTTGTATGTTTCTCTTCTCTAGAGTGTTGACCTTGGGTCATGCCTTAGCTGCAAAGGGTATGTTCGTTCTTTGGCTCATCGAAGGAGAGATGATTCACAATCGATGGTGCGGCAGGCGGTGCTCCTGGCGGTGGAATCAAGAAGTGCGTCTGAGCTATCCATTGGGCCGTTTTCCTAGACTCACACACTGTTCAGGTCCGGCAAGAAATAGCCAGGGTCGTTTCCATGTTTCCCAGCACTCGCTCCCATGCGACCACTAGTCTGTTCCTCCGTATCCCCTTTGCTGCACTGTGCACCTTGCTGTCTCGATACCATACCCCAGCCCCGCGCTCCATGTATCGTAGCAGAACATTTTTGCCAATGTACCCACCAGAACTCATGACTCATCCCTCTCATCCTCCATCATCTATCACGCCACGCCTGAGCAGTTCGGCACACGCACGCATGGTCCAACTACCGGCGACGGACTGCATTGACACACGCTGCTCTCATACAACAACGACCGAGCACGCACACGCACGACACGACCACACCATCCCACCCAACCCATCCCGCTCAAACCCTGACCTTCTTCAGGCCCAAACTCTCCCCCTCCCCGCGTACGCCCACCGCCGCGGGCATCGGCGGCGGCAGCACCGCGCCGATGTCGAACGGCACCTGGATCGTGCCCGAGTGGTCCCACGGGCCGCGCACGAACTCCCGCTCCCTTTCCCGCTCCCTGCGCGCCGACGGGCCCGTGCTCCCCGCGGACGACGGCGAGCTCGGGAGCGACCCCAGCGACGCCTCGCGCCCGTGCGCGAACGCGAACGCGCCGGTGACGACCCCACTGGCGCGCGCGCTGAACGCGGACGGGCCCGCGAGCGCGACCGGCGCGGCGGCGAGCGCGGGGATGACGAGCTCGGGGAGCGCCTTGTGCGACATGCGCACGCGCGGGACGGGGCCCGCCGCGGGCACCGCGCCCGTCGCGGGCGCGTGGAACGCGGGGCAGGGGAGCGAGGGGAGGGTGTGCCGGGGCTGGCCGCGCGGGGGGAGCGGGCCGTCGTGCAGGCGGAGGGGGGTGGGGGGCGACCGGCGGGGCATGGCGTTGCTAGCGTGTGGGGGTGTGGCTGAGAGGAGAACGCGGGCTTCGAGGGCGAGCGAGGCAGCTGTAGGAGCGAGGGCTGTTGGTTAGCATCCTGTGCTTGCAGGAATAACACCGTACACGATGCAGGGGTGTGCGCCAACATACAAAAAATGTGCCAGCAGCAAGGAAAGAGACTCACAATCGGCTACGGTCAGAAAGGGTCGAGTAGAACTGGGAATTCAAGACGAAGAAAGCGAAAGAGCAGTCGGATCAACCGAGCCTGGCTTGTCTGCAGACGAAGCGAGAAGCAGAATGAGCAAGAAGGAGAACAGCGAGCGCAGACCGGGAACGGGGACGTGGAGGACGAGAGGCAACCCAGTGGCAACGGGCGACGCGAGCTCGCTGCCTGTACCCGACCGCGAGCCCATCAGGCCTTCGCTTCCACCATCCAGCCGGCACCCGCGCCCCCGTTCCAGACGCCCGCCTCCATGGCATCCGCCATCGAGATCACTTGACCACAGATCCTCCAACTTTATCCGACTCTGTCACGCAGAAACGAATCACTCACGGACGGGGCGCGGGAACAGAGGGAACGAGCGTAGGGTAGGAACATCTCGTCGCATATGCTTTATGTGACATCTGGACGAGAACTCGTCGCAACGACAACATGGAGCGCATTGCGAACAGAATGCCTGCGAGGGTCGGCTCCCGGGTATATCGATGCAGAGCACTCGTGCGCGCAGCATCTTACAGCACGATCAAGCGGTGGCTGCCACCTGGTGCAGTAATGGCATATGCCTGAATCGTATGCAGTTGGGATCCATGTGCGGGAGAATGGTATGTCATGGCGGCGGGGAGGGGGTTCCAAGGACGTATTGTCCTGCGGCGTGGGTAACAAAACATGCGAGAGGTGATACGACGAAAGTATATACACAGAGGGGGCGGATACGACGCGCTCAGTCGCTCCCTTCTGAAATCGGGCGGTAGTGTTTCATGAGCTGCGTTTTGAATTCTAGACGCTTCATGAGCCCCAAACACGTAATGGCAGAAAGGTCAAACCCTACCTTCGACGTTGTCCCAGATGTTTGACGCATCCGGGTTGAGTGGCGACGCGTTGTTGGGCTCTACCAATAGAATTTAATCAGTCCCGTCTCAAGGCAGTAGACATCCCGGGTACACGTACCCCCAAGCAGGGACTGGAGGGAGAGCATGATGGTCTGCACGCTGTAAACGGCAGACCACTTGTCCTGTTTGCCGACGTCAGCCCCACGTAATCCCACAGCAAGAATATGCGCACCTGCAAGATGTCCAGACAAATGCCACCAGTGCTCAGGTCGACATTTGGGTGGAAGCATGGCGACTCGAACTTGATAGTTGGAGGTGCCATGGGATAGTTTGAAGGGAAGTGGATGGCGATCTTGAATCTCAAACCAGCATACACCTGCGGCAGGTTGGAATCTCGTGAGGATATGGGAGCATGAGGAAACCACGTACCGTACCCGCCGCGCCCTCAATGGTCCCCACCCAATCGAAGAGGTTCGAGTCAGAGCGGGGGAACGCAGACTAAACGGAAATGTTAAGCAGTGTAAGAGGCGTAACAAGCATTCCAAGCTCACAATCCCCGGGGATGCGGACATCTGCGCAATGGTCAATTATGAGATCCTGCCGGGGAAGTCCAGAACACTCACCATGAGGGTCATAAGTTCGCTACTAAGTCTGTAGATATTCAGGCTTGTGACATGCCCATCGCTCCCTCAGCATAGGGACCACTCACCGTTTCGTCACGCTGCCTGCAGGGTCTCCTCCAGCTCCGCCAGCTGAGGGCTTGGTGGCAGTACGGGGGGCAAGCTGAGATGTGATTTGCTCCATTATAGAGGACAGAAGATCGTTAAAGACGTGTAAAAGTAGGAGGGAGAACGACGTGAGGGGGTGGGTGGGTGGCGGGTGGCAGTCGTGTGTTGAGTTTGGACGCGGCTGTTTTGAACGCGTCTTGAACATTACGTCACGTGCGACGCGGAGCGGGCGCGTGGTATCCGTGTTCAGCAAGCATTGTCGCGAATACCTGACGTTTCACGACGCGCAGCAGGATGGAGTCGTGATGTGACATTATGGCGACGTGTGAAAGATCATATGGTACACTGTTCAGTCGTGACTAAATCGTCTAGTATCCGGGGAAAGAAGTCCTGCAGGATATCATCATCTGCCACCACCCGATACCAACTTCATGAAGGAGGGCAAATATTGCTCGCAGATCGAAGAGAAGTAGAACTCATGCTCCGAGTTGTGTTCCTTGACTAGGTTGTGTGCGATCTCGTGAGCAAGTGTGAAGTACCTGAAGGATGGTGAACATGGATAGTAATAGGGAGACAGCGGGACGCACCATGAAATATACGCGTTCATCAGGATACCCGCCTGAACTTCCGCGTCATCTGCAGCGAATGTGTCACAATACGTTTAGAATCCAGCAAGAAACCCGGAGCTCACGCCACTGCTCGAAGTATCTTAGGTTGAGGAACAGACTCGCAGATCGGTTGAAAGCGATGAGCTCGCCGGCGCGGTCATAGAAGATGTGCAGACTGGTAGGCGGGAGGGTATACACTTCCTGCAGAGGCCGAATGGTGTAAATAAAGCGAGCCAGGGATTCAGACTTGGTCTTCATGAAGGACTTCATATCGGGAACGTCTGCGAGCCTAGTATGAGCATATGTTTTTGGGCTACTTGATGAAGACGCCGTACCTTTGGCAACGAAAACCTTGATGCCGCCCATTTCACCTGGAAATCCCAGAACATGAGCAGAGGCGCACCCAGTCCACTGGAATATACTCGCCAGCTAGAGCCATGTCAGTGGGATGCCCGGAAACATCACAGTAACCTTCGTTCAGAGACTCTTTGACCATCTGGACATGCTGCCGATTCCTCAGCGTGTCGTTCCGTTCCTCCTTACATGCCCGGATGGCAAGATCGATGTTGGAGTCTACCAGAAAAAAATTAGTAGAGTATCGAACGTTGACACGCAATTACGAACTGATGGCGCTCCTGGGCGTCGCCGCGGGATTTGGCGTGCGAGCGCGGTCCTGACGCGGAGGCGGCAGGAGCGGTGCCTGCAGCTCATTGCCAACCGGAGGTGGCATGGCTGGTGCATCGCTTGGTCCAGCGACGGCGGAGTTGTCGTCTCCCTTCCTTTTCCACTGATTCATCTTCTGCAGCGATTGACGGAACGTGTTCATCGGCCCGGCATGTTTCGACTCGTCGGGCAAGCTCGCCACTTCGTGGTCGATGAGAGTATCCTTCGCAGGCAGCGGTGGTGGAGAAACCAATGTGTCCACGGGAGCATTCAATGCGGTCTGGGAAGCGATGGCAGCCTTGGCTTTTGCACGAGCTTCTTCTGCAGCGAGACGATCCGCCTTCTGCTGTCGAAGAATGCGGTCGACTACAACACCATCAGTAGTGGCTGGTTTTCACGCGCATGACACGCTTACCATTGTAGCCTCTCCTACGTAGTGCTCGCAGGTCCGTCGACAGGATAGTCATGAACAGAAGAGCATCGTTGACTTTGGGCGAGTCGAAAAGATGCCTGCACATCGACGTTGATACCCTACATGCGAGGTGTCAGTGACACCGACAGAAGAACTGACAGGAAACCCACTTACTCGTACATGTCGACTTGGTCGTTGCCTGCCAGCCACAGTTCGATCGGACCACGATTGATTCTCCGAGCGACGGCCGATGCGTCTTGACTCTTGGAGAATTTCTTCTCACGGTAGTCCAGGGTCTTGGTGACGGTGAGCTTGCCGAAGGTCTTGACGATGAAGTTCTTGTCGCTGTTGAGCCAGGAGTAGGACACCTTTGTCTTCGTGTGCGTGTGTTCATGCAAGAACAACGGCAAGCGTTCCAGGATAAGACCACGAGTCTCTGCCGCTTTGCGCGAGCCTACGACCTCACCGCTGGTATTGTAATCTTCCCGCACCGTCGAGCTCACTCGTCTGCAGCCAAGCTCCATGTAAAATTCTGCCGTCGTATCGTGAGCATAACGGGCATGGCGTTCATAGAATGACCTATACCTTCTAGTAGATCTTCCTGTGGAGCTGTGAATATGACGTCGCCGAAAAGCTGGTATGCATGAGTATCGTCCGCGATCACAATCTTGTCGGGTGTCGCCAGGTCATACTGATACTCCCAATCTTCCTCCTCGAGTTCCTCCATAGTCTGCATAGGCGACTTCTGAATTGTGGGAGACTTCGCCTTGCGGATGCGCTGAGAGCATAGCAGGACGGGGGAGCGCTTCAATCTCGCCAAGGTACCGGAAGAGATCAGCCGTCTGTTGACGGCAATGTTCCGAAGCTCGGTGAGATAGCTGCACAGAAAATCGTCAGCATGAGTTCTTCTCAACAATGCCGTTGACGTACTTCTCACGACCCTCAGCCAACTCGTAGAACTGCCTTGGGTTGTCAAGCAAGATCTTGGCAATCTCCTCGACCGATGGTTCGTGCTTCACGCCGCACGCGCTCAGGAAAGCGTTCGCTGTCACGCCAAAGTCCACGAACGTGAACAACTTCGAGTGGAATTGTGCTTGCGAGTCTCCTTTGAAATAGCACTGTGTAGGAGGTAGACGTTGAATACTTCCGTTGGGGCGCTTGACAGGGACAAATGCCATCTGAGACAAAGCCCTGAGCTCGTGAGAGGAAAACGCTTTGAGCAGATGTCAGTTATGCGTCTCCAAGATTGAGTGGGGAAGATGCATACAGCTAACGCGACTCGCGAGAATCGAGAACCACCGTCCACCTATTTCCTCGCTGGAAGGCGGTGAACTGTGCAAAAGGTTAACCAGTTTCGTCCCGGGTGGGTGTTCTTGAAGCCTGAGATGCACAAGGCTCTCCCCTTTGAGTGACGGGTCGATGACCATGAAGCCAAGAGTGGCCCATTCCGGCGATGAAAACACCTATGATCACCAAGTCACGTACGAACCGATGACGGCGAGCACAAAGCGTACCTCGTGCGGTCGAGCCACGCAGCTCTTGCCGCCTTGCACCGCGGGGATAAATGCGACGTTCGAGAAGTTGTTGGGGTCATAGTCCGCGTAATGGGTGGCATAATGATCAAAGAAGTACTTCATAGCTGCCTTGCGCACTGGCTCATTGTCGTTAGCTGCCAGACCAATGAGCTCAGGCAGTGGCGGGTTGCGTCGCAAGCCCAGCTTGTACAGGAATTTGGCTGTGGTGGGAGTTAGTTTTATACGCAAAATTAATCTGCTTCGGGTACCGTACCCTCTGGAGAATTACTGCGCCATTTCTGGGTCTTTCCCCAGTCGATAATCGGCAGCTTGAGCTCTCTGAATACATCCAGAGGCTCATAGAGATCGGAGGCCTTCTGACGGAAGGGCTTGCCGTTCTCAGGAAGCTTCTCGCCCTCTCGAAGCTCACGAGGGAATGCGGACGTCATCTCCAGTCGCTCGAGCTCGGTGGCGGTAAGCGTCATCTGAACGTCGACAAGATACTTGATCAGGTCCGCGATGGTCCAGTCTCCCGTTTTGATCATCCTGTGACGATACTAGTCAAAATTGACCATCAGCCCGACGAAGTCCAACGCACCGGTCGAAGACGATCTGAAGGTCGACGTGTTTCCGAACTCCAATGGTCTGCAGGAACTTCTCCATAGGTCCTTTCACCACAGCACCGGAAGGCAAGGTCAGAACCGGCAGATCACTGAAGACATGCGCATTTTGGAAGTATGCTTCGCTTGGCCTCTTGAGTCCAGCGGAAGTCGGGATACAAGCGTGTTCGCTAAGCAACGCCTTGGTCTCTTCCAGACGACCCTTGGACAGCGACGGGCTCGCGCGCGCCAGAACGTTCAGCACGCGCTCGGCCCATTGAGGAGACAGGTGGACGTCGTGCTCGGTGTCGTGAGGAGAAGGGGTATGACGATATGTTTAAGCCACTCTGTAATGCTGAGTTCGCGCCAGCCGAAAGCAGCCATGAGATGAGCAGGGTCGAAATGACGGGAGAGGGAGACAGGCAAAAGGTGAGGGGGAAGCGGCCCATCGGTGGGGATGAGGGAGCCACTGGTGCGAGAGTTGAGGAAACTTTCGATGATGGAGAGGGGTACAATCTGTCCCGGCTTGCCAGCTTCTTCGATTGTGAGGACTGCGGCATTCAGTAGCTGTGATCGCACAGTGTCCAGGCTGACAGTGACACCGGCCATGCCCCGATTGTATAGCTTGATCCACCATTTAAAACACTCCTGCATCTCCGTCAGAGTGAGCGGGCGATCACGGAGCTCCTCTAAGACATCCTTGAAGTTGATGTCCTTGAGCATGCCTTGCTCTCGCAATTTATCGATGATGGCGGATGCTTGATCCAAGACTTCCTTTGGGACGATAGGGAGGTTTTTCATGAAACCATCGAACGCCTCGTCTGGGTAGCGCACGTCAAAAGCGTCACGTACGCCTGTGGACGACATGATGTAGAAATGAGTCTTGCGACCGGAGAACAGAGTCTTGGTAACGGCGCATGCGAAGAAGGCCTCTTCGAGGAAACGCGAGACTACTGAAGATGGCGTCGATGCGTGGAATGTAAAGAACTTTAGCGCATGTATGACTTGATCCCGCAATGAGACGCGAAGCTCTTCGTCCAAGGTGGCGTCCGGCGAGTTGACCTTAGCGGCCGCCAGGGCTGTATCCCATGTATGCTGGACGGCAGAAATTTGGATCTCGTAGGCGGCACGCGAGAGGTACCCTCCCATGTAGAGCAGTTCCTTATTCCAAACTGCGATGGGATTAGTGCTACCCAATGTCAAGATTGACAAGCAAGTTCTCACCTGCAACATTACGATCCCTGCGTTTCAAGGAATAATACACAGATCAGGTCGTGCGCGACTTATGCAGCGGGCACACTCACACGAGATCAATGGATTCTCGCTCAACAGTTGGAATGAATCGGGCTGACATGTGCCCTGCGAGACCCGTGGTCTGAGCTGTGGAATGTCCCTGTGATCATGAGTGAGGTTGAGCTGAAAGAAGGTGTCATAGCTCAGCTCACGATGAAAACCTTTGCTTGGCCGGTCCTGTGCTAAAGTGTGAGCCTCTACAGAATGTGGTACCGCACATAGCCTACATACCCATCGATATCCGCACGCAGGCCCTGGAAAATACTCCCTGTGGGCCGCCCGTGCTTTGTATCTTCGCTCTTACTTGCGTCGTACTCTTTCTTTCCGGTCTGTTGATGTCTTAGTAAGATACGAATCATAGCCTGCATGGACGGTGTCACATACATAGATGAGCTCGTATTTCATCCTCGTGGGAGGGTTCTTCTTAGTTGAACGGTTGAGCTCTGTTACCATCTTCTGATCCAAAGAGACTGCGATGTCTGCGGTGAAGATGGAGAGTACGACGTTAGACTCAACGATCGCTTTAGGGTCGACTTTGGGAACAGACGGGGTGGGGGTAGGAGTGATAGATCGTGATGGTGCTCCAGAGCCACCAAAGGAGGAGAAGAGGGACGAGAAGAATCCACCACCACCCCCAGACGTAGGTTTGGGGACTTCTTTCTTTGGCTGGGGTTTTTCGGTCCCTGCCATGTAGACCCACTCCATGACCTCGGCTTTTATCGATAGCGCTGATCATAAGCCAGTTAGCGGGACGTGGGGACAATATCCCAGTCAGATACTAACGAGTTGTCATGATGCCGTGCACAGTCATCGTACCCAACGGACTCGATGGCTTCAATCCTTTTGGTAGAGCGAGCGAGACGGGTTTCCCTGGATTCTTCGTCAGACGAGAAAGCCTCTTGTCGTCCAGGAAGATGCTGACATCGACCAAGTGTCGCATGAATGTGATAGACGATGCCAAGAAGCGAGTAAAATCGAAGGGTTGAGGAATGGGTGTGGGCTCCCGAAGCTCCATCTGAAATGTAGTCCAAGGGTCGTTCTCGATGCCTTTGCGCACTCCTCGCCTTGCGAACAGCTACACACCCGTTAGAAATACACATTGTTAGCGCGATATTGACTGTATAAACCTGGTCTTTCTTGTCCTTCCAGTAAAAGTTCATCCACTGGCCTAATCATGGACGTCATGAGTCCGCCACCGCACTACTAATTGGACTCTTCGTACCTCCAGAAAACACCCATGGCTCCTCGGTCACAGAGAATAGACTGTAGAATCCTGAAGACCTATTTTTAACGAACTGTTATACTGAGTAGCTCGATGTCCATGCTTACCAACGCCGAAGGCCCCGATCTTCTCTTCGTCTGGATTGCCCTCCGCTGAACGTGCGATTATTGAGCAAGACATAAACTTGACGCTCTTCGACACTCACCAATCTTCTTTAGACGGCTCCAGTCCTCGTCTCTGAAGACGATACCATTGTTCTTGAATGTCCACTGGTGGACCTTTGAAACTGTTTCAGTCCGGTTCCCTTCATCTCAACTGACAAGCGTCCTCACCGCAGCGTTCTTGAGATCTGGGAAACTCTCCGCCTCTGGAACAAGATCGGATGCTTCACCGGTTTCAGCCTTGTTATTCTCGCGGTCAAGGTAGGCTTTCGTTTCGAAATGGATCTCGACCGCAGAAGCGCTTGCGTCGTCTGAGTTCTGCAACAGCTCGCGGAACACTGCAAAGGAAATATTGGAGACCTTGTGTGGATGTAAGTTTTAGTTTGAACTCACCTGTGAACTCGCCAGAATATCGCGCAAGGACCTTGTCTATTAGGGCGCGTTGGTTGACCTCAACTGATTCATCATAACCCGACTCCCACTGGAATGATGTGCACCTTTCATAACAATGCATATAAGTGAACCACAACAGACTCACCAACGCATCCCGCACATTAGCCATCGTAATCCTCTAGTCCCGTCGTCGATGACTGACGAGTCCGCGTGATACTCAATGCGAGCCGATCCAGTAGTCCCAAGTAGCTGAGGAAGTCCTGAAGCAAAGATCGTGTGGGCAAGTATTCAAGTAGCGACCCCACAAAATGGTCGAGAAGGGACCGAAAGCCAAGAGGAGGGTGGTAGGGATGAAGAGGGTATATACGAGTGTGTGTGCCAGGCAGTGCCCGAACTTGTGCTGGCTGTCTGTTGTGGACTGAGTGTTCGCGCCTGCCGGGGCAGCCGGACCGCACGCGTCGCATCGTTTCTTCAAGGCGTCAAGGAGTCTTGCCCTTTCCTGACTCTTCCGACCTCCCAGCCTCTAGTCTCTCTGGGCAGACCTTCCACGTACGAAGGCCTCAGCCTCCAGGGACTGCAGGGTCCGTACACTGCACCGTCACCGCAAGTATCTCCGCGCGCCTCTCGCGCTTCATACCCTTGTACATATCCCTCGCTCACGACCCGCCATGACCTCCGCGCCCTTTTTCACGACTTCCGACCCTGCCACGCCCAGCAAATTTGGACCTCGTACCGGAAGGATCAGGCTGGATCGTGGGGACGGGAGCCACGTTCTGGACACAGAAACACCTGCGCTGTTGATCGCGACCTCTCGCGGCGTCGTTCCACACCTCACGCGAGACCATGTGCATCTCACGACCGCCATTCGACACGTCCAACTCCCCTTCGAGTCATTGTAAGACTCCCTAGGTCCTCGCGAGCACCGTTCTGTCTTCTTCTGACAAGAATCTTGCGCAATATGCAGTCTGGATAGGAATCCCCCAGTCCCCACTCTGGTCGAAGGCCCGCACCCTCTCCACTCCTTCCTGGGCTATCGGCCCGAAAGCCACGCGCTCATACTAACGCTTCGCGACCCTTCCGACGGGCGGAAGATGCCTCCCAATGGCACCGACTTTGTATCCGCCCAGTGTACTCGTGGGGTGCGCAAGGTGAGTAAATCCGCACTTCGACCTGGAGAGTTTCGGGACTCACCGTCTTCGTACAGGCGTCTCTAGCTGCATGGAAGGAGTATGCGCACAAATGCAGCCCAGACCTTGTGGTGGCTCTTTCCGACACCCCCTTAACCCCTCCACCGCATTCTCAGAAGCGCCTCACGAAGAGTATAGAACGATCGATAGCTTGGCTCGCTGAGACCCTGAGGGAACCTTCACCCTCGCGCTCACGGCCACCACGGGTTCTCGTCCATCTTGCCGGTGGCGCAAGTTCCCCAGCGCGAGCCGAGTTCTCTGACCGCTTGACGGAACGGATTGAACTGAAAGACGCAGCCGGACTAGCACCGCTCGACACGCTCGACGACGGGGTCGCCGGGTACGTCTTCGACCTTCTACCCCTCCACATGGCCATCCTGGCCGACAGCGAGCAAGCAGACGCCCCGAACGCCTCTCTCGAAGACTTTGTGCACGTCAGCGACCGCCAACGTTCGTCTCCTCAGTCGTCGGAACGGCTCGTTGAACTTCTGCACGCGTCACTGTCTCCTCTCTCAGCGCAGAAACCGCGCATTGTCAACTCCCCCGTCTCCCCTCACGAGATACTGCGGCTCGTCCGGGACATCGGCGTGGACCTTATCGACAGCTTCTGGGCGCAACGCGCCGCAGACATTGGCATCGCGCTCGACTTCGCCTTCCCTGCCCCTTCACCCCTGCAGTCCGCGGAGGTCCCGCCCCCAAGAATACGGGAAGCAGAGAAGCTCGACCTGGGCCACAACCTCTTCGACCACGCGTACGCGCACGATCACTCTCGACTCGCCGCCACCTTCCTCGACGGGCGCGCCGCACAGGCTGGCACTGAACTTCCCGTCTGCCCGTGCGGTGCATGCTCACCCCAAAGCCCTGCGTCGCGGCTCCTCCACAGCCCGGTCGACCACCTCGCGTGGGCGGACAAGCCTCCCGCGACGCTGCAGCCGCCGTTCGTGCGGTCGTACATCCACCACCTCTTGCACACGCACGAGATGTCCTCGCACACGCTCCTCACGATGCACAATATGCATGTGCTCGACGCGTTCCTCGCGGGCATCCGCGCCGTCCTCGCCCGCCCGAACGGGAAGGAAGAGCTGGATCGGGAAATCAAGATATTCGAGCGCGCGTACGACGAAGGAATGGCTCTGTGGGACGAGGCGGAGCGGGTGTGGCTTGAGGTTGAGCGTGCGCGAGGGAAGGGACGGCTGGCGAGAGAGAAAGAGAAGCAGGAGGCTTCGACCATCGGGACCGCAGTAGAGCTGTGATCTATTATATTGAATATTACCGTGGTAGCACGGCGCACAGTACGCTACTCGGAAAGGTTGGCAAGCAAGCCACGCCCAGTTTTACTTGGGAGCGGAGATCACCCGGCGCATGTCGGGACGTTTGCGAGCATCGTCAAAGCGGCGGACAATAACCTCGCACTGTGTCGACTGGCAAATGTGCTTCGAGTTCGCCTTCACGGCATCAGAGATCAATGTCAGACCCGCAGCTCGCTCGACCGCATCAACTGTTGTATGTCAGTGAGGATGGGCTACCGGGACACGGGAATATGTATCCGTACCTGGCACCACGAAGCTCTCTAGCTTGGCTTCGTCAGGGATCACGGCATTTGGCAGCACAAAGGCCCCAGTGAAGACTTCCAGAACGTCGGGGGTCGACGGGGACTTGGGTTTGGTTGTGAGCACAACCTTGGCAAAATGTGTCGGTACAGCGACATTGGGAGGTGAACCAATGACTTCATGGCTCTGGTGCAGGATGAGTAGCTGCTCTAGCCAGACAAAAATAAAGCGATCTTACCACACGCCACTTCCCGTCAGCCTCCATCTTGGGCAGGTACAAGGGCACGGTGAAGACGTAAACGTCTTTGAAAGACCCCGTGAGCCTTCTGCACCAGTCCTCAACATATGCCCAGTCTGTCTCGGAACGGGTTAACTAGAACGTCCGCAGGTTCCCGGCAGTATACGTACAGTGCCTATTGAACCCCTCTCCGACTTGAGGTGCGATGTTAGTGAGCAAGAACGTCTCGTCCATAGCATCCTGCATGCACGGTCAACACTCTCCTCACTAGAAGGTCGCGCCCACGTACCTGCGACGCCTTCGCGTCTGCTGCAGGAACCCTATACGTTCAAGTCGTCAGCTCCCCAGACTAGTACCTCGCGTCCAAGCCACTCACATATGCCCGCGGTCATACCCGCTGCGGAAGTAGTCCTGCAGCCTCGCGCGGAACATCGCAGGTACGGACTGATCCTCCTTAAACTGAGAGTTCTGGCGGTCCGCAGCCGCCCGCGCCTCCTTATCCTGCAGCGGTGACTTGCCGAGGGACGCCAGCGTCAGATGCTCCGCTGTCTGTGGCGAGTCGGGGTGAGCGCAGCGCGTCGCTCGGACGTCCGACGAGCACGTACCCACGCAGGATGGCGAAGCCGACGATCGTACGCGGTGACGTACGCCCGCCGCACGAGCAAGTCCGAGACCGGTCCTGCAAGGCGGAGAGGTGATCGGGACGGGCGCGCACAGGAGGACAGACCGATCGGGCTTACCTGGATGTCCGTACTTTAAGACGGCCATGTCCGTCTGCACTTGTGCTCCTGGAGGCGGGACGACGAGCACGCCCTCTTTGGTGTCCATAATGGGCGGCGTCGTTGGCCTCTGCGCCAGTCCGGGTCCGGTCGGGGGAGGCATGTCCACTTTTTTGTTGCGAGAGGCCACAACGGTGGCGACGCCACCACCAACGAGTGCTCCTACAGCAAACACGGCGGCATTTACGATGCTTGAACTGGCCATGAAGAGCGACAAGACAGGCTGGCGGAAGTCGAGCCTGAGGGAGGAGGGGTCGAGGGCGCACACGAAACGCGGTCAGCTGCAGCACATCGCCTATGACGCGTGCACAAATCCAGGCAAAGCGAGAACCAGCCTCTCGCGCGACCCCTAACAGGACCCCCGACATCTCACCCAAATGCCTGAGCCGAATCCGGACATTGATGGCGATTTCGCGGGCTCGATGCCTGTAGGCGCTTAGGCCTTGTCGGACATTTTCCAGGGTATCGACCGGCCGATGCCTGAGCCATCATCCGACCATTAGGGCGGGGGCTCCTCAAATGCCTGATCCTCAACGGACGGTCGGGCGGCTTTGGGCGGTCCCCGGAGGTCAGTTGGAGTGGGTGACTGACTGCGCGACCAATGGCAGCCACCTTATGTGAGCCGCTGGCGCGCGTGTAAGAACGCTGCATTGACTGAACTGTTTATAATGATATTCTACTGCCCGCAAGTAAATACAGAAAGCAAGCTGAACCCAGACTCCGCCAGAGGCAGCATACTTCTTCAAGACCTAATACAGTTCAATCTCCCCATGTGCTTCCGGGAATTGACGGGCCGTCCGTTTGACCGCGCGCCAGGTGCATATGCTACAGATTTCGTTTGGTCCACCCTGGCTCAGATCCGGGGCGAGAACGAGAACGCGAGGGCACGGACGACGGCTCGAAAGTTGGCCGAGGACTCAGAAAGCGCGGGTAGATCGAGAGGGGATCGCCACGGGCGCAGGTGGCCCGGATAGGTTGGCGGGCAAGGGTCTCTCGACGCGTACAGGTGCCATGGCCCATGCTCTTCCAACCCTCTCACCCGCATGCTGGACTATCGAGTAACCGTCAAGACCTGTGCATTCGATGTGATGACGTGCGCGCCCTAAAGGCCGTCAACGAAGACCCCCCAGAACCCGCGTCCCCCCATCAACGCCCTCACCTACCTCCTCGCCCTCCCCGTTCGAGACCTTCCGCAGCCCCCACAGCATCCCGCGGTCCGTCAGGCGGTCCGTCCGACAGATGTCAAGCACGCCCTCCGGGTCCTGGGCCCGCGCACCGTCATCACTCGCCGCCGCGCACGCCGCACGCGCTCGCGACGCACACCCGCGCGAAGTGGCTCAGTGCAACGTTGTAGTCGTCCGCGGCGATCGGCGTGTGCAGGTGTGCATGCAGCACGGTCATGAGCGCGGCGAGGGCGAGCGTCGGCGAGGGCGAAGGCGAGGGCGAGGGGTCAACGTAGAGGAACCATGGGAGGTCCTGTAAAGAGGCGAGAGGAGAAGTGCGTGGGGGAGGACGAGGGCGCTTAGGCTACAGTAGCCACTGCGAGTCTATGCCCCTATGTGTTCTCGTCAACGATCTCCTGTATTCACAAGTTGCTACAACTCTTGAATGTCTCTCCTACGTGCTCTGAGAAGCCCCGAGGTCTCCTGGACAAAAAATTCGCCTTCCGGAGGCCTGTTCGAGCGGAATCCGGACATTTTGAGGCCCTCCGGAGGCCTGTTCCGAAAATCCGACCAAATCAGCCTCCGGACGGCCGAGGCCTGCGGCCGTCCGACCAAAACGGGGTCGCCGGGAGGCCTGATCCCCGAGGACATTTTTGGCGCTTTTTCGAAAATTGGGATCAGGCATCTGGGTGGAATGTCGGGGGTCCTCCCCTAACCCATGTGACAGGCATATATATGCCCATCCCAAAATAAACTCACGCTGGTTCTGCGCAGGCATCCAACGGTTGATAATGTGATACAGGACATGCATGCAAGCATGGATAATGCCGTGTCCATCCATATATACATCACACCGTTCTTACTCTAACTTGCAATATCGGGTCAGTCATACAACCAAAGGCTACTCTGAGGGGTAAAGGTGGGATAAACGCGGAAGAGGGAAAAGGCAGCATGCGCATGAGCAGGACGACTATGATATATGGGTGGGAGGTGTGAGGGGAATACTTAGCATGCAAGAACAGGAATTGTTTCGAGATGAGAGAGGAGAATGGCTTTTGGTAGGTAAGCCAAATGATGAGGGAGGAACGAGGTGACCGGCGCACTCTCTTGCTCTGCAGAGACCGCCGGTGATGATTAGAGGGCTACGCGAACGGAAGATATCTCCGGACAGACAACGGAGAGGATGATGATCCGGGTAAATACGTGACCGCATCCGAAAGCAGTGTAGGATTGGGGAGACTAGAGCAGGAGACCACGAGGACGAAAGCGAGAGGAGAGGGATGGGTCGTCGTGGAGCCGAATGAAAGTGTGCCGAGTCTATCTCGCAAACGGGATGAACCGAGCGGAGTGCACGTCGCAACCCCAGACCTGCAAATCACTTGCCGCCTGCACGCGCCATCCCGCTAGTCTTCAGATCTCCAAAGGTTCGTGCGAGCGGGCCTCAAAGCCACGGTTGGTTTGACTCTCGCGGCGCTCCCGCCGAGACTCAAAACCACCCACACCAGGGCCACGGGGTTGGCGGACGACGCCAGTGGGGCTGTCCATGCCACCAGTGTTCATGTTGGAGACGCTGGCAGGCAGAGTAGGGACGGGTGGAATACCGTTGCTGCCGAAGGCGGACTGACCGAAGAGAGCGGCGAAACCAGGCGACCGGCGAGAAGGAGAAGCGATAGTAGCGTAGCCTTCGCGGATATTGCCGTTGGAGGAACGAGTGTTGAGGCGCGGCGCGGCTTGCTGGAGACTCTTCATGTCCGGCATGGACTTCTTGACGCGGAGCGACTGCGGCGCCATCGGGGTCGTCGGTGAGAGGTAGGAAGCGGAAGCCCGGGAGAGCGTCTGGCGACCAGCCTAATCGTGGCGAGTCAGTAGTCTGTCCCGAACCGAGGATCATGATGTACTTACAGCATTGGGATCAATGCGAGTCACGACAGCGTAACGCTCCTCGCCTTCACCGACTGAGTAATGATACACCCCGAGCTTCTGGGCCACGAGATGCACAACACGCCTCTGCTTGGGCGAAAGCGCCCGGGAGAACGCAAGCTCGTCGCGCATGGGATCGTCTTTGAAGAGCAGGATGCGCGAATAGATTTCGAGCGTCGATGGATCGTTCAAATCGAGCTCGTTTGATGACTTCAGGCCAGCACCTGGGGATACCGAAGGCATAGGAGAGGTGACATTGAATGACTGCGAGGTAGGCAGAGGCGGCATCTGAGGCGGAGAATACTGCTGGTTCTGGTAGACGTTGGACGCAGAGAAAGACCGCTGGGGGGTGAACGGGGTGGAGATCACCGACCCGTAGTCCTCGTACACCGGCTGCTGTTGCATAGCATGTTGCTCCTTCTCAAGCTGCATGGAGCGCATGCGTCGAATGGCCTTCTCTCGTTCAATGCGCTCCTTTTCTCCGGCCTGAAGCACCTTTTTGTACTCCACGCGAAGCTTACGGCCCTGGACATCGAAGCCGTTGAGAGCCGCGACGACGGCGTCGGCGTCGACCGACTGACGGAAGTTGGCGAAGGCAAGCCCGCGGAACTGACCAGACTGGTCGAGATGGTAGTTGAACGCATACGGCGTCGGGATGGCGAGCGATGCCTGCCGATCAGGTCAGAACATCGGTGTATGCGCCTGAGAGAGATGCCGGAGTCACTCACGATGATATCGAGCAACGTCTCTCGCTTGACGTTGAATGGGATGTTCTTTATAACAATGGCGGTGGGGATGATCTCGTCGTCGCCACCGACGGGGGTGCCAGAAGTCTGTGGGGGCGCGTGCATGTGACCCAAGGGCGGTGAGCCTCCAGACGAGGAGAGATCGGAGTTGTTGGGTGGGGAGAGGGAGCGATTATCTGGCATACTGGCGGGGTTGTCGAGCCACTGCTGGGGACGAGGAACAAGGGTCAACGCGAGGGTATCGAATACGCGTCAGATGGGGTCGAAATACTTACGGAAGGAAGGGCGGCGCGAGAGGCCTTGTTCTTGAGCGGAGACTGATTCATGCCAAGCGGGTTGTACTGGGACTGGGCAGGGATAGGAGGGGATGTAGAGTAGTGGTACGGGTTTCTGCCATTGCCACCGCCGTTGCCTTCAAAGTCGTAAGTGTCGTGAAGACGTTGCTGAGAGGGCTGGGAGCCAATGGAGAGGGTTGCGACCTGGGAGGCGATGTCCGGGGTGGAGGAGGTGGTCATGATGGCTTCGCCGGGTACGCGTACTCGGAATTAGTGGGGGATGATACAGGCCGTTCGTGTCGTGGACTCGTTAGATGGAAATAATGGAGGGGATAGGAGAAGTAGAGCGAATGATAATGCCCAGACAGCGAAGATGGTCGTTGATGTAAAAAGCACCCAGCAGTGAGGCGCTTGCGGTGAGAACATCGACGCGGCGGCCCCCATGGCCAGGCCACGAGGCATCGTTCTTCGTTCGGCGGGCCCCTCCTCTTCTGTCGTGCGGCCCCGTCCGCTGTTGCCGTCGGTGGCAGACCCCTTGCCTGCGACGTTGCGCTGTCTGCCGCGCCCGATTGTGTCCGTGTCTACTCGTCGACCCAGCCCTGTGGCTGCGATACACACCATGCCCACCTTCCGCGGTATGCCGCGGAAGTAGAGCGACGACGTCGACGACTTCCCGTGTGCGAACGAATGCGGCACACGCCATGGAGGCTGGAGCCTACAGGCTGCGGCTGTCTGCGCCGTGCGACCGGGAACATCACCGAGCCCACCACTGCGTACTCCGCAGCCGTAATATACGTCCAGAGTCCTCGTCCCCCGTACCCCTGCGTCCTCGTTGATGACCAGGCCGACCGTCGGGATCGTTTCGCTATGCCTCTACGGCGTCGGTCCATCGCTTCTCCCTTCGTCAGTCCGTACCGCCCTGGATGCCCTCCCGGCGCGCACGGAACGTGGGCTTACAACAATCACTGTAAGTCCCACTCCGGTTAATCAGATTCGCACACCACTTCCTCATCCCTCTCTCCCTGCATGATTCTCCTACCCCCAGACGGCCCCTCACCCCATCCTCACGCTCCCTCCTTCCTCACCCCACGCCCCGAACCCCCGCGGTTTGCCCCACCACCCGAGCAGCATGCCCTCATCTCCGCAGAGGACGACGTACAGCGCTTGTTCAACGTCTGCAGAGTCGGTCGGGGCAATGCCGAGCTCCTCAACGAGGTCCTCGTCTATGCCAAGCCACAGGAGCTCAAGAACGACATCACAAAGGTTTGTCTCCCGTCGCCACCTCTTGTCTCTCCTCTTCGTCTCAAACCACTCTATGCGTAGGAGCTCCTAGAGCGCGCGCGTCAGTCGCACGAACTTATCGCCTCGCAAATACCCTGGGCTACTACCCAAGCTGAGAAGTCGCGGCATTCCGCACGCACACTCGAAGAAACCACCGAGGAACAGCTGCTAGCTGCTCTACTCGGTGCCTATGAGCAGCTTTCGGAATGTCTTCGAATGTATGAGGACCTCGAGCGCATCGCCATTGAGCAGGAGGCGGAGGAGAGGCTAAAGACAGAACGTCTGGTGCGTCGAACTTGCGGGCCAATGCTGCGCTTATTATTAACCGTGTTCCTTTCCCTCGTACTAGATCCAAGCCCTCACGGCTATATCTGAGTACCGACCCGTAGCCGAGGAAACACCTTTGATTGACTGGGTGTTAGCACAAGGTGATCCCGAACGTACTGGGAAGATCAACCCACAAACCGCCACTCGAATTTTCAGTGCTTCCAACCTCACCCCGGATGCTCTTGCCAGGATTTGGGAGATAGCGAGTGTCGATAGCAAAGACGGCCTCTTGGACAGGCAAGGTGTCGGAATAGCACTCCGTTTGATTGGGCATGCGCAGAATGGGGCGGTTGTTATGGAAAACTTGGTCAAATTATGTGAGTATTCTTTCGCGTATAGCGAGAATGCGAAGACATTGACGTCGCATAGCCGGTCCACTTGCTGTGCTTGAGAACATCTCCCCGATCGCCATTGAGTCCGTCGCCGGACCCTCTACGGGCGTGGCGACCCATGTTCTTCCGCCCCTGACTTTGCATGACCAAAATAAGTTCAAGAAGATCTTCAAGGCTTCTGGTGCAGAGAACGGCTTCCTAGGAGGTATATCTCATGACACAGCGAGACTTCACGTTGGCTCACACGCGTAAAGGAAACAAAGCAAAGGACGTGTTCATGAAGTCCAAGCTTCCCTGGAATGCTTTGTCGGATATCTGGTTTGTAGATATGCTCAAAATCCAAAATCCAATAACCATGTCTCATCTCATTGATTTTAGGATGCTCGCTGACTCGCGTCGTCGGGGTTTTCTTGATGTCTCGGACTTCATCGTTGCTATGTATCTAATCCAGGCCCTCATGACTGGGAAGCTCACTTCGGTACCTACCTCTCTCCCTCAACACATATACGAAGAAGCTGGGCGGGGCTCCTCTAATCTTCTCGACCTGAATGGGCAAACATCTAGCGCGCTACAACCATCACATTCGCCGTTCGCCACTCAACCTCCTCCCCAGCACCCCACAACACGATCACCTCGACCGCCAAGTTTCACTTGGGACATCTCCCCAGCTACTAAAATCCAAGCTGACCATACGTTTTCGACTCTGGATCCTGGCAAGACGGGACGAGTCCTAGAAGAGACGGGAAGGGCATATATGCATCAAGCAGGCCTGTCTACAAGCGCAGTCGGTCGAGTCTGGTACGTAGGCTTGGCTGAAGTGACAAGGTTTGAGCTCAATTGAGAATTTAGGGATCTCGTCGATGTTGGCAAGAAAGGATTCCTCACTCCCCTGGAGTTTTCAGTAGCTATGCACCTTGTCAAGATGAGAAAAGAGGGCTATCATTTACCACCATCAGTACCACTTGAGCTACTGCCGACCACCTCCGACGGCGCGTATACGGGTCTCACTGCCAGACAGCCGTCTGAAACCGGAACTCGAATGATGGTTGCTCTATACCCTCCGTCACCACACGGCGAGGGAACGCGCTCTGCCTCCACATCACCTGGTCCCTCTCGCTTGAGGGCATCGCGGAGTACACCTCAACTGCACATGCTCGGACCGCCGCCCCCACCAACTTCGTGTCCACCACCTTTCCCAATGTCCCCTCTCCCACAACCTTTCGAATACGTTCCAGCACAACCCACAGGCATCGAGCAACTGGATATCCGTCCGGAGGAGCGAGCACGATACGACCGCTTCTTCGAGCAACTAGATACCGCAAGGCAAGGGTATCTGAAGTCCGACGTGGCGGTGCCATTCTTTGCTCGAGCTAAGCTACCCAATGCCGTCATGGCCACTATATGGTGAGGACGAAGAGCGCCATTTTGGAATAATCGCGGTATTAACGTTGTCCGGCACCCAGGGATCTGGCCGATTCAGAGCATGACGGGCGACTGACTCCTGAAGACTTCGCGGTTGCGATGCACTTGATCCGGCAGAAGCTGGCTGGGAAGGAGCTTCCGACATCTGTCGTACATACCCCTTCCGCTGGACCATCATCGCACCAACCGCAGCTACAGCGCCCACACAGGCATTACAGTGAACCCTCATTCGAATCTGCTCCGTCTGGGGCGGCCACCCCAGATGCGTCATCTCCCCCTCTTTCTCTCCCCCATCCTCCCCCTCCTGCCGTCGCTCCTGCTCCATCCCAGCCCGAGACGGATCCTACGACGGTTCGACTGCCAGATGATGTCCCGGATGATCTCAGATCGGATACGCCTCCCCCGCCGTATGAGCTGTTACCTTCGGGTATGACCTAGTATATGCATTGGATACTTCGTGGACGCTCGGACATGGACGCTTCGTGTATTACTGTGTAAATCGCATACATGTGCTGCATTTGTTGAGCGCCCATAGTGTTGGCTATGGATGCCGGTCGCCGAGGGCTTCTGAGCGACTCTGCTGGGTTCCCTGCGCGCGCTGGTGCCGCGAAGGCTGGAAGGCTCCCGTTGGCAGTCGGGGCCTGAGGGAGAACAAGGCAAGCGGACATGCGGCAGATGGAGTGGCGAAGGTCGAGCGGAAGTTACGTAAAAGCGTAAAGATCCAGAAAAACGAGGCAGGCGGCGCTGGCGGGCTCGAATAAATGCAAACGGCGGGCGGGACGGGGGCGTCGACCCCGCATACCGACTCTGAGCCCGCCGAGGACGTCGGCGAGCGAGCAAAACACGACGAGACTAGCAGTGCGCACCGAGAAAGGCCGGCTCGGCTGGGCGCGTCCGCATTGTTTGTGCCAAACAGGCCAGGATGATCAACGGCGCTGCCCTGCGAACCAACTCGAAACCCCCACCACCGTCCCCGCGCCGCACTCCGCCATCCAACTCCCCATGCTGGGCTCGCTCGCAGGCCCCAACAAGCCTCCACCCGGCCAGCAGCAGCAGCCCAAGGCCCCCAGCAGCAGCAGGGCCCCCAGCAGTCCGAAATCCCCTCCCCCCGCAGAGCGGCCAAGACTACACACTCTCCTCCGTCCTCCACTTCTCCAGACCGAATGGCGTCGCTACGAGCGCGACAGGAACGAATGGGAGATCGAGCGGGCGGAGATGCGGGTGAGTCTTCGCGCTGTCCTCCCCACACCCGTCGCGTCGCTCACGATGTCTCGTGTGCGTACGCCGCCCAGGCTCGCATTGCGCTCCTTGAGGGCGAGCGTCGCTCGTTCGACAACGTCAAGCTCGATCTCATGCGGCGAATCAAGATGCTGGAGTACGCCCTACGCGTTGAACGGTACGCGTTGCACCTCGCTCGCCGGCGCACGTCCCGCGCCTGACGTGTCGTCCCTCGTAGTTCCAAGCAGCTCGCCCAGCCGCCTGCCCAATCCGTCCCGCCTTCCAAACTTGCGACACTGCAGTCTCAAATAGCCCTCACCTCCCACAAAGACGACGGCAGCAGCGGCAGCTCGCCGCGCAGCGAAGGTGCGTTTGGAGGTCGTGCGACACGCTTCAGGGACGTATCATTCAGGCATGTTCAGACTCCCCTCTGCCGCCCGACCGCATGTCCACGGGCTCGTTTCCCAACGGAGCTGCATCAGGCGGGCCCCCGAGCCGCACACAAACATGGATGAGCGGCACGGGTGGGGTGGAATCAACTCTACCGCGGCGACGGTAGGCACGATGGGGAAGCCCCCTCCGGGACGCGACATGAAGAGCCGGGCGAGGAGTAGAGATTTCTTGAAGCAGTGCGTATAGTCTATTTCGCCCGTAGATTTTTGCACCAACACCCCTACAGGTGTCTCCAAGAGGTCTCCTACCTCACCTCCCCCCAAGCAATGAACCCCCTTCCAAACCGTGCGCTCTTGGCAAACTCCAACCTCCCCCTCCAGCTCCCGAACGTCCCCCAGTTCGAACAAATGCCGTACAATGGTCGTCCGCGAAAGTCCATGCCTGAAGTCGGCAAAGACTTCAACATGAACCTCATGTCTGGTCCCTCAACTGCTCCCGCTGCACCACAGTCAAACACCCTTGACCGTACCGGTCTAGCAGGCCCCGGTGTCCTTAACCAGCAGCCGGGACAGGCGACAAACGGTATTGGTCAGCAAATGCAGCAGCCCACGCAGTCTCAAGGTTCCCAGCCTTTCTCAGGGGAGATGAAGGACAGGGAAGAACCCGACCAACCATTGTCTGACGACGGTGCAGACTGGAAGGAGAGGTTCCGGTTATCACAGGAAGGCTCGGAGCAGGCACGGCACCAGCTGAACAACTCCATCAGCGGTGCAGGTGCATGGGAGCAGCGTGCACGAGATGAGGACGATGATGGGAAGGATGAGGCGGATGACGACGATGCCAGCGTCATGAGCGAGGGAGAGAGTACGAAGGTGTGGAAAGCGAAAAGGACGCTCCGGAAGTCAGTATAATTTTCATGATCCGTTGAACGGCGTGCATACCCTTCGGTTCTGGAAGCTGACTTATCTCTCAGTCATCTGGATGCCGTCCGCGCGCTCGCCTTCCACCCAACGGAGCTTTGTCTCGCAAGCGCAGGCGACGATAGCACGGTCAAGATCTGGCGTGTTGATGTCGCGAGCCTCGCGTCCTCGGCGTGCGCTTTCCCCCTCCTATTCGCCCGCGGTTCATCGGATCTGACCTCTATTGTTCAGCTCTCGCCCAACGACGGAAGTCGAGCCCCAGCTTACGCTTCGCGGACATTCGGCTGCGATTACCCGCCTGGTCCATTCCCCCACAAAAGGCCTTTTGTATTCGGCATCCCTCGATTCTTCGATCCGCGTATGGGCACTTCCCGCCCCCTCGCATACGACCTACGCGCCGTATGATGCGACGCGCGCGCGGGGAGAGTTGATCGGCCACACGGACGCGGTGTGGGATCTGGCTCTGGCGCGCGACGAGAGCACGCTCATCAGTTGCGGCGCCGAGGGGTCGGTCAAGGTCTGGGACGTTTCTGGGCCGTCGGGTGGCGGTTCACTCAAACTCTCGTGGTTGTACGACGGGCTTGAGACGCCATCTGATCTCAGTCCCGAAGGCGACCAACCTGGCGCGACAGCCGTTGAGGCGATCAAGACCGACCTCAAGAAGGTTGCGGTCGGTTACCAGAACGCCGTTATCAAAGTCTTCGACATCGAGAGTGGGAAAGAGCTGTCCAAATTCCAAGTGGACCCTGTTGAGGGTGGTAAGTGGCTGTGGGCTTGTGTCTGCGGCGCAGCGTGCTTACAGTGTGTATGCAGACGATTCCGTATCGGCGCAAGTGAACAGCATTGTGTCACATCCCACGATGCCTCTGCTCATTACTGGCCACGAAGACAAGCACATACGCATATTCGACATCGTCACTGGTGCGCCACCAGTTTAAGTTTTCCGCCAGTGCAACGGCTAATCTTCTCCTGACCTCACCCTCCAGGCCAGTGCACGTACTCGATGCTCGCACACCTCGATGCCGTCACCTCGCTCTCGATCGACGCGGCTGGGTTTGCACTCGTCTCGGGATCGCACGACTGCTCCGTCCGCTTCTGGGACATCCTCGGCTCGCGCGCCTGCATCCAGGAGAACACGAGCCACCGTGAAAAGGCGCGCGAGGGCGTGCTGGACGTCGAGTTCCACGCCTCGCTACCCATCATGGCCAGCGCCGGCGCCGACGGCGTCGTCAAGCTGTACGCGTCCAGCGCCTCATGAGTGCGCCCGCGCCTGGGTGCGCTGTGGTGTGGACGGTTCGTATATAGCTCTAGCTCATGGATGCATGCCGCCGGTCGTCTGGTTCGCTCTCTTGCTGTTGTGTACTCCGCATATATACCTCGTACGACCCTTACGAGCGCAGTAATAGGATTGTTATCTCGGGAAGGACCGCGTCAGCCCAGTGCTGTCTGAAACTTGGCTTAACAGTGAATGGCTAGAGGTAATGATACAATGTGTCTAGGGCTACAGTGGGGAATATGGCAAGTCCGAGGTATAGGCGTACATCGAAGAGACAACAGTAAAATGGTATGGTCGGTTCATCAGCTATATCGCTGCGAAGCGGATGTCAGTCACTGTCCGGAGGGATCTCGCACGAGAAGACGTACATATGTGCATGCCCTGCTCCGCGGCAATAATCTCCGCCCCGAGACCCTTCGCCTCCACGAGCTCACGCACCTGCCTCGCAACGACCTCGTGTATCGGCTCGTCGAACGCGCCCTGGAGGTCGTCCTTGACGTGGATCACGTACACCGTCAGACCCGCGAGCGCGCCCCGCGCGTCCGGCGCCGCGTCCGTGTTCCGCCGCCTCTTCTTGCGCGCCCCGTTCGGCCGCTCGCCCTCCCGCGCGCGCGCCTGCTCGCGCTCGCGCACGCCCGCGACCTCCTGCGCGAGCGCGGCGAGCTCGGCGGCGAGGTGCTCCGGGCCGAGGTGGCCGTAGAGGGTGTCCGCGGGGCGGCCCGCCGGCCACGAGCACTCGATGAACAGCGCGGGGAGCGCGTGGGGGACCTTGGGCGCGGCGGCGCGCCAGACGTCGAGCGTGCGCGGGCCCCCGCGCGCGCGCGAGACGGCGTCGGGCTCGACGTCGCCGAAGAAGAGGAGCTCGCGGGCCGAGGGCGCGTGGCGGACGAAGAACGCGGCGGAGGGGTACGTCCCGCCCGCCGGGGTCTCGCCGTGGCTGAGGGGCATGGCGCGCACCGCGAGGTCGCGCGCGACGGGGGTGTAGCCGGCGTCGGGGGGTATCCTGCGGGGGGCGGCGTTGGGAGGCGTCGGAGACGGGAGAATGGAGGGAAGGGGACGTACGGAGAGAGTAGGAGGCAGGTCCCGGGCTGCTCTGCGTCCTCCCAGCTCGCGAGGTTGGGCCAGACGTCGCCTGCGAAGATGCCCGCGAGGCCCTCGAGCGTTTTCTGGTGGCCGTAGACGCGTTTTGGCAAACCTTTGACGGAGCCTGCGGACAGCACGAGGCCGTTGACGTGGTCCAGGTGTGCGTGGGTGACGAGGTAGCATCTGCGGCACGCCAGTGAGCTCGGGCGCGGTCGACGAGCGCGCTGCGGAGGGGGGCGCACCGTATTCGAGCGTAGACGTCGGCGGCAGTCTTGAGCGCAGGCGGCCCATCGGAATCAGCGGGGGTGGACCCGGGATTTGCGAACGCGTCCGGACGCGATCCGAGAAGCTTCGTGAGCGCGCCCATGCCAGAGCCTGCAGAGGAGCACGCTGAGGCACGCGAGCAGGCCAAGTGCAGGGACACTGCGCACCTGCTTCCAGAGCCACGATGCCGTCCTCCCAGGTCGCGTCGGCGGCTTTGAGCAAGTAGCTGCGGCGGTGCGTGGGTGAGTTGGCGCAGTGGATGAGAAGGAGGGAGCACGGACCTCGACAGATTGTGTTCGCTCGGTCCACCACCTGCACCGAGGGTGGGATTGAGGAGACGGAAGAGGGGAGGACGAGGGGAGGACTCACCACAGCCGACGACGACAATGTCAAAGCTGCTCATTGGGAAGAGGACAGAAGGTTCTGCGCGGAAACGTACGGTCGCGTGGGCGGTTTGCAGGCGCGTCGGGGAGTGGAAGGTTGAGCTGGCGAGTGCACTCTGGCCTATCCACCGGGCGGGACCGACGCAGCAGCTCGCGCAAGGCACACGAAGGCGCGGGCGGGGCAGCAGGTGGGCAGCGACGGGGCCCGAGGCTGTGAACGCGGCGACGACCGTCTCCGGGGCGCGCTTGCGGAGGAGGAGGATGGGATGGGCGGGAGTGTGGGCGGGAGAGTGGGCGGGGTACGGGCAGACCTTTTAGCGGAGACGACGAGCGTGTGCGCCTCGGGCGGGCGCAGGGCCATGAATGCGAGCACAATCGCCGCCGCCGCCGTTGTCCGCCTTTGCCGCCAATCCGCCCCCCAGCAGGCGTGGCGGTGGCCCGCTTAGAACAATGCCGTCCTCCTCGCCCGCTCGCCTGCGGGCTCTCGCGCCCCGACATAGACCGGACAGAGCACAAGACCGCGGTGCACGAGTCAAGAGTTCAAGCGCGGCGCACCGCACACGGGCTCACACGCGGGCCCAGGACTCGGACGTCGGCCACTCACGCGACTCACTCAGCCCACCGCCCAAGACGAGATAACAAGGTGTCATTGACGGTCAAATACGGACGCTCCTCCCTCGAGGCCGCGCTCCATTCATCGCATAGGCAGAGGATGCCCGAGCCCGTCGCGGAATTCCGACACCAGGGTGAGACAGAAAACGGTGAGCGAGAGTAGTAAGCTAGGTCCGGAGTCCGTTCCGTATGGAAAAAATAGCAGATTACTTAGTTTGCGACCACACGACGAGTTATACGGAACAAGGGTGACGAAACGGAGAGAGAGAGAGAGCTCATAAAGCTAACCAAACGAGCGTGGAGAGGACAAGCACGAGGCAGAGTGGAACGAGCGGCAGGTACAGGTAGAGGGTTGCCCTTGTTGGTAGTATGGAAGGCATATACAGCCATACCTTTCAGAGAAGGAACCATGAACGATCCCGAGGATTATTGTGCACCTGTCCGCGGCATTGTCAGCAATGTTCCTCAACAAGGTCAATGGCGCTGGACGTACCTAGTAAGCTATTGAGCGCCCTCTGGACGTCGTACCCATGTTCTTCGAGCGCCGTCACCGCCTGCGTCCTGCTGAAGCCCATGCCGCAGAGCGTCTTCACCGCCTCCACGTCGTCTTCCACTGCGGGTGTCGGGTCCTCCACGATCAGCTGCTGTGACAGCTGAGGTACTGGCGGGGCGTCGTGCTGCTTTTTCTTGCGGCCGAAGGGCAAGCGGATCTGGGGCACATACGTGAGCCGATATCCTCGCCTCGAAATAAAAGGTCACTTACACTGAGCCGGTTACTCCTGGTCGGAGGGGCCTTCTCCTTGCCCTCCTTCTGCGAGTCTGCGGTCGACGGCCTCGGACGGGGAGAAGAGTGCCTAGGAGGTGGGCTGGGGTGCCCTCCAGATGGAGACAACGATCTCCTGCCGCCCGGCGCGGTCGAGCTCGACCCTCGCGGCGAGCCCACCGGTGACCCCGCCGGGAACGCGTGCTGCTGCTGCCGACCCGGTGGCGGGCCTGCTGGAGGCTGGAAGCCCGAGGCGGAGATCGTCGACGTGGCCGCCGATCCGGTCGGGGGAACCGATCCAGTGCTCGTGAACGAGGAGTCGAGGGTGAGCGCGTCATCAGTTCCCCCAAAGGCGTCCTCGAACGAGAAGCCGCTAGCGGTGCCGTTGCTTCGCCCGGAAGTACTAGCGGTGAGGTTTTGTGCTGGGGCATGGGGCAGATGGGAAGAGGACCCCGTCGAGCCGACACCAGCACCGAACGCGTCGTCAAAGGAAATGGTATGGGACGGTGCGCTGGACTGGGCCGAGTGGCTTGTAGGGAGAGCGGTGGCTACTGCGGCGGCGGGGGCGACGGCAGCAGGCGCGGGGACATTGCTTGTACCGAACACATCGTCGAAGCTAGAGCGCTTGGTGGTGGGGACTGGGGGAAAACCTGGAGCGGGGGCAGAAGGGGCAGGAGGGAAGGCGGCAGCCGCCGCCGCCGGATTGGCATCCACGATGGGCTGGGCTGCAGATGCAGCAGCGAAGTCGAAATTGTCGTCGAAGGCCGAATCAAACCCCCCAAACCCCGTGAACTGAGACGAAGCCGTGCTGCTCTCCATACTTGGAAGCTTGGCCAGTGCCTGATCGAACTCGTTAACACCAGCCGAAGGAACCGCAGTGCCGTTAATGTTCGGAGTGGCGGCCATGGCGGGAATGGTGGCTGACGGAGGGGCTTCCTTGGCCACAGCAGGGGTCTCAAACATACTTTCAAAGTCGTTAGCCGCAGTGGACGAAGGCGAGGCTACCGGCAAGGGAGGAGACGCCTGCTTGTACGCGTCATTCTCCTCCTTCGAGATTGAGATACCAAAGGAATCCTCGAAGGCAGAAGTATCTGTGGTGACCGAAGCTCCGTTTGTCTGGGGTTCAGCTTGCTCTGTCAGCTTCGCCGCAACTGAGGTCAGCGGCTCGTTGTCGTCGTCGTCGTCGTCGCTGCTGTCGTCGCTGTCCGACTCTTCGATTTCCTTCAACTGGTGGGCGAGATCAGTATCCTCGTGGCCACTGAGAGGCGTGGATGCGGAGGGGCCTGTAGGAGTGGGCGCAATGTCATCGGTGACGATGTCCTCCAGCGCAGGGAATTGCCCAGCCTCGCTCGGTTGGGGCGACGTGTGGTGGGAAGCAGTCGCGGTACTCGGGGGTGTTGTGAAGAGGTCGGCCTCGGTGTCGGCAGGAGAAATGATCTCTTGTGCACTGGGCGATCCGAGATTAAGAGGCGGCGGCACAGAAGGTTTCGGCGTCTCGGGGACGAGCTCCTCAGGCTTGGACTCCGTTGGGATAGGGACGAACGCCTGGTCAAATCCAAAAGGATCGATACTGGCAGCGGGGACCGCGGGAGTTTCATGCACAACAGGGGTTGGGAGAGTTGACGAAGTGGTGAACGGAAGGAAGGGGGACTCTGACCGAGGAGTGCCCGACATGGCCAGCCGCTCGAAGGGATTGGTGCTCTTGCTAGTCGAGGCAGGTGGGGAAATTTCTGGAGAAGTCGGCAACGGCAGGGCAGCGGCAAAGGCCAGAGTGGGATCTGGGCTCGCAGCGGCAGAGACATGACCGTTTGCGAGCGGGACTGCGGCGACCTCAGCCTCAGCAGTCTCACGTTCCGCGGTGGCAGTCTGCAGCTCCCCCCTCGCGTCCTCCAGTTCTTTGTCGATCTTGGCCTTCTCAGCCTCCCTGGTAGCAAGCTGCTTCTTTGCAATGGCAAGCAGTCCCTTTTGTTGCTTCGCCTCCTTCTTCATCTTCTCGACCTCAGCCTTCGTGGTCTCGATGCTCATTCCCGTCTCGGTCATCTTTCGTTGCAACTCCCGAACTTCTTCCTTGTCACGAAGGAGAGCGCCCTCAATCTCAGCCTTCTCCACCTTGAACGCGCTGAGGTCGCTTTCAGAATGAATGAGCTCCTCTCGGGTCTTCTGGATGTCCGCGCTCTGGGTGGCGAAGCGTTCTTTGAGGGCTGCCAGAAGCTTCGTTTCGGTGTCATAAGCCGCTTTCGACGATAAGAGTTGACTTTGAAGGCTGGAAAGCATGGCAGCTTGCTCCGTCAACTGACGCTCGGGGTTGGCGCGTTCGCTTTGAGCAGCCTCTAAGGAACGGTTGGTGGAAGCCAACTGATTCTTGACGTTCCCGATCTCTGCAGATTTGTCCTGGAGCGGAGCTACTCGCGCTGCGACGTCGTCGTCATCGCCAAGGAGATCATGCGCAGGAGATGCTAGCAGAGAACATCAGTCAAAGGATGGAAATGCGCAATGTGGTCTGACGCACATGTGCTAGGTACACCGAATGGACTGTTCGCGAACGGATCGGAAACGGCAGCAGATGGAACTCGAGGTGGAGGAGACATGGTCGGTGTCGAACGACCTTGGGACATCATAGACATATGACCGGTGGTCTGCGGCTGCAAAATACCGGTGGACTGTGGCTGCATCACGCCAGTAGACTGTGGTTGCATCATTCCTGTAGACTGGGGCTGCATCATGCCAGTAGACTGAGGCTGCAGGATCGACGTGGGATGAGTAGGAGCGGTGGCTGACGCCGGAGGGGAGTCGTCCCAAAGTAGGTCTCGCATAGTCTCGGACATCTGTGGTTGTTGAGGAGCGGTGGAACCACGCATGGAAGGCGGGATGAGAGTCGGCGGGATGGTCGTTGGAATGTCGACGCCGGCCATTTTGCCTTGGATCAGATGCATGGCGACTGCGAAGCCGTCATGGGTCAACCGGCCGTCGTTGTTGAGGTCGGAAAGGTCCCTGAACACATATTAGACAATGGAAGCGCAGAATCTCGGCGGACACCTACCAGACTTGAGCCAACACGTCTTCAGGCAACTTGGACTGTAACATGAACGGTACAGCGACATCGCCTTCGATATATCCTCTCTGCTGGGTATCCAGACTTTCGAAGATACGGTCCGCACTAGCCTTCTCTTGAGGAGTAACGTCCCACTGAACGTTGGGAGACTGCGGCGCGGCGAAAGGGAAGTTCGAGCCAGAAGGTGCACCTCGTGGTGGTGGGGGCGGCGGGGCATTCCTGAGAGGACCGGTCGTTTGAGGCTGCATCTGGGAGAGGGCTTGGCCAGTCATTTGCGGTTGCATCTGCGACAGGGTTTGGCCAGTCATTTGCGGCTGCATCTGGGAGAGTGTCTGTCCAGTGTATTGTTGTTGCAGAGGACGGTTCGGGAAGCCGCCAGTGAGTGATGGACTTGTGTGCCCGCTGTCGCCTGTAGCCTGAGGTACGATACCGTTCATAGCTTGTTCGTAAAGGGAGGGGGGTAGTGTCGCAGGAATCTGCTGGAGCTGACCAGACATGGATGCTTGGATGAGATACATTGCTATCGTGAAGTCGGTAGCATCAAGGGAGCCACGATTCTTCGTGTCGGCGAGATTCCTGTGAGACGAGGAACAATCAGTAAGCGCAAATCTTCATAGGATTGCAGACAAAGCTGGGTGACGCATCGAATGATCGTTCGCCCGCGCGACTTGTCCTTTCGCTAGAGAAACCTTCCCATCGCACACGCGCCTGTCATCTCCACAAGATAATGATGCGTCGATGGGCGAGACTGGTCTCATCACCATCTCGCGAAACAACCAAACAGCGCGCTCTTTCCGACCGCGTTATAGAATGTGACCGCGAACTCGCCCAGAAATCTCCTCGGCCATGAACTCTAGGATGTGAACTCACCAAATCTGTGACAACTTGTCCACAGGTAATTTGGACTTAACGAACACGTCTCTCGCCTTCTCGCCTGAATAACCTGGTCAGCGAGGTGAAGCATAACGCGAGGGTTGCGCGTGTGCGCACCATTGAGGACCCCGTTCTGTGGATGGCAGCCCAAGAAAAGCTTGAGAAACTTGGCCTTGTCTGCAGGTGAGAGAGGTGGGAAGCCAGTGACTGGGGACTTGGCCCGGGCGTTCAGGCTTGAAGGTGCCGCGACGGCGGGAAGGCCCTCGATGCTAGGTATCGGACCGGCTGCACGCGAAGTAGATAATGAACTCGCGTGTACGCGGTGCAGGGACGCAACGAATGCACTCACGTTGGTACGCTAGACTCTCTTCCACATTCTCACCGCGCTGCGCATGGCCTAGAAGGCGCACGGCGATGCCAACACCCTTGCGAGTAAGGACACCGTTGTTGTCTTCGTCAGCAATGCTCCAGATCTGAGCGAGAACGGTTGGGGAGAGCTTGGACCCGCTGAATATCCTGACGGCAGCGTCGCCAGTAACAACATTGAGTTTCTGTGTGTCGGCCTGGGCGAAGATGGCGTTGATGAGCGCGACCTCTTGTGGAGTGGGGGTGAACTTGGACATGGCCAATAAGTTAGAGGGGGCGCATGCGTTGGCCGGGTGCGAGCTAGCTGACGTTCGTCGGCGTCTCTCGCCCCCGCCCCGCGCTCGTGGGAATCCCCGCCTGCGCGGCGCTGTGCGGACCGCCCGGCCGTGTTTTAGAACAGCCATCGGCCAAGCCTCTCCGAAGATGATCTTGTGCCTGGGTAGAGCAGCAGCGTTCCAGACTACGCTTCGCACAACAACTACACACTCAGGCGCGTAAGAGTGGACAATGACAGAGTGCATTAAGCAAGTGTATTAGATTAGAAATCAGCTAGAATATCCTTCACGCTCGCCCAGTAAGCCTTGTCCACACGAGACTCAATCTCCTCCTTCGTTAGCCATGCAAAGTCGGAGACAGTCTTCCCGGGGCGGACCTGGCCAGCAAGAATGTGGCCCTTAAGGAAGAACGTGTAGGCCTGCGGACGAATTGAATGACGACGCTCCTGCCACGAAAACACTGCAACACACCTCGTTTTCAGAGCCCGATGGCTGATGCATGGCAATAGGCTTCCTGCCCACCATCCATGCATCCATGTTCTCACCGCACTCCGCGTAGAGGTCTCGCACCGCAGCCTACGGAATTTTCACGGTGAACATCTTGCATCATTCCGCCCAAGGGGTGTAACTCACCTGATGCAGCAGCTCGCCCTTCTCCAGACTGCCCTCGGGAAACCTCCACATCGACTTGCCTGCACGGTCCTTCCCCTGGACGAGCAGATAAAGATTCCGCTCACCCATCCGATCCAGGCTCTTCACGTCACCAGTCCTGTCCGACTCATGTACCCGTGGGGCAGGAGGCGTCAGGACCTCTTCACCCAGCTCAGCCGACTCCGCCCCCACTGGAAGTTCGCCGAACTCGTCCACATTGCTTGACCTCCTCCCGTCCTTGAACGACCATTTCCCACCAAATGCCTCGCGTTCACGGATCTTCTCTCGTCGCTCGAACTGCTTTTCGAGCAGCGTGCCCGATTTGAAGTAAAAATCGGCGGGGAAGGGGTTGAACAACGCGCGACGGATACGCGACTGGTAGGCGTAGTATGCCCGCTCGAAGGGGGTGGGTGTGCGCGTGATTATGGGCGAACGGTTGAGGACGACCGCAGCGTTAATGACAGGTTCGGTCGACGGCTTGCCAGCCTGGGTGGACGAAGAGGCCTCCGCGACCGACGCTAGTGCGCGTGACGGGGCATGGACACACGCTAGACAAGGGCAGAGCGTCAGCCTTCGCATCCACGAGTGTCCTGTATACACACACCTTTTGTGCGTTGTCTGCTCGCGGACACGACGCTTCGAGAGAACATGGGGCGCGGAGCCAGGACGAAGGTAGGGAGAGTGTGGCTCGTTGACGCGAAAGCAGGGCGCGTCAGAGGCGCGTATATTTCCGCAAGCGGGCGCGTGGGAACGCGGAGAGACGTCTGAGGTCACCGTTCCGGGCAGCGCTGCACTCGTCCCCCTCCGCTCTCGGGCCACCGACGGCCAACGCTCTCTCCGACCATGTCCATCACCCTCGTCTCCAACTCTTACCTCGAGGAGAACTCAGCCAAGATACGCGCAAAGCCCGTTCCGTGGGAGGTACTGCCGCTCAGCATTCGCCCGTCCCGGTTGCTTATTCCGAGTGCTCGTTGTCCAGGCCTACCAGCGCGCCGGATACATCGTCCCTGAGGAGCTCGCTCTCATCAAGAAGGTCGACCGCCAAACCAAGGCCAAGATTGAGTCACTGCACGCTGCCGATGGTCAAACGTACTCTCTTCTCTACCTCCGTCTGCTCAAGAAGCTGCAACGGATTGATACCCAGTCATGTGTTCTAGTGCTGATCGCGGATGCTCTCACTGGTATGTGTTTACCTCTTTAGCACTGGTTTTACTGATCAGATCTGTGCTTTCAGACCATGAAGAACGGATACCCTGGTTCACAACCGCTTCCCAGTCCGACCCAGAGCTTCCGTACGGACCCCTACTTCGGTATGTTCACTTCATGCGCGACCTTACTCCTACTTATGGCATTGCAGTATTTTGGAATCTCAGGACGATTTTGTGCAGCTCAAGGGCGCCCAGATCCTGACTGTGCTCCTCAGGTTCGTCGCCAAGGTTGCATTTGCTTGTCAATCCGACTAAAGGGACCCCAGCTCGGAAAAGTCCTCTTTGCAATCCCAGCAGCTTACACCATACCTCCACACGCTCAGTGCATTTGTTGCCAACACCTCTCCCCACAAGAGAGACGTTGCCGTGCAATGCCTGGAAGCTGTCCTACCGCGTCCAGAATGCCGCAAAGCCGTGTGGGCGAATATATCGCTGGTCATGGGGTACGTCGATAGTTCACGTTGCAGGATCGCTCGTTCATTATATTCGCAGTCTTGTGGACATCTTGAAGCATAATCCGTCACCACAGATGTGTTACCAAGTAGGGTTCTGCTTTTGGCTTCTCAGCTTTGAGCAGGATGTCGCGGAGCAGATCCAGCAGTACGTCTTTATACCCATGTCTGACGTTCCTATCATCAACCGACGATCATATAGGAAGTTCGACATCATTCCCCTTCTCGTCGATGTCGCCCAAGGTGCTGCCAAAGAGAAAGTAATCCGTGTCATCGTTTCCACCTTCCGGGTATGTGTGCATGCACTCATAGCCAATTCATCCATCTTACGATATATTTGCTAGAACTTGATCACGAAGGCACCACAGGCCAACTTACCTGCTATGCTTGTCGCTCAGCTCCTTCCTTTCACGAAGAACCTGTCGACAAGAAAATGGACAGATGAAGACATCCTCGAAGACATTCAATTCCTGCGCGACGAATTGAGTACTCGCTTCGAGAGTCTGACGTGAGTACTTTCCATCATTCAGTTTGTACACTGCGGACTCAAAAGTTCCCAGAACCTACGACGAATACCGTTCGGAGCTTGTGTCAGGGCATTTGTCTTGGACTCCAGTCCATGAGTCCGAACTCTTCTGGAAGGAGAACGCCACAAAGTTGAACGAAAAGGACTATGAGCTGCTCAAGTGAGCTGATATGAGCTCGTTAGCCTGATCATCGTCACTGATGTCTGTACAGGGTTCTGATCAAGCTGCTCAACGACTCGGAGGATGCCTTAGTGCTCGCTGTTGCATCCCATGACCTGGGGCAGTATGTGAAGCATTACGAGCGAGGGAAGAAGTGTGTAAATATTCAGACAGCTTCCCAGTTTACTAATCACTCTTTAGGGTCATCACCAACATGGGTGCCAAGACCCGTGTCATGGAACTCATGTCTCATGCAAGCGCCGACGTACGATACCAGGCCTTGCTGTCGGTGCAGCGGCTCGTGAGCCAGCCATGGGCCGCGGTGTAAGATCACATATTATTAATGCACACAACATGGACATTGTTTATATCATGATCAACGTACTCATGACAGACGCATAGCAATCACTTGATGGCAGCCCTTTGAAATTGAACGGTTTCACTTTCATCGTAAATATCGAATCAACATTTGAGCCCGGTACTCTAGGCTCGATCATCCAGCCGGTCGGTTCAAACTCCGCCACGCCTTCGGCGGTCGGTTCACCGACCGGCTGGTCAAACTGGTCGCCCGTTTGGCAGGACCGCTCAAAAAGGAAGTCGTACCTGAAGGACTTAGAAAAATCGCGCGTTTTGGCCTCTGGAGATGTGGTAGCTCCCCTGTACACATCCTTCCAGTCCACTCCCTCCGGTGTGCAGGTTGTTGTAACTAGTTGTAATTGTACATTCTAAACCAGCTGTGAGTAAATTGTGGGTCTGCATCACCGTTTTCGATGTCAGAGCCGGGTGCTAACGCGCTGGTGGCGGCTGCTTGAAGGGGTGGAGGAGGCAAGGGGTGCAGAATCGGGTGGGGATTGAGCATGAAAATCTCGGGACAGTCAATGTACATCGTAGTGAAATCATTGCTATGGTACATGGCGTGCGTGGAGTGTTGGATTCGAGCGGGTGTCCGCCTGGAGGGCTGAGGGTATAAGCACCATGGGGATGTCCAGCCATGGGGATGACAGGATGACGAGGTGCCGCCGAGGAAAGTCATCGCAGTATGCGGGTATGCTGATCTTGAGTGGGGTGCGGCCTCTTGGTCACGTCAATGAGAGCCACTGAGGTCCGCGCGACGACTTGTGTGCGTCCTGCGCGCAGCTCTTCACGCCCAACCGCGGGCACGCGCTCGCCGCCCACCTCGGCGCGCTCAAGCTCCTCGCGACGATCGACACCACCGTCGCGGACGCGGACGCGCCCGTGCGGGGCGCGCTCAAGCGCGAGGCCAGCGCGGCGCTCGTCCGCAAGCACGGGTTCGACCCGCGCGAGCACCGCACGTACGTCGAGCGTGTCTTCGGCCGCTTCGCCAACGCGCCCGTGCGGGATGACGAAGTTGCGCATGTCGGGCGCGAGCCGCTCGGGAAGCTCGCGCGCGCGGACAGGCTCTTGGGCCCGTACGAGATGGCGCGTGGGTACGGGCTCCCGACGGAGAACCTCGCGACGGGGATCGCGGCTGCGTTCCTGTACGACATGCCGGAGGACGAGCAGAGCAAGGAGCTGCAGCGGCGCCTGAAGGACAGTGGGGCTTTGAAGGTCGTCGCGGAGGTGACGGAGTACAAGGTAGGGTCGGATGAGCACCGGGAGATCGTGGGTGTGTACGAAGAGCTGCAGCGCAAGCGCGTTCTCACGCAACACCCACGACGATAGTGCGTACTTGAACGACAGCAATGGGGAGCGTGGATCTACTACTGTCATCGCCGTTGCTGCAGCAAGAGACGTCACGTTTGCCAACAAGGAAGAGCCTTCCGTCACAGTCTGTGAACATTGAGGAGCACTATTAGCACCCTATATACATGTGCATCAACTCACCTACACAGATTGTGAATGCCAGTGCAGCGCGCAGGAGTAACCAGAGCGTGCGGACATGGCGCGCGGGTGAGTTACGGGGAGGCGCCCGCGCACCAAGATGTCTGCAGAGTGCTGAAAGCGCGATTTTTCTAAGTCCTTCAGGTACGACTTCCTTTTTGAGCGGTCCTGCCAAACGGGCGACCAGTTTGACCAGTCGGTATGGGATTCTCCTTGCCTTTCGAACTCCGCTGTTCCCATCACGCCACATAGATATCCCCCCGATCGGGAGAAAGGTGAGGAGAATCCCGACCGACTGGTTTGCGAGTCTACCGGTACTCGTACAAAGGCGGTAAGAAGAGACTGATATGTCACCTCACCGCCACAACGCTAGTCAATGTCTCATACTTCTGTTACATCATGAACGCCTCGCGCCACAGTACCGCCGACGCGCCGCGGTCAGCACAGACTCATAACGAGGCGCGCTGCCTGCTCCGACCGGGGCTTAATGTCCGCAGCGAAGGGCTTCGGGAAGCTCGACAGGCCGGAGGTGTACTCGCCGCTCGGCGTGATCTCCTTGCCGTCAGGGCCGACCGCCTTGCGGATGTCGAACGCGGCGCACATGGACGCGATCGCCATCCAGACGCTGTTCATCGCCAAGAAGCGGCCTGGACATATTCTGCGGAGGCGAGCGGCGTGAGCGTGGGCCTGCGCAGCCACGAGCGGGCGAGGCGGGGGACACGTACCTGCGCCCGAACCCGAACGACGCGTACGGGAACTGCTCTGGATCGCCGTGCGGGCCTGGCAGGAAGCGCTCTGGCTTGAACGTCTCGGGGTCGTGGTACACGCGGGTGTCCATCGCCATCGACCTGCGAAGGGCACTGAGCTCACTGTACTTGGTAGAGGTAGAGCCCGATGCCCGCCGGAGCGCACGATCACGTACCAGGCGTTCGCGAAGACCATCGTGCCCTTGGGGATGAACATGCCGTTGAACGTGTCGTCCTGCATCGTGCTGTGCGGGATCCCTGGCGCGGTCAAGCCTGATTAGCCACCGTGACGCCTTACGTCCCCCGGATGCCAGCAGCCGTCGGCGGCGCATCGGAGTCCGCCTCGCCGGTCACTCACCGAGAGGCACGACCGGACGCCACCTGCAGAGCCGACGTCAGCTAACGTACTTTTAGCTAGCTTCGCTGACATCCAGGGGATGACTGGGCGTCCCGGCAGCGCGAGCACAGTACGCGAGCACGCACCGGAGGATTTCCTGGAAGATCGCCTCGATGTAGGGCAGGCTCTCGCGGTCATCAAAGTCGGGCAGGCGCTGGGTACCGACGACGCGGTCGAGCTCCTCCTGCGCCTTCTTGAGTACGTGCGGGTGCAGGACCATCGCGAGGATGAACGTGTTGATTGTCGAGTACGTCTGCGCGTAGGGGTCAGCCACGCACGGGGGGATGGGGGGCGGTGGGTGTACCGTCTCGGCTCCGCCGGCGTAGATGGCGCCCGTGGCGTGCTTGAGGTCATCCAGACTGTGCTCGCCTTTGTAGTCTGGCTTGGAGAACTCTTCGAGGTACGTCAACAGGAAGGACGGCGGCGCATGGCCTTCACTCTGTAGAAAATCAGATGTCTGCCACGTACGGAGGGCTCATCCCGTGCACTGACCATCTGACGCTGAACCTGCTCAAAAGGAAAGTCGTGGAACTTCTTGATCGCCCAGCTCCAGTCTAATCGCCGCATCAGCCACACATTTCCTCGCCACGTCCACCATGGCACTCACTGTGCACCACCCGGTTGAACCAGCAGCCCGGGAACCACCAGGGCAGATATTGCACTATTCATGGCAATAAATTGGTCAGTCTCACGTCACCCACCAGAGACCCGTTCCACTCACGGCTCGGGAAGAAATCCACAGGCGCGGTCCCGGGGTCGCCAGCGTCGACGTGCGCGAGCGACACGTTCTCGGTGAGCTTGATGAACTCGTCATCGTCCCGCTCGATCTGGTGCCCGTAGGCGATCTTCATTATCACCGCAGCGCCGTACCTGCATGCGCGGCCCAGAACCCAGAGAAGCGCCGAACGCCGGGCAAGCACGAGGGAGAGACAGCCGTGTCGGGTTAGCTGCTGTTACGTACGCTGAGGGTCCCGACCGCAGGGCGCGGCGGCCAAGAGAAAACGGGTATGCACGCACCGGCGGATAAGCCAGTCGAAGTCCTTGGGGCGGTCGAGAAGGTTCTTGAGCATTTTGTGCGCCTCGTCGGTGTGGATCGGCCGGAAGCGCGGGACCTCCTGCTTGGCCAGGTATTGCTGCAGGATGCGGCGCTGCTTGAAGAACTGCGGGCCGTACTTCAGGAAGGTGACGCTCACGCCCCAGCCAAGGCTATAGAAAAGGATGCACGTGTCAGCCCGTCTCCACGGACTTTTCAGCGAGCCGCACGGCGCACTTCATGAAGAGTGGGAACACGGGGCGGTCGCTGTAGTTGGCGCTGCGTTTATCCATGAGCTCGTTCGCCATCTCGTAGTTGTTCACTATGACAATTTTGCGCCCAAGGATCTCGAGATAGAAGATGTCGCCTGGTGTGGGAGCAATCAGTTGCTATTCGACGAGGTATAGAACGTAGTGAGCTCACCGTACGTCTTCGACCACTCAAAGAACGCTTCGGCTTGGTACGTCTTGGGGAAGATGCGATAGTGCCCGATGATGGGGTCGGAAGGAGGGCTGGGTGGCAGATGCGTGCGCTTGCGCCTGTCGCGGATTCGCCAGCCAGTGAGGAGCAGCGCAGTGGCCGCGCTGAGCGCAAAGAACGGCAAGAAAGAGTTGGCCGCCCAGATCTCCTCGAGCGACAGAGAATGGAGGTTGAACTTGAAAGTGTGCATGCTGGGCGCGTGGGTGTTCCACGCGTCAGCGAGAGCGTGGAGGTCGAAGGAGGCCATGGCGGGAAGCCCGTCGTGCTGTTGGTGGGACCTGCTGGCGCGTTATATACCGCTACGCGGAGCCCCTGCCCCGCTTAGTCGCGCTACCAGTCCACACACGTCCACCCAGCATGACGGGTCTGTTGGGGTCTGGGCATGGGCGCCGCAAGGACTGGCTTCCTGGCAAATGCGCATGGTCCTTCTACGCGAGGCCGCTAGCGCGAAACAGTCCTGTTTGACTGATCTGGGGAGGTGCCCGAGAATGCGCAGGGACAGGGTCCGGCGGCGCTCGAGCTAAGCCCGGCATGAAGTGCGCGCCAACGTTGGCAGCGCGGGGTGCAGCAACTGGGTTGAGATTCACCATAGGACGCATCAAGACACGTGGATGTGCGCGCGCCGTGCGACCGCTCCTGCCGACCGTGACGTGAAAGGGATGGTGCGTGATCTGGCGTACTTTATGCTGGTTTAGCATGAGCGAGAATCCAGGACAGGCCCCGAGGGGGACGCGTACCGGGCACCAGGAATCGGACAGTACGGACCTATTGCTCCGTTGTGGGTCCAAGGTACTACCAGCGCGCTGCTTTGGGCATAGGGTCGCCCGAGAGGCTTGACGTAAAGCCACATGATCCTGAAGGATATACGGCATCCGTCAGTAAGTTGGCGCGCAATTGACAGGGAATCGATAGGGTGAACAGGAGGGTGCTTTGCGTGGACTCACTGACACCAGAGTACGCTTGTGAGTACCGCTCCATTCGTCTTCGACGCTAAGTTACCGGCAGTGGGGACGCATACACGCACTCTTTGGAAGGAATTTCCGACCTCGGCCGGGTGTTGGGCAGTAGCGATAAGCACATAGCAAAGCATGGTTCCTAACGAGCGCGCAAGAATGAAGTTCCTCATGGGTGGGGAGGCATGCCGGCTGAGAGCGGCGAGCCGGGGACGTTCATGTGGATATGTCGTCATGGCCCTTTGGTCTCGTCCTACGTGTGGAAGTAATCAAGGTTTCGCCCAGGCCGGTGACGTAGTCGCAAAAGCGGAGACATTTCCGCTAGTCCCACCAAGTCTCAAGCTAACTTGCGACGAGAATGGCGTCAACACGAAGCAACCTGGGAATAATAATTCTCACCTCACCACACATCGGGCCCGAGTTGAGCCGTCCTCGCCATCCAGGATGTTTCTAGGTTGGTTAGGTGCAGTCCGCGGCCAATCGAGATCGCGGCGACGGGAGAGGCACCAGTGGAGGGCGCCTGTGGGTTGCTCGCCCGTGCGTGGGAAGAGTTGGTCGTATCCGGCTATGCCGAGAATATGCTGCGGATAAAGTTGGAATGCCGAGGAGGACATTTTCGACTCCGCGACACCACCAAAACCTCTGAATCTGATGCGACCACGAAGATGTCCTCGAGCACCTCGAACACGAAGTGCGTACCGATGCTGCGGATGCCGTCGCGAGGTCTGCTGGAACGTCCCGGTCCCATCCTCGTGCCATCGATTTTCTTCCATGGTGCACACAATGACCACAACCATGCGCACGAACGCCCACTAGAACCCCCTGCGGCCAGGGGTCCGGGAGTCGCACGTCCGGCGTCGGAGCTCAAGGCCCATCGCAAGCCCGCTAGAGCCTAGCGCACCGATAACCAGCCACGAGCGACGCGAGAAGCCTGGCATTGGCTTGTATACGTATCCCATCTGGGCAAGCTCAAAGACGGTGATGAAAGATGTGCACGTCGGTGGAGATGCTGCGCTGGTGTTGCGACCTCCTACGATGGGCCTGGTCAAAGGAACACACGTTGTCGACGGTCACGACGGATCTAGCGGGCTGCTGCGTGGAATGTGCAAAGCGTTCGACGCAGCCCGGAAGCGCGTTCCCGAGGTAGCCGCATCGGGTTGCTTGGACACCATTAAGTAGCACCCTTCCAGGCCTGCCCACCCCCTTAGGTGTCTTGCCGAGGGGGGTGTGTAGGGGCATAGGTCTGTAGTACGCACCTAACAACATCTCAATGGCTGCGGAGCCCTTCGAACAATCCCACCAACATGTACCCTGATCCCCTTTATTCTCCCACTGACCGCGTCGGCAGCAGGTAACTAAAAGTACATGTGAGTGACTCGCAGTCTGGAGCAGGACTACTGTAATGGGAACAAAGTCTATCGATGACGAGATGTAGCTGCAGAGAGCGTGAGTAATCGTATGCCCCGGTTGTGAGACGAGTGAGCGCGAAAAAAGCAGAGGGTAATGTAGGGGGACAAGTCCGGCAGATGAGGAAAGCGCGGGGCTCAACATTCGGACTGCCGATGAAAAGGAGCAGCGTTCGAACGTATAGGCGGGAAAGGGGAGAACGTGCACACGCTGCACCTTACGGTGAGCGGCTACTTCGTGTTCAGACGAAGCCCCGGCCGCCGCGCTTGGCGTCGATCTTCTTGAATCGCTCTTCCTCTTCACGCTGGAGAAGGATGGGCGCGTCAGGAGAAGGGCGTAGATGTTTGACAAAATACTTACCTGCTTAATGACACACATCGTTGCCAGGAACAAGCCGATCACAACAGCCATGAAGCCATAGATCTAGAAGAATGGGCGGTCAGCATCACCGCGCTCTCTAACAAGGGTTATGATTCGAGTATTCCACATACAGTCCTAGATTGTATGAGAATAAATTAGTACGGCTGCGCGGAAATGACACCAAAAGTATACGAGACTCACGTGAACACGTTGTTGAGCGTGTAGTCGGCATCCTTCGTGACAGGACCAACGCAACGACCAGTCTCGGTGTTGTTGGGGTCCACGAGCGAGTTAGCGAACGTGAGGTTCGCGCAGAAGCCGCCGATCTCAACGGTGTCGTTGGGGGTAAACCAACCACAGCACTTGTACTGAAGGTCGAGAACGGGTGAGAAATGGCTCGAAAATGCTTGAGGCCAGAAACGCTCACGTGGTCCTGAAGAGCAATGCGGGTCGCAGGAGTGGCGGCATTGAACAAGACAAGGTAGTTGGTGCGTTCTTGGAGAGAGAAGATCCAGAGGGCGGTGCCAATGACGAGGATGACAATGGCGTCAATGAGGAGGAACCAGTTGAGAACGACGAGGCCGAAGGTGACGTGATTCTTCTGGACGATACCGCAGATGGACACAATCCAAGTGACGAGGAGGAAAATACCGCCGATTAGGCCGCCTAGCGATCACGTTGAGGGGGAGGGAAATGAAGGGAGTAAGGGAGACTCACTGAAAAGCTGGCTCTTGCTGAGCGCGAAGTTGATGAGAAGGTTCGGCTGGGCAAAGATTTGGGAAAAGGCCACCATGATCGCGCCCGCTGCAAGGAGAGACACGTCCAGGAGACCCCAAAAGGTCATCGTTCCTTTGGAAGGCATCTTGTGCGAGACAGTTACAGTGTAGGACCTGGCGCATGCGGATGAGAGGGGAGGGGAGGAGGAGGGGAGGAGGACGGACCGGAGGAGGTGTGTGCTACGACTGGGCGAGCAAGATACGAGTCAACTCGAGAGGAAAGCGGCCTTGGACTCTTCTTCCAGAGAGAGCGGACGCGACAGAGGTGGCTGCAGCACCGGAGAGAAAAGAGAGAAAAGAGACGTTCAACGCCTGGGGAGCGGTCAGCCGAAGAACGAAGGGAGGGAGGAAAGGGTAAGGGAGAGAGGGGCGGACCTGCACACACGCGTATAAGCTCAGCTGTCGGGGAGCAACGCGATGCCCTCGCCCCCGCGCCGCGCATAAATGATCGCGTCGTCTGGTCGTCGCCATGGCCACATCTCATTCCCCCCGCGGTTCCAGCCCCAGCCAGCTCCGTCCGCTCGCACAATGCGCCTCCCTGTCTCCCTCCTGCCACACCCCGCCATTGTCTCCGGGCCATTGTCCGCCTTGCACGCTTGCCTGTACATCCGTCTGTCTCCCGCTGTCCGCTGCCTCTGCCTAGCCCGCGCACCACCGCCGCGCCCTGCCCAGCCCCCCGGGCCCGGACGGCCATCACCCGGCGCGCGTTCCGCACAATCATATCCCAGGGACTCTGCTGCGCCCGAGCCGTCTCTAATCGCGTTTTGATTGTCTGACGACCACGTTCGATTTGAACATGCCACAGACATCTCGTCCCTCGCAGGCGGATCTCTCCTCCTCGCCTGGCAACTCGCCGCCAAACGCGTCCTCATTGTCGGCGGCGGCGACGTCGCCTCCGGCCGCATCGAGTCCGTCTCGTTGCCGACGCCCTCATCACCCTCGTCGCCCCCCGCGCAGGTCTCCATCCGCTCACCGCCCACTTCGTCGACAACTGCCCACGGATCACCTACTATGATCGCACCTTCGCCGGCCCCCAGGACCTCGACAACGTCGACATGGTCTTGACCGCGATTGATGACGTCGACGTCTCCCGTCAGATCTGCGCACTCTGCAGGGAGCGCAAAATCCCGGTCAACGTCGCCGACATCCCGCCCTCCTGCGACTTCTACTTTGGCTCGCAGATCCGCAGCGGCCCCCTCCAGATCATGATCTCCACGAACGGCCGCAGCCCAAGCTCGCGAACATCATCCGCAAGAAGATCGAGGCCAGCATCCCCGAGCACGCGGGCGAGGCCATCGAGCGCGTCGGCGAGCTCCGCGCCAAGCTCAAGGAGCGTGCCCCCGGCGTCGGCGGCGACGTCTCCAAGCGGCGCATGCGCTGGATGATCGATGTCTGCTCGTCCTGGGGCATGGACGAGCTCGCCATGCTCGACGACCAGATGATCGGCCGGCTTCTCGACGAAGGCTGGGAGAAGCACAAGGTCCCGAAGCTGGAGGAGGTTGGTGGGGCGAGGAAGACGGTCTCTGTGCCGTCGCCATCGCTCTTCTTCCAACCGCACTCGGTTTCGCTGCAGGCGTAGCGTGCACCGCGGCTGCTTTACTTGCCGGCACCGCTGACCACAGCCATCCCCACCACTTGCTGCCTTACCAAAATAGATGCGCCATCGCGCCACGGATAGACGGACGTCAGATACAACTTGGATAGACATATGTGTGCTCTTGACATACACGTCGGATTAATGTTCTCATGTACATTCAACCAACACACATCTCTCCACTCACCGAACACATGCATATACCATCACTTAATCTCCAATGGTGCTCTCGGCGTTTCGGGAACATTCTCCCTCGCTTGTCTTGTGTCTGCTTAAACACGCCCGTACGTCTGTCATGCCCAGTCATGCCGAGAGACGTGCACCGCAACGCAGACAGACGTGAGCAACCCCGAAGGGTTGGTCACCGCCGCCGACGGTGTCTTCGCCGTCCGGAATCCGAGGCGGAGCATGGCTGTTGCGACTCACTCCGCGCGGAGGCGGCATGACTCAATAGCGCCCGTGCATTAGGCGCCGCATATATATGCTGCCAACTGTCATGCGAGCCGCTTCCCCACATCACCCGTTCTCTAGCTCCCTGTTCCGTCTCCTCGCCACCTAGACTTTAGATATCCCACCCTACACGACACTAGACACGATGAGCAATGTTGAATGGGACGCCAAAGTTGTCATCGGACAGAAGGCCAAGGCCCCGAAGGTCACCCGCAACACGTCCGACCTGAATGGTGAGTAGCCAGTTCATATCCCTCACACCCACGTCAACCAGGCTGACCGGGCGGTTCCTTGCCAACAGCCGTACGTTCCCTCTTTTGCCATGAGCAGTGCACGAACCGTATGTTCTGATGCGTCCGCCGCCTCCGCAGGCCCGTAGAGCAGGCGCCGTGGTCGGGACGGAGAAGAAGACGGCGGGTGGGGTAAACAAAGCCCATCAGGGTGCGCATCGTCTCATGCCTACCCTCCGTGCCGCCGCAGCTGACGGCTGCCCTCTACTTGCGTCGGCTCCCTCTGTGTTGCTGCAGGCACCGACCACCAGAAGATCGCGAAGCTCGACCGCGAGAACGAGGTTGCCCCGCCAGCGAAGATCAGCCCGTCCGTCGGCAAGGTATGTCGTCCGGTTCCACAATTAGATGTCCGCGGCGGTGCTGACCCGCGTGCAGGCGATGCAAACGGCGCGGATGGAGAAGGGGCTCTCGCAGAAGGACGTGGCGGCGAAGATCAACGAGAAGCAGAGCGTGCTGCAGGACTACGAGGCTGGCAAGGCGATTCCCAACCCGCAGATCCTGTCCAAGCTCGAGCGCGCCCTCGGCGTCAAGCTGCGCGGGTCAGACATTGGGAAGAAGCTGGAGGGGCCGAAGAAGTCGTAGGTTCGCCCCTCCAGCTATATCTCGTCCTACGACGCTCCGCCTGGTCCTTTTCTCCCCTCCCCACGTACAATGCTGCCGCCTCATGACCCCCACGCGGCTAGAGAGGAGAGTCCTCATGTCGAGTTGCCGTGATGCAAACCCCGTGTTTTAGTAGACTTTCGTTACACCTCCCACATCTGTCACAACAGGCAATTGTAGTCCACATCCTTGCTATTGTCACGCCCATGGTTCTGGGGGTGGCACTTGTGCGCATCGATAGAGAATCGATACGGTCCGGGAGCTTGGCTTCCATGAGCGTAGACCGTACCGCATGTCTCTGAAGACTCTACACGCCCTTGGAATGCGGCACATAACAATGGAAGTGGCTGCCAAACTGGGTGCCAAGTCGCACCGACCCTGCCGAACAATAGAGTTCAACATTCACAAGTCGGTATCAACACAGTGCACAACACTAGATTACAAGAGGCTAGGCCGCAGGCCGCATTACAAGCACATAGATATTCGCACACTCATCTCCGGCGTTCACGTCCGTCGGGTTTACGTACCCTGCTCTGCTTCATTAGAGCCCTATGCAGTAAAGTACAGGTTAGTGTGGTCCTACAAACAGTGAACTAATCACCGCAGCGACCCCACAAAAGAAGAAGCCAGGAAGCTAGTGAACAAGGAACGTACGTAGGTGATGTAGTCCGGGCTTTCACACGCCTTGTACTCCTTGAGCAGTTCTTCTGCTGTAGCTCTGTTCGTACGCCCCCACGCCACCCACCGCCGAGACCGCTAATCAGTGCCGTTTCGGATAGCAGATAGAAAGAACGGCACAGATAGAAGACGTACCGCGCGTCATCGAACTCCTCGAGGCCGTCCTGGAACATCTTCTCTTTCTTGTATTGTTCGACGAAGGCATTTCGCCGGCGCAGGCGGTCGAATTGGTCGAGCATGCGCTTAAAGAGCTGACGGTCACATTCTGGGTTTAGTGTGACTGAAGCTCGAAGGGCCGCCGTTAGACTCACCGAAGCGACGCTGGTGTGGTTCGCGAGCATGAGCCCGCTCACGCGGTGATTTGTTTGTACATACGGCGACCGCCGTGTGAGAGCGACTTGAATCGAGGCCGGTCCCCAAGGGATGAAGTTGGCGAGCTGGCGCTCGCGGATGCGGAGGAGGGATTGGTGCACCTAAGATGCCAGCTGCATCAGCAAATGGCCATTACGGAGTGACAGGCAGGTCGTACGTCTGTGGGGTCGACGTCACCCTGGATGATGTTGAGGATCGAGATGTAACACGCCGTTTTGCTTGGGGTAGTTGATACCATACAGTTCTTGGGTTGCAAGAGACGTCGCATGACATCGAGGACTGTTGTTCGTCGAATAGGCTTTGCCTGTGGATGTGTTCAGCTGGTCGGTAAATCATGTCTGTGTTGATATGACTATCTTACTTTGTCAATTTGATCGCTCGTGAACGGGGTGTAGGATGTCATGAGGAAATGGCATCGTGGTGTAGGAATCAATGATGCGATGATGCCTACGAGATCGTTGTTCATGTAGCCAGGATACCTGAGCGTTTGTGTGCTCGCAGCAATCACGGTAGAAACCTGATGCATAGAGAAGTAGTTCAGACCGTGTCCATGCTGCACCCCCCATGAGCCTTACCAGTTGGTTCGTTTGATCAAAGCTTGGTGTTTGGACGTGAAGCCGGTCGGCAGATATCCGAGTAAGAGCACCATTGTCCAAAACAACGACCGAATCCGCGTGGTTGGTGAGACGTTTGAGCGTGAGCATTGCGTTGTATGGCTGGACGACAACATCTCCTTCTTGAGCGTTCGGGAATACGGAGTATGTTTGTATCAACTTCTTGGGGAACTTGTCATTCAGGCGCTCTAGCAAGAAAGAGCCTACTCCTGAGCCGGTTCCACCGGCAATGGAGTGCATGAGCATAAACCCCTGCGGTCCAACGAAGCTATGAATAGCAATTGCGGGAGACGTGCAGAACAAACATACCTCCAACGAGTCGCTTCCCTCAGCCTCCCGATCAACCATCTCCATGACCTCTTCGTATATGCGCTCGCCTGCAGCGTAGCCTTGAGCCCAGTTGTTGCCGGCACCCCCGCCATCCTTGGACACAAAAATGTTTTCGGGATTGTACAGGTTTGCGTATGGCGAGGAGAGGATTCCGTTGATTACCTGCAAGGTAGCGCGTTCGCGTCGAGGCTATTGTCGATCAGAAGAAGGTGACGCACTCTTGGTTCAAGGTCGACGAGAATGGCTCGTGGGATGTAGTGCTCATCATCCGCCTGGTAGAAGAAAACGTCTTTCCTGTCTCCACCTTCAGTCGCCCAGTCCTCTAGAATGCCTTCTTTGTTAATCCCGTGCTCGGCGCACAGCCGTTGCCAGTAGACGGAACCCACTTATAACGCGTGTCAGAGTGGCAGTGGTGGTGGGACGGGGTGGAGATCGCACTTTGGTTGCCGCACTGGCCCAGCTGAACGGTCACGATCTCCCGTGGCATGAATTCAGGAACGCGAGGGTAGAGGTGAGAACACAGAACAAGGAAGCTGCAGCAGCAGCACTCGCCAGGCCTTTGCGCGCGGTACGGTGGCGGCGCGCGTCCCGACGCGTGTGTCACGAAATGTAACGCGTGACCCTTTGTGACTCCCTCGGGGGAACCGTGGACGGAGCCGGGGCGTCGCTGTGTGGTGGGCCTTGGCCGCAGCGCTCATATTGGGGAAGACTTCGCCGTCTTGCCTCATCTCTCCCCGACCTCGCCACTCTTTCCATGCCCTCCTCTCTTTCCGCTAGGGACTCGCCTCGCGCTCAGCATGGACGCCGCAGAGCCCCTCGCGGTCAACTTGCCCGCTCAGGCTCCTTCCTTGGGGCTATCAAAAACCTAGTCACCGCGCCCCTCGCCTGGTTCGCGGGCTACGAAGACCAGGAGAACATCGCTGGGAAACGCGGACGGACGAACGTCAATGTGGCCGACGATGAAGGACGCTATCACGAGGGTCAACCATCCGCCAAGCGCAAGAGGGTCGACAGTCCTGAACCTGATTTCCCGTCTGCCCCTCCTCTCTCCACACGTCCATCTCAGGGCTACCTCGATGTTCCCGAAGGCCTTCTGTCTCAACAACAGACTTCCCGTCAACGACCAGGCATCTCCGCTGGCCATGGTCGTTCCTCATCGCTTTTTGCCCCCAACCTCAGCGTCCCTGCCATCCCCGACGTTCACCCCTCTAGGAGGACGGCTTCGCCTACGGGCATCAGCGCATTTACCCAGCCTCGACCCTGCAGCGCACTCAGTCGATGGACCCCCCTCAATTCCGTGCGATTTCTCTTTCTCGAGACGTTTCTATGGAGGATGGTGTCTCTGGAACTAAATCCCGCGACGTCACAATGTCGCCATCTCGCCCTACCGCCTTCAAACTTCGTGCACGGAGCTCCCTGACGCCCCAACCCACTGGTCAAGGCTTTGGTCCGAAGCCCCAATTCGATGAGCGCGACAAATCGGAGCCTCCCCCCTTATCCGCCCTCATGACGAAGCCTCAGTCCGTGAAGGCTCCCTTCCAGACGAACCAAATACAGCGGGAGCCCTCCGTTACTACGCTAGGGACCATTGTAGAGGCATCTGGCAGAGCCGTACGTGCCACTCGCCTCCTTCGCACGTTATCAGATCGTAACCATTTGCAGCAGAGTCGATCGCCTATGCGTCAGCATAGCGGGCTCTTCCTCGGCGCTCGTCCCGGTTCAATCGTACAAAGCACTCCTACCCGTGCGTCTGATGCTTACATCTCGATTTCCGTCTGCTGAATGATAGTGGATGGTTCTTCAGCGATCGGCCGCGCCGCCAATGCCGCTGAACAGGCTCTTCAAGGTCTCGATGTATACAAGACGCCGCTGTTACCATCCCGTCTCCGTGGGTCCCAGACGATTCCGGAGATGTTCAAGCCTAAGAAAGCGCATGCACCGGTTCTGATGCGATCTGAGCGAGGCCGTGATCGGAAGCCGCGCTTAGGTGTGCAGGACAGGAGGGCAGAAGAGATCAAGCCATACACTGCAAAGCGTGGACGCGGGACGAGGGAGATGATCAAACGGCGCAAACTCGAAGAGCAGGAGGAGCTTGAGAAGGAGCGTGCCAACGCGATCGAAGCAGACGAGGAGAACCTCTCCAAGCCGCCATTTTCCGAGAACACGACCCGCGATGTGTCTGAAGCCCTTGAAGCCGCGATGTCTTCCAAGGCTCGTACCGTCGGTGGCCGCGATCAGTCGTCCCTGCGTGTTGGGCGCTCTCGCACTGGTCCTTATATCCCGAGGTCGGCACCGAAGAACAAGAACCGCTTCTCTGCCGCTTATGAGGACGAGGATGGCGACGACTCGATGCTCGATGAAGGAAAAGATGCTTCAGAGGAGACTGCCAAGTTCCCCACCGTATACGAGAGCCCAAAGAACTTCAGCTTCGCTCCTGAGGTTTGTTGATCTCCACATACTCAGAAGGGGTAGTGCTCACATGCCTTCAACAGAAAGCGCCTGTGTTACATGACTCTAGCAATGCGAGAGAGCCACCCATTGCTTCCTTGCCTTTCTCTTTCGCCAAGCCGATGTCGGCCGCACCATCTGCTCCTGTTCCTCCGTTCTCGTTCGCAGAACCCCCTAAGGCTCCCCAGACACTTCCTGTGCCTCAGACGCCGGAGCAGCGTTCATCGGCTTCCTATGCAACCGAGGTCTCCCCTCTTCCAGCGGTGCCGTCAATCTCTCTCATACCCCCGAGCCCTGCACCCAACAAGGCTAGCGACGAAACATCCGCACCTACTTCGTCGACGAATTCTTCAGTTCCGAATTTCTTCGCCAATTCGACGACCATCTCAAAAGCACCAGCAGTCACGGCGCCCTTTAGTTTTGCTCCGGCTTCATCAGCGAGCGAGGAGAAGGGGGAGGTCAAGACTACAGTACCTTCCTCATTCAACTTGCCGCTGGTGCCTAAGGAGAGTGTTATTTCTCCTCCCGTTCAAGCCGCGGTCGTTGCAACTCCTGCGCCCTTTTCGTTTAATCAGCCCTCCACGAACCCAGGCACTCAGAGTTCCCTGTTTTCCTTCCCTTCGGCTTCCACTAAGAATGCCACTACCAGTAATCCCCCACCCTCGCTCTTTACTCCCATTGCGCCCGTTTCTGCCAAGGAACCTGCACCATCGACGGTTGCACCGGCCCCCGAGAGCAAGCTTCAGGCCCCTCCCGCCTTCTCTTTCGCCCCGCCATCCACGACTGCAGAGTCAGCCCCAGCTGCTTCCGGTGTCTTCAACTTTGGCGCGCCCTCAACCACGACGACACCCGCAGTCCCTGCGCCCGCTCCTCCGGCCACGAATCTCTTCAGTTTCGGCAAGCCGGCGGGCGCAACATCTGTGACTACGACTGCAACAAGCACAGCTCCCTCGTTTTCGTTCGGCGTGGCACCTGCCGATAGCAAAGGCTCCGAGGTGAAGTCGCTGTTCGGAGGCAAACCTGAAGCATCCGCGGCGTCACTATTCGGGGCTACCTCATCCGCTCCAGCTCCTTCCACGTCGCTTTTCGGGGTTAGTCAGAAGACTCCCGTTGTAGAGGCTCCAAAGCCTTTCGCCTTTGGGCAACCTACTGCTTTGCCTTCGACCCCAGCATCTACCATTGAAGCGCCGAAGTCGTTGTTCCCTTCAACTTCCACCGGAAGCTCAGGGGGATTCAGCTTCGCTCCCGCCTCGTCACCGACACCACAACTCCAGTCACCTTTCGCTTTCAACGCCTCGCCCTCCACACCACCTGTCACGACGCCGGCCGACAACAAGTCGTCGTTCACATTTGGTACTGCAAGCAGTCCGTCGGTCTCAGCGCCAACAACGTTGTTTGGGGGTCCGTCTAATAACAGCCAAGATGGCGGGAACAAGGGCTTCTCGTTTGGTGCACCCGCGCGGCCTGTCACCCCTCCTCAGAAGGAGCAGGAGATGCGGATGGAAGAAAGTCCGACACACAACAACGGCATGGAAATGAGCAGCGATCAGCCTGCTCCGTCTTTGAGTTCACTGAAGCCGGCGGGTGGGTTCTTTGGCTCTGGGCCTTCTCCCTTCGGGCAGCCTGCATCGGCCGTCTCCTCGCCGTTCGGTTTTGGCGCCAAGAATGAAGTAAAGCCCGAGGTCAAGACTTCGGGTTCCTTCGCTAGTTTTGGCCAGAACAACTCGTCTCCTTTCGGGTTTGGGAAGCCTGGAGAGAACACGCAACCATCCCTTGCCTCTCCTTTCGGTGCTCCCTCTAATCCTTTCGGCTCCTCGAGCACCCCTACTACGACCCCGACGCCTTTCTCCTTCGGAGGAGCAAACAGTGGTTTCGGATCTCAGCCAACGAGCCCTTCGACGTTCGGTCAGCCGGCAAGTGCACCCTTCTCATTTGGCGCAACCCCCACCTCTGCCACGGCTCCATCGAATCCGTTTGCGTTCGGAAGCCAGCCAGCCTCCCCTGCTACTGGTAACTCAGGACTCCCCCAACCCCCAGGCTCAGCAGGCAATCCTTTCTCTTTTGGCGCCTCAAGTCCTGCGACATCCCAAGCACCCTCCTCGCCTTTCGGTGCCCCGCCGACTCTCCCTACCCCTGCTGGAGGCGTTTCATTCACCATGGGCTCTGCAGCACCTCCCCCCCAGGCAGGCGGCGCCCGTAGTATCAAGAAACTTCCCAACCGCCGAGGTGGGCCCGACCGCGATGATCACCTGTGTCTTGATCATTGGTTTCTTGTTTCTCTATGTTATTGTCCCATCTCGCACAAGAACTCTGCCACACTATACATCACATACATAACATATCCATAGTCGAGTCCTCCGCTTGAATGTCGCTCATCCTGTCATCCGTTTCCGTCCCGCGTCACCTCTCGCTCCCTCTCCTTCATTCAAGTGGTCTCTCATGCTTATATCCCGTTTATCTGTTTCGGTCTGTCCGTGTCCCGTGTGTCCATAGCACGCTCTATCTCCTCTCTCGCATAAGGAACCAATCTCCCTCACTTGGCTGACGGCCAAACATCGCATCGCATTGCATCAGTCTCATTTTTTGATCATACATCGGTAGTAGTTAGTTTGCAAGTACGGTTAGATGGCTAGTACTCTGGGCTAAAGGCTCATCATGCATTGCGTCTCATACCTGCAGTTTGTTGTCCGTAGGAGTAGGTACCAGTACTAGTATGTCTGCAGCACCGTTTCCCGAGCTATAACATGTTCTTTTCAGCTCCCCCGCTCGATCCCCGACTCCGCCCTCAAATCCCTTCTCCGCCATAGGCCTGGTGGTGACTGCGTGGCAACATTTGCATCACGCTTTCGGCCATTGGCCACCATGCGCATGAGGTGCGCCCAACTGCTCCATGCCAACCAGACCTGTGACACTCGCAGGTATTCCTCCCTTCCTTGGGATCGAAGGTGAGCATTCGTCCTACGACAAGCCTTTATGCGCGTGATCAGTGCTGTATCTTCGACCACTCCGAATTCACAGCACCCAACGACAAAATGCGTTTCCAGCTGCTCAGCGACCTTCACATGGAGGTGGAACGTCCGCCTACCGCCCTCCAGTCTAATGAAGACTCATATACCTATACCTTCCCTGCCGATGAAACCGCGGATGCGCTCGCTCTTGTGGGCGATGTAGGGACCACGAACGATGAGCGGATGTTTGGTTGGATTCGAACTCAGCTTCAACGTTTCAACCTCGTGTTCTTCCTTCCCGGAAATCACGAGTACCACCACTCGTCCATCGTACGTAGCTCGAAGGGAACAGCCCTGCGTTCGTTGACATCGCTTCAATCTCCGCAGGACGAGTCGCGCGAGAGGGTCGCTCGGTTTGCCGCCGAATGCGCCGCCGCACGCCAGGCCGAGGGGTCGCACCTCGGCCGCTTCGTCCTCCTCGACCGCGGCCGCCACGACGTCTCGCCCACGCTCAGCGTCCTCGGCTGCACTCTCTGGGCGCAGCTCGAGCCTGCCCAGCACGACGCCGTCTTCCAGGGCGTCCGCGACTTCACGCACATCCGTGGCTTCACGCTGGACACCTTCCATGCGCTGCACGCGCAGGACCTCGCGTGGCTCGAGGCGTCCATCGCCCAGATCGCACGCGAAGAGCCCCAGCGCACGATCGTGGTCATGACGCACCACGCCCCGACGCACGTCGGCACGAGCAACCCGGCGTACGCGGGCAGCCCGAAGAGCTCGGCGTTCTCCACAGAGCTGGTCGGCGGGCCGTGTTGGGTGTCGCAGGTGAAGGTGTGGATGTACGGGCACACGCACTGGAACTGCGACGCCGTGCGGGAGGGCGTTCGGGTGGTCAGCAACCAGCGGGGTTACAAGGATGGCGCGCCGGGATACGATCCCGCCAAGGTCATCGAGATAGGAGATTGAAGGGTGGTATTTGATAGCAGAACATGCCCATGTCTCCCGAATGTGTTTATGATGCATAGCTACGGTCGTCCTCAGCACTTTTGTATAGCGTTCAAGACCCTCAACGAAGTCCAAATCCGACTTAATCCGAGCATTTCCGCATCTCCTCTACCGTCGCCAGTCTCGTATTTCACCACGTGAATGTCCGGGGGCTGGGATACAATCTACGACAGAGAACAAAGTGCAGATCAGCAAGGGAACGAACGTCAAAACGGCCGTGTACTGACTTCATATCCACGAACGTCACCGCGTAAAAGTCGACCGAGCCCAGAGAGTCGACGATCTCTTCCCATCTACGAAGGGCCTCCTCCCTCCAAAGCATCCCCGCATACAACGCCGCGCGATCCGGAAGACGGACGGAAAACAGCCCCAGATCCACGCGCTTGACGCGAGGGAATGTCTGCGCGAGGAAATCGCCTACGTCGCGAGCGTGCTCCCCACTTGTCTCGAGCGGTGCAGTCCAGAGCCGGAGGCTTCGAAGCTTCTTCGCCTTTGGGACATCGCCGCCTTGTCGGAACACGAATCCGGTAGAGAACCGCGGGAGTGTGGCGATCTTCAGCTCTCTGAGCCTAGGGCAATGCTCGACAAAGGCCAAGAGACAGTCGAGGGTCTGCATCTCCTCTACAGGGCTGGACGGATGAATAGAAGGAAAGCTTCCTGGGGACTCAGGCAGAGCGCTGAAGCGCTTGAGGCTGGGGAGCGCCTTTGCGAGGTTGTAGATGAAGTCGTTGCCGAGTTTGAATACAGATCCCATGTCAAGCTTGACGACGCGGAGACGGGAGAGACTGGGGCGCAATAGAGGGCTGAGACACGGCTGTCCGAAAAGCAATGTGTGCGTTTGGAAGAGTATTGGTGAACGAAGGGCCCCTGAAACCATCGTGACGGATAGATGGGTCAAACGGGGGCTGATGAGGACGGAGTCAAGAGTGTCACGGAGATGGTCGGAAATCTTGAAACCGCGAGATTGGAGGGATGTCCATAGTATGGTGATTTTTTGCAGTTGCGTGGAACTGAAGTCGAGGGCCGCCAGATACGGTTCCACACTGGGTAACACTAGATGGCGAAGACGATGGAAAGGGAAAGTGTGGTGTTCATCAAGACGAGGCGTAGCTGCATTCAAATATCGCATTCTCGACAACTCGACGAAAAGGGAAGTCAACTTTGGGAGAGAGCTTAAGTGCCGCCATGTCGAATCGTCGATGAAGTCAGGTTGAATCAATACGTGCTCGAGTTGTGTCATCTGGCACATGGATTGCTGGATCAAGGCTTGACGGCCGGCGCCTAGAGGGCGTGGAAGGACCAGTGATTGTATTGCCAATGGCTGCCTCTGTCTTGAGAGGGCGGTCGTGATACGGTCTTTCTGTGGGACACATACAGTGAGTATACCTCGTGAGTGCATCACGAGATGTTATGCACATACCCCGTACCAGTCACTCGGGAGCTGTAAGCGGCGAACCTGGGGATTAAGGAGAAGGGTGCAGTAGGCTTGGCTAAGCCACGAGACGTGCAAAGTGACCTCCTGTAACTGGGGGAATGCATAGCCTGAACCTTTGTCCGTGAGGTATTTGGCGAGTGGTTCCACAACGCTGCCCTCGTCTAGGACTCGACCGATCGAATCCTCGTACGGCAAGGGGATCCCTACCGCACGTATTCGCCTAACAAACGGATCTAAGGTACGCCAGAGAGATGCATCGTCCGGGTTGTGTATATACTGCGGTGATAATAGTTCCGTGAGTGGTAGCTAGTGAACAGATGCAAATGTCAACTCACCAGAGTTCGGTTAGCCTCTTGATAGTCTAGTGCATCGCTGGGAAGAGCATATTTGACTAGGACAAACAAGTCTGGAATGTCGCGCCAGAGGACATCAAGTGCAGGCTCTTGAAACCCCTTGCATGTCCGAGCGAGAGCAGCGAGAGCGTGGAGGCTTGCTACTTCTCGGCACAGGGGAACGACGTTGAGACCGGCGTCGTCAAAGACGTACCCGTCGACCTGCTCGAATACGAGGAGTAAGATGTCGTGGATGCTGAGACACTTGTGCATGGCGGGGCGAAGAAGGGGTGTTGTATGAATCTGGGAGGGGACGGTATCAGGATTAGAGCAGCGCGATTGGGTTCGGGTGCTCTGGTGGGTCTCGGGTCAATGGGGCGGTACAGCGGCACTCCACGCCGCTTTCTAGATCGATCTGCTGGGGGACTCATGTTCTTCTACCCGTACGCTATTTAGACTGATGGTCAATGCCAGCTCTTTCCATTTGGTTTGAAGGCCACTCATCTGGGGGATCGTGTACCTGGAAGGAGTGCTTCAAAACCTTGTGTCACTCACACAGCCATCCTTTCCTCGCGAGTGGGGCTGCCCGGGGCTCAATTCTCAGATCTCTGCGCGAGCTGCCTGCGCGCCTTGGCGCCCAGTTACGCGACGACGGCTCTGTGTCGTCCACCAGCGCCTATACTTCTCGCCATTTCTGCCATTCTCCCTCATCACCGTGACGCCTGTATTGCCAGTCGTGAGCGCGCAGTATTTGCAGACAGACGACGGGAATTCGCGAGTGGGAGAATGGAGAGATGTCGATGAACGCGAATGGGAAGAAAGACAAAGGCCACCTCGACCTCTGCCGGCTGCTGTTCCACATCACCAGCAGTCGTCGCGTAGCTGGGCGCCAAACGAAACGGACGAACTCGAGCGCGCGGGACAAGGCTGTGGCTGCTCGCGCTGAGAATTGAGCAGCTCTATTGCAAGCTAGTGGGCCTTACTATACATCCCAACTCTACTCTTGAAATTAGGAGGCAATCTCAGATAACCTGTGAGTAGCATAATCCACAACAGTCCGGGATGGCCCTTGCAATCCATACCATCACGCCGTACTATCGGCGAGCTTTGGCGAGAACCTTCTTCAGCTGAACATTCTGCTTCTCCAGGCTCTCGATCTTGTCCTCGGCCACGCGCATCTTCTTGAGCAAGTAATGTTGGCGCATCTCTACTACACGCGTGGAACCCCACCAGTGTGCAGTCCCAGCATCCACGTCCTTGAGAGTGAGCAGCTCGCTTTCACATGCTTTGAGGATTGCCTCGGCGGATGCGATGCTCTTCTCGTTGTAGGCGATGTCTTGCGTGGCTTGGAATGTTGCATCTGGAGAACCCCAGTGAGGACTTCGATGGCGGTGTGATAGCACCCGAACTTACCGGTAACCAGTCGCTGGAAGACCCACTTGTATACCGGCTTGCCTGGTTTGATCGTGGAGGGGCGGCCTGTAACACGTCAGCTATTCACATACACAAAGACATTGCGCAGTCGTCCTACCGTTCAGGGTGCTGATGGTGATGAGCTCCGCATGCTCCAAATGGCGTAGAGGACTATCGTCGCCTTTGAATGGCGAGTCCATGAGAACCTCGTAGTACGGGATCTACCAGGGTGTGAACCTCAGCTGGAAAAGAACATCAGGGTGGTGGAGTACCTCATCGTTCTTGGACAGCTGCTTCATTAGCACCCAGACTTGCTCTCGGGACCAGGGCAAACTCTTGGCGTCCTCAAGGTCGTCACCGAAGGCGCTTTTGCGCAGCTCACCAACCCCACGCAATATGATGTCCTCGACTGCCTCCTCCACCGACATACCTCCGCGGATCTTGTAGACTAACTGCGATAGGGCGCATATGAGTGAGACATGCAGTCGAACCACGTTGGTGCACTCACACTCTCGAGATCGCTTGCGCGACCTCCCAGCTTGCTGACATGTGTGATCTGTTGCTTCGAGAACGACACGTCTATCCCGATGTCTTGCAGCTTTTGAGTGATGAACGATAGAGCACTGTTGCTATCAGCATCGGAAAGCGTGATCTGGTTCAGCGGTTTAGAGGGCAGAGCTTCCTGATGGTTAATCCCGGCTTTTACTCTTAGGCAAATGGTACTCACCCTTCGCCAACCGCTTCACGTTCTCGCGATTGTCGCTGATGACAATCACGTGGGCAATCTAGAAGTGGTTCGTCAGCTCTGCATCGCAGCGACAACTTACTGAAAACGCACCTGGTTCTCTGTAAGAGTAGCGGCCCACTGTGCAAGAGCGTCCAGAAGCTCTTCCTTGCGGAGCCCTCCACCCCTCGACTCGAAGTTCTTAATAACTACAACAGGCAGAGAGTGCACTGATTCCATGTCCTCGGACCTATCCTTCTTGCGTCGAGCGTCCGCGGCTTGCTTCTCCATCTCTTTCGTCCGCAACCCGTCTTTCTCGTCTTGAGCTTGCTCGACGGCCTCCAGTTGTGGGTTAGGCTGGGCATCGGCGAGAGTGAAGCGTTCGATACCAACACCCAGCTCGCTGATAACGCCGTTTCCACAAACATCATCGATACGGCCGTCGTGCCAGGTGCCCTCGACAATGCGTTCTCGGAGGAGCTCCTCCTCCTTGCCCTTGATGGCGTCCAGCTCAGTTTGTGTGGCCCGGCGTTCGCGTTGGGTACGGTTGGCAGCGTTGCCTCGAGAAAGGCCTCTACCGACGACATCCAGGATCTCCTTGAGCTGGTCAGGTAACGACGAACTCAAACCGGCTGCAAAATGGCAAAACTCATCAGACACCTCTCCCTCATATTGTTAGTTAGAGCTACCTTTCTGTCCAATTAGGCCTGTGCTCGCTAGGTCTATCATGTTGTTGATGGAGTTCAAGAACGAGAATATCGGCCAGTACCCCGTTTGAGATGCTAGGCCCGAGAGAAGAGCTGTTTCGGAGCCGACTTTGGACAGCGCCCCGACATCGATGACCATGGCTTTCCTACATAGGATTTGAGCTCCATTCAAGTCCACGAGAGCGACGTATCAGCTGCTAACCTGTCGGTTTCTTTGAGCAGAGCTGTCAGCATGCGAGTTTTGCCACTTCCCTGGGGCCCGTGCAAGAAAGCAACAGTGTCTGCAAACAGCAGTGAGAAAATCACATCGAAGACTCAAGCTGACGTATACGTACTGGGCAGATCGCTCAAGTACTTCTGCAGAGCTTCCTCTGCGTCCTGTCTTTCTTTCCAGACATCTGCCTTGGGATGGGATTTGATCTGATCCTCTCCATTGAATCTGTCGATAGTGTTGGCCCGTAACCATTTGTAGACAGCAAACTCTGCAGTCGTGTTTTCAGCAAACGCAGCGGAAGAGTTGTAGAGTACGGCAGTTGTTACCTTTGTAGTCAAACCAATCATTCATCTTCCCTTCAACCATGAGCACACGGATAGGATCAAAGACCTGTTGAAAATGAGTGTGAGGGATACTGTTGGAGAATGAAACGACTGACCGCATACGTAACGGTGCCAACGAGGAAAAAAAGGATAGGAAGGAATATTCGGGGATGGTTCGCGATGTAGTTGCGGAGCTCGTGCGGAGCAATAGGCTGTGCATATGAAGTCCGTAGCGTTGTAACATTCGAAGATGCAGGTACTTGGAAACCATGCAGGGTATTTCGAGCCGAAGTTGATGCGCGCAGGTCACGGTAATGGATCATGGCGGAACGAAGCGTTCCCGCAGGTACAGGCAAAGGGGACGTGATGTCTCTAATCCTGCCATAGGGCTACGAGTTCATTGGGACGTGGTTGCTTGACTAGAAAGATTGCGGACTCACTCGAAACAACTCGTAGAGTTTCTCTTCAGGTACGTCGGGACCATCAAATGAGACCTTGACAATCCCCGAAGACATCCTGTTCATATCCTATGGAGTGCTGGTCGTCAGGATACTCAATTCCACCTTTTTTTCGCAAGTTATCCGTACCTCGCGCCACGGCTGCCCCTCCACGAGCCAGATACCTCCCGACGGCATCCCAATCCACGAAGGTACTCCTCCATGGGAATTGACATGTTCCCTCAGCTTCTCCAATATATCGTTCAGGGAATTGCATGCTCCAGAAGCATCATAACTGAACTTGACGAACACGCCGCCATCTTTCATTTGAGGTTCAAGAGCTAGCGGTCGGAACTCGTGGACATGAACACCGGCCAGGAGGTCGTGCAGGTGCTCCAGAAGGGTTTCTTCCCTCGCATATCCTACAAAATTGCGCACACTGCGAGAAAACGTCAAGACGACATGCAGCAGAGAACATCGAGAGGACGCACTCCGCCCAGCCGAGAGAAACCGGAAAAACCGAATTGATCCATAGCCAGCCTTCTTTCATCTGCGACCAATGAGAAAAGATCCTTCCCGAAGACGCATGCGGCACACCTCTCCCCGCCCGGTTTCGTTGACAGGAGCAGCATTGACCGGGGCACTGTCGGCATAGTGTCTAAGGCGACCGGTCGTCCAAGCGGTGGATTGACGAGCGAGTATAGACCTTGAGGGGGATATTGCGCCACGAGTTAACATCCGAGTAGAGGACAACATGGCATCCTTGGCATATGAAGGGGCAGAGGCAAGTGGGTGGGGGACGGAGCACTCGAGAGCAGGAGGGAAGTTGCGACGGCGCGCCGGTCCTGGCGCGTCGTGCCGGCTTCCAGTGACGTCAAAGCTCAATCGGGCAAGCGGCAGCTTTCGATCCCAACACGTGCATGCAACCTCTCCGCTCACTTCCACTGTCCGACTGATAGTCTTTGTCTGTATTTGCACTCGCACACCTGGGACCGGGCTATTCTTTCGTACTGCGAGTGGTAATGGAGACCGGAAATGGGCAATTGCTTTCCCTGAAGGTGATGCGGGTCTCGGTGCGTGTACGACTTCGCTCGTCCTGCGCATATACCCACCGGCAGCGCTCCAGCGTCCTTCATTGGCATCGTCATGGGAACCTTTCTACTCCAGCTCCCCATCCCTCTCTGCCCACTCAACTGCATCCATTACCTCTCTGCAAGGCCACACACCCCTCCCCGGACATCCCAAGACTCTTCGTGATCTCACTCACATCACCGAGTTGCTCACTCTACCCTCCTCCTTTGGTGCTATTCAACTCGGCGAGACGTTCGCTAGCTGTCTTTCCATAAACAATGACGCAAGTGTGGACGTTGAAGGTGTCACCGTCCGCGTTGAGATGCAGACCGCCTCGGCCAAAGTGCTCCTAGCTGAATTCGGAGGAGTCGACCATCGGCTACCGCTAGGCTCGTCCTTGGAGAAGGTCGTTAGCCATGAGATCAAGGAGCTAGGTCAGCATGTGCTTGGATGCACCGTCACGTACCACGTTCCGCCAAGTGTGCGCGCGGTCGGACAATCTGCGGACACGCAGGCTCCTGAGACTCAGTCATTCCGTAAGTTCTACAAGTTTGCTGTGAGTACGCGTCTCCTTCGACGGGATTGTTTCTCACTCGTTTTCTGCAGGTCACTAACCCGCTATCAGTCAAGACGAAAGTGCACACACCGCGCTCTCCGACGGCCTTAATGTCTGCGGTGGAGCGCGAAAAGATATTCCTCGAGGTCCACATCCAGAATCTCACTCAGGAAGCCATATGGCTAGAACGGATGCAATTCGAAGCTATCGAAGGATGGCATTGTCAAGATGCCAACAGCTTGGAAAAAACTGCTACTCAAACAACGGAATCAATATTCTCGGGATCTGTAGCATTGTTGCAACCCCAGGATGTTCGACAGTACATTTACGTTCTGTCGCCCAACAAGCCGCCCCCTTTCCCAGTGGTTCATACACCAGGTTCGATTCTACCACTTGGAAGGCTCGACATTTCTTGGAGGTCGTCGTTCGGTGAACCTGGTCGACTGCTGACGTCGGTGAGCACGAAATCTCCATCTTTCGAGAGCTTGCACTGACACCTGCTGACAGACACTATCGCGCCGGATTCCGCTCATCCAAACTGCCCCGCCTACCCAGACTCCAACCCAAAGTCAGTTCTCTGTGAACAAGCAACCTCCAACGGCGATCCCTTTGCACTTGCAGCGGAGTAACACGGTTAGCGGAACTCCGCCTCGTCCTCAGTCTCCTCAGTTTCCCCTTCAACGTGCCATGAGTCCGCCGGCTGGCCAGCCTCCAGCACCCTACCGTCCCTCTTCTCCATTTCGAGGCCGTACTGCGAGTGTGGGTCCTCCAGCGCGGAGCAACACCCACTCGCCTGGCCCTTCTACGACATTTGCACAGCAGATGCAACGTCTCCCGGAAGACGTGGAGGTAGATCTTGTCGTTTCGTCTATCCCCCGTGATAGCATTGCTCTCGACAAACCTTTTACCATTGGATTTAGCGTTATCGCTCAGGCCCCTGCGCCAATAGCCCGGCATAACGAACCACGGCGTCAACGCGTCATCTCCCTTGTCGTACAACACGTCCAACCTCCAAAACAGCTTAGTGTTGCTGCTGCCGTCGCCTCTGCCGTCGCTACTTCCACCGGTATGGCGCCACCCTCTCAATCCCAAGGCGCATGGACCCCACGCGTTCCATCCTCTGGCTTCTCGACCCCCTCCCCCTACGCGACGCCGCTCCGCGGAGACTTCACCGATACCCTCGCGCAGCGTCTCCTTGTCGCCTCGCCTCGCCGCCTCCACGCCGGCGACTCCGACGCCTCCGACGGCGGTGAAACCCCCAACGCAGCCGCGCTCGCAGGCGGGCGCGTGTACGACCTCCCCCCGCCCGAACGGCGCGAGCAGGCGGCCGCCGCTGCGGAGGGGCTCCTCTTCCTTGGAGCGTCCGCGCGCTTCCTGCCCCCACTGCGCCTGCCCATGCCCTCCCCGCTCGCGTCGAGCTCCGGGACTGGGGGGCACGCGCGCATCGCGTCGGACGCAACGGACAGCTCGGCCGATAGCGACGCGAGCGATAACAAGCCGCTCGTTGCGCCGGATCGGCTGAAGTCGGTCGCGTCGCAGGCGTTCGAGCTCGACTACCTGCCGCTCAAGAGCGGATTCCTGTCCGTCGGCGGGCTTCGGGTGCTCTTAGTGGAGGACCGGTTGGTGGAGGAGGAGGATACGGAGGGTGCGGGTCTTCCGCAGCTGGCGGCAGAGCCAAGAGTGCTGAAGGAGTGGGATGTCGTCGCAGAGGTATGGGTCAAGTCATAATGCGCGCACAGTGGCTAGAGCTTGCAGTAGTGTTTCATTTATCGGTGTAAATACATGTCTGCTACGCCTTAACGAAGGTTGTGACTCTTAAGCTTGGTCGGGCTCGATGGCTTCGAGCAGTGCGGCGTGCTCGGCTGACCGAGGCTTGATAGTCAACGGGAATGGCTTTGGGTGGCTGCCGCAACAAGGCCCATTCGTGTCAGTGTTAGCGACTCATTGGTCAGCCGTAGAACACACACCACAGGAACCCGCGATGATAATCCCCGTCTGGAGTGATTTCCTTTCCGTCTTCACCCAACTTCTTCCCAATCTCGAACACCGTGAGCAACCGTGCGATGGCGAGCCATATGGAGTCCAGGCTCATAAACCTCCCTGGACAGATTCGTCTCCCGAACCCAAAGGCCGCTACGGAGGGGTCACGAACATCATGGTTGAGCGTGCCGTCGCCGCAGAGGAAGCGGTCAGGATTGAACACCGAATGGTCTGGGTACTGGTTCTCGTCGTGAAGAATGGCCCTGAAAGACATATCAAACTTCGGTTTCTTCGAAGGTGTGATCGTGCCAATGTTACATACCATATGTTCGCAACCACTAACGACCCTTTGGGGAGATAATAACCCTCATAGATATCATCCTCGGTGAGCATGTGAGGAACGTCTACAAACGGTCAGCCCGATTTGAAACAACAGAGATGGTCACCAACCTAGGGGTACAATCGGATTCCAGCGTATTGATTCCCGCACGATTGCTTCGATGTAAGGGAGCAACGGCTTATCAGAGAAGTCGGGGAGTCTATGCGAGCCGACCACATGGTCAAGTTCTTCTTGTGCCTTCTGTTGCACCCCGGGGTTGAGGACCATTGCAAGGAAAAACGAGCCAAGCGCAGCGACAGTCTAGTGCGGTCACCCAGGTCAGTGCCCAAGCGGACAGAATCGGCTTGAAAATGAGCGCACCGTGTCCGCGCCGCCTAGATCGAAGATAGGTGAGACTGATCGACTTCAAGTAAGTGTTGTTGAACTCACCGATGTAAAGAGACCCGAGAGTGCTGCGCATGATGAAGTCAGTGTATGCAGGGTCTCTGGGATCCTTTCCAAAATGTTCGGCAAACGATTTCATCGCGCAGTCTCCTAAATTGCCCGCTGCCTGAACTCGAAATCAGTTTCATGTATCTAACGCGGACAGATAATGAAAAGGCTTACTAGGCGTTTGTGAGCGTCTTCGTACGGATCGTTCAAGAGTCTCATGACGTCTTCGCGCCAGATTCGTGCCTCCTTTGGGAAGCCGGCGCCCGGGAACCACTCCGGCAAATATTTCACTGCGTGCAATCCGACGTGAGCGACTCGGGAATTCAAAGTGTCTTTCGACTCACGGAATGGGAGTACATCAACTACGTAGGAGCCGGCGTTGGTGGTTCGCGTGATGCACTCTGCCACGGCCTCTGCTATTTGGATGTATTGGTTTTCAAGACTTTCTACGTTGATGTCGTATGCAATTGACATAATCGCCATGGCTGCCAATCTGGATCAGAAGTCAGTGAGCGGTTGGTGTACTCTGCCCATGCTTGACATACTGGCGTAGGTTGTCGGTGAGTCTGTCAGGTTCCTGAATTATGTTCAGAAGCAACCGGTTGGTCGACTTCGCTATCTGCGGGCGATATTTTTTGACAGCTGAGGCGTTAAAATCATGGTGCGCCATTTTGCGGGAGTCTTTCCACGGCGTGCCGTAATGGATGAATGCGAGACCCCAATCGAAGCCGCATCTGTGCCGGGAATCAGACCATGTTGCACGTCAAGCGGCGTTTGCGCTCACAATTCGCCAAGCATGACCATCCTGGGCCTGACGAAGTTGCGTAAGTCAGCTGCGGATCAAACGCCAAAAATTGACTGCCGTAAACCTATCAGAATAAGTAGAAGATCGCTTGTCGAGCAGCTCGTTGGTGACCTCGAGGGTGTTCGTGACGACAATGTTCATCCCCAGCGCCGTGAGTCGCACAATGTCCGAGCCTGCACGTCGAGGCATGAGAGTCTTCTAGACATGCTCTGTGAGAAGGTCAAACGCACCGTACTTGTCACTCCACCCTCGATAGGTTTCCCAAGGGAACGCGGAGGGACTGGGTACATCCAACAGGTTGCCTAGAAGAGGGAGGCCGGGAGGCCCAGGTGGGTGAGGGAGATTGGGTCTACGTGCTCGAGACCGCAGCCAGAGAGCACAACCTAGGCAAGAAATAAGGACAAGAGCGTCGATGGATGAAGGAGCCATGGGGGAGGGGTGGATCCTGAGGTTGGAGGAGCACCTTGAGGACCGCTTTATACGTCCTGACACACAGACGGCAGGAAGCGGCCACCTGTGCAGATAGTCGGGCCGTGGTCGCGACCTGTCTGCGCGGCATGTACGCGTGAGGCACAGTATTTGCTTTCGCTGAGCTCGACCGGCTAAGAGCAGGGAAGTCGTGGGCAGGCTTGGAGGTGAGCAACTCCCGCGCCTTTTCTTGCACTCTAACCTAGTTTGGCAGTACGGTGCCACAAAGGCCATCGGTTATCTCTACTCAGAGGACCGGGGTCCAGAAAATGAGTCGACAGATTCACGACGGATCGCGGGGATGTCGCTGATTCGTGAAGCCGTCAGAATCTCCGTCACGACAGGTAGGAGAGCAGCTTTCCTTAAGCCGTCCGAGCGGTCAAGGAGGGTGAAGGGCCAAGGCCGCCGCTGACAAGATCAACAGCCAGTGGACACATGAGCATGAGCATGAGAATCCCCTCCCACCTGCAGTTGTAGACGTTAATCATGAGAAGACGTTCGATGAGCCGAGGGTGGAAACAGATCCCCACGTTGTGCAGAGCGGTGAGCACGCGGCAGATCAACGTGGTCGAAGTTCAAGGGCGCTTTGCGGCGGAGGCGCCAGAAGCCGATGCCGGTTAAATCCCACCACGTCCGGGCTTCTACTTTTCGCAGCCCTCATGTCCCATGATACCCCATCCATGTAGTCGCCTCCCATGCCGAAAGCACGGAAACATAGGCGCAAGGTCCCGGTAACGGCACCTCCGCCCATCGGTCCTTCTCACTCCGCGGCGGCGGCTTCTGCCTCGGCCCGCCCACAAGTCACACGAGATACCATTCGTCGATTTCACGTTCTACTCAAACGCCAGACTCAGTTGAAGGCATTCGATCGGAAAGGAAGAGGAAACGCGCGTGCTTCAGCCACGGAGTTGGCAGATATAGAACGAGAAATCGAGGAGTTGGGTGGGCTTGCTGAGTATCAGCGCATGTCGACTATTGGTCAAGGCAAAGACCGCGGAGGCGGCAGCGAGAAGATCCTCATCCCTTGGTTGCGCGAAGTCGGGCTGTCAGATGACGTTCAGGGTGCGGGATCGCGAGCGCGGTATGTCGCCCTTCTGGATTCTCGTTTGCAATCTGCTGAATGCAGCCCAAAAAACCAGTCTTCTCGAAGTCGGTGCGCTCAAGCCCGACAACTATGCATCGTGTCAGGCGTGGTTGGACGTGACACCCATAGACCTCCACTCGCAGCATCCGGCTATCGAGGAGAAGGACTTCCTGCTGATGAACCCCGCGGAGCACCGAGAGAAGTGGGACGTTATCAGTCTCAGTCTCGTTCTGAATTTCGTACCCGACGCCAAAGACCGAGGTGCATTCAGTAGCTCCGGCCCGCGCAATCAATGACTCACACACACCTACAGGCACAATGCTCCGGTTAGCACACACGATATTGAGGCCCGAGGGTCTGCTCTTCGTTGCAGTGAGTGCATCTCCCAGATCCTCTACCGGATTATTCAACTCACCGCGCTCCGAAAAGCTCCCTCTGCCCTGCATCCTGAACTCGCGGTACATGACGGCTGAGCACTACAAGGGCTTGATGGAGACAATCGGGTTTGAAGAGATTCGGTCACGATGGAAAGAAGGGGGAAAGATGGCTTATTGGCTCTTCCGACGGACAGCACGGCCAGCATCCTTGTCTGAGCAACAGCATACACTGTACGACAAGAAGACAACGTTTCGGACTGGCAATAGGAACAATTTCGTCGTCTTGTTGTAACCCTCCCACGTGTGCCGGCCTCAAGTCTGCGTTTCGCATGCTATGCAGAGCGGGCGGGAAACTATAAAGCACTAAGCTAGACAGACTACCTACTTCTTGAGAAGCTCCATCGGTTGCTCCTTGTACTTCAGGAGCTCCTCTGACAACGCCTTCCATCGCCCATGTACCAATGGTTTGGGCATCCTCGCCAATGCCTCCGGGGACAAGTATCCTCTGTTCTCCCACTCGGTGTACCATACTATCGTCTCAATGGGTAAGGATGAAGGAATGCATAGATGAAACAAGGCGTACCGATGTCAGTTTTGCGAGTAGGCGCGGCTTCTAGCCGGTCCGTGCGCCCTTTCAGGTGGTCGCGCATGGCAAGATCATTATAGTACTTGCAGAAGACAGAGCCACCAAGCTTCTCGACAGCTTCAATGGCACTTTTTGATGCACGAGAAGGAACAATGTGAATGGGAGCCTTCAAAAACTCCGCACCCTTGAAGAGAAACTCAGAAAACGAACGTGGAAGCGCAATGCGAATAGGGTACGCACGTTGCCCAGCAGCTTTACTCCATCATGCACGTTGTGTACGCATCCACTGTGCAGCAAATCCCGCGCCGTAATGGGTTTCTCCGGAGTCGATGTCAATCGGCCCTGGTCTATCCAGTGCTGTATGCGGTCGAGATTTATAGGTGCGTACGTCCTCGCGTTCCTGCACGGGCGTTACACGCGGGCTTTTAGCAGCATAAAAATCACGCACTGATTTACGAATCCAACTTTAGGGAAACGCTTCAAGATGGTCGTCTGCCCACCCTCGAAGCCCTGTCTGGGCAGACTGTAACCCGAACGCGCCTTCTGACCCTTGTGACCACGTCCAGAGGTCTTACCAAGACCGGAACTGCGACCACGACCCAACCTTTTTTGCTAACAGAATGTCAAGGTGCAGACCGGACAGCAAGAGGCCAGCGACGTACTGTTGACTGGGAGCCAGGGCCAGGGGAGAGGTTGAATAGGCTCACGCGGCCCGAAGTGGCCTTGAAGCGCGCCGCAACACCAGACATCTCGATACCAAGTCCACCGTAAAAAGAGAAAGCAGGCGAGAGGTGAGGCGAGGCGAATGGCCCTGGCGCGGTTGTTGGTGTCAGTGAGCTGGACGGTGCAGCCATCGGGCGCCTGTGGGTTTCCGTGCTGTACGCAGTGGGCCACGTGCGCGTCGCATCTCGAGATCGGACGCGCGTGTGGCGGAGCTCGAGGTCCTGCCCGCACTTGCCTGGTCGCCTCTCTGCTCTGCCTCTACCCTTTGACACACGTACTCGATGACCACGCTGCGCCTTGCTCACTTCAACGATGTCTACCGCGTCCAGCCGTTCAAGTTGGAGCCTAAGTCGCCCGAGACGATCGACGTGACCCAATGGACGGCAATGCTCGACGGCGTGCGGGATAGCTGGCCGCAGCGTGAAGATGGAAAACGCGACGGGCTTGTCCTCTTTTCTGGGGACGTCTTCAGCCCGAGCGTCGAGAGCTCAGTGACGCGGGGCAGCCACATGGTCCCGGTCATGAACGTGATCGACCCCGATGTCTCGCTCACCGGTAAGCTGCGTGTTTGCGCGCATATAGACAGTGGAGGAAATCTCATTCTAGTGTATTGATGTAGGCAATCACGACTTTGATTTCGGTATGTCGCTGGTACAAGGGGAGCACTGCATCATATCAATGCGTGGTCGAGGAACTTCTAGGCTATCCCCACTTGTCGAAGCTGATCAAAGACACCCACTTCGTCAGTAGACCTTTTGGTTGATATGAGGCGATCCTGTGTGATACTAAGATTCATGGAAGCCCTGGATTCTCAGTAACATCATCGATTCGGAGACGGGCAATACCCCAGAGGCCCTCCGGGAGTTCTGTGTCTTCGAGCGAGCAGATGTGCGCATAGGTGTGATTGGACTCGTCGAAAAGTAACTTTCACAAGGAGGTGAATCTATGTTTTCGCAGTCTAACATAATCTTCTCTCGCAGAGAATGGATCGGAACCGTGTCCTCATGGCCTTCCAGCTTCGAGTACAGAGACATGGCCGAGGTCGCTCTGGCACTCTCTGAGAAGCTGCGTGACCCATCAGGGGCACACAAGTGCGACATCATCATTGCCTTGACTCATGCACGGTTAGTTTTTCGTTCAGTCTACTGTATAGACACCGTTGACTGGCGTCCTGTCGATAGGGTGCCCAACGTAAGCATCAGTAGGGTGCCTCAGGGATTGGTTTGCTGACACATAACAGGATGTAGCATTGGCTAAGGAAGTCAATGCATTATCCCCTGCAGGTCAGAAAGACACGCCGATCGATAATCTGCACGGGGTGGACATTATCTTTGGTGGACACGACCACCTCTACTTCATCTCGAAGGGAGTTACGTTGTGGGAAGGGTATGACCTTCAGCAAGATATTCTGGGTGCGGAAGAAGACAAGGGCGATATCCTGGTAGTGAAAAGCGGGACGGACTTCCGAGACCTCAGCGAGATCACTCTGGAGCTTTCAGATACGCCCGAAGGGAGCATTCGGAGGAAGATCATCCACGGGATACGAGGTTCGTAAAAAGCGCAGCTCTCCAGTGCTATTCCCACTGACTCGTTCCTATCGAAAACTTAGGGAAGTATCATACTACAAAACCTAACTCCACAAAGAGCGATCGCGTCGTTAGGCTTCTAGAAGACCTCCTCTCGTCCGTGAGCTCCGCTATGAAGAAACCTGTTGGCAATACTGAAGTGGAGTTGGATCTCCGGTCGTCTTTGATACGCGTTCAAGAGGTCAGAGGACGGATTTTCGCAAAGTTGCTACAACCCATGTGCTTACCGCATTCATCAACTGACAGACCGCGGGAGCCAACTGGTTCGCGGACGTGCTTAGGCATTCGTATGACGACGCTCTGGTTGCACAGACAGGCGAAGGCTCTGATGGGGTGTTTATATGCGCCGGTACTTTGCGAGGGGACTCCGTCTACGGCCCTGGTGAGTGTGCAATGGTTTTGTCTACTCGCCCAAGAGGTAAGCTAACATCTGGGTCAGGACCCATCACCCTGGGTGATATCCTCGAGATTCTCCCTTTCGAAGACCCACTCGTAGTGCAAGAAATGGATGGAGAGACTATCTGGGCAGCTCTTGAGGCTTCGCTAGAGACATGGCCTGCTCAAGAAGGGTTTGTGGCTCTCTTCTGGATGTAACCAATACAACTGCCTGATATCTCTGTCCTTACAGCCGCTTCCCGGTAATTTCCGGTTTCCGTGTCTCATGGGACTCCCGGAAGCCCAAAGGCCAGCGGGTATTGGGAGTTTGGCTCCTCCAAGAGCAGTCAGATGGCAAGAGTACACCGAGTACACCTAGCGGCGCAGCCTCGCCTCTCCGATCGAACTCTGCGTCTTCATCCATGACAAGTCTATTGCAGTCCGGGAATAGCCCGGCATCTCAGTCCAATCCCCAGCTTGTCGACGGGGAGCCGATCAAACGGGTCAAAGGGGGGAGGATGTACAAGATCGTCACTCGCGAGTACATGGCTCAGGGTCACGACGGTTTCCTTCCGCTGAAGGGATGCAAGTACCTTGTCGACGACGAGAGCGGGCAGATGATGAGCGCCATCGTCCGCAAGTACCTCCTTGGTGGGCCTTCTGCTTCTGCACCTTAACTCGTCCTCCGTCCACGACTGACTCGCGCACAGGCGCCCGCTTCGTCAACCGCCTCGCGCGCATGGCGTCCACGAACCCCGTCCAGCTCCTCCACCCAGACACCTCCGCGATAGTCCAGCGCGAGAAGGCGCGGCAGTCGCGCCCGACGCGCCGCTCGCGCTCCAAGTCCAAGGACCGCGGCCTCGCGTCCGCCGTGCGCTCCAAGAGCCCGCTCGGCTCCGGGCACGCTGGCCGCACGACGCCGACACCGGCGACAGCGACGACGCCGCGGTCAATGAGCCCCGGGCGCGCGATCGGGGATATGTGGCGGCGGGTCGCGGGCATGGCGCTGCGTTGGTCCCGCGGGCACTACCGCGACCACTTCCGGGTGACAGGCAGGGAGCACATGAGCGATGTGGACTGCTTTGACGGCGCGCGGATGCGCAGGGGGAGGGCGGAGGGCGAGCAGAAGCCGAAGGAGGACGAGGAGCTGAACGGGGCTGATGAGGACTTGTTGGTGATTCATCCCGTTGTGGATGGTCGTCTCAAAGATGAAGGCAGGAAGTAAAGGACATCAATGTGTATAATTTGAACAGCTTGTAGCAAGTACTCCGCGGTGAAATTGGATGTGTAAGTTAGACTTCACGGGGAATATGTGGACAGTGAGCGAAGATGATATTACGAAAGTCCTATGCACATGTTATGTATGTACAGCTTCTCATCCAGCGACCAACAGGATAAGAGGTTATGAGAAAGTTTCCATGCGGTCAGTGCTCCTCAACGGCGCGGTGATTTCTGGAACGCGAGCAGCAGGGGGAGGGTCGCCAGTAACAGTACGGGTGTGATGTGCGATGAGTCCAACTGCCGAGCCTATACCAGCCCCGCCGAGAATCACTACCACCGGGCATTTGAGTGAGCATGCATGGGAGGTTGACAAGAGTAACTCACAATTGAGACTAGTTGCCCTCTTCCAGAAAAGAGCGGGTGTGAGGACGGCAAATAGAATTCCTCCAATTGTGGAGTGGTCATCCGCGCGTAGTGAAGCGGTCTAGAACGTATGGGCATGACTTCCTGACGAGATACAGGCAGGAACTCACATCATATGCCGCGCGGAACCTCCTCATCCTCACTTTCTCCGGATTCGAGTATGCCGTGCGTGCATACTCAAAAGCACCACCTCCCACAATGCCTGCAAACACACGTATTCAGCGCGCAAGACACGCCGAATCTACAAGCTCTTACCGGCTGATCCACCTAACCACGTCGCGCGCAGAAGACGGTTCACCGACAAATGTGATCGACCATAACGCGAGATTGCTATCACCGTGTACACAGGAGGGGTGAGGAACGAGAGCAACTGGTAACCCTTCGTCATTCCCCTGCGAACAAAGTACTCAACATCCGCATTATGAGCGTCATGAGAGGTGACAGCGGGGATGACTTGGGCCATATCGCCGAAGCGCGTCAGAGTGGTGGAGGTGGACGAAGGGGAGCCAACTTGTCGAGCTGCAGCTGTGACCAGGATGGCACGCGTAGACGCCGCGTTCACGCGCCAGGCTTGCGCTCCCTTCCTTCCATCCACGACTACCACTGCTTTCCTCCGCCTCTCGCTCATTTCGCCATCCCATGTCCGTAGAGTTCACCGACGCGTCTCTGGCTCAAGTGCGCGACACCATTGCGCGCTTCCAAACCCCATCCCGACCTCCTACTCTGCTCGCCCTTCTCGCCGCACCACTCGGAGCAATCGGCCTCTTGCCTCCGCGGTTTCGACAACACAACACCTCACCAATCGCGACAGGCAACTTCAACGTCCCACGGCATATCTCAGTACTGCAACGCGCGCTCCTGGAGCATGTCATCCGACGTGGGAGCCCGAACTCACGAAGAACCACTCCTACGAGCTCGTCGAGCAATTCTTCTGCCCCGACCTCATGTCCTTCGCGAATCCCGCCGCGGGGCACATTGCTTTGTACGCATACTCTACTATCCTGTCCACCCCTCTCAATGATTACTCTGTTCGTCTCCTCGCCAAGTTGTGCAAGTCGTACCCCATCGACGTGCTTCATGGCATTGCGTATCCAGACATCGGAGGGCCTGCGCCTGCAGGCAGACACTCTGTAACATGGGAGGATTGCGTACGGAACGCGATCGCTGTTCCTGCCAAGGTTGCGAATTACATGGGCGATCGGGGTGACTGTCCACCGGAGCTCGAGCACGGACAGTACTTCAACGACATGAGTGTACGAACAGAGCGAATCATCTTGGGGGCGCATCAAAGCCGTCTACGGGTAGGCCTTGACGCCACTTTGAGAATTGATGTACTGACTTCAACCAGACAGGATATCTTCTGTAGCCTACCTGCTGGTGAAGTTGACAAATGTCGGCGTCTTCCCCGCCGCACCACCAACATCTCCTGCCCAGCCTTCATTCTTCCATGTGGTGCTTCCTGCTATCCGTCGGCACATAGGCGAGGGAATAAGGAATATTCAACCTGCTGGACCACTGTTCTTTCAGCCTGCCGTCAGCACAAGCCTTGAGAGCTATTCTTACCTCTCTGCTGGCCGCTCTGGCCCTATCACGGACACCCTTGACGCTAATCCTAAGACTAGAGCACTTGTCACACGAGAAGCGAAGATTTTGCTCAATGTCTTCGGACCCCTCAGTGCAGACAACGGCGAACTGCTCGACTGCTTTACCGCTGTAGTGCTGGGACGGAGCTGGGCGAAGGGTCAGCGCGGATATTCGCATGCTATGCTGCGGGTGCGGAGAAAGGGGGGCGCATGAGAGAAGGTGCAACTCTCTGCATATCGGACCTCTTAACATCAGGCTGACCTGTTCTGCAGGTCTGGAAGCCTTTCTCGAGAGGGTCGTGGCAAGATGGACTGACGTTGACCACGTCCGACATTCACTTCTGTCAGAACAGCGTTGTACGCTTGTTTCCTTGGTTTCTTCGCGATGTAATGTCTGACGGAAATCATGACAGATCTCACAGCATTGTTGATCCTGACCGTTTCGTCCTTCCCTCCGCTTTCTCCCGCCCACAAGCTCGCACTCTCGGCCCCGTTCATTCAGGTCATCTCAACATACATATCACACGTGGATCCATCCATTCGACGTTGTGGCATGCTTGTCGCAGAAGAGATCGCACGTGCAGCAGGAAAGTCGTTGGACTTCGGGAGCTGGGATGGCGACGATCAGAACCGCGCATGGTGCAGGCAGTTGCGGACGCTCGCGAAGGAGTGCGACACCGACACAGAGGAGGTCATTGACAACGAGAGTACAGAGCAAGGGCTCGTTTTGGAAGACATCATCGACGTCCTCCCTCCCCTCCCAGGATCAGTGTCGAGCTGCCGCCTTCTGGGTACGACTCGGACGACTCTCTTACCGGTTACGCATCTCCCGACTCGTCACGCTCGGCGTCTCCGACACCGTCTGAGCTTGAAGAGATTGAGAAGGATCCCACATTGCGCGTCGGGCGAAGAAGACCCCGCGACCCGTGTACCTTGCGCAGCTCGGGGAATTGATAAGGCCAACGAATGGGCTGCAAAGCGGCGAGGAACAAGAAACGGCGAACAAGGTCGAAGTTGCTTTGGATGTCGCGGATGGCTCATCAGACGGAAGAGCGGCTACGGTACAGAACTTGGTAAGTGTGCGTCTGGGGGCAGCTTGACCATGCAAGTATTGACTGATTTTGCAGAGGAGAACACCGTGAACCTGGCGTACGCCTTCGTTGGGCTTCAAGATAACTACGACCTGGAAGATTTTGCACAGAAACGACAGGCTGCTCTCAATGCGCTCGTTGCATGCTCACCCAGGAAGGCCGCTCCGTCAGTTCTTCGTCATGTTCTTTGTTATAATTTGTTTATCTGTTCGATTCAGTGCCATTATCGAACAGTTCTTCACCACTCAATACTCAACCGACCAACGTTTCACCATGCTGAACGCGCTTGTCCTCGGCGCCCAGGAATTAGCTGGCCTCCCTGTACCCGAATACCTCGGCCGAAAAGCCCTCCCTCAGGAGAAGACATTGTTCCCGAGCAAGCGGCTTCCAACCGGTCTTCACAACAAATACGTCACTACAGGCGATCAGCTCAGCACACACGACCCGGTGCAGCTCTTGCTCGCGAACGCGACGCGCCTCGCAATAGACAAGGACAGAGAAGCCGCCGCGGACTCCATGCCTGCCCTCGCGCGCGACCGCGCGCTCCGCATCCCATCGTCAAGCAAAAAGATATCCGAGATCTCCCCAACCACGCCCGCCGCCGTCCTCCGCGCACAGCTTGCTCTACCCGCCGCACACCCGAAGCGGACGACGTTCACGGCCGTCGCGGCCGAGCACTTCCTCGGCCCGCTCGTCCACCGCTTCTGGCGCTTCCTACGCAACGAGCAGACGCGCGAGGCGCGCACCACGCACCAGCCCGAGCTCCACCGGTACCGTGCCGCGGGCTCGAACCTCATCCTCTCCGCGCCCGTGCTCGCGCGCCTTCTCGAGGCGGTGGGCGTGCTCGTCCACCTCTCGCGGCACGCGCGCGAGTGGCTGGCGGTGCTCGCCCCGGGGGCGCTCGAGCTCGCGCTCGCGCTCGGCACGCGCCCCGTGTCGCGCGGGGAGGGCGCCACGGAAGTCGCGGAGGATGGCCCTGCGGGCGTCAAGGAGGCCGCGGTGCTCACGGCGGCGCTGGAGCTCGCGGTGGTCGTGCTCGACGGCTGCATCGAGGTCGACGGGGCACGGTCGCTCGGGCTCGAGCACACGACGCTGCTGCTGGGCACGGGGGAGTGGGCGGCGAAGGTGATGGAGAGCCTGGAGGACGGGATGAAGGTGCCGGGGGGCGGGGGCGCGCAGGAGGTTCGGCTGCGACGCGCCGCCGCGGGGGTCGTGATCAAGGTGGACGAGGCCACGACGAAGTGGAGACGGTCTATGGTAGACCTGAGTTAGTGGTTGATACGGAAGAGCGCAACGAAGGGGTTTGTCCACCGTCAGTCAAGTTTTCTCTCTTTGAAATGGGATATCGAGTCATTTCTCCAGGTCCGCGTTCTAGTCATGCCGCGCCCGGACTTGCTTTGGTATTTTTCGCAAACGGCGAAAAGCCCAAGCATGCAAGGGCTGCGGATGAAATGCTCAGTGGGTGGCATCGGACATTATCTTGGCCGATGCATGGATTCGCCACGAAATGACGCATCCCAGGCTTATGAGCTATCGGCTGATGCATTCAGCAGCGTTTATTTCGCAGTGATGGCCCTGCGCTCAGACAGAAAGTCTGAGACCAAATCTGTTGGAGATGCCGAACGCTTCGCCGGCCGACCGCGGCAGCGCCTTTGCCCCAGGGTTCGCGCTCCCAGCGTCTTCCCGCCAGGCGTGCATTTATATCTCCTCCTACTGCAAATGCCCCGGTCGTGGGTGTGTAAGCAGAGGCGCAGAGCCCATAACTGCCTCCAAGCCTCCCTCTTCAGCACCACTTGACGCAGCCTTGCTCACCACCATCCCCAGGCTCTGACAACCCACAGCTTTCAAAAAAAATGACCACCTCGGTCCCGCTCTCGCAACAAACTACGATCCACGCGCCGGACGAATGCCTGATAGACGCCATATACGACCATGACGTCGAGGCCCGGATGGCAACCGGCTCGTCGAAGCCCAGTAAAAGCGTCGCCGGGCCTCCTTTAAAGTCCACCGTTGCCAGGAAATATCCAGGGGGGGAACCCTCGAGGACCCATACGTTGTCGACTGGGACATCGCTGATCCCGAAAACCCGTACAACTGGGAGCGCCCACGGAAATGGACGGTCACCGCCCAGGTGAGCTCTCCATTTCCTACGCTGAAATGACAACACCCGAACCCGCCGCCCTCTCGCCCGACAGCTTGCCACCTCTACATTCACCGTCTCCTTCTGCAGCAGCTGCTACACAGGTGGCCTCGAGCTTATGCGAGCGGACTTACACATGTCCGAGATCGTCGCGCTCCTCGGCGTGTCGCTCTACGTCCTCGGCTTCGGGCTCGGACCTCTCGTCTTCGCCCCGCTCGGCGAAATGTACGGACGCGTGAGTGGGTTTCGTTGGTACCAAACTCGTTACCTTCAGCTGAAATGCTTTCGCAGCGGATTGTATTTATCGTCACTGGCACGGTCTTCATGTTCTTCCACCTCGGCGGCGCGCTTGGCCACAATGCGGCAACGATCCTTGCCACACGACTTCTAGCGGGTATTTTTGGCTCAGCGCGTAAGTCCATTCACTTTTCTTTTTGCGGACAAGGATATAACCCTTAGAGCGACACGCAGCGCTAACCAACGCGGGCGGCGCAGTAAGCGACATCTGGATCCCGAGGGAACGCGGCTTTGCGGCCTCGCTTTACGGCACGGCGCCATGGATGGGCCCAGGTCAGCCTCTCCTTGCCGTATCGGTCACAGGTCTTTCACACGCGAAGTGTAGTGCTCGGGCCCATCGTCGGCGGTTATGTGTCGCAGACTCGCCTGGGGTGGAGGTTCCCATTCTGGATCATGTTCATCATGGCCGGGCTCACCGCGCTGGCGTACATCTCCTTCACGCCGGAAACTGTGCGTTCTCACATGCACACAGTCCGAGTGTTCAACTGATCAGGTGTCCGACATATAGTTGGCACCCGTCCTTCTTCGCTGGAGGGCGCAAAATTTCACCAAGGCCAGTGGGGGAAAGACGGTATACGTGTCCAAACAGGACATGAACCGTTCTCAGTCCTTAGTTCACATCCTCAAACGCGATATGGGTCGTCCGTTCTGTACGTTATCCCTTGTGTACGTCATGCGAAGAGGTTCGAGCTGACCCGTGGGGACTTAGATTTCCTGGTGACGGAACCCATAGTGTTCCTCATGGCACTCTACATTTCCATAACGTACGCGACGCTGTATGCGTTCTTCGCCGCGTACCCTATTGTCTTCCAACGCCATCGGGGTTTCTCCGAAGGAGAAGGTGGGCTGGCCTTCCTTGGCATCGGGTTGGGCAACATTCTCGGCCTATGTCTCTCGCCGGTCCAGAACAGACTGTACTGGAGGGCTATGGACCGGAACGATGGCAAGCCCGTCCCAGAAGGGTGCGTGTTGCGAATCTAACTGCCATGGCTTTTGACCAAAGCACACACCCTGGGGTCCCAGGCGATTGTACCTAGTCATGTTGGGAGGAGTGTTGCTGCCCGTCAGCCTCTTCTGGTTTGCATGGCGAGTTTTCTATCCATTCCTCAGCGGCCGTATTCTAACCGGTATACTACAGGACTAGTGACCCGCCCGTACCATGGATAGTCCCCGTTCTGTCTGGCGTCCCCTTTGGACTCTCCTGCGCCGTGATAATGCAGGGCTTGGCGCAATACCTCATGGACGCGTACTCGATATACTGCGCGAGCGCGATCGCTTCGACTGTAGTGGCCCGATCGACCATCGCGGCGATCTTTCCGCTCATCAGCCCCGCGCTGTACGGGAGCCTCGGGGATGCGTGGGCGTGCAGTGTGTTCGCCTTTTTAGCACTGCGTGCATTCCGATCCCTTTCTTATTCTACGTGAGTGTCTTGCTTGACGGCGAGGATGAATGATGATGCTGACAGGATGAACGCAGAGATACGGGGGCTGGATCCGGAGCAAGTCGAGATACGCATTGCACGACGACACCATCATCCGGCCCGAAAATGATATACTCCCATCACAGCCATCGGAAGTGGAGGAGAAGGCCGTCGAAGTTAAGGAAATGAAGGCATAGATTTTACGAGGACTTTCGGAACACCACCACGATATAGATTTTGTGCCAATAGACTGTTTTGCTTTACTACACACGGGGTTGCTCGGTTTTGACGCCATAATGATAATGGAGTACATCCCGGTGTGGTTAGTGGACCAAGTCTGAGCACAAGCCTGAGGCAGATTCTGGCCAGCTGAGTCAGCGACTCGATCACGGCTGACCGCGTCCAGCGCCCGACGCGTCCCAAGCGCCCGCGGACGCGCCAGAACGGCGGCAAGTTGAACACCAAGCGACGCCCGTCTACGCTCTCCCTCGTTCTCTGCACGACTCCCCCAGTGCTCTGTGCACCCTGGCGCACCCAGCCTCTCATTCTCTCCTTACGACCGGATCCGACTCCGCCTAGCCATGGCAGCCACCCTCACTTTCGTAGCCCCCGCTCCTTTCGCCGACCCCCTCGCCCCTCCACCCTCACAAGACTTCCAGAACGCCCCATCTAATGGCGTGCCCAACGTCTTCGTTATCCCTCCAGAAGAGGAGCACCAGTACAACCCGCCTTTCCTCTTCTTCGACGCCACCGAGGCCCGTCGCACCTCCCTCAGCACCCTCCCCGACCCCGACGCACTCCACGCCCAGCTCGGGCTCTTCCAGCAGACCGACAACCGCTCGCCCTCCTTCGGCCGCGGTCGCGGCAAGGGCCTCAACTTCTCCTTCCTCAACGGCTCGCAGGACACGGTCGTCATGCCCCGCCGCGCGCCGAGCCTCGTCAAGCTCGCGGACATGCACATGGACGTCGACGAGGAGGCGCTCGAGGCCGAGGACGGCCTCCCGGACATCCGCTCCCGCAGGCGCGGTGGGGTACGGAGGCGGGCGGTATGACGACGCGGAGATTGTGGAGGTCGTGCGTGTACCCAAGGGTGCTGTGGGCGGGACGGGGAAGATGAAGAAGTCGATCACTTTCCGCGCGCGGGCGTCCCAGGCGCTCCGCTCTATCAAGCTGAACGTCGGCGGCGGAAAGGCGGCGGCGCGCAGGGAGACCGTCAGCGAGCAGGTTTCGCCATCAGCAGCGTCGCCGACGATCCAGGCCACCACTCTGCCGCTGCGGGGGACGTTTGAGGATGTGGCGCGGTCACCCGCGGAGCCGGCTTCGAGTACCAAGTCACCGACCATCTCGCGGAGACGGTCTGTCACGCTCTCGCAGCTGTTTACGAGCTTCAAGGAGAACCAAGGGGCGCGCCCCGAGACACCGTCGGACGACCCCATGTCGCCCACTTCGCCCACCCTCGTCAACTCCGAATCGAGCTCTATCCGCCCAGTGTCTCCCACCGAGTCTCTTGCATCAAACGCGCGATGCCTACACACATCCCCGTCTTTCGAAGACTATGACAGGACACCGACGAGGCCGTCGACCCTCGGGGCCCGCTCATTGAACGTTTTGAATGTGGATGAATCCGCGAAGCCGACACTGTCCAAGCGCAAGTCTTTCCGCCGTCGCCTCTCGGTCCTCGAGCTCCAAAAGCTGTTCAGGTCGAGCGGCTCGAATCCGAATGTGGTACGCACTCGCCCCGCTTGTGCAGGGTTAACCACTCAACTAAATCCTTCTCCAGGCGCCCCCGCAGGATGGTGCTGATGACGTATTCTCGCCCTCTCGGCCACGCTCAAGATCAGTGGATATACTCTCAACCTCCTCAACACGGTCTACCTCTTTAAGCATGGGCGAGCTAGCGTCCCGTCCTTTGAACGCGTCGCGTGTCAACAGTCCGGCGGCTGACGAACCTGAGGACGACGACGACGACGACCTCGAAATGCGGCTCGACTCGCTGCATTTCGACTCATTGCATTTCGACCCGGAGGAAATTATGAGCTCAGTCTGAACACCTCCACGTCACGTCTCCCGCTGCTCACATCCCATCCTTCGCCGCCACATACGCTCACGTCCACATATACGACTCATCATCTGCCCTCTTCTCCATTTGCATCGTACCGCACCTACCCATGTCATATCACCATAACATTTATACACACTCTAGCCCGCGCCTGTTCCCGACTGTCCCATGTTCGTTCATGCTTTCCCTTGCATATCGTTGATCGTTGTTTTCGTGTCTCATGTCCCTCCCGTACCCGCTCTCATGCTCTCCCCGCCCGGCTGCGCCGCCCGCATACCACACACCTTTGACTCCCTCGCCGGCCGCTCGCTCCCAAGCCCAGTTCATGGTCCCGTGAACGACGTCCCCTGTATCTTCTACGCCACAGATATACCGTGAATAGACCCCTCGCCAGTCTGGCCACCTCTGGCCCTCTCGGATTCCCCTTGGCATGCGCGCACTTCCCCCACATGCGACGCTCGCACACTCCCCGACGTGTGAATCCCGAACTAACCCCACCCCATGAGCACGCGCCACCGGCGCGAAATGCAGTCGTAAAGATTCACGCAAGCGGCGTTGACACTGAAGATCACTATGGCCAGGCCCTCGAATCCTTCTAGCTAGTACGGTCTCGGTGTTGTGCCAAGTGCTATCCGACTCCAGGCCCTCGCCCCATCGTCTCAGCGGGAGGCAAGCTGGATAAACTCTTTTCCCCGCGCCGACAGCGGTCAATGGAGAGGAGCGGTCCGTTGTAGGGTTCTATCTGGTGCAGAGTTCACGGCGGGTCGGGGTACTATCGCCAGCATATGCGCCAGAGGTCGCCGACAACCGGTGGCACAGACGTGTGCATGGCTGAATTTATCTCCCCAAGACGGAATACGCATACATGCACGGTGAACTGGAGCAAACGAGTTTGAGACTAAAGGAAATTGCTCGCAAATAGATACACTGACTGTGGAGAAGTCTATGAGAGAACGGATGGTGAGACAGTATCAGCAAACGATGAAGTTTTATCAATCCTGAAGGCCTGAACCACTGACTGCTGTGCATCACGACGGCCAGAGCTTTCCGAGCAGGCCCATATGGGCGCCCTGATCCCCACACCACTGCCATCGGAAGAATCTCCACCGCAAACGTCCCCACCAACCTGCCCGTCTTTGCATGGATCCAAGGCATGCCGGTAGGCTCCATCCCTAAGTACTCCATGTATACAGGGTAATATACTTATCTCGCGTGGCCCAATCGACCAAGCACAGCCTGCCGTTGACGTCCAGTATCATGTTGCGAGGAGCAAGATCTTGATGGACGAGGACATGTTCGGGACGTGGGGTGCAGTACGCTGGGTGACATCCCGTGAGCCACCAATTGAGATACCTGGCGGAAACGTGGGCGAGGCGTGCCGTTTTGGTCCGTGCAGTCCATGGATCCACTCGGAGACGACGGTTCCCGAGTGAAGTCCGCCAGTCGTCGGAGACGTGACGGAACGCAAGGCGGTCAGGAAAGTTCGGACCTGCCGCGCCACACGCAGGATGGTCCACAAGCCGAGGTGAGGCCAGAGCTGCTCGAGGGCCTGTCCATCCACGCGATCCATGATAATGAAGTGGTCTCCTTGGAGATCGTCGACGACACGTCGGATGATTGGGACTCTGACGCCGACCGACCGTGCTCGTTCGATTGCGTGCAATTCGTCAGAGTGTTGTTGGAAGTGTGGGATCGTTTTCAACATGAGGTCTTGGAGAGGTGATACACCGAAGACTCGGTGCGCGTTGTGTGCAGCATACTAGGAGAGCATTTGATGTATTGCATGTATACTGGTCGAGTAGGTCCTCAACGAAGGCACCGGAGGAGCTCGTAGTGTCTGTTTTTCCTCGCGCGTTAATTACGAGCATAGAGGAAAGGAGCAAATGCTCACATGGCTGACGGAGCCGTGGTTAAACGCAGTGGACGACGTGGACGAGGACGAGGACACGCGCCAGCACCAGATCGAGAACGAGGTCACCCGCAGGGACGTGTCGATTGTGACCGTCCGAGTTCAAACGGCGGATGTACCTCCTCAACCCGGACTCGCCATCATAAGCGGAGGAAAACAGTGACCGGGACGTCGAAGTTGTTCGACTCGCTCTGCAACTACATCAGGCATGCATCTATATATGGTAATTGGATGACGTCATGGCACTCCTCAAGTTCAACGCTCATCCTCTTGGACGCCTACTGCTCCTACAGCCATCACATCTCCAAGATCCGGTGACTCCTTTCGGGCATGCACGGGTCAAATGGCACTATTACGGGTGGTTTGCGTACACAAAGGCCAAGTACTACAGATGTTGTCGATTTTTCGTAACTTAAGCCCGGACCTTGACCCGAACCGGTGGTTTCGAAAATAGTACCAGTCATCGATTATTCGAACTTCTATAAAACACCACAAAGCACATAATAAAACAAGAAGGTAACTCCTATGTCCACAAGCGTAAGAAGCCATGGAGAGTAAGGAGGCAGTCATATGAAGTCGTCAAGGCTCTAAACGGAGGGAGTCAATCAGAAGCAGGATCACTAGTTCACTTGGACCTTCATCGCCAGGTAACGTCCATCCATCATCCAAAGAAAGTACCCTTTGTGATAGGCCGGGCAACCGAGCCCGTGCCCTTAGGGAAGAACCAATATTTGGCAAGACACTCCTGTGTCTCCACCGCATCGGCCCGCGAAACGATGCCTGCGTCGGCCAGATCGTCGACGACGGTATGCAGCCAAAACCGGCATCCCTCGCCGACGGGCGCGAGGATGTACTTGTCCCTCTTCTTCGCGATAATGACCTCCAGGACGTCCTCACGGTGATGGGCGAAGCGGGAACGATATCGACTGAACAGGTGTTGTGCCCGTGACAGCGCAGCGCTTGCTCTCGAGTACGACCATGCCAGGCGAGCCTGGCGCGTTGGGAACCACTTCGACGCGCACAGATGAAGCCGATCCGGTGGCGAGGAAGAGAGACCAGTGATTGGTTGGTTCGAGGCCGGCTCTTGGGTCTCCCAAATTTTCGGGATTCTCGTCGGCCACAAAGTGGATGGTGAGGACGGGGATGTCGAGGGGGTTTTCAAAAAGCGGTACCCCAATCATCGGATGTGGTAATGTGCTTATGGCGGCAGAAGTCATGGCGAGGACAGGGTGTAAAAGCGTACGGCTCGAAAGAGGTGTGTTCGACACGGGCGCTTAATGCACAGTCACCGCCAACGTGGTAACCCCCGTCTTCCCAACCCTCGTAATTCCCTCTCGGCTACTCCGTCAAGACGTTCCCCATCACCGGCACATTGTGCACTCTCACCCCACTTCACAACGACTTCCAACTGCGGCCCGAGGCGGAGCGTCGGATCATTCTGACGTCGCCGTTGCATCAAGTCCGGTGTCTTCTTCAACAGCGCGAAATACGAATTCCTTCTCCACGCAATAGACACACCAACCGAACACGTTCGAGGGTCCGGGACCGGCGACACAGCACAGACCACACGGGATCCCCCGCAGCAACTCCACCATCGTGAATCGCGCACTACGGCATTGGCCGCGTCCGCGCGACCCCACTTTGATGTCCGTGCACGCACCCGCGCCCGTCGGGAGAGAAGCCGAGGCCTGGTCATGGCCGAGCCTCGACTCAGTAGGTCTCCGAGATGACTGCAGGGAGGTGAAGAGCGAGAATGTCGCGTCCAATCGTCAGCTTACGATTCGCGAAGCCCGACGTCGGGAACAGATCACTTACTGAGCGTGACAAGCGACGTCCAGCCGGTGAACGGATGGCTGCGAGTGCGGCCGCCGTGGCAGGGGCGGATGTCGTGAATTTGTCGTCGAGGAAAACACGAGAAGGGGTTGTTATCGCAGAGAAACCAAGAACGGTAGGGCGGGAGATGGAAGAAGAGATATCAGAAGCGTACACCACCAGGAGCAGAGGATGCCAAGCCCAGCAAACCTCCGAGGACCGGGAGCGGACGACGCACCTTCTCTTTCCGGCACCAGAGATGGGATCGTACTGCTCCCATACGTAACCCGTTCGGACGTACTCCTGTCAGGACGCACGCGGTCAGTATCGGCTCGATAACCCAGAGAATAACGCTCCGAAAGTGTACCTTGTGTACGTTGTCGATAACGTTCTTGCGGAGCTCGTCGTAGATTTGTTGCGCACGCGTTTGGAAAGGGCCTTCCTGGGCGGCGTATGTCTGTAGGGTCAAGGTCAGCGTCCGATTGAGGGAAGAAACTCGGACAAAGAATTTGGTAATGGTGACACAACAAGATGACAGGGGATTCTTCACCACCGGATCGACACCGAAGACATCGGGTATCCGAGCGGTCCACCCTCCGGAAGACGAAAGCGGGAAAGGGCAGTATCGTGTGACTTCAGGAAAACGAGACCCGGAGCGAAACAACCAGTTACGATTGCAGGCACGTACCTTGTGCAACGCGGAGAGCGCAAGATAATTCATTTGAATCCAAATCGGCCCTTTCCAGTAGTTCTCGCCCTGGCCAAACTCGGGGTGCGACGCCGATAAGCTACGCAGCCCATACGGCGACCAGAGATGGTCCGGGTCACGCAAGAGCTCGAGGATGGGGCCGAGGTGAGGCGAGTCCGGCGGCAAAACCGACAAAAGGAACGGGAAAAGCGAGAGGTAACCCTTGTGACAGACATGGTAGGACTCGTCTATGGAAAGTGGTTGGTCGGCGGGCAGATCACAAGACGTGCGGAAAAGGAGCGGACCTTCGTCATTCACGCCGGCGTCACAATACATCTGCTCCTCTTCATTCCAGTGCAAGTCTATATTTATGTCAACCACATGTCAGCATTAGGTGGGATGACGATCAAAGAGCCTCCGTACCATCAATATTGTCAATAGTCGCCTTCGCGATCTCTTCGAATGCATCCGCGTCGTCAATCTCACCAATGAACGTGGCAATATCTCGCATCGTCTGCGAGAAGAACGCCATCCAGGAGATCAGGTCTAGGTGGAGCTCACCCGCACTCGGCGGCCCACGGGGGTAGTCGTCCATGCCGCTGGTGAGAACGTGTTGTTGCGAACGGCCCCGCCAGCGGTACGCCTCCGTACGCGAGCGAGCCTTGCGGCCGTACTGCTTGATCTGCCCCCGCTGCGTGCGTCGGAACCATTCGTAATGGCGCTTCAGCGGGCCGTAGATCTCGCGCAGATACCCCAGCGCCAGCTCAGGTTCCTCTAGGAATCGTCTGCCGGCATTGGGGCCTTCCTGCGTGGACAACGGAACTTGGGAGCCGGTGCCGTATTCCATCCCGAGATCGGCGTCGGGGATGCGCTGGTGTGCCCGCAGACGGTTGATAAATGCCGTGACCGCCATCGTCAGAGTGGGCGGGTTGGCGTAAGTGGGGTACTGGGTCTGGAACTCGGGCGGGACGCGGCTCCGTGCCTCCTCGCCGAGAATCTGCTCGCGGGCAACCCATCCGTCGTCGTCAATGAGGTTGATCCAATCCTTGAGAATTTCCAGACTGTGGTGACAGCCTCTATCAGCATCGCTCGGAGATATGTCAACAGAAATTGCCTGACGTGAGGTCGTTATCATAGTGTCCAATGTGGAGGAGATGGAAACCTTCATCCCTAGCGCTCATGTGTCAGCGCCCGGCGCAACTTCCAATAGTTGTACTGCGCTGACATACCAATAAAATCCTCTGGGGAAGAAGCTTCTGCTTGGGGTTGCGGTAAGCAAGCTCCTGGGAGGGACTAGTGTAGGCCCCTTCTTCCCGGCAGCCTCGGACGAATCGTTGTCATCTTCGTCCCACTCGTAAGCAAAGCCTCGGTCAACGATTGAAGTCCCGTAGAAATAGCCGACACCGCCGATGAGATTGGAGGTGAGGGCCTTTGAGAAAGTCCGAAGTGAGTCGGGGTCGGAGTTTTGGTAGTTGGCCGGAATTGGAAACACCGAATCAAAGTGTTCGTTATATGCCGTAGACAATGCCGGTATCCCTTCGTCAAGAACGGACGCTGTGGCCATATGATTAACACGTTTGAACCATGAGGAGCGAGCTACCCTACATGTCAACTTCTGTTTTCCGCTTTGGAAAAAAATGTCGAAGTGGAAGGGTCCGTCGTAGTGCTTCTGCACCGCATATAGATTGCTACCGGTATAGGACTCGTCTGGGAGCTGGAAAATGAACGCTGCATCGGGAAAACCCTTGGTTCCGTCTTTGTAACCTTCGACGACTTCGCTGGCATACTTCATGAGAGGGGCCATAATATGGTCTGCAAAGAGACAGAATGTCAGCACAGCGCCCACTAAAATGCAGGTATGCTGACGAAAGAACAGAAGAATCTGATGGAGTGACACCAGATATCAAGACGCGCTCCGAAATTGCAGGCATGTACGGCCATGTATGCGTCAGCGGAAGTGGAGGTCGCATGTAAAACAGTGGGGACCCGACGGCCAAGCGTCGCACCCAGTACCGAGTACGAAGTGTTGAGCGCCGATGGGTGAAGTGGGTAGGCTTACCCTGAGCTTTCCAGACGGTGCCAGCGGGGACTTGCAGACCGAGATAATGTGACTTCCCAGCTTTGTGCGCAAAAGCGTGCGCGTGCGGGCCTTCCGCGATTAGGTGATTCTCCGGACCTGGCGAAATATCAGAACTTGACTTGACCTGACCAATGCATTGAGGAGCTCGCACCTTCTACAATGCGAATGGTGAAGTCATCTAGCTCCGGGGTAGAGCCTGTGAATACAATGGGACCTTCAAGGCCCTGCTATTGATAAGTAGAGGGCGAGTGAACAAGGTAACTGGAGCCCACGTTTTCATGTTCCTCTGACTCCATGTCGATGCCACCAAGGCCCTCCAGTCCGATATAGAATATGGGGGAGACACGGGATGGGATGGCTTGAGGTACGCATGAGATACGCACACATGTTGAATAGACACAATACATACCGGGATTCAGAGGTTCACCTTTCACTCTCGCCGCCCAGCTTCCACCGAAGTCGCCACCAGGGACCTTGAGGAATTCAGTTGTAATTTTGACATTATTCGGCGCGTCATTGATCACTTGCACGCCTCCCTGACGCGGGTCATATTCCATCCACGAGTATCCCGTAAGACCGTCGTCCTGACTGCATGCATGACGAGCCTCTGTAGCACAGCACCGCGTCAGTAGGCGTGCATACATGCATACGAAGTACACACTTTGAATGGATTGATAGTTGTGCGTTCCAAACCACATGAGCCCAGTCATGAGCGATTGGGGAACTTTTGGTCGGAGGCCAAAGTAGAGCCCCGGACGATACGTGCCCCAGAAGAGTGCGTCAGAATCATTGCCTGCGGCCACGACTGCCGAGGCATGAACGAAGGGCAGCAGGATCCATAACGTCCTCATCTTGCCCGGCGGTTCTTCGGCACAGCAGATGAGAATCTCCGTCCGCGGATGAGCACCGAGTGAGAGGCTAGGGTTGAAGGCAAGACGAGCGAGGTGGGGAAGTCGAGGCGGAGGCCGTGGCCGGGTGAACAGTCGTTTAGCAGTCGCAGCTGGAATTGATCGGACGTGGCAATGGGGCTCCCGGCTGCTGGGCGCATCTAATCTCGCCCCGCGATCTGATCGAGCACAGCGCACTGCAGCACCCGCGAAGGTGTGCTCTTCTTCAACTCTTACTCTGTGGCTCTCCTTCGTCATGCTCAGCTTGTACCGCTCATCCCTGCCCTCCATTGTCCGTCTACTCCTGGGAACGCGGATGCAGCGTGGATACCACATCCAGGACCACAGAGCGTACCGCCCATAGCAACGGCATGCGGAACAAACGCCGACCCTCTGAGTTCTGTCCACCATCCCTTCCCCTCGTCGTTCTCTCTCGACGCTTCCCTTCTCTGCTTCTCTAGGGACCGGACCTTCGCCATGTATCATGATGCGGACGAGCATGTCGCCATCTTCTGGGACTATGGTGCGTTTCTGACTCCTCTCAGTCAACATCCACATATCGAAGCCCCTTTCCCCTCTTGTAGAGAACTGCTCTCCACCATGCAGCTTTCCAGGGTACGATGTCGTGAACAACATCCGCCAGGTTGCCCACCTGTACGGCAGTGTGAAGCTCTTCAAGGCCTACCTGGAACTTTCTGAGCTGTCATCCTCCAAATCTATCGGACTACGCTCGGAGCTTCAGTCCTGCGGTGTCTCGCTAACAGACTGTCCGCATAATGGGAGGAAGGATGTCGCGGACAAGATGATGATAGGTGTGTGACATCATGGTTGAATTTGAGCGCATTACTCAAACATCATGGCCTTTTCCATTAGTTGATATGCTCACCTACGCCATTGACAACCCCGCTCCTGCCACAATCGTCCTCATCTCCGGGGACCGCGACTTTGTATATGCAGTCTCGGTTCTACGGCTGCGCAAGTATCGCGTCGTGTTGGTAGCACCAAACTCCGCCCACGCCAGCCTCAAATCCCAAGCCTCTCATCTTCTTGACTGGGAAACCGACATCATGCGTCGTCCTGGAGTCCGGCCGAACTCACTAGAAGCCTCTCGCCCGGCTTCAGATGACAGCGTCTCGCGTTCTCCCCGAAGACCGGGGCAGTCCTTCGGAGCGAACGCAAAGCCTGCTCGGGGCATTCCGTCACCGGGTCCCGCTCTGGGGCCCCCAGTGCTCCCGTGGACAGCAAAGACGGACATGTGGTCGCCGTTGGCTACCAAGGGAGTCGGCATATTAGGCTCCCTTCCGTCATTACGACAGACGAAACATATCCAGCGGCACCAACCCATACAACGCTTCGACATCCATACGGCACTGATGTGGCAGATGCGACTGATATCCTCGGGTTCAGTATGACGGACGTTAGCGAGACTATGGGCTCCTCCAACCCCGTCGATCTAGTACAAATTATGGAGAGCCTGAAATATGATTCCCAGGCCATGAGTGACTCGTCATATGCGAGGGTGAGTTTCTCTAGATTCCAGGAAGCTAGCTGTATTCCAAGCTCATGCATAACGTACGCCTCAGTCCGTTGAGGAATCGACGCCGACGGAGCAGCCCTGCACGGACTCGCTTAGTCCCGAGGCTACATCTCCAGATATGATTCCGGAGAAGGCCGCCCTGACTCCCGAACCGGTAAGTCCCACTTCGCAATCGCGCCGAAGGATGTCGCCATCTAGCGCGCGCTCGCACGCGGCTCTCTAACGTCTCTTTCTCGAACCGTGATAGGCGGCCCCGAGGAACCAACCGCCCGTCCAGCCAATGGAATCAGACAACATTGCAAAGGGCTATTCTCACACCGCACGCGGCCCTGCAAACGCCCCACCGCCTGCGCACAATGCCTCGCTGCCCATTGCCCCTCGTCCTCCGGCTTCACCGTTGCCGCCCAGTCCCCCGCCTGTGCTAGTGCCTCGCCTCATGACAGCGGAACCGGTCTGTGGGCTCCCGGACGACATTCCGACGGCGTGTCCGGAGAGCCCTGCGGGGAGCACAGCGGGGCCTGTCGTAGTCCAGGCCCCGGACGACATGCTACATGCGGTCCCGGCTGAGGTGGACGCGGAAATGCCTCCAGCGAACGCGGGGATGTCGAAGGTTGCCGATCTGTCACAGTCTGCCCGACCCCGACCCATCGCCGTGCCTCTCCAGGCGCCTTGCACAATGGCCTCCTCCGCTCCGGTTTCGGCGTCTGCGGAGGATACACCGACGACGCCGGCGATCCCAGACGCAAACCCGCCAGCCAATGTGACCAGCCAGGATTCACCAAAGCCATCACACATGCCTCCAACGATTCCCACGCATTTCCACAAGCTCCTGACGGTGCTGGAGGAGTTCCGCCAGAAGGGGACCGACAAGCCCCTGCGAACATGCGTCGCTCTTCGCCTGAATCCCGCGATATACAAGCAAGCAGGCGGGAAAACTTTCAAGACATACGCGGCAGCGGCAGTCAAGGCAGGGGTCATTGTCCTCGGCGGTTCCGAAGGTAAAGCTTGGATGTCCCTTGCCACGGCTTGGCATGGCAAGGTGCCCCCGCAACTCTCTTGAGCTCTCGCCCCTGGTTCTTTGGATTGCAGGAGATTGGCCGCACCGAGCGGAGCGGCTTGTCGCCCTGGGAGCGTTTTCTCCCATGGTGGCTGCGATCGGTACCTGTGCGAGGTAGCAGGATCCCTGGGTAAATCTAGTTGTTGTACACTGTGTATGACTGATGATGACAAGGTATTCCAAATCATTCAGGCGTTGGCCTCCAGGGCATATTGACGAGACCTCGAAACGGCATCGGCTGCCATTTTGACAAGGTGCGTGACGGTCGATTGATGGCGGGCGAGGTGGGGCAGGGCTCGCCTGGGGGTGATGGGGGGATGACATTGGGCCCGGAGGCCGCGGGGGTGCGCGGACCGTCGCCGGAGACGCGGGCTGATGGGGGATGGGAGACGCGCGTGGTGGCACTGCGAGGACGTTCGCCGCACCGTCGTCCGTCGCAATGGGGCAGCAACCATTGGGCCCCGGCCTCCCTCCGTCTTGGCCAGTGCGAGGTGGATCGGGCGCAAACCCATCCATTTGTCACGCCGTCCGCCGGCGCCGTCGCCGCTCTCACGCGCGCGCTGCGTCCGGACGATGCCCATTCCGCGCGATCTCACTCGTTTGGAGACGGCCATGCTGCTCACCCTGCTTCCTGCCTGTCGCCCACTGTCTGACATTAGCAGATCCAGTGCCCGCGCGCGTCCCCTGGCTGCGCCGATCCGGACCCTCTCGTAATCCACAGATTACCCCCGCCCCGAACGCCCCCCCTAGATAAAAGCATTGCCCTCCCGCGACTTCTCGGCTTGATATCCCCTCTTCTCCCATTCCCCGCAGCCATGCGCGCAGACGTCAAGAAAACCTGCAAGCGCATCGTCGGAGCAACCGACGAGGACTCTGCCTCCGTCATCTCCCCCCGGGATTGGGTCAGAGGGTCCGCCTCCAACCCCCTCCAACGCGTGCGCCCACCGTCCTCCCTTCGTCGCCGCGCCCGTGCTTATTTTTCTCGGCAGATCGTCGACTACGTCGTCGCGCTCTTCCCCGTCTTCAGTTGGATCACCCGCTACAGTGCGTCTCCAACCCTCCCCACACTTCGGCGTCATCTGACCACAGCTGTGCAGACCTCGGATGGGCCAGCGGGGACATCATTGCGGGCCTGACGGTTGGTATCGTCGGTGTCCCCCAGAGCATGTCCTATGCGCAGGTGCGTCGCTTCCCGCTTTCTTCCTCTCCCGACGGCCACTCACGTCGTCATACCCAAGATCGCAACGCTTGATCCGCAATACGGTCTCTACTCTTCATTCGTTGGCGTTCTGGTATACTGCGTAAGTGCCGTGCCGCCACTCCGCGGTAAACCCGATCAGCCCTCACCCCAACTCAATCTCCGTAGTTCTTCGCCACTTCCAAGGATGTTTCCATCGGTCCCGTCGCCGTCATGTCTCTCACGGTCGCCCAAATCATCAAGCACGTTACCGAGGCCCATCCCGACGAGAACTGGTCGCATCCGCAGATTGCGACCACCCTCGCCTTCGTTTGCGGCTTCATCGTTCTGGGCATCGGTCTCCTCCGCCTCGGATGGCTCGTCGAGTTCATCCCCGCCCCCGCAGTCAGTGGATTCATGACCGGTTCGGCACTCAGCATCGTGTCTGGGCAGGTGCCAGGTCTTCTCGGCCTGAGTGGCTTCGAGTACGTTCTCATGACCGATATGAGTCCGGGAACGTCGCTGATCTTCATTCTAGCACCCGCGCTGCGACGTACAAGGTCATCATCAATTCACTGAAGCATTTACCTCAGACGAAGCTGGACGCGGCGTTCGGGTTGACGGGCCTCGTTTCGCTTTACATCATTAGGTGGGCTTGCGAGAAGCTTGGAAAACGTTATCCTTCACGAGGTGTGTGGTGTACCATTCATTGGATTCGCCCAGCTGACCGTCCTGCCCAGCGCGCATGTTCTTCTTCATGTCTGTGTTCCGCAACGCCTTCGTGATTGTCGTCCTCACCATTGCGGCGTGGCTGTTTGCTCGCCACCGGAAGGATGCGGCCGGGAACTACCCGATCAAGGTTCTCAAGGACGTGCCGCGGGGTTTCCAGCATCTCGGCCCTCCCACCATCGACCCCAAGCTCATCTCCGCGTTGGCGGGTGAGTTGCCTGTTGCGACGATCATCCTATTCCTGGAGCACATTGCCATTTCCAAGTGTGAGCATCGGTCATGCACGCGTCTGCATTCGCCTTTAGCGCTAACCCCAACTCTCCATAGCCTTCGGACGTGTCAACGGCTACAAGATCGACCCGAACCAGGAGCTGATCGCCATTGGCGTCACCAACACCATCGGCACCCTTTTCGGCGCGTACCCGGCGACCGGCTCTTTCTCCCGCTCTGCGCTTCAGTCCAAGTCCGGCGTGCGCTCGCCCGCATCCGGTCTCTTCTCTGCGGTCGTCGTCATCGTCGCGCTCTACGGTCTCACCCCGCCTTCTTCTGGATCCCCAGCGCAGCGCTCTCCGCGGTCATCATCCACGCCGTCGCCGATCTCGTTGCTTCCCCGCGTCAGGTGTACTCCTTCTGGCGCGTCTCGCCCATCGAGTTCGTCATTTGGGTCGCCGCCGTGCTCGTCACCGTCTTCGCGACGATCGAGGATGGCATCTACACCTCCATCGCCGCCTCGCTCGTTCTGCTCCTCATCCGCGTCGCGCGCCCGCGCGGTCACTTCCTCGGACGCGTTACCCTGCACAACGCCAAGGAATCCAGCTCGCGTGATGTGTACATCCCGATGCAGCCCAACAAGTTCCTCATGAACCCCGACGTCAAGGTCTTCCCCCCGTCGCCAGGCGTGATCGTCTACCGGTTCGAGGAGAGCTTCCTTTACCCGAACTCGTCGTTCGTCAACGACGCGATCGTCGACTACGTCAAGGAGTCCACCCGCCGCGGCAAGGACATGACAGGCGTCAAGGCCGACGATCGCCCCTGGAACGACCCGGGCACGAAGACGGAGGGGGACAACTCGTCAAAACCGATTCTCCACGCTGTCGTCCTCGACTTCTCCGCGGTGTACGTCTTCCGCTCACTCGGCCCGCACACGTGAAAGCTAATCTCCCATGTGTCCATCTCGCAGATCCCACATGGACACCACCGGCGTGCAGTCCCTCATCGACACGCGCACCGAGGTCGAGCGCTGGGCCGACCGCCCGATAGAGGTTAGTGCCTCGTCCGAATCCGCCTCGTCCGTTCTCCCGAGCGCTGATCCCGTCCTCACCTTTGCCTCCCTCCCCTCCCTCGTGCTCGCAGTTCCACTTCGCGACCATCCTCTCGCCCTGGATCCGCCGCGCGCTCGTCGCAGGCGGCTTCGGCGTCGGCTCCGACACGATCCACATGCACGAGGAGATCGCGCCCGTCACCCGCTACCACGACCAGTACATCGCCGACCCAGAGCACACCGAGCCCGCCGCCGCCGACGCGCACGTCTCCAAAGACGTCGCCGAGATCCGCCGCGACGACCCCGAGGCCGGCACGCGCGTCATGGCGATCTCCGTCCGCTCCTCGACAGACGGCACCGTCGCGTCCGCGCTGCCCTCGGCCGGGCTCGGCCCCGGGGCCGAGGCGGCGCTCATGATGCTCCCCGACACGCCGTTCTTCCACCTCGACCTCGCGTCCGCGGTGCGCGCGGCGGAAAAAGGGGTCTCGCGCCCCGCGTCGCTCGCGCCGTCGGTGCGCAAGAAATGAGCCCCGAGTTGTCCACGCGCGCGCCCGCGCACGGGAGGGCCCGCGCTGTAGGTAGGGGTTCACTGGCTACGTTGATTTATCTATCCCACGGAAGGAGGAGCTTTGCTTGCACTTCATGCTTTTTAGAACGGACTGTCACGATTTGATGTATTCATGACCCCGCCACATCCACGCTCGCCATAGATAGTTGTAGTTTTACCGCTACCCTCATGTACACAGAGCGGAATGCCTGTATTATATGACAGCCCTGCACGCTGCGTCAGAGCTGAAATTTTTGGTCCGAGGTGTGCTGTATTGCATCTAAGGAAAGGGGTGTGTATAAGGTCTCTACTACATGCTATGAATCTGCCGTGGTGTACACTCTAAGTGTGTCTCCCTCGGACTCGAGAGCAGCCACGAGCTTGGCTAACCGCTCGCCCGTCTCATCGTCCAGCTCTTCCACGGGGTCGACGGGAGCATACACGAGCTCGCTGCGGAGCACTTGACGGACAGCGTTCGACTCCGCGAGCGCAGACGTCATCCTATGCAGCTCGGATGGTGGGCATGAGAACTGGACGTGAAGACCGCGTCAGCACCAACGACAGAATCCTTGCGAGAACCGCCCACCGTGACCGTGGCGCCCTCGTCCGGCGAGTCCTCGGACACGAAGTCGTGTGCGCCGAAGTCGAACGCGGTCTCCACCGCCATCTCCAGCCGCGCGTCTGCGCTGACGCCTTCCTCGGCGAGTATGGACGCCTCGACCTGGCCTTCGTGCTTGAACAGATACTTGACCTCCGACTTGCGGCCGCTGCGGAAGCGTCAGCGGAAGACGAACGCGGACGGGCGCGCAGGGAGGCAGGCGTACCCGTTGTCTTTCATGAGCTCGTTCAGGAACTTGAAGGTCCGGTTCGGGTTGTCCGACATGGACTCCCTGCGTCCGACGTTCAAACGTTCAGGAGACGCGTCCGCGCGAGCCGACGTGCGCGGAAGGCACTCACACGATGATCCCCACCGAGCCCGGCCCCATGCACTCGAACACGAGCTGCTGCGCCCCCCGCTCGCCCCCGCCCGCGGCCTGCGACCCGCTCAGACCCGCCCGACCGTCCGAGCCGCACGCAGACGACGCACCTTCGCGAGCGCCTTCTCGATGTTGTCCTTCGGGACGCCGCTCGTCTTCGCGGCGCGGATGGCCGCCGCGAGCGCGCCGTTCACCTCGGGGTCGAGGCTCCCGCCGTCTGCGTGGCACGTCTCAGCGAGCGCGCACGGGCGGAGCGCGCGCGGAAGGACGTACTGCGGGCGGCGAGCACGATTTGCTGGCGTGCGCGACGAACGTGAGCCCCTCACGACGCGCGGGGTGGAGCGGGAGTGCGCGCACCCTGTATGCCTGGCTGTAGACCTCGCCCTTCTTGGCATCGTTGGCACCCTTCTGGTTCTTGATTTTCGACCACTGCGGCACGCGCGCTGTCGGGCGCGCCGAGGTAACGAGCGCGTTGGGAGGGCGTACCTTGTTGTGGCCCGAGAGCGCGGGCGGGGCAGGGTGGAAGGCACGAACGGAGCTTAGAGGCCAGGCGACGGACGGAGGTAGCAGAAAACATCAGGAGCAGAGGCAACATCGACTGGTGACGTCTCCGCCCAAAGCGGACATCCTGCCCCTAACCCTACGAGCGGCACGTACTAGTATACACGATCGCATTAATATTGATGTCTCATCCGCCCATCTCACGTCTCAGACTATATCCCTCCCTGTTCTGCTTCGAGTCAGGCCGGAAATTATGGTGGAACTCTTTTGTGACATCGAGCAATGCAATTTCTCTCCCTCCGTATGAGTCGATGTGGTGGAGGTCACACAACGCCACTGCCAAGGACTTGTGTACGACAACAGGCACTCCTACAGCCACCCACCCTGTCTCGAGGGCGACTTTCCAGAAGACTGCTGCGGCTCCTGCGGACGGAGCGGTACCGACAACGCAAGTTACGGTGGCCGTCGATAATATCGTGTTCATAACACGTACAGTATGCGATTTGTACTCTAGCGGGACTTAACTTGACAGCAGAATACACAGCGAGCGAGACACGGAGCAGAGCACAGAGGAAATGGAGAGGACACCAAGAGAACACCGCGAACACTTGCCCCCCACGCTTACACCGACACGACCACCTCTGCCGCCGTCTTCTTCCCCGGCACCGGACTGGAGATGCTCGACGTCGACGACGCCGCGGTCCGGCTCCGGCTCAGGCCCGCCTCCGCCGCGCGCACCGCCGCGGCGAGGTCGAGGTGGAAGAAGGGCGTCTCCTCCGACACGATCGGCGCGTCCGCCTCGTCCGCCTCCACGCCCTCGACGGCCTCCTCGACGTCCGCGCTCTTCCCCTGCGATTCGACCCGCGTGCGCCCGCCGCGGTAGGGCACCACGGGCGCGATCTCGGTCGGGACGTGCGCGTGGACGGCGCCGACGCCGAAGCCGCCCGCGACGAGCGCGCGGCGGATCCAGGGCGAGAGCACGGAGGCGAAGTGGAACTGTGCGATGCGCACGAGATCAGGACCGGCGCTCGCGACGGGGACAAGGTAATCAGGGACGCACCTCGACCGGGCCGTCCGCCCACCGCTCGACCTCCGTGCGCGTGTCGATGAGGGACTGCACGCCGGTCGTGTCGATGTGAGACCTGGGGGCAGATAAGGGGAGGGGGACCCGCGCGGCGCGCATCAGCATGCCGTCCACTGCGAGTTCGGAACACGGAGCACTCACACCGCAGAGAAGTCGAGCACGATCGCGTGCAGCGCCGGCTTCGCCATGTTCTCCGCGTTCTCGTCGTGGCCCGGGCGCGGCCCCGGGTCGTTCCACGGCCGGTCGCTCATCCGGACCGTGGTCATGTCCAGCCCGCGCCGCGTGTTCGTCTTCGCCCAGTCGACGAGCACGTCGTTCAGCTGCGACGTGTTCGGGTACAGGACGCTCTCCTGGAAGCGGTACACCACGATCCCCGGCGCCGGCGGCGTCACCTTCACCTTCGGCGCGGGCGTCATCGGGACGAAGACCTCGCGCGTCTCGCCGTCGGCGCCGTCGCGCGCCCCCGCGGTGCGCAGCGTGACCTTGCCCAGGAAGCTGCCGCGCGGGTGCGCGACGCGGATGATGAGCAGCACGAGCGAGGCGCAGATGGAGGTGTAGATCCCGTTCTCGATCGAGGAGAAGACGGTGACGAGCACGGCGGCGACCCAGATCAGCCACTCGAGCGGCGAGACGCGCCAGAAGGAGTACACCTGGCGCGGGGACGCGACGAGGTCGGCGACGGCGTGGATGATGACCGCGGAGAGCGCCGCGTTGGGGATCCAGAAGAAGGCGGGGGTGAGGCCGTAGAGCGCGACGATGACGACGAGCGCGGTGAGGATGCCCGCGGCGGGGGTGCGCACGCCGGACTTGGACTTGAGCGCGGAGCGGGAGAAGGAGCCGGTGGCGGGGTACGCGCCGAATACAGACCCAACAGTGTTGGTGACCCCGATGGCGATGAGCTCCTGGTTGGGGTTAATTTTGTAACCATTCAGGCGGCCAAAAGCTGTATGACAGTCGTGAGAACGCTTCGGGCGCAGTCTAGGGACAAAACTCACACTTCGAAATGGCGATGTGCTCGAGCAGGAGGATGATGGTCGCGACAGGGAGCTCGCCAGCCATGGCGGACAACAGCTCGGGGTCGATAACAGGAGATTTGACGTGCTGGAACCCGCGCGGCACGGTCTCAAGGATCCTGATCGGATATTTCCCGGACGCACTGCGGCGGTGGCGGCAGTACAGCCAGGACGCGATGGTCAGGACGACAATGACGAAGGCGTTGCGGAAGACGGAGAGGAAGAAGAAGAAGCGCTCTGCGAAACAGTCAGTCTCTGTATAGCACTCGAGAATTGCATAATCTACTTACTCCGACGGGGGTAACGGGCTCCCAACCAGTCGCACACTATGCGAAACCCGTACAGGCAGACAAGACCGGTGATCCCAAACGCGGCGTCGAGTTGTGTATGGGGCAAGAACTTGAAGCAGTTGATGATAACCTTGTAGGTCTCAGCGCGGGTGCTGTCAACTGGTCAGCATGAGCTCGTATCGACCGTCCGTAGGCGAACTTACTCGAAGCCGGACTCTCCGAGCAGTCCGGGGACTTGGCCAGCGGCGATACTGATCGCAGATCCGGTCATGAACCCACTGACGGCGGGCGCGGGGATAAGCTCCACGAGCCAGCCTAACCTCAGGAGGCCGACGCCGAGCACGATGAAGCCGCAAATGAAAGCGACGGTGGTACCAATCTGAGGACCGTCCCATTGTCCGGGGTGGTGAGCCTCGACATGGGCGATGATACGGGAGACGGTGAGGGACATGACTGCGACGGGGCCGATGGAGACATCCTTGGAGGTGGCGAAGAGCTGCAGGACGGAAACCGTCAGCCCGCGTCACATGGTGAGGCCCGCTCCTGCGACTCACGCAATAGACGGCGACTCCCACAAAAGCGGAGTAGAGACCGTACTGCGTGGGAAGCGTGGCGATCTAACGGCACAAGGTTAAGTACGGCTCCCTGGCGAGCGTCACGGGCTCGACGCACCTGGGCATAAGACATGCTCTGGGGGACGACCACGATGCCGACCGTCAAGCCGGCGATGACATCACCGTACAGCCATCCGAGGTCTGCGATTGCCGTCGTTCAGCAGACGGAGCAGTGCAGCGGATAGGAGCGACCTACTGTACCGACTGATCCATTGCAGAATGGGGAACAGACTCTGCAGATAGCGCACCACCTGGGAAACATGAGCGACAAAACTTGAGGGCAGGAAACCATACGTACTGCGTTCGCTGGCTGTTTCGTGGTATGCTGTCGCGTCCAGTCCGCGACGGTGACGACAGGGACAGTGGCTTCAGGGTAACCGATGATCTGTTTGCCGAGAAGCTTGGCTTTGGTGGTGAGGGAGGGCATGTCGCCGGTGGGCCGAGACAAGGGAGTCTGGGAGGACAAGCTCGCTGAGGAGGTCATTTTAAGAGGCCGCCGGAGTCCGAGGAAAGCGAGATGAATCCAGGCACGGCGGAGGTGGTGAGCGCAGATGGGCGTATAGCGCAATCCGGCTGGGGGATGAGGAATGCAGGGCCAATGGAACTAGGCTATACTGGCTTGGCGGCTGTCGGCGGCGAACCGAGGAGCGGTTGGGGTGGGGGCTTGCCGCGCGAGCTGGCGAGGATTTATGCTGCGTGCGCGGCGAGGCGGAGGCGAGGGCAGAGGCGAAGACGGGGTGGTGCAGAGAAGAACACCGAGCTCCATGATTCATCTTCGGGTGGATGAAGTCAGCACAGGGGATGAAAAGCGTCGTGCGCTCAGAAGCACGTCATCGAACTTTGCTGTTGCGCCAGAGCACGTGACTTGCCTTTTCTGGCCCAGATGAGGAGTCTCGTAGAACTCTGACGCCTTCTCCGCGCCTTGGCCACATTCGATCCGTCGTCGCTCTCTACAGCCCGCATCGCGCTCTCTCGGTCTCTCTCAGTCCTCCGTTTTCCGTGGACGCGGTCGCGGTCGCTGCGCCGCCACGCACGGGCACACGTACGGCCGGACGGAATCACAATCAAAGCCCGGGGACTGTGTGCTCGTGTACATCGCGACGTGCTTGGCTGATTATCCCATTGCCGCTGTTCAGCGGAGCTTCCGTAGCCTCATGTCAGTGTACACCTCAAACACCGGCCAGAGAGTCTACGTAACCGGAGCGCACAGTACGCGCGCCCGTCGCGTGCCGCCGATCTCGGAATCCCTCCTGGAAGGCTACCCCACGCGCACTGAGTACGAGTGGCAGAAGCCTCGCCGCCTCGCGACCGGGCGGCAGCGTGCGCGATCCGCGGTGGCCATCGCTGAGAGAGGCCAGCCCGCCGCCGCACCCCGGACTCAACCCCTTGGGAGTGCAGGCTGTCTGCAGGTGGATGTGCTCGATTCTGGGTGGCGTCCCGTCTATACCCTGGCACATACAGAGACCAGCAGGCAAATTTAGTGCGAGATACAGAACGAGCGCTCTAGAATGTGTCCTCTCACAAGACATCAGTTAGCCTGCACAGGCGTCTGGGAGCCCGCGGTCGAGAACACGTCCAAGTTCCTTAAGCTCTGTCGAGCGGGTTCCTGTCTTCGGCTCTTCGCGAGCCTCGAGGCTACCCGTGAGCCACTCCGCCCGCTCTCCGCTAGCAGACGCAGGGTTTATAACAAATAGCAATCACGGATAGCAGGTATGAACCCGCGGTGTACGTACAACTAGTGTCGACTTTTCGGGTTCATGCACCCCGGTTGCTGACGTCCTCGTCTCTTGAGCGCTGAGTAGCACCATTGGACTGCTGCTGCCGTGTCGGGATGCACGTCAGGTACCGCCAGACGCTGCACTGGCTCCGCGGACCGGGTTGGAATAAGCCCGTTTCTGTCCTGGAGTACGATTCCCTTGCCCCGTTTCCACCATAAACATTTAATGCGATGCCAGCATCCAGGGATCAAATGAGCCCGCCTTTGGACTGAACACGGCCTACGATAATCAGCGCTGAACGATGCGCAACCTGTCAGCAGCGAGGCCGTCGAGTATGCGGACAGAAGCGCGCTCACCCGTTGGTATTCTGAGAAGCACACTTTGTCAGTACACACCCCCTCTTCCCAATGCCCCCCGCAGGACATCGCATGGTTACCAAAATCTCGGCGCGATTCTTCCGCGAAAGGGCGGCACAGCGAACGTGCCTTGGTGTCTAATGGTGCGCTGCAACGCGAGCCAACGAGATTTCGACTGTCGTCAGAACCCTCCACGATCGCTTGGAAGTGGAAGCACGGACAAGAATATCTCCTTTCGTCACCAGGCAGCATGAAGAACATGAGTTCTCGTCGAAGGCATCGAACACGTCTTGCGCGTGTGCTGCACAAGTGCGGTCGGAGGACCGGGCCGCTGCGACCGTGCCGAAGCAAGAACACGATCGAGGAGATCGGCCGACGCGAAGATGGGTTGTACGAGGCCATGAGCTGGATTAGACTGGAGGAACCGATACATTCATCACGACAGCGGGTGGGTGTTACGACACCATTCTTGGTACAGACATATTGCTACTCCGAGTCTGCCCCAAGACCTTCGACGCCAAAACAGACCTGTTTTACCTACAACCGAAATAAGGGCGCGCGGGAATATAGTAATGCATTATGTCTGGAAAAAGCCTATCAGCCACCGTTCGCCGGCACACCTTGCCAGAGTCCGTAGGTCTTCCCGGGGCTAGTTTGCCACAACCGAATGGTACCATCCTCTGCAAAACAAGACAAGTATTAGCCTCCGAAGCAAGCTTTCACATAAAAGCAACAGAAGTATAGATAGAAGTTCACAATGCATGAGTTAGGTCGCAAGGCGGGTCCATGCTCCGCCATTTCACAGTACATAGATATGCTCATAGTGCATAGGTCAAGAGCACGCTGTGCACTATGAGCATCTAAGCTGTGCTGCTGATGCCACGTCACAGTACTCTCCTGGCTTGTATGCTGGGAGAACACAAAGCCACGATGGATCCGTGCGTCCCGACCTTCCCCGCATTCAAAACCATCGGGGTGGAAAAAAAGAAGGCAACTCACCACTCCCGCTCGCAAACACCTCGCCATCTGGACTGAACTCGACACAGTGGACGGGCCCGTGATGTCCCTTCAACACTTCCCGCTCCTCGCCCGTCACGTCGTGGATGCGCACCCACTCGTCGCTCGTGCTCCCGGTGACGAACCGATCTTGGAGGATGGGGTGGATCGACGCGGACGAGGGCGCGTACGGCAGCGTCAGGCTGTGCGTCTGTGGGCCGTTGAGCAGCGCGGGGATGAACGACACCGTCTTGCCGGACGTGACCACGATCCGGTTCGTCTGGGGGGAAAGCTCCATCGAGGTGATCGGGCCCGGGAAGGTGAGGTTCGTCGTGAGCGCGCGCGTGCGGAGGTCCCACCACTTGATCATCCCGTCCTCGCCGGCGGTGACACCGGTGTGGTCGCCGACCCAGACGACGCTCTTGACGGTGCCATCATGCGAGAGGCCGGAGGGGCCGTCGACGAGGAAGTCCGGCTCGGCGTCCGGGCGGTTGACGTCGAACATGCGCACTTTCTTTTCCTGGCCGCCGGTGAGCATGTGGCTTGCGCTGGGGGATATCGCGACGCTGCGGACGATGTGGTTGTGGGGGAATGACTGGAGACATTCGCCGGTGTAGGTGTCCCAGACCTTGCTGATCGGACGGGCGAAATCCAGTCAGATCCAGACGCCGGAAACGCTCCGCGGGGGCACGGGGGTGCGGATCGTAGACGTACGCAGTGAAGTCGGCGCTGCCGGATGCGGCGCGCGACGTGTCTGGGGAAAGCTTGCTGCTCCATACCGCGCCCTTGTGGCCGATGAAGGTGCCGATCCAGTCGCCGGTCCATTCGCGGAGCATAGGATTGCCATCTTTGCAGGAGGAAATGATCACATACGTCCCGTCGTCCTGGAGGGGCGAGAAGGATAGATGGGTGACGGGGCGTGTATGCCCGGGCGCGACGAGCGGGACGGCTTTGTGTGGAAGGGCCATAATCGGGATCGTATGGTACAGGCCGAGAGTCGTGGGGGTCGTTACGCAGGCGCACCGCGCGCTGACAGATCTAGAGATGAACGGTGTGCTGGCGAGAAAAGAAGGAATACAGCGGTGTCTCAGGCGAAGGCAAAGGACGGCGAGGAAGGGGCGCGCACGAGAGTTGGCGTCCCTCCAGCCCTGCCCTCCCCACCACGTGGGCTTCCATTTCTGGTCCCTTTCATCAAAACCCGCCCCTGCACCAACTGCAATCGGCCCCGCTGCGACCTCCACCGTGCCATCTGCCTCAGACTGCACTGTTCTCTGACCCAACGCACTCACTCGACTGTATCTGGCGTGCTGTGGTAGGTGCGTCGCTTTGGTCCCCAATTCGCCCAGCCTCCTTGCTATCTCGAGCGCAGCCCACACGTACCCAGCGCCCATACAGTACCGCGCCACGGATCAGTATCGCGTGCAGCGCGGTCCGCAGTCTATCCAGACCTTGTGACGCGCCGGTTACACCGTATGCGTCTCACGACGAGGCGTCGGTTGTGGCATCTTGAGCATCAGCTTGTCGTGCACAACTTCTATCATGATGCAAAGACGTGTACTGACAAATCAACCTAGTAGTCTACAATATTTCTGAGATCCGACGGCAATGTTCGAAATTGTTGTGGCTCTCCAGTTTTGAGTCCTGTCGATGTATATCTTTCAGCGCATTTCAGGGAAACCCCGTTCAATAAATATTTCAACAGCTCAGCTACCTGAATCCGATTCGTGACAGCAAGACACTTCGAACAATCCCCGAATGCCGACACCACTCCCCCGGAGACTCCTCGCCAACAACCAAATCCGTGCATGCGGACTCCCCGCTACGCGTCGCGCCTCCATTCCATCACACTCCACCCACCCGCAGCTGTACCACTAGTGAACTGGGCATGACATTTCGCCAAAGGATCCCACCAGTTAATATGCAAGTCTGCCGCGAGGCGTACACCACACGGTAGATCGCGGATGCTTCGCAAAAAAGTCGACAACATGCCGTAAGAGCATAACGAATTGCTGCGCACCGACGAGCCCATACGCCCGAAATGAGCCACTGCGCCCTCGAAGTTCAGGTTCGCGCGGAAGCGGCGGCACGCCCGACCGGCGTCGCCCCCGCGTTCTCCACCTTCTTCCGCACGTACGGCCAGCACAGGCCCACCGCGAAGTGCCCGTCCTCGTAGTCGTCGTAGAGGTTCACGATGCCCTTGTTCTTTCCCTGCGCGATGTAGTCCTTCAGCCGCGCGGCGCCAGCGCGCTCGAACAGTGCGGTCCGGTCCCGGACGACTTTCGACAGGAGGCTGCCGAGCTGCGACGACGCGACCTTGGTGAGCCCTTCGTCGTGTTGCTGCCTGAGGATGTCGACGAGCGGCTGGAACTCGGGAGGGACGACGGGGTGCCAGAGTTCCTTGGGCTGGTCGTCTCGTGGCTGCTTTGGTGGTGGGTTGGTTTGCACTATGGGGGCGGTAGTTGACTTCCTCTCCTTTCTTTCGGCTGTGGAGGGTGCACTTGTGGTAGTTGAAGTTGAGGAGGGCGTAGATGGATGGCCAGGAGGGGGTGGCGGTAGGACTCTTGCAGGGGTAGTCGGCAGACTGCTTGGCCGGGGCTGTTGATGAGAAGTCGATGCGAGATTTTCATGACTTTGAGCATGGGGGAAACCGCTGACGTTCAGGGGAAGTGGTAACGGAAGAGGAGAAGGTGGTGTATGCTGGAAGAAACGTCGAACATCCTGTGGAGACGGCGGACTGGGTTCTAATTCTGCTGTAGAGAGCCGAACAGTACTGGGAGGAGATATCTGTGACCGAGGGACACTGGTCAACGCCACAAGCAGACGCAGCAGTGATCAACATGCTTACTTTGGTACTGAACGGCTTTGAACAGCTCTCTCCAGCGGCGAGAGCCTCGGCGGCAGGACTAGAGTCAGTGGAACCCACCAATGTCTAGAAGCAAGTGGTAGGGGGTCAGCTGTTGATCCAGACGATTTTGTGAAACATACGCTTGTGTCGGAAGGCGACGTTTCGCGAGCAGCGTGGTGCGCACGTTCTGGGCGGCCGCCGGACACCGAACTTGGTGGCGTAGCAGCAGCATCTCGGGGCTCCCTCTTTCGACTTCTCCCGCCATCGGAGATCTGCCCTACGGGTGCTACACTTGGCGGTCTCGGGATGGTGCTGCGGTTGCAGGAAGTGGAGGGGATTGCATGGGATGACTCCCACGGTCCTAATAGCCCCAAGGAAGGTGCGGGCAGTGGCTGATTTGTAGTTTGGGGGGGACTAGCTTCGCAAGGAACAGAAGGAAGGACCTCCGGAACAGAAGGAACTTCGGGTAGGACGTCATGGGGCCAGTTGTATACGAATTCCGCTTGTGATTTGAGGCAACCGGGGGTAGATCTAGGTGCGAGCAAAACAATACGGTACTGGCGCAAGGCGAGGACGGAGACCGCATACACGAAGTCACGATCTCCGGTGATAAGAAAAATCGTGGTCGGAGCCGGGGTATCAATTGCATACGCCATCATGTCGACTAAAATCCATTTGAGTAGCCATTCGTGCTGTGCATATGAAGACGGTTACCGATCATCATCTTGTCGGCGACGTCTTTGCGACCGTTGTGAGGACAGTCAATGAGCGAAACGCCGCACGATTGAAGCTCCGAGCGCAGAGCCAAGGATCGCGGGGTCGTGTGTTCGGGATATTCAAGGTATGCCCTAAAGCTCTTGACGCTCCCGTACCGATGTGCGATCGCGCGTATTTTATTCACGATCATGTACGGGGGCTCCATGGAAGGGAGAGCGCAATTCTCTGACACTAGGTGTGGGCGATGTGGCAGGCGTAGTGCAGAGGATCTGACAAACCATAGTCCCAGAAAATGGCTACACTGGACGTCATTTTGCGGGGAACCTAGAAACACTGTAAGACTCTCAGGACAATCAAACGCTCTGCTCGTTCCGAGATGCTTACCGTGGCGTGGAAGGGGTCGCCGGGGCACTATGTGGGTGCAGGCGAGGGCTGAATGAATTGGATCATGAACAACAGAGGACGAGCTCCTGGAGGAATGTTTACGCGGCTCATCGGACTCGAATAGCATCGGCTGGGCCCGGGTGGCTGCGGGTCGGTTCAAGTTGAACCACGAGCGGTCCGGCCCCGACCCTCACGTGCACACATCAAGTATCTCTCCTCCAGCCTGTTACTTATGTATAGCGCTGAACTAGAGCTAAGCGATCTTGGCGCGCATAGGCTGCTCTCAACCACCACCTCCATATCATATGATGCACCACAAGTCAGCACTCCTCCTATTACCTTACCTTGTGACACTCGCTGCGACTTTGCCATGCGCCTGGCCCATGAGACTGCGTCGCGCCCTTCGCTGTCTTTCGTGGGTAACCCATGACCTCCTGATCATTCTTCTCTTATGTACATCCTGCAGTGACCGACGTTTAACATGCATGCGGGCGTGCTCTAGCCAGCTATAAGTATACCGCTGTGAGAATTGGCCCCACCCCAAGTATCGTCCCACCCCTGAACTCGCAGTGCCGTGTAGAATCCTCTCCCCCTCAACACCATGTTATCGCTCCTGGCTCGTCGCGCCAACGTTTGCCGCCCCAGCAATGTGACTAGACTGGCATTCTCGACTACTGCAGCGCGACGTGAAGAAGCCGCTTCTCGCTTGAAGAACGCCGGTCAGCTTCCTCCTTATGGACCAGTCGGCGTTGCGAGAGCCCTGGCTTCAGACACCTCCTCCCGTGCGTTGCTCGATACATGGTGAATTTCTCACCACTGACGCCTGAGGCACCAATGCACTAGCTTCACAGCCCACACTTTTCTCCCAGGAGTTTTCCCTCGCAGACCGTGTCGCCCTTGTTTCTGGAGGCAATCGAGGTCTCGGCCTGGAGATGGCGCTCGCCCTTGTTGAGGCCGGCGCCCGAGCCGTTTACTGCGTCGATCTGCCCAAGCAGCCCGGAGAAGAGTGGAAGCGTGTTTGCGACTACGCGGGACGCATGGAAGGCTTGCCCAGTGAAGGTCGGCTCGAATACCTCAGTGGCGACGTAAGGGATCAAGAGGCAATGTGGCGCATTGGTGAGACCGTGGGCGCGCGCGAAGGCCGCCTCGACACATGCGTGGCCGCTGCGGGCATCCTGAAGACGCATACGGACTGCCTGGAGTATCCGCACAAGCAATTCCAAGAGGCGAGTGATATTTCGAACCCTGATCTCCGCCCATGCGTTCCCCGGTCTGCCTCGTTTTGTTGCTGGAACACTGCGCATATGCGTCTATTTTCCGTAACACATGCGCGACCTCGGATGTATGTCGGCGGTGGACACGTATGCTCCCTGCCGTGACGCACGTATAGTGACTCTGGGTCGTCCTCTTGGCAGGTGATGGATATCAACGTCAACGGCGTCCTCTTCACTGCGCAGGCTGCGGGCCGCCAGATGGACAAGTTCGGGAACGGCGGGAGCATCATCCTCGTCGCGAGCATGAGCGGAAGCATTACGAACAAGGTGTGCCTATCGCCCACGACAGCGCCCGTTGATCACGCTCACCGTTTTGCGACTTTTTCTCGTGCTTGTGGACGATGCCCGGGTGTGTATCCTCGCCGTGCCTGGACGCTACTGTGACATCCGGATGGGCCGCGTTTAGGATCACGCCTGGGTGTCGTACAACACGTCCAAGTCCGCCGTGCTGCAAATGGCACGCAGCATGGCCTGCGAACTGGGCCCGAAGCGCATCCGCGTCAACACTCTCAGCCCGGGTCATATTTACACCAAGTGAGCCGCTTCCCTTCCAGATATTCTCGTAGCGGAGCCTCTGGTGTGGTGGCCCTCCCAGCTTCGAGCGCTCCGAGCGCGTCTTCAATTTGCAATCGGACGCGGGTTTCGCAGACGCTGATCGGATCCAACAACCCACAGCATGACCGCAGCCTACCTCGATTCCCAACCGCATTTGCTTGAGAAGTGGTCGAGCCTCAATCCCTTCGGGCGCATCGGGCGGCCAGATGAGCTCCGCGGCGTGGTTACGTGGCTCGCGAGCGACGCGAGCACGTTCTGTACCGGATCCGAGTACGTCCTTTTAACTACTGCACGGATGTTCCATGTACTGACTGTGCCCCTTCGCAGCATCCTCGTCAGCGGTGGACATCATGCGTGGTGATGTGACAGCTGGATGCCTTTACCGTCTGCCTCGCGGCATACCCGGGTCTAGTGTGGTCCTTGACGGTTGTTCAGTCTGCTTTCACTGTTCTGGGTGCTTATCACGAGTCATGTGTATGGATTTGGGCGCTCGTTTGTACGTTGGGAAGTCATGCATCACGCGGTAGACAAGAATTCTAGTGCGAAGCCACCGACCAAGTGTTATGACTCTGAATATGAACTGAGGAGCTCGCGCAAGCTCACTGGGGATGACTTGTAGACCGGTCGGAGGTGGACGTTTGAACGGGCGTGGGATGTTTGTCGGAAGGAGGGCGGTGTGGCAATCTATCCTTGGATTCCCGATAGCATAAGGACTGCACAGTACCGCGGATGTAATGCAGAGGGGGCTGCGCTCAAATGTAGACTCTACCGCATGTCGTGGCCAAGAGTGGACCCAAGGCGACACGCTGGACGCGTCTGCGGCTGCTTGCGCCCGTCGAGGCAGTCGCGAAGAGCGCGGAAAAGAGCCATGCGTCTGGATAGCTGATAGGCACTGGGAAGTCCTGCGGATGGCGGGGGAAGACAGGCGACACATCGATGGCCTGCATGAGACGAGATGCGGGTACGTCGGACGCGCGTTGGGCGCGGCGCGATAGCAGTGGAGGAACATATATAGCGCTGAGTGAAGTGTACACACCCGAGATAACCGCGGAGGGAGGGCGGGGAGTTTCTGGGTAGCGCGGGGAGTGGGTGAGAGAGAGCCATTAATATTCGGGCTGACGCTGGACAAGGTACCGAGCGGGAGCGTTCCGGTGGGGGCTGCGGGGAGATGCGCGTGTGGACGGACTGCGCAGGGGCGGACGCGCTGATGCCATGAGACGTCACGGACGCCGCGGTCGCTGCGGGGGGCGAGGGGACGCGTGTCGGCCGCGGCGCTGCTGGCCGCAGGCTCAGCGGAGGCTGCGAGCAGCTCGGCGGTGCGGACGACGGAGGCTGCGCGTCGGGGAGGGCGGAGAGGCGGGCGGGCCGCGGCGTGACGCGGCGTGAGGGGCGGGGGCCCAAGGGGGCAGGTGTGACGATCGATCTCGATCGTGCGCAGCTGAACGACTGCGGAGTGCGACGCGGACTGTGCAATTGGTTGGCCGAGGGCAGATCCCGTTAGCATTCCTCCCTCACTGCGCATCGCAGCACCCCCATCCTCTTTCTCTCCAACCCTCTCCTCCTCTCCTCCCTCATCCTTCTCCATATTCTTGCGCCTGAGCGCGCTCCCTTAATCCCTTTCTCTCCACTCATGAACGACCCTTCGCATCCCAAAATCGCATCGACGTCCCGCAAGGGCAAGGAGAGGGAACCTGCTCAGATGGATATTGCAGACAAGCTCATCGCGCTCAAGCGCAAGCAAGCGTGCGTGGCCCTTTTTATCTGACCCTCCTACCTCTCATCTTCTTCCCCGCCACTCAGTGCTGCCACCACTCGCGAACGTCCAGAACGTCCAACCCATCCGTCCTCTTCACACCAAGAGCCTCATCGGCCCACCCCACCTCACCGCGGCGGCTACATGCGCCCCCCATGCCCAACCCGAGCATTGTTGTCTCGGAAGGCTCCCCACAATATGAGGCCGATCCAGACGACTTCTCGCGGCGGCTCAAGATTTCCTCATCCTCCCCACGCGGCCCGCACGCGCGCCCTGCTGCCAACGGCAGTCCCGGTAAGCTCTACGATCCCAACACCGACTCGGTCCGCAAGACTGCCCCCCATGTCACTGCCGAGCCAGACGCGATGTCCGATGCCGCATCGAGTTCTCATTCACCGCGAGTCTCCCGCATGCACCAGTCCCCTCAGGGCGCCCGCAACCTCGTCGAACACCGACAGCTCTTCGATCCTCGCAAGCACGATGCGGTTCAGTTCTCTGCCCAGAACCGACATAACGCCACTGTCACCCCATTGCCGAGCGGTCGCCCAACCCCTACACCCAAGTCTTCAGGAGACTGGGTCTCCGCGTCTTCAACCTCCTCCGCTTCGTATGCCCATTCATCTATATCTTCCAACTTCACTCTCTCCTCCGCCACCGACTCCTCTTCTGCATCATCCGCTCTTTTCGACTCCTCAAATCCCGCGGGCCGGAGGTCCGAGGACAGCGCCTCTAGCGCGAACGCCTTCTCTCGAAAACTGAAGGAGGTTTACCGAATGATCAGTGGCCTGGAGACCAGGCTGTTGGGTAGCGACAAGGATCGGGACAGGGCAGAGGATGGTGAGCGTGGATCGCGGGGGGTATTGATCAAGGGACGCGCGAGCAGCAACGCTCTCGCGAGTACAACCGATGAGGGCGAGTCTGAGCGGTGGCGAAAGCTCGTATCAGAGCACCAGCAGTAAGTAATCCTATCTGCGTCTCAGCTTGGGGTCTCATTATGCTTATGCTACTCATCAGACTTGCGGAATGCATCCGCGAGATGCTCGCTCTTACGCTTGCGCCCACGGTGCCCGCTTCTCTCAAGAACATCCCGCAGAAGTACAACCTAATCATTAGGTTATGGTCCCATGCATTCTACCATCTTCTGGAGTCGCTTCGTCACGCCGCGCGGCCACCAACAAGCTCGCCAGTAGCTCTTGAGTACCTTCAGGTAAGTTGCATGTTCCACTGTTTGGAGCTCGTTCTCATCTTGTTTCTTAGCAATTCCTTAACTATGCCTATGTATTCTACGGCGGTCTCATCGAGGAACGCAACTTCGCGCAATACCGCGGGCCGTTCCTCGAGGCTCTCGGCGACTTGTCTCGCTACTGGATGGCCGTCAGCGCCCTCATCGAAGGCACTCATTCTACAGGCAACACACTCACGGTATCCGCCGTTGCCAAGAACAACCTGCTCGCCTCCAACACCCCTCGCCCATCGTCCCCGAATCCTCCCGCCACCGATCTCCCGTCAGCTGCGGTGTCGCCAACCCCTGCGCGGATCGACGACAGCCCTCAGTCGTCTGAGGCTGAGATGCCTCTTGGTGCCGATGACGTGGGTGCTGTTCTCCATATCCACAACATCCCTAGCGTCGGTCAGGAGGCAGCCCGCTTGATGGAACTCGACCCCGACAAGGAGCGCTGGCGGCAGGTCGCGAAGGATTGGTTCGCGCGAGGGCTCGCAATTACCCCCAACTCCGGCAAGCTCCAACACCACCTCGGGTTGCTTTGTCGCGACAAGGACGGCTTGGATGAAGAGCTGCGCGGCGTCTATCACTTTGCGAAGAGGTGCGTTACATGATGTTAGTGTGAGACTGCAACTGACCAGCCGAGATTAGTCTGGTCGCGTTCCACCCATTCCCCACCGCGCGCGAGTCCGTGCTCAACATGTGGACGCAACCGTTGCAGGCGCGTCGGCAAGCACCTGATGCGTCGCTCACGGAGCTCTTCGTCGCCCTACACGGCATGCTCTTCACCAACATCCAGCTCGACGACTTCAAACGCGTTCTGGAGCGTTTCCAAGAAAAGCTGCAGATCGGCGGTGAGTTGCTTGATTTCGGAGCCGAAAGCGCCACTCACTCTTCACGCTTCTCTAGACGGCGAGCAAGTGGAGGAACGCGAATGGATCATGATGGCCCTGGTCAACGTGAGCGCGCTCCTCGAGTACGGCCGCGCCACGGCTGTTCTTCACCGCGTCAGTGGTATCGAGTCCCGGGGGAACAATGCGAGCCCGACGCTCCCTACAGGCGCGGCAGCAGGCCGGATCAAGGTGCTCATGGCAAAGCGACTCGACGGCGACATGGACGTCGATGACGAGGAGGCCCCCTCCGTCGCCTCAGCAACTGCGGCCGCCGCGTCGAGCGAGCCGGAACTACCCGCTTCTCTTTCCCTGGCGATGCAGCTCGCATTTGTTATGCTCTCGCATACCCTTCGCCACCCCTTCCGCCGGCCAAGCGAATACGCGTCACCTACCCTCAACCCCTACAACACCATCTTCCTTACCTTCCTTGCGACCGTCCTCCGCGATCCGCACGTCCGCTCAGCCCTCGAACGGGCCGTTCCGTGGGAGGAGCTTGCGAGCTTCCTCGTCCATATCCCTCGCCGTGACCTCATCCGCGAGCACCAGAAGGTCAGCGTCGAGAGCGGGCTCCTGCTCACGAGTGGCTGCAAGCCTCTCCCGGAGGACTGGTGCATTCGCGGTATGGGCTGGGGCGGCAAGAAGGTGTTCGAGCGGGGGTTCTGGAACAAGGACGCCGACACCGCCGGAGAAGAGCGCAACATCGAGGTCGAGGTCCTCGACCGCATCGAGATGCCCGACCATGGCATGGACGGCATCATCGAGGACGAGTCCGACGAGCAGGAGGGCCACTCCAACGACCAGTCGCCCGAGAAGCGGAGGTGGGCCCGTCTTGCGCGGGCGGGCCTCCGCATCGCGCGCGACATCCACGGCTTCAAGTTCTCGGCGTCGTCTGCGCAGGAGGGCACCCGGCCAGCTTTCCGGGTCGAGGGCGCACTTGCGGAGAAGGTTGCGCGATGGAAGGAGGAAGAGCAGCGCGAACGCCTGGCGGAGGAGCAGCGGCTCCGGGGGACGAAATGGAGCGACGACTCCATGGATGTCGACGACGTCGAGATGCAGGAGGACGAGTCGGATGCGGAGGACGGTGAGGCTGACAGTGAGGAAATCCGCAAGCTCAAGGTAAGCCTTTGTCATCGGAATTCAGTCGCCTCGTGGGTACTGATCACCTATGCCATGCTACTCAGGAGCGCCGGAGGCACCTCCAGGCATTGCTTGAGTCAGGTCAACGTGAGGCGCCTTCGCGTCGCCCTCGTGGATCGCGCCGGACAGACCCGTCCCGGCCTGCGCTCCGCTGTGTCCCGGGCTACAGCGTCCTCGTCGTGGACACGAACATCCTCCTCTCGTCGCTGCAGGAGTTTTCCTCTTTGGTCGAGTGCAACAAGTGGACGGTGGTAGTCCCTCTTCCGGTCATCATGGAGCTCGACAGCCAGTCGTCGAACATGAACCAGCTCGGCGAGGCTGCGGGCGCCGCCCTCCAATACATCTCGTCGCACGTGCGCACCCACTCGGCCTCGCTCAAAGTGCTCACCTCGCGCGGAAATTACCTGTCAAACGTCAACGTCCGCACCGAGCAGGTCGACTTTTCCAACAGTGGATGGGAGCGCAACATGGACGATCTGATCCTCCGCGCCGCTATGTGGCAGGACGAGCACTGGATGGACCGTTCGGCGATGTTGCAGGCCGGTGAGAACCGGGACACCACTGGGGCTGCCAAGGTCATCCTGCTTAGTTTCGACCGCATGCGTAAGTCGCCAACCATCTCACCGTATGATCATATGTACTGAGATTTCCGTGCCTTTTAGTTCGTCTGAAGGCGCGCTCGAAGCAGCTTGACGCCGCAAGCGAGGCTGACCTTGCGGCTATTCTGTCCATGGGCTCGTAACTCGTCGTTGGGAAGGTTCCATCGGAACCCAACTATCCCTTTCAGTGCCCTTACTCCACGCCCATCCGTGTCGGCGCGTCGTCCACCATCCAGTCCGGAGTGCACCCGCATCCACTCGCCCAGGGGCCGCCGACGACTCCGCTCGACCTCCGGCCGCCACGGCAATTCGTGCATTTTGCGACGCCCGTCCGTCGCGCAAGCGCCTCAGAGGCGTTCGCGGCATCTCCGTCGCTCATGCCATGCACTCGACCCAGCTATGCACATACCGTAAACATATATTTATTCCATCCCACTGTCTCGCCTGTTGCATTGACTATCTCACTCTCGTTGCATATTTCGCTATAACCCCTCTACACTACGCCGCAGCCCCCATACCCGCATCCACACACTCGTCGCAGACCCACATCCACACTCCCTCGCCTCCGCTCGAACATTGCCTTTTGTCTCTGTGCCTGTGTGTCTCGCGCCTTCTGTGCTGTCCTGTTTATTGTCTCGTCACTGTCGTTTTTGTACCAGCATCTCGTCTCGTCGTCATTTACAATCCATTGGAAGTCTGGCAATCTCTTGTCGGATATTACAGCCTTCTCATCAACCGTCCGCGTGGACCATCGACGCTGTTGTGGATGAATTCCTCGATATCGGCGCCGGGTGGCTTGAGAAAATATGTGAGGCGGCGGTTCTCGCGGTGTTTGTTGGGGAAAGCGCCCAAGGTCCGGTGAGGCCGGAGTGACGTCTGCATCTTCCCTCCTCCCACCATCTTCCTCCCGGTCCGCAACAGTTTTTACCCCCCAGACCAATGATCAACCCGACAAATGCCCACACACCACCGCATGAAGCAAACCGCGGAACCGACCATGCTCACACGTCGACCGCCTTCGACCACAACCTCGTTCTTCTGTCAACGTCGGTATCATATTCTACACCGCCTTCTCTCAATGCTCAATTGCCATTTTTTTCAAGAGTGAATCGCTCTCGCATGCGGCGGGCGTGCCGTCTGCCCACGCCGACATCCGGGGTCGCAAGCTCGCCACTGCAGGCCGCCGTGGTGTCCACTGTTCATCGGCTGAATACGCCCTTACGCAAGCTATAGCATCCCTGAGGCCTTATCAAAAACCAGTGATCCTCGTGCTCGCCGCCGCTCCGCCGCCGGAGGTCGGCGCATTGATAGAGACTCATCATCAGTGTGGCGATCCGCTCTGCTGGTGTAGTTGCACTCGCCACTAGCTAGCGTGCACAGCACGTGCGCGCTCTCCTTGCGTCTGTGTGGGCACTGACCGGTCGCCAGGAGCACTGCCAATCGTTATCGCATACTCGCTCTTTCTCAGTCGGGCCGTGATGCCACGTAGACATCCAGAACGGGACGTCCGTAATGAGCAGAGGACGAAGACCCGGTATTCGCCATGTGCGCAGGTTGGAGTCTCGACCCGGTACGCCATTGTAATTTCTGTGTATGAAATGTGGTGAATGGCAGGTGCCGTCATTGGCGCCTTTGGCGTGGAACTTGGCTAACTTCGTCATCCATGCCCGCTCTTGCGCTTTCGCGGACATATGCTGACTCTCATTTGTAATGCAGCCCGACGGCGACGACTCACGAGCCCGGCAAGAGAGTGGGTCGAATCCCTTGGCGACTCATAACCACCTCCCCACCCCGTTTGGCCGTCGTTCCGCGACTTCAATGAGGCCCAAGGGCCAAGGCGAGCCAAGAGATCAACGGGGGTGCCTGTCGATCTCCGTGGTCGATGACGAAGGATTCGCGTTCCGCAAACTCCGCCGTCACACACACTATCCCTCGGACGGCTCGGCACGCTCTCTCACCATCAATGACTGATGTACTGCCAGTCACCCCTCTAGAGGCCGTCCGATCCGGAGGAACCACCCTGCAACTGCGATACGCGCGCAGCATTTGGACAAGCCTCCCGCTCAGTGTGCCTTGCTTCTCGCCCATCCGTCCACTGCCATTCAGATGCGAAGGACAATCAGTCTCCATTGCCAGCCGACCTGAATTTCCGAAGCCTTTTCAAGCGAGTGCCGCCTGTGCAATCTTTCTCCGACCGCCCAGGCCTTCCGCAACGTGTGAGCATGCTCCTCGAGCGCAAGTCCGCGTACCTTAGAAGGTAAGCAATACATCTCACTTGCGCGCTCTTTTGGAGGCATACGTGCTACGCGCTGACTCGGACTCGAAATAGACGGCCCCATGAACTGCCCTTGATAGTCTGGATCCGTATCAACGTCCTCAGCAAAAAGACTCCACGTGCGCTCCGAAGGGCTGTTAAGGGGCTCAGGAGTACTGGTCGCGCAGTAGGTATATTTCATCTACACAGCGTTTCCTAGCTGATATCTGAATAACCGTTGCTTGTTCAAGCGCCTTCACGAGACTTCTCTCGCACGACGTCCTACCACCGTCTGACGTGCCAACAGAAGTCATCAAGTCAACAACCTACGGCGTAGTTCCCCGTTGAACGGGAGCGAATTTCATGCGGATAGCATTCTCGACGAGCACATTCCGTCCGCCCACATCAGTTCTAGGCAAGCTGGAATTAGCACCACTCCGCTGGCGCCTCATTCAGACGTGTTTTGTCAGGACCATCAAATCTTCGCCCGCTGCTTTCCCGCACCCCCGGAGTTCCAGCGCCATTGATACTATCTCACACGCCAGGACCAGCACTCCTACTTGCTCGCAGTGAGTTGTATCCAGTGCGAACGTCGCACACTGGTGGCTCCACGTCGTCCCAATCTTCCTTTGTATGGGCACCCAGTCCACCACTACCAGAGGACAGCCAGCCTCTCGACGTGGTGACGGGGATCGCCTAGTATTTCCGGCGACAAACATCTTTATCCCTTCGAGGAGAGGCCATCTCAACGATACCAGTTTGTTGGAGCCACTGCCGGTACTAAGGCCGCGCCAGTCACTCACCGGGATGTGACACCGAGCGATGAGTGTGGGCGGGAGTTGGCGGTGTCGATGCACGGTTGTTTATGGTGAAACACCACACGGGTTGACCGAATGCCTGCGCTCTTCCCAGGATCGGCGTCGTGCCCGGACGCGTCCGCGTCAGTCGTCGGTGTTTGGTTGTCGTCCTGAGGGAGGGCGCTCGGGATCGCTCTTGTTTCGTGCCGCCCGCCGGTGCAGACGAGGCTTCTCCCGGTGGCGGGAGACGCGCCGACGCCAGGAGATCCGGCGCCGGGAGCACGAGCGATAAGTCCGGAGGCACTGGTGGGCTGTGTGGAAGGTTCGCTCGTGCATTGTTCGCTGGAGAGGGGAGCAGCCCACAGCGGCGGGAGGGAAAATGCAGCGAGCGGACGTTGGAATGTTCGGGATGTGGTCTGCCCGGCGGCTGCCCGGGCAGGGTGCAGCTGGCGGCAGACGACAGAAGATCGAGATTGGGCGGCGCTTCCCCGCCCAGCGTCGTGCTCTCAACCGCCCACCTGAGGACCCGTTCAGTTGGCGCTTTGCACTCTATAAGACTCTCCGCCTCCGTCCCGGACTACTCCCCATCCTCCTCCGCGGCCCGCACTCCCAGCCTTCCTCGCACGCGCTTTTCTCTTCAATCATCCTCCATGATGCGTTCCTTGAAGCTGTACGAGCACCCGGAGTTCAAGACCGAGGACGAAGACATCTCCCTCCTCACTACAATCCTCTTCGTTTCGGCGCTCGTCCTCCTCGCCGCCATCTTCATTCTGAGCATATTATGTCTCGTCCGCTGGGACGAGTGCTCAACAAGTGAGTGCCCCAGTATATTGCACCACGTTTCGCTAGATCTGACGAACGACCCAGCGTACTCCGTATACAGTGCGCAACCACAGTTCATGACTGTCCGGCAAATACTCAGCAGTACGAGGAGAAGTATCTGAGTGCCGCTTGTCGGCGCTGAAGTCTGCGTAAATTCCCGTTTTTACAGGTGAGCGTCTCACGTATCATTCCAGCAAGAGTATCGTTCATCACTGAATGATAAACAGGTCACCGTCTCGATTGTTGTATTATTAGTCGCTGCACATACTGCCCCCCATTCAGCCATACGACCCTCGGATGCCGGCAGCTGGTCCTTCGCTTCATCACTACTCTCCCCCGCACCATGTAGACCATAACTTGTATGATCCATTATTCGGTTGCTTCCCGCCTATGGAACCCCGCCACGACGTCTCTCGCACAAGCCCTCCCCCGCATCTTGTAGAACTTCCCTTACAGTCGTCCCGTCTCGTGCTCGCCTCTTTTGTAATACCACACGCTATTCTTATTGCAGCCATGCCTGTTTCCCACCGGGATTCACACTTGCTTCCGTGCACCGAGCAGCACAGGTCGACGGCGTTTGGCAGTACGCAATGATATCGCCCTCCGTGTCTCCTCGGACTGCTTTCGGCTCTCATATCGCACCTTAACGTTATAACACCGACCTCTTAGCACCGAGCTCCCGCCGTCCTCGCGAGTGCAAATTCGCACCGCGCGCAGGTATGGACGTACGTACGTACTCACCGCGCACAGCACACCGGCATCACCTCGTCTCGCGAGCTTCCACGCTCGCCTCGTGTGTTCGGATCGCTGGACGTAAGTGACGTAGCGAGCCGGCAATGCAGCAGACCGAGATCACCAATCGTTTTTGGCAACGCGAACCCGACGTGCATGGAAGCCAGCAACAAACACATGCAGAAAGTTCGAGACCATCGGCGGCGACAGTGCGCGGCCAGTGCGGTCTCACGCGCTCCGCGTCCGCTCGCGGTCTCGCTCGCCCCAACCACAGCTGTGAACGTAAGGGTATATATCGCAGCTGCCTCGGAAATGGGTATACGCTGCACGTGCTGTCGCCGACTATCCTCCACGCGATGCACCAAACGCGATGTACGTGCGTATACAGACCACACGGGCGACGAGGTTATCGTGACCACAACTCAACCTTTCATCGCATACACTACGTGCAATCCCGCGACAGCCCGAACAAAACGTCTGATGCGTCGAAGAGTAATAGAGTCCAGCTGTGCGCTCGTCCGATCCGCACCCTCGTTCTCGCAACCCTGCCCCTGTCGGTGCGCGCGCCGCCCCGGTGTCGCGCGCCTCGCGAAGCAGCTAGAAGCCGCAGACGGACCCGCGCGAGCGCAGACTGAGATACGGCGCCGACTCCGCGCCTGCACATGCATCTCCGCCCTGCACGCGCGGCGTCCCTTGCCCCTGGAATGCGACCGGACGCGATTCGAGCGGGGCGACCCTGCAGCTCCCGGAACGTCCGCGCCCTCGCTTTCGTCCAGAGGCCGACGCGCTCGGGGTAGCGTGCTGCTCTCGTATTGTGGTTGCGCGCCCGCGCCCCTGTCCCGTCGTGGGCGCCCGGCTACACTGGGACCGTCATCCGCATTGTCGCTGGTGTGCGCGTGGAAGATGGCCCCCGAGCCCTGAACGAACCCTGGCTGACGCCGCGGCTGCTGCTGGGGGTGCTCGGTGCCTCGTCCGAAGCTTTGACGCCCCGCCTCGTGCTCAGAGATACGCCGAGAGCGACACCGGCACCGCAAGCACCTCCCGCATCTCCGTCACCGTCCGGGCGACGACGACAGCGGACGCCGGGCGCGCGGGCCGCTCATCCGCCACGGCCGCCGCGGCCTCGCGCTCGCGCTCGGGGCCGTCGTCCTCGCCCGCGAGGCGCGCGGCCTCGCTGAAGACGTCGTGCGTGCCGTCGTCCACGTCCACGTCCGCGGCTGCGACGAGTGCGGCGAGTGTCCCACGTCGGCGCGCCGGGACGGCGGCGGCGAGTGCCTCGGGCGAGTCCGCGCGCGTCCGCCGGCGAGGGGCTAGGATTGGGAGGGGGAGGGGCACCGCGTCGGGCACGTTCCAACCGAGACGCTCTTGTGCGATCTGGCGCCGGAGGAAGAGGAGGCCGATCCCGTACGTGCCGCTGAAGGTCTGCCAGGGTTGATGGCGTACCGGAGGTCGGCCATCGGGCGGGCATTCGCAGGAGTTGAATCGGAGCAAGGCGCACGTCGGGGAGATGACACCGAGCGAGGACGTCAGCGAAGCACTCGATAGCCCGCGTCGCCACACTGCGGCCCAGTGGGCGCAGCGCGGACGAGGCAAGCGGGCAGGCGCGAGCAGACATGGAGACAAGTACTCACCGCCGCCCAAGTGATGCATATGGCCGTGATGGCCTTTTGGCTCGTGCCGCTCACTCCTGGGTCGCGGTCTGCGCCATTGATCGTCTGTGCGTTTGGGGTAGTGGCGTCAGCGCTGCGCATACCGTTGTGGTGGGGGGCCGCGCCCTGCGTATGGCAGTGCGCGGACGCACCTCGTATATCGACAGCCCGAATATCGCGAGCCCGAGCCCGACGTGCAGGATGTTGCGGGGTGGGTGCGCCTTCCGGCCGTCTTTGGGGCGCCGCATGTGCACAAGCGTGCCCAGAGCGACCTGGACAATGAAGAGCGCGAAGAGAACCACACCGCCGATCTTCATATCGTCAAGGACACGGGAAGGAAGACGAGAAGCCGAGGCTCAGCTCAGGTCCATCCCGGAAGAACCCTGAGGACAACACTCACCTGGTGGGCGGTCACCACATGCTCCAGACCCTGTTGCGCAACAGCGAGCGGCCCTAGTGCCCATCCTATGCAAATGAGCGGAAGCCCCAAAACGACGTTGATGAACCAGTGGGCTGTGAACCACTTCGCTGTAAACACCCGAGTCCACCGGGCTACCAGAGCACCCAACGGAAGCATTATCAGGAACCCCGCAGCACAAAAGACCGCGTGCGCCACCAGAAGGCTGTTAGTGCGCGCTCGGTCTTCGTCAGTCGTGGTGGAAGAAACTTGCGACGACGCTGAAAGAGAGGAGATGCTCGTGACCGTCGGGGACCCTGGGGTACTTTGGGCGTCGGACGATACGGTAGGAGAAGAGGACACTTCAAGGTTGTTGGCTAGATCCAACGAGAACCTCCCTGCGTCTAGATGCTGCACGATGCTGGTGTTGGGGTCGGGATCCGGCACAGTTACTCCATACGCCCAGATGAGCGATTCGGCTAATTCTGGGGTCTTCGATATGTCGAATGCCAAAATGGGGGAGACGTTGTCGGGCAGCTGCGGAGGATCAGGTACGATATAAGGGAGCCGCCTCTGAAGTGGTATCTAAACGCACAGGGTCGACCGGATTGGCAACTACGGTGGCCAGGCGCGGGGGATGTGTTACAGGCTGGGGCTCGACATGTCCAGACGCTTGTCGATGTGACAGGATTGTCGTGCCGTTCGGGGCTTTCCATAGGATGACCATCGGGGTATTGGCCATGGTGTCGCCGAAGCCACTAAGAACGGATCGCTCAGACACCGTCCTGCGCGCTGAGCAGAAGGTTACTCACATCGCCATCCATCCTAGCTGATTAAGAGCCTTCAGCTCATCTGTAACCATCCCAAGTGTGAGTAGACGCGTCTCATCGGTTCATTGGAGACGTACATGTTACTGTCGAGGCTTGGACGGTAGCACTGACGCACATCAAGATCCCGCACCAGGAGTCGCCCTGGAGTGCCGAGACCTGGGAGAACCAGGATGGTGTGAACGCGAGGAGCCCCAGCAACAAAGACTTCGGAAGGTGGGCCAAGGAATAGGGCATGCCTACGGGCAGCCAAGATGTGAAGGAGGGCAGGAAGGGCGAGAATAACGTGGTGGAGAGCAAGACCAGAGGAGACCTCCACGACAGCCCTCCGGAGGACGTGGTGCCTCACAATTCCCATGGTTCGCTCGCTCTCGGCATGCCCGGTACCCACCACTGGGAATGTGTGAGGACGGGACTCGGCACCTCCGCCGCTCCCAAAGGACTGCAGCGTGAGAGCGCTCACACGGGTTGCGCTCGAGGGACCGCAGGCTGGAAAAGGAAGCGAGATCACGGACTTGTTGCTGAGTCTGAGCACTTCTAGACTACAGATTGGACGCGTGCGTATACAGTGATGGTTTGCGTGTTAACTTCTCTCGATGCGACATCTACTCAAAGATCCACTTGGCCATGTCGTTGGTGTACTGAATAGTACCCTCGGGGAACCAGCTGCAATGCATGTAAGCGCCACGTGATTACGGCAAGAAAATATGATGAACGTACAGAGTAATCTCCTTCTCGGCGTTCTCGACGGAGTCGGAGCCGTGGCAGATGTTGCGGCCGACAGCGAGGGCAAAGTCACCACGGATGGTGCCTGCAAGGATGTGACGCGTGTTCAGACACACGTGTATGTAAACACGTGCAAGAAACGCGCACCAGGAGCAGACGCGAGCGGGTTGGTCGCGCCGAGCATGGCACGGCCGGTCTTGACAGCGTCAAGGCCCTCCCAGACCATGGCGACGACGGGGCCGGAGGCCATGTACTTGATGAGGCCGGGGAAGAAGGGCTTGCCGTTGAGGTCAGCGTAGTCTACGCATGCCCAATTAGTGACGCGTCGGAGCAACGTATGGAGGTACAACTTACGCTGTTCGAGGTGCTTGGGGGTGGCGTGGACGAGCTTCATAGCGACCAGCTTGAAGCCGCGCTGCTCGAAGCGGCCGATGATGTTGCCAACGATGCCGCGCTGGACACCGTCGGGCTGGAGAGACGCGACGCGTTCAGCTTCAGCATGGGGCGCCTATGGAACACGCGGAGGGTCGAGTGAGTACGGACCTTGACCATGATGTAGGTGCGCTCGGAGACAGACATGGCTATGGCGGGGAGGGGTTGGGGGAGATGGAAGACGATGAAGAGGTGGAGGAAGAGGAGGAGGGCGAGCGACGCTTTATACATCGCGCCTCAGATCTCTCGACGACTCGTTAATCGCGACCAAATCGGGCTCCTCCACCGCGACCGCGCCGCGTCCTCCGCCACCGCGCACAAACACCGTCAAACAGCCCTCGGGCGGACTCGCGCTGCACGCCGGCGCTCGTGCCGCCCACCTCTCCCGTCCCCGCCGCCATGACCGTCTTCGGGCCCCTTGGGGCGTCGCTCGCCCCCTACATCACCAAGAACCGCGGGCTGTACAACATGATCAAGCCCATCGCAGACTGGTACGCCAACGCTTCTGGCTACAGAAAATACGGCTTCAAGTACGACGACCTCAGTACGTGTCTGCCCATCTGTCCTCCGTGTGCCTGTCCGCCGACCCGTTGCCCCCTTCACAGTCGTCTCAGAGCGTCCCGACGTCGAGCGCGTGAGTGCCCTCTTTCCTTTGCATGCGCACACACGCGTTGAACGCGTTTCTCCAGGCCATTGCTCGCCTGACCCCGCGTGAACGGTACGACCGCGCGTTCCGCATGAAGCGCGCCTCGCAGTGCAGTGTTCTTCACGAGCCCCTTCCCAAGGACCAATGGACTAAGCCTGAGGAGGTGCGTGCACACTGCTGTCTATTACGTTTGCTCTACCGAACATGCGGCCTCAGGACGTCCGCTACCTCACTCCTCACATCGAAGACGTCGTCCGGGAGGACCAGGAGCGCGCGAAGTGGGACACCATGGCGGTTGAGCGCAAGCGGTAGACGGCGTTTGGGGCCATTCTGTACAGCGTATAGCAGGCGAGCCTCTTATCTTCGTCTAATCCACCTGGTCTCTACGGCAATACCTCCATCGGTGCGAAGTTGGCTTTGACCTGCAAACCACGCCTTCACGAACTCCCTCGCTCCAAAAGTGCAAAGCAATTTGACATGACCGAAGAAATACACGCGGGCTTTACTTCTATGTCTACGCTACAAAATCCCCGTTGGGCCGCCAAGATCCGCACGATCGAACATCCATTCAAATGGCCTTCGCGAGCGGGGAGACGACCTCGCCGCCCTTCTGCTTGTAGAAGGCGATGACCTTCTTGCCGACAGAAGCAATGTCTGAAAGCGGACGCGATGAGCAAGGTTTATCCAGAGAAACCGCGACGAGATGACGTACTGGAACCGGTGAGACCGAACTTCTCGTACACCTTCTTGTACGGTCCAGACGCGCCCCATCCGTTGATGCCGAATTGCTCGTGACTGTACTTCTGCCAGCCAAGAGTCTACGGGAACGGGTCAGCACCTGTCCGCTCGTGGCTGGTCTTGTACGTCAACTCACCGAGAGCGCCTCAACCGAGAGGATGGGGGCACCGCTGCGCAGCACACTGAGCTTGTACTCCGTCGGCTGCATGTCGAAGATGCTCCAGCACGGCAAGCTGACCACACGGGTCTTCACGCCCTCCGCGGTGAGTACGTTCGCGGCCTCAAGCGCGATCGAGACCTCGGAGCCAGTGGAAACGATGGTGAGGTCCTCGCCCTGGACTTCGTGGACGACGTAGCCGCCCTTGAGCGCGTGCTCGAGGCTCGAGTTCTCGAGGTTCGGCAGGTTCTGGCGCGAGAGCGAGAGGATCGAGGGCGTCTGCTTGCGGGTGAGCGCCGAGTAGTACGCCGCCGAGGTCTCGTTGCCGTCCGCGGGCCGCCAGAAGTCGGTGTTCGGGAGTGCACGGAAGTGCGCGGCAGTCTCAATCGGCTGATGCGTAGGGCCGTCCTCGCCGAGACCGATGGAATCGTGAGTCGCGACCCAGATAACCTGGTGCTTGCTGAGCGCAGAGAGACGGACGGCACCAGCGGCGTACGAGACGAAGTTCTAAGGGTTGATCGAGGTAAGTGGGGGACGAGGCGGGCGCGTTAAGGTGAGGACGTACGAAGAAGGTCGCGACGAACGGAATAATGCCACCATATGCGTGGAGACCGTTCGCGATGGCACCCATACCGTGCTCACGAACACCGTAGCGGATGTAGGTGCCCTTGTAGTTACCGAGACCGGTGCTCTCGGGCTGGAAGTCGACCATCGTCTTCGTGCGGGTAAGGTTGGAGCCCGTCAAGTCTGCAGAACCTCCAACGAGCTCAGGGATGACAGGGACGATGGCGGAGAGGACGATCTCGGACAGCTTGCGAGAGGCCTGAGCAGCGTCGGTGGGCTTGTAGACAGGGAGTTTCTTCTCCCAGCCATCGGGGAGCTTGCCGGAAATACGGCGGGTCAGCTCAGCGTACTCCGCGGGGTATTTCTCAGAATATGACGCGAGCAGCGAGTTCCACTCCGTCTCGAGTTTAGCACCCTTGGTAGCCATCGCGTGGTAGGCGGCGTAGGTCTCTTCAGGCACGTAGAACGACCGGTCGGCGGGGAGACCGAACTTGGTCTTGAGCGCCTGAATATCATCGGCCTTGAGAGCTACGAGTGCCAAACTATGGTGAGTAACGAGACGTGTGGAAAACACACGAGCCACATACGAGCACCGTGGACACCATGGGTACCCTGCTGCTTGGAACCAAAGCCGATGGTCGTGCGAAGACGGATGAGAGTGGGCTTGTTCTTTGACAACTGCGCCTGAGCGATGGCAGCGTAGATCGAAGGGAGGTCGCTGGGAGATTACTGTTACCAATGTCGGATGGAAGTGAAGGCATCTCGATATTCACCTGTCACCGTTGTCGACATGCAGCGTCTCCCAGCCATATGACTTGAAGCGCATCTCAACGTCCTCCGTGAACGCAACAGCGGTGTCACCATCGATAGAGATGTCTGCGGTCACTCAATTAGATCGTATCCCATTTGCAACCTCAAGATGGCTCACGATTGTCATCATAGATCTATGCGCAATAATCAGCGATTGCTCGTCCAATCAGACATGACTATAATACTCACCGCGATCAGGTTCCCGAGCTGCAAGTGACCAGCGAGAGAGGCAGCCTCGCTCGCAACACCCTCCATCAGACAGCCATCACCAAGGAACACTGTACGATATGTGAATGATTGAAGACAAGTACACTCGAAATGTTGAACACACCGTAAGTGTAGTTGTTGATCAGGTCGAAGCCGTCCTTGTTGAAGGTCGCGGCCATATGCGCCTGTCCGATGGCAAGACCGACGGCGTTCGAGAAACCCTGGCCGAGAGGACCAGTGGTAACCTCGATACCGTCAGTGTGGCCAGCCTCGGGATGACCGGGAGTGAGGGAGTCGATTTGACGGAATGCCTTGAGGTCGTCCATGGAGAGCTTGTAGCCCATGAGGTGGAGGAGGATGTACTGGAGCGCGCATCTGTCTTCAAGTGAGTGTGGGATCTCGTGGTCGTTCTATGGGCTGACTTACGCGTGTCTGGAGGAAGGAACAGGTGAGTTATACACTTATATAAGAGAGTGTATGCGCGCGCACCCGTTGGAGAGAACGAAGCGATCACGGTTGAACCACTTTGAGCTCTTGGGGTTTGCGTTGAAGAACCTGCATTCCACTGTGAACAACCATCCAACAGATCGACGGCGACCGCGCGCACCTGGTGAAAAGGACGTGGGCGACGGGCGCCATTCCCATGGGTGCACCTGCGAAATAATAGGGCTCGACGGACGCTCGCGATCTCCGTCGCGACGGATGTGCAGGACGCACCAGGGTGGCCGGAGTTGGCCTTGCCAACGACATCGGCCGCCAGGGCGCGGATAGTGGCAATGGAGATGTCGTCGGCGGACTGGGGTGAGAACGCGGCCATGGCGGTAAACGGTGGGGACGGTGAGGGGTGGGTTGCGCGAGCGTGGAGAGGGGTGTAGCTATATACCCGGTCCTGCCCATGGGCTTGCACGGACAGGCGCGCGCGGGCGTGACTGATATCTAATCGGCCGCCTCTCCGGTCCGGCGCCTCCGTGGGCAACGCTGGCTGGCCGGTTCACGCCGTCTCTCCATACCGCGTCTCTCCGTCCCTCGCTCAGGTCGGCCTCGCGCTCGAACGCCGGACTCCGAACCGCCCTGCACCGGTCTGCTGCTGTTCACCACTTTCTCGTCGTCCACACCGCCGTGCGGCCATGCACCCCCAGCTCACGGAGAAGAAGCTAGGTTCGCACCCCTCTCGGCCGTGCGCCCGCCTACCCATACTCGTATGTGCCTGTGGGACTGACCGATCCCTCTCGTCCCTCTCAGTGTGCCTGCAGTTCATCCAGGCCCTTGAAGTCTGCCACTCCGACGGCGGCTGGCAGCGGTTTTTCGGCGGGTGCAACCAGGCGAAGCACGAACTCAATATGTGTCTCCGGAAAGAGGTCCGTGCATGCTCCCCTCCTCGCCGCCCCGCGCCGCCCCGCTCTGTCATCCATGACTAACCATGTCACGGTATTCGCCCACCCTCGCTTACGCGCGCCGTGCTCCCGCGTCAACCCTGCGTTCGCGGCGGCCAGCGAGTTGACCGCACGACGCGGAACCGTGAGCAGGCAAAGGAGAGGCGGGAGAAGATTGAGCAGGCATGGCAAGAAATCCGCGACGACTAATTAACCCGCTCGCTTCCGCGCCCGACCAGTGCGCGCGCAGCTTCCGATGCCGCCTTTCACGACGAGGGGATGTGCAAATACAAAGAAGCACCCGCTAGACCAAGCGCACCGCCCAGTCCTGACAATGCTCGCTGCTAATCCCGCGCGCCGTGCGACCTGGCTTGTTGACATGAGAGAATTCCCCCACAGATTGGCGGTACACCGTACGTGATACATTGCTACACATCCCCACTCGTCGTATCTGTACAATCATATATTCGCAATCTACGACCGCTTGATCGAGTTCTCATGCCTTGAGTGAAACAGTCGTCTGGGCCTTGGCTTCCACCGTCTTGATCTGGCCACCGGCGAAGTAGCTCACCGACGCCAAAGCCACCGTCCCGTTGGACACGTTCACGACGATCTCCCCACCCTCCATCTTCGCTTCCACGACCCCTGCGGTATCCTTGCCCCGGCCAGTTGGCACCTCCGTGTTGACGACCTGCCCCTCTTCCAACTCGTACACCTGAACCTCCAGCCCGACGCCGCCAAAGTCATAGTCCGGCTTCCCGATGTCGGCGGGTCCGAGGCACAGAAGCGCGCCCTGGCGGACCCAAACCGGGATCTCGTCGAGCGGAACGACCTCCTTGATCCAGATGGGCCCGACCTGCGTGCGCGAGGGGTGGAAGAGTGACGTCCACCGGCCCGCCGGGAGGTAATACTCCGACTCTTCACCGTCGGGCACAAATACGGGCGCGACGAGCAGCGAAGGGCCGAGCATGAACTGGCGGTCGAGGTAGTGTGCGGTGCGATCGTCAAGGAACTCGAGGAACATGGCGCGCTGCATGGGGTGGCCCTTGATGTGGCCCTCGAGTGACTAGAATGGAATTCAGATAGGGAGTCACTGATAGCAACGGATATACGAACCAGCTGGTATAGGTGCGGCATGAGCCTGTGCTTCATGTCAAGGAACCTTGCCATGTACACCGCAGCCTCTTCTCCGTATTGCCATGGAACACGGTAGGACATCGACCCGTGCAACCGCGAGTGGGAAGAAAAGAGGCCATAGGCAACCCAGCGATGATAGATCTCTGGTGGTGGGTGTCCCTGTACCCTTATTTAGGGACTGTTGGCACGCAGAGGAAGCCGACGACCTCACCTCAAACCCTCCAATGTCGTGGGACGCGAACGCGAAGCCGGACGCAGTGATGCTTAGATTGCCTCGTAGCGACTCGGCCATGGCTTCGAATGTCGATTCGCAATCACCGCCCCAGTGCTATCAGAGAAACCCACGTCATTGGATGGGCTAGAAACGCAGTTGCAGGCACGCTTACCACAGGGAACCTCTGTCCGCCGGCGTGGGCAGACCTTGCGAACACGATGGCCTCACCCTTGCCGAAGCGGCGCTCCAGCAGACGGAATACCATCTCGTTGTAAATGACAGAGTACTGGTTGTGCATCCGGTAGGGGTCTGAGCCATCGTGGAAGACCACGTTCGCGTGGGGGATGCGTTCTCCGAAGTCCGTCTGGCATGCCATGTAAGCCCGCACGAAGTCGGATGTCTGCTGTCCGCAGGGAAGCTTACCTTGAACGTATCAACGCCGAGGTCAACGAGAGCGTCCAGTTTCGCTTCGTACCATTCCCGCGCCTTTGGATGTGTGACGTCGACGACGCCTAGACCGGGCTGCCACAAGTCCCACCTGCCATCGCGGAACATCTAATCAATCCTGATATCGTATTCCCGGCGAAAATCACCTACTGCCATGGAGTGCCGTCCGTGCGTTTGATGAGATACCCACCCTCGACTGCCTCCTGGAAGATGGGAGAAAGTTGGGAGATGTACGGGTTGACTACGTGTACAGTGAGAGCACTATTGTAAGCAAAACAGGGTGACGTCCTGCGGCGGAAAGGACGTACTCCATACACAGATCTTCACGCCATATTTCTGCTTGATCTCGGCAAGATAAGCCTTGGGGTCAGGGAAGAAGTCCGGGTCAAATGTGAAGGAACACCTGTCCGTAATCAATGCGGAACAGGTTGTCAGAATCTGGAAGGAAAGCGTTGGGGAAACACTGAGGGACATACCACTCGTATTGCTTCATCCAGAAGCAGTCAAGATGGAAGACCCGGACCGGACATTTCCGTGTCTGCATGCCCTGCAGGAATCCAGCCACTGTCTTGTCATCGTACGAAGTAAGGAATGATGTCGACAGCCACAACCCGAAGGTCCAAGCGGGAAGGAGGCTACAGTACTCGTTAGCAGTGTGGACGCCTGAAGGAGACAAGCTCTTACGCAGGACGACCAGTCATGCGAGTGTAGCGATCTAGGATCTGCACGGCACGATGAGGCTAGATCCTGGTCGGGTTATTGATGGCGTACTTACCTCAAGCGGAGAAGGCCCGTAGATGATGAAGTACTCGAGAGCTTCTCCTGCGATGCTCACGCCGACCCGGCTGACCTTTTCGCTCCCAACCTCGACCTCGACCTCGCCCGGATGGTTGATGAAGACGCCATAGTTGCGGTTCGTGATGTAGAACGGTACGCACTTGTACGCCTGCTCACTGGACGTGCCCCCGTCCTGGTTCCACACGCTCACCGTCTGACCTGGTCATCCGCGCAGAAGTCGTCACCGCATGTCCTGCATCCAGCGCACACAGCCGGACTCGGAAGGAGCGCGACTCACCGTTCTTGACGAACGGCCCGAATTGCTCGCCCATGCCGTAAATAAGCTCACCCGGGGAGAGGTTGAGCTCGGAGTGGATATAGCGCACGTACTCGGGTGGCGCCTCCGGACGGGGGTTCGAGCTGAGGTCCGTCGCGAGACACGAGCTGTTGGACGCGCTCCGAAGCGTCCATTTGTATGGGACATCATAGATACCCTGGTGCTTGTAGCCCGCGGAAGTGAGGGTACGCGTGGGCGACTTGAAGGTGACCGTGTACGGGTTCTGAGTGACTTCGGCCGTGAGACCGCCGGAAGAGACCGTCCATGTGTTGTCTGTCTTGGAGAGAGATGCAGAAGGCACGGGAGGGTCGTCAGGGAACAGGGGAATGTCTGGAGTGGGGCTGATATGCTTGAAGTGCTCGATCTTGACACCGATCACGCCCTCAGTGGGTGAATGCACTCGAATGCTTATGACGGGGCCTGGGAGGTGCACGTTCAGGACGACCAGCTACGGGTAGATGAGGAAAGCATATACCCGCAAGGGTGTCCCCGCGATGGCGGATGGGCTTCGTGGAGACCTGGAAGTTGTAGCCATCGCCGTCAGGGAGGCCCTGGACGACCTGGAGGGCGTGGGCAGGTTTGACGCCGCCTTTGAGGAGCCAGAAGCCGTCGTTGAAGCGCATGTCAATGGGCTGGGGAGAGGGGATCAGGTGGTGAGGGGGAACGGGACTTTATAGTCTTCTAAAGGCGAAGGTGATCCTGGACGGGCCGCGGTCGGGGTGGGCTCGGTGCGGAGCATGGTGGTGGTCGGCCGGGAAGAGGGCCGGGCTGGAGCCAAAGGGGCGGCAGGGCGGCAGGGTCGTGCAGACTGAGAGAGCGATAATGAGATTAACTGAAATTAGACTTTGCACATGACGGCACCAGCAACTCTCGAGCTGGGCTTTACCGGCATCCCCAGGGCCGTGGCCGGGACGGGCATGCCGCACGCCAAGATCCGCATTTCCTATGGCGTGGATTCAGATGATGCGCGATATGAGTCTTCTTCACTTGAAATGGCGAGAGACGAGCGATGTGCATGTGGAGGTGGCCAGGCACGGGGTAAGGTTGGAGCAGGAGTGGAAGGTGGTGAGAGACAGAAGACACGGTCAGGACGCAGTCAAGTGACGGTGCAGGGCCGGGTGTTGCCGCTGCGTGCCGCCGGCTCCTCGCATTACATACGGAGAGATTTCTGCCTCGGTAGTCTGGTGATACAGGACTTGGAACTACTCACAAGCGGAAGTCTTGTGTTGATTCTTTCTGAAACAACGCTTCCACCCGCGTGCACGGGCCGGGCACAACGACGCGCAAGCTCGGCAGAACGGCGCGATCAGATCGAGTCATGTTATCCATCTCTTTTTATTCTCCCTCGTTCGCTCTGTTTCGGTGTCTTTCTTCACTACGGCCTGCAGCATGGATCCATTCCCCAATAAACTGTGGCTTGAAACACCTCTCATTCGCTCCACCCACCTCTCATCTCTCCTGGGAGCCAATATTTATCTGAAGCTCGACGTGAGCATTGATCCAGCACTGATTCTTCTCAGGTGCTTACCACAATGACAGAACCTCCAACCCGCCCAATCTTTCAAATCGCGCGGCATTTCCCACTACGCCCAGAACGCCTTCCGCGTCCACGGCCCCGACGTGCACCTCATCATCGCCTCTGGCGGCAACGCAGGTCTCGCCGCAGCTTGCGCCGCACACGCTCTCGGCGTCCGCTGCACCGTATTCCTTCCAGAATGGGCCGGCCAGGCTACCCTCGACTTCTTGCGCAAGCAGGGGGCCGAGGTCGTCAAGCGCGGCACCTTCTACTTCGAGGCGCTTGCACACGCGCGCGACGCCGTTGCCGCTGACCCCAAAGCGTGAGTACTTGAGTGCTCGTGCGGGTGTAGATCGGGTCCACAAGCTCACAACTGGCCCCGCAGGGTGATGGTACCTGCGTACGACGACCCGCTCTTATGGGAGGGCCACGCGAGCCTCGTCCACGAGATACGCCACCAGCTGCCGGAAGGCACGAAGCCTGCTGCGGTCTTCTGTAGTGTGGGAGGGGCTGGGTTGGCTGGTGGCATAATGACTGGCCTAAAAGCGGTAGGGTGGGACGACGGTGAGCCTCAACACGGAATGCACAGACAGGCGTACCTGATCTCTGGCGTAGTTTCTCTAGTCACGGTTGAGACGCACGGAGCCTCTTGCTTTTATCAGTCCTTATCCCTCAACGACGGTAAATTCCCTGGAGAGGTGAAAGAAAGACCGCCGCCGGAGGGGATTACAGCAGAGTTTGTCGCCGATGCGGATGTAACAGTAGCCCACGTTGCGAAGCTGACGTCGAAGGCAACGTCACTCGGAGCGTCTTCGCCCTCAGCACCGGTCGTTAAGATGGCATTGCAAAGGAGCGGAGAAGTGAAAAGCATCTGCATTCCGGATGAAATGGCGATGCAAGCAACTTCTCTATTTGCAGGTAAGGAAATAGTCGTTTTACGCGAGTGCAGAGATTTACTTCAAACTAAACCCTCCCTTTAGCCGACCACAAGATACTGGTAGAACTCGCCTGCTCCGCGACTCTTGCACCAGCATACAAGCCCGAATTGTTCAGGAAGCTAGTACCGCAGTCCGAGGCTCCCCCCACCGTCGTGCTGATTGTATGCGGCGGCTTCAACGTGACCTTGGCCGATCTTGAAGACTACAAGAATGTCGTTGGTGCGGATATTGCAGCTGGGGGAGTGTGGGAGGTCGCGTACAACGGTGCCAAGTTGACGGTTCCGAAAGCGCAGGCTTAGAAATAGAAGTTGAAGGGTGTGTGTTGCGTACAAGTACAGTGGATGATAGCGTAGAATTAACAGGATGTAATTACCATAGATGCACAGCGAACCTAGCCTGCCATTCCATCGAGGGTCTCAGACGAGCTGTACTCATGCACAGAAAAACGAGGACTCACGCCAGGGCCACCAGCTCCGACTCGACTTCTTTCGCTCCTCAGCATCCACCGCAGCCCTCGCCTCGGCTTCTCGCGCCATCTTTCGCTCCAAATTGCGCGCCTTGATCTTCGCGAGCTCCTCCTTCAGCGTGACGGAGTCCGTAGGTATGTTCTATTCAAACGCGGATCACTACACAGCGGATGTAGATTGCACCAAGCACCTACAGTGTTCAACCTCCCCTCAGGAGGAAATATCTTCTCTTTGTACTGCGGAAACGCATGCATAAACGCGCTGGAGGCATAACGACGTAGTGGTACGTACCGGAAGCACATTCTTCGCATACCAGTCAGGGTTGCCGTAGTGCAGGAGCATCACAACCGGAAAGAAGACATAGACTGAGAACTTGAACACCTCCAGATTAGGTCCTCCCATATCTTCCCGGATAGTCGTGTGAGAGTGAGAGGGAGAGCTCGAAAACCCGGAACAAGTCGCGTCGAGGGTGCAAGGGTGAGCGCTTGAGCGCCGGTGAGCAGCAGCCACAGACGCCCAAGAGAGGCGAGGCAGATCGAGACCGCATTTCTTCGTTCGCCACGTGCAGTGACACCGACGCAATACGGTACTTAGATGGTCGCCGTGTTTGACTTCCACTACTAATAACACTAGCACCAATGAATGGCATGCACGCTCGAGGGTATAAGTCATATGCGTTGCAAAAATCTCGTCTTATCCAGATGCAATCTGACTGAAGTGGGTACTATAAAAGAATATACACTGATCATACAAAATCGTCCAGCCCTCACGCGAAAAGCATCATGACAGAGGTCGCGCCCGCGAGCGCGAGCGCGCCGAGCGCGCCAGAAACACCGAGCGACAACGCAGCTGACGAGCCTCCCGTCGAGCCTGAGGAGCTGGTAGGGGCCGCCGTCGCAATCGCGCCGACGCCGCCAGAGACAAAGCCGTTGTCCTGGATCGTCTTCTCTGACGAGCCGACCTTGACCGCCGCCGACTGCCACGCCTGGGCAGTGTTGCCCGACGTGGGAGCGTTGATGGCACTGGGGGAAGTTTGTGTGAGTATGGCGTGATCAACGGGAGAGTACGGGCCATGGCGTACCCAACCATGCCGAGACCGCAGTGCGTGGGTGACTTGCAGAAAAAGTAGACGGCTGACGTGGAAATAGTTGTCAGAAAGGGCAGCGAGTGCACATCGAAGATGGCTGCTCACGTTCTTGGTCGTTGGTGACGTTGAGAGTGAACTGGACGCCGGCGCTCTGCAGGCCAGAGTCAAATCCGCCCTGAAGCGGCTGGCACGGGTTGTTGAAATCGCCCTGAGTGACGGAGTGGGGGATAGAACCACTATGGCGGAATGCATGTCAGGGCACTGGAAAGCAAGAATGGCAGCTTCTGTGCTCACCCAGGGAAGAAGAACGTGATCAGCGTGCCATTGGGGGCGGAGATGTTCGTCTGGTCGTAAACGAATTGGCCACCAGCTGCAACGTTAACCTGCGAGCAATCCCCGCCAATCAGTGTCGACGTTCTGCAAGCAGAACGGATCACTCACGTTGATCTGCGAAGATGTGCTCGGAGGAGCGGAGGGGGCAGCAGCAGCACTGGTGGTCTGGGCTGGACCAGGATTGCCGTAGATTTGCGGCGAAGCGACCGCGACGAGAGGGAGAAGCGCAAGCGTGAAAGCGGTCGTGAACATTTTCGTTGGTGGAGGGGGCGACGGGGGGTGTGGTGGCAAGTCTAGACGGAAGAGTGGACAAATGTGGTTGAAACCCGGAGTCAATGGGGTGAGGACTTGGGAGCGAGGGAACCTGAAGCTTTATACTTGGCATCCCGAGGGCCTGCTGATGCTTCCACCGTATTCATTCATGGCTGACTGTTCCCGCGGATGACAGCGGAACTGCGCGCCGCGGCAGTGTGGATGCTAGCACGCAGAGGCTGGCCGGCGTGAGTGAAACAGGCGGTCAGCCCGACGGCGGATGTGTGAGCGCATAAGGTGGGCGGACCGCGCGGAACCAATCGCGATCGGGACGGGCTGCAGTCACATCCGCGGGTTGTTTTTAGCCCCCAGGACATGTCGACAAGTCCGAAACGAATACTCACGCTGTACTCGATTGGATCCGGCCTGGCATTCGTCTTCCCTCGCGGATGGCGTGAAGTGAAGATTCACAGAGCGCTTTCTCCCACACCAGTGGGAACATTCTTGCTTTCCTGGCCCGGAGCGCGTTCCGCGGCGAGACCTCCGCACATCTGCCTCAGTGACGTGTCGCGGATGCAAATTCAGTAGCACCCTTGCGGCGCCCGTCAACGGAGATGGACGTAAAGTTGCATGGAAGGTAGGAGAGACCTACAATGACTCCACTGGGTTGGAAAGCCGTGTTTCGACTAGGCTTGTCTTCCATGGACCACGGCCATGGACGGTATCTGTCAGGACCTGCGCACAGTCAGTGGGCCTCGATGTCGGACCTATCAACGACGAGTCGAATTTTACAGAGGTGAGCATCGAGGATGATCTTGAACACCTGCCTGTTAGGGTTTCATCCTGCAGTGCGCAGTAACTTACGTATGACTTCCGCCTGGTTGCTCCTCGACACCTCGTGAGAAGCATCGAAGTGCTCCAGGGACCGGGGCCCCGAGACTGCGCATGCATCTCCGATTGCTGGCTCCGGTTTCATCTGGACGCCCCCCAGGGACGAAGAGAGCTGTTTGTGCTGTGGGAACCGTTCGCTGATAGAATGCCCGAGATATCCGGCGGGCGTGGGCGTTAACACGTCTGAACCCCAACAGCGCTTTCATGGTCGTGTTCTACAGGGAGACTGGAATATGTATGTACACCATGCAATAGGATCAGCAGCCGCACTCTACGTGAAGACCGCATCCTGACGGAAAATGTGCTGATGCTCACCGGTAGGGAGGTGGATGAGCAGAGTCACTTATAGAACGCCAAGTCCCTCTGTCCGACATGGATGGAACTTCGTGCTGGCAGCGCTCCGACACGGGAGTCCGGTACTGCCGTTCCGAGCCGGCGTCCAGATGCTGTCGCGCTGCTTGTGTCGTCTGGCGGCCAGACGAATGTTGGCTGGGAGCACAATCGCTGCGGACTGTGGATAGCATCTTTAGAGATGATAGAAGGGGATTAGAAGCCGCGCCTCGTCGAACCTGTGGGAGCGTCGAAATTTTGCCACCAAAAAGCATGAGCACGTGCCTGTCTCTCTGGCAACGAGAACAAGCAACAAGAAAATATGGCTCACATTGAGTCTCGTATACATAGGCCGCATGACAAAGGGGATGTTGGGGCCGATATGTACATAGTAGAGATTCAAGACTAGCAGCAGCCTACTGTCAGAGGGTGTGAACCGGTATGCCTCGATAACCGTTATTGACCACGCGGATGATCTGAGTGTGAGAAGACCGAGCACGCAATCTCCAGTCCGTATCGCCAGCTCGTACTTATCTCTTCCACGATACATAAACCTAGTATCAGCGCTGCAACGCCACGCCTGCTGCGGGCAAGCAATACCGAAGCGCTGTAGAAGCATCAGCGGATGACAGCGGGTTAGGGTGATGCTAACAACAACTGCTGCTTCAGCGAGAAGGACGTCTTGGAGTCTTGGAGTCAGGCCTGTTCAGCAAACGTTGTCTCGCCTTTTCGTCTATGGATCGAACAGCCTCATGGGAGCAAACCGATCCGCACGAGGTATTTCCAATAGCTAGTCCGTGTACAGAAACAACAGACTGCGCTGCAACAATGTCCAGTCAGCGTTCACATCTACGGACGACCAGAAACAGCACGCCGAACACTCACAGATACACATGAGCTTCCACGATTGTCATCTGCCGTCATGTTTCCCCCCCTCCCGCGCTCATCCGCTCCACTGCAAATTGCGTCCTTCTCACGCTCAACGTCCGCATGTTCACGAGTACGAGCGTGCCCGACGTCGCGAACTTTGGCAAGAGCACGATCCGGCATCTTTTCGTCAGCCGGTCGGCCTTGTCGTCCGCGTTGGGATCCCCCTCCGCCTCAACAAGCTTCGTGGCGAACTCGGGCTGATTGCCGACGGCGTAGATGTCCGGCGTGCGCGCCATGACGAACGGGTCTTTCGCGAAGTACGGGTGACACCAGAGCGTGTCGGGCGCCGTGGGCGCCATATGTCGCCAGCGGAGCGTTGCCTCCGTCAGGCCCATGCGAGAGATTGGCGGGGTCGGCACGTATTTGAACATGTCGTCCACGGGCTGTCCGGAGTGGACAAGCAGTGTGCGCGTAGCGGAGTCATCGACCCGTGACTTGGTCTTGGATGATGAAGCATCAGAAGGTCCGGCTGTTGAAGCTGTCGAGTCGTTTCTCTGGATGCAAATGTAGGCGGGGTTTGATTCGCAGTGGAAAGTGGCATAATGTGAAGCGCCTCCGAACATCGAGCGAGGAAGAGGTTGTTGGGGAAGGATAGTCGCGGCAGGGTCAGAGGCCCCAGGAAGGAGATGCACTGGCATGGAACTACAAACGTCCGTGAGGTGTTTTGCGAGGTTTTGCGCAGGGTTGGTGCTCATTGATATTGATTGCGTGTTCTTCCTTCCAGGCTGCAAAGAAGGAATCATCACATGCTGCAAATTTCCTGGGATAACATCAACACTCGTACCGATTTCTTCTCTGGCTCCCCGCTGAGGACACCCGTGGATGCGGCCATTGAGCCTAAAGCGTCGCCTGCAATTATTAATCGCGAGATTCGCGCTGCTTGGGATTGGTCATCCAGACCGCCTGCTTCGCCGGCCAGATACTCCGCGAGTATCTGAACCTGCCCGTCCGTTGGGTTCGCCGATCCGACTTCCAGGCCGGAAACCAGTGCTATCCACTCGTCCGGGGCTGAATCTATGCCAATGGATCAGGGACAAACACGCTAGGGTCGTGGGTATATGCGTACCACCCGTGTCCATGGAGTCGGACGCGCTCGAGGATGTCCGCCATGCGAGACCGGCGGAGGGCTGGGGCGCCATCTCTGGGAAACACAAGTCGACGACTTCGAAGTCGCCACTGCTGGTCTCCATACCGAGGGCTCCGAGGATTACACCGGTAACGAGGCATGTTGAGAGTATGCGGTTGCCTACCAGGCATATACGCCCAGACTCGTCTTCCAGCATCACGCTGTCCTTGTCGGAGTGGAACTTCTCCTTCGGAGGAGGGGCAGGAATAGATCGCTGAAAGGATATCAACAATTGGTGATGTTGGTCGAGCGGGAACTCACGTCTCGGGCAATGTCGTCAAGCACATTGGGTTTGAGTGGCATTTCCATGTACACCGTGCCAATCACGAAACACAGTTCCCCCCTCTCGACATCAAGCACGCGGGGAACGAACTTCGGCTTTCCTAAGAAGCCAGATACGCATAGAGCGGCCAACTGATGGCTTGCAGACGTACCTGCGAGCTCGTTCCATCTCCTCTTTGCCTGCTGCTCGACAAATCCCCTCAGCGCTCGCAGTCTCACGAAATACATGTTCGCGTATTGGTGTTTATACGACTTCTCCGATGGTTTGATGAGGAAAGATGCGTCTTCTGGGGGCGCGACTACGGTTGTTGGTGGACGCATGAGGGGGACCGCAGACGTCGGCCTGCCTCCTGGTAAGAGAACCGCTTGCACATACATAATTGCAACGCTCACAAGATGTCGGGTACTGTCATTATGTCCCCGTGGTTTTTCAACAGGAGATGGAGACGATGTGGTGGGTAGAGAATGGGACAGAGAGCTCGCTGTGGCTGAAGACGCGTCTCATGATGCATCTCCCGGACGCGTCGCGCGCGCGCGTCACGAGATTTTGGCTCTGTTTGGCTCCATGATCTCGGGATAACTTTGACTCACGACTTCGACCCTCTGCACTTGTAGTACTTGTACCCTTGGGCTCAGGGAAAATATTCAACTCCACGAGCAACCCGCAGTCCATACCGCCGCTATCACCGAAGCAAATCCCAGCGCTCCATCAGATGCCGTTGGATGTTAGTCAGTGGATAAATTCAATGATCAACGGCTGTAGCAACCGCCAAGGCATCTTCATTCGCTCGTCAGGTCCACCGGCCAGCATATGGAGTCGCGAAATCGCGCTCATGCCGTCAACAAGGCCCCAGAAAAAAGCGACCGTTACCTCAATCGAAACAAGCCTCGAGACGCCCACTCTGATAGCCGCGTCCATTCAACGCATGCCACACACGACTCCCAGACAAATTTTCGGCAACAGCAGACCAGAGGCTCCTGAGAAAGCAACGTGTGAAGACCACACGGAAAGCGTGAGCATGTCGCTACAGAATTAACAACGGTCTATGTGATACAGATCCAACAAATCGCCTGAAGCAACCCGAAGCCCGCACGAGTGGGGAGGATACACCCCCTCCGCGACGCGCAAGCACTCGCGCCACGCCCGCAGCATGTAAGCCAGCGCAGAGGCGTGGTTAGAATTCCGGTGCGCCCTGCGCACAGACCCTACGCCCGTATCCCGTATGCACACACTGATCTCAGCCCTCCTCCGCACACCGGTTGGATGGGTGATCGCGCGGTCTAACTCGCAAGCGGCGCGCGAGGGTATCTGCCAGCGCACGAGGGCCTCCCAAGGATCTTTAGCCCTTCAAACTGGGGGGACCTTTTGGGAGTACTGGGTCTGCGACTGGTACTACATGGGCAGAATCTGTGCCATGAGCGAGGCGTTTTTTCGTGAGAGAAAGGGAGGTAGCTTACGTCGACCATGGTCTTGTCGCGCGCCGACTCTTTTGTGGTGTCGATGCGTATGGCAATGTCGTTGCCACGGACGCGCTAGGTGAAACACACGATGAACAATGCCCTGTCTGTGTGGTGGGAAATTGGCGCATACCGAGTTGTAGGCACCGGCTGAAGGGGGGATGTTGTTGAGTGAGAGCGAGAGCTCACCCCGGCTCGATGAACCGTCACGCAGGCCCTTGCGCGCGTTGAGGGTAGCCATCAGCGAGTTGGAGTAGACTGGAAACGCGACGCGATCAGTACGCGGACACCGGCGGATGCATAGCTAACGGTACTCACGACGACCGATGAGGTAGTAGAATATGATGTAAATGAACGTGTCCGGCGCGGTAAAGAAGGTAATCAACGAGAGGCAAGCGCAAATGCCAGTGAGAAGTCCGGTATTGATTGCGAAGATCATCTATGCGAACGTGAGCCTTCCGGTAGCGATGATCATGTAAGAGTCACGTACCAATTTGTTGATGAGCGTGTTCGACCGGGAGAAGCTGGTCTTGGAGAAGTGCAGGATGACGCACAATGTTCCCGCGATGGCCATGTCCGACGTGGCGGCGAAGACATTCATGAGGATGGACTCCGTCTGCACAGGTAGCGTGAGTATGAGATGCGGAAGCAGGCCAATCGACAGAACATACCCGAATCTCACCGAGTTGCAGGTACGAGGTGATTTTGTAACTATAAAACCTGGTGAGATATCGAACACCACGGTGTCACTGTATACATACGCCTTGGAGAGGTAAGCTAGGAAGAATATCGTCAGCACGCCGCAGAACGCCATACCAAAGCTAGGCGCGTACATAGTGTCACTCCGAACTCCGCAAGCACAAGAGCGCCCTACAAGAAGCTAGCCGTAAGACGTGGAAGCTGCTAAACCAGATGTCCTATACTTACGACAGGAAGGACGAGGTATAGTTTGTGGTGGCTCAGGGTCCAGATGCGCATGATGAAGAACGACTGCACGAGCAACCCGGTGATGCCATTGAACAGCAGTTCCGTGATGATCCCACTGCAGTATCCTTTGAGCCCACGCGTATCGGCAAGAAGGCAAAACACTCACAGATCAGGCACCAACAGGTTCAACGGATTGGCATAGTTGGTGATCAGATAACTATAGACTGGATGTTCTAGAATCAGAGACAGTCTCGTACTGCACAGTACTATCCTGCTCACTACTCCAGATAACCAGCGCCTTGAAGAGGATGATTAGTGTCGTGGAAACCCGCGTGCACTGCAGCGAGCTCACCTGATGTGTTGAATCTGACAACCACACTGCGAGTACCTCCATACATACATACAATGTCAGTACGTGTGACAGACAGACCCACCCGTTGGAACGCACCAGTAGCTTTGTACCTTTGGGGTCGCTCCTGTAGTGCGAGAAGTAGAAGTACACCTGTGAGCAAGTCACTAGATGCTGTGTCAGTCCACGAAAGAGATGGCACAGGCGACACGACAAGCTCACCTCCGTACAGCCTGGAACGCACGCGCGTCAAAAGGTAAATGTCGGACTCCACCTCGGGCAAATATGCCTTCGCTCACATTGCGGAAAGGATGACGCCCATGAGGAGCGCCCCCATACTACCATAGACCTATTCAGCCAACGATCAAACGCGGCGAGAACACGGCACTCACGTTTGGTTCAAATCCATCGCCGCAAGCACAGCAGCACCCGCTGCAGCCTTCGCAGCCGCCGGGTCCGCGGCGGTCATATTATCGGTCGGGTCGGACATAGTGTGGGGCCGCGGGGATGAGGTGAAGGGAGGAGAGGGTCGGGATCGGTGAGGCCGGAAGACACGGGACGGGACGGCTTTTCATGTGCTGTACGCGGCGGGTCTTATATCCTCGCGTCTGCAAAAGAGCGAAGGTAGGCTTTGCCTGTTTGAGATCAGCGTCTTTTACCGGTGACTATCTCGCGTATAAGCTGGAGGCCGGTAGCGCCGAGCGCAAGGCGCGGCCGGCGCTGCCATCAGTCGCTACTTTCGCTTGGCCGGAAAAGTTGTAATCCCGCTGCCCGTCGTCCTTCGCAACATGCCCCAGGGCTGCCGACTCCGGGGACCATACAGTCGGGGAGATTTACGTTATGCTCCACATAGTATGAGTTGCCGAGTGTATACGACAGCTTACCTCTGAAGATCTTGGTACGGGGAGAGCGACATCGTGCGATGGTTGGAGGCCGCTTACTCGGTGCATATGATTAGTGTTGGACTGTTCACACGTTGCATGACGTTCAAGAACTGACCTCAAATCTTCTCCAGCATACCCGATGGCTCATCGAGACTCCACTTGATGTCCAGGTGTGATCCGGGATCTCAGCCTTGTACGCAGACTACGTACGGTGGATGTGATGCTATGGTTGGCCTCCGGCTGCAACATCAGAATCAGAGTCCGTTACTCCACAGATTCCGATCGAGTCTCGCGACCGTTCGTAGTTGATAATCACTGGACACGCAGGCCGCCGTGTACCAGTTACGGCAGTTGTGCGCAGACGCGTGGACCCAGGTGGACCTTATTATGAGACGTTAATGAGACGTCTAGTCGCCGATGAGTTGCGCTCACAATATTCTGTTGGTTGAATCTGTGCCAACCAAAGTTCCTGGAAGCTGACGAGGACAAGAACGCACGACATGTGGGTGTTCACAATTGCTTTGATGATAATAGCAAGGCTTTGGGCAAGCAAAATCACGCCGTTTCCTTGGAGAAGTGACGGTGTGGCGCGGAATAAGTTTCCATGGGTTCTGTTAAGAAGAAGGACTTGATTCGGAATATTCTGTAGGATGCTACCAGTATAGCATCATCTGAGTGTACTGAGTTCGGCCTACACTGAAAGCCGATACTAGGCGCTTCAACTTGACCGTTCAAAGCAAGCGTCATCGAAAGCCTTCGGTAGGAGAGACAGGATGGGAGCAGGTGAGAAGAGACCAACAGCCCGTTGGTTAACGGTACGTAAACACTGGTCTTGCGGACCACCTGTGGCAAAGCGGAGTTCGAACCACCCGGCTGGCACCGAGCCTAAAGCCTCTTGGTAACAGGCGCCCATCCCCTGAAACATGAGCCCAGGGCGGTCATATTTCCAACTCACCATCGACACCAAGTACATTCAATCTCTTTGACTCGGATGCCACCTGCTGTAAGTCAAGCTCAACGGTCGCGAGTTCGAAGAGAAGCGAATGTCCAATCTCCAAAGAGCTTGCGTTCTCTTCCATCCAGACCGACGTCCGACGGAGCGTGCAGGTACGGCTTCACCGCTGAACGAGATCCCAGGCTTTCCGGAATGTAGCATGTGAGTAAACAAGTTGACTGTGCGGATGAAGACTCAGATTCTTGGAGCATACTTAGGGAATGTCAGGTGTGTTTGCAAATGGGCCACGAGGCCCGTGCTGTCTGCCCCACGCAGCCCGCACGGGGCCTGGTGGACGAGGCTTTGGCTCTGAGCGCGTGCTGGTATTGATATTGAACGGTGGTTGCGCGTGTCGAGTGAGTTCAGGGCCGGAAGACTGGCTGCCCGGCGAGAGTGCGACCGAGGACGGGTCTCATGATGCTCCAGGCCGTTCGATCTGCGCGTCATGGCAGGTCATGGCAGGCTTTGGTGCAGCTGCAGGCACTGAGCAGAGGGGCCACGCTCATGATGACGGCACCCGCCCTAGGCCGCCCTCCGTCTTCGCACGCGCGCTGCTGCCCATGCATGATGTCATCCACTGCCCCGTCTTATTTTTGTCCGCCCTATACATATCCCCTCTATGAACCCCTCTGCGTGTTACCGACGCTCCTCTTCCCGCTACCAGCATGGCTCTCTCGAGGGTACGCTGCGTTCGACGCTGCACGCCGTTTAGACCCCGGTCTTGATCACCTTTCATAGCACCTCAACGCAGACCACCTCATCCAGCTCGCTAAGGTAGCCTTTCTCCGTACTCGACTCATCCCATTGGTGATGGAACAGTCCTCTAGGATCATAAGGGCCACCATCTTGGCCATAGCTCCACTGACCACCACGCCGTTCATGCGTACGGTGCGCGCTATGGGACCGATCCAATTCCGAAGTTCAATATCCCATCCAAGGTTAGCTGCTTTCCCTCGTCCACCCATCCCAAACGCTTGTTTACGCCTCTGCTTCCAGGGCGTGAGTGCGGAGGCTACCTACCAACTCATTCATGACGAACTCGCTCTCGATGGCACGCCCTCCCTCAACCTTGCTTCATTCGTCCACACATGGATGCCTCGCGAAGCAGATCAGCTCATGATGGAAAACATCTCAAAAAACCTCATCGACCAAGACGAGTACCCCATGACCCGTCCGTGACACTTCTCAACCTCTGTAGCGTCACCATGTCGTCTGACGATCATTTCGTGCAGAGTTGATCCACACACGCTGCGTCTCCATCCTCGCGGACATGTGGCACGCGCCTTCCAACCACCAGGCGATTGGGACCGCGACTACCGGATCTTCGGAAGCTATCCAACTCGGCGGTCTGGCCATGAAGCGCATCTGGCAGGAGAAGCGCAAGGCAGCCGGCAAGTCTATCCACGAGCCCGGTCCCAACATCGTCATGGGCGCGAACGCTCAGGTTGCACTCGAGAAGTTCGCGCGTTACTTTGATGTCGAGTGCAGGCTGGTCCCTATTTCGGAGGAGAGTCACTACCGTCTCGACCCCAAGCGTGCTATGCAGTACATTGACGAGAACACCATCGGCGTGTATGTCATTCTCGGAAGTGCGTCCCAATCATGTCCCTCTATGATACAATCGTGCTAACTCGGCCCATGTAGGCACCTACACTGGGCACTACGAGCCGGTGAAGGAAATGGCTGACCTCCTCGACCAATATGAGAAGGATACCGGCAACTCCGTCCCAATTCACGTTGACGGTGCCTCCGGCGGCTTCATTGCACCATTCGCAACCCCGAAGCTCGAGTGGGACTTCAAGATCCCACGTGTAGTCTCGATCAACACCTCTGGCCATAAGTTTGGCCTTTCTTACGTCGGTGTTGGCTGGGTGGTCTGGCGATCCAAGAAATTCCTCCCCAAAGACCTCATCTTCGAGCTGCACTACCTTGGGTCCGTCGAGTACTCCTTCTCCCTCAACTTCTCCCGGCCGGCGCACCCGATCATCGCGCAGTACTTCAACTTCATCCACCTCGGCTTTGAGGGGTACCGTAACGTCGCGCTACAAGACCTCAAGAACGCACGTCTTCTTAGTCGTGCGCTTGAGAAGAGTGGCTTGTTCACCGTGCTTAGCGACATACACCGTCCCGCGGAAGGCCTCATGGCTCAAGCCGCCCTCGCCGTCGACGAAGAGAATGTGGAGGTCAGTGGTTCTGTTCTGAATAACTAAGAGTCTCCGCTGATCCGGATCCCGTGATGCAGAACTACAGCCCGGGCCTGCCCGTTGTCTCCTTCCGCTTCACCGACGACTTCAAGCAGCAGCACCCCGATATCCAGCAGAAGTGGATCCAGGTCCTACTCCGCGCCAAGGGCTGGATCGTGCCCAACTACGAGCTCGCGCCGGACCTCGAGACCGTCGAGATCCTCCGCGTCGTCATCCGCGAGACGATGACCGCGGTTATGGTCGATCGCCTCGTCGCCGACATCGTGAGTGCGCCCTGCATTAGTGTCGGGCGGCATGACTGACACATGCACCTTGTCGTCAGATCGAGATCGTTGAGGGGCTCGTCCAGCAAGACTCTCCGGTACATGCCCTGTCCGCGTTGGCGGCGCGGAAAACTACTGAGGGTCACCACGGGACCTTGGGTCAGGGGTCGGGCAGCAAGCCCAGCGGGACGTACGCGAAGCAGTGCTGAGTTTGAATCGTTCTGCATGCGCACAAGGACGATGGTGGGTTCTACGTTCTGTGGGTCCAGTTAGGCAATCTCGAAACGTAAGAGGTGTAAGAAGTTCACGATATCGATCTGAGTATGTTAAGACCCAAAGCCTCTTGTACTTTTACTCGCACATCTACTCGTGTTGAAGTGTCAAGCTGTACGCTGCCTTGTGTTCATTGACCTGATCTCGGCACATCTCCCCATGTACTCGCGTAGGTGGCTGAGAGATCAGGAACTCAGGGAGGTTGTTTTTAAAAATCTTAGCAGCCGCCGCCCGCACGAATTGGTAGTCAACCTTGTGCGCTTCGCCCTCCTCCGGAGTTCTCGTCCTCGTCACACATGCGACGTTATGAGCTCGTGCGGCGCGCGCGACGCGCACTTTACAAGCCTCCTGGGCCCGAGCACTTGGCACGTCGAGATCATCCTCGCGTACGCAAACGCGCCTAGAGGGAGTACAAGCTCCTGCGGCGAGCTTTTCAGGCAAAGAGGGTATGAGTTGGCAATTGAACGTTGAATGGTGAACGTTTGAACATTGATCGAACTACTGACAAGCAAAGCGGCAAGCCCGCACGTTCAATGTAGGATTTCGGCGGTCTGGACGAGATCGGATGAGGGGGGATGGAAAGGCAGTCGATACGAAACGGTTGGACCCTATGAACACCGGGTAGCGAGTGGACACGGGGGAGGAGAGTTGAAACGCAACTATCTATTATGCGGGCATATTCCAACAGACTCTGATGAGCCGCCGGTTTAGACGCCGAGCGCCCTGACAATCACCGTCACTCAAGTACTCACTGCTGTTGGCCCCCGACGCTCGAGCTCCTCGAATCGTAGAGAATCAAGAGCTTGGGACTTCACAGTGGCCGATACGTTCTTTGTGAACGACGCACGCTCTCTTGACCACATGATTGTCACACGTTCCTCAGGTTTCCTTTCCATTTCGATTCCGCTCCTCTCACACTTCCCCTCGACAAGCACACCTTCGAATTCCGTATCGACGCGACAGCCGCGGTCTCCGGCCTTCAGCGCGACCTGGATCACCTTCTCGCCCCTTATGCAGCCCTCGCGGAGGCTACCTTCGCTAGCGCTGATTGGTCGTGCCAGCCAGCTAACTCGGTCCACGAATCCGCTTGATGCCGCACAGTCACATGGGAACCGTCGCTTCTCGCGCTCCTTTACGAAACTCCCTGCTGGGGAGCGCAGGGGAGCGCACGTTCTGCTTTCACGGCAAGGGGCTGGGACGCGACGATCGCGTCGTGCCTAGCATCGGCACGGCACTCTACCCTCCGGGCGGGTTCTTCCATCCCACGCCCTGGTACAGAGCACCAGGGGAACCAAGTTAAATGTCCCCTCTAGAGGCTCGTCACCCACCTCCATCTCCCGCCGGCCTGTCCCACTGTTAGGCCTGACGCTAGGAAGTGCACGCCTGACAGACACGACCACCCTAGGCTCTCAACATGAGGATCATCAACGGGCTCTGGACCTTGGCCCTCATGTCTGCGGTTGCGTCTGCCGTCACCGTTGGCGATGTGATGCGCAGCTCACTCCGCGCCTACGCCAAGCGCAGCACGGTCTCCGAGATCCTAACTGATATTGAGGACCTGGCTGAGTGTTCGGCATGCGAGGTAAGCCGATTACAGCGGTCTATATTACATGCTGTTCTCCTAGACGTATGTGCTGATACTTCTGTTCCAACCGTGTAGGCATTGCTGGTGGTGCTGAAGGCCCTTGCCCATCTAGGGAACTCTGACTTCGTCTCCGTGATAACAACCGTTTGTGAAGACTTGGTATGTGACATTGATTTAGCACATCTGCTGCGTGGACCTTACTCACGTGCTACCAGGGCGTTGAAGACTCTGATGTTTGGTCGGTCAATCTTTGTTTGGGGCTGCCCGGCTGCTTGTTACTGACCCAGCCCATAGCGCCGGAGCTATCGGTCTCGAGGGTCCCATCTTGGCTCATGACCTGCGCCAGATGACCGTCGGCACTAAAACCTCGCAGCTGTTCTGCCTGACCGTCTTCGGCCTGTGCCAGTGGCCGGACGTCGACACGTCGTACTCTCCGTCCATGTCGGCCAAACCCGCCAAGTCGCGTCCTCTGTCCAGCGGGAAGACACCGATCAAGGTGGTCCACATTAGCGACATCCACGTGGATCTGAGCTATGAGGCGGGCGCCAGCTTCAACTGCACCAAGAACATCTGCTGCCGGCCGTACACTACAGCCGATGCGCCTGGAAACAACGCCTATCCTGCGGGCGCATATGGCAACCCCTCCTGTGATACTCCTGTCACCCTCGAAGAGAGCATGTACTCGGCTATCGAAACTCTCGTTCCGGATCGATCGTTCATGTTAGTGCCTTCCCTCGATCGGGAGAAGTAACATCACCCCCCATCTAACACTGAGTCCTGTAGGATCTTCACTGGTGATGTCGTTGAGGGCGCCGTTTGGCTTGTCACTGGTACGAACGACCAACTTGCTCCCACTTGGTGGAATTTTCTTTCTCACACTCGCACAGATGAGGAAGTCACCAATGATCTTAACGACGCCTACAGCCGCATGAAATCCGTAGGAAAGACCTACGCCGTCACGGGCAACCACGACGCATCGCCTGTGAACTCGTTCCCGTCGGCAAACATCGACACGACTATCACCACGCAATGGGCCTACGACGCCTTGTCGTCGGACTGGGAGACCTGGATCGGGCCCGATGCCGCCGCGCAGGTGTCGTCAAACTTCGGCAGCTACTCGGTCGTGGACAGCAACGGCCTGCGCATCATCAGTGTAAACACCAACTTCTGGTACAAGCAGAACTTCTGGATGTACGAGAAGGACCTCGAGCACGACCCCTCAGGCATGTTTGCATGGCTGGTGTCCGAGCTCGAGGCTGCTGAGACAGCCGGGCAGCGGGTATGGATACTTGGTGAGTTTATGCCGCCAATGGATGGGCTACGGTTGAGACTTGGAACTAACGGAAACGCTCCGAATAGGTCACATGCCAATGGGTGCCTCTGATGCCTTCCATGACGCGTCCTACTACTTCGGTATGCATATGTAGTGTATCCTAGTATTGTGAAGTCTCGGGGCTAATGCAAGATGCAGATCTAATTATTCAGAGATTCGATGCAACCATCGCCGCCGTCTTCTACGGGTATGTGCCTGGACCTCACCCAATCCCGAGTGGGGAAAGAACTAATAAAGAGAGCAGGCACACGCACAAGGATGAGTTCGAAATCGCCTACAGCGACTACTCGAACCAGGCCGCGTCGACTGCCACGATGATGTCTTACATTGCTCCAGCTCTGACCCCCACCTCTGGGAACCCTACTTTCCGGTAAGCTGGCCCTACAGGCCTGATATGCCCCCATCCCGTTGCTTTTGCTGACGCCGTGCAGAGTGTATGACGTCGACCCGGTCACCTTCGGCATCCTCGACTTCACCGTATACTACGCGGACCTCGACTCGGCGACATTCCAGGAAGGACCGACGTGGCAGGAGCTGTACTCGGTCAAGGCGACGTACGGCGCGCTGCTTGGGGTTACGGACCCGGCGGCGGAGCTGACGCCGGCCGTCTGGCACAACCTGACGGAGCTGTTCGAGAGCGACGACACCGTGTTCCAGCAGTACTACGCGCGCAAGACTCGGGACTTCAGCACGGCGACGTGCACGGGGACCTGCAAGACGGACGAGATCTGCCAGTTGCGCGCGGCACAGTCCCAGTTCAACTGCGGAACCATCAAGCCCGGCGTCAACTTCAAGCGCGACACCACCGACGCGACGCCGACCACGGCCGGCGAGTGCGACGGCTCCCAGGCCGTGCCCATCCTGTCCGCGATACCGGGCTCGACTGGCCTCCAGGCGCTGCAGAACGTGCTGGTGGCGGCGCTGGGATCGGGCTTCATGAACACAACCATCCCCTCAAACTACACCGTCAACGGGACGACCTATGGGAAATGAGTCCGTGGTTTATGTTAGTTTTGATGTATAGCTCGGGCGATCTTTTGGAGAGAGCTACATATTGCAATCACCGACAAGTTGGTTAGCGAATCTGTTGACTGAGCACAGAGTGGGCATGTAGACTGACGACGCGACCAAATCTGGCAGCTCAGGTCCCGTGGCCGTGCCGTTCTGTACAGGACCGCCTGCAGGTGCACAGCGAACATGGGGTGCTTAGGCGCAGTTGGGTAAGGATATCACAGACATCCAGCGACTTCTGACGACGACTTCCAGCTTGCGTGCTACGTGCGCCTTGTAATACATCTCCTGGGCTCAATTAAGTACTGTGCACGTCGAGGTCATCATCGCGCGCGCGCCGATGGACTTACTATCGCCCCGAGATGGTGTCCTCTCCTCCGCACTGAGGGTCGCACTTCCGGCAAAGCCTGAAAAACACCACGCGGTGGCACGTGAGCGTGCCATCTGGCGAAAAGCAGTGTGGCTGGGCCGGTCCGGGTCAGGCCGGTGCGCAGCCTGCAATGCCCCGCCGGCGCTAGATTCGTTCCTCCCTGGGTACTAGGACGCAGGCAACATCCACATCCCTCCCCCTCTTTTCGACATCTCCGGAACGCACATGCTTCAAGCATGGACGGTCTCAAGATGTTCACCAAGTTCCCACAAAAACTCCCCGACCCCTTCAACTTCCTGGGAGATCAGCCCAAACTAGCATTTCGCAATCAGCCTGGAGGCATAGCAAACTCGCTACTACACGAGTGGGTTTCCATCTTCTATAGGCCTAAGTTCAGCAACATGACGCAGTTTCTTTGCAGAACATATCCGAGAAGGAATCATACTGGGACCAGGTGAGTACTCTCACTCGATCTCTGGCGCAACTCACGTCCACGCCTAATAGTATGTTACGCTCTTCGACTCCGCCTCAGACGTCTTCTCTCTCATTACGCACAATGATGGTGGGCCTATTATTGTGTCACCTTCCACCCGCTCAAGTCTTCGCCATACCTCCGCTTCTCCCCCCACCCGGATGCCAGTCCGTCGTGCGCTGCTCGAGGCCCCAGAGAACGTCGCGACGCTCGTCCGCGTCATCTCCGCGCGGCTCTTCAACCTCGTCTCGGACCACACCTTCCCCGCACCTCCCGCAACGCTCGCCGCGACGCTCATTCGCACAGGCTCCGGCATCACCGGCGCCGCGGGCGAACGCAACGCGACCAAGGAGGCCCTCAACTGCCTCCGCATCCTTCAACGCGTGCTCCCCGTCATCTTCGAGCTCGAGAGTGAGTCGAGCCGGTTCGAGCGCGAGGTGCTCTGGAAGCGCGTCCCCGCTCCCGACGGCGCGAGCGGTGCGGGTGGACCTGCGGTCGAGGTGGCGAGCGCGGAGCCGCAGTTCGTGATCGAGGACGAGGACGAGGACGGGAGCGACGAGGGTGACGCCGGCGCGCCGAAGAGCCCACCGCCGCAGACAGCCGCGGCGGAGAAGCCGAGGGAGATGTTGCCGTCCATTGCAGAGAGGTTGTTCAGCTGTCTGATCGACCTCATGTTCTGCTGTGGGTTCACGCTGCCAACGAAGATCCAAGTGGACCACTACAAGATCAACTACATTATCTGGTGCGTGGTCCTTATCATTTGCTTCTGAGCACGGGCCTAAGGCAAGAGGTACGCAGGGAGAAAGGCATTGGGTCGACGGCAGATCCAGGTCCAAGTCAGCAGCACGAGAGCAACAAGACTGAGGTCCTGCGCCTCCTCCTCGTCCTCCTCTCCCGCCAGATCTACTCTCCTCCCTCCGCGCTCTTCACTTCCCCATCACAATACACACTGCACTTCGTGCAGACCCTTCCCCGTCGTGATGTCCTCACGGTCCTGTGCTCGCTCATGAATACCGCCATGAACGCGTCGCATCCGCCGCCAAGCCCGGTGAACGTTGTCGGAGCAGTAGGGGCAGTCGCCGGTCGCCTACCCTACAACCACCTCCTGCTCAAAGGAGAGGACCCACGCACGTCGCTCATTTCCCTCTGTTTCCAAGTCCTTTGCGTCCTCCTTGACTTCCAGAGCGGGCCGGCGCGCGACGACGCCGGGGGCCCGACGGCCAAGACGAATGCGTTCCGCTACTTCATCGCGAAGCTCGTGAGTCCTATCACCTTCGCCGTGGTAGCGTTACTCGTCAGGACCTCTATTCACTTCGCGCTCAGCATCGGCCGAACGACTTATCGTTCATTCTACACGGCCTCGTTGGTATCTTCGAGGAACAGATAGCTTCTATCAGCGGCCTCCTCCCCGGAGCCAAAAAGTCGGTGCCGTACATGGTCGAAGCGAGTGAGTCTCGAACCCACAGTGTTCCTCCCTCACAGGAAATATCGCATTACAGATGCTGATTGAGCGTCGCAGTCACCTTTCTGTGGAAGATGGTCGAGCTGAACAAGGTTTGCATTCTGCTGTTTCCAAGAAGCTTGAAAGCCAGGCTGACGACGCATCTTAGAAATTCCGAGCGTACCTCCTCGATTCCGACAAAGCAACAGATGTCCTCGCATATCTCCTCTGCTATGGGCTTGAGATCAAGGACAAGCCAGGTAAGAACATGGCCTTGCCGTCTGTCTGCTTTGTCGCTGAGCCCCTATGCCAGAACAACATGGAATGTGCCGCGTGCTCTCATACCTGATCCAAAGTCTGTCGGCCGAGCGTGGGTTCGGGCTCAAGCTCAGCTCGCCTATTAAGGCACAAATACCCCAGAAGTTTATGGCTATGGGCAACGCTGGCGACTTCATGATACAGGTGGGGCTTTCCTGACAAGTCTGAGAATCACCAGAGCTCGAGTCGCTCACTCCCTTGTCAGTCGATATACTCGATGATCGCGACGACTTCCGGTAACCTGAATTCTCTGTACCCGGCGTTGATCATTGCCCTGTCCAACTCGGCGCCTTATCTCAAGAACCTCCATGTTACCTCCTCGGCACGGCTCCTGCAACTATTCACAGCCTTCTCGAACCCCTCCTTCTTACTATCAGATGAGGGCCACCCCCGGTTGCTCTTCTTTATGCTCGAAGCCTTCACGTCGATTCTCCTTCACAATCTCTCCGAAAACCCGAACGTCATCTATGGCCTGATCCGCGCCCACAAGCAATTCGAGGACCTGGGCACTTTCACGCTCGCCCGCGGCCTCCGCGAGATCCGGAGGGTGCAGCAGACGAAGGAGGAGCGCGCCCGTCAGAAGCAAGATGCCGCAACAGCCAAAGGCAAACGCCGCATCACCGACGAAGAGCAGGGCGACCCCGCAAGCGAGAAGGCGCGGCTCCTCAGCCGCGAAGCCGCCGGCTCGCTCGACCTCCCGCGCGCCAGCGAGTCCCTAGATAGCCTGCCGCAGCCCGGAGCGGCGGCGGCGGGAGACGACGACGCGCCCCCGTCGACAGCGCACCCGCTCATGTCCCCTGGGGAGGCGCCGATAGCGTTCAACCCCACGCCGCCACCCGCCGCGCGTAGCAGCTCGGACGGGCCTCCGGGCATATCGGAGAAAGCACGGGGAAAGATGCGCGCCGCGGGGCGGTCGCTCTCTGGGGACATGACGGGGAGTTTGGAGCGCCTCGCCGCCGCGGGCGTCGGCCGCAACGGGTTCGTGCCGACGCAGGAATGGGTCGCATCATGGCATCAGGGGTGGGTCCTTATTGCTCCATCCTCTCCTGCTTCGCGGACAGCACTCACCGACGCTCGCATGCATATACAGGCTCCCACTGGATGTGATCATGTTGGTGATCGCTGAGCTGCTTCCGAAGGTACAGAGCTTGCAGAACTCGCTCAGCGCGACCACGGCGAACAGCGCGATCATCGACCTCCTCCGGAGCGCGAACGTCGAGCACGCGCTGCCCAAGGCACCCCCACTCTCCCCTCGGCGCTTCATGGTGCGTCCTGAGGTCCTTCAAATTGCCTCGCCTGTTTACATGCTGACACCGCACATGCGGTCTTGCTCCCCTTCCACAGTGGTCGGACGCGTCCATCGTATGGCTCACGTCGCTGATTTGGGGCGAGATTTACGTGCGAGGAATGACACCTCTCGGGATCTGGAACTCGACGTCGGTCAGGCTATTCTACGTGAAGCACGCGCCGCAAACGCAGCAGCGACAGATCACGGAGACAGTCACGAACGTCATGGGTGGATTGCTTGGGCGGACGGAGTCGTCGCAGTCGCTGGGCAGGCGCCAGTGAGACCCGTCCTACGTAGACTAGACCTCTCGTGTAATACCTCTATGCAGCCTTGTATCCTGTACACTAGGAGAGATATCCTTCGGAATTCGGTGCTCCGGATGTTCTCTTGATTCGATGACCACGGTCACGTGCCATATATCTGTTGACGCGTCGTTGGATTGGGGCGCGTCTATTAATTGCGCGTTCCTCTTCGCAGCCACCACCGATGACACTCTAGCTGTTACTTTTGTTCCATCCAACTCGAGAAATTCAAAGATAATGACATACGAGGCGTGTTCAGGATGGAAAGCCGATACCTTGCCGACCTTTCAGGTCTCACCATGGCGCAGAAGACCACACTCGCCAGAGGTACGTTGTCAGTGCAATCAGCTGTCGCTAGTCCTCACCAACGGCTTCAGGGAAAGTACAAACTGTAGCAGATCTACTTCTCAAGTCTTCAGCTGACACGGCAAAGAAATGTCGTATCACGCTCAAAGAGGTGCAGACGATCACAGACATCGTTTGCGGCGAACTCGAGCAACCGCCACAACCACTATCTGAAGCAATAGGCATCGGAGAAGGCGTCTTCACAACAGGAGATGCAGCGGTAGATGCCTGTTTAGGTGGCGGCATTCGAACTGGCATGTTATGGGAGATTTGTGGGGAGAAGTACGACCATCTGTCTTACCAATCCTCTCCGTCTGACGAGTTTATGACAGCAATGCGGGAAAGTCTCAACTGGCAATGCAACTTGCTCTCAGTGTTCAACTTCCTGTTTCCCAGCACGGGCTGGAAGGCTCGGCCTACTATATCTGCAGCCGCGGACAGCTCCACACAGAACGAATACACCAGATTCTCCAGGACCACCCCGACCTCCCTTCCCGACTCTGCAGCTTGGACAGCATCCAAACAGCCCTCTCCCGCGGATACCTAGTACTCACGCGAATTCTCAACGAGATTCTCGCCCGACCCATCACCGGGCCCTTGACGGCCAAACCGCCACGCCTGATCGTCATCGACACGTTCTCCGACTACTTCGACGCCACGAAAGACCCCCAGTACGAGAATAACCCGGCGCTCCGTGCCCAGCACCTCCGCGCCATCGCGCTACTCCTCCACCGCATCGCCACCAAACACGCCCTCGCGTTGTCCTCCTAAGCGAGGCGAAGCGCACGCTCCACAGCGCGCATGACGGCGTCGGCGCCGACGCCGACGCGCCTGACGAGCTCCCCTACTCAGACCAGGAACGATGGTTCGGGCGCGCGCACAGCCTGCCCGGGGAGGACGCGCACGAGGCCATCCTCGGGCGCGTCTGGCCGAATCACTCAACGCGCGAGTGATGATGAGCCGCACTACGCGCACCCGCTCCCTCAAGGAGATCGGGGTAGAAGGCAACGGTGACGACGTAGTGCCGTTCAGGCGGCTCACGGTCGTCTTCTCGTCCGTGGGCGAGCCGGCATCGTGCGACTACGTCGTGCTCGACCGCGGCGTGGTCGGGATCGCGGTCGCGGAGCCGCCGCCGTCGACGTTCATGTACTCGTCCCCGACGCCGCCCTCGTTTGGAGCCACCCCAACACAATGGCGTTGTACAGTGCGACACGAACGCGATGAATGGGCTCCCAGGGCCTTCACAGGGGCCCACTACTGTCGCATGGGCTCCAGCACCGCACCTGGACCACACGTTCGCAAATATCCCGTCCTCGGCGTCGCCCCCGCCGCTCACTCTCCTTCCTGCGGCCCTTCCACCCACGCCTTCAGGCGCACTCGCCCTTCCGTCCCTGGCGTTCTTATCAGACCCTATCTCAGCCGAGGCGGACGAAGAGGACCAGTACTGGCGCGCGACGCAGGGCGACGACGACGACGCGATCTTCTCGCAGCTCCCCCCAGACGAGCCGATGTCAGAGGACGTCGCGGCGGCGGCCGAGGAGGGACCTGCACCTTCGGAAGACGTCGTCATCCCGATGGACGAAGGGGTCCAGACGCACTCCGACTCGGAGTATTGGGGGAATGAGGACGACGATATCAATTGGGCAGACATTTAGCACTTGTCACCAGTAGGGGGAATTCGCTTGCTCTCAATATTTTGCTCCATCTTGCTGATCTATGCATGTTGTTCGTATGCTCGAAATGTATGTTAACGATCCCGTATCCCTATTGTACCAGTTGTCCTGCATGTCTTCGAATGAAAGCCAGAGCGATATCTCACTATGGACAAACGTAATCCGATGCTGCTACGCAGCTACACAGAATCGAATTGTATTGCTACAGAAATATTAAATGCTGATACAAATGTGAGCGACCTCGCGCTTCTAAAATATCACAGATACTGGGTAGTAGGGAATGTAGGGGAAGGACGGGGCGGTCGGTTGCAAACACGACCTCGGAGCCAATAGTGATAATTTACAATAGGGTATGGCACTGCGCCCTCGCGGACGTCAGGCGTGGTCGTTGTCGTCGGAACTTTGGAGATTCAGTCGGCTGACCTCGTGCTCCAGCATGCTTCACGCGCCCCCCGTCCTGAAATAGTACTGCTTCCCCTCAGTCACGACTGGGGGCGCGTCCACCGTCGACCGCAGGCGCGAGGGCATGTACGTCGCCTCGAGCCCCGAGATCTTGGACGACTGCTGCGACGTTTGCGTTGCGCGACTGCTCCCCGAGCCCGACTTCTCGCGCGAGAAGCCGCCTCGCGCGCCGGCCCCCGCGCCGTGCGCCCACATCTCGGGGGGCGACCCGTGCTGGACGGCGACGACGTGGGCGGAGACGCGCCCGCCGAAGCCGCGGCGGGGCTGCTTGGAGGAGATGGAGAGGAGGCCGGCCTTGGAGTTCGCGCGGAGCGGCTTCGGGCCCGAGATCGGCGGCCACTTCTCGAGGTCGCCCCCGATGAGCGTGTGCGTGAAGCGCTCGTTGCGCTCGAGGAGCGCGATCCAGACGAGGTGGAACGCTGCAGGGAGGGGGGAATGACCGGGTGTGAGGCGCGTCGCGGGTTCTGCGGGCTGGGCGCACACTCACTCACTGACCACTCCACCCAGACGGTCGCGATGACTCCGATCGTGGCGGCTTTCGCGTTCGAGAGATTGGACAAGTCGAAGAGAAGCGAGTAAACGTTGACTGTCATCCATATCGCGCTCGCTGCAAGACGTTACATTAGGTGCGCGAAATCCGAGTGAGATGCAACTTGGCGCACGCACCCAGGCTCATCAGGCTTGAAGCGACGATAAAGACGGGGCGATCAAGGGGGTTTTGTTCCGCAGTGTCGTATCCGTGTTTGCGGCGCTGATTCAAGTAGGCATATAATCTGCAGAGCAAACAATTCGCATTCAGCTGGTCCCGTCGCCACGATACCCAAGAGCAATTGCGATCTCACCTGATTACGGTGGGAATAACGAGGGCACCCTGCAAGCTGACCGAGACAACCTCCGTAGCTGAAACAGACGAGGTGTGTGCATTTAGCACGGACATTGAGGGAGTGCATGGGAGGACGGATACTCGCCTGTTCCCTTGCGAACAAGAAGAGACAGAAGGAGGATTACGATGAGTCCAATTTGGCATGCGAGAAGGAATAGCGCTGGGAAGCATGGTAGAGAGATGGTTAACACGAGGAAGCGTGCGAACGGATGGACTCACTCATGCAAAACTTGATTGCGAAGTGGAGCTTGGTCATCTTGGAGTTCGTGAGGAAGAAACGGTGTGTCGGCGTTGTCCGGCGCAGACGGGGTACAGGAAAAGGGAGGGAGAGCGGGGCAAGCAAAAGGCTGGGTGAAAGCGTTGCCAGGGTATTTAAACAGCGCTGGTCTGCGTGCCACATGGAACCCGGGACAAAGCGACCATACGTCCTTCTGGGGCAAGGGCGTCGAACGCACCCCGGAAGCCGGCCTCAAACACGCCTCAACAGCTGTGAGTCCAGACCTGTTGCGAGTCGCGGCCACGAAGCTCTTTCCCTTGTGGCGGCTGCGCTCGACTCGCGGCTTCTCATTGGTTACGGTGCTGAAATGAGTTGCTTTAGAGCGTCGCGACGACATCCGGGGCCCTCACAGATACATTCTTCGGATGATAGATTTCACGCTACCATCACGACCGTCAGGCTGCTGTGCGCACATGGTGAGCCTGGATTTACGCTGAGTGAGGCACCCTTCAGTGCCCCTGAGTCCTGAGGCGCAAGTCGTTAAAAAGTCCGTCAGTGAAACCCGGAAACAGAGCTACCCACTGAGAAGATGCGCGGTCTGGTCATGTCGCAGCTGGCGGCTGGAGCAGACCGCCAACAGGGGGTGGAGGGTTCTCCGGCCCGCAGCGCGCCTCCGGGCCGGCCCGCGCAGACTCCGAGTCTACTGCCAACCACGAGCTCCAGGCTGAGCCAGCAACAACAAAATACACCACGACCACACAGGCAACGGGGTTTCCTGGTCACTGGACCCGAGGCAGAAAATTACAGCAGTGGCGTGCATGTCGAGTTCGAACTCGCGCGCACTTTTACGTAGGAACGGACCTCACCTCAAGTAAGTACTCACCTCTTGCGTTTCAGAATCTCCAGCCCAGCAACTCCTTCAAGCTTCAAGCAGCGCGATGTCTTCCACTTCGCGCAAAACGCAATTCCCACCTACGGCCGGAGGCTCTTCACTTCGTCGGCAAGACCCTCAGAATACGCTGCAGTCTACCTCCCACAGGGGACTGGGGATCGAACTCGTGCGCGACCGGAGCGTGGAGATCGTCATCCACTCGAGTGACTACCTCGAAGCCCTCCAGCAAGCCCGTCGAGGTCGATTCTTCAGGCCTCAGCGTCCGTCCGAACTCGAGCCCCGCAGACTCCTCTTCGCATGCTAAGCAGTACTCGCAGAGATTTAGTATTGTTTTACGACAACCGTCTCCTCTCGCGAGCATGGTGAACGAAAGCGAGGCCAGCTCCCCGCAGGGTGCACGAAGCCCACCGTGCTGATCTGCAGCGTAGGTGGCGGCAGGCTCGCCGGTGGGCTCATAACCGGCCTCAAGGTCGTCGGCTGGGATGCGGTGATCCTCCTCCCTTCGCGGTAGCAGTTAATGCCGTGCACAAGGCATTGATTGGAAGCACAGCTGTATAAGGACTGAATGACGGGAAACGTGATTGCGACTACCGTGAAGCATGACGCGCTTTTCAGACATATCGAAGATGTCTTCTCGTCTCACACACGTGCCACTGTTGGCCTAAGCCGAGATAGGCAGGGAAGTCAACGAAACCATCTCGGATCTCTGTACTCGCCTTTCGCCTGTGTGACTTCATGGCGATGTACGGCGGATGCAGACTTTCGTTCGAGTCCCATATACATGCTTCATTATTCCATGGCCGGTGGCGGGCAGACAGATACAATCTCAGATACAATACAAAGCCCGCGTCCACAAGAAGCAGACTGGACGGCGGGAGGAGGGGGTCGGAGTATACTTATATCAGGAAACGACACGCGATGAAGGGGAGGGAGGGCGGGCGGGAGGCGTATGCGAAAGACGGGAGATAAGTAATTGGAACGCAACGTGAATTCCCGAACGTGTGCCGCGCCGGCATCTATCCGACTGCAATAGTCCGCGTGCCCAGAGACGAGCCGGAAACCTGGGACGCCACCGAGAGTGTGGTGGGGAGGGGTATTCACCAGGAGCCGAACGTGTTCTCGCCTGAGTAGCTGACATACAAGAAGCCATCTTCATCTCTGGAAAGGGGCAGACAGAAATGGGTCAGGGGAGGTACAACAAGATGGAATGATCCACGCACTTGTGCTCCTCATAGATCGCACTCATGAGTGCTGCCGTCGGAGGGAGCACCTCGTCGACGAAGATGAAGATCGCCTTCTCGGGCGCGAGCTTGATGCGCTTGCGGATAACATAGACGAACTGCCCCACAGTGAGGTCCTAAGGAACCCACAGATCACAACTCAGTCCGCGCTTTCACAATCTTACCTCGAATCACGTACCGAAGGTACCAGGTACTTCTTCTTGTCAATGGTAGGGATGTCCGTCTTGTCTGCCTTCTCGCAGATGACCTGGGGATGGTTTCCACCGACCTTGGTCAGCAGCGTGCACGCAACCTACAATGCAAGACAGAGTAGACGTACGGGTATCCTGTCCGGGTACTTCTGCCTGATGCGCTCCGCCTCCGCCTTGCGCTTATCTGGGACACGAGAAGAGCTGATGAGCACAGATCTCGGGCATCGAATGGTGCTCAAATCCGCCACTAACCGAAGGGGTGCTCATCCTTGAACTTGGAACGCATGATGAACAGGACGAGGAAGGGTGGTCGTGCGGTGTGCGGTGGCGTGAGGTGGTGGGGAAGGCGGGAGAGAAGCAGGCGGGAGGATGAGGACGACAACGAACCTGAAGTAGGCCGGTCGATGCGCCGCCCGCGAGGAGAGACGGCGCGACCGATCCGCGTGACTCGGTCAAACACAGGACAACAACGCGAAGCCTCCCCAGTTTGGCAGCCTCCCACCGGCGCCTCCTCGACGTCCTCCGTGGCCGCACCGATTTGGCCGCCTGTGCCATGTCGGTGGACTCCGGCACCGCGACCGCAATCGCCCAGACGGTGCGCAGTGCGCAGCCGCGCCGAGGTGCTGACCAGCCTCGGTCCCGCGTATACCACCCCATAGGGGCTCGTCAGCACACGTTTCATTCTGGGGACGCCCAACTGGACATGCTCGCACAATCCGTCGGAATCGTGTTGCAGATGGGATGGAGCTCAAAATTTAGGCAGGCTCGTTCGCCTAGCCAGGACTTCGTGAGCAAGATAGGCATCCATATCAAGTCAATTACGTATGTATAATACAATACTGCGAGTCCAAGATCGTGTAGCAGGAGGGCGGTTTCTATATTATGGCGAAGGGCGTGTGCTCGCTCAAGACCGCTTGTTTATCCTGGCGAGGTGGTAGTTGATGGAGGACCTGTGTTGCTTTTTCACGGGGACCTAATCCAAGCTATATGACCCCCGTCTCACGAGCAAGAGAGAGATGAGACGTACCGCCGTCCGCATGCAACCCATAACCAGCTGTGCTGCGTCGGCACATGGGCCCATGGATTTCAGGTCACCAGTGTTGGACCAACACGCCAGCATGGCACTGAGCTCTTTCGCACAAGAGCCCAGCTGGACACCTAAACACATGAAGGATAGTAAGGACGCGCACAGATGCCCAAAACAGAGCTACACACCTTGACGAGGCTTCACCTTGAGCCTCTCAATATGCATCCTGCACCAAGGAACCTACAACGCGGGCGGGTTTCGTAGAAGGGAAGTAAAGGGAGGACAAGGAGATATCAGCCAGGTAGTCGCACGCCAGTGGGCGAGGATGGAAGCGCACCTGGGGAAATGGATGGTGGCAGTCAGACTGCTGTAAAACGCGTCGACTCCTCCCAGCGCACGACCACGATCAGCACCACGGGCCGGACAGGAATGATCACGTGCGTCCACGTAGCGGGGTGGAACGGGCGCTTGAAATGCGGGGAGGAAATCAGGAGGGTATCCGACCGCCGCTTGTCGTGTACTCTCCATCTTCTCTCACCTACTACCCCCTGGCTCCTTCGCCTTCGCGATGGCTGCTCATGCAGGCTTGAACAGGAACAACTCCGGTGAGTATTTCGTGTTCCTTGTCTGAGAACGACCCCTCACTCTATGATTACCAGCTGTCAAGCGGATCATGCAGGAGGCTAAAGAGCTGGCCAATGACCCCTGCACAGACTACACTGCGGCACCTCTCGAGGCAAGTGCAACGCCCTTGACTTTCTCACTTGAGTGTTGCTGATGCGCTTCTCTCCTACTTAGGATGATATCTTCGTGAGTATCGTGGCTGCGGATGCTGCCACAGCCTGACCGCTACCAACAGGAATGGCATTGCACTATTCGTGGCACCCCCGGAACGGAGTTCGAAGGAGGGCTGTATCACCTCCGTATCCTCTTGCCCACCGAATATCCCTTCCGTCCTCCCTCCATCATGATGCTCACGCCAAACGGCCGCTTCGAGCTCAATACGAAGGTGTGTATGCATTTACTGGTCGTGTGCTGCGGGAAGCTAACTCCGGCCTCTAGATTTGCATCAGTTTCACGAATTGTGAGTTCTGCCTAGCGAAGAGAGCTAGCTTGCGTAGAAATCTGAACAAACTCGCCGCAGATCACGAAGAGCTTTGGCAGCCAGCCTGGGGAGTGCGCACCGGTGTGTATTGCCTTTGTCATTTGCTGGGTTTTGCGTCCCTGAGCGCTCCTCTCCCCCGTATCACAGCAATCGTCGGTCTGCAAGGTTTCTTCCCCCTGAGGGGTACCGCTGCCGTCGGCGTGGGTGCCATCGAGTACCCCACTACGGAACGGAAGCGACTCGCCGCACTGTAGGTTCACTCCGTTCTTCGCGCCCTCCGTTCTTCGATCTCATCAATTGTGCCAGTTCTCGTGACTGGGTCTGCCCTCACTGTAAGGTGTCCAACCACGAGCTCCTCCCCGACCCTCCAACGAACGAGGCAGTACCTCGTCCTCCGAAGCTGCCTCCACCGACGGCTCAGACTCGGTCGTTTCTCCTGCCCCCACGTCCGTTCCTGTAGGACAAGCCCCCGCAGATACCCGCGCAGCTGAAGAGTCGCACCCACCAGCTCCCACGCCGGAGCACGTCGTCGTCCACCGTCCATCCCCGTCATCGCCCCCAAGCCAACCCGTCCGATTTCGCAGCCCTCGATCGTATCCCAATCCTTCGACACGCCCCCGCGTACGCCAGACCTGCAGCACCCACTGCTGCAATCCCGCCCCCTCAGCAGCCTAGTACCCGCGATGGCACTCCGCAGCCCGCTCTCGTGGCTGCGGTCCGCCAGACACCTCGCCGTCCCCCGATCCTGCTTGACACCGCGATCTGCGTGCTCCTCGTCCTTATGTTCGCGCTCATCGCCCGGCGCTTCCTATAATACATCTCCCTCGCCGTACGGGTCTTTCTCGTTTTCATGTGAAGACATGCCGGTTTCTGCGTCGCCTAGCAGCTTCTTCTGCCCTCATTGTATAGCACACCTCTGTAGACTAGCCCCCTCCCAGACTCACTACCCAGATCAATATTTACGCACGCTCATCTCTTCCCCTCCCTCCATCATCGTTTTACACGTCTGTCGTTTGTCGTCGCATTGCATCGTCGGTCTGGATCCAACTCCGGCCCACCTTCTCCTTCCCTGCTTCGCTCGGACTCGCTCATCTGGATCGCGCATTACATAGGTAATATATGCAGTAGGAAGTACAACACAGCACATCCCCGCACGCAGGACGCACAGGGACACAAAGGCAACATACCAGCAGTGGGCCAAAACTTGGAACGAACAACCCGGACCCCGTCCCTCACGCCTACTTTTTCTTCTTCTCGTCCCGAACCGTCGCCACGACCAAATCCTCGTCCTCGAGGTTGTACGTCGCGATCGTGTGCGTGTTCGTGAGCATCTTGCCCTGGTAGGAGAACCGGATCTTCGACGCCCCGATCGAGCTCCCCGTGTGCTGGATGAGCCGGTCCCGGAGCGTGGACACGAGCAGCATGAGCGGCAGGTCCGGGATCGTCACCACGCTCCCGTCCAGCTTCCACTCCGGCCGCGCCGCGTCCAGCGGGAGCTGCACCCGGAGCGCGATCGGGTGCGGGTGCATCCCGACCCAGTCCTGCTCCGGGTAGAGCGCGCCCCCGGGCAGCTTCGCGACCCGCTGCCGCTTCGCGGGCGGCACCCCGGCGCCGTCGCCGTCGCCGCCCTCCATCTCGTCCGCGGAGCGCACGGTGCCCGTCTGCGCGGCCGGCGGGGGCATCTGCTGTCCGAGCGCGGCGGCGCGGGCGGGGTGCATCATCGGCGCGCCCGCGGGCGGGGGCTGGTACCCGAAAGGCTGCGCGGCGTCCATGCCCTGGTAGTGCAGTGGTGGGAGCATGACAGGCGCGGGTTGAGAGGGGAAGAGCGACGCGGGCTGCGGGCCGGAGGAGACGGTTGCAGCGGTATATGCGGGCTGGCCAGAGCCTGTCGGGGGTGCGGGGAGGGAGGCGGGAGCGGGCGGGAGTGTGCTGAGAGGAGCAGGAATGGCGGCTGGACCGATGCCTGGGCCGATGGCGTTGACCTCTTGTCTGCACTACAGATCAGCGGGCATTCATACGAACACTGACAAGAGAGCACGTACGGTCCGAGACCCTTGGCACGATGGATGGCTGCAATCTGTTCGTCGATATTGGAGTTCATCGAGAACTTGTCGAGCGTGTTCGCCTTGGATGCAGTGTGACCGTCCCAGACGACCTTCTCGCGCTCCCTTCTGCGAAGCCTTTCTTCCTCTTCCTCCTTCTTCCGTCGTTCTTCGTCCGCCTCGGCACCAAAGATGTCGACACGAGTCTTCGCGAGGGCCTTGAGGGATGATACGACATTGGCACCACGTTGTAGCTCCGAAGCCTGCGCCTTGCGAGCTTCGAGCATATCGCGCTGAGATTTCCACTTGGGGTCGAGCAGTTCGATACGCATGTGCTCTTGGAGCTCGTCGACAGGGATTTCTTGTCCACAGATACTGCAAGTAGTGAGCTTCTCCGCGTTCTTCTTGTGAACTGGAGTTGGTTGTCAATCCCCGAACCACAGCAACAACCGAAAACAACACACTCACGTTTTGGGACGTAGTCTGTCCTGATCTTCATCGGACCACCAGCATCCAACGAGCTCGCTTGGATTGCCCTCGCACGCTCAATCTCCTTCTGCCTCTCCTCTTCATCGCGCCGTCTCCTCTCCTTGACCTCATCGTCCTCGTCGTCGCTCTCTTCCATCGCGGCATCTTCTTGGTCGCCCCCAGCTCCACCAACCGCAGCGGCCGCTTCCGCTTCTGCCGCAGCTTGTCGGGCGCGGTGGGCCTCGACATCCTCCGCCGTGGTCTCCATGATCATCGCCGCCATCCGCTTCTGGGCAAGTGTCATGCTCTCCACCTCCTGCACACTCATGGGCGGCGGGAGCTCAGACGTCGCGTCCGCAGCCGTGAATTCGATGGTCTGGACGATGGCGTAGTCGTGCCAGTCGATCTCAGCGAAGGCGACTGCGATATGTCCCCTGGTCAGCACATGCGCACCCCCAGACACGAAAGAGAGCACGCACCCCGCTCCGCCTCCTTGTCGTCCTCCCGCCGCTTGTCCTGCTCGCGCTTGACCTGCTCCCACCGCGCCCTCCGCTGCGCGAGCTCCAGGTCCTTCCACCGCGCGCCGTCTTGCGCACGCTCCCTTAGCTGGACGAGCATCTCCTTACTAGGCAGGAGCACTTTCGAGTACTGGTCCACCAACCTGTTGAAGTACCCAAACAGCGAGTGCGTCGGCCGCAGGAAGTCGAACTGGTAGTTGCGCCCCTCGCGCGAGGAGAGCGCGTGCAGGAATGGCTGCCCCCGGCGCGCGGTGAAGAGCGCGGTGAGCTTGATGGTGTCCCTGTCGTCCGAGCCCCCAGCCTAGTCAGTCCTCCATGCCGTCACACGCGAAGCCAGCGAGAGAGTGCTTACAGGTCTATCGCCGACACGTTCGGGATGCTGAGGATGAACTCCGGGATGGGTGGCTCCTCGCCAACGTCCACTGGGGTCTGCTCGGCCGGGGCGACCTCGACCTCCTCCATAGCCTCCTTCGCCGGGGCCGCCTCCTCGTCCAACTCGCCGCGGACGACCTTGTCCATGCGGTGTCTGTAGTAGGCATGGTAAGGGTCCGCCGGGTTGAGGAACGCAAACTTTGGGTCCTGACGCTGGTTCTCGCGGATCTTCTCCTCGAACTGGGGCGGGTTGGCCGACCGCGCGACAAAGGTCGCTGTGCGGTCGATGACAGCTGGAGGTCACACACGAGTGCGGTCAGTGTGCTCATGAAAAACGTGGGCGCGAATATGCTCACATTTTATCTCCGGGGGAGGCAGGATGAGGCCGCTGGCGAACTTGGGCTCCTTGTGCACTCCGTTCACGCCGTCCATGTTCTTCACCCCGTTCACCACTCCGTCCAGTTCCATGGGGGAAGGCATTGCCTGTGTCGCCACGCTCATTTTACGTCCTGGGCCGTGAAGAGGGAGGACAAAGGATGTGGGGCAGGTGTTAAGGCGAGAGGCCCGCGAGCCCGCCGTCCAGTTGTCCGCGAAGACGCCTCTCGCTTAGTCAGCACATCCTTCCCTTTCCGATCTCGCGTTCAGCGCTCGTATTGTGGCCAGCGACCCTCACCCTCGACTGCCACGAGACTATGTTCGGGGCATTCAGGCCATCACAACCCAGCTTCGTCGGTCTTCTGTGGTGCGTAAAGCCGCTTTGACGTTCTCCTCTTGTTTTCATCGCGCGTGTTCGCAGGAAGACACCATGGAAACTGTCACGTACGCGCAAGGCCAACGCCCGGTTTCGGTTGAAGCGGGTGGACTCGGTCATTGAGGCCGTCGAGGCAAGCGGTGTGCACTGTGCTGCCCTGGTGCGTATGCATATAAGTCTTTGCGCGTCCTTTCGTCAATCCTGCCCTCTCAGGACAAGGCTCTGGAGCTGCCCAAGGAGCACGAAATGCCCGCACGGGACAAGTACACCGTGTTCTCAAAACACGCGAAAAACTACCGCAAGGGTATTCACAAGGTTCCGAAATGGACTAGAGTGCGTTCCGCCGGTTTCACTGTCGCGTTGCAGTAGCTCACGCCCGTTGCAGCTTACGCTCAGAACAAACCCGAAGGGTTTCTAATACCATTCTCCCCGCTTGTACAGTATCATACACTCATCTATTATACGGAGGCCTGTTGCAGACCGTCCTGGGAGCCAGCGTGATGCGGTACGTCTACAGTAATACTAACTGGATTGTCCCTTGCCGCAAGCCGTTGAAGACCTTTGGCGCTCCGAGCACTGTCCGGAAGACCGAATCTCGAGTCTCAGGAATGTCCAAAAGCGAACGTTTCTTGATGTCCCGATGGGAGACGTCAAGGATGATGTGAGTGAGAGCGGAAGTGGCGAGAGCATCTGTCAGATAGACAAAGTGAGCACGTCCGCTTTAATTGAGAGGGAGAAAACGTACCAGTGTCGCACAGCAGTTTGCCTATGCGATCTGGTGTGCCCACCGCGGCTGCAAGCTTGGTTCTCTTCAGGTATGCGACGTGCTCTTCGAGCTTGAAGTGCCGGGCGAAGAGCTTGGCGACGTCGCCACCCTTTTCTCCCCTCAGCCGTTTATCCTTGAGTATTCTGGTAATATCCGCCACCCGAAGGGCCGCTCCAGCGATGAAAAGAAGGGTGGGTGCTCCATTGTTCTTGGGCTTCTGGGACAAGCGAATACGGAGAGTGGGAAGCACTGGGAGAAGTGAGCATGTATGGGCAGAGGGGGGAGTTGGAAGGGAGACATACTCTTGGATATGAAGTCCACCAACTGGTCCAAATTCCTCGACGCGGTCCACAAAGTGGTGTCCGCTATAGAGGTCTCTGTCTATGCGTCAATACTTAGACGATGGCAGGGGCTGATAGAGCGAGGGCGGCACCTGGAATCTGCATGTCTGCGAGCTCAATGCCGGACATCTTGGAGAAGGTCTTGGCCTGCATGGAAGAGATGTAGTCGGCGAGCATGACCGGGGGCTGGGCGGATACTGATGGGGGCTGGACGGGCTCAATGGCCTCCGCAACCTTGGCTCTCTGTGCCCATGCGTCGGCCATGAGGGAGTGATATACTGGTACATGAATGGAGCAGACAGACCTTTGCTTTCCGCTCCTTCTCCTTCGCCCGCCGCTTGCGCTTCTTCTCCATGGCCGAGGCTGCATTGGGCTGGGCTGCCTGCGTGCTCCCTGCTCCGTCTTCCTCTGCGCTGAGGAGCCCGTCAATGTCATCGGCTTCGGGGAACTCCTGCTCATCGTCGGACGCGACGAGGTCATCGGGGACAAAGTCGTCTTCAAGGTCGTCGCCGCCACCGTGGGTAGACATTGTCGCGAAGAGGCCGTTGAGGACCTTTCTGTGCGGGCAGGGCCAGTTGGATGGACGCGCGAGGGCAGGTGGAACGACTGCGGCAGAGGGCCGAGGAGAGTGGCTAGAAATAGCCGCTGACCTGGAGGCCAAATCTGTGCGGCACGTGGGACGGGCCGGGAGGGGCGGGCCAATGGCGGGGGGCGGGAGGCGTCGGTCTTCACGCGCCGGGCGAATGGGCTCGCGGGCTTTGGCGGGGGCCATGTGCACCCTTGCGCGCACCCATTACCCCGCCCACGCAACCGCCTGCAGCCTGCCCCGACGGCCGCGCGAGACGGGGGCGCGGGCGGGGGTGGTGCGCGCTGTCGCGTGCAGGGGGCGCGGGGCAGGACCCCGAGGACCGGATGGCCGCGATAGGGAGGGGCAGGCGAGCGAGGGCGGGGGTGAGTGGGCGCGCAGCTTCTCCTCGGTCGACGATGGCGGCGCGGTTCGAACAGCGCGCGGCGGGGGGCCCGTCCGAGGTGCACGTCGCCCTCCCGCTCGCCGTCTTCGTCTTCTTCTCCCTGCTTATCGCGACCACCCGCCTCCTCCTCAGACCCCCGCCCCCGTGCGAAGGCCACCCTCCCAGACACGCCCCCTCCGCGAAGCCCCAAGCCCTCCAGCCCCCTCCAGCCCCACCCCTCCCGCCCCCGCCCCCGCCCCCGTCCCCATCACGCCCCAAAGGCTGCAGAGGCGACCACCAGATGGGCAAGCGCGCCAAGCAGCCGTACGACGCCTTCCTCGTCCTCGACGTCGAGGCCACCTGCATCCAGGGCGCAGGCTTCGACTACCCGAATGAGATCATCGTGAGTCCCCTCCTCTCGCGCGCACGCGGATCGCCCATCGCCCCGACCCCGCCACAGGAGTGGCCCGTCTGTCTCCTTCGTTGGACCGACAAGACCAACAAGGGCAAAGCACGCACCCTCGAGGTCGTGGACGAGTTTCGCAGCTTTGTCCGCCCCACATGGCGTCCCCAGCTCTCCTCCTTCTGCCATGCCCTAACGGGCATCACCCAGGTCTGTCTCTTCACGTCGCGTGCCCGCTATCTCCAACAACTGCCACGCTCGTGTGACTCTCATCCCCGTTTTCCTCCAGGAGCAAGTGGACGCTGCCCCCACCTTCCCAGACGTCCTCCAGTCCTTCCGCAAGTTCCTCGAGAAACACAAGCTCATCGACGCCACCGGTCAGCGGATATCGCACTTCTGCTTCTGCACCGATGGCCCGTATGATATCCGAGATTTCGTGGTGAAGCAATGCTTCATGTCCAGGGTCTGTCTTCTCAGTCCCTCTTCCAACCCGCAAGCGGAGCCTGACTTCGTCTCCCGCAGATAACGATACCCCCGTGGCTCACCTGGGATATCATGGACGTACGAAGAGTGGTGGGCGAGTGGCAAGACTCTGTCACAGCATCCACCGCCGCACCCCGCCCGGTACGTTCGCTGGCAGCACCCCGTCTATATTTGTGGAAGAATGGTGCTTACTTTCCACGCAGAACGGCGTGATCTCGCGACCAAGACGAATGACTTTTTCTCTGCAGCGCCAACTGCACGCGCTCGGACTCGCGCCTTTCGAAGGCCGCCAGCACAGTGGTATCGACGTGAGTTCCGCTCCTGGCTCCATCCACGCTGTCACTTAGTCTCGCCCTCGTCATTCCGCCCCATCCGGCTTTTAGGACACACGTAACATCAGCCGCCTGGTAGTTGAGCTGGCCAGGCGAGGCTGGAAGCTCGAGTCCAACACGTCCATCAGCCCCAACCGCCGCTGGCCGTGGATGGGCAAGCGGGGCAAGGTGCTCGAGGAGTATTATTCCTAGTCTCCGCCGCGCCACCTCCACCCCCACCATCGCGTCCGTGACCTGTATATGTACGTGACACCCCTCCTCCCCCGCTCGAGCTAACGCGACCCGGGCGGGTGGAGAGTGCCGCCTGTTGTATTGCCCTGTACGTCTACCGCGGACGATGTACGATTGCACCACCGATATAGCCTATTTCCCAGAATGCCAAGACTCTTTTGCACCCCTACTCTCCCCGGCCCCGCACGAAGCCCTCAACGCCTTCTTTTTCGCGAAGCCCACCTTTCCCCGGGGCCCGGCTGCTTGCCAGATCGCGGTCCCGCGGTCCCAGGGACGGCTCCGGCTCACACAGGCTTTCCGCCCCGGTGTGGGATGAGTGGGACGCGTCTGGGAACACACTGCCATTCCGCGCGCGCGTCGACGTGCCGGCAGCGCGCGCCCCGCACGCGTGGTGGGAAGTGAAGCGGTCCTCGCGCCACCGTGGTCTCCGCATTCGTCCTGCGAGCACCGTGCAGGGTCCCATCGGGGGGCGCCCCGGGTGGCGAGCGGGTACGGTGCGGCGAAGCTTGGCTCTGCGTGGTCCGCGTAGAGCGCACCGGGCCAGGGCGGCGAATCACTCGACAGCCTAAGCCCCGTCTGGGGCACAGCGCTTGAGCGCAGCGGTGCAACAGCCCACTCTCCATTGCACCGTACTTACGCGCCCCGGGGCTCGCAGCGACAACCTTCCGGTGGCGGTCGCGACGCGACAAGAGAGACTAGCACGACTCGGCAGGGGTGGGGCCGCGAGGCCGCTCAACGTCCGTGCGCCACAGCACCCGGGAGGAGTGTCTCGCCGTATGTTACTTGGCCGACACGACCATGACACGGTCGAGAGTCGGGGCCTGGACGTCTGCACGGCGGTGTGCACTCGGCGGCGACCCTGGCCGGCGTGGGTCGTGCATGGTTTGTGGACTTGTTCGGGTGCGTTGGTCACGACGGACGCACAGGGAGGTGGGGCGCCGAGAGGTGCGCGGTCGTCCGCCGTCGGTCCACCGACCGGGCGCGGATCGTTGCTGGGACGAGTACCGCATCCGTCGCGCACGACCACCGCCGTGGGTGCACGGTCGCTGCGAGGGTGGGTGCTGTTGCTGCCGCCGACGCTCCACCTGGAGCGCGGGCACAGTGGTGGTGTGTGTACTGTGGGGCGGGCCGAGGCGGGCTGCGTGGGCAACTCAAACGTTGGGGGTCACCGCGGGCTCGAACGGGACATCCTGCGACGACGTGTGGACGCCGCGCACGGCCTGTCCGCCAGCGAGCGCGCCCGCTCGCAGCGGGGGGGCGTTGGCGTCGCGTCGCCGCTGTGAGAGTGCCGCGGTGGTGATTGACGCAAGGGGTGACGCTCACCAGGCCCTCCTCGAGCCCGACGTCCGACCGATCCCCACTGTGTAACTTACTGCTACGACGGACCGCCCGGCGCGCCACACCACGCAGTGCCGCGCTCGGAGTCGGGGGTGGCAGGCGTGGAGTTTTTGGACACACTGTCAGGGCATTAACATTCGAACACAGTAAGCAGGCCGCGCCCGGCGGCCTGCGTGGCAAGGTTGCGGGGCGTCATAAAGATAAGTCTATTCCACCATGGGCGGCAGCAGCAGCGGTGATGGCGGCGGTGGTACAGGCAGTGCAAGTGTGTGAAGTGTGCAGTGCGGTACCGGGAGGGTTTACATGGCGAGTGCGTAGAAATAAGCGATACTATATCCAAGGGATCCTGGAGCGAACGGACATTGCAGTGATAGGCGGGAATAAATGTGCGTGAGTGGTAAGAGGGCAGGAGTGAGTAGTAGTATGTACAGGAACGACTGGCGAGCACGGCGCGGGGGCTTCAGCCGGGCCGTCGTCGCCATCTATTAACCAAGGATTACAACCGAGTCCCCGAGGACAGGCGGGCGGCGCGACTAGTACGCGCTCACTGTGAGAAGGAAGGGCGGCAGCGTGAGCGAGGACCCAGGCACGATTCAGTTTGGCACTCACGAAGTCCCAAAGCGTCCCGAAGCAGGGGATGCCGGCTTCCTTGCAACCCTGCAATCCGACGACGCGTCAGCCCAAACTCTGTGCGGCCGGCAAAGCAGGCGTGCGCCACGTACCTCCATCATCTCCGTGTTGCCGATGAAGTTCGAGGTGATGAAGATGACTGCAGAACGTCCGTCAGCACCCAGCGCCGCGCCGTGAGAGGCCGCGCGGGACGTACCCTCAGCGTTCCAGTCTTGGTAGACCTGCTTGAGAATCTTCATCGTGTCTGGGCGACCGCCGCGGAGCTTCGAATCCCACAGCAGCAGGCGCTCGGGCTCAATGTGCCTGTGGATGAGGCCGCTGATCGTCGGACCGAACGTCTTCTCCTGGTCAGAGCCTGGGCGGTGGAACGTCAGCGCTCATGCCCCCGCATGGAATCGCGCCGGTGAGAGAGCAAACACGTACCGATCCAGATGAGGAACCTGCGTGGAAAGAAAGCAGAAGCGCACACGTTTCAGTTGGCGGGTGCCACAGTAATTGAGAGGAAATAGGTACTGACCAGTTCGGGCTCTGGATGCATGTGGAAAGCGCCGCACCGATACCGGTACCGGTGCAGATACGGATGCCGCGCTTGTAAAGGGTGGACGTGTTGGACACACCGGCGACCTGGTAATTGCATCAGCGCGTCGGTCTCGGGCACGTTGCCAACACGGATCACAGGCGGAGCAGATGCTCACCTTGAGTTCACGGGTCCAGAGAGTGGGAGGGGGGTCGTTGACAAGGCTGCGTGTGAAGTCACCTGGAAAATTACACGGTCGGGGGCCGTCGATGGAGCGAGGCTGAATGTCACTACGAACCTTGCACACCGCAAATCATGTAATGGTACTTCGCGTGGGCACCCTCACTGCAACTGGGGTCAGCACTGGACGCGGCGCAGGTGGAATGGGAGTGGGCGCACGAAATGATACCGAAAGCGTGGTACTCCTTCACAGCGCTTCGGCTAATACGACCGAGCAGACCTTGCTGCATCCCACGCCTGAAACGGACAACAGCGACCTTGGGCGACGGCTGCGTGCGAAACAGATGCTCAGTTCGTGCTGTGACAGCAGTCACTGCGGCCAGGGACAACTCACAAGCTCGATGTCGACAGGGACCTCCCGAGTGCAGATCCACGGAAGCGCGATCCAGAGGGTCATGCCCATAACATACCAGAAGTCCTGCTGGCGAACGAGGTGCTTGCCGTCAGGGACCCAGGAGCGGTTGCTGGGGTCCCAGATGTCGCCCATGATCGTGAACCCCCCTAGGGTTAACGTGAGAACGTGCACCCACACGGTGAGTGGAGTGGGATGCGTACAAGTGAGGAACAGGGCAATCCAGCCGACAAAGCGGTGGTGACGCTCGAAAACGCTGCGGCGCAAATGAGTCACCGTGCGACGATTGGAAATATGAAGTAGTCACTTGTGGTGTGTGTTGCGGACCCACGGGAACGCCGCAACAGCGGTGATGATGACGGCGACATTCGTGAGGACACCAAGCGCAAGGATTGCGTTGTTCTCGTTCACGTGGTTGATGTATGTCTTGACGACTTTGAAGGTAAGCCAGACGATACCGGAGACGGCACATCCTGTGTGAATTCCTCCCAGGTGCTGTCAATGCGGAACGTGAGTGCTGTGTTATGTGTCAAGGTCGAGGCGCGTACCTGGAGAACAGACGTGCAGCCGAGACGCCACCAAAGAGGTGCCCACTGCGGTGAAGAGTTAGCGGTCGGATCGCCAAGCATATAATCGGAACACGTGCCTTGGCGAAGAGCGTGTTCACGATCAAGTAGAGGATACGGCCGAAGATCTCATTGCGCATAAGGATGGAGAAGTTGAAGTTGCCGACGGCGAAGGCACCCGCGTACTTGACCGCGTATGGCCAGTGGCCGGAGACAGCGAAGCCGAACATTATCATGTTGACGGAAAATGCAATAGTGAAGAGTTTACTGGGATGGGAGAAGTGTGAGCCTAGAATATGATCGCGGTCGGCAAAGGCACTGACCGATAGGTGTTGTACCATAGCTTGAACGTGATGACCTTCGAGACCTTGTGCTTCTTGCCCGTGGCTTTGTGTTGGCCGTACGGGTCCTGCTTTGTGGCGGGCGCGGTGAAGACGGCGACGTCCTTCTTCTCGCTGATGAAGGGATCCTGCTTCTTTTCGGCGGGATACGAGACGGGCTTCTTGTCGACGGGGAAGACGGCGACCTGCTCGAGGGTACCCTTCTCGGCGTCGTCGTATGCTGGCGCGGCACCGACGGGGCGGCGTGGTTCCGTGGACATGGCGGGCGGAGGCGAGCTGGAGAGCTGCGTGTGAAGAGAGGCGGGTCGAAGGCGAAGGCTAGTAGCAGGGCCAAAGGGGAGGCGGGCTACACGGGACGGGAGGAGGTCGGTCATGCCGATGTATGTCCAGCCGGTCTTTATCCACTGGACGGGCGCGAAGCAGGCACGGAGTGTGAGATCGCGGAAGCGCATCTAGGCGCACGCGCAGGGAAGGGGACACCGCAGAAGGGAACCCGGCAGATCGCCCCTCGCGCACGGAGGGCGGATTGGCTGAGAGCCGTATGGGCCGCGCAGACACAGCTCTGCGGTGTGACCCGCGCTCCCACAGCTCCCGAAAATTCCACGGGCGGATGAGCCGTCCGTGGGTCGTACACCCGAGAGCTGGGCGTCGAGTGGGTGACCTCACCGCCATCCCGCCATCGTCGCGGCCGCCGAGCTGCAGATCTGCCGGATGTCGTCCACTGCCGCCAACGTGGTGGCGCGCCGGGGGACGTTTGCCGGTTGGCGCCGTTGTGCAGGGCTGCGGGGCGTTGGCGGGTATGCGCAGTGCGCGCGACGGCCGCATCGGGGACATACGCGACAAGTCGGGCTGAGTGGGCGATGGATGGACGCTGCGCACGGCTGATACGCCCCCGCTGGCCTGTTCCCACTGTGAGTGCAGCACAGACGCCGGGTGCGAGCAAACGTTCATACATACCGCAAAAGGAAACGCCCTGCGCCGGCCCAACGCCAGCCAGCGCGCCAGCGGATAGAGTGCGGGTTCACACAGCGCGACACACACCCGCACGGGCCCGTACACCGCTCCCATACCGCTCGTGCGGAGCGGGACCAAGCCTGCTAATGTCCCCGGGAGATCGGTATGTCGTCCATTTCCGCCCTCTATGGGAGGGCCCTCTCGCCGGCAGAGAGGGCCCCGGGTTCGTACCATGGCCGGGACACCTTCTCGTCGGAAGCACGTCCACGAGCGAGCGCGAGTCGGGGAACGCAGCGAACATCCATGCAGGCGACCGCGGCGGGAGAAAGGACAAACCCTGCCGCGACTTGGAGACAAGCCCGCCAAGCGCCATACGCGGTCGCTCCCTGCGCTCGGTTCGGGCGCGCAGCCGCCGCGTTTGCCGACGATACGTTCGCGGCTCCTTCATCGAAAGGCGGTGCCGCGTCCGACGTACGCAGCCCATCCGATCGGACCGCGGAGTCCCCACTTACCGTTTCTACCTGGCAAGAGGCGAGCTGCAGATATCCATTCTACAGCCGCGTCGCGATTCTTGATATGTTTGACCCGCAAGTCTCCCGTCGTCGAGGCGAGGCTGGCCGAGGCGATTCGCACCAACGTGTGAAGCAGGAGCAGGGGGCGATGATGAGAGTGTGTGAGGAGCAGGCGCGGGCCGTGGCAGATGGCCGCCGCGAGCGTCGGACTCGGTGTCGGAGGCGGCGCAGACGCACAACCCGCGCTCGGCTGCCCCGACGTCGACGTCCTGCCTCGTCAGAGCAGTCTGCCCGACGCCAATCTCGCACCTACGCAACTTCCACCGCCGATGGTGAAACTTCGTGCCCGCATCGCCATTCCGCCCTCACCGGCGCCCGCCCTATCGCCCTATCGTGCACACCATCTCGTTCAAGTACGACGAACACCACAACATGCACACCGGCCAGGTGTCCTTTCTTACCCGGATTGGACTAGTAAGATTATGTTGCTCAGATGCCGCCGCATCTGTTTTTCCGACTCGATGCCACGCCGGCTTTTCGCCTCAGAGCAACGAAGCATGTAAAACGCCGGCGCTGCACATATGGCACGCCCTCTCCACATCCGATGCACGTAGTGTACAACAGGGAGGCATCAGGTATAACAATAAAGGTCCGGAAGTCGTGTCAGAAGCGAAAATTGAAGGGTACTACAAATGTCATCACTATGCGACTGGAAAAATCGCACAGACAAGGTACGGTGAGTAAGGAGACAATGGCATGCTGAGACTACGGAACCCACACAGGGTAACGTCTAGTTCGCCTCGGAGAAATCCTTGAGGTACTGCAGCTGCTTCGACACCTCGTCCTTGAAAGCCACGACATCGCTGCTATTCTTGATAACCGCCCGTACGGTATCCTCCTTCAGCCTGTTCACCTTGTCGATCTGTTCCCGGTACCTGGCAGCAGAAACAGAGCCTTCTGTTAGTTCTCTGCGCTGCGGACGCCACAAGGGAGAGAATCCTCGCAGCCGATGGGAGAAAGGATATGACGTGCGAACAACGGACAGCATGCACCAGCGCCTACCTCCATGATGGGAGTGCGCCCACCGCGCCGATGGAACAAGAGTGGGAACAAAAAGTAAGTACGTACGCGATCTGCAAGGCCTGCAGGCGCGATTTGACGCCCACACCGTTGGCCATCGCGCCGTCCGCGCAGCCGCTAAATCTCTCTCGAGGCGGGATGCCTCCGCGTTGCTAATTAGCGCTTCCTGCTGCGCAGCCTACGAAGTTGATGAACGATACGGACAAAGGAATCATCAGCTTTTCCTGCGTCGTGGCGCGCCACGCTGGCCAAGGGATCCATATCACTCACCTCCCGCAGCTCGTCCGCTTGGTCGTTCAGAGCGCTCGTCTTGTTGTGGACTCGTGCACTTCCTGTTCGATGGTGTCGCATTCGACATTAGTTGGTCAAGTTCATCGTCCACCTTGATCCGGTCACTCTCCACATCCGCGCATGTCGTCCGCTTCATTTCGGCGATGCGGTTGAGCGTGGGTTTCACCACCTTCCGCACATCGGCGCCGGTAAGCAGGTCCTGCGGATTGCTTGCGGCGGAACGCAGGTCGATGGTGAGATCAATGTCCTCGAGCGGCGGAGGTAGCGGAGGGAACAAGCCCAAAGTGGAGAGCACGAAGTGTACTGGTCTAACGCCTCTTCAGCATCTGACACTTTCCGTGTCAAGGAGACCTCGAGCTTGACGACGGACTGCGACGACTCCGCGATCTTCTGCTTGAGAGACTGTATCTCGCGCGACAGGTTCTCGTGCTCGGTGTTCATGCGCAAGACCTCCTCGGGCGAAAGGTTCTGCACTTTGACGATACTGGCAAGCCGCTCCTCTTCGGCGTGGAGCGTCTCCAACTGTGCACCTGTCCGCACAATCAGCCATTCCGTACAATTCATGCACGAGCGACGGCCACAAACGATTGTACTCGAGCTCGGTCTTCTCATCCTGCACCTGGCGCTGCCACTTCTGCTTGCGCTCTTCGAAGCGGCGCAGGATCTCTTCGAATTTGAGTTTATCGCGCCTAAGAGAGCCGTTGTCCTTTTTCAGGTCTTCGAACGGCGGCTGGATCCCCGTCAGCATCCCGCCACAAAATACACAAACATTGGTTGAGATCACTGACCGCAGACTTCCGGAGCGACTCCCACTCTGTCTGGATCTCATCGAGATGCTTCCGCCGGTTCTTTAGGTCCGTAAGCACTCCGGTGTCCTTCCTGGCTGCAGTAGACATGAGATAAGGCGGCGTTGGGTGGGACGGCATGAGTCAGACTTGCCGTAACGCTGCTCCAGGATCTTCTCCTGCTCAGGAAAAACGTCTTGTCCCTGCAAGAAGACTTCGTAGGCGACACATTTGTGTTGAAACGCGAGGGCCAGGTGGTGTTCGTCATCGTCGAATTCCTCCGGCACAAGTTCCGGGTTCTGCAGGGTTGGATGCTGACTATTCATGTAAACGTGCCGAGCCTGTCGGGCGCGTCATCAGCCTGGTGCTTGACGCCTGCATAACGAGAGTTGGTCATGCCGGAAGAGCGCGTACCTTTCCGAGCTCAGCAAGCCAGTGCAGCACGCCGAGTAGCGCGGGCCATGAGTGCATCGCTGCCGGGGTGGGAAGCCACTTGATGTCGATCTGACTGACATATGGGTACTGCATAGCACGGAGCGCTCGCATGAAATGCTCCTCGAAGCGGAGGTCCTGCTCAAACGGCCACTGAGGGTCTAGCGAAGTGATAAGCTGTTGAAAAACCTCTCGGAAGTCTTTGGACGTGATGTTCTGCAACATGGACATTGGTATGTCTTTTTCAAGGTAGTTTTTGAAATAGGCCACGATTTCCTGTCGCGTTTTAAGCTGGTGCGCCTTATCGCGGGTGGGCCGGGCGTCCTTCGTCTGGTTGGACGTTGGCGCGGGATGGCTACCAACTGGCCATCCTGTATTTCGGCGGTTACCGTTTGTACTGGGTTAAGCGACGACATATCAGTGTCCAAATGCAAGCGTGTTCCAATTGCATCGCGGGAAAAGTTGACGGCGGACAAGACGAGGCCGAGGTGGAACAAGTTACTTGGGAGCGCGACCAACATAGTCTACGTCCGCACTGGCTGCATAATGTCCGGACACCTGATTGCTAGGCAGTGGGCTACTGCCCCTAACATCCTCCCCAGTCAACAAACTTACAAACAAAGCTCCCACATACCCCAAACAACCGGAAAACTTCGCGAGTGTTGTACTGAAGCACCACGCAGAATACTCACTTTCGCATCGGTGTCCTGCCGTACGGTTGCGGTTTGCTCGCACTCTGGGCCAAAGGATTGAAATTGTGGGAGCGCATCATGGACTGCCGCGAGTTCGAGGCCGGGGGAGCTGGGTAGGGTGCACGCTGCGCAGGTCCCGACATGGACATACGGCCGGGCCGTGGAGGTTTCTTGACGGTGGAGGGAACAGGGAGTTGCGAGTTGCGGGCATTGTTGTAAGGATCCGCGTGTGGGGCCATCGTGTTCCTCCTTGCGGAGTACTCCATGTGTGCCAGAAGTGTTTTGTGGTGCCACCGAGGGCTGAACGCGAGAGGTGAGGAGCGGTCCTGAGGGGAAGAGGCAACAGTGGACGCGCCACACGCGATGTTGAACGCGCCTCTCACACGAGCACGTGCGCGCGATTTGCTTCGGCTCCGGCGCGCAAGCTCGCTTTTGATGGTGCTCAGGGATGTCGATGAGTTCTGTCCACTTGGCCCCCGCTCTCTCGCGTGCCGCCCGCCTATCTTCACCGCCGTAAACATCGCCAGAAGCGTGTCATGTCTGCGTCCAAGGAATTGTTCGGAGGTGCCATCACGGTCACTCTGCCCTCGGAGCTCATCGATGCGTCGTACGTCTCTTTACTTGCCTCTTACGGTCCGACACCGACCCGACGTCGACCATGTGACCGCTCTCAGGAACTTCCGACAAGTTCCTGATACGCAGGAAGTCTTTGTATCTCCGAACTCTGGCCTCAGCGTCATCGTCGAAGTCCTCCAGAGCGTCGCAGCTACCGACCCCCGAGAAGCTGCCGGGTAAGAGGCTCAATCATGGAAAATTCCTCTGCAACCACTCAATATGGGATCACCGCAGCTTCCATTTCGATGCCTTGGCGCATGATAACGACGCCAAAAGCAAGACGATCACCGACACCGCGACTGTCTCGAACGGATCTGTGGGCGGGACGCCAGACCCTGTCGTCCTGGAGGGGACACAGATGGTGGAGAAGTTCAACAGGACGAAGCCGGACGAGGTCCGCATTCTGCTCGCTCTGTTCCGAGTGCCGGACAAGACCGTCGATCTCGTTATGACCATGAACGTACCCATGACGAGCGGCGACGGCGGCGCGCTGACCGAGGCCGACTATCGCTCTGTCAAGGACGTCTTCGACACAGCCGCCAAATCGTTGCGCATCGTCGACTACGGTTTGTTCGCATGAAATGGGCTTTTCGGGGTCTGAAGAAAGCAGTAGAGGATATTCTGATGTTGTAAGCACGTCCACAGCCCTCGCATAATCGGTGACGTGCTCATGCGGACTCTACTTAGGTACAGTACCTGTAACCTTACGCGCATATGGGTAACAAGTCTCTGCGCCATCTGCCGGTTATCTTGGAGGCATGGTGAGCACTGTGGTCGCGCGGGTTCCTCGGTCACGGCAGTCGGGTCCACTATCATGCAGGATGTCGAAGGCCTCCTTCTCGTAAAACAGGTTGCAGGACCTGTTTCAAAGTATGCATGGGGCTGCCGTCGGCGCCGAGAGGATCGCCCTCCGAAAATAAGTAACCTAGAATAGAGGACTTGATGGCACATTAATATGTCGCTAGGATCTACGCGGTCGTCCGCTGATTCTGAAATTCTACGAGCTGTTCGCTATCGGCGGCAAGTAAATTCAGAGCACCCTGTGCGATCTTTGCAGTACCTCCTTTCCTTTTCACGAATATTGAAACATCGTCTGTGTACAGTAAGGTAGCCAAGTTATACATACATGTTTTGAGAAAGCGTGAGTTGGGGGCATAACGTGTATCTACTTGACAGACGGGAGACAGCAAGGGTAGAGCAAGCGAGGGTAGAGCGATGAGCACGCCCTTCAAGCCGCCACTTCAAGCGACCTGCTCAGGTGCGCGTCATCGCGCTCCGCCGCCGCCTCCGCCTCAGGGTCCTCCTCGATGCGCTGCCCGACCACGTTCGTGGTATCCGCAGCGGCCTTGGCTTCTTTCTTCCGCTTTGCCGACTCCTTCAGCTTCTCCCACCGCTCGCGGAACCGGACGATCATTGCCTTCTGTGGACATATGCATGTCAGACGACCCTGAAGCCTGATGATGGAAGGGCGATGACTCACCTGCTTCTCGTTCTCGACACGGAGGCTGCGGACCTCGTCTTCGAGCTCCCGCACACGGCGCACGAGCTGCGGGTCCCGGTCGCGCGGTGCAACCGGAGCGGGCACGGCCGGAGGTGTGGGCACGTTGATGTTGAGCGAAGCGATATCCACGGGTGACTGAGCTGGTCGCTGCAGAATGTTCGACGATATCATCGCGCGATGTGCCTGGAGATCGCGAGACAAACGGCAGAGGGTAACCAGTGAGTCAACGCACGACAGTGAGACGTGGCGCAGGGTGGTGGTGGGAGACATACCTCTTTTCGTGCAATCATGATACTATCTCGTAGCTGCTGGTCTTGTTCCTGGCGCGCCTTCAACACCAGCTCCATGTTCGCTAGCTTTTGCTGCTGTTGCTCCAACTGCGCCTTCAGTGCCGCGTTTTCCTCCTTCAGAGACGCCGCATTCGGGTCGGCCTTGGATGGGATGAGACAGAAGGAGTCGGCCATGTCGTCGTCTGTGGAATATCACGAGTCAATATGTCCAAGCCGGTCGAAATGACACGAGACAGAAGTGGTAAAACATCCTCCCCCGACTCGCCACCGGGGGGCGGAACATTGTCTGCATTGCTTTCTCGGGAACCTCGGCTCGCTGCACGGAGAACTCCTGACATGCCCGGGTGGCGCTCTAGCTCGATTGATGTCTGACCGCTGTGCAGTTAACCGCACGGCCCGTAACAACAGTCACACAACACCCATAGCCAGTGCGGGGGGCGCAATGCCCCAAACAAGCAAGAGAGCGGAAAAGCCGGACGGATGAGGAAGTTATATATACCTTCGAATGCGCGGATATCATCATCCCAGTCGTCTCGGAGATCGAAGGCGTGGGAGGGTTGAGGCGGAGGCGGGAATGTACTTGGACCTGGAGAGGCTTCAGACTCCATCGTTGAAGGAGATGAATCGTAGCGAGTAAGCATCTTCGAATGCGCAGCTTTCATGAGACTGATTCCACGAGAAATCCGTTTTGAGATGGGGTCGTCGAGGTCATTGTCACTGCTCCAACTGCCCTCCCTCGTGCGCAGCTTAGCCGTGGGGTCTTCAGGAGCAAGAGGAGCCGTGGCAAATGCAACTGGTCTTGAAAGGTAGTCGAGCATGCCTTCGGTCGCCTTCCAGAATTGGTGAAACGCATCACCAGGATCACTCTGATAAAGAAAGCATTCTGGGGGTGAACGGGTGGAGAGAAGACGCGGGGAACATACCCTCTGTCCTAGGAGCATGAAAGATTCATCAACCGTTTGTTGGGAGTCAGACAACTTGCTCTGAGGAGGAGGTGGCGGAGAGGGCACAGGTTGTGGTGGTGGGACGGCGGTATGAGGCTTTTGGCCCGAAGCGGACCGCGTGGGCTTCTGGGGAAGCGATGGATCTTTGTTCTCTTCGCGAAGCTTGGCTATTTTCCGCTGGAGGTCCTTTCCCGACTTCATGTGCTCGTTGTGCAGCATACGCAGAGTGCGTTTTGTCTGGGGCACAGAATGTAGGAGAAGAATCCATGGAGCAGTACATTCAGCGACGAGTGGAGAGCTCTTGTGAGATATGACGCACATTGTCATCGTTAGAAGCCTCGACACATATCTGGAACGCTTCTGCGGCCTTGTAATGCTCCTCGGCTGCCGGGATGAGAAGTCCTCGGGCGAGATAGTCGTCCGCATTTGCGGCATGTTGATGGGCCTGCATGAGAGCCATGCGACACACCTACGTGAACAGAAATATCACACCGCGCGGCAAGCAGAGACTGACAGCATTCATTGGAGAGTCCATTGTTGTGGGTGGATACGAGGGAGGAGACAAGGAGGCGGCGGCGAGGCAGCGCAGTCCCAAAGGCACAGAAGTGGCCACAGGGCGCCAACGCGTGACGCGCTGTGGTCCGAACCCTAGATTAGGTCCCTCTCGGCGCGGGCCATCCCAGCGGCCTTTGCCGGTCCATATCCTCACTCTTGCTTCCCCCACCAAGGACGCCCGCTACATCCTCTCACCTCCAGCTACCGACGTGAACTGTGTTTCTCAATATGTGTGCATCCCACCCGTCCACGCAACAGGCGGACGAGCATGTGCCCGGCCTCCGACGGAGGGCCGCGGACGGCTAGCGGCCAACCCACCATTCCTGCTCGCAAGGCTAGATCGGAAGGATGGTGCCCTCCGCCGGACGATCGCACGCCGCCGCGCGGATCTCAGACATCCGCTGCGACTTTCTTGAGCGGTTCACTGCGCACCTCCTCCATACTCATAAAGATGCTGCTCTCTCCGTTCGCCACGCCTTCCCCACCCCGCCATCTCTTCCCTGGACCCTCACCCCTCCTCCACCCTGCTGCACAATGTTCGACTGGCTGGTGAGGAAAATCCATGACGGTCCCTACCACGGCTCGGCAAAGGGTGAACGGCCGGTGAGTTTCTTTCCGTTCACTTGTATCCACATCTGGTTAACCTTTCGCTTTTGGATAGAAATCGGTGGTGAACTATAAGCATCCACAGAGGGCACATGTGCCTCCAGCTGATGTGATTCCCAAGCCCAAAGCCACTGTTGGTACATCTTACCGCTCTCAGTTGCTCATCCACTAACTTGTTGTGCCAGTCGGTAGCAGCCCAGAGCGGCCAGAACCCTCAGGAAGGCATATTCCTATTTGTAGGAGCCTCACATCCGATCTTGTATGTCTTCATTAACGTTGTACGCAGCGTCAAGTTAGCAAGCGGCAGTCTAACGCAGGTCGTGGGTCGAACGGCCCGATGAACACGACACCGAACGTCTCCAGCTTGCCACATACAGAAGGTTCCCGCCCTGCTCTTGGTCGCGAGCCCTCATGCGAGATAAGAAACCTTTTCCGCGAGAATTCGGCCGACTGTCGGCAGCCCCTGGTCGACGGCGTGTTCCCGCCAGACTCTCCGGGTGCCGTCCCAGTTCACTGCAGCGTGCCTTCCTACCTTCCCAAGGTTACCCAGGCGGATCTCCCGTACCACCCTCTCAAAGCGGCAGTGTTCAGTCCCCACGGCAGGGGCATGCGCAGACCGAGGACCACCATCGAGTCGGACATATCGGAGGAGAGTGAGTCGGAGACAGAGTCAGATCGGTCGACCCCTACAAGTATGACGGCAACAGATAACCGTTCTTCTTTCGCAATACCCTCGACCTCTACCATTCCTTTGCCTCCGACGTTTGCCACTCCGACATTTGCTGCGCCGAGATTCGGTGCTTTCCCCACTCCTACCTTCAGCACAGCGGCCAACGTGACGCCGTCTGCGAAACTCGCCGCATTAGATGCCGAAGGTCGGAAGGAAAAGAGACGCAGCACTGTGAGTGACCATCTTGTGACGGCTCCATCAGTGCGCTCACCTGCTTCAGATGCCTCCGTTTGCGAGTCTGAAACGCGGACTTTCTCTGCTGAGGTCACCCAAGCAGGGCAGTCCACTCCCAGAGGCAAACAGGCGCGAGTCGGGGACTCTTCTGCAAGTCACCGCTCCCAGTGATGAACCCACTCCTCCGACAAGGGATATCCATTTCCCTACTTTCAGGATGAAACCATGAGCTTTACGACTCTTATGATGAACCGCGGACTACATCAGCACCGGACATGGACGCTTTGTACTTGTGATATTACTGTACACTCATTACTGCTACATATTTGTAAAATTGGACTACGACTGGACTCCGGAAGGACGGAGAACTCCCACTGTGTAAGTAGCACACCTGTATCGTGTCGCTCCATGGAGCGCGGCGGAAATAATACATTTATATCGGCCAGGAGGCCTTTCAGGTTCTCAGTGAAGCAGTAAATGGCGTTCGTCGATTTAAAAACATACCAGCCACGAGCGCCAACGCAACACGACCCTTGCCATTTTGGGACCGAGAAATATCTGGACGCGCGATCGTGCAGCTTGCTCTCGACTGCCCATCGCCCCCACCCGCTCGCACAATGTTCCAACGTGATTCCCGTGCAGGCGCATTTCTTGGAGGAGACAGAGTATCTGGCCAAGATGTCCGAGATCAAAATGGTGCGCCCCTCTCGCCCCTCTCGAGTGCACTCCGTGCTGACTGCAGGGCCGCGCGTAGTCCTCGCCGCGCAAACCATTGCGAACGTCGTGAAAAGCTCGCTCGGCCCGATGGGGCTCGACAAGATGCTGGTGGACAACATCGGTGTACGTCGCTCTTCCTTCGCTGCCCCTCTGCGTTAAGCATGCCGACGCGCGTTCCGGCCCCTCTAGGAAGTGACCATTTCCAACGACGGCGCGACAATCCTGTCCCTGCTCGCGGTGGAGCACCCCGCAGGGCGTGTATTCGTCGATCTCTCGCAGAAACAGGACAAGGAGGTCGGCGACGGGACGACGTCTGTCGTGCTCATCGCCGCCGAGCTGCTCCGACGCGCGAACGAGCTCGTAAAGCAAAAGATCCACCCCACCACGATCATCACCGGGTACCGCTTGGCCTGTAGGGAGGCGTGCAAGTTCATGCAGGATCAGCTCAGTGTGAAGGTGGATACGCTCGGGCGGGACGCGTTGATCAACGCGGCAAAAACGAGTATGTCGAGCAAGATCATTGGCGGGTGAGTGTTTACTTGCGCCGGGGGGAAGAAAACGACGATGGGACTCGGTGCGCGATCTTGATAGGCTTACGAGGCTGCTAGGGATGACGATCTCTTTGCGCCTATGGCCGTCGACGCGATGCTCGCAGTGAAGACGATCAACAGCCGGGGGACATCAAGTACCCTGTAAAAGCCGTCAACGTCTTGAAGGCGCACGGACGCAGTGCGAGGGAGTCTCTTTTTGTGAAGGGTTACGCTCTCAACTGCACTGTCGCAAGCCAAGGTATGATCTACCATTTCGTTTGCACGAACAGGAATCTCAGCAGCTATATTAGCGATGAAGAAACGCATTACGGGTGCGAAGATTGCTTGCCTTGACATCAACCTCCAGAAAGCGCGCATGCAGCTTGGTGTACAGATTCTAGTGGACAGCCCGGAGCAGCTTGAAGACATTCGTAAACGGTTTGTCGCTCATTTTACTCCATCGGCCGATCTAACACGAGATCATCTCTTGCCCCATGCCTACAGTGAATCCGAGATCACCATCGAGCGTATACGCAAGATCCTCGCTTCGGGTGCCAATGTTATCCTTACCACAAAGGGCATCGACGATCTTTGTCTCAAGGAATTCGTAGAAGCCGGCGCAATGGCCGTCCGGAGATGTAGGAAGGAGGATCTTCGCCGGATCGCGAAGGCAACTGGTGGGACGCTTGTGTCGACGCTCGCCAACCTGGAAGGGGAGGAGTCGTTCGAGCCTAGCTATCTCGGCTACGCCGACGAAGTTGTTCAAGAGCGCATCTCAGACGACGAGCTTATCCTCATCAAGGGCACGAAGGTCGTCAACTCCTCGTCTATCGTGTTGCGGGGGGCGAACGACTACATGCTCGACGAGATGGAACGAGCATTGCACGATACGCTCTCGATCATCAAGCGTACTTTGGAGAGTGGTTCTGTTGTGCCAGGTGGAGGTGCCGTTGAGACTGCTCTCAGCATCTATCTCGAGAACTTCGCGACGACACTGGTACGTATTTGTCGTTGAACTTCTAGCTTGGATGGCGCTGATTTAGGTGTAGGGGTCAAGGGAGCAGCTCGCGATTGCCGAGTTTGCATCGTCGCTCCTGGTCATCCCGAAGACGCTGGCAGTCAACGCTGCGAAGGATTCGACTGAGTTGGTAGCGAAGCTTCGATCATACCACAACGCTGCGCAGAACGCTCCGGTCGGGGACCCCAAGAAGGTTCTGTTACGTATGGTCTGGATCTGTTGAACGGCCAAGTCCGCGATAACGTCACTGCGGGTGTTCTGGAGCCAACCATTAGCAAAGTTAAGAGTCTGAAGTCTGCGTTCGAGGCGGCAGTGTCGATTCTGCGGATAGATGATGCCATCCAATGCGTTCCTGGTGGGTCGCAACTTCGATTCGTTTTGTAAACCCCGCACTGACCGGTGAATTCGCAGAGGCTAAGGGCGGCGAGGACGACGGACACGGGCATTAGAGAACATATGCGGACAATGGGAGAGGGGAGTGAAGGAGCAGTGCTGCACCAGCTTTGTACATCACCATCTACAATACAAGATCCCGCTTTCTGGTGTACTCGTCGTTCTGTACTTGCCTTGTTGGGCCATAACAACTCTCCTTGCTTAGACTTCCTAACCAAGCCACAACGCCACCGACCAAATGGGCGCTTGTGTTCCCCACCTTTAGATGCCACGTGATGCAGACGCGTTGGTTTGGAATCGCGAGGCAGATGCTCTTTTTCTCCTTCCGCCACCTCCCTCGCTACACGCTCGCCGCGCGCACGTCCGTCTCGCTTGCCATCTGAACCCTATGCCCTAGGAAAACTATGCCTCACGACGCTACGCCTGCGGCACCAACCCCGCAACTATGTCAGCGATATTCCTCTCTTGTATGGTCCTGCCTCGATGCCGATCTCCACAAGACCGCGCTCTTCTATGCGGAGCGGTACTATGTGCTCGATACGAACAACCACGACGCGCGACATCTGTACGCCACTGCCCTCCTCCAGGCGGGCCAGCCCCACTCCGCCCACCACCTGACCAACGTCCCGCTCGACAAACGGTGCACCGGCTGCGTCGAAATCATCGCGAAGTGCTGCGCAAAGCTCGGTCGCCACCGTCAAGCGCGAGAGGCGTTGGAGACGTGTCTGCAGGACCCGGCGTACATGGCCTCCCGTGCGTGCCTGCGTTTTCACGCCACTCACGCGTCCCACCTGACCGACCACCTTCTCCCTGGCGCGCGCGCCCACGTAGAAGCGTCAAGCTCGCGCGCGGCGAGGTTCTCCGACGAAGCGGTGCTCTGGTGTCAAGCCGGGAACGCCGCGCTGAAGGGCAACCAGCACCAGGCTGCGACAACGAGCTACTTGCATGCGCTTCGCCTGAACCCGATGCTGTGGGAGGCGTTCGAGGGCCTGTGCGCGATAGGTGTGTTCTTGTGCTGTTTCCCCTTGCATCCTGGCGAGACGCACGCGACCCTTGAGCCCCCTTGGAGCCCCGTTCGCGCGGTGTCCCCACATTTCTTGCGAATAAACATCAACAACAATCCTTGTATCACGTCGGTTCTTTCATGTCCGGTGGCTTTCCTGTTCGCCGGGGAGGGTTCTTCTTGGAATGTCTTTGTGGTCATGCACAAAGCTTAACCTGCTCGTTCCATATCTGAGATGACTGACTATGCGATTGATTGACAGGAGACGTCCCGCCTGTTGACAACATACTCCCCGAGCGATCAATACCTACATCACTCAACTTCGGACAAGGTGAATCAAGCAAGTCAATACCGGTTGCAACGGGGGCCGGATTTTTCACACCCGAAGCGGGTAGCAGCAATTTCTTCAACGACTGGATGCCGGGCCAGCTCGCGGGACCGCGGGACTCGATGTTAGTTTTGCCTTGGGATGAGTCGCCAGTCAGACTGACCGCCGTGATTAATAGAGCGACAAATGACTCCTCGTTCTACGGCGAGCCGTCCTTCGTGGCACCCATCCGGGCAAGCAGGTCGCAGCCGACCAACATGGCGGTTCAGCCACCAGCTGTGCGTCCCCTTTCTTCAGCCGATGAGGCGGGCCCGGTGACCAAGAAGCTGCGGGCTCTCGTACGGCAGCGCAAGGCGCCGCCGGCGCCGACGGACTCGCAGCCCGCACTCAAGTCCTCGAAGTCCGCAGGGAAGGTCCCCGCCGCGCCCCCCGCCGCGGCCGACCGCCCGAAAAGCTCAAAGGCACGCGCACGCCCGGCCCCGACGATCGCTAACATATTCTCATCTCCTCGCCGGTCTGCCCAGAACGCGGCAGCGGCCCCTCCAGGTCCAACCACGCGGTCAACGTCGGAAAGCCGGGGAGCGGCGCAGGAGGGACGCGGCGGAGTTCGAGGCTGCAGAGCGGGGGCAGCAAGCTCGCCAAGGTGCGCGGAGGGGACCCTGAGATGAGGACCGCGCGTCCTCCGCGCTGCCGTCGTTTGACCTAATCGCCCGCAGGCCGTCCGGGATCGAAGACGAGTAGCGACGAAAACACGGTCGCAGTCCCACGAGTCGTTATTGGACGAAGAGAGCGAGCTGCCGGCGTTTGCGCCGGCGTCTGGCCTCGCGCGGGATCCGACGCCGCCGCCCGCTGAGGAGCCGCCTACGCAGGAGGAGTACGAGATGGAGGTGGCAGAGTGCGAGATATACGACGTCATGCGCAATTTCGCGCGGGCGACGCTGGCGATGTCGCTCTACGACTGTCGACAATGCCTGGAAGAGCTCGAGGCGCTGCCGGCACAGCACAAGCGCTCTGCGTCCGTGATGGCCATGCTGGGAAAGGCGCACTACGAGCTGGGCCAGTACCCTGAGGTGAGTGGCCGCGCGGCCTTCCGCTGGACTTCGAAGCCTAACACGTGCTCGCCAGGCCGAGCGGGCGTTCGAGGCCGCACGGAATCTGGAGCCCTATCGGCTGTGGGACATGGAAGTGTACTCGACGCTGCTCTGGCACCTGCAGCGGAACGTCCGGCTGTCGTTCCTCGCGCAAGAGCTGCTCTCGACCGACTCCAAGTCGCCGCAGGCGTGGATCGCGGTCGGCAACTGCTTCTCGCTGCAGAAGGAGAAGGCGCAGGCTCTGACCTGCTTCCGACGGGCGTCCCAGCTGGACCCCACCTGCGCGTACGCGTACACGCTCAGCGGCCACGAGTCGATTGACGAGGACATGAACAAGGCGATCACCTTTTTCCAGTCCGCTTTACGTGCTGATGCGCGGCACTACAACGCCTGGTGCGTAGACCCTCTTTCCATCACCAAGCCGATAAGAAGGCCGCGCGGGGGACGCGTGGCGAGCTAATCTCTGTTCCCCGTCTCGCAGGTACGGACTGGGTACGTGTTACATGAGGATGAGCAAGCTACGGTTGGCCGAGTACCATTTCAAGCGCGCGGCCGCCATCCATCCCCAGAACGCGGTCCTGCTCGGCTGCGTCGGTGTGGTAAGCGGTGCGGCACACGAGCGGAGACGATCCTGAACGCTGAGCTGGATGTGGTGATGCAGGTTCACGAGCGGTACGGCGATTACGACAAGGCGCTCGAGCTCTTCAACACGGCTATCGCGCTTTCGCCGGACAACGCGCTCGTTCGGTATCACCGAGCGAAAATCCTTATCGCCATGAAGAATTACGCGGTTAGTGTTCAGGTCTCGGTGTCCGGCCGCCCGGTTCGCAGTTGGCTGATTGGAACCCCTCCTCCTGGCGCCTGGGCGCTGTCGGTGTCTATCCTGCGCGCGTCTGATCCGACGACCTCTCGTCCCGACTGGTCCGGTGAACGGCAGGGCGCAGCGGTGGACCTCGAGCACCTGCGGGACACGTCGCCAGACGAGTCGAACGTGCTGTTCCAGCTCGCGCGGGCGTACCGGCTGATGGGGCACGACGTCAAGTTCACGCAGCTGCTGGCGGAGGTGCGCGATGTGGCGCCGAAGAGCGCGGCGAAGATACGGAAGCTGGTGACATGGAAGCGGATGGAGGCGCGGGTGCGGACGTCTCGGAGGTGATGGACGAGCGGCCGGGTAGTGGGAGGGCGAGGGAGGGCGCGGGCGACAGAAGTGGAGGGGAGGACCGCGTCGGTCGGAGGACGAGCGCTGAGCGCCGAGCCATCGGGGCCGCGTGTAGATAGAACATGCACACGAGAGCCTTCCATTGTCCCAGCGTCGAGAGTCGAGTGCCCGATGGCGGACATGACGTGCGGATGACCTTCAGTGACGCGCCGGGGCCCCGGCCGGGATGAGGGCGTGATTGGAGGGGAGGGGCGGCCGGCCGGACGCCAGAGGAGGCATATCTGGGCGTTAGTGCGGGGGTCGCCGGGAGGGGGGGCGGGCGCCTGTGGAGTCATCGGGTTGGCGTGTTATAAGCGGCGTCTTGCTCTCGTGCCCTTTCGCTCTTGCCTCCTGCCCCCGCCACCATGTCGGCCTAAGTCATATCGCCCGTCCCCCCGCCCCTTGCCTACTTGTTCCTTGCCTCGCCTGACTCCCTCTCGTCACGGCGTCTCAGAGAACCAGCATGGTTAACAAATCCGTCCGCAAGTCCAAGAACGGCACCATTCTGTTCGAGCCCTTCATCGTCTACCGTATACACCGCTGATAACGCGCACGCGCCCCGTCTGCCTCGTTCGTGCCTCCTTCCTTCTCTTACGTCTCCTCCGTCTGATCAGTGCTCCTTACATGCCTCCTCCGTCCCCCCGCACAGAACGCACCACTACCCTCTGCCCGGTGTCGTTCAACCGGCCTCGCTTCCCGCCACCCGAACCTCCTTTCCATATATCGCCCGCCCCAGCGCCGTCCATGCCGTCCGACCCATCGCAATCTAGCTCTCCCTCTTTGTTCTCCATGGCCCGCTCCAAGCTGCACTCTGCCGTTGCGGGCGGCGTCAAGGACTCCTGCAGCCTCCACCGCTGGGTCCTCCTCAAAAACTTTATCGTCAACACTCACCCCGCCGAGCCTGCCCCGTCTCAACCAGACGCTGACGTACACCACGTAAATAGAACCGACGACGATGCGGCACGCGACGCAGTCGAGGAGGACGCCTTCATGTTCCCGGACCCCCACACCCTTGCCGCCCGCAGCCCCAGCAGCGGAGACTGCGAAAAGCAGTGGCTAGACTCCCTCCTAGAGGACCTCGGCGACGATGACGACGACGCGGACGTCGGAGTCTCGACCTCGGTCATTCCCGTAGACGATGACGACGAACCGCTGAGTCCGCTGTGTTCCCCCATGTCCTCCTCGGACGACCTCCTCGTCGCACACGCGGGCATGTTCTACCAACCTCCCCCTATTGCCGTCCCCTACCCCGTTCCGTACCCACCACTGCACCCACCGCTCATGCCGTCGTGGCTCCAGTTCGAGGACCCGCACGAGCTGGACGCGCTCCCCTACTACGACGCGAACTACGTGGACGAGCTCCCTGTACCCGACGCGATCGAGGACACGTCGGACGACGAGTCGGACGCGCTCTCGACGCCGTACAGCCAGTCCATGTCTTCGTTGTCCCCGGTCGATCCGGCATCCGTCCCATTGCCACCAGAGCGCAGGCGGCTGCGCGGCGATCCACACGTGTACGTGGGCCCGGAGGACCCGTACTTCTACCCCTTCGAACTGGACCCGCCCCTCCCGTTCCCCGACGACGACGGTTTCGAGACCGCGCACGGTTTCCGTCCCCCCATCTACCAGGAGTGCTAGCTTTCCCTGTCTTATTCCCTTCCTTTCGCGACTGTTGTACATATATTTTGGCCTCTCCCCCGTCTGCCCCCCCTCGCATTGCCTGCTCCCCCCATCCCCCCTTACCCCATCTCGGTCCCCATCCCCTCCCATGGTCTCTCTCACTCGTCTGTTCCGCTCTCGGTGCTGGTGCCTGGACTGGCTCCCCTCCTGTTCCCCACATGCACTCCCCTGTCTGTCTGCATATAGTACTATTGCTCCTATGCTGTCCCGTCGCACTCGCCTGGCTGCCGCCCCTACATGTCTCTAATTTCCCCTCGTGTCTTGTCCCGGTGTCCATACTCGGTTTTCAATTGGAGGGTGCTGATAACGACCGCGATACGTAATGATGCGAGGTCTAATTCCAGCCGGGCACGAGTCGCCCATCCCTTCCCGATCTTCCCCCTCCCGCTCGCGTGTCCCCGCGGCCTGACTCGCCCAGCGGACGATCGTCCCTCCGTCTTACAGCCTCCTACAGCGCCCGCTCGCATGACCCCGTCGGCGTCAGAGGATGGTGCTCGGCGGTCGGGACTCGGAGCGAGCTGGCACGAGTCGCGCCGCCCGGGCTGCAGGTGACACTCGCAACGACAACCTCGCTCACCGCTCGCGCCGTTGCTGGGACGCGGAGGGTGGCTACAGGTATGTCTCATCCCCGTTCCGTGTCACCCTGAGCCGTCAACGCGTCACGCGCCATCAGAAGGATAAATCAACGTGCGCGATCCGTCGCCGTGCGCACGGAAATGGGACGGAGGGCACCCCCAAATACACACGAGGCCGATGCGGACGCGAGGCATGGCGGGGGGGGGGGCCGCCCGTTCTCCCCGCACAACCGCGGCGTCTTGCGGTCGCGTTAAAGCGGGCGGTGACTCGCGTCGGAAGCAGCACGGTTCGCGGAGCCTTTACGCGTGGTGCCTGCCATTACATTCGTCGGAGTCACCCGCACAGGGCAGGTGATCGCTTGACTTATACCAGCCACTGACGTGGTTGGGTCGAGCTCCGAGTGGAACCACCGCTATGTACACGCTCTCGAGCGCGGCTCTCGCGTGCCCAGGCCCCGCGGGGGGCGAAGCGACTCGAACACATACACTCCGAGCCCCTGACCGACCGGGCAGCCTGGCCAAAGTACTGCGGACCGGGGAGGGGGGGACGTGGTACGCGCCACGTTCAAGCGTCCCGACGCACTTTCCTCCCGCCGGGCTGCACATGCCCTCGCCCCCTACCCCGCCGCCTCAAACTGCACGCCAACGAGGCGGTCGAACGTTGATTAGATTTCCCGATCGACCTGCACTCAACAAGAAACGTCCGTGGGCGCTTTCCCGATCGCCCGGCCTCGGCGTTCTACGTTCTACGCACCTACATGGCTCACATGCGCAAACCAGCCGCGCAACGCAGCCGCGCGTGGTGGCCGCCCGAGGCTTCGACGCTCCTGTGTCGATCGAGGACCTTTTCGTTGAACGTCAGAACGCAGGCGTCGCGCGGCTCTGCGCTCTAACCGCGCACACGCCCAGGTGGAGTATTAGGACAGGCGAAACGGATAGACATCACTGGACACTCTGTTTCTCCACCTCCGGTCGATCCAACACAGGGCCGGAAGGGGGCCAGCTCGGCGCGAGAGGGGCGCGCGATAGCGCTCGGCCGGGTCGATAGCCTATAGGTCACCGCCCTCGCTCGATTGCGCTATCGCCAGGCAGCAACGTTTGAAGGAGGTTCGGGGGCGCGGCGGAGAACCACAGAGCCAGCCGGGAGGCGAGCCCCTCGAGCGCGCTCGTTGCAACAAGGCGTGCGCGATCGCGTGTCGCGCAAGTCGCCCCGGATGTGGGGCAATGCGACCGCGCGAGCACGCAGTTATCGCGCGCGGTTACGCCCCTTGTCGCGATCGTTCTGGGTCGGCGCCGGGAGGCGCACACGAACGTTTGAACGCGTGAACGCTACGGCCGGGAGGCCTGTCGGGGAGATCTGTAGTCGAGAGCGCGCGCCTCGGGGGACTGAATGGGCAGAGGGACGCGTGGATCGCAGGTCGTCTGGGTCTGATGTACAGCAACATGGCACCGTACGCCCCGCCGGCACTGCATTAAATCCGTCAAGTCAGTCGCACTGCGACGGCGCAGCTCTCGTCGCCGTCGCCCTCGGCGCGGAGTCCGACCCCGCCGCCGGCATACGCGTCCTCGGCTGTGACGGTGGTGCCACCGCCGTCGCTGCCGCCGTTGTCGCCGTATTTCGCCCCGCCGCCACCGCCGTCCCCGCCTGCGTCACCGATCGCCCTCCCGCGCGTTCCGCGACCGGCGTGGCGTGGCGTCCCTCGGGTGCCCCGCTGGTCGTGCGGGGAGGGCCCACCAATCGGGCGCCTGCGCGTCGAGCGCCAGCCTCGGCGCGTGCTGGAGCGCGAGGTTGTTGAACGCGGTGGGGAACGCGGCGCAGGGCGCCAACGGGCGCGTCGTCAGGAGGGGCACTGGCGGGCGGGCGTGGTGCGAGGTCGTCGGGTCCGCGACGGCCGAAGGCGAGCGCCGCGAGGAGAGGGCAGGTTTGTTCGCGAGCGCGCACGACGCAGGGCGCGTGGGCGCGGGGGAGGGTCCGCGGCCCGCGTGGTGGCGACGGGTGCACGGGGCGCGCGACGGGGAGGGCCGAGCGGGGGGCGGGGAGCGAGGGGGAGCGAGGAGCGTAAGTGAGCGGCGGGCGATATTGGGCGGGCGCGTGCGAACCTATGCGCGCCACGCACGGGTGCTCCGCAGCCAGCCTCCGCGCAGGTGTGCTGTAAACGCCGCACGGCGTCGGGTATGTTCAACGTCTGCGCGGGACACACGGGAATACGCACTTTTCGGCATAGTCCCCCAGGCGGTTCGCGATAAGGAGGACGTTTGGGAGCCGCTCCGGCGACCAGTTTTCACGGAGCAGGTTCTCGTACAGGTGCAGGTCGCAGTGGGGCATGTACGCGATCGTGGGGGATCGCAGCCTGTATCGCGCCTCCTGGGACGTTCGGGTCGGCGTCAGCAAACGAGCAATGACGCAGGGCACGACGCACGCGCTCCGTCGGCGGAGGCGGTCGTTTTGAGCGTGACGATAACGACGAGCGCGGCCGTGCTCAGTGTGTCAGGGGCGGGAAGAGGACATGCAAAGACGTACGATGTCCTCAGACTCGGGGAGGGGGGTCAGGCGGCGCTCCGCCAGAAGCTGGTGGTCCTCGTCGGTGAAGACGGGATCGTAGACGGACACGGACACGGGCGCCTAGGAAAGGCGAGATGAAAACGGACTGAAAGACGAGCGATAGATGGGAAGAGGACAGACTATGGAGAGGTCGTCGGAGGCAGCGAGGAGGAGCGCGAGCTGGGCGCGGGCATCACGCGACGCGGCGGGAGACCCGAGCCCGAGGCAGAGGACGGGAGGAGATACGGGCCCAGCGGGGACTGGCGGTGGAAATGCCTGTTGGAGGGCGTCGCGTATCGCGTCTGCGATAAGAGGGCGGTCAGAATAGAACGGTGGGCGAGGACGGGCACGGACCGAGGGTGTCTCGCAGCCAATCGGTCTCCGCCAGTTCCTCCGCGGTCCTCTCGAGGAGGACGGCGGGGGGGGCGGGGGCCTGGCGATTCTTCCGTTTCTTGCGAGACCTGGCGGGCGTGAAGGGATCGCCATAGCTGAACTCCGCCCTGTCTCCGCTCTGGGCCATGGTGGATCGCCGGTGAGCGGATGACCTCTCCTCATGGCAAATTGCAAGCTTCGGCGCCTGAACAGCGAGCGCCTTTTGTTTGCCAGGCACGCGGACGGCGGGATGAAATCCACGTGGCAATTTGACCCCCACGTGGACGACCGTGTGCCCTCCAAGTTGCCGATGCCGATTCGAGCAAGGGTACATTGGCCCGGCGGCGGGGACAAGGCTCCACCGGCTGTGTCTCATTCCATGCATACATACTCCGATCCTCGGAACGTTGTGGTTTGCAGCAAGCCCCACCGTCACCTGGTAGAAGCATCCGGAGTCAAGTCTTTGCTCCCCTGACACACGTTTGACCCCCCTGAGCACAGCGCACCACAACAGGTGGGCCTCTGGACAGAGCGGAGCATCGGCACCTCGCAATCATCTCCTCAGGGCACCCATTGACATGTCGACCGCACGATATATGCACCGAGGCCCCACAGTCTGACGGATATATATATATATTGACACACCGTCGCGACTCGCCCGACATCGCCACCGGGCAATCCGATACCAGGTGGTTCCCCTGCCAGTGCGGGGGTTTTCCAAGTCCGCGGCCTTCGCACGCCCGACCACGGCTCACCTCGGTCTCTCTCGCCTCTCGCCTTCACCGCGCCCGGGCCTGCCATCTGGACGACCCTAGCCCAGGCCCCTACTGTGGGAAGGACTTTCTCCGAAGTCCGATCCCCTCGCGCGCCCACATAGGCTCCCATGCCGCGGCAGCAACAGTGCGCATCGCAATACCAGCCGTAACCTCATGCCGCACGTGTGTTCGGTGCATCGTTTTTCCTCCGTTTCGATCAGGAACGGCCCGCCACCATCCGATACAACTCTGTGGACACGCTATGCTTTGTTTGTGCGCGCGATGCGCTCGAGCCTCGCGCCGCCGGCCGGTGTGCGCCCTGCAATCCCCAATCCCCGACACCGGACTGGCGAACACCACGCTCGCCGTGGGACGCCTCCCGCCCTCCCTCGCCCGTCCGGCCTGACGCACGCACGCACTTGCGCGTTCTTGGCGTGCGCGAGGTGCACCCATCGAGAGGTGTTGCTCGAACAGGGAGCCGCTCCCCTCCCAGCGACTTCGACCAGCGGCTTCGGCCTCACGCGGGTGGCCAGGGTGCGGGATTAGAAGTGCCCCTCGGACACCGGTCACGACACGCGTTTCAAACACCCCACGGCTTTGGTAGATAGACTTGAAATTGTATTTCGAACCCTCAGATGCGCAAAGCTCCGAGGTTTTGTGGTTGGCGCGGAGACGTCATGTCAACAAAGACGAAGCGCCGGCGCCCGACCTGGAGCGGTGACCGGGCGCGCGATTGGTGAATATTCACCCTCAGAACGTCTGAACGCTGCATCCCTTGGGCGTCGACCTCGGAACGTGGCATAAAGGCTCGTGGAGTATGTTAGAAACGCGTCTCCCGGAGCTCGGCGTCCGCATCATCCTAGGTTAGGGTTGGGTAGATACGTCCGGGGACGAGACGGACCTCTCTAGTATCACATTCAGCGCTGCTCCAGTCTGCGCGCCCCCTCCGCTCGCATCACTCGGTCGTCACCGCGCCCGCCCGCCTCCCCCCGTTCCGACAGAGTATACAAATTCAGATCCCCGAGTTCCACAAGGGTCGCAGAAGATGCGGATGAACGGGCGGCGGAGGCTTTGACAGAAACGCACACGTCATCCGGGCCTGAGTAGACCCCTCCCTCTGGTGTGCAAAGCTCATTCTTATATGCACTTACTAGGGGGGACCGCACGACCGCGACCTTGCCCGCCGTCACGTCCTGCACTCGAGGACGTGTGTACAAAGTACGTACGGTGCTCGGCCGCCGCACCGATTCGAAAGAAGCTTCGCCCTCGTCCTCCAGCCGGCCGCGGCACGCGCAGCCGACGTCGGGCCACACACGCGCCCACGCACCACGCACACGCACCTTCGCCTTTCCCCCGGGGACGACCTGCCCGCGCGCCTGGTGGCGATGCACGGTCCCCACCCACCCCTGCGAGGGTTACCGGTGCCAGTGCCGCGGCGACCGCCATGGCTGCCCCCTTAGAACCTCGTATGCGTTTGCCGCACTCGGCGGCGTGTGGCCAGACACCGCGGAGGCGCCCGCGCTGGACCCGGGCGCACGACTGCCTCGCGTGCAGAGAGAGAGCGAGAGAGAGGGAGGGAGATCCCCCGCGGGAGCAGTAGGCTGCACACGCACACGCACGTACACACGCCGCGCGCGCGCGCGCGGCCGCATGACAAAGACCGAACTCTCTCTCCCGTGGGCCCCTCCCATCTCAGATCGCGTGCTCGGCGCGGGGGGGCGGGGAGGGCTTCGCAGGCTCGAAATGGGCGGCGCACGCCCCGGCGTGGGGTTCCATCACGCGTCCGCCGGGCGGCGGCCGGGGATGGCTAAGAAGTAGTGTGTATTGTACGTGCCGGCGGGCGGGAGGACTTCTGAGTACTGAGCACAAGAGCGGTGTGTGCGCGGGCGGGGGCGCCCCCCCCCGGCGTCGGGGGGATATGGAGACAGAGGCGGGAACTGGATACACAATAGGCGCGGACGGCAGGCGAGAGCGAGACGATTACCCCAGGCGAAGAAGGCGGGTTGGGGGGGGCATTAGCGGCTTTACACTTAGACATGAAACCTGCGAAGCCCGCGAAACGAGGCCGGAGAACGGCGGGGATCAGCGTTCGAAGGTCGACCCGCGCAGCCCCCGGTCAGACGCACCAATATTAGGATACGGGCGAGGACCGCACTAGTCCTCCCCGGGCGTCGGCGACATCACGACGTCCCAGAACTGCTTCGGGCTGTGCGGGGACCCGGTCGACGCCGGGAGGCTCGCGGGGTGCGTGTTCACGGACAGACCTGCGCACGGCGGCGGACGTGTCAGCTCCCGCGGCGATAGCGAGGCGGCCCAGTGCCGGGGACGCAGAGACGGCGAAACGAAAAGACCTCACCGGACTGTGTGTTGCTAGGGCCCGCTGTGGCACCGCACGCGGGCGTGACAGAGGGCGAGGCGAGGAGGGAGACACGGAACGCGGGCGCGGCGGACGAAGCGACGTTAGCCACAATTCCCCCATGCGACGGCGCACTCACCCGCCGCGGCGTCCACTACGCGCGAGCACACCGCGCGTCGCTCTCGCAGCGCACGCACGGCAGCATCGCGCGCGAATCCCTGACCTCGCACCGCAGCTTCTCCCTCTTGCTGTCCCCCGCACCAGACGCCGAAGAGCCCCGTCAGCGCAAGGTTCGTTCGCCCCACCGCCATCCCCCGCAGCCCCGACGAGGGCGGGCGAAGGGGGAGGGGGGCCTCCGTGACTCGACTCACCAAGCTTCGCACGCCCGCTTGCACTGCACCCTGCCCGACGGCGCCGCGTCCCCGGTCGGCCGCTCGCAGGTCGTCCCCGCCTCGAGGCACTTCGCGCAGCGCCACTGGCCGGGCACGTCGATGCACTTGACTGTTGGCGAGAAGGGTCCGTCGTCAGCCAAGGTGCCCGGTATCCCAATCCCAGTCCGAACAAATCGCTCGGGCGTGCAAGGGCCCGGCGCCGACATCAGCGAGCGGCGTGGCCCGCAGAGGGCGGAGGTGGAAGCCCCGGGGCCCGAACGCGCGCAAGCTCGTGCGGACGGCTGGACCGCGTCAGCCTGCTTTCCACGGCCGCCCCCCGAGCGCGCGTCAAGGTCAAACGGACACGGGAGGCAGAGACGAGGACGGGGAGGGGGCCCTCGCTCGGGGCGCACGACGGCGGCCCGCCGGACGTCCCGCGCGAGCCTAGCGCAAACACGGACGGCAGGACGCCCGGCGGTGATGCAGAGATGCAGACCCGCGGGCGTCCCCGCGCCGCGTCCCCGCCCAGCCCTCCGACGCGGTGTGCAGAAGCCCCCGGGCGCGCGGCGATCTCTCGCACTAAATGCGGGGATCGGCCCTCCCGCGCCTCGCGCCCGACTGACGTCGCGCTGCGCAGGTCTCCGACCCCCCCGAGTCCCGGGGACCCAGACGCAGCAGCTTGGGGGGCAGAGCGACCCGGGCGGACGGCTGTGGTCGCGTAGCCCCGCCGGGGCTCTCCCACGCCCGCCCGAGGGCCTAGCGCGTCGCTTGGAGCATCCCGACCGAAAGAGGGCTAGCGTCGGCGTCGGGGAGCGACGCCCCCCACCCCCGTCCTCGGGCAGCTCCGACGCGCCCGGCCGGGCGTGCGTGCGCGGGCGCAGCGGCTGTCAGATGTGGAGGCGGGCGACGGGTCCGCGGGGGCGCCAAGCACAGGCTCGTGGGGATGTGGGACGCGGGAGAAGAGAAGGGGAAGGAGAGGCGGTGAGGGAGAGGCGGAGGGGAAGGACGGGGCCACGGGACGAGAAAGGTAAGGAGCGGAAGCGACACGCACTCTTCTTCTGCGCGCACCTGGAGCACGCGGGGCTCGCGCGCGGCTTCACGAACGGTCGCTTGCCCCCGGTGGTGTCTCCAGTCATCGTCGAGGCTTGAAGAGGGCGGTCGCGAGCGCGGGATGAGTGTGTTAGTGTGTCGTCCGAGGTGCGGGCGGGCGGGCGAACGGGCAAGCGTGAGTCGAGTGCTTGCGAGGTGGCCCAGAGGCGGCGGGGAGCAGAGCTCTGCTCGCCTAGAGAGAGCGTGCAGGCCGAGAGCGAGATGGGGGTGCAGCAAGGGACGGGAGGGAGGAGGGCACTGAGAAGGAGAACGAAGGGGAGGGAGGACGAGCCCCGGGGCGGGATGGCTATATATCGCTGCGGGGTCCGGGTCGGAGGGCGCGCAAGGGGGGGAGATCACGCCCTTTGCAGGGCGGGTGCCGTAACCGAGGAGCAGGAGCTGTTGGGAGCGAGCTCGCTGCAGCGGGCGCGCGTGCGGACGCGGACGGACGCGCAGGCGGGCGGGCGGGCGAGCGGGGGGCAGGGGGAACGCGCGTATTGGTTCCCAGGCGCACGCCGTCCTCCGATGGCAGCCGTCGCCCGCGATCCTGGACCCTTCGTGCTGGGCCCGCGCGCGC